GCTGCATAAGATGGCTCAGAAGAGTCTTATGAAGATGCAAGTCTATCAAAAGAGCTACTATGACAAGAAACATACTGCAGTATCATTTTATGAAGATGATCAGATGTGATTAGATCTTCATAACATTAGAACAGTACATTCTAGCAAGAAGTTGGATGTTCTCCAGCACAGATCATACTGAATTGTGGAAAAATTGAGGCTCCAAATCTATTGATTGAAACTACTGTCAGAGCTGAAAGTACACAATGTGTTTCATGTGTCTCTCTTAATCAAACACAAGAAATGGAAGGGAGTGAATAGTCAACCACATCACTCAATTCATGAGACATTCTCTGTGAAGCAAGAGTATTAGGTACAGAAGATTGTTGACTCTCATAAAAATGATCAAGCAATTGAATACCTTGTGCAGTGGCAGAAATATGAGGAAAAGACTTGAGAGTCTTCAAAGAATGTGAGACATCTAGATAAGAAGCTGTTTGAGTTTCATAGAAAGCATTCAGACAAGTTCAGTCTACATCATATTCTGAGAATGTGCACTTAGAGAGATCTTGTTAGATTTGTAAAGATATTTATGAAGCAGTTAGAGATTGATTCATGAAGCAGAAGGGCAGTGGCCCAAGTAGTGAATCAATTTAGAAGAAAACTTGATCTGTAAAAGCATTTACAACTATCAAGAAGTAGTTCATGAAGCAGAAGTAGTGAATTTACTCTAAAATAAAAGAAAGAACTAGACTATTAATGGCCAAAGCCTGCAAGAGAAAGAGAAAACTAGACTATTAGTGGCCAAAGTCTGCAGTAACAAAAGAAAGAAAACAAGAGAGCAACTCTAAGAATTGAAAGAATAAGTTTTGTGTGTCTGATAGACACAGTTATTACATCTGTTTCTATCAAGAGAACTTGCAACACACTGTCCCAATGGGGGATTTAAGTTACCCTGACATGCTGTACATGACTGCTGAGAATAATTATCTGTCATGGTGATCAGAACTTCTTCCCAGAGCTGGGCTCTATCTCTCAGCCAAACAGAGTCTGTTGGACCAGTAAGAGTTGCAGATCAAAGAGGAGAGAAAGCAAGAAGTCATCTCTCACAATCAGATGAATTCTGATCTGAGATTAAGAGCAGAAGATGACTCATAGTAATCAGTGTTCTGGCTGACAAGTTAACAGCCAGAGCAGGGGCTGGAGGAGCAGAAGCAGAAGCAGAAGCAGGCACAGCAGACAGAGAAGAAGTTGATGAGACTGACTTCTAGAGAAAGAAAAAGCATTAGCTGAGACTCTCAATATCACTTCATAAATGGATTTACAAAGCAGGAACTGTCTTATAAGTCATGTTATGAAGCAACTCAACATATCTTGAGTGCATTGGAGACAGAATCAATGCTAGAGAATGGGCACAGCATAGAAAAGGGCACAGATCTAGAACATGGATGCAGTAGAAACAGATCAGACTGAGAAAAATGAGATGGCACATTACCAATAAGAATTCCAGATTTGGAAGACAGATGGCCACCCTCTCTCAAGACCTGACCAACTGAGACAATGAAGCTAGTAGTTGAAAAAGAATCATTACTAGACACAGTAGACATCATTGAGTGTTCCCACCAAGCTCAAATATTAGCACCCTGAATATGCCATCAGCCATGCACACAGGAAAGAGGATTATGGAGTGAGAAAACACTTTGTAAAGAATATTTCAGACTTTGTAAAAGCAATTATGAAGCATTAAAAGAAGAAGAAATGGAAGAATATCACTTACATCATCATAATCAGAATCAGACTGACTGGGCCATGATGTCTGAGAAGAGATCTCAAAGTCTTCAGAGACATAACTCTCTGTTGCATAAATGAAAACCAATGGCAATGATGTCTCTTCACTTTGGTTTTCTTGAGAAATGGCAGTAGTTGAGAACTCTGCTTCAGATGGAGCAGAAGATTCTGAAGACATCTCTTGCATTGCTTCTGAAGAGAGTCTTGAACAATGACTGATTGAAGTTTTATCCCCAAACTTATTGAGCCATTGTTGCTCATGTTTCAACATCTTAATTTGAATGAAAGAGAGACACAGCAAATTATCTCTCTGCATAATGTGTTAGCACTGAGAAAAGTCTTTATGAAGCCTCTCAAGATTTGTAATCATCAAGAAGAAAATGCTTGTCTAGAATTCTTACCAAAATAAAGAAGAATGTTGTTGAAAAAGAAAAAGAAAGAGAGAGAGGGAGAAGATTAAGAAAGAGATATTTATATTCAAGAGATTGCCAATTATTATTAGATGAATCATGGAAAATGACAGTCACTACAGCAACTACATTACAATCACAGAGGAGCTGTCACTCTTGCTGTGATCTTATCATCACATCTACATCTAGAAACTGAGATTGAATTAAGGCTCTGCACTGTGGCCTCCTTACATTCATCACACCAAAAAGAGATTTTGTACAAAATTGTTACAATCACAGTGGAGCTGTCACTCTCACTGTGATCTTGATCACATCAATGCCTTGGGGACCAAGACTTGTGAAGAGGGGGGAATCTGTAAGACTCCACACTGTGATCTTCTTACATTCATCCCATCATCTAAAAAAGGTTCATAAAATCTCCTTGATGCTTAGATGATCATGCTCCATGGCATCTGAGGTTCATAAACTCTGTGACTGATCACATAATCACACTAGCAAAGCTGAGCACACAAAACCTGCCACAGATGCTTCTTTATGAAGATCAGTGGCAACATATCTAGAGACTCTAGATACTGTTGTAGCAATATAAGTTATCTCTCTCTCTCATGCTTAGATCTCTTCATAACCACTTCTCACTCAATCTAACCTCATTTATGAAGGCTGTAAGCCTTTGCCATGTTACCTGCAACCACCTGAATCCCACATCAGTTCAGATGTTCAGAGTAGAGTTCTGAACTGAGTGTGATTTCCAAAGATCTTTCTTGTTATAGTCCAACTCTGTGACTGCATACTTCAGAGTTTCATTGTCATTCAGACCACTAGCATCTTAAATGAATTCTATTTGAAAGATAAACTGTTGATAGACTGCATGGTTCTTGATCTGATAGTTGATCTTGTATTGTGGAGACTTGATGACTGAACTCTTCTTTGAAGAATTTGAATTAGAGATCAGAACATTAAGTGATTCTGTTTGTTCATGCTTTCTATTCAGAGTTCATAAACTCTGCTGTAGTTCTTGAATTCTTTTCATGAGATGTATCTGCTCTCTTAAGTTCTTAAGAGATTCTGTGTTCTCTGAAGATGATTTCTCAGCCTGAATTATGCTTTCATCCAGATTTATTGTTGCACTCAGTGTCTCAGCTAACTCTGATACTGAGAAAAGAGTTGAGAATTCAGTTTGATCTTGATTGTTCTGTTTTGTGAAAATCATTGCCAGACCATCTGCTTATTTAAGTGGCAAACTGTGAGAATTGGATGATTGCAGATAACATGACAATGGCTTACAGTCTTCATAAATGAGATTAGATTGAATGAGAGATGATTATGAAGAGATCTAAGCATGAGAGAGAGAGAGATAACTTATATTGCTACAACAGTATCTAGAGTCTCTAGATATGTTGCCACTGATCTTTGTAAAGAAGTGTCTGTGGCAGATTTTGTGTGTTCAGCTTTGCTAGTGTGATCATGTGATCAGTCATGAATTTTATGAACTCCAGATGCCATGGAGCATGATCATCTAAGCATTAAGAAGATTTTATGAATCTCTTTTAGATGATGAAATGAATGTAAGAAGGCTGCAGTGTGAAGTCTTACAACTGCATAGTTCTTGATTTAATAGTTGATTTTGTATTGTGGAGACTTGATGACTGAACTCTTCTTTGAAGAATTTGAATTAGAGATCAGAACATTAAGTGATTCTGTTTGTTCATGCTTTCTATTCAGAGTTCATAAACTCTGCTGTAGTTCTTGAATTCTTTTCATGAGATGTATCTGCTCTCTTAAGTTTTCAAGAGATTCTGTGTTCTCTAGAGATAATTTCTTAGTCTAAGTTATGCTTTCATTCAGATTTATTGTTGCACTCAGTGTTTTGACTAACTCTGATACTGAGAAAAGAGTTGAGAATTCAGTTTGGTCTTAATTATTCTGTCTTGTGAAAATCATTGTTGGGCCATCTGCTTATTTAAGTGACAAACTGTGAGAATCAGATGGTTGCAGATAATGTGACAATGACTTACAGTCTTTGTAAATAAGATTAGATTTGATGAGAGATGTTTATGAAGAGATCTAAGCATAAGAGAGAGAGAGATAACTTATATCACTACAACAGTATCTAGAGTCTCTAGATATGTTATCACTGATCTTTGCAAAGAAGCATCTGTGATAGATTTTGTATGTTCAGCTTTGCTAATGAAATCATGTGATCAGTTATGAGATTTATGAATCTCAGATGTCATGGAGCATGATCATCTAAGCATCAAGAAGATTTTATGAACCTCTTTTAGATGATGAAATGAATGTAAGAAGGCCACAGTGCAGAGTCTTACAGTTCACCACCTACATCACTGTTAAAGCTATGAGAACATGTTGAGCAGAAGTCAGATGACTTATCAAATGATCAAATCTCTGAAGAAGAAATTAGAGAATCATAGATTTGTCATCTTCTCTTCTTGATCATGATATCAATTTCATTATCTTTAACTATTGAGCTGACAGAGGTTTGCTAGAGGTTTTTCATATGTTTTTCCCATAGCCTTGATTATAGCATGTTTGTCTATAAGTATCCTTGTCTCATTCATTAGGAGCAGACTCAGACGCAATATTATAGACGCTCAGGCACATGATCATCACGTGCTCCTGTGTCGTCCGATAACGTCCGATCGAACTCAATCGGAAACGCTGAGTAATCAGGCAAAGGGCGCGATCACGTGCGAGCTTCCTCGCATTTGTCAGCGGCGCTTATCTGATTGAGCTTTTCCACCTCGCAGCTTTTTTTTTTCCATTTTTCCTCCTCATCACACCCCGGGCATTGATCCATCTGCGAAGATGTCCAATCTAGCGCCTCATGCCGTCCGGCAAGCGTCTCGGGCGTGCTCGAGGCGATTGTCGTCGTCGCCACGCTTGTGGACGCCTCTCTCCAGCGCAAACACACATCTGCGGCCGTCGCCTCGCCGGAGCTATGTATCAGAAAGCCAGGGTAGGAAAGCTCAGGCCCAGACCACCGTCGACTCGACAGTCAAGGCGGAGCAGCGAATGTTCACAGAGCAAACCGGTCTTAGGCCTGACAGCGTTCAGGTGCCCGGTGCGACGGTGACTGGGGACACGCTCTTGAGCCCCAGCGCTGGCATCCTGAAGCATGCAACGGTAATGGATCAGGGTACGCGTCCAATCTACCTCGACATGCAAGCTACGACCCCTACCGACCCTCGCGTTCTCGATGCGATGCTTCCGTTTCTCACAGGCCTCTACGGCAATCCCCACTCCAGAACCCATGCATATGGGTGGGAGACGGAGAAGGCCGCCGAGCAAGCAAGAGACCATATTGCCAAGCTCATTGGTGCCGATTCAAAGGAAATCATCTTCACCAGCGGAGCAACGGAGAGTAACAACATGAGCATCAAGGGCGTGGCGAGATTCTTCGGGCGGTCGGGCAAGAAGAAGCATATCATCACCACGCAAACAGAGCACAAATGCGTTCTCGACAGCTGTCGGCACTTGCAGGATGAAGGGTTTGAAGTGACGTATCTACCTGTTCAGAGCAATGGATTGATCAAAATGGAAGACCTTGAAGCTGCGCTTCGGCCGGACACGGCGTTGGTCAGCATCATGACGGTGAATAACGAGATTGGTGTGATCCAGCCCATGAAGGAGATTGGGGCCCTCTGCCGGTCCAAGAAGGTGTTTTTCCATACCGATGCGGCGCAGGCGGTGGGCAAGATTCCCGTGGACGTGAATGCGTGGAATGTGGACCTGATGTCGATTTCGGGGCACAAGATCTATGGACCCAAGGGCATTGGAGCATGCTACGTTCGACGCCGGCCGCGAGTGCGCATCGACCCGCTCATCAGCGGCGGTGGACAGGAGCGTGGTCTGCGCAGCGGCACGCTGGCTCCGCATCTCGTGGTTGGGTTTGGGGAGGCTTGTCGGATTGCCAAAGAAGACATGGAGGTAAGACCGAATCATCCTGTATTCCTTTCAGTCAGTGGATTTTGCACCAGATGATTATACGCTTTAATATGCATGGCTTTCTGAAGGTTGTCGGATGAGCAGCACGATTTTCGTGTTTCCGGCGCTTCTTGATTTACATAGCAGGGGTTATGATGTTTTGTCGAGATCTTGTCAATTTTTTTTTTTAAGTTGCGGAGATTTTTTCCTCCATTGGCTGACGGGGCTTCTAGTACGACACCAAGCATGTCGAGCGGCTGTCGAAGAAACTCACGGACGGGCTCCTGGCGATGGAACACACGACGCTGAACGGCGACGCGACGCGGCACTACCCCGGGTGCGTGAACGTGTCGTTCGCGTACGTGGAGGGCGAGTCGCTGCTGATGGCGCTGAAGGACATTGCGCTGTCGTCGGGCAGCGCGTGCACGTCGGCGTCGCTGGAGCCAAGCTACGTGCTGCGGGCGCTGGGGAACAGCGACGAGAGCGCGCACAGCAGCATCCGGTTCGGCATCGGGCGGTTCACGGCAGAGAGCGAAATCGACTACGTGCTGGCGGCGGTGCGGGAGCGGGTGCAGTTCCTCCGCGACCTGAGCCCGCTGTGGGAGCTGGTGCAGGAGGGCGTGGACCTCAACACGATTGAATGGAGCCAGCACTAGGCGAGGGTCTGTTTTTTTGGGCTGTTGTGTTCATCCGGCGTTGGGGTGGGGACTGTGCCAGCGAACATACTTCTACCTCGGGGAATCTTTCTGTCTTTTCTTTTTTTTCTTTGTTTTTCTTTTCCTTTGTTTCTGCATGGATGGCAACGATAAGGCCGCATGGCGCAAACTGAATCACTGATTGACTCTCGGCGCCAGCTCCAGGCTCGACGGGCCGGGAGTGGAGCGGGCGACCCCATGACAGGGTCTGCCGGCAGGATGCTGACGACGATGGCGCTTGGAACATCGGGCGGGAATACTGTACGTTTCATTGCCGCTAGCACTACTGTAATTCTACAGCCATGGTGTTCTGGGGGGAGCTGGGCATGCGTGCGTCTGCCGCGGCGTAACGGGGCTGTACCCGCGGCGGCGCTTGGTGTGCCGCCCGCCCACATCCGACGGCGGGCCGCCGCACACGGGCTGAGAAAATACCCGACGACGCGTCGATGCGCCTCCGCGCTGCCCGCACCGGCGTCCTACACCAATAAGTCCGGCTGGTGAGCGTGTGGCCTGCCGGGTAGAGCCGGGTGGTCGTGCAGGCGGGCGACGGGCTGTACGGCACAGCGCGCAGTCTACGGGGGCCCGTACAGGCGGCGAGCCGCGCAGCACATGGCCTGGAACAAAAGGCACGCGCGTGATTGGCCGCCAGCCGCCGCGGGCGCGTGGTGGCGTAGACGGGCCGTGCAGCACGCGAACGGACGGCCTCGCAACGTCGCCTTCGTCGCCCCCCACCGGGCGAGCGCCGGCTCTCGCTCGCGCCCCGCCGCCGGCAGGCTTTTATTCTGTCTTCGACTCCCCGCTGTTCCCGCGCTGCTTGCCTGCGCTGCACTACTACTCGCCTGTTGTCTCCTTCGCCGCTCTCCGCCCTCGCCATGCTACCCCCCGTGCCCATCCTCGCCGACTACGGCATCGACCCGCACCGTGGCTTTCTCCCCGACGAGCTGCCGCTCACCCTCCTGCCCGACCACTATGCCGCCTGGGAGCATGTCATGGCCAACCTGCAGTCGCTGGTGCTCAGCGGCCGCCTGTGGGACACCATAGAAACCATGCCCATGCTCTCCACCACCCACCTGCACACCCCGCCCCAGTGGCGCCGCGCCTACGTCCTGCTCGTCCTCATGCTCCATGCGTACATCTGGTCCGGAGACAAGCCGCAGGAGGTACACACTAGACTTTATAGCTAAAATTCAAACTCATACGCTGACACTTTCTTTTTTTGCTCGCTGCCAGAGAATCCCCCCGCCGCTCACGGTACCCTTGTTAAAAGTCTCAGAGCACCTGGAGCTGCCGCCCGTCGCCACATATGCCGCCGTCTGTCTGTGGAACTACCGTCCCATCTTCCCCGATGAGCCCACGCATTCGCTGGAGAACCTGTCCACGCTGTTTACCCTGACCGGGTCTATGGACGAGCAGTGGTTCTACCTCGTTTCCGTCGCCATTGAGAGTCGCGGCGCCCGCACGCTGCCGCTCATGCTCGATGCCATCTCCGCCGCCCGTGAAGACGACGGCAAGCGCGTGGCCGACTGCCTGAGGGAGTTTGCAACGGTCGTCGATGACGTCAATATCCTGCTGCAGCGCATGTACAAGCACTGCGACCCTCACGTCTTCTACCATCGAATCCGGCCACTGCTGGCCGGCAGCATGAACATGGGCGAAGCCGGTCTGCCGCGCGGCGTCCTGATGGACGAAGGAAATGGCAAGCAGGAGTGGAAGAAGTACCGCGGCGGCAGCAATGCCCAGAGCTCGCTCATTCAGTTCTTCGATATCGTCCTGGGCGTCGAGCACCGTCCCACCGGCGAGCCCCGCAGCGCACAGCCGCCGGCAGACGGCCCCACTGCGCGCCGGCGGTGGCATGGCTTCATGATGGAGATGCGCGACTACATGCCCGGCCCGCACAAGCGATTCCTCGAACACACCGCCAGCGTGGCCAATATCCGCGACTATGTCGAAGCCCACCAAAGCGACCAGGAGCTCACTACGGCCTTCAATACCGCCGTAGCCATGGTCAAGGCGCTCCGCACCACCCACATCACCATGGTCTCTCGCTACATCATCGTGAAATCGCGAGAACGCGGCAGCGGAAACCGGCCCCTCGCCGCCGGTGCTCCAGCCCTCAACCTTGCGACCGCGTCCACGGAAGGAAGAGGTTCCGGAAGCAAGAAACTCCGTGGCACTGGAGGCACCGCCCTTATCCCCTTCCTCAAGCAAGCTCGTGACGAAACCGGTGAAGCCGCCATCGGTTCGTGGGGAAAGCATATTCTCGACACTGCCCGACCCGAGGCCACCAAGGTCATCGAGCTGCCCAAGGTTGGAGAGACCGTCGAAGGCAGAGTGGAAATTCTCGGTCTTGCGGGGACCTGGTCGTTGGAAGAGAGCGAAGGGGGCCTGTGTCATTGGTAAATAACCAGTGGTCTCTGAACACTCACTCTCCTTCTCTTGCATTCCCGTACGCACCAAAAAGAATTCCACTGTTCCCTTACGACACTTAGAAACCTCATGCTATGATGACGTGTTACGACCCAGTTTCCCCTCCTCGTTTTGGGGTAACAACTCCTCCATCCTCTGTTCTAAAGAAAGTGCAGCAGCAATTCATCTCACTGCCTGCTGCCACCTGCTTCACAGCCATGCAATTGCCAGCGTTGCAATCATTCTTCAGCTCTCTACGCATACCTCTAATGTCAACACTTCGTCTCCTTTGCATCTCAGCATACCTACTTCAGAACCTTGTCCTTTGAGGGAGGATCTACAAGGCACCTCAAGGTGTCCTAGAGTGTGCTCTGGCGTGAAAAGCCTGAGCCCTTTATGACTGTCGCTTACGTGTGTACATACATACATACATACGTATATTTGCTGCACTCTTTGATATGTGATATTATGTTGTATTCTACGCCTGGAGGATAGATTTTCCAGACTAATGTATATATTTGTTTTGACGCTTAAATCAAAAATCTTTTGTATGTAGTCTGGTGGTATGTAATCCCTGAATTTTGAATCTTGATGCATAAAGCCTTGAAGAGTACGAAAACCTTGTTCTGTTGGAAAAAGACATGCTATCATGATGTCGTAAATATATACAAGACCTCATCTTTTTCCGCCGTTACTTCTGCTTCATTAAGTCTCGTCAACGCTTAAGCCCATGCCAACTCCTGCTTTCCTAATCAATGCCTTTTTCAAAAATGCTTCTCTCGCAAGACTCCTCGTGAGCTTCGCCCACGTGTCCAGAGCCACCCGACCTTTCACCAACCCCGTCTGTAGCGCATACATCGCCCGTTCAATCCCGCGTTCATCCGCCACGAGGTCATATATCTGCTTCCCCACAACCGTGGGCGGAACGACAATCTCATCGATCGCCGGAAAACCTGGCGGAGGCAGACTGGCGGACGATGGCGGTTCCGTTGAGGGGCCGGCCGGTGACGAAATACGAGCGCGGGCGTCGGCGATGACAGAATCCGCTCGCTGTAGGGATTGTTGGAGAATGGATGTATTTGATTGCAGGGAGGAATGAAGGGCGTTCAATGTGGTGATTTCAGTTTTCAGCGTCGCGATTGCTGCGTGCAGGGCTTGGGATTGGGAGTCGAGCGGTTGCAGTCCAGACTTGGTTTTATTGATGTTGTCGTGCAAGGATTGCGTGATGGTGCGGGAGAGTGTGTTCATGACAAAATCTTTTTCTGGGTTTGGTGGAATCGGCGGTGGTGCCGCTGCTTGGCTCTGAGATGGCAATTCCAGGTCGAAGGGTGAAGTGAGTAGGTCTTGTGTGGGGGGCTTCTTGCTGGGCAATCCACGTAGAAGAGGCTGTCCATGCTGCGCAGTGAACGTGGGCTGAGATGGAGGCCATTGTGGCTGGACAGCGACAGGTTGGGTATATGGAGGACGTCCATGATTCTGAGGCTTAGTGGGAGGGCCAGGTAGGGCTTGAGTGAGAGGGCTCACAGGGACGGAGTAGCCCTGTGGCTGATACGAGTTTTCATACCCTTGTTGGAGCTGGTTGGGAATTGGGCGAGAGTGTGGGTTCGCTTGATGTGCAGGATGAGTGATATTCTGACCATTTAATAAATTACTGGCAGGCGGTTGTACAGAAATTCGCCTGCTTTCGCCAAAGCCATCGGGGAGAGGAGGGAGAGGTGGCGGCACATTCTCATGGGCCGGTGATATATGTCTAGCTTGCGGGCCAGCGGCCTCGATTGGTTTCGGCGGCAATGGTGGAACGCTTTGTGATGGCGCCTGACTTGATTCTGGTCGAGCTTCCTGTCTCGCTAGCTGCGGAGGGAGTGGAGGAACAGCCGGTGGTACAGCATCAACCCGAACTGGTATGGGCCTTTCTATCCCCGCGTGCTTCGACGTTACTGGGGGATCTTTGGCAAATATAGTTCGTAGTACATGGAGGAAATCAACAACCGTGGATCTCTATAAAAAGCAACCCGTGAGCTTGGCCATACGGTAATCATAATCATCCACTCACATTTCTTGCCTCCATCCAATGCGCTAGATAATGATGGTATACCCGTCCTTCCCCACTGACGTGCTGGCCGGGCCGGACAAGCATGTCTGACGTAGGGGTAACATATACGATCGGAGGTTCTCTCGGATATGTATTCGGTACCCATATTGTTATTGGAAACTGGTATACTGCTCCACGAAATGTAACGGGAACCGTACCGGAGAGGTTAAGTAACAGCGCAGAAGCTCCATTTTCGTAGGCTATCACCCCGCAGTGGAATCAGTATTACTCTTCTTCGGAACAGGCAGATGCTATCTTACTGTACACATCAGTCTTCGGCGAAAAATTGGGGTATTGAGTTAAAAGCTGCACGACATCATGGTATGTCCTGGTCGGATCTTGGTAGGCCTGATTGTTGTAATTGCTCTGAGATGGGGAAAATGGTCAGTCATGGGTCGCGCAGCGACGGCGGGGAACGAGGAGTACGCACAGTTGACAGCACCCTGTATAGCCATTCTAGTATTTTCTGGGGCACTGGAGCCATGATTTGCGCTGCCGGCTCATCGGCCGGGCTTCTTCGAGCTGGCAGTCTGTATGGCCGGGATGATGGAGGCCACGGCTGCTTAGTCAGCCAGCTATTTGACGATGAGGTCATGGGGAAAGACATCAAAGTACTCGTTCCGTATATGAATATTACAATTTGTCCGGTATAAAAGCTAGATAGAAGCAAAAAGAGGACACATAAAAATTGCGCTGCAAATCTGAACATTAAACCACCCCCTCAAAATGCGAAGTTTTGATTTGCGGAAATGAAAAGAAACACGATCCCCAAGCCTGTCTTTCCCCAACGAGGTGCTAGATTTCCATTGTATTTATCGGGCTGTATCGCTACGAATGGTAAAATCGCGCTCCACATGGATCTCACCAGTCTCGAGCTCTGGGTACAGACGATCCAACTGATCTGCAGTAAGCTGACGTTTGGGAATATTCATCGCCATCGAACCCTGAGTTGTCGTTTTGGTTTTCTCAGAACCAGGTCCAAAGAGAGGGCGTGGTTCTGAGAAGCCTTGGATAGCATCAAAGCTGTTTTTCGTAGCTTGGGCCGCCCACATCGAGGAAAGAGGCAGAGAAAGCACGACAAGTGAAAGAACTAGGGGCGGCATTTCGGTCACCTCGACGAAGTATTGTAAAATGGACATAATGGCTAAATCTCCGTTAGAGAATTGCTGCAGAAAATAGCACAAATGTGGGAGGGGGCTTACCTGGTACGATCATTGTTTGGCAGGACATAATAAAAATCACTTGCATTGCCCCAAACCCAGTTAAATTCAACTTTCGACGCGTGTTGATGGCAGCTCCAAGCTTTGCAACAAAAATAGCACTGAAGTAGCAGATGCTGAAGGTTGTGAGGATGCTAGTTGTACTTTGGAGCCAGATATACCCTTCAAAGGTGTATAACCCCAGAATAGCTTTGCAATTCTCCACAGTCGCTACCAGCCGGAATCCGACCGTGATTAGCACAATACAGATGGAAACAGCCAGGAGAATGCGGCGATAGAGATCCCGAAATGTCGAGCACAGAACTTGAGTCTGAAAGAGAAGCGAGGCCTCGATGCAAATCAACAACACTGAATTGAGGACCGTGCCAATCAAGGAGTTGGCGTAGGCAGCAGTGGTAACTCGGGAGTAATCTTCTGCGAGAATAGCATAAACGTCCGAAAAGCCGGTTGTGTAGTAGATGCAAAGCGTTAGGATTCGGCCGACGTTAATAAGTAGTGCCCCTGTATTCATATAGAAAACCGGGGAGCGTCTCTTATCCGGCGGGGTCAGGAGCATTACAACAACCAGTAAGATAAGGGAGGCTCCAAGCTGCGAGCCATAGGCGATGGCTTGTCTGGTGTTGTCTTTGAAAAAGTAGTTGAGCTGCGATATCGGGCGGGCGAACTCGGTGCCATTGGCGAACAGAAGACGGATGTCCTGGGTAAAGGGGTCGAAGCTGGTGTCCATATTGCAGGTAAGGCCTCGGCGCGAATGAAGGATTTCCAAGCAATAGAATATGTAGTTTCTCTTTTAAGAGATCTTGGTTGAAAAAGGACCTTTTGTACAAGCAGCCTGGGGTATAAAAGAAAGACAGATCAACCGGAGGGCTGGACAGGCGACAGCATCTCCATAGACATGTATTGACCAAGCGAATCAATCGCAGGCCAGAAGGTCAGACAATGCCCGGGCACCAGCAGAGCCACTCAATATAAGGCGGCGGGAAGCACCTCGGGCAGGCCATATTCAGCGGCAGGGAGACAATCTGAGGCAGCGCGGCAGCGATCATTCTTCGCGGGAGGACAAACAAACACTCGTACATTAAAGAAGAAGGTCGTCGACAACACCGAAATAGACGGCGGGTTGTTTGTGCGCAGGGGACAAAAGCCACCATGCAGAGAACAATAGCAAGGCCGATCCATATTGATGCAGAGAACAATACTAAGCCGGGACGCCCCAACCCAAACCACCCGCGATTGTTGCGCGCGAGTAGCACGAGCAGCGACAGCAAGAAAGAGGCATTCACTGCGCGGTAGTTAGTTAACTAGCAGATGCACTGGAGGCGCTGGGCGCGAGTGCTCGAGATAGAGGCCAGCACAGCGCCGCGACCACGCGGCTATCGAGAGGCACCACGCAGCGCAAAGCGCCTGCGAGAGGCTTCACCCCACAGTCACCCAATCCGCAGGAAAAAGAAACGCCGTTGTTTGCTCTTGACAGCCTTCGAAGCGCCCGCCCTGAAGCAGGCGGAGAAAGCCTTCCCCAAGCGAGGGCCAGGGGTTCGCTGTGCCGTCCTCGACACCCCCACCACGAGTGCGCCAGGCGAATGGCCGCCCACCGAGATACACAAAGCCGCTCTAGACAAACCGCTTGGACGCGCTGATGCGGAGTATAGGTGTGCGTTCCCGCATCAGCACCTCAGCCTGGCATATGCGCAGATCAGCTGCGGGATCCAGAGCTCCATTCCGCGCGCCATTCCTCACAAAACAAGGTGAAAGCAGTGTAGATTGACTAGGGTAATATGCACAAGGCTTCTCAGCTCTCACTTACCTGCCAAATTCCTGCACTAACGCTCGTAATGCATGTCATACCTCTGAATATCTGGCCCGTGGATGGCCCAGCGCAGGCCATTGTTTGCCAAAGCGACACCATCCCCGGACCGAGAAGATTCAGACAGCCATTGAATCGGCCATATCAATGGGGCAGAGGCTTAGAACAATCTAGCCTGCTCGTTTAGAGAGCGTTGGGACTGGCAAACTCTCGCAAAGACATTTCGGGCGAGGGGAGCGTGTCGCCTCGTGGAGACCAAAGAGCGCATTTCTTAAGACAGGGGCTAGCAATTCTATCTCTTGCCACCATAATCAGGGAGCATCCGTGGGCACAAGCCTGTACGGAGGACTCCGTATACCTGTAGGATATTTGCACATATACCCACGGAACTAGCCAACCTCACGAGTCAATTGCAATTCCAGAGGGGCGGAAGACAGTACCATGGCTGTCGACCTCCGGCTTCAATCACACCTGGTGCCCCTATATAATCGAAGGCTTTGCATGTAGGATTATATTTATGGACGGAGGTTGCGGTTGCTTTGTCCGCTTGAGATGCCCGAAAATGATAACCGGCCCGGAATTTCAATTACCCGGCAATGATAGTTGGAAACCTTCCAGCACTGCCTGTTGAGAACAAAATTAATTACCCAGCCATTCAACGCATAAAAATCGCGATTGCTGGTAACCGCTTTAGCTTGCCTCTGTGTACTATCCAAGGGCAAAAGCAAAACCAACCTACGGACGGGTTGCGGGCGCGTTCCTTCTATCTCCATGACAGACACATTCACCCCACCTCCCCTCCCACCGCCCTTCACCTCGGACACAAATGCCCCAGTGCTTCTCGCCCAGGGCGCAGAAGCGCGCTTGTATAAAAGCCATTTTCTGAATCCCTCACTGCCGGCGGCATTGAAGTTCCGACCATCGAAACCATATCGTCATCCGATCCTAGATAGACGACTGACTCGACAACGCATACTTCAAGAAGCAAGATGCCTGGTTAAATTATTAAAGGAGGGCATACCCGTTCCGGCTGTCTATTCAGTGGATTGGAATGCCGACTCAGATGAAGCTGAAAATACGAATGGAGGTGCTTGGTTGATGATGGAGTGGATCGAAGGCCCTCCAATCAGACAAGCCATAAACAACTGGGAAAAATGGGTAAAGCAATGCGAGCGCTTTACAGGAGGGGAAGAAAAGACAATAATCGAAGATTTAGCTCGCGCAAAGCAGGAGATGTGCTCGTTACTAAGAAAAATTGGGCTTGTACTCGGTGATTTGCACAAAGCGGGAGTGATTCATGGAGATCTAACGACCAGTAACCTTATTTTAAGGTGTCAGGATGCGGAAGCTGTGACTTCTTCTTCTGACACTGGCAAACATACACTACCGAAATTAACCGGAGAAATTGTGCTCATTGATTTCGGCCTTGCTAGCCAAAGTGTCCAAGATGAAGACAGAGCTGTTGATCTTTATGTGCTCGAAAGAGCGTTTGGCAGCTCGCACCCAAAGACCGAAGAACTTTTTGATGAAGTCCTTCGAGGCTATCAGGAACGATTTAAGGGCTCAGCCTCTGTATTGGAAACCTTGAAAAAGGTCCGGATGAGAGGCCGGAAACGAAGCATGGTTGGATAGCTAGAAATGATTGCTGCAGAACATTGCGTATCTCATCCAACGGAGATAAAAGCTACTTGAGAGGAACAGTATTGGACATTTGCTCCGTTATGCTCTCTTAAACTGAACGTTGGCATCAATCTTCAAACCGCCTATCCTTGTCTCTAAGAAGATACGCGTATACAGCTTCCTACTTCAGCAAGGGCAAAGTAACCTTTGTTCTCAATTACACCCCGGTCTTTGACCACTGCTGTGTACTTGACTACCCACTGTGATTCAATATCTCCTTTGATTCCGACATCGTCGGTATCAGCAGCGAAGTTCAGAATACCCGCACCGTTCTCGCCACAAGATAGCAGCTCGCGTATTGTTCCCTTGGGAAGAATGTCTGTGCAATCATTATGCGTCAAAAGGCCAATTTTCTCTTCTTTGGCGTACAGTATCAGGTCCTTTGGCACGACGCAGCAGTCCTTGACGTTTATTTGATCAACAGAAGGCCGCACCTTGGTATGTGGAAGAAATTTTTCCAGTCGTTCTTTATCGAATTCAGCCAATCCAAGCTGCTTGATCATACCCTTGTCGTACAATGATTCTAATGTTCGCCAAGTTTGGATCATATTATCGAACTCCGATTCTGCGTCGCCAGTAACTACCTCTTCTTCCTCATCATCCGCATCAAATGATATTCCCGGAAAGGAAACGATGAGAAGATCTATGGAATTCACATGAAGCTCCTTGAGAACGAGGTCGATGGCTGAGAACGTATGCTCGCACCTCCTGGACGCCGGAACTCCGGGCAGATAAAACAATTTCACCGTGATATCATACTGCGAGCGATCCTCAGCAAGCCCGGATACCGCGAAGTCGATTGCCGGTACATACAGAGTGTCTCCATCCTGGCGCGTCCATGTTTTATAGTCGCTGTAGGAGAGTTTCTGAGGGGGTGAGTGGGCCTCCTGCTCATTTGTGTGAGAGGGCTCGATCTGCTGGGCTGCTACGAAGTTTGACCTCAGCGAGTTCAAGAGCTCGACATTGGATTTGGCAGACGATATGCGGCGCACCACCGACGGCCCGCCGCTGACGATGTTGCTACCATACCAGTACATGTTAGATTCAAAGAAGCAGGATGTGGGGTGCATGTCTCGTACGAGGTTGATAAAAGTAGTTTCATGCCGACGTAGCAATGAAGTCTTCACGGTCCAGGCCTTAAGCCGGCTGAGACCAGCTATTACTTCTCTCAAGAAAAATCCCGCTTGCTGTCTCCCCTCTCCTCTGCTGTCTGCGCATTTGTCAGATCGCGGGCGAGCTGCCCCGCGCGTAGCCCGTGCTTACCTAAGCAGCCGCAGGGGAACCGAAGTTTTGCTCGTCAGTGTTTGGACAGCGACAGTGCACTGCAACCCCCCGCTGCTCGAAAACACCGATCCCACCCCGTCCTACGCCCGTCAATTGTTGAATAGACATGGCAATTAAGTGAGACAGGCGTGCTGTTTTGAGATTGTGCAAGTTACTGATGCCTCCCGTTTCGCAGCTACCTGATTCTTCTGTCGCGGCAAGGCAAAGTGGTATGTTTGCTCGTCGCCCACCACACTCCTGGAATTTTCTTCTCGCACCAACTCGAATGATTCTGATTGTCATTTCAGCGCCTAGCAAAATGGTTCATCACTCTGTCACCTAAAGACAAGGCCAAAATCATCAAAGATGTTTCACAACTCGTCCTCTCCCGGCGCACTCGAATGTGTAACTTTCTTGAGTACAAAGGTACGCTGTCTACCCAAAGCTGGGTGGCTGGGGGCTGTTCTTGCTCTGCTTGACGGGCTCCTGACCGCTGCGACTTGGCTAATTGGCGCACCCTCAATCCAGATTCTAAGGTAGTCTACCGACGATACGCCTCCTTGTTTTTTATCGCCGGATGTTCGTCGACAGACAACGAGCTTATCACCCTTGAAATCGTCCATCGATATGTCGAACAAATGGACAAGTACTATGGCAATGTCTGCGAATTAGACATCATCTTCAATTTTCAAAAGGCGTATTTTATATTAGACGAGCTGCTGCTTGCTGGAGAATTGCAGGAAAGCAGCAAGAAGAATGTTCTGCGGTGCATCAGCCAGCAGGACAGTCTGGAAGATATGGAGGTAAGTTCCTTTTTCGAATAACGAAGTGCATTCCGCCATGACTACACCCGCCCCGGTCTTGGAGAGGCGACCGCTGTTGGCTGGAAACTTCGCGCTAATCTCCCTTCTTTTGTGCATTTTCAGACCGAGCAAGACATTGTGACGAAACTCATGTAGCGAATCCTCTTTGTGCTGATTTCTAGCGTTATCGAATCGTTCTTAGCCCGCAGCGCCCATTGCTCTGCAGATCTGCTAAACTGTGTATTTTGGAGTACTTGCTGGGTGCATCTTGCTGATTGCGTGAATTGGGTGAACAGGAAGCTGCTGCGATAGAGGCGAGATTAGAACATCTGGGAATATAGTGCTGCCTCCGTCCAAACAAATTCCTCCACCACCTGCACACGAAATCGGGATTCGAAGGCGATCTCACCCGGCCGTCCTACTATAGGGCGGCCGGCGCGTTGGCCAGGAGCAGCGGGTGGCGACACCCGTGTGTTCCGGCGACCACACCACAAGCTGGGGCGCTCTGGAAGCCCGGAATGGCGCGCGACTGCTGCGTAGTCTTCCCGAGCGGGCGTTGCGCTGTCTGGCTTCCGCCGAGTCCCGTGAAGCATCCGGGTGATGTCACTGGCCAGCGCGCACGCCGGCCACGTGACGCCCGATTGCGCTTGAATCCAGCGGCCGCCGGCGACTTCGCTCTCCATCTCTCCCTCCGCCGCCTCATCGCTCCTTCATCCCCGCCATGACCCCAGATCTCGCTTTCTCCTGCTAGACGGGCTCGTCTGGTAGAATCGATCCGTCAGCGTCGTCCCTGCAGCCAGCCTGGACTACCCTTATCGCCGCTCGGTTTACTTGGCAGGACAACTCCCATCACCACAACCACAATTGTTTCACCCGGGCACCCCTTGGTGTTTGCGATCTCACGCTCCATTCTTTCCTAACGTCATCCTCGACTCTCTCGAGAAGCATACGCGCCAGGCATCGATTCCTTTCCCAAGTCCGATCGACGATTACCTCGGTTCTCCCCATACGCCGGAGTTACGAAGATTCACGCAAGTCAATGATCACTAGGAATCGTCATTGGATACCACGTACCCATAAGAATGAAGGTTTGTTAATTCGGATCAAGTCACCAAAGAACCTGCGATAGCTTACAGACGCCCTACATAATCAGTTCCTACCTTTAAGCGAGTTCGAAGACGTGACGAACGCGCTCAATTTTGATACTCCTGATTGTCACGTTGTTGGAGGATGCGATCTTTACACGACAAAGGCCGCCGGCGGCGATAAGAAGTTGTATAAAAACATCGAGAACTCTTTGGAGTCGCAATACGAATCACTTCTTCGACTTTCGGCCTCACTTTCACCTCCCCACGCATCGAGCGCTGCCGCGTCGCTAAACTTGTCGCGTTCGAGCCCGTTTGGCCCGCTTAGTGAGCACTCAAGCCGGCGAACCTTTGCGTACCTCATCGCTACTCTAAACGCGAGCCATCCCGATTATGATTTCTCCCACTTATTACGGCCCTCAGATTTCCGTCGCGAGAAGAGCTTGAAAAAGGTCATGAACTCGATTGATGCTACTTTATTCAATCTTCGCCCGCAAATGGCAAAAGATGTTACGCCGCCTACGCCCTTAACCAGTTCCCCACGCGCCCCCACGAGCGCGCATTCCTGGGGACCCAGAATGTGGAAAGTAATTGATGAGCAAATGTCCTTACAGGAATGTGGCATCTATTGTTACTGTCCCGAAGACGACCCTTACGATGGCGACGACGCGTCGATATGGAGTTTGAATTACTTCTTTTTCAACAAAACACGGAAACGCGTCTGTTATATTTACCTTCGCGGAATTAGCGTTCTCAGTCGTCTAGCAGATGGAACTGCAACGCCCATCACAACTAAAAGAAACGTCGATGATGGATACCTAACCCCAGATTTAGGCGCGCGAAAACGTGCCAGATATTGGTTGGGCGATCGAGCGCTTCCCGAGGCTGAAGCTCTAAGTAGCGACGACGATGACGAGGAAGTCGAGATATCATCCAGCCCCTCTCGGCCTCTTGTAGACGAGAACGGAGAGTATACTCTGAGTGATGAAGAAGAGCGCTCAAGGTCGGGCAGCAAAGCCACCGTTGTTAGAACAATGAGCGAAGAGGTGGCCGATTCCATGGAGTTTTGATCTTATCGGAGGCGCAAGAAGTCTTATTATTATCACGATTGTAGTTCAACTTCAACGGTGGACCACTGATTACCGGTTTTTGACCTTCCTCCCTTGTGTTAACCGTGCCAGTTTTTTTCATTACAGTGAAGAAGCGAGGGTGGTTCTTCTGATACACTACACGAACTACAGTGTCTTGCATCTTTATTATTGACTATAACGAGTCCTTTTTTTCATATACGTATTGTTTCCTGCTATATTTTCCTTCATAGGGGCAATTTTTTTCAAGTCGGGATGAGCGGGAGGCGTTGTTGCTCAGTAACTAATTCCGGGGTGACGGACGATCTTGAGTATGGAAATTCATAATTTTTGCTATTCTTCACGTATCGCCTGAATTCCTATGCCACACCTCTCCCTTGCTCGTCATTGCGTCCTTTCGACTTCAATCGAGAGCATCAGATGACGTAAGCGGGCTTGTCGAGGACGTCGAGCTTCGATCCCAGCGATTCCACAGTAAACACAGCAGCGTAATATCTTCCCGTGATCTGTGCAATTAGATTGAATAATGGCAGATAACGAGGATGCTGCGAAAGCCGAAAAGCTTGCAGCAGCTAAAAAAAGGGTATCAAGACCCCCACCCCTTGATGACACCGTACACCATCGTCATGCTCCCTAACAGCTGCGTTGCTAACGATTCTCACCAACTTATAGGTCGCACAACTGCAGAAGCAGAAAGCCAAAAAAGCAGCAAAGAAGGAGAAACCATCTGGAGAGTCGAGTAAGGGCTTACCTGTCCCAGACGCCGCCAGCACATCAGAAAAACCGGATGATGCGCCCCAGGATGTTTCAAATCTAGAGGTAGAGTCAGAAGCGAAAACAAAGACACCGGACAAATTGGATGACGCGGCTCCGGAGACTTTTCCGGATGCTTCTCCAGGGGATGCTGCTGAAAGTGGAGAGCGTCCCGGCGAAGATGAAGTTTCTGCGTCGGAATCTCGCCAACGTCGCCAGCCGTCCCTCTCAATTCAGTCCAAAATTCGGTCATCATCATTCCGAGATGCGTCTATTTCGCAAACAGGCCTGACACCCACTGGATCTGCAATAAAATCACCACCCTTACCTCCACTGAGCCCTGGTGGTAACACTGCACCGGAGCTATTCAGAAAACAGGCTCTAAAACTGGAAGAGCTAGAGAAGGAAAATAAACGGCTGGAAAAGGAGCTAGCCACAGCGACTGCAAAATGGAGGAAGTCGGAAGAGCAATTGGATGATTTACGGGAAACGAATAGCGAGACGGTGGAATTAAAAGACAAACTGACGGCAGCGGAGAAAAAGGCTGAGGAGATCGACCAGCTGGCAAGTCTATACCCATTCTCTTTTTGTGTGATGAGTGCTAATACCTGGCAGAAAGCTGAGATTTCGGCCTTACAACGTCAAAATTCCCATCTCCACACGAAATCGCAAAGGTCATCGAGTAATGCTGCCACCTCAGCCGATGCTGATTCGTCTCTCTCTGCGCTACAAGAACAGCTAGATTCTAAATCTTCTACAATTGAAGCTATGGAATTAGAAATATCGAACTTGCGTGGCCAATTGTCATCACAAGCTGAAAACACATCTGAATCCGAAAAACAAATATCGACCTTAAAACACGACTTAGATTTATCCAAAGCTGCTCTTAGAAAGGAGCAGCAGGAACATACATCCACGAGAAATTCAATGAACAGAATGATCGAAAAGACCATGAATGAGGGCGTTACTCAGGCTTCAACCCAAACACTTATCAACAACTTGAAAGCCGAACTGGAGCTGACGAGCAATGCAAAGACAGAGGTGGAAAAAAAGACGTCCTCTCTAGAAAAGAAACTTGACGCTCTCGGCAATCTCCATAAAGAGTCGGAAATCCGACATCAAAGCCGGCTGAGGGAGCGAGACAAGTTCGAAAAAGACGTCCTAGCATTAAGAAGAAGGCTCGTAATTTTCGAAAATGAAAATTTACGACTGAAGGAAGAACGCGACAGGGTTCAAAAGCGCTATGTGGCAAATACAGGTGATGATGAAACCCTTGATGAGCTTGAAGATGAAGAGCGGACCCGCTTAGAGCGAACTATTCGAGATCTTGAAGGAGAAGTTTTTGATCTTCGACGTGGTATTTGGAAAGAAAGGAAACGTGAGCTTGCTGCAGGTGGCCAACCAAGTAGCACAGATGCTACTGACGCCCTATCTAACCCTGGGAGTACCTTTGACGACGTAGATCTGGTCGGCGGTCTTCCTGGTAGCTCCGATCATTCGCGTCGCCGAAGTGCTGCTTTCCAGAAGCCTCGCCAACACTCCTCATTTGCCACTGTTCTCTCCAGCGGGATTGCTGCCTTTACCGGGAGTGGCACAACACATCCCCACCACTCTTCATCTAGTGGAGCCCACAATAGCCTTGATTTCCTTTCTGAGAAAGAGACTGATTTCTTAGACGATGATGACATGTTTGACGAAAACGCTTTTGCTAGAGCACAGGCAGAAGAAGAGCAGAGGAAGCGGGCCGAATGGGAACGAGACGTAAAACGCAAAGTTAAGGAATGGAAAGGATGGAGATTAGACTTGGTCGAGTGTCGCTATGGCGCTCATGGTGCCGGCCTAGGTTTTGGGGAGGTTTTCGATATTTAAGCTAGAATGGCAAAAGCCTGGTTGTATGAATGTAGCTTCTTTAGGGATTGTATCGAATAAATTTAGCATCTAGCTACTCTGTGCACTTCGGCTGATTACTTGAATGTTCGTGGATGAAGAGATGTTGGGGTATATAGTCATACACATCAGAAGCTACCTGGTACGCCAAACTCGCTAAAATACATAGCGGAAGAAGGGCCCTGAGAATTCGAAATATCCAAAAAAAGACGCCAGCCAACTCGACCTCTACTCCTCAGCCTCATGGTTTCCCAACATCCCCAAGTTTGCACCTCTTCGCTTCTTCCCCCATACCTCAACAGCCCACGAAGTAAGCTGGAACATCCAACCGCCTGCAACTAGGACACCTGAGACTACATTAACCAATCTAACGAGTAAAGCGAGGAAGCTTCCGCGTTCTTCGCTTATTACTAGCAAGATAGGTTCGATATCAAACTTGAAAAAGATGCCTGGTACCGAATGCATGGTTTTCGGTAAAAGGCGGGACTGAGACGTGACGGCATACTGATTCGTGAATATTGTATTTCTGCGTTGACTGGGGGTTATGGTGGAAGGGTCTGGGAGCCGTTGACTATAGGGGTCCACAGTGCCAGCGCGCGTATATATTGTGGGTACGACGGACATATAGTATTGATATCTGTAGAAATTGTCTTCCGTAGAAGCCATAGTCTTGTCGAGAGGATTCATCAACGTCGAGTAGTGGGGGCCAAATGAAAGCTCTGTGATTAAGTGAGTGAAATTAAGCTCTGGTAGAGTTAGCAGAAGCCCATGATGGCGAAGGGTTAGAAACGTACGGTGGAGTTCAACGCCTCCTTGTATGTCAAAGTAGCCAAATCCCCTAGCTGTGATATGGAAATTACCCTGCACCTTGTTTCCCTCTAGACTGCCATATAGGCGACAAGAATCCACAGTATCATGGCTTCTTATCTTAGGGCCCTTAGAAAACTGTCGCTTCCGGCTGCGCCTGACCTCCCCTAATACATGGCCGACATGTTGGTCCTCTTCCTGCTCCGATAATCGCGCATTATCCTCTGCAGATAACGTCTGGTATTGTCGAGATCCGCCCCGGCCGGCGAAGTTCAATTCTCGATTCCAAACGTCCCAGCTAGTAGGTTCTTTATGTAGGAGCTGCCCTGCAAATATCATGTCACCTGCCGCATCCTGCATATCCACACGTATCGCATCGCAAGGCATCCGGACTACAGCATCGAGATTCATCTGAATCTCGTGCGAGACCCCCTTCTCAACACTGAAGTGTTGGTTTTCAGTGCCTCTGTACCAGGTAACAAGCTCCGAGCATACAAGGGCGCCGCAAAAAATGACTATCAGGACGGTCCATTGGCCACCGCGCCGAGTGGCTGTTGTATATGTCGGCTTCGTTTTGGCTAGATAAGAGTCGTCAGCCCTGGCCTGACAGCCCGCGACGGTCGCTTAAACACTGTCACGACTTCACATGGGTTCTTAACAGCATGAATTGGACGACTTACGAAACGCATCGAATGTTCTTAGCCCCGCTGCAAGGCCCTGCTTGTCCCGGAAGGCATCCTCATCGAGGCCATGGTCGCCGAAGCTCTTCATTGGGCGGGAGTGCGGCCAGTGAGACTGTAGTCAAGTCAATGGCAAGGCGTCAGGAGCATATGGCAACAAAAGCCAGCATTCCAGCCCTCCTCTTCAGCAGCCAGACACCAGAGCTTCGGCCCGTCAGCCCTGCGTTCGCGTGTGGAGGTGAACTAACTTGAGGCCACATCTGCGCGCAGTCGCCGGCTTACTAAGCAGCCCCTTATCGCCGGATGCTAGAGCAAGAAAGGAGAAGGCGGCTGTCTCTTTAGCTGTAAATATTTGTCTGGGTTGACCATCGTGTTGTTGGTAGAGTATTAAATTAAATATTCTAATACTTAGAAATATACACAAGAAAACTGCTCTAAAAAAATACGGGAGGCGTCCACCGGCCAGATACAAAGGAGAATAGTGTATAAACAATGTATGTAAATAGGCCCATGAAGGCAGTTGGCCTTGGGAACAAGGGAAGAATTAAAAATAAATAAAATGAAATAAAGTGGGAAGCACGGCAAGCCATGCTAGATTTGCATCATATAATAAAAAGCATGGACACAATAAACAGGGGCGCAGGGGATATCAACGGAGACAAAACATCTTCTAAATTTTCATTTGAAGTTGACTGCAAAAACGAGCCAACCGTACAGCATCATAACAAGACCCAAACCATTCAAATGCAGACATGAAAGCTTTATCGCCAGAATAGACGTTGGCTGGATGCACTGACATAACAAAACCAATGATTAATAAGGAGAGATGGCCAAAACGAAGAAGACAGGAATGAATCTTTTGCACACAAAACATCTCCGTCAAACAAAACTCAGGTCAAACAGGGGTATCCTCTTAATCTTGGAGTTCTACATCCGTGGTTGTGACAGTATGAAGACATCCTTCAGTGCTCACCCACCGCTCACCAAGCTGGATGCGGCGGCCGCAGCCGCCAGGTCTGGCTTCCCGCTCGTGTTTCTCCCCGTAACTCTTGGGAGAGCTGAACCGGAGGCAGATGGTGGTGCATTAGACGCTCGCTTTGTTGTCGCTGTCGATGTGATATTCTGAGCGGTTTGCCGTTTGGCCAGACCAGTTCTGACAGGTGAGTTACTCGACGCCTCACGGGTCCTCACAAATCCCTGTTTCGATGGAGGTTCAGGGAGAGGACGTACACCAGGTGTTGTTCCAGATGTATGCCGTTTCCCCAGTGAATGGCTCATAGACGTCAAGTGGGACCTCGATCGAGGGTTGAACTTCATACCAGTGACAAATTCATGATTCATGGCATCGTGGGGGCTGAGACGCCGTGCAGGGTCCCAGCGGAGACAACGCGCAAGAAAGTCCAAGAATGCCGCATCGTCACATTTTAACACATGCCGAAGGTTTTTGGAACTCGGCTTCCGGCGTCGCCCTTTGGACGAAACAACGTCGCGAGGCTTGCCCGTAGAGTCAAAAAAGAGTTTCCGCCGGGTACTCTTTTCAATAACATGCTTTTCGGGGGGGCCAAATACTTCCATGATACAAGCCAACTGCTCCTGTTCATTCTCTCCAGGGAAGAGGGGATAGCCTGTAAAAAGCTCCGCCAGAATGCATCCTAAACTCCACATATCTATGGGCATCCCGTAAGACATTCCTAAAATAACCTCAGGAGAGCGATAGAAACGACTTTGAATGTAGGTGTACACTTTCTCATTTTCAAAGCAACTAGAGCCAAAATCAATGACCCTAATTCCACTTTGAAGAGGATTAACGAGTAAGATATTCTCGGGTTTCAAATCGCAATGGACAACCCGTTTTGTATGGAGTAGCACGAGGGTGCTTAAGATCTGTTTTGTAAAGCGCCGTATTAATTTAAGGGAGAAGCCGCGGAAATCATGAGCCTTAATAAACTCGTACAAGTTGATGCCTAGAAGTTCAGTGGATATGCATAAATGGCCGCGAAAATAGAAGCTTTGCACAAAATCAACTACACTATGACGACGATTGGGATCCTGTATCTGCATATTAGCAACTATAATTCAGGGCATAGACGTATCTAGCTTACCCATTCTTTGAGCTTCTGAAGAATATTAACCTCCACAAGAGCTTGCTGGTGGAACCTCTTTTTGTTCCGGATAATCTTGACGGCAACAAGTGTACCAGTTTTATGGTCCACGCATCTCACGACTTGACCAAAACTTCCCTTCCCGAGGACATCCACAATCTCATACCGATAAGCAAGATGATCGCCAATGACAATGTTATAATCGCCTCGATCGTCATCGTAACCGAAATTCGCGGTGGAAGCGTTGAGATCCCCAACAAGTTTCTTGGCCTTATGGGTACCGCAAAAATAAATATCTTTGAAGTCGATAATCTCCCCTCTTTCAAATATATTTAAATTGGCGACCTTTAGGGCTTGGGAAGAAGATGCTCGCTCCTTAGGGCTAGCTCGCCGACGAAGATCTTCCAATGCCTTTGCTGCGACCTCGAAATCCTTACATTTACTGCCTAGCTTTCGCATCTCCTCTTCAGCAGCCATATCGTCTCGGTCAATATTTGGATCCTGAACTCGAGACTTATAAGTCGGCGAGGATTTGGCACTACTGAGAAGCTTGTGCACTGGAGACAAGATTGACGAGCTAGAACGGTTTGTTGAAACTTCCGCATCACCCGAGTCAGCTGATAAGTTCGGATCTACAGGGGCGCTTTGGTCGCTACTAATGCTCTGATGTCTTCGAGGTGAAGGCAAAGTAACCAAATTGCATATAGAAGTACTCCGTTTAGACCGGAGTGGTGATTGTTTCGTCGTAGGGCTTACTCGAGGACCAGAAATTCCACTCCAAGTCGCAGATGCTGGTAGCTTTGGCGGCGGCATGCCGTCAACTTTGACAGGGTCTCTAGCAGACTCAGAGATGGGCTGTGTTTTCGAACTAACTCGATCGTCATGCCTCTGGGGGGAGGGAGGGGGGAAGCTGATATCCGTTTCTGCACCATCCGGGGTAAGACCGAAATTAAACATATCTACATTGGACAAGCTTGAGATCTGAGTCTGTGGTCGTGAAGCTGCAAGTTTACCGCTGACTCCCCGCGAATAGGTATCGGATGCTTGATTTCGCATGAAGGCAATGTCCTCGCGGCCTCGAGGAAGAGACGATGAAATGTACGGAGAAATATTCCTGGTATGTGGCAGCTCGAGCGTATCGAAAGCACTAGAGCTATTCTCAACCCGAAATTTTGAAAAGTCGGTTCTGAGAGAAAAATGCGAAGTGTTGCTACGAGTCTGGTCTGCTGCAGGAAAGGCATGAAAGAAGTTGGCCTTTGAAGCTGTCAATGGCGTGCTAGGAGTTTTCACATTGGCCGGGCGCTGTGGAGTAGCAGAAGCTTGTGGCAAACTGTCTTGAGAAGCCTTCTCGCAGAGGGCGTCAATTTTAGTATTAATTGGGGCGCTCAAAGGAAGAAGGTTAAGAGGTGGCAGTTTCAATGGCTGAAGGTTCTTTTTGCTGAGATTGACGGGAGGCCTTGCCTTTACCTCCTTAATCGGGGTTTCATCATTTGTTCGTTTGGCAACAAAAATTTCATTACTGGAAGGAGTTGGTTCATTTTCTAGGTTCACTTTGGGTGTTTCCGCGAAATTTGGAGCATCCAGCGGTAAGCTTGACTTTCGAGGCGTAAAAGAGAGATTTTGTTCATTCTTTGGTGATTCATATGCCTTTGGAATGGCAGGAACAGGTGGTACATCGTCCTCTCCATTCCTATTATTTTCCAGGCGCGGTTTCGGAGTGGGTAACCGGGAGGAAGAAACGTTCTGAGACAGCCTTGCTTGCAGAGAACCATTCGAGTTTCTTGCAGAATTATAGCTGGTATTTGACGATAAAGAAATACCCGAGCTGTACGACTTGCGGTGGGGATCTGGTGTCGTTCTGTTTGAAGAGGGCGTCACACTCTTTCGCGGGATTGCTGATGGTGACTGAACAGAGGACCGCGGTCGAGGAAAACCCAATTCCAAGTGTGTAGGAGAATTTCCTGGCAACGGAGGTGGGTGTGGGATAAGAGACATCCTTTTCATACGTCGAGCATCAGTGGGACTTATGGTTCGCGCACCCAGTCCAGTCGCGTGTGGTGGCATTATGGAAGTTCTCTTAGATGACGAGGGAGTAGATGTCTTTCCAGCGGTGCACTTAACTGGCGTGCGCAGTACATTTCCCGGGGCAGAGGTAGAATGGTCAACCATAGTCGATGTGGTGCCTAGATTATCGCGCAACGCACGACTTGGCGGTTGCAGGGATCTCGCTTTTTGACTGCGGATGGCAGCTTGAGCATGGGATAAACTTGTGGAGCTCAAATTTTGAGCATCAGTGTTCATCAATGGATGACTTTGGTCTGTTGTTTTTTTTCTAGAGAAGCTTGGCTTTCGCACCGGAGGAATGGAACGGTCGCTCACGTCCGAAATCAGGCTGCCTGGCCCAATTGATTTTCGAGGGCGTCGAGGAGTGGTCACGTTGGTGGGTACAGGAGGGGCGTAACTCTGACGTCGAGCGCGACCGGCCGGCAGGGCGGACGATGTAGAGGGCTTTGAAGTAGCGACAGCAGCGTTGGAGCGCGTAGCGTTACTTAGGCGGCGGGCCGAACCGGCAGAGCGAGGTTCTTTGGCGCTCTGCGTTGCAGTAGTCATTGTCCAGCGGTTTGAGGAGGCTGGGGCCTTTGCTTCATAGCCAGCACCACCATGTCCAGGCAAAGGAAAATGACTCAGGCTGGGTTCTTTGGACGAAATACTGTTGTGGAAATCATCGAAGCTAATGGGAGCTAGGAACTCGCCGTTTTCGGAAGCGGTTTCGTTTTCGTCCTTGGCCGTAGAACTACTTGTTGTCGACTGGGTCCGCGACGGTGAATCCGCGGAGTCGATCGATAGGTTGCTAGAGTGGAGTCGCGCAGTAAATGTAGTTGACACAGTACTAGGTCAAAGAACAGTTAGATTCTGTCTGGGAAGAGCCGTAGAGTTTAGAGGAGCGGTACCGTCGCGAGGAATTGGCATCCCGGGAGCCAAAGGTCGAAGATCGCTCGAGAATTGACCTCCTCCGCCTGGACGCGGGTGAATTGTCGAGGTGGGCGTCGTACGGGTGCGATCTAGGGATGGCCGCGCTGGCCGAATTTTTCTGCAGGGTCTTCCGTAGGGGCACTTCGGCTGCAGGGGAAAATGTAACTACTGGTTAGCGAGTTTGTCCACGGCTGGCCACAACCAAAAGACAGGGCTGGAAACGCGGTTATTGACCCATACCTCCCGAGCTAGAGCTGTCGTTCTGGTCGGACAGCGACATCCGAGATTGCGAGGCCTTGAGGGGTCTCTGCGAGGTAGTTTTGGTCAACATGGCCGGGATTCCAACGATATTAGCATTAGCAGCTAGAATGGCGTAGCGACAGTCGAACGGGATGAAAGAGGGCCAGTGCCAGGCTCTACGGCTCAGAGATCAGAGGGGATGCAAGCCAGGCGGGCTGACGATTCAGCGAAGCAGCAGGACGGCGTGTTTGCGGCAGGTCGAAAGAACGTGACCTGGCGGGATCCGTTACCAGTCCATGACAACGAGCACGGAGGTGGTCGGGTAGCCTGCGATGAAGGAAGTGGGGATGGGAGCGAGCAGCAAGCCCGCAATGCCGTGCTCTCACGGACCAGGCCGGGCAGAGGGAGCGGGCAGGGCAGCTGGGACGGGCGAGGATTGTTGAGAAATTGGGAAAAGGGAGGTTGCAGCCGTCAACGGGAGTTCGTTAGTGAGCGGAGCTAGTTAGTTCACTAACGCGAGTTGACGGCTGACTAAGCCTGGAGGATGCGTTCGCTCGTTTCACCGCTGCCCGCGCCGAGGATGCGCTTCGTCCGGCGGGAAGCAGAGCGGCGCAGCCTGCGCGGTGCCTCGTTGAGGGCGGGCTACGAGACGCTACGCCGTCCGCCGTCCATTGCACGCTCTTGTTGTTCTTGTTGTCGTTTCCTGCAGCAGGTGCCCTTACCACTCCGCAGCAGCCCTGTGCGTGCCAATTCGCGCGTACGTACGTAGAGAGTTAGCGACAACATCCATCGTGCTCTACACGGTGCTCACTTGCCCACTACCCCCGCACACCCACGGCCGTGCACCGCGTTCGCGAGGCCGGTGTTCCGTGATGATCGCCACGACTATTCCTTCAGCGCTCTGGTATCAAAACGGCACTGCACGTGACACCTTAGTTATGACACGGCCGGATCAACAATCGTCCGTCCATCACATGCCCGACGTGGTCATCGCCGCTGCTTCGGCCAACTCACGATGGACAACGACCACGACTCTGTTGTCGGCCGGACAAGCTCCTCACGGCTCGCAGCATAGCAGAGGAGATGGTGTCTTCGGCTGGACTACCATCCGCGTACGCGAAGGGCCGCTTGGTGGCCTCGACGTCCACCCAGCGCGACGAGTCTCCTAGTCGCATCCTGTATTTGCAGGACCGCCTATTCTCTCGGTAAGACACTGGCAATCAGTGGCGTCTACAACACCGAGCTAATATCCCTAGTCTTTTGCAGCAAATAGTACCGGTCGATGATGAAGATGTGGGTGAGCTATGTGCGGCCGAGCGCCCTGCGCGCCCGCCCTTTAGCCTTCCAACGATGACCAACAACTTCAGAAGATTCAATGCGAGGTACGCGACCTTACTTTCTATGAAGTCAACTGGTGATATCTAATAAACCCGTAGAATAGGGATTGTGTTTCATTTCCAAAATCGAGTCGTCAAGCTTCTCACCTGGACGAAACCAACTGAAACCTGGTCGTTCCTCTTTGTATACTCCTTTACCTGCCTGGATCCGTACTTATTGGTCATCCTGCCTTTGGTCATGGTTCTCTTTGCTATCATGATCCCGGCCTTCTTAACCCGGCATCCGCCGCCGCCGCCAAATACCGTGACGTCCAGCACCACCCCCTATTACTCCTACGAAGGACCCGCTTTAGCCCCACCTAAAACAATCAGACCCGTGCCTGAGACCTCCAAGGACTTCTTTCATAACCTAAGAGATTTGCAGAACTCTATGGCCGACTTTTCTACTCTTCATGATGCCACTGTTGCCGTCGTATCTCCCGCAACTAACTTCTCTGACGAAGCATTTTCTTCCTTGTTATTTCTTTTGTTTACCCTCCTCACGGTATCTCTTTTCCTAACCGCCCATCTACTACCATGGCGTTTGATATTTCTTATTGGCGGCAATACTGCCATTTTATCAGCTCATCCCCGTGCCGCCACCATCTTAAAAATATTCCAGGCTGATTATGAGGAGACCATACATCGTCGAGATTTCAGAATCTGGGGATTGCGGATACCCTTAAACCCGTCCGGGGTACGGGAGTTACTAGAAACCACATTGACCGTGTCTCTTGATTCTGACCCGGAAGAACGGGAAGTGGAGATATTTGAGTTACAGCATAGGACACTTTCCCCATTCTCGGGAACTTCTGCCTGGGAACCGTTCTTATTTATAGCAACTCCTTATGATCCTCTTTCTCCCTCCAGAATTGCAGGCGACCGGCCGAAAGGAACGAGGTTTTTTGAGGATGTCCGTCCTCCTCATGGCTGGGTTTGGAAGGGCAAAAAATGGGAACTCGACTTGGAATGCAGAGAATGGGTGCTGGAGCGCATGGTCACAGGAGTCGAGTTTGAGGTTCCCAGCAGCAACGGAGATGGGATTGGCGAAGAAGTCGGCGGTTGGGTCTGGGATTTGCCCTTTCAGTCCCCTGACCCTTTGTCTGATGAGGCGGACTCGACGTATGATGAGCTGTCTGGCCTTTCGCCTAGTCAGCACCTATTATCCGAGGGTGGCAGCCAAAATGTGAATGGGTCTTCGAAGCCTGAATGGGAAGAAGCTTTCAAAAATGCCGATAGGACTGGAGAATGGAGAAGACGAAGGTGGGTTCGAATTGTCCAGCGAAATAAGCTTGATGAATATAGTTCGAACACTAGTTGATTAGCAGCGGTTTCCGCTTGATTGACGCATGCAGTGATCGTCTCTTCAAGCGGTGACTACTATCTACTCTGCTGCTGATTCCCAGGAACGATAATATTGCATTGTTACCAAGCTGCAATAACTACCCTACGCTATCTCGGATGATCGCTGGTACATTGTCCTTTCAAACAAAGAGATCATCTTTTTTGTTTGCGGGTCACCATTCATCATCACCTGTCCACCATAAACGCCGCAAAGACCAGCTTCAGGATCGATAAACTTGGCCAAGAAGTTTCAAGTCAGCAAATAATGCCACATGAACCTATGGGATAAAGATGCTCCCTTACCCAAAATAAGTTTGGCAGCCCACTCCATACCATAGTACCTTGCCGCCGTCCCCACTCAACATTATCAAGGCTTAGAGCACCTCCAAATCCCCAATCGTACCGGACCGTGTCGGGGAGATCTGCAATATACAACCGGGCCATTTCTGATGAGCTAAACACTTTCTGAAGAGCCATTTGGCTCTCCTGAGAAAGCTGTGGTTTGAACATCAAGGCTACGGTTTCCTTCTGCAACAACTTCTCGTCGTTTGTCAAGATACTTGTTAGTACTTTCAAGTAGGAAGGGATGGAGGTAAAAGCTCCATGGCCCCCTAGTTCTTCGGTTGCTTCACCTAAAACTGGGGGCCCACTGTAAGGAACAACTTTACCCTGGTATTCCGGGGCCGTTGGGTCACGAATTGTCATGCCTACCAACCGGTCTTTGAGCAAATCATTCTGCTCTAAGAAGAACGTTGCATCCTCAATACCCAAAGGCCCCCAGATATTGCATTTCATATATTCTTCGAGGCTTGTTTTGGTCAGGCGCGTTATAAGCAGGCCCACCCAGTCTAGACTTGGCGAGTAATGCCATCCTGTCCCTGGCTCAAACAATAACGGAGCACTGAACCGTGATATCACAGTACTACCCTTCTGAAAGGCTGTTCGACCGGTGGCCTCATTGTATATTTGATTTAATGGGCTTAGGATATCATATACGAGACCGGCTGAATGAGTGAGAAGATGACTGTAGTCGCTTTATTAGTTGAATGTGAAATAAAATATGCCTTTCAAGCAAAATGGCACAGGCAGACCGCAAAGTAATCGCATTCTGCCTTTTTTTCAGAATAGGCTTCTTGTCCTGGTCGATACCTTTTAGGACCTCTAGAGCTGCCAACTCTGGCAACACATCGGCAACGTCATCACTAAGCCCAATGAGGCCGCGCTCCACGCACTGCAAGGCGGCGATAGTCGTCATGAGCTTCGTCAGGGAAGCGATAGACATGATATCGTCGTCTTTAATAGGCTGCGCGGGATCTTGGTCAAGGGCCTTGAGACCGAATGATCTGATGTACGCGAAACTGCCTGTAGTGCGTAAGTGATGGATACTTCACGACCACTACTTCTACATACCATCTTTATTTGAAGCCGCGATCACGGCGTGGGGTATCTTGCCGCTTATACAGGCTTCTTCAAAAGACTGTTCGAGAGATGCCATGTTAATGTGTTTTGTAAGGAAGAAGTGAACGTTTGGGTGCTTTTTGTTTCCTCGGCAAGTAGAGATCCAGTGTATGTATTTAGAGAGGGGCAACAATCAAGTGGCAATTTGGTGCGGTCTTTTATACGACTGACATATAAATATCCTAGAAATGGCATACGTATACGTTTTATGGCATGGTAGGGGCATATGTACCTCGTATATGTTCAGTAGAATAGGCAGACACGATATTGGGTTTCGGCACCCTTCCCTCAGAGTAAGTTAGTCGACTGTCAGACCGAACGGTGAGGGGTAACTGCATCTTAGATGCATATCAGGGATCTGATCGTCCTACAAACCAGCTGTGTGCAGGCCATATTCCAACCTTATGTGCTACTGGGGGGGGAAGGCGGGGTGTCTGTAGGGGTGTGGCCCGCAGGGCATGGCGCATTCAGGCTCTATCTAGGAACAGCCGAGCAAGCCGACTTTTACGAACATGTTTGAATAGTTTGTCAGCCCGACCAGCTCAAGCTAAAAAAGGGCTTTTGCTCGCTTTGCTCTCGGAACGGTGGCGCCCATTCCAGGTACCTTTGGAGAATCCACACACAAAAGCACCACAGTGTATATATGACGAGAAAAGAACAGATCAACAATATTCTAAAAGCTATTTTCCAGTCCGATATCCCACCGTAAACGCCTGTCCTGAGCCCTGGTAGCACATAAAACGTATGCAAATCCCCAGCCGCAACTTATTCCCTATTCCCCGTCAGCTTTTTGAGTTTTCTCCGAAGTTCCCCCTCTGTCTGCTGCATGGGATTGAGCTTCCTGTCTCGCACCATAGCAGGGACATTGTCACCGTATTTCTCGGCGAGTAGTTCTAGCCACTCGACCTCCCGCTTGCTCTGATGTCGGGGTTTCCGCTTCTTCAGCTTCTCTTCCTCTGCCGCCGCCTGCTTTTCGAGCGCAACAACAACTTCCGTTGAAACATTAATGTTTTCCAGAGCAACGCCTTCGTTTTCCGACAAGTCCTCAAGTGGATCGTTAAGGGGGTTTGCCCTTCTACGCTTGCGGCCGGCGACTTCTATCGTCCCGTCGTCTTCATCTTTGCTGGGACGCACGATACGAAGAATCTTGCCGGTCTTTGGATCCCGCTCTATCCGAGCTTCGTCTGGTTGAATGTGTGCCACGCCCCTGTTTCCTGAAATAGCAAGTGGTTCGCTGGCGTTGTCCGCTGGTCGGTTCGAAGCGCGTTTATCGACACCTCCAGTCGGTGCATTCAGTCTCGTGGCTAGCCCAAGCCGGCGATAGTTCTGGGTCAAGGTCTGTCTTTTGTCCCTAACAGACTGTTAGATTTCACGTCAATTGGCGGCATGGCAAGCTCTCCTGGCCTACCAGTTATTCGCGATAACGGCATTTCCCAGCACGTTGATCTTCTTTTTCCCGCTCTTCGTCCTTCTGCTCTTGGTCTTTATTCTTGGCGCCGAAGACCGGTTCTTTTTCTTCTGGAGGACACGGCCCATGGTCGGTATCCGCAGGGACAATCGGCCTTCTGTGCTCTCGCCGTGCTGGTTGCCCGCGATGTTCCCGCAAAATATTGCGCTTCTGTTTGCACCGCCTTGGCGTGTTTGCCAATCTGCCAAGGCGTTGTCCCAAAACAGGCTAGGCAGGGCTGAGCTGCTCACGTGCGTTAGCCCTTGCGGCGGAGCTGGAGCTCCGCGAACCCGCCAGATAACGACACGCGACCTGCGCTTGGAGATTGTATCGAGCTTCCCGCCGCCTTTACGATGACGTCCACGCTTCGTCCGACCACGAGGCGCTGTTGCTCAGTTCTGGCTACATTCTTTTGTCTTTTGGCCCTGTCTACATGCGTTCTGGCGCACGGCAAGCAGGCTACCGTGGGCGACCTTACGGTTCCGCAAATTGAAGAAAGGCTGCAAGTGAGAAAACGCTTGACTATAGATCCTACCACTAAAGCACCGGTATATCTAATGATTTTTTGGTTCAGGGATGCCCGCTGGTGCAATCACTGAATCTTCATAAGCAAGCTACTGCTCCCCAAACAGCCAGCCTGACCTCGAAGGTCTTTGCTGTCTTGTTCCCTGGTAGCCCCGCTGTCAATGCCATTCTAGCCACTCTTTATATTTCTGGACCTCCAAGTAAGCGCTTTTTCCTGACTTGCTGAACGATGCCATCCTAAACTGAAGGTAGATTTCCTCCTGGCATTATGTCCTCCAAACATCGACCCATCATCCCTGTCTATAATGGTGGCGTTTGCTGTGGGCGGGTTACTCGGGGACACTCTTTTCCATCTCCTCCCAGAGATATTTCTAGGTGAAGACTCACCCGAACATGTTCGATTCGTCATGGTCGAACCAAACAGGAACCTCCTTCTTGGTGCTGCCATTCTAGTAGGCTTCCTTACTTTTGTAGCTATGGATAAAATACTGCGAATAGCTACTGGCGGCGAGGGTGGCCATGACCACAGCCACGGGGATCAAAAGCTTGGCCCCGTGGATGCAGTGTCATCTTCAGCAAGTGCCGTTTCCAAGGACACTCTCAGGCAGCGCAAGAAAGAGCAGCCTGCAGAGGCCCAGCCCACTGAAGAGAAAGAGATCAGCCCAAGCGTCAAGCTGGGTGGGTATCTCAATTTGATTGCAGACTTCACACATAATATCACCGATGGGCTCGCAATGTCTTCTTCGTTCTACGCTTCGCCCACGATCGGCGCGACCACCACCGTGGCTGTATTCTTCCATGAAATTCCTCATGAGGTGGGAGACTTTGCGCTCCTTGTGCAGTCTGGCTTTTCGAAGCGAAAGGCGATGGGCGCGCAATTTGTCACCGCCATCGGTGCCTTTTTGGGCACGTTTATCGGTATTGCCATTCAGGAGTGGGGGAATGGGGATGCTGGCTCCGGCTCGTCATCTCCGGTCGGTCTATTAGGGACCAGCCTTACTGTTGGGGACCTACTCTTGCCGTTTACCGCCGGAACATTTTTGTATGTCGGTACCGTGGCCGTTATTCCCGAGATCCTAGAGACTGGGAAGAACAAGGGTGTCGAGACGAAAAAAGCGTTAAAACAATTCGCTGCCATTTTTGCAGGCGCCGCGATCATGCTGATGTAAGTTTTCATCTCGTCGATGTATATATCATCCATTATTATACGCTAACGTGAACGTGATGGACAGGATATCGTGGTCATGAAAAGCTTTAGGGAAGCAGTGTTGCAAGCCAATTCTTCGGGCCAATGGGTGGATGTTGCTGGCAACCTTATTCATGGAGTACGGAGTACAGCGAAAATCAATAGCACTAACTACTGTTTGAGTGGATGAGGGTGTTGTCTGATACGACGCCGGACATTAATTGTGGTCTCTATACGGAGTATATTTGAATTTAATCTCGTCTGCGGAGATCTCAATAATAATGATGATGAAATATAGATCGCTGTCAGCATATCCACAAAATAAGATTAGAACAACAATTCCGACAGTGCTTCATTTCTCTTGTTTAAATCTATACAGTGGCCAGCAGAAGATGTCGCTGGGAGAGCAATCGGAGTATCCAGGTAAAGAAAGAAAGGCAAGGGCAACACCACAGTGAAAAACAGTAGCAGAAGCAGGTAGTTACAATAGGTAGGTATACACGAGAGAAGATGAAACGAATGCCAAGACGGGTTTGAAAATGTTGAACAAGCCGGCGTGGGGGGGTGGGGGAGACGGGTAGTTGGCAAATGAAGCGTATGACGTTGAAATGACCGGGCGGGAAGAAACAGATGCAGGAGAAGGTCGTCACTCATTATAATGATAGACCTGTCAAAACGGATTAGCCAACGTGTCATTTGCGGCGCCCGCTCAACTTACAAAATAATTGGGCAAGCCGTAGCATTTATGGCCCAGTCTCCTGGCCATTTTGGCAAAGCCTTCGGTCTCGACCAGGTGGTAGAAGGGGAAGGGCGGGAACATGGCTCCGTCGCGATGGACCTCGGCCTTGACGAGCAGCGCGGTGCCTCCGACGCCGTGCAGCTCCATGATATTGTTGGCATCGCGGTTGGGGCTGCGATCGGCGAGATGGGCCATGAGGGTGCGGTAGGTGGGCAGCTCGGCGTAGCCCTCGAGCATGATCTCATCGGGGCCCATGCGACCGGCGATCTCGAGCGAGCGGTCGGTGTCGACCCAGGAGTTGTAGTCGTAGGGGCGGGTGTCCATCAGCTTGGAGTCGGCGTTCAGGTAGCGCTGGTAGCAGTTGGGCACGACGACGGGCTTGTTGTGGCGGGTGAGGTCCTGGATGAGCGTGGGCGGCGACTCGACGACGTCGGCGTCCAGCCAGAGCACCCACGAGGTGGCCGGGCCCAGGGTGGTGAACAGCAGGCTGTTTCGGGCGCGGGCCATGGCCTCGCGGCGGGCCTTTTGGTGGGCGAACTTGTGTCTCTCCTTCTCGTCCTGCGAGGCGATGGGAGGCTCGAAGTCCTGGCGGAGGATGGTGATGCTGGCGAAGCGGCTGTCCAGCGGGCCGGACTGGGTCTTGGTGATGGCCTTCTGCAGGTCGGCAGTGGCGGTGTTGCCGTCCTTGGTCTTGGGGATGATGAAGCCCAGCGAGATGTACTCGTGCGGGTACGACAGACGCAGCAGGTTGTCCCAGTACTGCGGGTAGAAGCGCGCCAGCGGCGTCAGCACCAGCACGCGCTCGTGGCGCTCGGCGGAGTCGCCGGTGGTGGTGACATTGTTGAGATTGTAGTTGACGACGGGCGGCGGCACTCGCAGGCCGTTGGAGCGGAAGAGCTGCTTCTTGCGGAAGGGTTTCGTGGGCGGGGAGAGCGGGTTCTGGGCAGCGTCGTGCTGGCGCTGGGCAGCGGAGACGGCGCGTGTTGAGCCCGGCGAGAAGACGAAGAGCAGGAAACCGACGGCGAGGGCGAAGGCGAGTACCAGCGTGATGGGGTTCGTGCGGCGCAGCGCGCGGACGGCCATGATGGCCTAATGGCAGGCGGAGGGCGAGGCGAGCAGCGAGGTGAGCGGACGGGACGGAATGGAATGGGATGGGATGGGACGGGGTGTTAAGAGGCCTGGGGACGCACCGTGGCGGACATGACCCGGAGAGAGAGAGAGAGAGAGAGAGAGATGCAGACAGACAGAGAAGAAAGAGATAGACAGAGCAAGAGAGCGAGAGTTGCCACGGCACGATGTTGGTTTGAGTTCGGCGGGCGTTTTGCTGGCGGGCCAAGCGAGTCGATTAGTTAACTAACTAGTTATTAGCCAACGAGTCAACGACGAGTCAACTAACTACGGAGCAACTTCATCCTCACTGACGACACTGCTAACGAGAACTATCGACGCAACTGCACAACCCGAGACTAATGCCTAGCTACTCCTCGCATCGCGGCGTCACGGCAGCCACCGCATCACACCCTCGAAGGCCACCAGCGCCATCGCGTTCGCCGGGAACGCGCGCAGGAAGCACGGCACAAACCCACGCCAGAAGCCCTTCAGCCCGTTCTCGCGCCCAACCGCCCTCGCCGCATCGGCCCAGTGCCGGAACCGCCGCTGTCCGTCACCCAGCCCGCCGCCCAGCGGGTCCGTCATCAGCCGCTGCTTCACCACGTCCGACGGGTACGCCGTGATCCAGAACACCTGCGCCGACAGCCCGCCCGCCCAGAAGTTGATCGCCGGCGTCGACAGCTGCGTGTGCGTCTGCAGCAGCCGCGAGAACACGTCGTACGAGCCCCACCAGAAGAAGAAGAACGACCGGAAGAGCAGCGTCGCGCACAGCCCGCGGTACAGCCCGCCGATGCCGTGCGCGCGCAGCTGGGCCATGTCAGTGAGAGAAAGGGAGAGAATATATATATACATATGGAGAGAGAGAAAGGAGAGGTTAAAAGAGAAGACAGTGTGTGTGAGAGAGGAGAGACAGAGAGAGAAAAGACGGACAGAGGAGACATGGACAGAGGGAGAGACAGAGACTCACGATCTTGCGGGTGCAGTCAATCGGCCCGCTGTACAGCCGCTGCTTCTTGTCCGCCGCGTACTGCACCTGCAGCCGCGCCTTGACGTGCTCGACTGGCGCCGCGATGAAGCTCACCGTCGTGCCCGCCATGATGCCCGCCAGCCCGTGGCCGTAGCTGGGCAGCCGTTCGGCGTTGCGGAAGACGTGATCGCGCAGCAGCCGCCGGTAGAGACTCAGGGACCCTAGCATTCTGGCACAGACGGTCAGTCTTAGCTCCAGCAGACCGGGAGATCGCAAGCGTAGGTGTGTGCGCCCTTACACCGAATCCATCACCATCCACCCCATCAGCGGCGGCGTCGCTCCCTTGTATAATGCCCGCACGCCCTCATTCCGCACGGTCTGCAGCAGACAGTCCAGCGGCCCCTTGAAGTGCGCGCTCCCCGTAGTCTGCAGCCGCACCTTGATCGTATCGAACCTTTTCGTGTCAAGACACGTCCGTTAGCCATATCGTGATGTAGACGCCAGTGTTGCAAAGACAGAACGTACGGGTGGCCCACTGTCGAATGCCCAAGCAGGAGAAGAAGACCGTCAGCAATTGGAATTCCCCCAGAAGACGAGTACACCCACCGCTGAGCTTTGCAATGCCCGAGAAGACACCCGCGACAAAGCCTTTGTAGTCCTTCTTCGGCTTCCCGTCAGCCGTGCTGCCCCCCATCGCGGCACACCCTCTGCCGTCCGGCCTGTGCAATTGATGCTGCTCGTCGTCTTTGGAGAGGCGGTCTGAGTCTTATCGCTGCTAGCTCGTCGCGGTGTAGGGACGGGGAATGGTAGCTGTCCGCAGGCTTGACTCGAGTGAGATTGCGATTCCCAGCAGCAGATCCATTAGTTTAGTTATGTAGTTAGTTAGTTACTCCAGCAGCTTCATGGACAGCGTCAAAGCCGTACGCTGAACTTGGCCGTGGATATTTCACCCGGCCGATGCCGGGGCTTGGGCCAGAGCCGGGAGAGTTAAAAAGGCCGCCAGTCTGCCGCCCGAGGCTTGTCTTGTCTTGACTTTGCGTGCGAACAATCCCACCACCACCACCTCTACATAACTACATACATAGACGGAAGATACGATATCGCCCTGACTGCTCACACACTTTCAACATGCATATCACTTTCTAGTTGGCCTTGACCTCGGTCGCCTGAGCCGCAACTCGCCCAGCTACGTATTTGTCCCATTCTTCGCGCTTCATGAACATCAGCTGCCTGTCCTCTCTCCCCAAAACCTCCGAGTTGAGCGCCCAGCGATCCTGCGTTCCTTTTCTCATCTGGCAGCATCTCGGCACGGCGAGCACTTTCTTCCCAATATACTCCTTGGGGTCCACCTGGAACAAGAGGTACTGGTTGGCCTCCGCGCCGTTGTCTTCCTCAACCTCGACAATGTTGATCACCATCACCTCCGGGTTGATGTCGCCTGCCGGCACCAGATGGTCAAACGTCACTCCATAGTAATCAATCACACTGTCACGCCAGCAAGAAAGAGCTGTTAGCCATTCGCTACGAGCCGTGTCACAGGACCAGAGCTTACTCCTCCGGGTGCTTCTCTGCCACCCAGCGTAAATACTCGTGCCGCACCGCCAGACTGTCGGGGGTGACATCCCGTCCGTATATGGTCTGAAATGCCAAACGTGCCAGCTCTGGGCCGGCTGGCTGCGGGAACTGTTGGTTTGCAAGCTCCAGGCGCCACGGGGTGTTGGGCAGCAGACGTTCTATGGCAGCTGTGGGGCCCTCAATTCGGATCCTGAGCGGTTTATCGGGCGCTGGGAAATGATACGGCCGGGCAGGTGTCTGAATGCAGGGTGGGATGTACAGTGGAAGAGCCATTGCAAGTGATATCACAACCGACGATGTGTGCTAAAGTTGGTTGGAAACGAGCCGCACGAATGAACGAAGCTATAGAAGCGCCTCCTCAGGGGTAATTCTGACAGTGGCAGGGACTGTGGTACGATCTTCTCTGCCTGACTAGCAAATACTGGTCTAGCTAGCAGCTATCCAATGATAAAGGCCTCTCTTTCACAAATTGACATTTGGCCGACAGCTGCCTGAAACGTATGCGCCCGTCGATATCAAGGCGGCTGCTAAAAACCTAGCCAGTGAACTAATATCTAACGGCTTCATAGCTAGCTCCGATGAACAAGCCTTCTAATGTAAAAGCTTCATTCTGCCGTTCGGAACACTATCATCTTCTCCAGATATCATACGGGGTACCAAACCAGGACCACCGCCGTATAGTTAACTCACTACTCAGGCGATTAGCCCCAAACAAACCAGACTCCTGTCTATCGGCGAGTGAGTATTCTCAAGGACTCCAATCAGCAGTCGCCAAACGACTCATTCTGGTGTCGGGCCAAACCAACCCTTGCTCATGTTTGAATCGATCGTGCCGCTCGCCTGCGGTGCCAGTGTTTGAAACGGTCTTGTAGCCTGCAAAACCTGCCTCACACAGCCGCTCCAATGGCTACTCGCTACCCAACACCGTGAGTGAAGATTAACTGGACCGGCTCAACCCACGTCCCGCCTTCAAAAAATGGGAGGATCGATCCCCCAATCCTTGCAGCCCATCCCCTGTTCTTGCATTGACCATGAGCTTACAGCCTGTCATTGCGAGTAGACATATGGGAGGCTAAACGGGCTACTTGCCTCTTTGTGGTATCAATATGCATTGGAAACCGATGGAATGAATGAGATGCCGCCATTCGGGAGAACAATTGAAGAGGTGCTGGGTATTGAAACGATGGTATATATTTCTCACCTTTTCCTTTGGCTTCAACCCCCATCCAAGCACTTCAAGCATCATTCTAGGCTTTTGTGCTCCAGAGCTCAACTTCCGCCCGCCACCACTTCAAATCCAGCGTTTGCATTCTGTTCCTCTTTGTTGCAGTGGTGTTTTCAGTATTGATACTTGCCTCCACTCATTTCTATAGCAAACCATCGCCGTAAGCATATGCTACCCCATGCCCATGTTTCTACTGATTATTACTACTAACACATCATAGGATATGTGCACCATGTACACCGACTATTATAAATGTGGCCATATCTCCGGAAGGCGTCAAGTGGACTGCACCTCACCCGGCGATTGCTCCATGAGATACCGTGTGGGAAATATCTCTAATCAAAATTGCACCACTTTTCGCTGTCAAACTCCTCCGTTATCCGACTGAACGCATCCTTATTGCCTTTGATTATTTGTCACATGGCCGCCCAGTAATCCTTTATGGTTCCTTTCTCCAGCATCTAGCTTTCGCAGCGATGGATCCGATCCACCCATCGTAATTTATGCCAGCTTATGAGGAAGTTTGGTCTTACTTATTTGTGCTCTCTGAATCTTGTTGTCTACGTGCTGATTGATTCCATTCCTGTGGCTCATTTTTGCACTTTTCTTCCTTCCATCATTGCTGTTTTCCATGCTGCCTTGCTATGTTTGCAGGAGCCCTTTTCGTGATCACCACATTTCCACTTGCCCAATCAATGTTTCCTAGGCTCATTTCATGGTATCTCTTTTGTTTCTCTTGCTCGGATTCAGTGTTTTTTCAGTTCTTTTCCCCACTTTCGTGAGTTGTTGGGTTCCACATTCATTCATTATCAATTCCAACTGGACCTCGACCCCCATTTATACTAGTTTAGATGGTACCAACCCATGGATTGATACTCTGTATGTCAGAGTAGCTATACTGAAAAATTTCTCTAAGATATCATTGTCATAGCCCTTACAGACAAATTCTCTCCCCTATTTCATTTCTGCTCCAGATATATCTAAATAGGCCAAAATCGAAGCTATATATACCAAATACAAAGTGGGATATTTAGCAGAATAGGAACCAATGTAGAGTGGCAATCCAAAAAGAGGGCTTGGGAGGCTTGACGGATATCTCAAAACATATGGCGTACAGTATTGTCCAACCCACCTCGCCTAACTACTCCGTATTGAGTCTAATAAAGACAATCTTATATTGTGCAGGCTACTACCGCTAGCCTTTGCTTGATCGTTTTCTCTGTGACCTCGTAATCGACACACCGCCGTATAATGTAGATGTAGTCTACATTTTCCCCGTTCTCCAAAGCCGCCCTTGAAGTCTTAAGGATGCCTCACATTCTAGGCAAGATCTGTTCAATTGAGTGACTATTTCTTTATATACCGTTTCCGGATCGTTCGTCTGTATCGAGGGAATATGATCGAGAAGAAATTGTAGCGGATGTCTCAGGGCCGCGGCAGTAGCCCTGATTCCAGAAGAGCCACTAGCACTAGCAGCATTTGTGGTCTGGAGAGGCTCTGGTGCTTTTAACATTTCGGTAGACAAAGCTAGCTCTGTGCCAGAGCTAGGAGTATCTATAGTCTCCAGCTGTGTATCTTCAGTAGACGAAGCTGACTCTGCACCAGAAATGGGAATATCTGTGGTTTCCAGTTGTGTAGCTTCAATAGACGAAGATGACTCTGTACCAGAAGTACGAGCATCCGTGATCTCCAGTTTTTTAGCTTCAGGAGATGAAGGTGACTCTGTGCCAGAACTAGAAGTATATATAGTCTCCGGTTGCGTAGCTTCAGTAGACAAAGATAGCTCTGTACCAGAACCAGGAGTATCCATAGTCTGCAGTTGTGTAGCTTCAGTAGACGAAGATGGCTCAGTACCGAAATAAGCCGCACAGATGGCCTCAAAACGCTCTAGTTGACTAGCTATCCCATCAGTCAAAGAAAGCTCTGGAAAAGAGCAAGGTTCTGGAACTAAAGGTATCTCTAAAGCGTTAGTCGGTGTCATTTTACGGGATTCTCATTATATAGATAGATCAAGGAAATACATACGCCGCAGGGAACACTGTCCAGCTTGCGAATTCCAGAGACAGTTTGCACAGGACCCTATATGTATTCCAACCCTGGTTTCCAGCGTAGTGCGCACGCAGCTTCCAAAAGGGCCCTTGCTCTCTTTGCATCTAGCGCATGGCCTCTCGGGTCTTATGCCACGAGTCTGGATAACGACGGCATCCCGCTCTTCTGCGGTGCGGATGGGACGGGGGACAGGACGACCGTGCTCCGAACGAGCCCACTGGAGCTTTCGGCGCGATGGTTGTTCGCTAAGCTCTCGCACCGCCTCGGTGAATCCCTCTAGCCAGAAGGTCAGGGAGTTCTCGCCGCCGAGATTTTCGCACACTTCACAGCCAGCCGGAGGGAGGCCTATTGCGACTCAGCTCGCACCCGGGGAAAGGGAGGGGAGGTGTATTCTTACAGTCTGGGAAAATAAGTCTGGGCATCTTTTTATGATATTGCTGGGAGCGTTTAGTATGTATAGTGTATACAATATAGTGCGTAACGGTTTCCTATCAGGCTGAAGCTGTCTCAAGGAGATTTGAAAAAAAAAAAAAAATACAGCATATGTAGATGAGAGAAGTTGAGTCAACATTGCAGCTCTCTCCGGTAGCTGTGAGCTTTCAGCTTTAAGCCTTTCCTTGGAAGTGGCAAGGTGCACTGGCAGGTTCAGAGCTCCTACTGGCCTGTTGGGCCTCAAATCTGGGGAAATCCTTTTTTTTCCTGGAACATTTCGGATATTTTTAGCCGCTTCCGGCGGTCAGAAACAAGAAACAACAACTCATAAATTTTATCATTTTCAAATTCTTTCTATTATGCCCTCATGGAAGGTAGAAGAGAATACAACTATGAAATCATAGAAAAGAACCTTGATGACGTCAAAAGAAACCACACCCAGCTGATGGATACCAAACACCAAAGGGGCCATCACCAGAATTTTTTAACCTCATGATATCCGAAAAGCTTAAAATTTGGCACCCAGGCATCTGTCGGCTAGTTGCTGTCCGGGTTGTAAAAGCGGCCGGAACGTGCATCAAACGGCCAGACAGTCAGCGCGGAAAGTGGCAAAGTCCTAATCTTTGCTTTTATGGGACAAGTGGCGAAGTGTTTCTTTGCGTCGGCTTTCAAGAACTGCTCATGGTATCTCAGCTCCATGATATCCCTCTTGGTCTCAAATTTTGCTTCTGCTTGATCATTGGAGAGGCCGAGCGCGTAATCAAACGCCATGGTGCAGAACCGGCAGTAGAGGCCTGGTTCAATAGCGTTAGTCATCGGGTTGTACCACGGGAAAGCGAGCGAGGATAGGGAGCGTCGCCGGGATGGAAATTGGTAACAGTTTCTAAAACGCATGCGACCAAGACCATAGAATCCCGGGTGCAAGCGGATGAAGTCCCTCAGAGCGGAGTACTGACTGCCGGGGCCTCGAGTTGATAACAAGCGTGCAATTTCCGCGGAAATTCTTGCTTTCCTGTCTGCAAAAGCGGCTTTGATATTGTGGGCACCGCCGTGCAGCTCCAGAGCGAATTGCTCGGCCTGGAACACGCTCGCAAGGTCCTCCTCTTCGTCCCAGGACTGGTCGAATTCCAGAGTATCGAGCCAGCCGGCAACATTTCTGACGACGGGCATCTTTTTCGCGATTTCGTCGGGAAGGATGTAGTTGAACACAACCTCTTCCAGCGGCGCAAGGGCCAACTCCTGGGCAAAATAATGGCAATTATAACAACACCTGGCGAAGAGTGGGAGGAACACATAGCCACCAAACTTGCCACAAACTCTGCAATAGGGCTGAGTGAATTCTTCATAGACATCGGTCATGGTATGGAAGCGAGAGACGCCCATGACGGTGATCGCCTCGAGAAGGTCGGCTGCATGTTCCTTAAACCGACAAAGCAAAGGAAATGAGTCCACCACCTCCTGGTATCTCTTGCTCACGCAGCTAAAGTTCACCAAGGAGTCGAGATCGAGGTAGTAGCAAATTTCATAGGTGAGCTCGAGTGGCAGCCGATCCAAGATTCCGGGGGACGCAACTTCGGCAGCTTCTGGAGTGGTATCTGCGGGAACTGAGGCAGTGGTTTTGTTGACATTCTGCTTACACGCGTAGTGAGTCATATTGTCCATCGAGGACATAGATTCCGGCGGAGGAACGTTGTCTGTCGCCATTGCAAAGAGGCCAACTACGTGTATTAGTTGAGTTGTAGGGAATTGGAATATAGAAAATAGCGTACCCTCTTGCTCCATCATTTTTGACACGTTGGCAGCTGGCTGCTTGGGTTGAGTGCAGGTTGAAAGAGTGAAGGCTTTGGGCACAAGTGAGGAACAGGAACACTCTTAGGGCGCCGAGAGACTGAGCCTGATCAAACGATGCGAGCATACACTAGGAATGTAAGACGCCGGAAACATCCACAGCTCCAAGAAAGGTGATCTTCTTCACCACATGGTTGGGTGGTTAAAGACACATGGTGTCAATTGCGGTGGGAGTATCGTTCATTTGCTCAGACAAATGCTCTCTCATTCACCGGCGAAGCTCATAGCCTGAATGGGTTGCATGGCTGATTGTAGACTGGGAGTCAAACCCTGGAGGTATGCATCATGGAAACATTGTGTTCAGCAGCATAGCACAAATGCACAGACCATGGGATAACTATTTACTAGGCCAGTTTATGGGTCTAGTCCAGGTTGAAATGTGCTCCGTGGTTCTTGGAGCAGCGCCTGGAACAGAGTCAGCGGTGCTGTTCAAACAACGCCCCATGAAGGCTGCGACCTAGTCATAGGCAGTTTTATCATGATGAAGGCTGAATGAAGAGAAACCGTGAGCTGGTGTGTGAAAGAAGCTACGGAAGATAATATATCCGGGCACGGAAAAACAGCCTGAGGGCCTTGAAATCCACTGCCCAAGTTTGGCCAAGCAGCCGAGAGTGAGTGTTTCAGACTGCCAGTTGGTTTCACATCAACTGTAACTGCTGGGACGGATTGTTTATCCCAAACTACTGGTACTTAACCTGAAATCTCCCTTGGGCTGGCTCGAAACAGCGCCACAAACATGGGCCATGTTCTTCCAACGCAGATGGGCAATTGTCGAGCCGAGAATCTCTTTACTTCATACTTCGAAAGTATAGAATGACATTGCCTACGACTTTGATCTACCTGGACTATGTTTCAGTGCCTTGAGCCAATGAAAATTCTTCGCTTCTTCCAAGAAACGCAGTCACCCGGACAGAACACTGTACTAAGTCGCTCAGGGGGCCGACGGGCTATCATCTGCTAACCGTGGCAGTCGTCCTTGAACCCTGGAAAACCGGACGTACGTGTCACCTGCGGACGGCTTTTTTCTGTCTTCCTCTCGGGCTCGGGGAAGCACTTCCAGAGCAAAACAACGGCCCCTCTCCTTTTCGCATTAGCCGAGTTCTGAGGCTCCAGCTGGGTAGATAGCCTGCAGGGTCTGACAAGGCCGGGGAACGCCGGAGGTTGACCAGGATGGGCGGAAGCAGGCTCTCTGCATGAGTGTTAGTATTATTATTATTTTATTGTGATGCGTCTTCTGTTTCTCGTGGAGCATAAGGTTTCGTCGTTGGGCTTCTTGCATGCGGTTGCCGGCGTTGATCAACGAGTCCACAGCAATAGCTAGCTAGTTACGGAGTAGTTAACTAGTTACTAACTAGTTCGGTACAAAAGTACCGCACCCCCCCTGTCGGCGTGCACGTATCACGGGTATCTGTCAGTTGGCAGCCAGGCTTACGACGCTCCCAACAGAGCGATTGCCGTACAAAGGCAACCAAATGTGAGCGGTGTCGCCTGGCGTGTGACGAGGGGGGGCATAGTGCATACATCGATAGCAGCCAGACCAGAAGCGAAGCACACACGGCGGGTGCCCACAGGATGGGATATGCGTGGAGCCGATCGGATAAGGCAGGCAAAACACCCGCAACGAGGAAGACAGCAGGGATGGGGGGCGGTGGGAAAACGGCGATGGTTGAGCGGCGTGGGACGGGGCATGCAGGTGTTTTCTGCCACAAAGCCTTATCCGGTCTCACTGGTCTGGAGATGCGACGATACTGCATGCCACATCTAGGCATTGCTACGTGTGGAACAAACGCGGGCAGCGGGCGTCTTCTTTGGGTAAAGTGGGATTTAAAATTGGGGGAGGCCGTAAATGTATGTATGTACTTTGGGAAAGGGTATATAAAAATGGGACAGTTACGCCAGATGCCGAACAATGCATGCATGCTGCAACAGCTACTAGGTATGGGAACAAAGGGAATCTCAGAACCTGCAGGTAGGCCAAAAGGAACTTAAAGCGATGATAATAGTAAAAAGAAAAGAAAAGAAACGAAAAGAAAAGAGAATTCTCAAGGACTGGAACCGAGGATAGCGTCAGCGTTAGGGGATGAGCGCTGCAGCAAGGCGTTGTATTTGGTTGGTACTCCGGACTTTTTTGTTGTAGTAGACGTGCAGCAGCCACAGGGCCGATCCCAGTCTATTTTGGGGCAAGCAGTCCCCGAAGCAGATTTCAGAACATGGATTTTTTGCATGATATGCCGTTTTGGGATGCTGGTAAGCGTGGTGTAAATGCGAGCGACGAAGTGAACACCCGGTTTTATTCGCCCTAAAAGACGGGCGGTATAGTTATGAGTTTCAAGAAGAAGAATGCAAGGTAATGTAATGCTCAGGATGCGGCGTGCGGCGGCGGGAGCCAGCCCGGGCGCAGCGCGGCGTATGCAACGTGCTCGTTGCCGGCGGGAAACAAGAGGAAGGGCGAGGCGAGCAGCAGCGAAACGACGGAGAAGAGCAGATGAGCGGGTTGTGATTGTCATCGGCGCTGCTGGGCGTCAGCGCGCAGGCCCGTTTTGACGGACGGGCGGTGGTCGGCGTCGCGCGGCGCAGGGCGGTCCTGGGGCGCGGGCTGGTCCAGGGTGGGCGGGGGACGGGCGTCGAGTGGGAGCCGGGCACCAGCGGCACCAGCGGGGGCGGAGGTGAAGTAGCCGGCGCTGTCGGCGGGCTCGTTCTCGAGAGCCAGCGGGGTGACGGGGCCGGGGCTGCCGGTGGGATGCAGGCGCGGCTTGGAGGGCTTGGAGGGGATGGCGGCGAGGGTCATGCCGGCGACGAGCTCGCGGTAGTGGCGGAGAGCGTCGCGGGGCGTGTGGGAGGCCTGCTTGCGGGCGTGGGCGTGGTGCGCAGAGCGGGTGGACGCGCTGGGCGGCTGGTAGACGGCGGGGTGGAAGCGTGGCAGCGCGGCGAGGTCGAAGGCGGGCGGCGGAGGGGTCTTGCGCGCGCGGGCATTGGGGGCGGGCGCGGCGGCGGCGGCGGGCGGGAGGGGCGGCATGGCGGGGCGGTCAGCGAACATGCTGCGGCGGGCGGAGGAGGCGGTGTGGTGTAGTGTGGGAGTTGGGGAGTCTGTGCTGGTCTGGCGGGCGGCGGGCGCAGCGGGTTAAATACGGGCGGGCAGCGGGCGGTGATTGGCGGGCGGCGGACGCGAGCAGGGGGGGTGCCGCTAGGCCCGACACGGCTAGCGGCGTGTGGGGCGACGGCCGGCGGAGCCAGCGCGGCTGCTTCGGGCGACGTGCAGCGGATCACGCCCGTTAGATCCGGGCGGAAGCTCCGTATACGGGCGCCAGACCCGCCGTTGGCCGTACAACTCTTGTACAGAGGACTGCTCCTCGTCGCCCACCGGGGGGTCATGGTCTAGTGGTGAGGACATGACGTTGTGGCCGTCATAACCCGCGTTCGATTCGCGGTGACCCCAGCACGCTAGCGCGACTTGTGTTTTTGGTAAATTAGTTTATGAACGGCCATGATTATCGGCGGCACGGGCGTTTCGCGTTTTATTGGCTGCCATCCACCGCCCGCCGATCGCCTGTCGTGGCGCCACCCAGTCGCAGCCAGCCGCGCGAAACGGCCTGCGTTTGACGCCCGACCGTACATACCACGGCCCAAGCGTCGCGGGGTATTATTATTATTATTATTATTATAGTACTCGGATTAATAGATGTACACAAAGTCCTCGTTCTGCCGGTCCGTCAGGTCCTGCGACGCCGTCTTGATGCGCTGCTGGCTGTCGCGCCCGTCGTCCTCGCCCGCCGCGTACCGTGCCTGCATCGACCGGTCGGGCACTCGCGCTGGCTTGCCTGCCGCCACGCGTGCGCGCCGGTGCAGCGCATTCAGCACGCGCAGGTTGGCCGCCTGCGCCAGCACCACCAGCGCCAGCGCGGCGAACGTCGCCAGCACGGCGCGCAGGCCCGGCCGGTAGCCCGGCGCGTCGGCGGGGCTGAACAGCAGCGGGCCGATGATGTTGCCCGCCGACGAGCCCGCGTTGTACAGCGACAGGCACACCGCCTTCTTCGTCGTGCCCGCCGTGTTGCCCACGATCCACGCCACGATCAGCGGGTTGCCGCCGAACAGGAAGGCCAGCAGGTAGTAGCCGCCCACCGACGCCGCCCGCGTCGTCGCCCGCGCGCCCGCCAGCCCGTACAGCACCGCCAGCCCGCCCACCACGGGCACCAGGATCGCCACCAGCACCGCCGACTTCAATCGCATCTTCTGCGCTGCGTACGACGACGCCAGGATCGCCACCACCTGCGTCGCCCCGAACGGCATGTTCAGCAGCGTCGTGATGTACTTGTCGAACCCCAGCCCGCGCAGAATCAGCGGCCCGAACACGTTGGCCACCGACGCGCCGATGTTTAGCAGCAGGCTCATCGCCACCCACAGGTACGTCTTGGGCTCGCACACCGCCTCCACCGCCTGCGTCCATTTGAGCTCGCGCGAGCCCGTCCCCGTCTGGTTGGTCCGTAGCCGCGCCAGCGCTTGCCGCCGCTCGAGTGGCGTCAGGAAGCGCGCTGACGCGATGTCGTTGTCCAGCTTCCAGTACACAAACGGCGCCGACAACATGGTCAGCAGCCCGACCACCAGGAAGATTCTGCCACGGGTTCCAGGTCAGCGCGCAAGCAAGCAAGTAGAAGGAGGGAGGGAGGGAAGGACCGACATCTGCCACGACTTCAGCGTCTCGGACGGGATGTGGCCCAGCCCATACGACAGCGACGACGCGACGATGGTGGCCAGCCCGTTGGTGCCGTACCAGGCGGCCACGCGCAGCGGCTGCTCGGCGCGGCGATACCACTGGCTGGTGATGATGCTGAACAGCGGCAGGCAGCCGCCCTCGAACAGGCCCAGCAGGAAGCGCGTCGCCAGCAGGCCCGCGTAGTTGCGGCACGCCGCCATGCCCACCTGCGCCGCGCCCCAGCACAGCACCAGGCTGGGCATCAGCACGCGGTGCGGCACCGTGACGATGAGCACCATCGAGAACGGCTGCCACGCCAGCTGCGCCATCGCCGCAATCGACCCCACCACCGAGTACTGGTTGCCGCGCAGCTGCGTGTCTTCCTGCAGCCCAAACACCGCGCCGTACCCCAGGATCGATTTGTCCAGGATCTGCCCGTCCTTAGCATGCCGCCACAACCCGCTCACACACAACATACCTGCAGGAAATAGACCCACACGAGGATGGCCAGAATCACCTTGTCCGTTTTCCGCCGGATGCGCTTGTCCTGCGAGAACCTGTCAGCGCGGCTCCACGGGGTAGTATGTGGCTCACTGCAATTCGCCGCTTCGGGCAGCTCGAACCCTTGCGTTTTCGCACTCACATCTTCCTCCGTGAGCTCAACGGGCTCCTCCCAAACAGTGGCTGCCCGCGCAAGATCCGCGGGCCCGTCCGAGGTCTTGGGCGACTCCATGGACTGGCGCGCGACAGCAGAAAGCGAGTAGGGGTGTCGTCGTCGTCGTCGTCGTCGACAGCGGCAGCAGCAGCAGCAGCAGCAGCGTCGAGGAGGGCGATGGGGGGCGAGGATGATGATGATGAGGATGAATCAACGGGACTGCTGGGACCGCAAGATATAGCATCCGTCCCAACGGGGGCCGCGACAGGCATAGTCCCTGCTTTTAGGGGGGGGAAGGGCGAAAGAAGGGCGGCGGGCGGTGCGACGCGACGGCAGTCTGTGTCGTTTCTTCCAATCCTTCGTGAGGACACCGGTCCCAAGCCAGCGTTACACACCTGCGGTGCCTAACCTGAAGCCGCTCAAAGGACTGCGTTTTCTGTCTGTTTTGGTTTCTCGGCGTCCCGGTGATTATTTTCTTTTTTTCTTTATCTTTTTGTTGGTTTTGTTTCGATTATTTGCTGGGACGATGTCGGGACGCACACACAACGTAGGCTGGGTGGGAGGTAGCGAGTTGGTTAGTTAGTGGTGGAAGGGCACAGACCGGCTCGGTCCCTCTGCGGCGCTCCTGCAGGACGAGCCGACAAAGGCAGTCCGTTGGTGCTGGAGTGGCCCAGCGCCCAGCGGGTGCCGCCGAGGGCGTTCCGGGCGCGGCGTTGGCGTTGGCAGCTCCGCCGGGCAGTGAGTGACGACGCTGCCAAGCCACGGAGTCAGGCGCGAATGGGGTCAAGGGGCGCGCGGGGCCGCACACAGGGCATCGAGGTCTCCGTGGCGCAATTGGTTAGCGCGTCTGACTGTTAATCAGGAGGTTGGAAGTTCGAGCCTTCCCGGGGACGATTCGTTTTTTTGTCGCAGCATTCGAGTAGGTACTCCGACAGCGTAGTTCTTGACTCCCTGAGGCCTGGAAGGGTTTCTCGTTCCAAGTACTGTTGGTTACTTAGTTAACTGACTACCTGATTTTTGTTATCAGTCCACTGCCTCTCCTCTCTCACCGACACCTCTATCTCTACTCTCCCACGATATTGTCTCGGATCCCAATCTCCACCGCGCTCAGGTCGACGGCCCGGCCTCCCGGCGCGTTCTCGTCCGCTGCCCCCTTCAGCCGCTGTGGGCTGATCACCGCCAGCACCGGGCCGCGCGGGTTTGTCGCGTGGCCATCGGCGCCAGTGTGGCATCGCCGTTGCATCATCGACTAATGAGCTACACGCCGGCCTGAGTCATGAATGCTGCTGCCCTGTGCCTGACCTGGGGACCTTGGCCGTGTCGCTGCATCGTCGTGATCGGGATGGCTGCTCGCTGCGCTGCAACCTCGACGCCGCGGGGGCCCAGAGGGGACTATCATTGCGACTATTGACGAGAGCTCCGCTGCCTCCGCCCGTCCGTCGTCGAGATGTGTCCAGTGTGAAGTAGTACGGAGTAGCAGTGAGTGCAGCCTGGGCGGGTGGCGGTGGACGCGCCCACCGGGTTGCTCGCCTCCCTCCATTATTCAGATGCTGCTGCTGTTGCGGCTTCACCGCAGCCCCGTCGCCAGCATCACGGCAAGCGGCCGCCAGCTCTCCTCGCCAGCATCCTTCGCGCGGCTGCGCTGCCTGCCATTGCGATCGGCGGGGCCACCCTATCAGCGACCGCGCGTTCTGCACACCTCCGCATCGTCGTCGTCGCCCTGGCAGCGCTGCCCGCCAACCTGCACCCCCATCACCACCACTATCACTACCACCACCACCACCACCACCACCACCACCACCACCACCACTACAGATACCGCCCTGTTCGCTGCCCACCGCCGCTCTCGCTTCGCTGAGACCACTGCGAAACACCCTGCTGCCCCCCGTTTCACCGCCATGGCTGTCCCCCGCGTCCCGCCCGCCGGCGTGTGGTGCCCCGCCGTGACCTTCTTCGACCAGTACTCCGATACCGTCGACCTCGCCGCCCAGGCCCGGTTCTTCACCTACCTGTCGCGCTCGGGGCTCACCGGCCTCGTCGTCCTCGGCACCACCTCCGAGGCCTTCCTCCTGACTCGTGAAGAGCGCGCCCAGGTCATCAAGACCGCCCGCGACGCCGTGGGCCCCGACTTCCCGCTCATGGCCGGCGTCGGCGGCCATTCCACCAAGCAGGTCCTCGAGCACATCGAGGACGCCCAGCAGGCCGGCGCCAACTACGCCCTGGTGCTGCCCGCCGCGTACTTTGGCAAGGCCACCACCCGCTCCGTCATCAGCACCTTCTACGACTACATCTCGTGCACCTCGCCGCTGCCCGTGGTCATCTACAACTTCCCCGCCGTGTGCAATGGCATCGACATGGACTCCGAGCACATCACCGAGATGGCCCTCCGCGACCCCAACATTGTCGGCGTGAAGCTGTCGTGCGGCAGCGCCGGGAAGATCCCGCGCCTCGCCGCCGAGCTGCTGCCTGAAGACTTCTCCATCTTCGCGGGCCAGTCCGACTTTCTGATTGCCGGACTCAGCGTGGGCTCCGCCGGGTGTATTGCTGCCTTCGCCAACGTGTTTCCCAAGACGGTCGCGAAGATATACGAGCTGTACAAAGCTGGCCAAATCAAGGAGGCCCTGGAGCTGCATCAGAAGGCGGCCCTGGCCGAGTCGCCGTGTAAGTATGGCATCGCGACCACCAAGTATGCAGCGGCTCTCTACGCCGCCAAGGCGGCGGGCATTGACGACGCCGAGGTCAAGCTGCTGCCGCGGCGGCCGTACGAGCCACCGACTGGCGAGCAGAAGGAAGATGTTCGGAGTATGATGGCGGAGATTGCAGGTATCGAAGCTGGGTTATAAGACAGCGATGGGGGTGGTTCCAGACGGTGGCGAGACGCAGGGAGCCGTCGCACGAACCACCATGGATAATCATTATAGCGCGTTTGTAGATACATATGCATGCTTGAGCAACAAAAAAAAAAAGGGGGGGGGGGGGCCGAAGTTCTATGCGCAGGGCTGGGCGGGAAGGGGGAAAAGGAAAAGGAAACGGTCTCGCATACCTCCCTGCTTCCCCGCGTGAGTTTTGTGATTTATTCGTTCTGCTGCTGGTTTCCGCGCGTGGGCAGGTCGGCAGTCCATACAGCCGGCAATTTCGGGGCAAAACACCCGCGGGCCAATGTTTTACGCTGGGGGGAATATCCGGGCGAACGGTTTGTTTTGCAATAATCCAGCAGCAATCTGGCGGCCGGAATTGGCAATTTTAAACCCTGATACAATTAACACTGCCTTTTATATGCCACACACGCACGCACGCACACTCGTCTCGGGCTGAAACGAGGAGCGTCCGCGCGTAGTAGTAGTAGGAGTAGCAAGTAGTGCTCTGGCGGGCTGTTTTTTGTCTTGTTCTGCGTTGCGCTGATCGGCGCGGGAAGAACAGGGCCATCGGGCCCAATAGGCAGCGGCGGGATCCAATGCAGAAAGCATAATTGGCGAGCCAGACCGTCGCGATAGCCGGGCCGTGAGCAAGTTAGGAGGGTTCCGTATAATAATAATAAGAAAGCAATCATACATGTAACTAGAACAGCCAACAGGGGGGGTTGCTGTGGGGAAGGGTAGGCGGGTGGAGCTTGCAGGCGCTGGCTGGATAGATAGATAGCTATGGTTTATTCTTAGCAGTGCAGCGGCAACAAAGAATAATAGAACACGTACGGAGTACAGAGTCGCACTGCTGCCCCCCCTGCCGCAGACGGTGGCATCGCGCGGAATGATCCGAGATGGCTCGATGGTCGGGCGAGCGAGCTTCGCGCTGGCTGTTTGCTGCTCCTCCTCCCTCTCTCTCTCTCTCTCTCTCTCTTCGCCGCCTTTCTCGTTTTCGCGCGGCTTCACGTGTCGGCCCGTGACGTCACCTCGGCAGCCCCCCTCCTGTTCGGGCCTAGCGCCGGTAGCCGGACATAACTCGGCGGGGCACGGCTGCGCTAGTCTGCATGCGGCGTAGCGTGGTGCTGCGTGACTCCCGAATCGTACGATGGCCGCGCCGTTCACGTGGCCGGGAAGCGCGCCGCAAGCGAGACCGATCACGACGACAACGACAACGACGACGACGACGACGACCACCGCCTAGGCAAGCTCCGGCTGTTGCGATGCCTGCGCTGCTTGCTTGCTTCTGTCGTCGTCGTTGTTGTTGTTGTTGTTTCTGTGGCTGCAACACCCTGGTCGTCCGCCCTGGTCTGCTCCCCTGAGCCGCGCCCGCCCGCCCAGCCTGAGCTCTGGAACCCCCATTCCGCTCGTTGATACTACTACTGCTCCTCGCCCTCCTCCGAGGCGCGGCCGACTCCGTCGAGCTCGCTCTCCCTCCTTTTTCGGCCCAACCCAGCCCCCGGACGCTTTGTCTGTTCTGATACTAGCCGGCCCTACCCTGGCGCCCTTGGCTGCATTGTCTTTTTGCACCTTTGCTGCTTCCTGCCTCCCCACGTCCCGCCGTCATCTGCCAACACTGCCTGAACCGCCTGTGAGACCGCCGCCTGTCCAACTATCAACCGCAGGAGCCCGTTTTTTCTCTGGCCCTGCTGCCAGGCCAATTGCAAGCCGAAACGCTTGCCCCCCGCCCCTCCCCAGCAAAAAGCCTTTTCCAATTCCTCCCGAAACCTTCGGGGGGGGGGAAAGGAGGCAAAAAAGGAATATACATCTCAACCCTCTTGAAGCGGCCGGCCTCTTCCTACCTTCTTTCCTGCTCCGTATAACATGATGGCTTCCTCGTCCTCGTCCGACGCGGACGCCCGCGACCCCTTGCTCTTCTGTCCCACCCAGATGCCCGACTGCAAGATCTCTCCCGCCCTCGCTGACTGCTCGCCCTCCATCCTCAACCCAGATGCCGACGACCTGACTGCCGACTGGACGCAGTGGATGCGCTGGGACGCCTTCGACGCCGCCGACGAGATATCAAATCACGTGGACCTCACTGACTATAAACCCCCAAAGGCCTCTCCCACCACTGCTACTACTGCCTTTGGCAGCGCTGCCGATCTTGCTGCCTTCTCCAGCACCAGTTCCCCTGACTGCAAGCCCGTCTTCACCTTCCAGGGACACCTCACGCCGCCCCAGACCTGCGTCGCCCTGAAGGACCCCAGCTGTGACACCATGGAATTCCCCCAGCCGTCGTTCTCGCCTGCCTTTGCCTTTGACAGCCAGCAGATGCCGGCCTTTGCTCCTCCGCTGGCCCTGGATGTCCCGCTGGAGCACAGCCCGCCGCGCCATGCTGCGTCCAACTTCCCGCCTACCCCTGTCTCCGCTGGTCCGGGACGCAAAAGGAAATCGTCTGAAGCCGACAATGTCCACGACCGGAGCTCGGGCGGCAGCATGTCACCTCCTGCTGCCAGGTCTCTGCCAGCCAAAAAGAGATCTCACAATGTCATTGAAAAACGATACCGAGCCAATCTCAACGAGAAGATAGCCGAGTTGAGAGACAGTGTGCCCTGTCTCCGCGTTGTATACAAGCAACGATTCGGCGGAGGCGTGGGCCTCGACGATGAAGACGATGAGAAGATGATTTCCTCTACCAACAAGCTCAACAAGGCGTCCATTCTCTCCAAAGCTACCGAATATATCAAACATCTGGAGATGCGGAATAAACGCCTCGACGAAGAGAATATCGCCTTGAAAAACCGCCTACGCCAGCTCGAGAAGTCTCAGGAGCAGGGCTTGACTGCCTTTCCCATGACCATGAACACTGCCTCTCCAGGTGAATGTACGATGTCCTCTGAATCCGTCGCCAGCTCGCCTCCCAGTGTCTTTTCTCACAACCCTGAGTTCTCCCCAGAAGGATCTCCCAATCCTTTATACCCCGCCGAGGGCTTGATCAAAGTCCCGGAGTACTTCAAACGTCTTCGCCCCTCTGGCCCCCAACCCCATTATGCCGACTCATTCGCCCCACGACAAGCTGGCCAGCGTTATGAGTATAGCGCCCCTGAAACCACCGTAAGACGCGGTGGAATTGCCAACAAGTTCATGCTTGGGACGTTGGCCGGGTTGATGGTGGTCGGCACCTTCGAGACCCAAAAGGAAGATGCATCAAATCGAGGCCTTTTAGGCGTTCCAGTCCAACTCCTCAGCACCGCCCTCGGCTATGTTCGAGATTATGTCTACATGATCAGAACGGGCTCGTGGCAGATTCGAGCCCTGTCTCATTTTGCAATGACATCTCTCTTCGTTGTGGGGTGTGCGTTTTTCGTTTATCTCTACCTCTTCTACTCACGGCCCAGTCTCCCAAAGTCCGCTCTGCAAAAATTCCAAGCAGTTGCTGCCGGTGCAACCGAATTCCGCCGTGACGCTTGGCTTACAAGCATTCAAACCGTTGGAGTCCCTAGCCACAACTTCTTCCCTGAGTGGTTTGCCGTTACTTCACGCTGCCTCGAGTACTGCCTTCGTTGTCTACTTGGCTGGAAACTGTACTCCATCCTCACTGGTATTTCAGAGGACGACGAAAAGGGCCGCGTGAAGGCCTGGGATATCGCTTTAGATGCACAGCTTACCGGCGGCGATGCTGAGGTCAGCAAGAGCCGACTCGTTCTGACCATCTTTGCCGCAGGCACTCTTCCCAGGAGCCTATCACGGATGATGCTGAAGGCCCTGCACTGTCGAATTCTGCTGTGGCGCGTGGGTTCCGGTGGGTCCCTCGCATGCAGGATTTCCGACCACGTTGCAAGGATTTTAGCGAACTATCAATGGCGGCTGGCCCAACAAATGCAGAAAACAATCCCAAAGGATCATGAAGACGCTCTGCCTAGCCACCTGGCATATCTTCTTGAGCATGACTGTGACGAAGTCTTCACCGATGCCATTGTGCAGCGAGCATCCAACATGATCTGGAATCGCCCCACCCAAGAAGCTACTGATGACGAAGATCTACTAATGGACGTTGTGGTGGAGGACAGCGCCGTTCGCTCGCCCCTGGATGCCGTGGCAGCTTGGTGGTCGAGCCATGTTCTCCAAGAAGCACTGATCCACTCTCTCGACGTTATTTCCGTGGACTGTGGAGTCCGACGCCGGGAAGCTTTCGAGCGTCATCTAGAGATGGCACTGAAATCGGCACCCCCTACCTCCGCTGCCTATACTCGCGCGGCGGCGGTCAAGGCCCTCTTCTTCGACACGGATCGGGTTGCCAACATCAACTCTGTGCTCCTTGCACTTCCGCGACCCAAGCGCGAACAGCCCGCCGGCGCGACGATCTTCTTGGACTCGTCCGTTCCGCCCTCCGCCCGCGATGAAATTTGCATCGCCGTACGCTGCGCCATGATTGCCGCTATCCTACGGGGCCAGGTAGGAAACGAAGACTCCTCCTCAGACCTCTCCATCAACAACGCCATCGAACTATTCAACCGACTACCCATCGACGCCGTCGAGCTGACGCTCCTTGGCTTCGCATCCCTCTACCACCTGCTTCACATCGTCTCCATGGACGAACGGCTAATCGCCTCCTCGTCACTCGCATCGTCGATCTGCTCCGACTCCGAACTCTCCAGCGCCGACGAGCCCGAGTCCGCCGCCGGCGAGACAACACGCCTGCCGCTCCCCGACTTCGCGCGCATCGCGTCCGGCCTGGTGTACTGGGTCAAGAACGCGTACAACCCGATCTCGTCCGGCTTCACGGACTGCCTGGTGGACAAAGTCGTCAGCGGGTGCGTGGAGGCGTGTCGCCATGCGGGCGTCGACACCGACGAGCTGCAGCTTCTCGAGACGAACGACGCGGACTTTGAGCAGATCGACTCGGCGTCGATGTGCTCCTCGCTTGCAGGAAAGCAGCAGCAGCTCGAGCAGGTTGTTTCCGCGGAAGAAGAGAACGAGATGAAGCGGCCTAGGAGAGCGAGCGTGCGAAGCGACGATACAGGCTATGGGAGTCTGAATCTTGATGAAAGCTGATATATTTAAAAAAAAAAAAGACGTATTGGGGAATTTGTTGTCTATGTTCTAGATTATTTTCTTTATTCTTTTCGTGGTGTTCCACTCTCTAATGCTCTCTCTCCAACCCGGAATGGAAAAATAAACATCGCTCCTCTTCTAAACACCAGCCAGCCCTCTTATATCTGTCTCCTGGTCCTTCTTTACCCTGTCTATCCCACTGCCCGATTTACTTGATACAACCACAGCCGATGCTTATTCATGCAATGTTTTCGTTCTCTATTTTATTTTCGAAAGGGACGTTCTTTTTTTATTGTTTTTTTCTGTTCTTTTTTTTTTCTGTTCTATGGATATGAGAACCAAAAAATGCTGGGAAAATGATTTGTGGGAAATAACGGGTTGGTCGGTCGTTAAATAATTGCATGCCGGATTTGATTACATTTTGTAACATTATGCCTACCTGCCTACACGAGCGAATACGCCGAATAGATAGAAACATGCTATGAAGGATCGGCTGAATGCACACAGATCCTTAGAGGAATTTCATTTTCGTTCAGTTATCATTATAGAATGTCAAAGCAACATATGGTCCAAGCCTGTGATAGTAAGATCGACAGTCCTTCAGAAAGAGATGAAACAATATATCGAAATAACTGTTAAGATACGTCGAAAAGATGCGTGAAACCATGTCAGTCATGCAGTCATGCAAATATGTCGTTCCAAATGAAAAGTAGAAACGGAAAAAAGGGTCAAGCTGGTCCAATTTAGTGCTTCCCCTGAAAAAAAAGGGGCCATTCTTCTCGGCGGAGGTGAAAAAGAAATCTTATCGCAATTCGCCATCAGGAAACAGATATTATGTACTGCTAGGCGATTACAAGTATGTTGGATACTACTGTTTTATCGTTTCAAAGCATGGGTTATTGAGGAATGAGCTTAGTTGATAAGCCAATGACATTCCGCCCCACGACCGCTAACTCAAATATGCCTGTTATTTCTTTTCCAGGGTATCTTCCCTGGACTCCACTAGAAGACTGGCAGCAGGAACCAGACCAACTCTCATCTCTGCATCCTCAATGGTGAGGACTTGATTCTTCCCACTTCCAATGCCCCACGACCGCTTCACGGCCTTCCAGCTCTCAACCAACATGATATACGTCACCACGCATCCCATTACTATGCCCCATTCCCAAGTGATAGTAGAGTGTTTAAACACTAACTGGTTCACAGTGGGGAGATAGATCACGGGAATTAAAATAAAGAAGCCGGCGACAACGGCCCAGAAGAGAAATCGGTTCCTCCAGAGAGTGGGGAAGATCGAAAACGGGCCTTTGTGCCGGTTGGGGTCCATGTTAAACAAGGATCGCGAGAAATGTTTCACTTCCCATGCCGTTACGAGGAGGAGCAAGGAAAGAGTTGCAAAAGTGGTGGCACGGGCTCGAAAGACGACATGGCAGGTATGGTTCCAGTCTTGGTTGCAGGCTCTTCCAAGATATCCGTTGCCAGCACCGTAGACCACCGAAACGAACGCTGCAAGGCACAAGCTGCCCATGAAAGTGCCGTAGATCATTTTATCTGTAATCAGCTCTCGAGTGAAGACACCAACGCGAAGATCGTGTGGTGGGCGGAACATTAGATCTGGTTGGCCTTCCTCGACTCCTAGGCCAAGAGCTAGGAATGATGATGTCACAAGATTCGCCCAGAGAATCTCCAATGGAGAAAGGGGGAAGATGGAATTGCCGTCCTGATCCTTAAATGCAAGGGCAATAAGCAGGAGGACGACTTGGGCAATATTTGATATTAGCAGGTGCATCAAGAACTGTAAAAACTAGAGTTAGCCGTAGATACCCAGACGAAGTATTGCGAGGTTGTTACCTTTTGAATGTTGTCGAAGAGACGCCGGCCTTCTTCCACAGCCTTGACGACGGAGGCGAAATCATCATCAGTCAACACCATGTCGGCGGCATCTTTGGCGACATCACTTCCATTCTTTCCCATGGCAATACCAACATCAGCCCGTTTCAAGGCCGGCGAATCATTGACACCATCGCCAGTCATGACGCAGAAAGCCCCTCGTCTATGCATGGCTTCGACCATTCGAACTTTCGTCGTTGGACTGCACCGTGCGATGACTAAGGGAAGTGCCTCGATGGCGTCTATTTCAGTATCTGACAATTTGTCGAAGTCTTCTGCAGCCATGACAACGGTGCTAGCTTGGGCGGAGGGAACGATGGAGCCCAGAATGCCGACTTCATAAGCTATCGCCGTCGCCGTTTTAACATGATCTCCAGTAAGCATATGCACTGTGATTCCTGCCATATGACATTTTCTCACAGCGCCAGCGGTTTCGACTCGTGGAGGGTCATATAAACCGACAAGGCCAACAAAGTTTAGGTTAGCCTCGATTGCCACACGGTCCGAGACCTTATCAAGATCGTTAGAGTTGAGAGTCTTGTGGGCAACGCAGAGGACCCGGAGGCCTTCTCCAGCGAGCCTATCGACCATGGCACGAATCTCTTCCTTCATATTTTCTGGGATAGAAAGAAGGGGTAACAGGGATTCTGTAGCGCCTTTGGTGTATACGTCAGCAGAACTTGAATCATTCTTCTGGTAGACTACCGTCATGCGTTTTATAGCTGAATCGAACGGAAATTCAGCCAGTAACTCGGACGGCTCGTTGTGAAGTAGGGTCTGTTTGCCCGAATTGAAGCGAATGGCGAGGACGTGCAGTGCTATCTCAGTAGGCTCACCAACAGCAGTCCATTCTTTGTTAGAATCTGCTGCGGCCTTGCCGTCTCCTGACGACGCCTGTGGTGGATCATAGATGGATGACAAGTTGCAGAGTGAGATCGTGCGCAAAAATTTACTCAATGAGGAGTCATTGTCTAGCTTTTCTGAATTCAGATGAACATCAGAGCCATCGATCTGAACCGAGCCGCTCTGCGGGTTAAAGGGGCTAGTGGTGTTGTGGATGGTGAGGGTTCCTGCACCAGGAATCCAAGCCTTCTTGGCAATCATTTTCCCCTGAGTGAGGGTGCCTGTCTTGTCGGAACAGATGTTGGTGACACCTCCGACGGCCTCGAGAGCCTGGAGCTTTCTGACAATAACATTACCTCTGGCCATGGCTTTGGTGCCAACTGCGATAGTGATGGTAAGCACAGCAATTAGGGATTCAGGGATGACGGCGACGGCGACACAGATGCCATAGATTAAAACTTCTCCTTGAATGTTCCACTTGTTAGCAGAAAATACAATGATGGCCAGCAAGATGGCCAGGCCGAAAAGCATCAAAGCGAATTTGCTGAGCTGCACCTGCAAGGGCGTTCCCACTAGGCCCAGGACAATGGCTAAGCTCCGTTTGAACCTCAGCCAAGTCCGGACGAGGACATTGGAGCCTTCTTCAGGCCGATGTTCTCGGAGAAGCTGGGCAATCTTTCCCACTTCAGTGTTCATGGCGGTGGAGACCACGATGCCGGTGGCACGGCCTCGGGTCATGATGCTGCCAGCGTAGGCCATGTTGGTGCGGTCACCCACGGGCATATTACGGGTGGAGAAGACACGCTCGGGGTGCTTGGAGACGGGAAGCGATTCTCCGGTTAGGAGAGCTTCGTCAGTGGAGGCGTTGACGCCGTCAAAGAGCCGCAGATCGGCGGGGACCATGTCGCCCACTACGAGCTGCACGAGGTCCCCGACGACCAGGGTCTCAGCCTTGGCGGAGTCAATGCGTCCGTTACGGATGACTTTACAAACGGGGGCGGACAGGGCCTGGAGGGAGAGAATGGTCTTTTCAGCGCGGTAGTCTTGGACGAAGCTGCAGGGTGTTAGATGATATGGAGCGGTTGATATGTGGAAGGTAGAAGAAAAGGGGCTTTACCCTACGACGATATTGAGGAGAATGACGGCGGTGATGACGCCTCCTTCAATAAAGTCGCTGATTCCAAAAGACAGCGCCATGGTCATCACAAGGACCTAGAGCGGGCGAGTTAACAAGGCACACGGGGGAACTCCGGACCGGACAGGCTGGGAAAGCCGTAGTATAAGTGTCTTTCGTACTAAAGTCAGACTGTTGGACACCTGTCTTAACAGAATTTTCCACATGGATATGCCCTCAGCACTTTTAACCTTGTTAGGGCCATCCCGCTCCAGACGAGATGCGGCTTCGGCAGGAGGGAGCCCATTGCTGGGGGTGGTGGTAAGCGAGAGAGAAGAGAGTGGGAGAGGGGAGAGGGAGCGTACTGCAGGTCGACGCCCAGGATACGGGCGATGTCGGCGGGCTGGAAGGTGTGGGCATATTGGTACTGGTCGGACCACTTGCAAGCGGGCAGCGAGCAGGTGGTAGCGGTGGTGGGCGGGCGGGTGTCGTTGTCCCAGCGGTCGAGGCAGCGCGGGGAGGGGGGCGGCGGGTCTAAGGCCTGACAAGGGAGGATGGCGGCCCTTGGAGGAGGAGGAGGAGGCTCAGTCGATTCCTCGACATCCGGTTGAGCAGTCTCTGTTCCCATTCAAGTAGGAGGCGGGAGCGAGCGGGAAGCGCCGTGACGGGCACGAGGGCGCTGTGGGTGGAGGGGAGAGGGTGAGAGAGAGGGTGAGAGGGTGAGAGAAAGCGTCAGAGAGAGAGAGAGAGAGATGTGTGTGTGTATGAGAGTAGAGAGAGAGCAGTGGAGGAAGAACCTCAGTGAGAGGGAGAGGAAGAAAGGAAGAGAGAGAGAGAGAGAGGAAGAGGAGGAGGCGAGGTAGATAAGGAGTGAGGTTGGCGGGCGGGTGAGGGGTTTGGGCCAGTCAGGACAGGGCAGGGGCGGCGGCGGCGGCGGCGCGGGATCGGCGGGGGGGGCGCGGCGGTGGCAAAGGCGGTGGGCAGCGCCGGGCGGGCAGAACTGCTGGGCGGGCAGGCTTGGCGGGAGTTGGCGGGCGGGCTGGGCGGGCAGCCAGCGGCATTCTGCCAGTCACGGGAGCGTACGGACGAGGTCTGCCCGCAGCGCCGTATTCGCACACGAGGTGCGCCGCCAAACGAGCCCGAAGGTTTGCCATGCGCTCAGCCTGCAAACGGGCGTAACTTTGTGACGTAGGTTCAGCCCAGCCCAGTCCAGCATAGGATAGGCCAGAACGGGGGTATCAGGGCAGGGCAGGGCAGCCCGGGTGCTCGCCCAACACGTCACACCGCAGCGCGAGTCTCTCTGGGCGGCCTGAGGGCTTCAAGACGCCGGGTATCAGCTAGCTAGCGAGTTCCAAGTTCCGTGGGAGCTTATCAGATCGGAACAGCATTTCTCCGCTTCCGGATATCTCGCACAGGCTTCTTGCAGCCAAACGAGCTCGCTCTCTCTCGACCAGCTCCCTTAGGTACTCTCTCTCCCCATTCCCATTCCCATTCCCATTCCATTCAACCCGACTCGTTCCCCCGCCATGGCCCCGCTCACCGCCCAGCTCTCGCCGCTGCGCTTCGCCAACGGCTCCGCGGCCTACACCTCGCCCGCGGGCCACCGCGTGCTGGCCGCCGTCAACGGGCCCGTCGACCCCGCGCGGCGCGACACGCTCAAGCCCGACGAGGCCACGCTCGACATCCTGGTCAAGCCCGCGGCGGGCGCCAGCTCCGTGGGCGAGCGCTACGCCGAGAGCATCATCCGCGGCCTGCTGGCGCGCGTGGTGCTGCTGCGCGACCCCGCCCTGGCCCGCCGCGCCGTCGTCGTGACGCTCGTCGTCGAGGCCAACCCGGCAGCTCCGGGCCGCGTCGACCTCCGCGGCGCGTCGGTACGTGGAAGAGCCTAGACTCCCTGGTTGCACCCTGCTAATTTGGACCTCTGTGCCGCAGTACCTGCCCGTCCTGCCGGCGCTGCTGCACGCGGCGCTGCTCGCGCTCGTGTCCGCCGCGGTGCCCATGTCGATGATGTACAGCGCGGTGCTGGTGGCCGTGGACGACCCCGCCGGCGACGGTGGCAGCGTGCGGCCGGACCCGACCCCCGCAGCCACGCAGGCGGCGGCGTCGCTGCACGTGCTGGCGTTCTCGTCGCAGGGCCACCTGCTGCTCAGCGAGAGCCACGGGGCGTGCGACTGGCCGACGTGGGAGCGCGTGCACGACTGCGCGCAGGCCGTCTGCCGCGGCGGGCCGGCGGGCGGCGGCGTGGAGGGCTGTCTGCGCGAGGCGGCCGAGCAGCACGCCCGCCACGCGCTGTCGTGGACGCTGGCCACGCCGTGATCCGGGAGGCATGACAATCACGATAATCATAACGATAATAATAACGATAATCATGCTGAACCTTCATCGACGCTTTGCCTCGGAGCTCGCGCCCGCCCGCACCCGACCGGACGTGAACCATGGGCTGGGCCATGCAGCGCCAGCATGGCGGAGAGCGGCTGTACGACAGAGGAGGAGCCTCCAGAGCTACAAGTGGAGGAGACTCGGCGGGTCGGCCGGGAGCCACGCGACAGCGACGGCCAGTCGGGTGGGCGATCGGGGAGTTTGTGCATGTATGTCGAAGCAGTCGTAGTCGGTAGCGGATTGGCAATCAATCTTTACACCCATGCTGTGTACCAGCGAGGCGGTTTACTTCTAACAAGGAGGCGGAATTACATACCTGTTCGCACGGAAGTTTTGGGCGGTTCGGGCAAGGATCGCTGCGAGCGGCGGGCGTGGTTTGAGGACGGGCGGTTGGCACGATGAAGGGTGCTTGGATTTCCACGTCCGCGGAGCGCTTTCATGCCCGGTCAAAGATACTTTGCCCAAGGCGGTAGGAATAATAGTAGTAGTAATTGTGCGGGCCGTCGTACCGGCAATAGTAAGAAGAAGAATCGTAGTCGGCCGCTATGGGGAGCAAGAGGCCTGGCGGGCAGTTCGAGGGCAAGGAGGCGTTGGCTAGGGCGATACACGTCGCGTCTCAGGCGGCGGCGTCTGAGGATCCCGGCTGCGACGGGCGGCGCACCAGGGCGAGACGGGAGGAGATATAAGAAGCACGAAAGAAGCAGCCGGCAGACAGCCAGACAACACCGAACGACCGACGACTGAACGATGGCAGAGATGGCGGCGCAGCTACGGCGGCCGGCGTTGGCGGAGCGGCGCGACTCGGCGCTGGGGCTGGCGCTGGAGCCGGGCAGCAAGAGCATCGCAACCGACCGAGCGGAGAGAGAGAGGGCAGAGAGAGAGAGAGCAGAGAGAGAGAGAGCAGAGAGAGAGAGAGCAGAGAGAACAGAGACGACAGATACCACAGATACCACAGATACCACAGACACCTCCCGACCCGCGATCACCCCGCTCAACGCGGCCGCTCTGTCGCTCGCCATGGCGTCGCTGCCGGCGTCGCCCGTGGGCCGGCCGCTGCAGCCCGCGGACGCTGAGCACGGCCGCAGCCATGGCCATTCGCATTCGCAGTCGCTTTCGCTTTCTCACGGCGACGCGCGCCTGCACCGCAAGCTGTCGGCCGCGCTGGCCCCGCATGCCCCCCCGCCGCCCGCCCACGCCACCGCCGCGCTCCCCCCCGATGCCACCCATGCCCCCCCCGCCACCGCGACCCCGGCCACGGCTCGCTTCCCGCTGCAGTCGCCCTGCTACGTGCACCAGCGCTTCGACGCGGCGGTCGACATCGCGCGCGTGCTGGACGAGCTGGCGGCGGCCGACGGGCTGTCGCACTCGCGGCTGCTGCAGACGGCCACGGGCGTGCGCGAGGTGTCGCGGGCGCTGCAACGGCGGCCGCTGCAGCTGGCGGTGCGCGCCGTGATGCTGGTGACCAAGGCGCGCGACCACCGGCTGGTGCGGCTGACGCGCGACCTGGCCGCCTGGCTGCTGGCCACGCCGCGCTACGGCCGCGACTGCGGCGTGACGGTGTACGTCGACGCCAAACTGCGCGCCTCGCAGCGCTTCGACGCCGCCGGCCTGCGCGCGCGCGACCCGCGCTTCGAGACCATGCTCAAGTTCTGGACGCCCGACCTGTGCTGGGCCGCGCCCGAGACCTTCGACCTGGTCGTCACGCTGGGCGGCGACGGCACCGTGCTGTTCACCTCGTGGCTGTTCCAGCGCGTCGTGCCGCCCATCCTGGCCTTCTCGCTCGGCAGCCTGGGCTTCCTCACCAACTTCGACTTCGCCCGCCACCGCGACCACCTCGACCGCGTGCTGGGCGACGGCGGCATGCGTGTCAACCTGCGCATGCGCTTCACCTGCACCGTCTTCCGCGCCACCGGCCCGGCCCCCGCCGCCGAGCAGCGCGAGCAGTTCGAGGTCGTCAACGAGCTGGTCATCGACCGCGGCCCGTCGCCGTATGTCTCGAACCTCGAGGTGTACGGCGACGACGAGCTGCTGACCGTCGTGCAGGCCGACGGCTGCATCCTGTCGACGCCGACGGGTAAGATCTCCTTACTCCGTAGTATAACGAATTACTAACACTCCCAGGCTCCACGGCCTACTCGCTCTCCGCCGGCGGCTCGCTCGTGCACCCGTCCATCCCCGCCATCCTGCTGACGCCCATCTGCCCGCACACGCTGTCGTTCCGCCCCATGGTGCTGTCCGACACCCTGCGCCTGCGCATCGCCGTGCCCGCCGCCTCGCGCGCCAGCGCCTACTGCGCCTTCGACGGCAAGGGCCGCGTCGAGATCGGCCCCGGCGACTTCGTCTCCGTCGAGGCCAGCCCGTTCCCCTTCCCCACCGTCGTCGCCGGCGCCGCCGAGTGGATCGAGAGCGTGCGCCGCTCGCTGTGCTGGAACGCGCGCGGTGCGGTGCAGAAGGCCTGGGGTGCTCAGCCCCAGCATGATCATCCTCACGACCATCCCGACGATGAAGACGACGACCCCGACCAGCCGTGGGACATCGACACCGACTCCTACGCCGACTCTGCCCCCGACTCCGGCCTCGGCCCCAGCGAGTGCGGCGACAGCCCGGCCACCGGCACCGCCAGCCCCCTGCACCGCGTCATGAGCCTGCTGAACATGTAGCTCTATCTTCTCTTCTCTTCATCCATTGCATCCGCCCTGCATAGACCTTTATACCATGCATAATGCAAACTATCCATACTGCATCTCCGTTCTAGACATACTATAGCTGGCTCCTTGTTTGTTTTCTTTCTTACTCTAGCATCCTATATTTATACATGTGGATATGATCAACACCTAGAATTGGCTCAAGATATGCAGTAAATACTCCATTGTACCACTCAATGCATCTCGTTACCAGTCACACCCTTCAGCCAGCAGCCGCGCCAGCTCCTCCAGCCCCTCCTGGTCCGTCTCGTCGAAGCCCGCCGGCTCCGTGCAGTCCACATCGATCAGCGCCACCGTCTATCAGCAGTCAGCGAACACGTAGTTGGTTACCTACAACCCCCCTTTCGCACACACCTCGCCGCCCACCACTATCGGCACCACAATCTCACTGCGACTCTCGGCATCGCACGCGATATGGCCCTCCCACGCACGCACATCGGCCACGCGCACGGTCTGCCGCGTCGCCGCCGCCGCGCCGCACACCCCGCGCCCAAACGGGATCAGCTGGCACGCCGGCTTGCCGTGGAACGGGCCGAGCAGCAGCACCGCGCCCGCGTCGGGCGCCGCTGCGTCCGCCCGCGACGGAGACTTGTCCTTGCGCACGTAGAACCCGGCCCAGTTGACTGCGCGCGACGGCGCTGGCAGGCTGGCGTACGCGTGCCACAGGAGCGAGGAGACGTTGGCGAGGTTGCTAGTAGGAGTATGTATTAGAAGGAACCTCAGGACTACGTAGTTAGTTAACTATCCGGACACACCTAACCTAGACATCGAACGTCGTGTCAGTTGAAGGCGTTGGTTACTCCTCAGACCCATACTCACCCAGCTGCGCCGCCCGTCCATCAGCCCGCCCGCCTGCTCCAGCACCTGCGCGTACACCTCCGCCTTCGACAGGCCCGGCGCGAAATACGACGAATCGGCGTGCGGCTGCGCGCCGTCAGTTCTGTAGTTAACACACACAATCACTTGTCCAGGTCGCACCATCTTCTCTGTCAGTCCCGTCTCCACTAACTAATTAACGAACGAACTCTGGTCGTCGTTTGCGGGTGTCGTCGTCGTTGTTTCAGCCCGACTGAGTTTGACGCGCCCCGCCGTTTGGACCCGCGAACTGTCGACGGCTCGAGATGACCGGCCAGGGGGGCCCAGCCGCGCCCCCGGCCGCCGCAGATTCTGCAGCCCTGCGGTCCTGGGGATAATATCATCCGTGAACCTGAAGCAAAGAACCACCGGCCAGCAGCTTCGCCCCGCAACCGCCGCGCCGTGCCCAGCGCTTCTCCCGAGGCTAAAGCCCGCCCACGATGAAGCCGGGCGACGGCAAGAAACCGGTGGCGCAAGCTACGCTGTGAATGACACGAGACACCCAGCTACTTAACTATTTGCCCCTTGATTCCGGTCCTGCCGCGCCGTTTGCTGCCTCACGATCATCGCCATGAGACTGTTGCTCGCCGTCTTCGCCCTGCTGCCGGCCTCGTCGCTCGCCAGGGATATCGTCTTCCCGCCCGTGCACGCCGTGCCCGCGCAAGCTGTGCTCGGTCTCAGCGCCAGCGGCGCTGACGATGTTGATATCATCTCCGGCAGCCAGTTCTCGGGCCTAACGACGTTTGCCAATGTGCCCTATGTGAACTGCTTCGTCGACGCCGAGGCCGCGAAGCAGCGGTACGATATTGCCTTTCTGGGCGCCCCCTTCGACACGGTACGGCATCATCCCCCCTCATCACATTGACTGAGATATCTCACACATTTTCAGGGCGTCACCGGCCGGCCCGGCGCGCGATTCGGCCCCGGCGGCATCCGCCGAGGGTCGCGCCGAATCGAGGCGCGCTCGGCCTGGAGCATATATACCGGCGTGAACAATCTCCGCGACTGGGCGAGCATCGTCGACTGCGGAGACGCGCCGCTGACCTTCTTGGACAACACCGTTGCGCTAAGGCAGCTCGACAAGGCCCACAAGGTAACTATGCCATGGCCGTAGATATCCCGCCCGGGCTGGAATTCTCCCCGATTGGCCGATCGGCTGCTCATCCTCTCGCTGCGATAATGAATGGGAGTGTTTACTGGGAGAATAATACTAGATCATTTCTTCGCGGCCAGCAAACTCGACAAAAATCCCCTCCGCTCCTCGAATTATCACTCTCGGGGGTGATCACACGACCACGCTCTCGGCGCTGCGATCAACCTACGAAAAATGGGGGCCGGTGTCGGTCATTCACTTCGATAGCCATATTGGTACTCATTCCCCCTGCAATGTCCAAGGCCTCCTACTAACATGTTTTGGCAGACTCTTGGGACCCAGCCGTGCTAGGTAGGTCTATGTGGCTTCTCTATATTCCACTAGCTAACCCCTCAATCATCCCAGGCGGTGGAATATCTGATTATGCGTAGGTGCCTGTTGCGTAATCCTTGACCACTTCTAACCCTTAGCATAGGGGCGTGAACCACGGCACCTTCTTGCACATTGCCCACGAAGAGGTAACCCCCCACCCCGGCACCACAGCCCATTCTCCTGCTAACAAACACCCCAGGGCCTCGTCCGCAACAGCTCGATCCACGTCGGAATCCGTGCGCCGCTGATCCGCCCAAAGGGCGATCTCCGCAACGACATCCGCTGCGGGTTCGACATCGTCACCGCCCGCGACATCGACAGGATCGGCGCGTCCGGGATCGTTGAAGCGATCAAGAAGCGGGTCGGGTCGAGCAATGTTTACATCAGCGTCGATATCGACGTCCTCGATCCCGCGTTTGCACCTGGTGAGTCTGGCTAAAGCTTTCTTTGCGGGAAAATGCACTCGTTGTTGACACGCCCGTCTAGCCACGGGCACCTCGGAGCCGGGTGGTTTCTCGACTCGAGAACTCCTTACCATCCTCGATGGGCTGAGCGGGATTCGCATTATCGGCGGCGACGTCGTGGAGGTCACGCCCATCTATGACACGGCCGGTGAGACGACCGTGCTGGCTGCGGCCGAGGTCGCTAATTCCTTGCTGGGGTTGATGATCGCGAAGCCTGTTTCTACTGGCAAATCCTTATAATTTGAAGATACTCGGAATCAGGCTGAAGCCATGGATGTACGTCTGAAGATCTGTAGTATGTATATACACGCTAGAGTAAAGCTGATTAGGAGCAAGGCATGCTGCAATAGCTACTGCCACCTCAGTAATGGCTACAATCACAAGGAAAGACGCAAGCACATGGACCTTTTGATCCTTGTTTAAACGCTTCAACCAATCGCGGTATCAAATCTCTTCCCACTTGCCCCATGTTTCCCAGAAGTTCGATGAATTGCGTACTTTGTACCAATTCCTGGGCCACAGATGCCACATACTGGATAACGAGGAACCGCAATTTCTCCATAGGCTCGATCATATCCCTTGTGTTCAAGTATGTATACCGAACTAGTTCGACTATGTCTTGTCGTCGTTCCTTATAGAGCGTGAAACCGACGAGCGTCTTGTGCAACTTGTAAAGACAAGCATCTTTGAGCCCAGGGATGTCATACTTATCAGCAAAGGTATAAAGTCGGGCATGACATAGAAAGACTTCAGTATAGTCTTCACACGGCTCCATATTTCGGCGAGGATCTTTCTTGAAGTTATGAACCGCTGCATCGTACTTCAGGTCGCTGAAATTGGTTGATGTCATATCTAGAATCTGCACGGGGTCGTTTCGTTGTATCAAACGTTTCTTCTTACCCTTGTCCTTCTTCTTGGACAGCCCCATTTTGTGGTCTTCTGCCTCAAGTGTGTCAGCTAACGAATCGTCTGGGAACTCATCAGGAGCGTTAGACACAATTTCTGGGGGTGATGGGATAATATTCGGGTCCGCTGCTTCGTAGTCCCCCGTGTAGAGATATTGACCAAATCGCGCGAACGTTTGTGGGTCAGTGTCCTCAAGCCAGGCATAACCTTCTCTTGCTTCTGCCATCCCTCCACTGATGAGGACACTCAGTGGCTCCGAGTGGTCGACAATCAGTGCCGTATGGATAGTGAAAAGCTTTTTTTCGGCCCCTATCAAAAATTGAAAAATCGGGGAAGAAAGAAGCCTACAAAATAGGTCAGCCGCTGGAGAAGTGACACTAGAGAGAAACCAAAGCATTGCGCTCACTTGTCGTACGAGACCTCCATTATAGTCAAAGTAGGATTGAGCACATTTATGATGCGAAAACTGTCGATTAAAGTAAAATACCCGACCCGCTCAATCAATGGGCCTCAAGTGGAAGCTATAGCGATGACTATGTGGATCAAGTCGGTGGCGGTGACGTGTGCCAGGAGGCTGCTCGTCCCGCTATATCCCTACTACTAGGGCATTTTGGCACATCATACCGACTTGTATGCATAGTCACGGGGTATCTTCAGCTATACTCTATCCCGATCATCCGTAAAGCACAGGGTATCCGGGAGCTTAAACCACAACTGTATTTCCGGGACTCACACTGGTAGGGTAGCTATTTACTATTCCATGGCCCTACCAATCTTAATTCAGACTCAATCAGTAGTTGTTCATTTGAGACATCCCGGGATTCTGCCCGAAAGGAAACAGAGTGGTTCTTTGAAGGGACTGCGAAAAGATTTGTTCGCTGTGTGCAGTGTTTGCAGTGTCCTCCAGCAAACAAAACAAACAAACTTGCCATCCGCCGCTTAACTATTTACCCACCGCGTGCTAGGTTCCAACAACGGTCTCCGATTATACTGAATTGATGTGTGAGACGGCTATTCTTTATACGGGGAAATTATAACAATACACATAAGAAGTGGTTCCAATATGGCAATGGAAGGGAATTATACACGCAACGAGCGTAATCTTTTATTTGAATGGCCAAGCACTCTCCCATTCCCGACCCGCCTCTTTATCCTGACCAGCCCAATACTCAACAAACTGTTCACGAACAAGGGAGAGCTTTTGCTTGAGTAGCTCGTACTCTGCATGGCTCGCATAGCCTTTCCATCCACGTTCAGCTCCACCTAGGGACTCTAGTACATCATCCATAAGGAGAATCCCTTCCGCCCACTTCATCTCTAACTTTCGGTTGCGCTCAACAGCCTCGTTTGAGTATTCCAAAGGGCATGGTATTCCCGCGAGGCTGTTGGTCTGGTTCCATTTGGTAGCAAGTTCCATCAGGAGGGCCTGCACAGCTGGCTCTGCGTCAAGAAGTATTGTACCTATGAGAGCAACAATCTGTCCCTGAAGTGTCTGTTGATACCCTAGTGCTTGGTATACACGTTTATTAAGCAAAGCCGAGTAAGCATCATAGAACTTGTAGAGGCTCTGTTCAACTAGCAATTTCTTTGCTTTATTTTTAGCCTCTTCGTTTAGTTCATCGAAGTTGTCTGGAAGTGAAACCTTCAGACCTTTTGGGATTGGCCCTATGTAGTTCAGAAAAGAAGGATGAGTGGCTTGATAAAATAAAGGTGCAACATGGACACTTTGCCAGTCAATCAAGCCCACAATTTTGGTAGGGTTCTCAGGGTCCACAAAAATATTGCCCAAATGAAGGTCATGGTGCCATAAAACAGATATTTGACAGGCTTCCAGAGGCAGAAGATGGCTAGCCACCTTAAGAAAGTCGTGGCACACTGAAAGCTTGAGAGCGCGATCAGGCTGATATCCACCCGGGCCTACTATACCTTCTGGTCTAAGAACCTGTTTTGGATCCTGGATAGCTTCCATCTCTCGACGACACACTCCCTCTACATACTCATGTGCTGTTCTCCCTAATACAAGGTGGTCAATCCCCGTCACGATCACATCGGAGTTAGGAAACGGCAGACTTACAAGGACCCCGATCAAGTGAAAGCTCCCCTTTATCGTCATCAAAAAAACGACGATCTGTTGTTGGTCCAAGGATCCAGCGACTGTACGCCTTGTTAAGACTAGCAGCTGGTATAACCTTTGTCCCCTTTGGAACATCATTTGGATAATACAAAGAACCAATGCCACCAAAAGGGTTACTTAAAAATTTAATCTCAAACTTGACAACAGCTTGAATTATATCTCTTTTTTGTTGATTATTTAGGGTTGGCCATACATTCGAAAGGCAAGAACCTGCTGCCTTTTCCATGATAATGTACTCTGCTCCAACCTGATTTTCAGCTGCACGCGAGTGCCAAGCGAGAACTTTAGGAACTGGAATGTCAAGTTCGCTTCTGGCCTAAGAAAAGTAAGTGTACAATTACATAGAAAGTCCGCGGATATATAGGTGCACGTACAAAGTCCATAGTGGCAACTTCACTTGCCGTTGTGTAGTGAGGAAGGCCAGAATTTGGATTAGGAACTCGAGCCACGAGTTGAGACCCGTCAGTCATAGTCAAGAGAAGACTCTTATTGAAATTCCCTTCAGGGAGCTTTTCAACTTTGGAGCATGATATATGCTCTTGGCCCAAAGACTTGATGGCAACTGCTACTAATGCGTCAAGGTTGAATTCAACACGGCGGGCAGCTAGCTGTTCAGCCTCATTGAACACCCAACGTCCGCCAGTGTAGCGGTAATAGTCAGGGCTGTCATCTAGGATATATCAACATCTACCGAGGCAACCCGAGGTAAACAGAGGATAGCATACTATATTGTTTGACGGATGATGAATTTGCCCTGGTCGTTGATATGGAGCCCAAAAGGGATTTTGTTGAAGGAAAGGCTTGAATTTGAAGAATGGATATTGGTATTACCCTTGATATCACGCGTCTGAGATGATGAGGTAACATAATTACTGTTATCCATCTGACTCGGTCTCCATTGGAAGTCTTGATGGACGCTGCGCCAAGCCAGCGGCATGCAGGCTGCCAGAACATTTGACGCCTACTCATCTCCGGAAATTCCGTCGTGCGAACGTGTGTACCAGACTCAAGCATGGAATATGTGGTAAATAAGTGTACATACCCTTACATTCATATAACCCTTCTATTTCCTAGTCGGAGAACGTCTCGTGAGCCGGACATGCCATGTAGCACCCTTTGAACATAGTAGACCCGCATTTACTCTGTACAGCCATCTGAACCAGCTTGATAGAAACACCAACATTCTACACCGCCCGCTTGCCTTTCTCTAGGGCGTCACAGTCCACACTAATACTCTGATGTCCGACTGCGGAAACACCCATGGGGGATGGTAAAGGATAAATGAGGAGGACCAGGCTGTCATTGTTCGACTGGTCGAAAACCTTTCATTGCCAGATATTTGCTCTAAAAGAACATTGTGTGAGACGGAATAGGTATGAGCTGCCTGGTCTGCGTTTCTTATAGTATGAAAAACTTCTAACGCTGGGACAGGTTCCGCCCACCGCAATTTAGACATTTTCGAGCCACGATGCAGTGGAAAATTGGTGTACTCTGCACACTTCTGATTTCATCACTATGTCTTGCCTGTGAAAACCCGGACAGCGTTATGATACCAGGGAACGATAGTATATCCATGAATACAACGCACCTCGCAGAGCCCAGGCGCTGTCGGTCATGTAGAAAAAGGTGCTTCCCCGACAAATTCCCGGTTTGCTGCTTGGATAGTGGGTTTTGTCGTCCAATACGCGAGCATTGCGTTTATCCATATTTAGAGTGTTCAGGGTATGGGGCTCCTCGTTGCTCTTTTCTTCCTGCGATGCCTTTAGTCATGTTAGCTAATATTGAAATGCATTTAGCCCTCCTCTATAAAAAGCTCTATGTATTTATATTTGGATAGTGATCACACTAGTCCCAGCTGAAGTCTTTAAATTGTGTTTCTTTCACCCAACATCTCAATTCATTATTGATTGCTCGCACATCTGAAAATAGAAAATTGTGGGTAAAAATTCGAAAGTTCAGCCTTTTCTGAAGCTGAATTTCAAATGATCCAGTTATGAGCTGGTAGATTGTCATTCTTTAATTATCCATAGGGTATTTATTCAGGCCATTAATTTCAAATACCAATTAGGTGACCACTAGAATAATATTAAATAAGTTGACCCTCGACCTCTCGACGAGAAATCACCCATAGCCCAACAAACACGCCATAAGAGTCTTGCGCGAATATCAGAAGAGAAGATGCAGCGTGAGGTTATTGAATATAATTCGAATCGCCGTCCTTTACGGAGTAGTGCTCAATCCCTGAGTCGGAAGCATCCGAGAGCGAAACGTCGAAAAGCACCGCATTTAGAGAAGTACGAACATGGAGCGGAACTGTAGGTACGGGGTAGATAGGGCCAAGGTGGTGCATCTTATCCTGTTTGGACTAACCATATGGTAGAATCATAGCACATTCTTGTTGTATTTTCATAGAGCATCATGGTATCAACAGCATTTTCACATTACTTTTGAGATAAAACCACACCAATGAGTCCGCCTCATCCAAAGGAAACTAGCATATCGCTGAGAATATTGTAACACATTAACGTCTGGCCGATGGTTTGATGATCTTCTTAACTTTGGCTTCTACGTCATCCCAGTCGCGTGCGTCAACGCGCTCAATGTTGGTGTCAAAATATTTCTGGATGTCCTGGAGCATCTGCCATTCATCTCTATTAGAGACAAAAGATACGGCAACACCGACGCGACCAAAGCGGCCAGTTCGCCCAATACGGTGCAGGTAAGTCTGAGCATCGGCCATGCGTTGATGATGCCCAGGTTGATGTATTTCCGGGATATCCTATTATGAAATACATGTCAGAGAATGAACTTCGCGGAAAGGTAAATAGCACATACGTAGTTAATAACCATGGAAACTGTTGAGACATCGATTCCTCGGGCAAGCACATTAGTTGTAATGAGAACTTTTGCAGAACCATTCCGGAAGCGGTCAATAATTTCATCACGTTTTTGGCCTTCGATGCCACCGGTCAATGAGACAACCGTATGACCCTCTGCAACCATACGTCGTTCGATCTCTGCTGCCGAAGTACGCGTCTAGAAATTATTATATTAATTAGGGAATAGCGATTGAGGTAAATCAAGAATACCTTCACGAAAATGATGGAAGATCCAACTGTCATAAGTCCGTAGAATTTGACTAAAATTTCATATTTGTGCTGATCAGATTCACAATCCAAGTAGAACTGTTTAATACCCTCCACTGTGAGTTCTTCATGTTTGAGAGTGAGCTGATTGGCATTTGGCGCGAATTTGTTTGCGTAGCGAACGACGTGGTCAGGGAAGGTGGCAGAAAACAAAACCACTTGAATGGTTCTGGGGAGTAAACTATAATAACGTTAGCTATCACCACATAAATTGAGTAGGGCCTGGATTGGATATAATACCCTTTAACACGAATACATTGATCTCCAAGGCCTTGTTGGTCCAACATGTTATCGGCTTCGTCCAATACCAAAACTCTCAAATGTTGTGTATTGAAGAGTCGCTTCTTGATAAGATCCTGAACAGTTCCCGGGGTTCCAACAACCACAGATGCCTGTACGCTTTGGTTTCGATTCAGCTCCATGGGAACAGCAGTCGCCACGTGGAGTCCTTCAATGAAAGCACCCATAGCTTGAATAACACCAACAATCTGTCGCGCTAACTCTCGACTTGGTGCAAGAACAAGCGCCTGGGGAATAGCTTGGTTCTCTGGACTTAAATCAAGACGACTTAGAACGTTTAGCACGAATGCGGCTGTCTTTCCAGTACCGGATTGCGATTGGCCGATCATATTTGTTGGAGGATTAGCCATTAGAAGCGGCAAAGCTCTTTCTTGGATCTTTGAAGGACGGCGGAAGTTCATTGTAGAGAGACCCTTTTGTATAGGAGGGGCACTTCAAAACAGCAAACATGTTAGATCTATAAAACAGTACGGTTCAAAGGTGCGGGGTGTTCCTACAGGCCGAGCTCCTCGAAGGACTTAATAGAGTAAAGGGGGTTATTAGGGTCCGCCTGCATATCGCTAAGCTTAACGCTGACATCATATTCCGAGTCTTGAAGGTCGGAGCCTTGTTGAGGCCCGGAGGCGCCATCGACTTGGGGGATCGAAGTGGTCTTGCCGGCATCTGTTTCTTCTGGTGCTTTGGGCTCTGTTCAACCAATTTTTAGCCTTGTCATTTGAATATTCCACTGAAACGCTGTCTCTACAATAAAATTTACATACCTGTAGCAGGAGGGTCATCTTTTGTTTCCGGCATTGAGATCCGAGATGCAAGTGGCCCGCCAGCCGGTACAGTGGGGGTTTCTGTGTTTTCAGACGCCATTTCGGCGGGAAGGTACCAGTTGAGCTGGCGGCTGTTATGAATTCTTCGAGGGAAAGAATAAACAGGTACTAGGTAGACACAAGGCTTGTGGATTGGGGAGCTAGAAATTGCCTGGGAGAACTTGTTTGTGTATGATGGACAAGGGAGGGGAGAACAGTGTATGTAATAATGCCCTGAACTGAAATTCCACACAAAGAAGACGTGGTGAACGAAAATTAGGCATACACTCAGAGAAACCTCAATGAAGCCCGCTTCAGACAGCTCCAATCGATGAGCTCCAGCAGCGAGAAATGTTCAGCGGCGACGACTGGCTTGTTTCCGGTTTGATCGCGGCAGCTTAGTCATACATTCCTGATGACATAACACAAGGAGCTTGCCAAGAGTGGCTTAGCGCAGAACACCCCGCCATTCCGCAGCCATGCCTAATATGAACTAGCGCCTAGAGTAGTTACCCGCCCTTACGCGGCTCAAACTCCCCACCGCCGATGACGGCAGAATCCGCGGCGCGAAACATCGCATCGCCAGACACAGTGCCGTGGATAATGCAAGACTGGCGGTGCACGTCCTTTTTTGCGTTTATGTTCAGGCACTCAGTTTTATTATATTCCGAATCGATAAATCAAATCACCAGTTTTGCCGTTTTGTTGCATGGAGAAAGCCCACATTAATCTGTCATGGCACAGGTCGAGGGTGCTGCTCCTCTTTTCGGCGCCGAATTAAGGGTATGTCGTTAAGCGATTGGTAACCCCTTAGCAGATGAGACTGATATGAGCACAGGATGCCTTTAAACCCGTCAACGCTTGGGTATGCATTGCCCCATGACTCTGCCATCGACCCAGGCGCTGAATATTGCGAATAGGTATCGAACGGCATCGGCTGGCTAGACGAAATTCAACAATTCTACCGGGAGCGTAGTGCCATAGAGAAGGAATACGCCTCGAAATTGACTGCCCTGTGTCGTAAATATCAGGATCGCAAGTCGAAAAAGTCCAGCAGTCTCAGTGTTGGAGACACCCCCGCCCTGACACCCGGCTCCCTCGAATCTGCTTCCCTGACAACATGGACGACGCAATTATCAGCCATCGAGGCAGAAGCTGCGGAGCGCCATCAATATGGTGCTGATCTCGAGTTCCGCATTGCCGAGCCTCTGAAACTAGCAGCCGCACGATACGACGAACTCCGCAAGAACCACGTTGAATGGTCGGGAAAATTGGAAAAAGAACGGGATGCTTCGTACAGTGATTTAAAGAAATCCAAAGGAAAATACGATGGCGTTTGCCAAGAAGTGGAAAATCGGCGAAAGAAGATGGAGTCGGCGTTCGATCATGGCAAAGCAAAGTCGCAGAACGCTTACCAACAACAGATCTTGGAAATGAACAATATCAAGGTATTTTGAAGGCTGTACGCGCTATAATAGTGCATATACTCATATACAACAGAACACGTATTTGATTGCGATTAACGTCACGAACAAGTTAAAGGAGACCTACTATTACGAATATGTTCCTGAATTACTGAACGTATGTCTTTTTCCAACATTCCATCTCTCTATGTGTGCTAAACTTCAACGTCCAGGGTCTACAAGATCTTAACGAGACTCGAGTGGCCAAGCTGAATTCAATCTGGACCCTCGCAGCCCAACTCGAACAATCCCTATTATCTAAAAGCAGCGATCATGTCTCTCATGTCATATCCGAGATCCCTCGAAACGAGCCCCATCTTGACTCAATGATGTTCATCCGGCATAACGTTGCCAGCTGGCAGGAGCCCATGGACATGCAGTTTGAACCCAGCCCTGTCTGGCACGATGACGCAACGATGGCCATAGACGAGCCAGCGAAGGTCTTTCTTCGAAATACGCTTACTAAAAGTAAGGTTCAGATGAAAGAAATGAAAATCGAAGCGGATAAGAAGCGGAGAGAAGTTGAGAATGCAAAGAAGGTACGGCAAAGCGTACGAGATGGTAAAGACAAACGCGACGAAGTCGAGGTCGTTCGGGCCATTTTTTCGATGCAGGAAGACTTACACCAGCTTGACCGTAAACGTCTTACGGCAGAAGTGGAAACGTCGACCATTACTTCTGTCGTGGGCGATTTATCATTCGGCGCCAAAAGTCATAATTTCCGAGCCCAGACTTTCAAAATCCCCACAAATTGTGATCTTTGTGGCGACCGGATCTGGGGCCTCTCGGCGAAAGGGTTTGATTGCCGGGATTGCGGATACACATGCCACAGCAAATGTGAAATGAAAGTCGCGCCAGAATGTCCAGGAGAGCAAACGAAGGAAGAGAAGAAGAAGTTGAAAACCGAACGGCAGGAGGCGGCCAGTGCGGCCCGCTCATATGATGCCTCAACATCTCCCAGCGTGGCCGAGTTGCCGGCTCTAAAACGGCGAGATACTATGAACTCCCTTAGCTCCGGGTACGCAGCCAGTGCGGCGAGATCGACATCCGCGCTGTCTAGCCAAACCACCGACCCAGGGCCAGCCGAACTGCCTGCGACAACGGCCGCAACCTCACCACCACCTGCAAACAAGCCAGCAACGCTACGAAAACATCGGGTTGTGGCACCTCCGCCCGAACGGTATGTGAGCTCGCCGCCCCCAGTATCTAATGGTGGGTCTGGCGCAAAGGCGGATGAGCCCAAAGGGAAGCTATTATATCCCTACCAAGCCAACGGCGAGGACGAGATATCCGTGGAGGAAGGCCAAAGCATTGTGATTGTTGAGCCGGACGGTAAGCACTGTTTTCAACCGCACCCTCCCTGGAAGCATTATCTGGTGATAGTGGCGGCTAACGAGGTCACACAGACGGCTCAGGCTGGATGCGCATACGAGCAGGCCGTTCGACGGGCCTCGTCCCCGCGTCGTACGTGGAGCAGAACGCGTCTGGCGACCGAGAGGGCCGGCCCGAGTCGACGTACTCGGCCTCGAGCCTATCGATGGGCAACAGCAAACGGCGCGGGCCGGCAGTGGCCCCGAAACGCGGCGCGAAGAAGCTGCAGTACGTGGTGGCGCTGTACGACTACGAGGCGCGCACGGAGGCGGAATGGAGCATGGCGGAGGGCGACCGGTTTGTGCTGGTGAACCGCGACGGCGGCAATGGCTGGGCGGACGTCGAGAAGGGCGGCGTCACGAAGTGCGTGCCGGCGAACTACATCGACGACGCCGCCTGAGACGGGCGGCAATGTGATTCTCCATAGGGGCCGGGGGCGATGGGGGTGTTTTATATTTGGATAGATCGTGTGCTGCATTTGCATCGAGTGCGTTCGCGGGAGTTTGCCCGGGCGTGCGCCTATTATTATTATTATATTATTATAGCAAACGCAGCGCTGTTTCTGGAGTCCTGGCCACCGTTCTCACGAGCTCCTCGGCCACTACTGATACTAATATTAGCATCATCCGCGGGAAGCGAGATTGCCCGCCCGCCCGTTCCCTCAGCCCACGGCTGGGCAGTGCCACCAGCGGAGATGCAGGATGATCGAGCCTTGGAACGGTGGATGTAAGCGCACTGCACACGCCCATGCGGCCACGCCCAGCCCGCCCAGCTCAGCTGTGTATCGTGGCCGTCGTCGTCGCCTTGCACGTCGCGCGGTGGAGCCGGCCGCGTCTTGTCGGCGTCGAGGCTGTGCTGGTTGGTGGTGATCGTGCTTGGCTGGCGGTTCAGGGGCTGCAGCGGTGGCGAGCGCTTGTATGAAGATCGTCGCCGGCGTTACGTATGTGGCCGCCCTGCCTCTTCTCTCCTTCACGATCATTCTTGTTGTTGTTGTTGTTGTCTTTGACTCCTTGAACCCGCTGTGCTCTTCTCGCGTCCGTCGCTTCTGCGTGCCTGTCTCACTGCGTGTTGCAGAGAAGGATACGCTGCCATTCGCTTCAGTTCGACCTTCCTGTGCTGGCCTCGCCGCGTCTCTCGCTTCCGCTCGTCCACCGACCAGCCGTAATACTCGTTCTTCAAGGACAGCCAGTCTTTTATCAGCACCCAACATGAAGGCTTCTGTGCTTTCGCTGGTCGCTGCCACTGCCCTGGGCGCTTCTACCGCCCTCGCCAAAACAGACCCCGTCACCGTCAAGGGCAACGGTAGGCCTGCTGCAGCCGACTCCTATATGTACTTCTTCGCTGACCAGCCATTCCAGCTTTCTTTGCGGGGAACAATAGGTTCTACGTGCGTGGTGTGTACGTATATTGACCTATATCTGCTTTCTCTCCTGTCTCGTGCTAACTGTCTTGCAGTGACTATCAGCCGGTTCGCACGCCCCTCCACCGAACACAAGCGCCATTGTCCATTGCTGATATCAGGAACAGGGTGGTACATCCAAGCTAGTTGACCCGCTTGCCGACCCGACCATCTGCAAAAGAGATATTGAATATTTCAAGAAACTCGGCCTCAACACCGTCCGTATCTACACCGTTGATAACAGCAAAAGCCATGAAGAGTGCATGCGCGCCTTATCCGACGCCGGAATCTACTTGGTGTTGGATGTGAACACGCCCAAGTACTCCATCAACCGCAATGGTAGGATGCCTCAGATGCTGAGTTCAAACCGCATTCTTGAAACTAACCGCCTCTCGATGCAGACCCCGCACCCTCGTACAACGACGTCTACCTTCAGAATGTCTTTGCCACTGTTGACTTGTTTGCCAAATATGACAACACCTTGGTGAGATCTACAATCTCCCAGCCTGCTGTTTAATCCGCCTACTGACCTGATTTGAAGGCCTTCTTCTCCGGAAACGAAGTAATCAACGATGAGAAGACGTCCAGCACGGCTCCTTACATCAAAGCTGTGACCCGTGATATCCGCCAGTATATCCGCAACCGGAAACTAAGAGAGATCCCAGTCGGCTACTCTGCTGTACGCTACTTTCCATATTACACTTATGTTACCGTATACTAATACTCGCTATAGGCAGACGTGAGTGCCAATCGTCTGGAGACAGCTCAATATATGAACTGTGGCTCCGATGACGAGAGAAGCGACTTCTTCGCCTTTAACGACTACTCCTGGTGCTCGCCGTCGTCCTTTACTGGATCGGGCTGGGATCAGAAGGTGAAAAACTTCACCGGCTACGGACTTCCTCTTTTCCTCTCCGAATACGGATGCAACACAAACAAGCGTGATTTTGGTGAGGTGGCGTCCCTGTACTCTGATTCAATGACTGGTGTCTACTCTGGGGGCCTTGTCTATGAGTACACTCAAGAGGCCAACAACTACGGTTTAGTCAAAATCAAGGGCAACAATGTTGAGGAGCTCCCCGACTTCGAAGCTTTGAGAAAGGCCTTTGCTGGGACAAAGAATCCATCGGGTGACGGAGGCTACAACTCTAGAGGCGGTTCTAGCAACCCTTGCCCTGCGAGAAATGCTCCCAACTGGGATGTCCAAGGCACCTCCCTGCCTGCTATTCCTGAGCCAGCGAAGAAATTCATGACAGAGGGAGCTGGCAAGGGTGCCGGTCTCGAAGGCCCAGGAAGCCAGAATGCAGGGACCAGATCTTCCGGTACTTCGACCCCCGGCGCCGGCGGTGCTCCCAAAAAGGCCGCCGCCTTCAGCTTGCGCCCCGAGTCCGGCCTTGCGCCGGTGGTTTGTGCTCTGGCCGTTGTGGTGTCGACGATGTTTGGAGCGTCCTTCGTTTTTCTCGCTTGAGTTTGATCTGAGATTCAATGGATAAAAGGTCTGGTGGGAGTGCGTTTATGGCAATTCCTGGGATGTTATGGGTTTTTTTTCACTCGCCGGTTATTTCCAGGGGCGATGGCTCTGCTTGTTTGCTTTCTTTCTTCTGAATGTAATGTATTGTAGTTAATAAAATGGGCTTCGTGGTTTTTGCGGCCAGACTTCCAGCTCCAAGACCCATATGTAATCGGCTGCTGGCTCGACTCCTATTCTGCGGCCTGTGGCACTCGTTATCCCTGATCGAAGACGGACGGATTCGAGTTCCACACAGCGCCAAACGAGGCGGTTCGATATCCCCAAACAGCCCCCGTTTTCCCCCCTGCGGGCTGACACGCCGCGAGTCGCACCACGACGCCGCCGCCCACTCCTCGCTCGCCTGGAACTGCTTTCCACAGGCATCGCGGTGGTCCGTTTTCCCTAAAAGCACCCATTTAGGGATATCCGGCCCCGTGGATGGTAAGATTAGGCGTGAGGGTGACCAACTGGGAGTACACCGGAGGATTCAATGCCTGCGAGACGGCCAGGCTAGCCAGGCACCGCTCGTTGAGTTAAAAGTAGCTTGACGGGCGGTCAAGCAGGCAAGTTGGCCGAGCAGCGCGTCCACCGCTCGCTCTCCCATCTTCTCGTTCTCCCTTTTACTCTTCGTTCTTCCGCCCTCTCGAGCGCTGGCCCGGACCAGAGGAAACCGCGAGGGAAGCCGGACTTTCGACGTGCGCAGGCCAGGCGATGGGTGGGCTGTCGGACCCGCTGCCTTCCGTGATATTCTGCTCGCTGTCTCATCGAATGAGACTGGACGGGGCCCATCCTCCGAGAGAGCAGAGCTGGCGATCTGATGATGGAGTACTCGCCGTCTCTTGAGATCGAGGGCTCGCTGGAGACGGGCTGCTTGGTGTCGACCAAGAGCTCGCATCCTTCCGTGAAAGACGGTGCGTCAAAGCAGCCCGGCATCCCCTGGCTAGTTATCCCCTTCGTGCTGCTAACAGAGCTATCCGGCCCGCAGAAGCTGCCTGGGTGCAGGCTATCCGCTCTAAAGATGCTGTGCTCAGCATGCCGCAGACCATCGCCCACCGCGGGTACAGCAGCAAGTTTCCAGAGAATTCAATGAACGCCTTCAAGCATGCTATAGACGTAGGTGCAAATGCTATCGAAACGGACGTTCATCTCTCGAGAGATGGGGTGGTGGTGCTCTGCCATGTGTGTATCCAAGTCCATATATACATATCTAAGGCGGGGGCCGATGGCTAATCCAGAGGCACAATCTAGGATTCCACCCTCAAACGCTGCTTTGGCGTAGATAAACGAGTAGTCGACTGCGACTGGAAGTACCTGAGTACACTACGAACCTTGAAAGAACCGCATGAGCCTCTGCCTCGACTGGTAGACTTGCTGGAGTACATAGCTTCTCCCGAGCGCGCGCATGTGTGGATATTACTGGACATAAAGGTGAGCCCCATCGCTTCGACTCTTAGTATTCCCGCTCTAACAGCTCATCTGCAGGTGGATAATAATACGCATAATGTAATAGCAGGCCTTGCCGACGCCCTCGCCTCAGTCCCATCGCCCAACCGGCCTTGGGACGAGCGTGTAGTTCTAGGCTGCTGGACGGTACGCAGCTACTCTCTCCCGACCCTGTCCTTTCATCTCTAGTTAACTAACTCACCATCAGGCCGAATACCTCTCTCTCGTCCGTGACCACTTCCCCACCTATCCCCTCGCCATCACCACTTTCTCCATCCAATACGCCCGACAGTTCCTGCGCGTTCCTGGCGTGAGCATTAGTATCAACCAAAAAGTGCTTATGGGCTGTGGCGGACGCAAATTTCTCGCGCAGGCAAAACGTGCAGGCAAAGCTGTGTTTGTGTGGACAGTGAACCACAAAGCCTTGATGTGGTGGAGTATCAGACATCAGGTGGACGGCGTCATTACCGACCGCCCAGCCGTGTTTGTCGAGATTGGGAAGGAGTTGGAGGATGATGACTATGGAGATGGGTTCCTGGGCAACGGGGAGGCGATGGGAATGGAGCAGAGAATGGCTGCGATGGTGGCCACAGTGGCATCATGGGTACTAGGAGTCCTGTTGATGGTGATGCATCCCGTAAAACGGACAGGGCTGGATGGGGTAGATGAGGAGACCATTCCATATGCTTAGCACGGGCTGTCTTGCTGTTTCATTTTATTCCTGGGCCTGGAGTTAATTTTCATGGTTCCCAACAAAGCATTGATTGCATGGATACTACTAGTTATGTATATATATCTCAAGATTAGATGCACATGAGATTAATGAACGGTGCAAATCAAGTACGGCATAAATAAGCGGTTAAAACGCAGCATTGATAAAGCACAATATGCAAGAGAAATTTGTAAGCCAAAAAAAAAGTAAATATAAATGGCAATAGAATACGGAGTATAAAGAGTATAAAGTGATGAAAAAAACTTGGGTATAAAGCTACACCTATCCATGGTCCCGTTTTTTCCAAACCGAAGAAAGAGAGTAAGACCCAGCAAATCCTAGGAAAGGACTGCCAAATATTGATACAGAAATGGAGATTAAAATGATTGTAACATGGCGATGGAATCATGGTGTAAATGATTGGCGTGAGACATGTCTGGGGCAAGCAAATGCATCGCGAATGAATAATGGGAGCGTATATAAAATAGGTGTGCAGAAGTTTATCCACTCGAACAAGCATATAATACTATCGGCGGATAAACCCCTTCTGCGTTGCTGGATGTGTAGAGAGGGCTTGTGAGCCGTATCATATCATCATTAACTTCGTAGTTCTTCGCTCCGGGAATCGGCGCGGTCCAGGAGGGGCAAGAGACCCCTGAGGACCAGGCGGCCCGGGAGGCCCTGGGGGTCCTGGAGGTCCTTGCGGGCGTCCCATGGGAGGGCGCCCAGGACCGTAGCCATTTCTATTTGGAGGATACATTCCAGGTCGAGGTGGGGGGCCACCGGGTCCACGGTTTCCGGGCGGATACCCAGGACCTCTCCCTCTCCCTCTACCTGGGCCAGGCCCTGGGCCACCCCGTGAGGATGGTGGTGGATATGGAGGATAGTTCGGCGGGGGTCTTCGGCCATATCCTGGGGGAGGGCCGCCGTAATCAGATACTGAATGGGCGCCTGGAGATGGGGGTGGATAAGCTATTGCTGCAGCTCTCCGGCCATCCCGTTCACAAAATACATCCCCGTTCCATTCCAAGTAATCGCCTTTAAGCACAATCCGGCAAGTCTTACAGCGAAAGCAGTCTGGATGGAAGATCTGCTTCGTTTCTTTCCCGCCATTCTGGTCAGGTATAAACTCTTCGGTCTGGAGGCAGGGTCCTTCAATACCTGTGCCGCACGAGGAGCATAACGAACCATTGAGTTCATGATAATGTTGGGCACAGTAGGGATTGTTATTGAGAACGTAGAAGTCAGCAGTTTTGAAGGGCGAGCAACAGGTAGTGCAGACAAAACACGCTTTATGCCATCTACCAGTCAAACGGCCATCAGCGGAGGACACGGACTTTCCAACGATAACATTTTCGCATCCACGACAGCGAATTCTACGAGATTGCCCCGGAGATTTCGAAACAGCAGAGGGAGATGTCGGCTCTATTGGTAAGGGCGGGGGAGGAGTGGCAGGTTTCACACTGGGACGGCGTTCCTCTGGCTCAGAGTCTGATTCTTGGCTGAGTTCTGCAAAGCGTTGGTATTTTGGAAGGGTACGTTTGAATTCGCCTTGCTGGAACAATGGGTCGGTAGGGGAATCTAGATCATATTTGTAAAGGATGGGAGGCTGCGGTTCAGAAGCACTGGAAGGTTCGGACGTCTGGGTGGAGAAGGAGCTGCTTGTTGTCGCATCAGAAGCGTCAGAAGACGAGGTGGAACTGTTTGTTGTATGGTGAGGGTCCCCAAGCCCTAAGTTACGAGCAAAACCCGACACAGAAAAGTCCTGGTCTATGGTATATATTGGAAGAGTAGTCTCTTGGTCTGGGGCACGTTTTAGGTCGGAATCGCCATCCAGAGGCTTCGAGGATTCAGCGGTTGCACTTGAGAAGCGTGCTGACTGTGAGTGCCGATTTTGTGGTTTTGCCTGTTCCGGGTCGACGGAAAAGCCTAGCTCAAAGCCAGGGAGCCCACCACTAAAGGGTGGGGTTGTGGCTGTGGTGGACCTGTCCTTCTGAAATGCTTCTTTGCTCAGAAATATGTAGGGCTCTGGGGAAGCGGTAAATGGGCTAGGCGTGTAGCTTTTAATTGGACCAGAGGGCAGCGGAGGTACCTCATCCAAGAAGTTGCCGAAGCCGCGTGAGCCAGCTGTACTTGGAAATCCTGGCGTTGATGAACGCGATATTGACTCGCCATAACGGCTGCTAGCCATGGAGAGTCGCGACAAGCTCTTGCTATCAATTGAGACTTCCCGCTTGTGCTTATTTGCGCGTGAGCGTCGACGGCGCTCTTGATCTTCGACGCTCTCGCCATTCTGAGGGACTGACGAAGGCGGAGCACGGTCACCCTTGACGATGGTTTTCGACCTGGATCTGCTTTTTGCACTGGCTCTTGAGTCAGGGCGCGGGAAGGGCGGAAAGGCACAGTCGAGGTTGGTAAGTGATCGTGCCAGCGGAGACGGTTCGGGTTTTCGTCGATCCGCCGGCGATATGGGGGAGGGAGACGACGTGGTCTCTGGCCTATCGGCGGATGTGCGTAGATGGAGAAAAGGGCGGTCTAGGACGGTTAGTCTGGGAGAGTATGCATGGGAGGGCAATGGCATACTGGCAGCGTAGGGGTCAATGGGCGGTGGGGGGGCCATGCGGCCAGCTCTGGGGGGACTCCCTTGCACACTGGTCTTAGTCGGCTTTGGTGGGGGTACGGGTGGAGGACCAGTTGCTGGAGGTGCTGTTGCTGCTGCTGCCAGGCAGGATGTTAGCTTGCGTAAGTGGCAGGCTGGGCAAGGCACCTACACTTGTGGGCGGGCTGGCAGACGTGGTCGCCCATGGCCGACAGCTCGACCTCTGCGAGGCAGCTGGAGCACTTGATGGTGGGCAGAAAGGACTCCATGGCTGGCGCGTGCAGGGAGAACGTTCACGGCCAGGCGGCGGGATTGGCTGGGGACATGGGAGCCGTGCCGGGACGGGCAACGGCTGGCTGGCTGGTTGCAATGTCAACGGGCGGGCGACAGGTCACAAACCGCCGCGAGGGGCGAGAGACGAGAGCAGCGGATGAGGCAGCGAGAGCGAGGAGAGGATGAGGGAGAGGATACGCGGCGGGCGAGAAGCGACGTCGAAGGTGAAGCCGCAGCGGCAGCGACGAAAAGGGGCAAAACAGCTCAGGTTGGAAGGTGCGACGTCAAGGGGCCCGCTGAGTCAGCGTGTTTGGTTTCCCGAAGCAGCAAGAGCGGCTTCTCTCGCATGGCAGCGCGGGCCCCTGAGCCACTAGGCCATACTCGGTCTAGCCCGCGCGGTACCTGGGAGCGGGTCCTGCGCACCATGCCTGACTAGGCCTAGCGGTCTGCACCGAGCCCCACTAGTGCCTGATCGACGCTCCACAGCGCGCCACCTATTGGCCAACTGCACGTCATGCGAATTTCGGTCGCAGCCAATGGCCGGTCGCGACCCGCTGGCCTGAGCGTGCAAACCAATCCGCGGCCGGCAATCGCCGCGGCGTCGCACGATCACTCTGCGACGCGTATGCGAATCATCGCCCGCCGTGCCGCGTGTGGCGGGTGGGCTACCTTGGCCCGCGGCTGACTAACCGCCGGGTCGGACTATTGTTTATGCGCGGGTCCCATGCGTGGGCGGAGAACGCGAATCGCCGCCGTCGTCAACGCAGCCGGTGGGCGCAGCAGCCGGCAGCGTAGCGAGCACGTAGACAAAAATCAGAATGACGGTGTGAATGGGCGTACATATGTGCTACAGCACACAGGCCCGCCCGGTCAAACCATGCCTGGCCAGGCCTTGCCGGATGACCCCAATCGGCGACGCACATCGTTGCCGTGCCACCCCGGGAGGAGGATTGCCCCCAACGGCATCTCCAACACGACCGACAGGGCCTCGCATTTCATGAGTGGGCGAATCGGGCTCGTCTCTCGCGCTGATCGCGAGAACCCGAAGGCACGGCTGCTGCCCGAGTGATGCTTTACCCGACATCCCACAGTGTGAATCCCCGTCAGCATCGGTTGGTGTTGGCTTGCCCGCCATCGCCGACTCACCGGAGCCCAGCAGGAGCACGATCAGCGCGGATTGTCGCTGCGCAGCACCCGGCCAGCTCACCTGCTGCCAGTCGAGCAGCCAACGAATGCGGCGAAATGAGAGCGTGGTGGGGTGTCGGGGCTTCACCGCAATATCAGATGCGTTGTTAGCCGAGTTAGGTTGAGCTAGCCACTCAACTAACTCGCGAGTGAGTTAACTAACTAGGTAGCCTGCCTGTTGTTTCCCTACAAATATCGCCTGCCGTCCCGTCTCGCTCCCTCTCTCTCTCACCACCATCAACCCAGTTCCAGCTCCAACTCCAACCGCCTCCCATAAGATCACTACTTTGCAGTGATCGTCTAACACCGCCAAAACGTTTTCCAACCTTCTTCCTTCGTGAGTGTGCCTGTCTCCCGCCATGTCTGGTCCGCCTGCTAACGGCCTCTAGGTCCCACCACCCGTTCAACGGCAGCCGGCGCTCGTCCGCTCGTGGAGGAGCCTCGGATTCCCCCTACGTGAGATAATTTCAGCCTACCATCAACTTGACGCCCGCTCGTTCAACTGTTCAATCTCTCCCACGCGACAATGGCTCCCCACGCTGACATTGCTGCCAATGGCGCCGTGAACGGGTCGGCTCCCAGATCAGACCTCTTCAAGGTCGAGTCCCCCAACGTTGTCTATACGGACAACGAGATCAAGAGTAAGTATGTGTACCGCACGACTGCCGTCACCCGCACTGGCGATGGTAAGTATGTTGCCACCCCCAAGGAAACCGTCTACGATTTCAAGGTGGACCGGAATGTGGGCAAGATCGGTATGATGTTGGTTGGCTGGGGTGGTAACAATGGAACCACCGTCACCGCCGGTATCATGGCCAACCGCCGCAACCTCGTCTGGGATACACGCGAGGGTAAACGCTCCGCCAACTACTACGGCTCCCTCGTCATGGGCTCCACCGTGAAGCTCGGCACCGATCCGAAGACGGCTGAGGAAATCAACATCCCGTTCCATGATCTGATCCCTATGGCCCATCCCAATGATCTCGTCATTGGCGGCTGGGACATTAGTGGTATGAACTTGTCCGATGCTATGGATCGCGCCGCAGTCCTGGAGCCTTCTCTTAAAGAGCTCGTCCGTAAGGATATGGCCGCTATGAAGCCGCTCCCTAGTATCTACTATCCTGACTTCATTGCCGCTAACCAGGAGGAACGTGCTAATAACGTCCTCCCCGGCTCCAAGGCCTCCTGGGATCACGTCGAGCAACTCCGTAAGGATATTCGGTGAGTACTGTACCGAACTTCACCTAACCTTAACTGTATTCACTGACCATTCGCTAGCGATTTCAAATCTTCCAACGCCCTGGACAAGGTAATCGTCCTCTGGACCGCCAATACCGAACGTTATGCCGATCTGTTGACTGGGGTCAACGACACCGCCGATAATCTTCTCAAAGCGATCAAGGATGGACATGAGGAAGTGTCTCCATCCACCGTCTTTGCGGTTGCATCCATTCTTGAGAATACTCCGTTTATCAACGGATCTCCTCAGAATACCTTTGTTCCAGGTGCCATTCAGCTTGCTGAGCAGCACGGTGCTTTCATCGGCGGTGATGATTTCAAATCCGGCCAAACCAAGATGAAGTCCGCTCTTGTCGATTTCTTGATCAACGCCGGCATCAAGCTCACCTCCATTGCGAGTTACAACCATCTTGGAAACAACGACGGAATGAACTTGAGCTCTCACAAGCAATTCCGTTCCAAGGAGATCTCCAAGTCCAATGTCGTTGACGACATGGTAGCAGCCAATCATGTCCTTTACAAGAAGAATGAACACCCAGACCACACTGTTGTCATCAAGTACATGCCTGCTGTTGGTGACAGCAAGCGCGCCCTCGATGAATACTATGCGGAAATCTTCCTTGGTGGCCACCAAACCATCAGCATGTTCAACGTTTGCGAAGACTCCTTGTTGGCCTCCCCCCTCATCATCGATCTTGTGTTGCTCGCTGAGGTTATGACTCGTGTGAGCTGGAAGGCTGCCGACGGCGACAAGTACAAGGGCTTCCACAGCGTGCTTAGTGTCCTGAGCTACATGCTCAAGGTATGCACATTCCTTACTTCCTTTCCCTCTTTCCAACTTCAAGACTTCTGGACTAACATAACCAGGCCCCACTGACCCCTCCCGGAACCCCTGTTGTGAACGCATTGGCCAAGCAGCGTGCTGCTGTTACCAACATTTTCCGGGCCTGCGTTGGCCTTCAGCCCGAGTCAGACATGACTTTGGAGCACAAGCTTTTCTAGACAGATCAACTATTGCACCTATTCTGATGGATTTTGCGGGGTCTTTACGGCCTACCTAATTTTCGGACTTTGAAATTGCAAACATCGGGTAGCTCAACTTCACTCTGTGATTTATTTCTCAGACAGTCGCTCCTTAGATAGAGTCTACCAATAATACTTATATTTTCCCTGTGAATCATGTGATATGATATAATTACCCAAAGCGGCAGGAGGGGCACAGATGAGTGGATAGCCGACTCTCAACGACGACGATATCCCTCTCTTCTGCCTCGTTATCACGTTGCTTGTTCTGTCCAGAATGGAGAAGTATATTATTCGACTTCCTCCTCCATGTAGGAGTGAAATTATCGAGGATACCGACACTTCGGCTCAGACTGAGGCTCTGGGAGAAAGTAACAAGGACTTCTTCGATGAAGATAAGCCAACATGGACTCCCAAAGGCCATAGAGAAGTCTTCATTCAAGACCTGGCAGTCGGTCCTCGTCGAGTGACTTTCATCGCTAGAGTGGTGAATATATATGATTTAAAGAATCGGTTTGCATCCAACGATAGCACTGGTGAGAAGCGGCCTGCAACAGGATGCTTGAAACTCTTAGTCAGGGACTGGAGTGGGATAATACAGGTTCCCAAATACCTACCTTGGCAATCGCCAATGATTCGGATCTCTGCTGATGCTTGAGATTAGGTTCTTCTTTGGTATCTAGATGTTGAGTATGAAATCAACTTAGGCACCCTATTGACGATTTGGATCACACATGTTTCTCATGCCAACCCGCAGCCAAAAACAGGGGCCAAATTGCTCAAGACGAGCATTTTCCCTGAAAAGGATCAAGCCTGCCACGTCCATGTTATAGAAAACGACCTTGGCACCGTTGCTTGTGTGCCAATAGGATATGACAGTAGCGCAAGAGAGAAGTTGAAGGGTATTGTAAAGCTGCGCAATATTACGGAGGCAGTAGAAGGAGAGGCGAGAATGCTAGTGTGGGTGAAGGCAGTGGGTGCGACGAGGAGAGGTGTCAAGCTTTTTTGCCCTTTGAGTATTATTGGTGTGAGGCTGACTGGCAGGTTTGAGCAGTGACTCGGCCGCAGAAAAAGGGGGAGATTGTTGAAGAACGAAATGTTGGTATTGCGGACGATACGGGCGAAGCAGTACTCTATCTAAGCGGGCGCATTCTACACTCTGCACAAAACTGGATGCCGAACGTGACCGTACTCCTTCTAAGCAATGTGACCTGGAAATCAAACGGGACCCGAGCATATATTTCTGCTTACAGTCAGGTCGAAATCAATCCAGATATGGAGGAGGCCGAATGGCTCAGAAGGCATGCCAAGAGAGTGTCGGCGTACATTAATGAAGATGTACCTCAGAATGGTAAGGAGAAATGCGTCTAGGGTATTAATATCGCACTAAAATCATATTCAACTATAGTGTTCGATGTAGAGGCTTTTGAGAGGATGGACTTAAAACTGAAGTATACCATAAGGGATATTGATGAGTGGTACGTACCCGGTGATGCTGCGCCAGAGTGGTCTACAAACTTATATGTTTTGCTAGCTCGCAATCCAGCTATGGTTGGTTCTTGAACTCTCAGACAGCACTCTTACTGATGAACATGGAAGAAGCATTCATGGGCTACCTTTGTGTCATGATCACAGAGATGCATCTTGTGTACTTATTCAAGATTAATCGCCTGTTTTGCGCTGAGTGGTAAGTAAAACCGAGAGATCATACACCAGTGCTATTACCGAAAGACAAGTACCTATATGGAGTCCACTCATTGTGCATGGCTGATAGAGTTCATAGCTGTAATATGCCGATTTTTGCAAATAGTGCCTGGGGCCAGTGTCGCCAGTGTGATAAGGATATTGAACTGAGAATAAACCCACGGGTTGTAAGTTTGCAATTTTTGGGGCTGACTGATTCAACTTGGATAGGAATTGGGTCCATATTGGCATTGTTGGCATGCACTTTGACTCTAAACGGCATCTCCTAACAGATCTAGGTGGGCACAATCGCCGACAGTACTGGCTCGGTTTCCTGCACACCAGTTGGATTCAATCGTCGAAAAGAGCCACTTGCGATTCGAGGAACTTCGCCGCTCCTTTGGACACCAATGGCATGGCGGCAGCTATTTGGCGGAGAGCCCATGGCTCTATTTGACGGAAACGTTAGCGTAAACAAAATGGTGGTGGTGGAAACGCTGATGTTATACTCCAGGATCACATTACTCTTTGGGTGGGACGCGGACATCGGGAAGTTGGTTGTGTGCCAGGTTTCCGGGAGCTGAGCAGGGATATGAACAAAGTCCGGGCGAAAATGTGATAAAAATTTCTTTGCTATCCTAGCTACTAAAATTTAGCAACAAACAACTCCAACCAAGCGGAGTTCAATGCAAGCATATGCCAAGCATATGCATATCGACAGCACAGACCTATTTAGATGTACCTTGTTGGGTATCATTGCATATGCGGCCCGTTCTACTAATCTACCACACCCCAAGCGAATACGCTTTCGGGATGTTCTTCCTGTTCGGCGCAATAACCGGGACATTAAAATACCTTTTGTTTTTTCTCTTCGTATCCCAAAGGACTGGTGGCGTTCTTTTTTCCCCGCCAATAACCCGTTCAATCCTCCCGGCCAATTCCAGCAGCTGTTTCTCCGACCTTGGTAGGCCCAACACTTCCACTCCCACCGGTACGCCCGCTCTTGCACCCCCAGTGCGCGAAGAGTATCCGGCCGGCAAGGAAATAGCTGGAAACCCTGTAACCGAAGCGAGGATGCCGTTTCTGCCCCGCTGCGAGGGAGAAGAAACTGGTACGGCGAGGGTGGTCTGGTGTGGGTAAATGAGCGCATCCAGGGTATATGTGCTAAATATTGAATGCACGGCACTGCGGACCTCAGAGGCGAGCGCTTTGCGTGTGGCATATGACATATTTTGAGGGGACGAGTAGAATGACTGAGTGAGTTGGGCGCGCTGGTTGGGGAGTAGGAGAAACTGGGACCCAGCAGAATAGAGAGCAGCAAGGGACGCAGGAATGTCAGGAGAAGTGGTACTGTGGTGGTACGAAAGATAGGCATCCATTGCCTGGCGGAACTCGTAAACCTGACGGTCCATGGTCGAGTGAATCACCGTGGAGTTGAGGAGCGCATTTGTGATAGGAATCAGGGTAGCCTCTGCGGCATGCAGTCTGGCAAGCATCGACTCCACGACGTTGTTCACGGCAGAGACACCGGGGTCAGACGATGCAGATGTGCGATCGAAGAATGTCTCGACCACGCCCAACCGCATGCCATTCAGGCCACTGAAGTCTGCCTGATGTTCCGGCCCGAACTCTGTGGTATAATCCACGCCCTTGCCCTCCATCACTCCCAGCATGACAACTACATCGCGCACGTCTCTCGCCAGCGGCCCGACAACATCCTGGCTCCACGACACCGGCATCACACCGTCTGTGTCTAGCATGCCTAGCCCAGGCCTCATCCCCACCACCCCACACGCGCTGGCCGGGCTCCTGATCGAGTTCATGGTATCCGTGCCCACTCCCAGCACCCCAAAACCCATGGCAAGACCGGCACCCGTCCCGCCCGAGCTGCCGCCCGGCGTGCGCGACAGATCGTAAGGATTCAATGTCTGCCCGCCAAGCGAAGACACAGAAATGCCTTCGAGTGCCAGCTCGTGCATGTTCGTCTTCGCCAGCAGAATTGCGCCGGCCTTGCGTAGGTTCGTGAGTACAGGAGCGTCGCGGTCGGGACGAAGGGACGAGAGGGTCAGAGAGCCCCCAGTGGTGGGCATGTCGGCGGTATCGACGTTGTCTTTCACTATCGTGGGTATGCAGAACAACGGCGGGAGGCCCATCGTAGACGCCGTGGCAGAGGCATTGCGCCAGACAGCCGAGAGCTCCAGCTCTGCTTCATGCCGGCCAGCGAGTTTGTCTCGCAGTATGATGTCGAGGGCATCGGCGGTGCGCAGCGCAGTAGGATTGAGGGTGAGGATGGCGTTGACGCGCGGGTTGAACGTCTCGGTCTGGGCCAGAAACGCGGATACAATGCTTCGACACGTCGCTTTTCGGGTCAGCAGTGCAGCATGGACCGTTTCAACGGTGGCCTCGAACGGCCCAAAGTCGAGACGCCAATCTGCAGGGCGTGGCGGTGCGACGACGCCGAGTGACAGCGCAGATAGAAGAGAGGCGACGAAGGATTTCATCCTGAGAACCTCCTTCCAACCTCTCGACGACAACGGGCGCCCTCACAACAACAGACAGCCGGCATGGAGACCGCTCGAGCCCGTAGGAGGTGCAATAATAAGGACAATGGGTCTCTACTTGGCTGCTTCGTGAAGTTTAACTACATATGTAACTAACTAACTCCCATGGTTGCTTGACTTGCTGGTTTGCTGGCTGACAGCTGTGTTGCAGACGAACGAACCTACGCTACATCTACATTGCGAACAGAACACTACCTCAGGGTACCTGGCTACAGAATACTACAGGGCCAGAAAGAGAGCTTTTGAATGATCATCCATTGATTTGTTAGGCTCGTGAAAGCTATCTGCAGAAATAATCGCCACACGGTTGCCGTCCTATGTTGAATACCACGTTCCATGCGCCTCAATCTCGTTCGACAGCGGGGGAATAGTCGGCGGGAGGATGTACTCTGGCATAAAAAACGGTTGATGAGCACTGGGATGCCGCACACATATTACGCGGGGGGGACGACAACAACGTACCGTGCGATCAGTGAGGCTCGCAGTGCACGACAAGGCCCATGTTGTTATTGCAGGTCTGGTATGGCGGGCCATGCACATGGCAGCCGGAGGGCGTGTTGGGGCAGCAGAAATTGCAGTTTCCGAGATCCTGGCAGCCGCTGGGGACGTTGCAGACAGCGCGGGCCTCGCCGGCGGGATGGGCAGCGGCCATGAGGAAGAGGGAGGAGAGAACGGAGAGGTAGAGCTTCATGGTGGCGACGAGAGGGTGCTGATTGCTGGTTTTCTGGATGGCAATTGAGGCTGGACTGGCTGACTGGCTGATATCGATACTCCTCCCGAGCGTGCTCTTCAGGCGGCTTTTATATCTTCCCCTCCACGACGCCCACCGTCGCCAACGCCGTGATTCCCCCGTGCAATCCTGCTTCCCTCGATCTCGACGCCTGGGGACCCTAAGAGCATCTGCATGCTGCACAGCTTACCGCGCTCGAGTGCTGCGATTGCTGCTAGAGTGCTGCTGCCGACCTGAGTACCCTCGGGGGGCTGTGCACGGCCGGACATCCAGCGATTGCGAGCTCAAGACCGCCAGCCGCATTGGCGCCGCCGGCGTTCCTTTTGCATGCCGCCGGCGGCCTTGTCCTCGCTTTGGCGCCTCTGCTGCCAACGGCCGGTCTGCTCGCTAGCCCGTCGCAGAGGGTACTCAATATCGCTACACCACGCGGGATAGCTCGCGGTGGTTGCTTGCCAGCCAAGCTCTATCATTGTTTATCCGGTCGCTGAATTGGCTGGGCTGCCTACTACAGGCTCGTTTGCAAGCAATCGCCTGCGGACATAAATTCGGGGCTGCTGCCATGCTCAGCATAAGTCTGATCCTGCTCCTCCCCGCCTGAACCGTCCCCGCAGTGACCTCACAACCGGCACGATGATTTCTAAGCGCTGGGCCATCCTCCTGTCCGTCCTGTGCAGCCGTGCTCGGGCTGCACCCCCGGCGGTGACTATTGCGCCCTCTCCCACCGGCGCCTCTTGCTCGTCAGTATGGCCCGTGCTTCTTTTGTCTAACAAGTCTAACGCACTCGCGCAGGTTTCATGTTGACCACTGGGACTGCACTTCACTGTGCACCGAAACCTCGTCCTGGTACGGAATTTCAACTACCGTGACGAACTTCGATGAATTCCAAAATTCCCTGGATTCCGTCTATAAATCCCGGTCACTCACCGGAAACAGCATACCCGTGCATACCACGGCCTTTACCTTCCCTGGGTTGGGCTACATCACGGCATATGGCTACTATAACTCAGAGGCCCTAAAGTCTGCTGGTTACCAGATCATCTCCGGAGTGTCGACAATCACGGAGCCCTGCAAACCAACAGCATCTCTTCCGCCCTCCCCAACTGGGTCTGATTGCACTCCTCACGGCGACCATTGTAAGCTACTCTCCTAGGTATTTTGGTATGCATCTACTGACAGTCATAGGGCATTGTCAGCCATGGCCATCTGCCACCAGTCCTCCGCAAACATGCGAACCCCATGGTGACCACTGGCATTGCCCTCCCGGCGTGCCCCAACCTACGACGCCGCCAGGAGCCCCTCCAACAAGCAAACCACCAACGACTGCTTCCTGTGAACCTCATGACGATCATTGGCACTGTCCCCCCGGCGTCCCAGTACCTACAACGCCACCTGGGGGGTCTTCTCCAACGAGCAAACCGCCAGCAGCCACTGCTTCCTGCCAACCCCATGGAGACCACTGGCACTGCCCTCCAGGCGTGCCATACCCTACAACCCCCCCAGGGGCCTCTCCATCAAGCAAACCACCAGCAACCGCGTCTTGCGAACCCCACGATGATCACTGGCACTGTCCCCCTGGCGTCCCAGTACCTACAACACCACCTGGAGGGTCTTCCCCAACGAGCAAGCCGCCAGGAGTAACTGCTTCCTGTGAACCTCATGATGATCACTGGCATTGTCCCCCAGGTGTGCCACAGCCTACTACACCACCAGGAGGGTCTCCTCCTACAGGCAAACCACCAACAACTGCTTCCTGTGAACCTCATGATGATCACTGGCATTGCCCCCCAGGTGTGCCACAGCCTACTACACCACCAGGAGGGTCTCCTCCTACAGGCAAACCACCAACAACTGCTTCCTGTGAACCTCATGATGATCACTGGCATTGCCCCCCAGGCGTGCCACAACCTACTACACCACCATCATCTCAGCCAGCTGCCAAACCTCCTGGAGGTGAATGTGAGCCACATGATGACCACTGGCATTGTCCCCCAGGTGTGCCACAGCCTACTACACCACCTGGAGGGTCTCCTTCTACTAGCAAGCCACCAGGAGCTACTGCTTCGTGTGAACCTCATGATGACCATTGGCACTGCCCACCAGGTGTTCCCCAGCCAACTGCGCCTCCATTTTCCAAACCAACAGGCAAGCCTCCAGTAAGTGAATGTGAACCACATGGTGATCACTGGCACTGTCCTCCTGGAGTGCCTCAGCCAACCACACCACCATCATCCCAGCCAACAGCCAAACCTCCTGGAGGTGAATGTGAGCCACATGATGATCACTGGCATTGTCCCCCAGGTGTGCCGCAGCCTACTACACCACCCGGAGGGTCTCCTTCTACTAGCAAGCCACCAGGAGCAACTGCTTCATGTGAACCCCATGGTGACCACTGGCACTGCCCACCAGGTGTTTCAGAGCCAACTGCACCTCCTTTACCCCAATCAACAGTCAAGCCTCCAGCAGGACAATGTGAGCCTCATGATGATCACTGGCACTGTCCTCCTGGCGTTCCACAGCCTACAACACCACCAAACCCGTCTCCAACGCAATCGCCTGTCCAGTTCGAGGGGGCTGGCTCGCGAAATATCAATCCAATTGGGCTACAAACGGCAATACTGGGTGGTCTGTTCCTGCTATGGAATTTAGCAATCTAATGTACTCAATGAAGTGTAACGATACAATAGTCCAAACTCAGGTAGTTGTAGTGTAATAATTTGCAGACTAATAAAGACAATTGTCACATGACGGCATGCCTTAAGGCTTTGCTCGGAATATTAATTATATTCAATACAAACGGAAATGAATATACTCGAAAAGGGGATATAATAAAATACAGGAACAGCTATGAACAACTATAAATAAGATACTTGAAAAGGACAGTGGTAAGCGGAACTAAAATATACTTAGTGTCCTCCAACGGACACTAAAACTTCAGAGCGGGTGTTTGAATACCAAAAATAAATCAAATCCTGAACGATGCAACTTCCAGCAAAATAACAACAGAAGCAAAAAAAAATGCAAATCATGAATTAGTCATACAAAAGGTGCCAAGGTATGTTCAAACGAGAAATGGATAAAGGCGTGAAATTCAAGTAACTCGAAAGCATAGATTAGCCGGTAGTGATCACTGGTTCTATGAATAGAATTTGTGAGCTTATGGCATATAGTCGGCCATTTTGGAGGTTGCTCGACATAGTCCTGGAGAATCCTCATATTAATTCCCCACTGAAAACGCGGACCCTTCTTCCATGGTGTATCGATTTTCACGTAAAGTTCATTGCTTTCATTGCCTTGAAAATTCTGGAATAACACTTAAGAGGTCGCCTGTGTCGATTCTTTTGAGGGCTCTGGGGCTGGAGGTGCATCGGCGGCCATTTGAACTGCTGTTTCTGTACCTTTATCATCATTTTCTGATATTTCATTGGGAGACTTCGTTGTTGTTTGGGCGGGTTCTTTGTGTGGTTCGACGTGGTGTTCACTGACATTTGTAATTTTGGTGGGGGTCTCAGTAGATTCTAGTTTCTGGTTCGAATCTTGAGTATCCGGCTCACATGATGATTCTGGTTGGGTTGGCTTGTCAATGACAGTTGCTGGGGGGGATGGTTCTTCTTCAACCTTTGGTAGCACTGTGACAACGTCGGCTGGGGCAGGTTCTTCTCGAGCGATAGTGGGTGGAGCTGGTGGCCCAGGAGGTATGATTGAGGCAGAAGGAGGCTGGCTGACCGAAGGGTGTTGATCTCTTGTGATATCCACCGACGGCCCGCGGGTGGTTTTCGCATCCTTGCTGAAGAAAGAGAGGCTCGCACGAGAAGCCACCTTATCATGGTCAGCAACCGGCGGGCTCTGAGCTCGTGCATGTTCCGATTCTTTATCTCTCATTCCTTCTTTTACATGGGAGACCCTGGCTTTGATTTTGCTAAAAAATCCCTTTCGTTCTTCGTCTTCACTGTCCTTTGCAGAAGATAGGCTTTTAGTATGTGTGCTGATTGTAGTATCGGGTACACTAGGCGAGAGAACAGAAGATGACGAGCCCTCTTTCTCGACTTGCGGAGCCTCGTTTGATAATATTGGTAAATTTGAACTGGCAAGCGAAGGGCTGCTGAATCTTGCACGAGTGTGGGATCCGGCTGCCGCAGGAGGTGACATGCTTAAAGACGCAGGTTCCCCGGCCCGTCTTGACGACCGGTGGAATCTCCAGCTACGTCTTTTCTCTTTTTTGTCGTTATTCTCTTCGACATGTTCCAAGTCTGACTGGTCAGTGACATAGTTTAACGACGGAGAGGATGTCCGTGATATAACCGTTTTCAATGTCTCCGATTGCCCTTGTGGGTTGCTTTGGTCTTCAATACTTGCCTGATTGGTTGAAGTGTTCAACAAATTAACTGTATTGTTGAAACTCGACGTTTTCGGTGTCGACACCAGTGCTCGGTCAGCATCGTTATTGGACACTGCGCGCAATAGGGGTGGGGGTGGTGATCCGACATCGTCAAGATGATGAAGAGAGTGGGTTGAACTCTGTGCACTTTCACTGGCGCTGCCAGGTATGCGACGTTTCTTTCGTAGTCTGTTTGGCTGTCTACCATCATCAGGAGGACTGGACCACACAAAAAGTGATGCCAATTTACGCTCTCGACTTGGTGTTACGACCTGTTTAGAACCACCGGGCTCTGTAAGATTGTGGTCTGCTTGTGCCTCACTATCAATTGTTGACGCTGAGCGGTCAATCTCGATACGCATTTCCGGTTTATTGACTTTAGAGATGTTTGTTGTTTCTGCCAACTTCGTTCCGCTATGGGTAAGCGGTGCAGAATGCGGAGCAGGCGTTAATGGCTTCGCAAGTGAAGGAGCTGGTTGTGATCGGTTGAATGTGGGCGAGAGCCCGGGTGGTCTTTTTGACGGAACGGTGTTGCTTCGATGCACTCCGAAGCTATTAATCGATTTTGGTGTAGGAGGGCTGCCAGGATGACCGCCTGGGTTTCTGGAGTGTCGTGAAGATACAGACACGTTTCTTCTCAGATTCTCATATTTCCTAAGACTGTCTGGTCCGCCGCTAGCGTTCGATACTGAACGTCGTAATTTCGATTTTTGCGGTTGTGCATATATGCCTTCCTCCATCTCTTTAACAGTTTGGGCATCTGCCGCGGTACCATTCATACCAAAGAGGAAATTATCCTGGTTTTCGATCAAGAAAATGAGGACATCCTGGCTTAGCTTGTATTCTGCCGGTGACATGTCGTGATTCGGATGCGATAGCATACCGGGTTGAAATATCGCCGCCAAATTTGCCGCCGTCATTCGGTTTAAATCAGATTTAGAGGCGAAAACCGTCAGTAAATCAAGAATGTAGAGCAGAAGTTGTCGGTTGAGTGGAGGTAGTTCTTTTATGAGCTTCTGGTACATTGCAACTGTCTCCTCACGATTGGGAAGCTTGGAGCCGTCCGGTTCGTCTTCCTCATTCTTTTGACTCTGAGTCTGCTGAGGCCTTAATGGGTCTCGGAAACGCTCATAAAAATCCAAGGGCACGATCGGTTCCGGGAGTTGATTTAGGTAGCGCCGCAGAACGTTGGCTGCATCATGAACGGTATAACCGGTCCAATCCAGACCCTTACCGTATCTGTCAGCAGTGTTGAAGACCTCTTGTAGATCCTTAATCCGCTTAGCAGAGCCGCTCAGACGAAAAATACCCTCTACATCAGTAGCTGCCAAAGAGAAAAAAAAAGTAATTAGCAAGCTACAAAGAAGGGTGAATATGTAAGGGAGGGCCAGACCCTACTTACCTTTTTCTTTCAAGAACACTCCACACTTAGCGACAACGATAGGAACGTAGCCATAAACAAAGCTCTTTCCATCTTCGCCGGTAAGCGAGATAGCAACATTTGCATATTTGATGCTGACGTTTAGAGGGACTCCGAAAATTCCAGTTGACGGTTCTAAGGCGGCTCGTGTTATCAGGATGAGTCCAGAGAAAGGCGGTACACATCCGTCGTCTCTCTGGAAGAGTGACCAAGGAGGCGCAGCGTGGGCAGCGATACGCAAGACTGAACAAGTCAAGGAAGAGCTTACCTGCTTCTTGTTTCTTTGTGTTGCGCTTGAATTGCTTCCACCACGAGGTAAGATCGCGTTTTGAAGGGGGGGACGAGCGCTCAGCCGGCAGGGGTGAAGGCTGTACGGCGGTTGTATGCGGGCGCACGGATGCTGAGGGGTTTTGCTGGCTGTTTGGCATATTGTGGCAGAGCCCCAGTCGAGGGCGTGCTTGTGCGCCGTATGCTGTTTCGCAAGAGATTAAACCAAACAAATGATGTTGATATAAAAGGAGAATTCGGCCAAGAAAAAAGGAGGCCAGGCCTTGTGCCCAACTGAAACAGCGAGGCAGCAAGCGCAAATAGTCGCGTTCAGTGATAAGCCACAGTACAATCACACAACCGAAAACGATGCATGTATATAAGTGGATATCGAGTTCTCACCACGAAGGCATAAGAGTATAGATGCTGGTCGTAATCTGTGTTTGCGCATAGCCGGGTACATGTGCAGTGTCGTATCGAAAAAGGGAGATGATGGCGTCTGGCCAAGCGGTTCTGGTGAGGTTGGCGCCACAGGAGATCGGGCGGTGATCAACGTCGATAGAGTGAGATACAGAATTATAACGAGAGGTCGAGTCTAGGTTCGAGATCGAGTGTCGACAATGAGACAACATGGAGGAGTGGTTCCAGAACGAGCGGCGCGATTAGCGTCCAACCCAGAGCAGAGGTGGAGCCGGGGATGAAACACAAGAAGCCACAGAAGCGGTCACAGGGAACAGGAGAGACGCATAATCAAAGCACAGAAAATCCTGCGACTGACACAATAATACACAGCTGCAGCAGCACAGAATCGACAAGTAGAGACGAGGTTGCGAAGCAACGCAGATGAGGAGTCGCAGCGCGTGAGTCAGGAAGAGGACACGAACGAGCGGTCGGTCGCGCAGCCACTCAGGGGGGTGGATTCTGCCTCCCGCTAGCTGTATTGGGAATAGTGACTCACGTGGAAGTCGGGCGGAATAACGTTGGGCCGAGAAGCTGAAAACAGAAAAAGACAGGAAAGACGAAGAGGAAGAAGAGAATCATAGAAAACAGGGGCAGACAGGCAGAGATCAGAGGTATTGCACAGGAAAAGACTGGCATAGAATCAGGGTTTGACGTAGCCACCATGGACGGGTATGTTCTGCTACTCACCCCCTGCCCGCCGCCACTGACAGCTCTCCAGACTCACAGCATCGGAACAGCAGGAGCTCCAGAAGCGCATGGAGAAAAAGCAGATCAAGGAATTTATGGGGGTACTTCAATTTCCCCTTATACAGATCAAGTTTGTAGAGCTGTGGCTAACCGCCGGACTCCCCCAGGCTTACTCTATGATTGTCCAACGCTGCTTCGAAGACTGCATCAGCGACTTCACTACTAAATCTCTTATTTCGCGAGAAGAAGGCTGCGTTAATCGATGCTTTGACAAATACATGAAGACTGCTGAGCGAGTCAACCAGCGATTCCAGGAGCAAGGAAATGAGATGATGCAGGCTGGGCAGATTCCCGGCAAATGAAACGTCGTTACGATTCCTTCCTTTTTATTTTCCATACCTTGCTTTTCTGTTCTCTCCTGTTTCTGCATTGTTCTGGCTTAACCTGCACATGTGCTGTCGACTGTCTTGTTGAATTCATTTGCGCAGAAAACGGGAGATCTCCGAATCGGCATTGTCACTGTATACTATCACTTACTCAACTTCTAATAGCTTATAAGCTTCCAAGACTTAAACAGCTCCGTGATAGGGACTCATTTTCGGTAGCTTATGCCTAGCTCTGTGCGACAAATTAATACATCAGCCGTCCAGTTCAGGGTATGAATTGGCAACACAGGAAAGATGTTTGGAGTGACTGCAATGGCTTGAAGCAGAACCGGGACTCATTCAAGATAACGCCCTAGAGCGGAACTATCGGTCTATCAAAACGTCAGGATGGGGTATGAGCCATTGCTCGCAGGTTAAATCCAGGCCAGCCAGTTATGCAGGTCATGTAACGGCAATGCCATCCCAGCAACTCTCTTGGGGCCTTCAGTTCCGCACTGCGCGCGCCGCCAGCGACTCCAAGGAGGTTTGCAGCTCCCCACGTCTCTTGAATGTGCGGGGAAGCTCCCAGGTTTGCCTGGGACCATCCGCACCTCGTAGATTATTGTTTCTCCGTGCTATACCTCCTGGCAGCTCTTCCGTAGCTGCCACCGCTACACGCCATGCGAAGCAAGTGTAATAATAGGGCCGGAATTCCGGCTTGGGCTTCGCCAGAGAGAATCAAGCCAGGTCGTGAGGTTTCGCAGAGCCAGATTTTGCGTTTTCCCCTCACCCCACACGCGGCCCCTCCCAAAAGAGAATAAAGATCCTGCATCGCCTCTCCGCAGCAACCTCGCCCCATTGCCGCTGTTATTCTCCTCGCCAGCGTCAAGTCCGCTATAAAAGCTGTGCTACTTCAACTACTTGCCTGCGTACCTACTCTCTGCCAATCCCTTCTACGACCGCTTTTTTGCCTTCCCCGCCTCAGCCGCTTCCAGCCGAATTCCTTACCAACATACATATTTCCAAGAAATCCAACCTAGTTAAAAGCGCCGACTACATTGCTCTTCCCACCCAACATGGCCGACACTGTAGGAAAGGTACGCAGCGTCCCATTACTAACATCGGTGTGTCCAATTGGCTGACGTATGTCATTTCGCAGACCATTACCTGTAAAGTAATATAGCCCCGTCTCGTTCACTCTACCAGAAATGCTCGGTTTGTTGACTGCGACTAGGCAGCAGTGGCGTGGGAGGCTGCAAAACCACTATCTATTGAAGATATTGAAGTCGCTCCTCCAAAAGCCCATGAAGTCCGAATTCAGATATACTATACTGGCGTTTGCCACACAGGTAGGACCAGACGTTGGCATGGATTCGTTTGATAGCTGATCATAGTACAGATGCTTACACCCTCTCCGGAAAGGACCCCGAGGGCGCATTTCCAGTGGTACTCGGCCACGAGGGTGCTGGTATTGTAGAATCTATTGGAGAAGGCGTCACTTCAGTGAAGCCCGGTGACCATGTCGTTGCTTTATAGTATGGTTCTTTTTTGTCTCCTGTTTACTAGAAGCAATCATCATCTAATCAGGTACAGCACACCGGAATGCGGAGAATGCAAGTTTTGCAAATCTGGAAAGACAAATCTTTGCGGCAAAATTCGGGCCACTCAAGGAAAAGGCGTGATGCCCGATGGGACAAGCCGATTTAAGTGTCGTGGGAAAGACCTCCTGCATTTCATGGGAACATCGACATTCTCCCAGTACACCGTCGTGGCCGATATCTCCGTTGTTGCTGTGGCGGATAAGGCCCCCATGGACAGGACGTGCCTTCTGGGCTGCGGTATTACCACCGGCTATGGCGCTGCAGTTGTAACGGCCAAGATTGAAGAGGGCTCTACAGTTGCAGTATTCGGTGCCGGTTGTGTAGGCCTCTCTGTAATCCAAGGTGCTGTGAAAAACAAAGCCGGCAAGATTATCGTGGTGGACGTCAACGACACCAAGGAATCATGGGCTCGAAAATTTGGTGCTACTGACTTCGTGAATCCTACCAAACTGGGTGACAAGAGTATCCAAGAACACCTGATCGAGATGACGGACGGTGGATGTGACTACACATTCGACTGTACTGGAAATGTTGGTGTCATGCGTGCTGCTCTAGAGGCATGCCACAAGGGTTGGGGCCAGAGCATTGTCATTGGTGTTGCAGCTGCCGGGCAGGAAATTTCCACAAGGCGTAAGTGTCTTATATATGTTGCTTTTAGGAGTGCCATCTAACAGCAGTTGCAGCATTCCAACTTGTAACCGGTCGTGTATGGAGGGGCTGCGCCTTCGGTGGCATTAAGGGCCGTTCTCAGCTGCCTGACCTTGTCAGCGATTACCTCCGAGGCGATCTCAAGGTTGATGAATTCATAACCCACCGCGAGCCATTAGCCAACATCAACGCTGCATTCGAGCAGATGAAGGCAGGTGACTGCATCCGATGTGTCGTGGATACCCGAACCTAAATAGATTTTTATGGCATATTCTTGCAGTAGATGGTCCTGGAGTTGTTGTCTCTGCTGTTGGTGGCTGCGGTGCATGGAACTGCTTCTGAAGGTGTAACAAATGGAATACATTAGTGATGTAGTTAGTTAGTTCTGTGATCGAAGTGGCTAATGGAAAAGCAGGCGATGGTGTTGCATTCTCTCCATCGCTAATGATGAGTTTTCGTTTCTTCTTTTGCCTCCTCGGTCTCTTGGCTTCTAGCTAACTATATGATAGCATGTATGAGTGTATAGTCATATCTCCGATGCCAAACCCGGTTATGTAGAAACTCTCAGGGCTTACTGATGTATAGCCTGTTGCTCAGCATGTAAGAAATCTGGGGTCCGAGCATACCTTCACGTTAGAAAAGCAGAATTAAATAATATATTATAAGCTCTCAACAGTTGTCTACCCAAAAAGTAATCAGACCCATCATCGACAGAAACCAACAAAGAGTCAAAGCTGAAATTTAGTTCGGCAGGTTGTATGTACCTTGGGCCTGGGCGGTGACGCGGGGCAGAATAGGCTAGAAACATCCAACATTCCGGTACCTTCGTGGCCAAAGCTGGCAATTCACCTTGCACACCGTTCAGCCATGGACGTACCGGTGTCTACGTTATCTCCTTCGGCTACACCTAGCCGTAAGCCTCCACCATCCTGTTCTCAGCCGCCGGTCTCCATTCAGCGCTCGTCAGCTGCTCAGATATTGTCGCATCTTCACCCGCTCGTCGTGCTCTCCTTATTCACCGCCCGATTTCAGCTATTGGTGGATGATCCTGTATCGGCGTTAGCGAGTTTACTACCTGTGATATGCGCTGTGCAGGGTATCTATGTTGTTGTGTGTTTGCCGGCTGCCAAAAAGGTTGGATCGGGAAAAGATAAGGGCAGAGCTGGACAGAAGAGAAGAATCGGCGCTACAGGCGGTGGAGAGAATGAGAATGCATTAGGGGCTAATGTAGTAGTATGTTGAAGCTGTGATATACTAGAATGCTTGATTGTACAGAGTTGCTAACCCAATTCGCAATTCTCTCATCTAGCCCGCGATACTCTCCCTACTTCTCCCCATTCTCCTCGGCACACCATGTATTACTATCCTGCTTGTGCTTTTTGGCGCTCCTGCCACCACTCACGTTTTTCACACTATCCTCTGCGCCACACATATGTCGGTTCTTGCTGGCACCAGCCTTGTCTATGTTCACGGAACAGATGGTTCGGTATGGCGAGAAATCTGGGGCGCATCGAGAGCCATCGATAGTATTTGGGCTGCCGCTGTAGGAACTGCAGTTGGTGCATGGCTGGGAGCAGTGCCCATTCCCTTGGATTGGTGCGTATAACTGTCTATAACAAGTTCTTCCCTGGGTTGTTGTCGATCTAATGTAGATACAGGGATCGGCCGTGGCAAGCGTACCCCATTACGATTGTGACTGGTGCGTATATTGGCTATGCACTCGGCTCGTTATTGGGGAGAACGCCCCTTTTGTTCGGCAAGCGAATACAATTTGATTCTGAAGAAGACTCAAGACCAAAAATATAGAATAGCGCAAAATTCCGGTCCGATTTTATGGGAGCGGCGGGTAAGGTTCCAAGAGCTGTGAAAAGAGTAGAAATCAAGCAGTTTACCGAAAGGCTAATATAACCCTTCATTGGAGAACTGAAATATGATAATGGTAATAATGCACCATATATTTGTATGTCTTCTGGCCTCAAGATACAGCTTATCGTGCATGTAAAACATGCAACTCAAGTAAATATTGTTCATATAATTCTCATAAAGCCTTCATGCTGCCACAGAAGCCATTCCTTTTTCATTCTGGCTTCAAATATGCCCGTCTACCTTTCTCATTCACTTCATACTACCGGAATCTATATTGCAAGGATGTTCATGCCAAGCTCTGAAACAGCCACCACCACCTGTACCGTCCTCCAGAATTATAGATACTCCTAGGGGAGACGTTCCAAAACTTCGAAGGAACGGTGTTGACCATGTCGGCTATCGACGCAGCTGGAGAGGAGGCCAAGGCTTGTGGACTGCAAAGAAGTCGAACCCAAAAAAAGTGATGGTTGAATACGGGGTATTTTTCTTGATATTATAAAGATAAGAGAAGAGATAATAGAGCGAGTAGTATCAACGCTTATTTGTATGTAACACGGAGGAGTGCAAGGATTCCTGACAGGAACTAGTAAGAACAGGAGATATGTGGAAATTTGAGAGATTGATGTATGGCAGTGGGGAGGCGTAGTAAGGGGTATCATATGCGAAACGGGTAATCCAGAGGTGTACAGAAGGATTGCAGGTGCAAAAAAGGGATATCATGTGCAGGCATACCATGCTTGAGACCAAAATGAAACGCATCGCTAGCCAGCCGTTCAAAAAAACAAAAAAAAAAAAAAGAAAAGAAAAGAAGCCCATAATCCAAATGCATCGTAAAACGTACATACAAGTGCTGGTGTTGTCAATCAGAGTATAATTATGCTAAGTTCTCACTATCATCCTATCCAACGTGTTTTTGCGATGGAACGAGACATCTTTCTTTAATGGTAAGCTTTCAAGCGACGGCGCATCGGCTTTCCCAATGCTGCTACCACTGTGCAGTCGCCACATGCCTGAATCCAAGCGCTCCTGTCTCGAGTCACATCGAGAGGACGTCGCGGACTCAGAGGCACAGCTCGACTGGGGAAAGACACTATCTTGTCTTGTTCCCGGCAAACCTCTGAGCAGCTCAACTTCCCGTTGAAGGTCCTGGACCTGGTGCTCGAGGAGTTTTCGAGCAGTTTGTTCCCTACGCACAAGCGTAGTGAGAGCGCTGTACTGTTCAACCGAAATTCCTGGAGAACTAAAAGGTGACGGGCTCATAGGTGGGTGAGACTGAAGCGCTGCGGTATGCGGGCGAAGTGTAGCAGTGCTAGTGGGCCTTTGTGTATCAACAGTAGAAGGTCGAACAGATGTAGTGTCGCGACTTGGGGGCTCCTCGGAAGCCATCACAGGTGGTACAGGGACATGGGGTCCACTGTTTGTCACCTTCGACGGGGCTGGCGGGAATGGCTGAATAGGAGAGAGATCGGATCCTTGCAGCTTTGCAATTGCAAACTCTAAGTCCATTAATTTGACCTCCAGCGTGGAGATGCGCTGGGTGAGGCTGGCATCGCAGTCTTCCTGCATATTCGACATGAGATTGCCAAAATCAAACTGTGATAGATCGCCGTTCGCAGCAAGGGCCTCCACGCGAATTTCTGCAGGATCTTCTTCTGCGGCTGCTGCTGCTGCTGCTTCTTCCTCTTCTTTGCTCGTATCACCCACCACGGTATCACGGATGGGTGCAGAATCGTCCTCCGGATCTAGAGTTTTTTCCAAAAATCTTATTTCATCGCTGCGTCGACGCCATTGTATCGGTGACATACGGTGCGACCTGGCTAGTTCCCTAAGTGCATAAGCACTCCGCGAACGGCGTTTGAATTGCGTGTCTGATGCCCTCGATGCGTTATCTGCAGTCCTTTGTTCCGCAACCGACCCGATACTCACACTCCGCGAACCTTGACGGGCAATCTTGGTCGCTATCTCTCGACCTTCTTCCGACGACAACACCAGGCTCGGCAGTGTTGCTCGTCGACGAGGACGCCTGCGACGAGTAGCCAGCGCGTCTTCTTCTTTGTCCTTATTCCCCGCTGGGACGGGTGGGATGTCAACGAGTTCGGGCTCCGTGGGGGTCGGTATGTGGGAGATATGGTCCCGGGATGATACCGACTTGAGAGATTGTTTGCCGGCGTCGGCGATGGTGAGGAACTCGGGCTCGGTGTTTCTGAGGCGGCTGAATGCCTGCGGGTCGTTCGCCATATTCTGGTTGTCCTCGCAGTCCAGTTCCTGCACGACGGGATCGCTCTTCCTCTTGCGACCAAATAGTTTGCGCATGACTGTTTTGATTGTGCTAGCTCTGCGAGGCTGCATCGTCGCACTTGGGGTTAGGGTCGCTCTCTGAGGATTTTGGGAGACAAGCCGGCTATGGTACGAAATCCGCTGTGTGCCGTCGAAGGGTAAGGAGTTATGCATGGGCGGATAAGAGGCATGGGTCACGCGCCGGGGGTTCGAATTCACGATCGGGGAGAGCGGCATGAAGGCAGTGGTGTTGGGCCCATCGCTGCCGCGGTCATTTCTCAAGGCCGGGTTGCTTAGGGGAGCGGAAATCTTTAGGTCGATAAGACGGGGAGCCATGGTCGCGAGCCAGACCGGGCCGCGTTCAGGACAGAGTCACTGAACGAGAGCAGGGAAAGGGTAAATGCGGATCTTCTAGAAGAGAGCGAAGGACAAAAGAACGGAATGCGGAGAGTCTGATTTGTTATTTTCCCCCGCGGTCCCGCAAAATCCCTCGGGCAAGATATTGTCTCACAATCCCAGAGGCAGCAGGCGAATGACAGGCGAAGAGGCGCATATCACGATCTGGGCGGGCTTGCTGGTGCTTTGATGGACAAGGCTTGGGCGCGCTAAAGACGCAGCTGGCTGGCGACCGCGACAAGGCCGCAGCGTTCCTGGCGATGGCGAGCGAGCGTGGGCGGCGCTGAGCCAACCAGTCTGTGGAGCCGGAAGTTGGTGGATGATCGGCTGTCCTGCGGGTGTAGTTAATAATACGGCGCAGAGAGCGCAAGCGGCGCTGGAGAGCGAGATGCTGCAGGTCGTGAGCCGCTGTCGTCGGCGAGAGCGGCTTAGGAGCGCAGGGCCATGCGTCTGCGGGTCTCGTCAATAATAATAGTAGATAGTCAGGCTGTCAAGTGCGCAGAGCGATGAGCATGCCGCGTAGGTTAGTTAGTTATCAGCCGGTCGGAGAGGCCGGGGTTGGCGCAAGAAAGACCGCAGACAAGCAGACAAAGAACGCGGCGACAAAGACGCAGACGAGGCGGGCCAGCACGAGCATAAGACGCAGGCGAAGAGCAGCAGCAGCGTTAACTAAGGCCTGACCGCCGCCACCAGCGCGAGAGCCGGCGGGGGAGTTGGCGGCCCAGGGGCTTATCTCCACCAGCTAGTCCAGTCTGCGACGGGCATTATCCATGCTCCACGCCCCCTCAGGGCTTGCTCGGGACGGACGGGCTGATGGGGAGGCCTTCCAGAAGCGCTGGCGCATCGCAGACAAAGGACTCGGGTCAGATTGTTCGTTCGAGGCGGCGCCGCCAAACCGCCGCTCTGAGACGCCGTCAACCGTGGATGCGCCCAAAACACCCGGCTGCGAGGTGCAACAGTCGTGTGTTCGGCCGTATGCCGGCTGTTTTTCGCTTTGAGCTGCACTGGGCCCTTGACTAGTTATGCTTGATCCGACAAGTCGAGTCATCCCGTCTTAGTTACGGCTGGTCGTCCGGGGTGCCGGGCTGCATGCATGGTCTATGGGATGGATGTGTACTGTACAGTGTCTCTACTACACGCCTACCGCCGCATCGCATCGCACCGCTTCGCATTGCATTATTGTCGTTCCGGGCGACGACAGCTGCGCGGGCCAAACGGATCCTCCTCTCACGCCCCCTGCATGACGTCCGTTGCATCGGGGTACCGCAGGTCGGCGTTTTCTTCGAGGAAGTCCATCCACCGTTTGAGGAACGAACTGCCGCTGTCTCGAGCGTCAGCGCCATCCCTGCTAGTCACGTAGCTAACGTAGAGTCCTCGCGTTCGAGGCTCGTCTGGCGCCCGGCGTGGCAGAGACGACCCTGGCGTGGAGAGGGGGAACGGAGGGGAGGGCATGGGAGGGCATGGCCACGTTACATACCGGCGGATTGTTTCAGAATCCCCGCACACGCATAAGTGTCTTCGCGGACGTGTCATCGCAACTAATTATAGCAGGCCAAATTTCAGCATGTCGCAGAAGAGAAGAGAAGTCGCCAATTCGAAGCCGAAGAGCACGGCGAGACATGCGCGGGGGTACCAAACCATTTAATCTCCTTTTCTCGCTCAGGAACCCGACCTCGCGCTCGGCGTTGCTTCGCACCAGGCTCACCACGATCGCTTCTTTCTCGCGACCCTGAAAGCCGTCCACGCTTCCGATCTCCAGCTTGGGGTACTTTTCCTTCAGGAGCTGTGACAGGAGTGCAACCTGCGCATTGTACGGTGTGATGACGGCCACATCTTCTTCCGCCAGGCCTGCCGTGATGAGCCTCTCAACATGCTGTGCTACGATGGCCGCCTCAAGATCATTGCTTTTGCTGTCCGCTAATAGCAACTCGGCGTCTTCTGTGCGTTCAGGGAACTCTCCCCCCTGGGTGTCATAGAAGATAAGTGGTTCGCGAGTGTCGTCCGTGTCCTGGACAGTATAAGACAAGTCTGTGAGTAGACGAGTTTTGACATGTTCTGCAGCTATCAGATTCGACTCATAGAGTTCCTGAGAAGGAAACTTCATGATCTTTTCATGCATGCGGTATTGGGTGGTCAGCATTCGCTTGATGGTAGAGCCATGAAGAGCCAGAAGGCGGTCAAATAACGTCGTATCAAGGCGTGTGGTTAAACTGTTGGAACCTTCCTTGTCTTTGTGATTTTTCACGCTTTTTTGTTGGCTTACTGCACTAATAGACTTGATCGTCGGAGGCAACTGGAGATGGTCACCGGCAAGGATTGCCTTAGACGCCGACAACAACGGCACCCAACATTGTGCTTCCAGTGCCTGACTGGCCTCGTCAATAATAACAATATCGAATTTCTGGTTCCGGAGCTGATATCCACCTGCTCCGTGCAATGTAGTCAAAACAACCCTGCTCCCACCCACGAGGGTGTCAACACACTTGGACTCTCGTTCTCGAAACTCTTTGCGAAGCTCCTTTAGGTCTTTGTATATATCTCTTCTTTCCCTCCCACTCCTTGTTTTCCAAATACTTGCCTGTTTCTGTTCGATCTCTCGCCTCACGTCTTGAACAATAGCAGCGGCATCAGATGTCTGCGTGAGTGCCTCCAGAGACCGGTCAACCACCGATGATAGTAGACGTGCGGGATGGCCAATTCGTACGAGTGGGATTTTATGTGGGGCTAATCGTTCGACGATATTGTCGACTGAGATGTTGGACGGTCCGCAAACGAGGATGCGTAGGTTTTGGCGGAGAAGCTGAAGTATCAATTCAATGAGCGTGTGGGTCTTCCCGGTGCCCGGTGGCCCGTGGATGAGCGCTATTTCACGACACGCAAGAGCAAACCGAATTGCTTCCTTCTGCGAATCATTCAGATTTGGATTGATGAAGTCAATTGTAGATACAGAATCCCAGTCTGGACTGGAAGGAGAACTATGCCCAAAAAGAACTCTCATAAAGGATGTGTAGTCGGAATCGGTCATTTTCTCCATCTTAGTCATGACTTGTCGCATTCTATAGCCGTTCTAGCTTAGCCTTAGCTCAAACGTTCGCGAACGTTGATAGGACTCACCGGCGATATGTGATATCATTTGCCAGCTTTACCCTGAGAAAGCGTGTCAGAAACTATGGCAACTATAATTAACAAGGCAATCCTCACAACCATAGCTTTTGTGCCCATAAGCCATCAATTCCCTCGTCGTCTTGCGCCCCAGGCCGATTACGATCATCAAACGCAATCCATAGACTTTTTTCTCCAACTCTCGTCACAACACCTTCAAACCCTTTCACTCCGTTCCCATCTTCTTTGCCTACCTTTCGTTTTGAGCTCTTGCTTGCGGTACCACCCCTTGCCCCGGATACAGTAGCCTCGACTCTTACAACATCTCCTACGCGCACCCCATGTGCTGGCAGGCTAGCCCGATCGGAATCTGCACTCCGCGAGTCACTTGCACCCTTTTTGCCCTTGCCACTATTCAATGCAGCGTCAACTCCAAATTCGCCGACCTCTCGTCCGCCCAACCCTGTGCGGCAATTGGTGAGGACCAATCCAGTTAGGGCATGTCCCGCAGCCTGGAGGGCACGACGCGTGGCTGGCGACGCGAAGGATAGCGCGGCATTGCCTCCGCTGGATGAGAAAGTTAGGGCCGATGAGGCTATTTCCGCTTCGTGCTCAGCTAGGAGTTGCGCCTGTTGGGATTGGGCAAAAGATGTGATGGAGACGGATGGCATGGCACTGGAGCGGGAAGTCGGGGTTTCGCGGAACCAGTTCACGGAATCCAAAAGGAGCATTGCGCGTTCATGCGGGGATGCTGGGATAGTTTCACTGCAAAAATTCCACCTGGTAGCGACTGGCTGGGAATAGTTAGCTGAAGTGGGGGGCAGGACGGCTCGTCATTGAGTCAAGTGATTTGTTCCCAGTCATAAAAGCACAAAGATAGGCACACTATTTGCTGCACTATGGAGTAGCCGATCGCTGAGGTCCAAGCAGCACGCTCAATAATGGCGATGTAGTCGGCTTCTGTTGTGCGTGAGGGCGAGACTGTGCGACGTCGGTCCAACTTGAGCGGAAAAAGCAGCGGAACGGAACATTGTAACACCGATAAAAACACTGCAAACCGAACGGTCTTGGCCAATCGGGGGCAGCTGCCGCTGCGTCGGGCCATCACGCCGGTACGAAGTACACAAAACAGAAGTTTGTACGCCAAGCAGGCTTGAACGCGGTGAGTAACTATCGCACGCACGAAATCCGAAAGGGGTGGGCGAAACGGCGGTGAGCGCTGGGTTTCGAAACACCGCTCCAGTCTCCACGCCTAAGCAGCAAGAGGGCTACCGGAGCCGTTGTGGATGATGTCAATCGTTGACTAGCGGGCGCTTGACCTGAATGTTCGCGGGGAACTATGCAGATACGGGGGGCAAGCAGCCGTTGATATGCACACAATCCTTCGACAGCCATGGCGTCGCGATATGCTATCTTCCGGTACGCTTGGGCTAGAGGGTACACAGCGAAGAAGACGTACCGTCTCTCTCGTACCGCAGCCTCTCACAGCCGGCAGCGCGACTGGACGAGGGTGATACCGGAGATGCGCCGGCCCGGCCCCGATGCAGGTTAGCGCCCATGAGTCAGCCGTGGGTGGGATGCCACCGTCCAACCCAGAGCGCCAGTCACCCGCTAGCGTTTTCTTATTTCAACCTTTGCGCGCCGCTGCTCCACGCCTGGCCCCTCGCTGCCCCAGCCGGTCGCTTTTTCTACCCCCCTCGCCCAGCGCGTCTTAGTGTGCGTGACGACTCCCCCTTCTGCGTCTTCCTGCTCTCGAGGACTGTTCCATAAACCATGCTCCGATGTCCGAAGATCGCCAGTCTCTGAATTCGAACGAGCGGGATGGTAGGACCGGCTGCAATCACTACACCGACCTTTTGATTCCCAAAGAACCGCTGGCCCCAGGCGCACAGTCGCAGCCGCCAACAGAGCAGGCTCACAACCAGGCACAGGCACAAGCCCGGCTACGTGAATGTGAGCAGGATCAGACATCCGACGAGCTCTCTCTAGATACCAGCGACAAGGTCTCAGCCACTATTCAGGCACAACTGGCAGATATCCGGATCCGCAACGCCACGGATTCATCGCCAGAGTACCAGACTCCCTGCCAGGAATCGTGCAACGCGCAACGACAGGCCACAGCGGAACCACTGGGTATCACGGCAGTTAACAACGCAGAGTTGGACAGACCCAAAGCGGAAGACTTGGCGAAAATTCTTGTCGCAACCCCTATTCCCACGATCATTCTCAACTCTGACCTACATATCATCCACCTGTCGGACAGCTACCTCGCGATTTTCGAACCGCACAAGCCCGAGTATCTTGGTCGACACATCGCCAGCGTGGAGCCCACAACAGTCCCAATACCAGATATCAAAACTCTCCTTGATGTGATTCAGACTGCTATTTCAACTCACAATATCCAGATGATACCCGATACTGGAGACAGTGGGTCTCCCTTGAATTGTAAATTGCGGGTTACTCCGATATTCGAGGCCAACAGTCTCCTTTACGTGATTCTTGAAGCCCTCAACGTGTCCAGTCCGGAGCTACGGTCCAAAATCCACGAGCATGCCTACGCCACTGAAACGTATCGCGTGCTTGTTGACACGGTGAGCGATTACGCAATCTTTATGTTGGATACCAAAGGCATTGTTACCACTTGGAATGCAGGCGCGGCTATTCTTAAAGGTTATTCTGCCGTTGAAGCCATTGGCAAACATTTTTCTCTGTTCTATGGTGAAGAGGATCGTCAAAAGGATAAGCCGGGGAAAGAATTGGTTTTTTCATTACGTAACGGCAAAGTGGAAGATGAAGGCTGGCGTTATCGTAAGAATGGTTCTAAATTCTGGGCGAACGTCACTATCACCCCGGTATATGAAGCTGGCCACCACATTGGCTTCGTCAAGATTACCAGAGACCTGACTGAGAGAAGGACTGCTGAGGCTCGCCTAATTGCCGCATACGAGGAAACTTCAAAACTGAAGAATGACTTCCTCGCCCACATGAGCCATGAGATACGCACCCCCATGAACGGAGTCCTTGGAGCCCTGTCGGTATTAAATAGCACAGATCTCTCCGAGCAGCAACGTGAATGTACGGAGATTATTGAAAATTCGACATCGATTCTATTACAGATAATTAACGATATTCTTGATTATTCAAAATTGTCCTCGGGCTCTTTCTCTCTGACTACTGACGTCTTCAATGTTGAAGAGACAGTCGATGCTGTTATTCGGAAATACAAATCTAGCAATTCAGAAATCGAGTTAAAGAGTATAATTGACCCGTCCTTCCCTCGACACGTCCGAGGAGACCCCTTACGCTTCCGCCAAGTCCTTCAACACCTAGTTGACAATGCAGTCAAGTTCACAGAACGAGGTTACGTCCACGTCAAGACGAAATTCGAAGAAGACAGTGATGATTTTTTGGTGACAGTGGAAGTTATCGATTCTGGCATCGGCGTTACGGAAGAAGCTATGAGCACCTTGTTCTCTCCATTTACTCGTTCGGCAGATTCCACCACAAAACGATACCAAGGCACTGGACTTGGACTATCAATCTGCAAAAGCTTGGCAGAACTCATGGGCGGTACGGTAGGGTATGCCGTGAATCCTGATGGTCAAGGCAGTGTATTTTGGCTTAAAATTCATCTTGGTCGCATCGATCCTCCTGCGATCAGAACAGCCATTTTCCCATCATCCAACCCATGTGAGGACATCAAAAAAGTTGCTCGAAGTAAACATCTTCTGGTTGTGGAGGATAATATAGTAAACCAGGTGATACTGATGAAGATGCTCAAAACTCTCAACTTCCAGCGCATTGACGCCGCTTGGGATGGAGTGGAAGCTGTGAGCCTGGTACGGAAGAAACCCCTTGCGTACGACGTCATACTCATGGACATCAGTATGCCAATGATGGATGGACTTGAAGCCACCAGGATCATTCGTGGGATGAAAAACGAAGCTCCTATTATCGCGGTGACATGCAATACTCTCAGGGAGAATTTTGACTCGTATATTGCAAAAGGGATGAATGACTACCTTCCTAAGCCCATTCACCGAAAGGATCTCGCCCGGGCACTATTACAGTGGATCAGCGTACCAGAAATCGATAATCAGAAAAGAAGTTTGGTCTCTAGAGGGGGCCAAGAGTCGACGTGATACCGAGTCTCATTTGATGTTCAACTGGCACTTTGGATAAGGGGAATTGGAATTTTCTCACCATCCTATTTCCCAAGTTCGATTTCTTTCACGGGTGCCTTTTCAGAAAGAAACGTGCATGGCGGAGTTTTAAAATTTCTCGCTATTACCTACTTTCCTTGCTTGCCGCCTTATGTGGTCAACTCGAAATTTTCTCTTTAAAAAAAAGGGTCCATTCCAGACCATTAGGCTTGGTTCCCCGATTCCACATGTGTAGCGCAACAAAATTCCGTAAAAAGAAGACGCGGCATGGCACTATTGATAAGAAGCCGAAATGGCCTAATGCGGCCCTGAGATCTAGGCAGGTCTAAATCCCCGCCTAACCGCGGCCTGAAAAACAAATACCAGCAACAGCAATTGGATTAGCCCCAATATAACTATCCACAGCCAAATATTTCCGGATGCCCTGTATTAAGTTGCACCTACTATCCAGTTTACGAACACGATGTGCCGGAATCATCCATACATCTGCTTGTATTCAACAGGTCCTGGATGCTTGGTATGAATCGGGATGCTACCCTAGCTTTGGGGCTCTTACTGCCTTGTTGAATGATGGAATAAGGTGCGGAAGAAGGTTTTTGAAGGGGCCATGGGTATGTGTGGTATCTTGTGCATAAATGTATGCATGTGTGCGTGTTCAGTGTGCTTAAGTGGACATGACAATGCAGCCAACAAAGCTTAATACGGTTAGACAACGGCGTTCAAGCAGTTTGTTCAGAAGAAGAGCCCCATAATTTGCCTATTTTTTCGCCTTTTCTGTTGTGCCACATGGCTACCAGAATCAGGGGCATACTTGAAGGTGCTCGGGTGGTACAGGAAGAGTAAGATGCGTAATAGTCGGGGCCAACAGGGAATGTTGGAAAGCTGACCTGGGCCGTTTGCCAATAGACATAGAGTGCGTGTGGCAGAACACCTGGCAGCACCAGGAATACGGTGGCCTCGTCCCATTCGGTTGCTGTATTGGTGTTACACGCTATACAAGGGTCGCAAATGTCCAGTGGAGTCCTGTTCCCACCATTTGCCATGGCATGGAGCCAGTGTACACCACTCTCGTGCAGGGTGCCTAGACAGACGGTCAGCTGGAGCATGTCTGGCTGGTACTTATATGACCAAGAAAAAAGAGAGACCAAAGAGCCGGAAGACGACACAGGACAGGATGTCCACATTCCAGGACAGGTCATGCTCTTTTGGTCGTGGGCATAATCCCGCGTGTGGCGAAAAACTGGAAGTTGTTGGACAAACCAGGACATGGGCCTCTCCCTCTTTTCTTTTTTCTAATTTTTTGCCTGCGCACCATGGCCACCCTCATAAATGGCCCATATTCCCAGCACCCGCCACTGTAGATATCTCCATATCTACGGTCTGTTTGCCAGGTGAGCGTCGTGGGCTCCATCCATAACAACGATGATATTAAGCGGCCTGAGCTAAGTCGGTGAGAAAACCGCCTTTGTGTGTCTTGGAAAATGGCAAGCGGACAGCTATTCTCGTCTTTCTTTTCACCTTAACCTCTCTGAATATGGAATCTTGGCGGGCTGACGTTCTTTGCGTTCTCTTAAGGTCTTGTTTCTCAGTCGAGCTCTCGTTTTCTTTAGATAAGTCACACATACTGTCTGTTTAGTTTCTCGAGTCCTCTGTCGCATCATCCTATCGAGCTTTGAGAATGGATGTCGGTCCTGTTAGTTGGTTACGATAGAAACGCGCGGCTTTGAATGGCGTTTGAACGGTTTCATTTGGTCTATCAGGACATAGAGACTGTCTTGCGACCGGAGTCCGATTAACACAATGTGCTCTGCATAAGTTTTGGCCTTTGTACTCTGTATTGCCCTGTGCTTTATTTCGTGGACCGACACAAGCCATACGCCACGAGAAATTGGAAGCTATAAGGCAGAGAATATTGGGATTCTTTCAACAGCATTTAATCGGGTGATTGTGGTAAGCCACAAGGGAGCCTATTACCACTACTTTTCTTAAAAATAATTTTATGCAAATTTCTAGCAATTTTGGGCCACGTTTGGTGCTATATTGAGCGTGGGTTTGCATATCTTGGGGCTATGTGCTACTGACAGAGGCTTAAGAGCAGAAGGAGGCAAATATCCAAGGGGAAAAACAAGGAAACGCAAATTTAAAAACCTGGGATTGTTCATATTTAGGCAACCGCGTCTACGGAATACAAAGGTAGCATCGTGGACTTTCCCGCTGCCCCCTAATATATGTATGATTGCAATCCTTGCGGCTAGTATGTAGGCGCCATACTCCGTACGCGCCGCGCTTCGGCGATTAGGAGCAGACAGCCATTCGAGCGCGTGGCTGGCCTCAAGTCTTACGCCATCAAATTCGTCAATGACCCACTGTTTCAAGCTTTTCGGACGTCCGGTCTGTCGGCGCAGGCCTCGGTCGCGAACAAGGCCAACACGAGAGGGCGCCAAAGAATACAGCCGCCGGGACAGTGCGCGGCGCTGGCTTCGTTCAAAAAAAATTTTTTTTATAATCCTTTGCATCCTGCCAATATTAATGCCCACAGCGCAGTGTATAAGCAACAGTCGTTAAGTGCTCCGTACCCAGGCAGGCAATGCTTGGGCGGCGTTTCGGGCAGCCGGGGGCGAGTAGGTTTGGGGCTGAACCCTGGAACGGGCAAAACACACGCGTCGGAGAGTTACTGGCAAACGTGGGAGGAGTGCGGCGTGTTCCTGGACAGAACCAGAGCCTGTGCATCATCATCATCGGCGTCAGCGTTGTCTCGGTGATCTCGCGGCTTCGAGGCTGTGCAGGGTTCGCTAGCTTTGGCCCGGGCTGGTTAGCCGAATCGACGGCGAGCAAACCAGAGAGCCTTATCTGCCAGGCTAAATATAGCCTGGCGGCTTCACCCTCATAAGCTCTTCTTATTTCTGCTCTTCTCTTCATCCTCGCCTCGCGTCTTTGTCTTCTCGTCGTCCGCTCGTCGTGGTCGTCGCTGTTCTCGCACCGATCTTACGTTCGCTGTCCGTACCGTACCGTACTGTACTCCGTACGGCCTGCTGCAGCCAACCTCGCCACCGCTCTCCGCCGCAAGTACCACTCCGCCCAGTCCCTCGCCAGAGAATACTTTGCGAGGTGCTTGTTTCAGGTACCAGTACGCGTATTCCCGGTTTCTGCCTTGTTTTCCGTCTTTTTCGTTTCTTTCTTTGTCTTTCTCAGCCACTTCGCTCGCTCTCGCTCTTAATACTCTCACTCTCTCACTCTCACACACATACTCTCCCTCATCAACCCTCTCTCTCTCTCTCTCTCTCTCTCTCTCTCTCTCTACCTCCATCCAGCAGCTCTTTCTTGCTGCCTGCTGACTGTCCTCAGCTCTCTTCGCCCAAAATGGTCCACGCTTTCTTTCACAGGGCCATCTGCGCAGCCTTGTTGCTCTTCTGCTGCACCCTTGTCCATGCAGAACCCATCCATCGACGCCCGTACCGCGAGCCTCGGGATTCTCAGGATGACCCAACTGTAGCTGCTGCGTTCCACGCTCTCTCTTCCAAGTTCTGGAACTCCGTCTCCGAGCGGTCGCCGGATATCAGACCCGATCTCGGTGCTCCCGCCCAGCATGACCTTCGTTATCAATTGATCAAGAGGCAAGGTGGAAGCGGCATCGTCACTAATTCTACGCCCTCTGTGACCCCGCCCACGCCGACGCCCACGCCATCGTCTACCCCCCAGCAGACTTCCACGAACCAGCCAGCGTCGACCACTCCCAATGCTTCAAGCTCCCCGTCGAGTTCTCCCAGCTCGCCTTCCACACCTCAATCATCTGCGCCTTCTTCTCCCGCTCAGACTAGCTCGCCAGCATCCGCTTCCAGCACGCCGTCGGACAGACCATCGTCGCCATCATCGACTTCTTCTCCTCAGGTTACGCAGCAGCCATCTTCCACTTCTGCCTTCAGCTCCACCCTTGTCGGCACCACCACCAATGATAAGGGTGACCTGATCACCTATACCTCCGTCGTTCTCGTTCAGCCGTCCCGCACAACTCCCACGAGAGGCCCTACTTCCACTGCTGGACGTCCAGGTCTGCAGACCAACGGAGTGTCTGCTCCATCTGGCATGAAGAAAGAGATGTTTGCAATGCTGGGAGGAGCTGTGGTGGTTGCAATTGCGCTCTAGGTGCTCAGCAATACTATTTGGCTGTGAAAAATTGAGCTTTTAGTTTATGAAGTCTGAGTCTGTTTTATGCGCAAGCGGGTCCATTGCATTTTGCGGCGCCTGTTTATGTCTCTCCTTCTATTGATTCTAATCCCCCAATGTTAATTCCTCTCCCCTTCACCCATTGGGCTAGGATATTTCCTGCTTCTCCATATTTCTTCTCTCCTTTTTCTGGAGTGGTTTACTCTCATTACATACCTGCTACTTCTGGATGGAAATTGATGATTCTCGAAATAACAAATAGCTCTGTAAAGATTATATAGCTAACAGGATATTTTATCTTTGCGATTACCATCACAATAACCTCAAAGACAGTTCCTTACCTCGGACTGTTGACATTTCTCTAAATCTGGCTTTCGCCTTTCCAATGTTTGTTTTGTTTGCTTTGGCCATGTTAGGAATGCGCCACTGAGGTGTGGCGGTGCGGCCTCCAACGGCATCGAACACGGTCATACGTCAACTCCGCCAACTGCTGTTCATTTGCGATGCGCACTTCACGGGTCTCCCAGGAGACATCCCGCTTGGTGAATGCCTTGTCCACAGGCCGTCGTATCACACGACAAAGTGTAACAAAGTCGAACTACTTGGGCGCCAGAGGAACCACGAGGTCCAGTACGACTCGGGATACCAGAACGCTCAAGGACGAAGAGCAGCAGGAGGACTGTGTGCGAATTAAATCCGAAAATGGAGATCTAAGCGGCGAGGAAGGGAGCCCTGCTCTTTCAGAGACTAATACAACTGATATCGAGGACCTTTTTAAACCAGAAACGAGTCCTGGACCAAGCTCCCGTAAGCGAAAGTGGGAACACGGGCCTGCGAAAAATGGGGGTTCTTTACTGCGAAAACCACAAAAGGTTATTGTAAAAGAAGAAGAGCCGGGTCAGCCTATCTTTCCAAAGAAAAAGGCTGCGAAATCTCGGAAAGCAATCCCCCCGCCCGGATCTATCCCTGCCCCGGCAAACTGGGAGAAGATGTATAATACCGTCAAGGAGATGCGTCTACGAAATCCCACAGCGCCCGTTGATACCATGGGCTGTGCGGAACTCTATTGGCGCAACTCCTCTGAGCAAGAACGGCGCTTCCACATCCTTGTTGCTCTAATGCTGTCTTCCCAGACAAAAGATACGGTAACCGCCGTTGCAATGCAACGCCTGCACACACAGCTCGGCCCAGAGCATGACAACAGCGAACACGATACAAAGGAGCAGACACCAGCCCTACGATGGGATGCTGCCACCCATTCCGGTGCCCACTCCACTCTCACCATTGCCAATATCCTCCGTGTCTCCCCTACCCGCTTAAATCAACTCATTCGCACCGTGGGCTTTCACAACCAAAAGACCAAATACATCCAGACTACCGCATCTCTCCTACAGGCTAATTACGGATCGGATATCCCACGCACTGCCGCTGAACTCATGACGTTGCCGGGTGTGGGCCCGAAGATGGCGTACCTCTGTATGAGCTCCGCGTGGGGTGTAGATGATGGGATCGGTGTAGACGTACATGTACATCGAATTACGAATATGTGGGGATGGGTGAAGACAAAAGCGCCAGAGGAGACGCGGGTGCTACTCGAGGCGTGGCTGCCGAAGGAGAAGTGGAGAGAGATTAATTGGTTGCTGGTGGGACTGGGGCAGACGGTCTGTTTGCCGGTCGGCAAGAGGTGTGGAGACTGTGCGTTAGCGGGTACGGGGTTGTGTAAAGGGGAGGTTAAGGGCAAGAAAGTCATAAAGAAGGAGAACGTTATGATGAACGAACAGATGGAAATCAAGGTGGAGGAAGATGTCTGAGACTTAATTTACTTTTATTTTCAGGAAGTTAATGCCCACTTTGCTTCGCTCTAAAGAAATAGAAATTTTCGATGCTACAACTATGAAATGACTTTATATTCAAGAATATATTTTAATCTGAGAGTAATTTCAAGAACAAAAGAGGTAATATGTGCAAAACATTAAAGCGCCTACTAGTGTGGAGACCTTATACATACATACTTCATGGGCTAGTCGTCTGCGTAAGAGTGTTTCTAAATCATCAAGCGTTAAATTCCAGATTTCACAGCTTCGAGCTTCCCGGGCATCCACCACATCCTTGTGCGGTATCCTCATGTAATGAGGACTTATTAAATGTCTGAGATGATGGTGGGACATCCAGTGCTGGATTCTTTTCGAAAAATCCGTCGGGCCTAAGGGTAATATTGATTCTCTCGACAGGCATGACAGGGAAGTCCTCTGGCCGTGGATTGTGTGTTAATGCGAACGCTACATTGAAATTGCACGTTAGAGTAATTCGGCTACATTAGAATGTGAGAAACTTACAATGCCACAAGACAATATCTGTGTTCTCAATATTGTCATTGCGTGCAGTCCATACTTCCACGCCAGTCGACTGCTTGCTTTGATTGGTGAATTCACCAGCCGAATACAGCTCCCCGTCTTGATACTTGGTAACCCAGATGGGTTTTGTGGCAAACACTGCGCGGCGACGGTTGAAGCTTCGTTCTGACATGATCATAAGCTGAGTAGGCATGGCACCAAGTTTATAAGCAACAGGGTTTCCAGAGGTTGGATTAATCACATTGTCATTTCTGATCTTGAACGAGCGTGCTTTTTCAATGCTGAGCTCAGCCGTACCGGATGTCTTGAGAACAGTGGTATCCTGGATGTAGCCGACACCGTATGGGTTCATTGTTGGTTCATCAGGAAGCGGGACACTATCTTGGTAGACAACAGTGTTGTTATGACCATCGATAGCGGGATCAACACGCATGCTGAAAACATGTTGATGGTATCCAGCCATGACACCGGGACCAACATTGGTTCCCCATGGTACTTTGGTGCCATCTGCGTTGTCAATGGGCATAGTGGAGAGGATACCAGTTGCGCGAACCTCAAGCTCAATGCCACCGGCTTGATCGAAGATCCAGGCAAAGATATACTCGTAGTTAGACACAGTGCAGATCATTTGAACAACAAGTTGTCTGTTGCGGACTACCGTAGCGGCATTTGTTCTGTAGTTGGTGTGTTTGTGTTGCAGACCAGCGTCTTGTTCGTGCAAACAGATCACATTCTTAAGGTGGACAGGGTTTCCTTTGGAGTCAGTCCTGAACCCATCGAAGTATTTGATATGACCGAGACAATCGCATCCGAGGGAGAGTTGGTTGGCTGTATTTCCAAAACCGACATCTCCAACGTCAAACGCTTGTTTGCGGTGATAAGGAGCGCGTGGATCTGAAATAATGGTCAGCAGCAAATTTATCGTTTGGAGACTATTACGATACTCACCACCATAGGGAACAGTCATCTCACACAGGGATAGCCGATAGAAGACGTTGCGACCGTCGTATGTCGTATTGTAAATCACTAGGCCGTCACGGTAGTTAAACCCAACTCTGAATCTCCACTTCTGCCAATAGACATGGTTTCCATTGACCTTGAAAGAAGGCCCTTCTGGCTGCTGGACGATGTACGGCTTTAAGTCCGTTCGAAGTGGCTCTTCCAGAAGATCATGCGCGTACTGAACAGTCTTGACTTGCTTCCATGGTTTGGTGGGTGACGTAGTGTGATCAGTGCCTGTTGGAAGGTAGTCCATGCGGACAAGTTCTTTGGTAGTGCCGTCGAAGACTGGAGAGAATGTGCATGGGAGGGAATAATGATTGGTCTGCGGGTGATCTGTTTCACAGATGTACATATAATGCTGGAATAAACGACGTGTCTCGGCCTGGTTGTCGGTGCCATAAATCCAGGGGTCATTGCAGACAATAATATTGGGGGGCAGATTCATCTTCGCAATTTCAGCCTTAACAGCAGGGTGATCATTGCATACTTTCTCCATTTCGATCATTTCATCGACATCAGTGGGACCCTTGTGGCCTTGTCTTAGCTCTCTTCTTATGGTAACGGGTATCCTAGAATATTCTCACCTGGACGCCATTTGGAAGTTCCTTGCATTGTAGAAGAGATTTTTTATCCGCATTAATTAGGGCCTTTAGAAACACTTTTGTGTCCATACGGTGGAATAACGCCGTAAGAATACGAGCTGGTTTCGCAGGGAGGAGGTGGCCTAGGCGCTCAGCCTCGAGGTAAGGCACGGTATCCCTCTTGATGGGCTCCTGGACCTCGATGACCTTGTGGCGAAGAGGAACGCCAGGAAATGAGGCCTCAAGGACCCTCACCGCCAGGCGAATCTCATCTGGGGTCAACGGGTCAAAGGGATGAAGTGACATAGCGAAATTGGTATGGTCCCTAACGGGTATAAGAGAAGGAAAATACAATATAAGAAGAGATGGTCTCCCAAGGGTGATATCAAAAAGAGAGCGAGCGGACGAGGCCGTATTTGAAGGCCAGCAGTCGGCGTCACGAAAGCCATCATCGCGCCGAATCGGGCAATAAGCGATTGGCGGCTGCCGATTGGCTGGCGGAGCGATTTCGGGAGGGACTGCCGTAACGGGAAAGGCGCGCTCCCGAAACGGTCCAGAGCAGTGGGTCTGTTTGCCATATTGGCAAACATACCACGTGAACGGCGATTAGCTCGGTGAAGAAACGCAGGCAAGAGACGGTGAGGCAGGCCGCAGAATACAAGACGAGGGGCGGGAGGGGAGGGTTGGGGAGACAGGGGCTGCGGGCCAAAGGAGCGGAAGCAAATGCTGGCAAAGAGACCGTCGTTGGAGTAGTAGTAGCAGTAGTATTGGTGAATCGCGGCAAATGCTAGACCTAGCACCCCTGCGCAAGGTTTGTCCCCTGGAACAGAGCCGATTAGCCTCGCAGCCGGCTGAGGGACACGGCTTGACTCGCGGGGTGTGGGGTAACCGAGCCCGTCAACTCTTTTCTCCGCAGCACTTTGTATGCGGGCGGCTAGCTAACGGCTGGAGACGGGCCTCGTTCGACCAAAGGGGAAAGACGACGCGTTCTCGACCAACCCCGCGGCTGGGCGATTCGGCTCCGCTAGTCACCCGCGGTCGGCATGGCCTCACACCGCGGGTAGTTAGTTAACTAACTATACGACTCGCGCCGGGCAAAAGGAGCCCGCCGGTGTTTGCGGGAGCCGAGTCACGTGGCGATAACCGCGATCGATTGCTGGAGAGACGGAGGGGCAAAGAGCCGAAATGAATGCTGAGAAATCGTGTTTCATGTACATTATGCTTATGTATGTAGGTGGCTTCTATATACGTGCGGAAAAGAAAGTAGAGGGATTCGGAGAGGAAACAACAACCGTTATACTGCGGAGCTGCCCAGGCTCGAGGCGCGGCGGAAAGAGGTAGCTAAAAGTCCACAAAGAATATATATCATTGAGCTCTCGACGCCGGGTGGGAAGCGCTGTGCAGGTAATCGAACAGACCAGAACCAATGGGGTATATTCGAACATGATGACATATGTAACCGAAGTCAAACCATAAACAGTGAAATCAAAGATATAATAAAGTTGAAAAATGCGGGGGAGATAGTATGTGCTTAGCCTGGGCGACCAGGTGATGCAGGCGTGCTGTCACTTCCGGCAAGATACTCAACCGGAACTTTCGGCACCCGCGGCGAGTGGGCCAGTGCACGATGCTGGGCCCGGAGCAGGTCTCTCTGTCGCTCTTTTTCTCGGCCCGCATTGCCACCGGTCAAACGCCGGACACCACTACGTATGATGGCTTCTAGAGAAAAGGGCCCGTCCTGCCCGGTGCGTGGGCTAGCAGATGACGGATGGTGCATGCTTAAGCGATCTTCTGAGTCCGACAGAGCATCCTCGAAATAATCATCCGACAGGTCTGGAGATTTAATGTCGGGCATAGGTTGAAGGCTTGAAGAGGAGGTATTGATGGACGGGAAATTATTTGGCGAAGTCACTGATCGGACATGTAGGGAAGACCGAGGAGGCGCAGCCGTTAGGCTACTTGTAGAAGCTGCTAAAGGCGACGAGTGTACTTGAGCGGCCTCGGAGCGCTGGGCAGTGGATGGCCGGGACTCGGCAAATCCATTTTGGAATGATGTCGACGCAGTTCTAGCAAGGGATTTTCGGAGTAGAGGTGCGGTTTGTTGGTCGTATAAATGGGTACTGGCGTCATGGAAATCACCAGCAGTAAAACTTCGAAGCGTTGAACCACCAATGGAAGTCATCGTAGAACTGGCTTCTGTCTCGTCAAAGAAATCATCAAGACTGTCCAATTTTTGCAGCAGATCACCCATGTTTTCGTTTTGAGTATCGAATGACTTCATTGTGTCGGCACGAATTGGGAAGAAAGAATCCCCATAATCTTCGATTTGGAACTCCATCTCCGGTGTTGGGGGAGGTGGGCCTTCAGCATCTTCGACGTCCGCACACGTGTAAAATACGGCGTGGACGTTATTTCTTGTGAGGCCAGACTGGGCAGCAGGAACAGCGATTGACCAGCCAGTGGGTTCAGGAATCCCATACAAACTTTGAATGCGCTCGAATTCTTTCCTGATTGCCCGAGACGATGAAGAGGAGGCCATGCTCATACGCAAATGGTGTCGTTCCATCGGATTTCCAGAAACCGTCATAATCTGATCAAGTACTTCAAGTGCTTGGGGGCATAAGTCGGTATGGAGTAACCGCAAGAGAGGAGAAATCAGATCCGGTCCATGGCAAGCAATGTCGGATCTGCGTATATCGATTGTCGTTATGAGGATTCCAAGTATTCTCATGGTGTGTATGCGAAACCATCGAGTGTTGTTTGTCAATAGGCCCATGATAAACACTAGGCTCTGAACATCTTGATTAGGGAAGTAATATGCCGAGATTGACGTTGCCATCTCATTGAGTAAATCCTGGCTACTATGATACCCACCCTTGGCGAAGCATGAAAGACAGTCCGCTAGCTGGGCACAGCCTTGATTTTCGGCCACCGTTGCAAGCAAGCTGGCGCGAGATTGAAGCTCTCCAGAGGTGCTAGGAGAATCAAAATGATGAAGAAAACATGGTAAGTTAGCCCAAATAGCAAACAGGAGGCGATTTCCATCGCCTACCAGATCACTACCAGGTAACGGCGTTAGTCTGTGAAGTAAACGAAGGGTTCTCTCCAAGGAATCCGATGACTTAAGGCCCTTATAAGCCAACGCCTGTATGCCTTCGAATTCGCCTTCCCACTTGGTAGGTTTGCTCTCTTTGAGTTTGGCAATAATGGAATCGTCGGATAGGTCAACCTTTTCAATGTATGTCTCAAGCATCGCCATACTTTCCATAAACTCCCGTTCATGGATGGTATTTAGACACGCACACGTCGTCCAAAATAATTGAGGATACCTCATTAGGTCCTGGGTCGTCAGCGAATTAATAATTATTTTTAACGTTGTTAAAATCTCCATCGAAAACGTTTGATAGTCAGTTTCTTCCTCAGCAATTGTGTTGGACAACCGTGCTAGCATATCGGCTAACATTCTTGAGTCCAAAGATGTGGATATACACCTGTATACTTGAAATGACCGGCAGGCCAGGTGTCTGACAGGGCAGGACGTTGCCCAGTTCAACGCCTCCTTTGACCATGCGTCGCCCACGCCCTCATAGACTGCATTGAATATGCTTGCAACGCTGTGGGTTACATGCAGCATAGATTCAGGAACCCGACTATTGTTCTGCTCTACTTCCTTTCCATTGTTGTCATCATAGTCCCATATCACAGTAGGATCACTTTGACGAATACAGTCAACCAAATCTTCAATGGCTTCTCTCTTTTTATCCTGGGAATCATTGTCTAGTTTCGAGGCAACAAGTTCATGAATCAAATGAACTAACATTTCACGAGCCTGCTCCTGAACAGCCAAGATATAATGATCCCAGAAAATCAGCGCAATATGAATAAGTTTGATGACGCTGTCGAAATCGAGTGTAACAGGGCCAACCATTAAATCAACGAGAAATATCAGAGCAACTTGCCCTAATGATAGTCCGGCCTATTGAACTGTAAGCAAGGAGTAAACTCATGTTGAAAGTCTGATGGACAAACCTGTTTATTGCCAACTGGCAAAACAGTTCCTAGATCTGCAACATAAGGCAGGCTAGCTATATCAGGCGGTGGCGCCAACGGTTCTCTTCGTTCATGAACCATATTTTTGGGGGTTAGCTGCATCAGGAAAAAATCTATAACTTTTGAGCCAGCCGGAGTAGACGCCAGAAAGACCACGATTTGTTTCGCGTAATCCACGAAATTTTGCTCCTTGCGCTCCAAACAGAGGTTGATTATAAAATCAAGTACAAGTTGGACGTTGCCTCCATGCGGGCCCGTGGCAAGAGCTTGCCAAAGAGCCTGCACCTCATTTGGTAAGATATTCCCTGACTGAATAGTAATCTCAAACAGATTCGCAAGAAGCATATAAGATTTCGCTGTTGGGCCACCATTTGGATCGAGCTGGAGCTCAAGCACTTGCACCCAGGGTAATATAGCAGCAACCATGTTTCGCTGTGTATCTGGCCGGATATTTCGGAAATGCAACGAGAACTCAGAAAAAATTATGAACGCGAGGTCGGAATGTTGTTGAGCTAGCCTCTTTGAGGTTTCGAATTGTGCCAGCTTATACACAGCAGTTGTTTTATCTGAGATGCTAATGTCGAAATCTTGTAGCCTCGAGTTCTTCTGCTGTCGCTCTTCAATTGTCCTTAGTAAACGAGCGGATTTCATTCTAATCTCGCGTTTTGAGTTGCCGAGAGTAAAGAGAACCGCGCCAAGAACTCTCCAGAATGCGATAGGGTAGTCAATATGTTCAATCAAAACTTCTGAAAAGACTTCAAAATAGCTCTCAAGTGCCTTGGGGCGCTCAGACAAATAACACATCTCAATACACTGCTCCAAGAGGTAAGGCAAATCTTTGTTGTAAACAATCAGATTTTTGAGCGCTCGCCGGCCGATGGCATGTAGCTTGTCGCTGACAGTTTTCAAAATGATGTCAATCCAAGCAAGCATTCTCCTAACATCGAATTGAAGAACCGCCCTACTCTCAGTCATAATCCGAATAGGACCACCCTATTTTAACTTTTTTAGCTCACAATACAGGACTAAGATATGTAATACGTACGCAAAGTGAAGCCATTGCACTCAATGCAGCCGTCCGTAGATTTCTTTTTTCTATTTCCATAGCGGCCGTGCTCCGAAGCTCACCATGGTCTATTTGCCTTGCCAGCACAAGCTTACGCATATTCTCTTCTCGAATGTTTATCTGAGGTTGGTTGGGGGAATATCCACACCAATCTTCCATGAGAGAAAAGGCAGACTTCCTAGATTCAAATGGCATCCAACGCAAAGGATCTTTGGACCGTTTAATGCCTTCAAACAATTGTTCTACTAGACCGCAATAGTGGAAGCGGAGGCTTTGAAACTCTAGGTCGTTTTGAACCTCCACATCGCTAAGGAAAATTCTTAGGTCTCTTGTATACGTAACCAGATTGTTAAGGATCCAGTCATCGTGATATATTTCGGGTTCTTTTAAGAAATGCGCGGTTGCTTTGTACACATTTGTTACCTCTGTTCGAAGACGATCAGTTTGCCTATTCCTTCTAGGGCTACTGGGGGAACGGTGATGGTTTCCGATGCGAACCCGAGCCTCTTCATTGCAAGTCGTCACGGCGTATTGGAGTGATTCGAGCAACGTTCTGTATAGATTAATGTTAATAGAGCCAAGGGCGACGACAATGGCTGTGCGAATTGATTCGTGGCTTGCGGAGAGAAGCGGAATAACGAATGCAAACAGCGATCTTGCCGAACTTATTTTATCCTGTGACTGCTGGCCCCCTTTCGAGGTTTTGCGAGCATGCTGCGCATTTGCGAGCTGACTCTGGGATTGAGCACCAGCACTATTAAGCGTAGTACAAGCCATAATGAGATATAATTTCCATTGCTCGATGGTAACTTCAGGCGAGGTGCTAGGACTTCGCGTGATTTGACGAGATGCAATATAGTCCAAGGACGCATACTGAAACGCCTGCGAGCCCTCTGCAATCGCAGTAATATACCTATGCATTTGAACCAGCCTAGCGCAGACGATTTCACGGCCTAGGGTTACAGCAAAGGGACACATATCAAAGCTGATTCGAATGAGATTCGGAAACAGTTTCGACCACAGAGTCGAGTCGTAGGACACCTCACTGCTGCACAGTTCAATGAGTGTATTATGGGGGCCTTTGCCTTGTCTTCCTTTTTGCAATCTGCTCCGTTCGGCGACCGTCAAAAGATCGTCTTTCAGATCCAGAACTTTATCAGAATCGCCTTCTAGAATTCTGATAATCCTAGTATTATTCTTCCCGAGTGCACTATCGAATTCTGTCACAAGACGGAGAACGGTAATAGCGAAGGCACGGACCCGCCTTGACTGTGAGCATAAGAAAAAGAGCCCATGCGATTCGATTTCTTCCACGTGAGCCAACACACTCGAAAGATCCAGCTGCAACCCTCGACTCCCAGATATATTCTTATCCAAATTCTCCGCTGAAGCTTCTCTCGTTTTTTGTCGAATTTCCTCGATCCAGATTCGGATAAGTTCCACATACAGTTTCAGGGTCGATTCAATGTGGCCTGGTCCAAGCATGCCTTCGTCTGACATTGTTGAATACCTGGCGTCAAAATTGAAAATAAAGCGAGCGAAACCAATAGCAACATGTTGGGCATGGGATTGACGAGCAATGGACTTCAGAGATTCTGCGGAAGATGCCGCAATATTATTCTGCACATGTGCTGTTCCGGTGCACAGCAAGTTGATTAGGGAATTGAAAGGAATGTGATCAGAAAGACAGCGGGGGAGAGCTTGAACGGCGACATGAAGAAGGTCATAAAATGCTTGTTTCTGATCCGGCGTATTGATATGATCATCCCGTCTACCAAAACTGAAATGTTCAGTAATCGGTGTTTTCGGTGTAACCCCGCCGAACTTTTCATCTAAGGCAGCCTGGCCGCCAAAAGTGTTATCACATAAGAGTGTTAGCTTTCCAAGAACCTCGCAAAACCTGAAATAACATTTCCGCGTATTTTCACTGAGTTTCGAAGCATTGACGGGACGACAGGTGTACCGAAAATAGTTTGAAGTAGCTTGGTCAGTTAAGTTACGGAAGTCTTGAACAGGAAAGGGAGAAAGCAAAACCTCATTGCCAAAATCTTGCGGAAATGGCGGTGGGGTTTGGAGCTCGCCATCGAGGTCAGCCATAATGGCAAGAAACGAGCGAATGCCAATGACCATTTTCTCGGGTTCCATCTGCTCTATTCTAAACTCCTTGCCGGACATAATCTGATCTGAACTAACCAAAGGGAATATTATCATCTTGAAACATAGCTCTGGATATCTATGTCCAATCGTGCGCACAAGATGGGTAATCGGCTCTACCACATAGTTATCTGTAGTGATATAGGTCTTTTTCCCCCCTGGCAAAACGATGCGAATTATTTCCTCAATCTTACGCAAAGGGTTGCTAAGAGTGTCTGAATGACGATAGAGATACGTCCATAAAAGCCGGCATATAGCCTGTAGGGCAGTTGCTCGTGTGGGCCGATCCTTTAGCTTTGGAGGAAGACTGTGAATGACCGACATCCATTGAGCTAGAAATATATCTCTAGGGGATGCACATAAAAGTAAGACTTGGAACGGGAAAGCAATATTCCAGTGCCTAGGCTTCACAAGGATTTGCCCCAATCGCGGACCGATGAGATCGAGAAATTCCTTCCATTTTAGTGACGACAGGTTGCAAACAGGATTTGCTGCGATTGGTAAAACAAATATTTCAAGCATTTGACAATATGCCTGCTTCAGCCGTTGACCGTGAGCATCGACAAGGAGCTTGGCAAGGGAGTATAAAAAATCACAAGTTCGATCCCAGGCATCTTCTGGAAGGATGCGAAGCCGTAGGTGCCTCATTCCATATATAAGCAGTTCGGCTCTCGCTTCGGCGTCTTTAATGGATAATAACCGCCCTTCTTCCTTTTGATATTGATTAAGCTCTGTGAGGAATCTGATGGTCACACTAGCAAAATTATTTTCACTCATGATTCCCAGCAACTGGCTATATATACGCCAGTTGGCCATTCGAAGAGAAGAAGCTGCAATTTGGTCAGGATCCACGGTCTTAAGCTGTCCAAAGACGATATCTTCCAGCCGATCTGCCATCTCAAACGTAATAGCATCCATACTACTTTGATTGAAGATTTCAATTAAAACCCGACAAACAAGATAGACGGATACTGTTGCCCGCCTTTCGGCCAGAACAGCATCATCTTGACGAGGCGGAAGTGAGATAGACGTAGTGCTGCCCATTGGGGAAGTATCAGAGACGTCAAGGCCAGGCGGTACGGGTTCAGTGTTACGTCGAATAACAGTCATCCCGATAGGTAGCATAGTTGGCTAACCGTGTCATGTTAGTGCGGGATTTGAAAATAGCAAGTTGAGAACTGACTTGGGTAGCCCTTTGCTTCGCGATTGCAGCCGCCTCGCCTTTCGACTTTCTCCAGAACATAATGGTGTCTATAAGGGGTTTTGGTTTTTGTTTTGCTATATGTCCCAGTGCAGCAATAAGCTGATCGAATGCCAAATCCGCACCAGGACCACACACATGTTCTACCGGTGTCTCTAGATCTGCCATACTTAGGATGCATTGGTTGATTTTTTCGTCCGCTTGGCCAACAAACTATTTATATGCTGGTTAGCATAGTTTTATTGCATCAACGATAGAAGACACAGACCGAGTTGAACAGATGATGAAGAGCATATTCCTCAACCGTTTTTGCCTCCTGGACATAACTCCCCGAGCGGGATGCATGGTGAGTATGCTCGCGCCGTGATTTCCCAGATAGCGTGCTCTTTCGGTGCAAAGCTATTTCACTGCCGGGGTCCAACTGGTTGAAATCTTGCACTGTAGACAAGGGGCTATTTTCTCGCTTTCCGTTCTGTTTGGGTTCCCCATTATTTGTAGAGCAAAAGCTAGCGGTAGACATCGCTTCTGGATTCAGCGGACCAGTCGTGCTAGGAGGAGCAAGACTGGGGCTCCGAGTATGCTGAATGCTTCCGTGTACGATTGACGCTTGGCGGTGATGACCATAGGAGTTTGAGGGTCGTCTCTCTACGACATCTTCGTCTATCACGGGCCGACCAATTCCAGGTTCTGGGCTTTTTGAGGTTGATTGAGATCGAACCTGAGATTGCGGCTGTAAAGTGGGATGGGCGCCAGGGCCAGGTGGGTCAACGGGCCGGCCTCGGACGATGGAGATGTCACGGCTATGAGCTCCGGGAGGTAGAGGAGTTCTAGAAGGGAGGCGGTCGGGAGATGTTTGGGTATTTGGCGGCGAGGCCATAACAGCGTCAGGGATAAGCGGGAGCTGCTGACCATGACCTGTCTGACGCATTGACTGAGGGCTAGCTGAATAGGGTGGAACAAGTTAGCGTCCGGTTTGATTCGCAGGGGTTGCCCTGAGAGTCATGATGCTTTGATGGACAGTTTGTCGGATGGTGAGACTAGACGGCCCCGCCTGGAAAGCTTCAACTCACAAGTGTGTAGCATATTCTCACGGGGAATGCAGGAGTGGTGTTCTAGTCTTCCTCATCATTATCGACTCAGGGTCCTACTGGCGATAGTGAAGCCGGAAACAAACCAAACCATGTCTGCCAGTTGAGGCCAGCAGTATGCCCATAGCGACGTCGTCTATCGGCCGTCGCTTTTTCCAGATCCTTGCAAATTGAAGTTGGTTGTCCAGGTCAGATCCCAAGTCTGCAGCTTGAGGTTGCGGCCCCTGGACGGCCGCGCCCGCTAAACCGCCCTTGGTCTAGTGCAAATGCTGAGGGAATATTTCACGTGATATAGCCATCGCCACGTGCTTATGTAATACTTCAGTTGGTTATTTGGCTTTCGGAGCGATATCCTGTGGTCAACGTAAATGCCAAACCATACTCCGTACTGCCTACCTGCTCATAACGAGTGTGTATACTCCGTACGGAGTAGGTATTCATATAACCAACACAGACATGCAATAATAGGCGCTGCGGACCACGCCTCCGTATCTACCCCTTATAACCGCGCGTAAGTATACCCCGTGCGTACGGAGTACTCCGTACAGAGTATCACTCCTACCTGAACGTTCTTGAGTATTTTGGACAGCTCAAAGCCAAGGTCCGAGACAGCTACTAGCCCATGACATTATCAACTCTACCACAGCATCTGTAAAAAGGAAGAATTAGATAAGTAGACGGAGAACAAGACAACACTATCTTCATCCATGGAGGAATGGGATCTCTGGTGGGAGTCATTAATATCACGAACTACTCCGTACTCCGTACTGGCTAAATAAATACCTATGGTGTTGAAGTACTGGTGACTAAAGCGGCTCCGTCGCGTTCTGTGGTTCCGTTTCGCCGGTCGGGCAAATAATAATAACGAACTGGCCGGGGAGGCACGGAGTCACGAAGCGCAATCTGTTCTTTTTGCGGTGCGAGGGTGGAACCATCTGGAAGCCGCGGGATCTCGACTGTGCATGTGTTGGCTGTATTCCGCACCGAAGGTCGGCGCTAGGCTGCCCTTGGTCTAGCCAGCCTTCGGAACATCGAGGTTCCGGCCCGCCCGTTCAGCTGCCGGCTGCACACTAGGCCAAGCTGGTGAAAGCCCGCGCCGCACCGGCTGGAAGCGCTGCTTCTCACCTCGTTTTCGTTTCTTTGTCCTCAGTCGGCAATCATTCAGGTCCTCCTGTGCTTGCTACCAGCACTCGCTCTCCCTCTCCCTCTCCCTCTCCCCTTTGAGCAACAGCTTGTCGATTGCCTTGGGTGCTCCTGGAGGTCTGCTGGGAATTTTTATTCCCTTTCCTTTCTCGCTCCTTTCCCGCATACTCCTCTGGTCCGGACTCCAAAAACTAGAAATTCGTGGACGAACGATCGACCTTATAGAACCTGTTCGTTTGCCTTGTCGTGGCATATTGACCTCTCACCTTACCGTACTTATTTGAGTGCTGCTGGGGTGCACGTTATCTCGGCCCCCTGTCACTAGCTGCCGTGATCAAGTGCCCGATACGTTCAAAAGATGGCACAAGTTGACTCCCTGGACCTTGTGGTCCTTGCCGTGCTGCTCGTGGGCAGTGTAGCTTATTTTACAAAAGGGACATACTGGGCAGTCCCCAAATCTCCTGCCGTGACTACCTTCGGCGCTACGAACGGAATGCCAAAAGAGGGCAAGACGCGAAACATCATAGAGAAGATGAACGAGACTGGAAAAAACTGTGTTGTATTCTTTGGATCTCAAACGGGGACAGCGGAAGATTATGCATCGAGGCTTGCAAAGGAAGGAAGTCAGCGGTTTGGTTTAAAGACAATGGTTGCCGATCTGGAGGACTATGATTTTGAAAACCTGGACCAGTTTCCCGAAGATAAAGTTGCTATCTTCGTTCTAGCTACGTACGGTGAGGGAGAACCTACAGATAATGCAGTAGACTTTTACCAGTTCATGACTGGAGAAGATGTTTCGTTTGAAGGGGGAGCTAGCGCTGAAGAGAAACCACTCTCCACTTTGAAGTACATTGCATTCGGCTTGGGAAATAATACTTACGAACATTACAATGCCATGGTACGGCAAGTCGATATTGCATTGACTAAGCTAGGCGCGAAGAGAATTGGTACCGCTGGCGAGGGAGATGATGGTGCGGGCACTATGGAAGAAGACTACCTTGCCTGGAAAGAGCCCATGTGGGTGGCTTTGGCTGAAGAGATGGGTCTGGAGGAGCGGGAAGCTGTATACGAACCGACGTTTTCCATCACGGAAGAACCAGCCTTGTCGCCAGAGTCAGAAACCGTTTACGTCGGCGAACCCAACCAGAACCACCTCGACGGGAAAACTTCCGGCTCTCACAATGCCCATAACCCTTTCATCGCACCTATTGTTGAGTCTAGAGAACTATTCACGGTCAAAGATAGGAACTGCCTGCATATGGAAATCGGAATTTCAGGAAGCACCTTGAATTACCAAACCGGCGACCATCTTGCGGTCTGGCCTACCAACTCTGGCAAGGAAGTCGACCGTTTCTTACGAGTGTTCGGCTTAGAGGAAAAACGTGACACTGTTGTCAAAATCAAGCCTATTGATGTGACCGCGAAGGTACCGTTCCCAACGCCTACTACCTACGACTCAGCTGCTAGGTACTATATGGAAATCTGTGGTCCTGTTTCTCGACAATTTATTGCGACCCTGGCTCAGTTCGCTCCCGACGAAGACACCAAAATGAAGATGAAGCGTCTTGGTGACGATAAAGATCAATTTCACAGCAAGATCTCTACCCAATTCTTCAACATCGCGCAAGCTCTCCAGAGCCTGACCTCGGAGCCGTTCACAGCCGTTCCTTTCTCGCTGCTTATCGAAGGTATCTCTAAGCTTCAGCCACGGTACTATTCCATCTCGTCATCGTCGGTGGTTCAGAAGGAAAAGATTAGCATTACGGCTGTCGTTGAGTCCATTCGTATACCAGGGGCTGGCCACATCATGAAAGGTGTCACCACCAACTACTTGTTTGCCTTAAAACAAAAGCAACACGGCGACCCCAAACCGGACCCCCATGGCTTGACGTATGCGATCACTGGCCCAAGAAACAAATACGACGGCATTCATGTCCCGGTGCACGTTCGGCACTCCAACTTCAAGCTGCCATCCGATCCAGCCAAACCGATTATCATGGTAGGCCCTGGTACTGGCGTTGCACCATTCCGTGGCTTCGTCCAGGAACGCGCTGCGTTGGCCGAGCGAGGAGAAAAAGTGGGCCCGACGGTTCTTTTCTTCGGCTGCCGAAAGCGGAGCGAAGATTTCTTGTACGAGAAGGAGTGGGAGGTAAGTTGTCACGTGACTCTCTGCCCCGCCGAAAGGCACAATTCCGCACTCCCAGCAGCCGGCTAACTAGCTTTCTTTTCGCAGGCCGTCTCAGAAAAGCTCGGCGATAACTTCAAGTTCTTCACGGCGTTTTCTCGAGAAACTGACAAGAAGGTGTACGTGCAGCACCGACTCCGAGAAAACGCCGCCTTGGTCGATCAGCTGCTCAGGGACAAAGCCACTTTTTATGTCTGTGGTGATGCTGCCAACATGGCTCGTGACGTGAACAATATTCTTGGCCAGATCATCGCCGAGCAGCGTGGACTTCCGGTGGAGAAGGGTGAAGAGCTGGTTAAGAACATGCGGAACAAGGGGTTGTACCAAGAAGACGTCTGGTCGTAATGGAACTTAGGGCAAGTATATATCCCCCTTTTTCTATCCGCTCTCCTATTTCTCTGCTCATCTGCCTCATAAGGCTGTGAGACCCCTATATGGCTCCGCTTTTTCAATTTGACTAAAAAGACTCCGTACCTCAAATTACTTCTCTTTGTTGAAGCGCAAGAATCCTCTCCTTTTTGTTCATGCACTGCTTGGGCACTTTGCGTCCACCATGCCACTATTTTGGTGTTTAATTAGACTATCTATGATTGATGAAGAGCGTAAACAAAGGCCATTTTGATATGCACGTCTAAATGTATGTATGAATGTACTTGTACCTAATATAGACTTCTGTTATGATTTCTTGATGATGCCCAATATAAACAGTGGGAAGGTGTTATACGAAATGTTGCAGCGGCCTTTAAGGCCTCGCACAATTAATTCAACAGAAAGTTGCATATACGAACAACTTTACGCATTCATCATGCGCAGGTCATAGCTCCGTTACCTAGTTACAAGGATTTCGGGCATATCAAGGCTTGGCGTGCTGGAGTAAAAAGTTTAGCAATAATCAAAGGAGTTAATATGAAAAGCTACTATTAACCACATCTGAATATTCTCTAGGCACATGCTCCATTGGCTCCATGAAAAACTCCATACTCCTGAGTTTTAGGTTATGCCTAAAACTGTTTTTAAATCTACTTAAGCATCAGTGGCATACATGTTGTTTAAACAATGATTTCTGCAAGCAGCAGTACTGGTTGTCACTCACTGAAAGTGTGAGGGTGTACGGAGTACTCTCTATTTTTCAATTGCTTGAATATCCTACGTTAGATCCACCCCAGAGTTCACATTCCTCTTCTGTCGTGATGTTTATTGGAATTTATTCTGCAGGAAAAGGAAGCCCATCCCTGTAGAATGCTTCAGCAGCCGGGATCACCATAGCTTCTCTATAGGAAGGGCATTTGCGTTCTTGCTGTTGTTAGCGATTGCCTCAGGGCAGAAACTCGGGTGTTGGGCTAAAATGTCGTTGGCCAGACATAGAGCTTGTGGAAATTGAATGCTTTCACTAAATGAATCTAGGATATTGGAGTTTCTGTTCTGTTTCTATTTGGACAACACCAGCAATTTGTGACGGTAACAGTGCTCCGCCAGTGTATCGCCGCTGCGAGTTTGGTCCTTTCTTGACGATCAACCACCAAGCGCTCTTTTTCCGATACAGGATAGACACGAGTAACACTTTTCTCTATTCACCTGCATCTGATGCATCCTCCTTTCTCTCCCTTCCCATTGCCCTTTCTTTTCTGCTCTCCGTTGCATCCTGCTTCACTTGTTGGGCCTTGGCCTGGCCTGCATGTTGTCCCTGCCTAGGGTGCTGAAGCCTCACCCTACCTCCTTCCGTTTTTTGCTCAGAACTAGAGCTTATTTCAACATCCCGCCATCTCGTTTTTACTCTTCTTTCTTGTTTCCCATCACAAGTCGACTTATTCTCTCAATTTTCGCTGTTATCCGCGTTATTTCTCTACTGTCTACTCCACTGGTTCGCTTTTTATCGCTTTTTTTCTACATCTATTTCACACTCGCTAGTACCCAGCCTTTTCCATCCATATCTATCTCTGTTTCATCAGCCTTCCCGGACTCTTTTTCCTTTACATCTACTCTTACCCGCTCGCTGCATTTTTGTGCTCAATACCCCTTTGTATGTCCCTATATGATGTTTTCCATGTACCCACAGGAACTCGGATACCGTAGCTAACATGGGTTCTTTTGAAAAGCTTTCGGATCTCGTCAGGAGCTCAATTCCAGAAAGCTACACAATTGACGCGTATAGGGTATGCTACTTTTGCCTCTCGTGACAACTTTCCATTCCATTCTCCTACGAATGCAAAGAAATTGATCTTACGCTAATAGTATTTTCTTTTATTCGAGAAAGAAACGAGACGCCATGAGCCAGCCAACCCAAATTCAAACCAGTACCACTGAAGATGCTCATTACTTGGGCCACGAGAATCCGATGGGGCACCAGTACATGCCTCCACAGTGCTACGGCCCTCCTATTCACCCGGGTGGTCATACACGGGATGCTAACGGGAGCCTCAATCAAACTTTTGCTACCTTGGGTATTCATGGGCAGCGTCCAAATTATGCACCAGTCAAAGGTAGCATTCCAGTTACTTCCGGGGCAAATAGCGAAATGCACCATCCTCAGCAAGGACCATTTGTAGTGGTTTCGAGCCCCCCCATGTTTCGAAGTGGGATGATACCACCCCCCCATTTCGGTCAAATTCCACCCGATCAAGGTGGTTCTTTCCAGTATGTACCTACTAGCATTTATCCCGGCTTCGTTACCAAGGCTTCGTATTCCCCTACCTCCTATCCTGGATATCCTTGGCCATACGCGCTGAGCCCTGATCAGGATCCTGCAAAACACCATTGCGACTGGTCGCCAGTTGAAGATAAAACCGCGGCTAATGTTGTTATTGACGGTGCCGCACATCCAAATCAAACTGAATATTACCCTGTTGCTGGACCGGTTGATCACCCTCAACCAACGGCTCCAATCTACAACGGCACACCTCAGACCCCAGGTCCTTGCCTCCCATATCAGATGATGAGAGGTGCTGGAGGTTATGTTCTTCAAGATCTTGATGCGTTGGTGAAGCAAGATCCCCCAATTCCACCCGCTGTCCCAGCAATGTGGACTAACCCTTCTGAACTCACGCTTGCAAAATGTCTGGAGAACCGTGAAGGTATAACAAACGTTTACATTCGTGGATTTCTCCCAGAGACAACGGACGAAATGTTATACGCTTATGCTGCAAGATTTGGGAAAATTGACAGATGCAAGGCAATAGTTGATTTGGACAGTGGTCTTTGTAAAGGGTGAGTCTGTCAAACACATAACTATTGAATGATATACCCTAATCATCATCAAGATTTGGGTTTGTACAGTTCTTTAGTTTTGAAGCGTGTGAAAATTGTATCCGCGGTTTTTTCCATCTCGGGTATCAAGCAAGCTTTGCACAGGTAGGTCTCGTCAGCTCCATGAAATAAGATAATATGACTCTGATATGTATAGAAATCTCGAAACTCTCGACTTAAGGATTTGGAGGATAAGTCTTCTACAAACATTTATTGCACCAATGTCCCCATAGAGTGGGTTGAAGCTGTAAGCACTCTATACCTACAATATGTTTCTCGGATTTTTATAAATAGAATTACACCTTTTACTAAAAAAACTTTTCAGGATCTTCGCCGTCATTTTGAGCCGTATCGAGTAATATCTGAAAAGATTAGCCGCGATGAGAATACTGGGATTAGCAAGGAAGTCGGGTTTGCAAGGTGACTTTTTTCTTTTGAACTTTGAAAATTCCCTACTAATCTCACAATTGCGTAGGTTTGAAACTCGCGATATAGCTGAGAATGTGCTTGCGGAGTTTCATAATATCACTGCCAAAGATGGTGTAAAGCTTATGCTTCGTTTTGCTGACACCAAAGCACAAAAGCAACTTAAACATCAGAGTAACGAGCGACGTGCTTATCGTGCCGGGGAATATAGTTACTCTGTTGAGATGGTACAGGGCTCAACTCCGTCGCCTAGCCTTCATCGTCTACAACAAGCCGCATCTCACTTCAGTCCAAATTCTCAAAGCAGCTATGCCTCTCCTATCGGAGTCGGCCAAGTTTGGACTCCGGCAACTTCGATCTCCCCCCCGTAAGTTGGACTATGAGGGCATACACTGGCTATATGCAGCTAATTGAAGGTCTAGAGGCCCACTATTAAATAGATCTGTTAACAGTTTACGCGCCACTTCATGGCCATCACGCGTACTGTCCAATATTGAGAATACCCCCAGTGCCCGGGGACGGCTAGTTTCTATTAGCAGAAGTTCTTTGTCTGCCGGTTCCACGAAGACCGTCATGCCTATTGCTTCTCTCCAGGGCAGCAGATCTGAAAATTCAAGCCCAAAAAAGGGAAAAGCGACGTCCGGTTCTATGTCTCCAACCCCTTCAGCGAAGGAGATAAACTTCTCAACTCCAAAATCCTGCAATTAAAGATTTCTTCACGGTAATATTACTCGTGACGAACGTCGTATTCCTGAGTATTCCTAGCAACACCTAGTACGCTTTATAACGGCACTTTCCTTTACTATTTGCATTTCTCGAGGCATAGACCGCCCTGTCCGGCTTTTCTACTCAGACAATCTATGGCTACATACCTAACTATATGCATGTTTATCTCCAAAGGGAAATATTAAAAAAAAAGTCTAACGACGAAAGGGTCTATGATGCTTAGCGATGACACATCTTATAACTAAACTACGGCTCGCTCATGGTAGCGAGCTGGTGATGATTTATGTCTTATTATTGCGCTTTTAACAGTGATAGAATAATCCATTCCTTTTAACTCGTTAAATATTGAACCGATAATCCAAATCTACCCGAAAGTATGATATAATTTATTCCGCTACGTTAGGATCATCCGTGACTCTGGATTTCTAGCGGTCTAGGTAAGTTGAACCAAAGAGACAAAGATAGAGCATTTGGTCGAGTTTTCTATTGTATCACGCATGAATGTAGGGGGGTATATAAGGTAAATGCCTTGGATGCCCGACAGGCCTGTCAACCCTGTTAATCACGTCCAAGTCTCTCCAGTGCATCTTCAAGCAGGTTATAGGCAGGTCGGTAGGTTGGGTTCTCGTTTGGTGAGCTTGATACCCGTAACGTGGGGTTAGGGCGGGTGTTGTCCGTGCCCCCCAAGCTCGTATAGCCTTCGTCGTACAAAGAGCAGTATTCTACGCCCAAGTGACGTATGAAAGTCCAGATATCACGGTAATTCCAATGGAGGACAGGGTGTATACGCACAAAATCTGGCCATCCTTGATCGGTGCGCTTGAAAGGTGTCAGATTCTCGCCGTAAGGATCAGTTCGACGAGTGCCAACAAAAATAGCTTTTATTCCAGGGTATTTTTCCAGATAGGAAGCGAAAGTGTCGCGGAGAGTGACATGGGGAGTGGGGGTGTAGCGGGTAAGAGAGAGGTGATAGATGCGAGAGGAGGAGTCGACAAAAGCTTCGACGGAAGGAAATGGGTGAGATGGGCGGGCGTATATGGCGGGAATAGAGGTTGGGGGCTCCGAATCATTCTTAACTTCTAATTCTTTCTGCGTGAGCAGCGAGTTGTCGGAGGGGTTGGCAAATGCCCGCTGTTCACCTTTATTGCCGGGCACAGAGGAAGGCTCTGGCAAAGGGTGGAGACAGGAGAGGAATAGGACAAGAAGGACGAGGCAATCCTTGCCGCCGTTGTAGGAGAGGGACAGCTCACGGAGCTTAAACTTGGACAGGGCCTCCTGGATCACTTCAAGAGAGCCGGTGGTCTTTTGCTGGACAAGGTGGAGGCGGGAAGACGGGGGATGAGACTCGGAGAGGAACGCCTCGATTTTCGCGTGGAGAGAGGCGGAGACGCTGGCGAGGGATGGCAGCAAGGGCTCATCAACAGCGCGATCATGGGTGTCTGAGTAACGGGATGCTGGGTGTTCTTTTGCAGCCCGCGACGGCGGCCCAGTGCTGTTGATGCTGCTCTCACCGTTCGGCACACTTGAGGACACGATATCGGCCATGGCGGGACGTGCAGATCTCTTTCTATCGTGTTGGCAGCGCCGTGCCCGTCTGGGAATGCAGGAGGCCCTCGGTCCCTTTTCACTGTGTCGGACCTGCGCGAGATCCCGGCGGTCTTCTTCTCTGATGGTCCATGGACTTCGTCTCGATTCTCGCCCCGCGGGCCGAAGTTAATTTTTTTTTGTCCAGCAGGAATGTGGCGGGCCTAGGTACGGATTACTGGCATGCCAGTTCGCCACGACAGCTTTGAAGAATGAAAGCAGATCGAGCAACTAACTACTTATGTAACTGAACGGGTTCAGGGTGTGGTGGTCGCTTCCAGGCGCATTGCTGATATCTCGCAGTTATTTACTGTAGCCAAATCTAAGATTTTCAAAATACAAAAAGTCAAGCCCCTGACACGAACAAAGCCCAGACGCTGGCTGAATAGCTCTTAATAAAAATTCTTAACGACTCTTCCTATGCCAATGCCTGCTTCCGTTTCACTCACCCGTGCTGCCTTGAGTAAATATCAAAATTTAGGAACCCCAATTGTGTTTGACGGTTTCATCAAGCCTTCTGCGGCAGAGCTGCGAATGCGAAGCCAAAAACTATATGAAGCGTAGTCAATAACCATATCGCAATAGCTCATAGCCATGGTCATGTTTCCAATCAGGACCTCAGATTTCCAAAATAGCCCAAGTGTTATCGTCCACAGTTGGGAATATCAAGCTGTGACTCTGCAGCTCTTCACTGGCTTTATACACGTCACTCAGAGGCATGTGCATAAGACCAGCCAGATGTTGTGCATGCAATCCCTCTCGGCTTTGCATGGTATTACTCAACGTATCGTATAATTTCCTCGCAATGGGGGACATATGCGGAAGGGGTTTGCCGGTGATAGCCATGTTCCCGGCAGTGTTTCCTGCTCCCATCCCCCCCTGATCCTTTGTCGCTGCTGCTCCATCTTTGCTTGGTGGAGGCCCGCGCGTAAAGTAAAGGTGCATGGCTGTAGCCTCGAGGAAATGGCAGTGGTATTCATCCATGTTCGTGAGCGGCCGGATTACGTGTGCTGTGACCGAACGGCGGTTGTTATAGACTCCCAGCTTCCCCCATACTTTGGCATACCCATTGACCACAATCTCCTTCTTGCTGGAACGACGCGTCGCAGCTTCCGATGTATCCATGGGATCCTCCATGCCGTCGTTACGATCTGCATTGTCTAACCATCTTTTCACCTCAATGTCCCCCGTTCCATCGTCTATTTTGTACGTGACGAAGGTGGTCAACTGCGAGATGTTGCGTACTTGTCCAACAAACGATATCTGAGTGATTTCCGTGTCGTCAATTTTAAAATCCGCCTCCGGGTATGCTTGTGTTGCTTCGTTTATTTGTTTAATGGTTACAGCTCTGAGGGACTCCTTGGCATATTTCTAACAAGAAGTTTAGAATCATAGTATCATCTTACAGGAATAAAACACGTCAAACTGCAAGAGTAAATACCTTTCCTCCCTGACTGCTCCCAGCTTCATTCATGTAGCCCCCTTCCCCGCCGCCCTGCCCGTATGAGCCTGAGGGGTACTGATTATCATACCCGTAATCTGCATATCGTATAAGTAATAAGTAGCCCGACTGGCCTAGGCTATAACTCACTCATCGTAACTGGGCTTCGTGCGCCGCGACAATGCGAATCAGTGTTCTGCTCCCTGTTACTTTCGAACTTCTGGTCCTTACCATCAATGCTTGGCGCGTTTTGGCGCGTCGGCTCAATGACGACACGGATTATGTAATACACAAATCACGTGCCAATAATTGTTAATTGTATCGGTGAAATATTTATCCGATTCAACTCACATCGGAAATTTCAAACTGCCATAGGAAGACACAAGGGTAAAAGCCATGGGCGAACCTGCAAGGGAAGAATTGTGTTTCTAATATGACTGGAATTTCTGCTTCTTCCTCCCGCAGTACTCACCAGTCCCCAACATCACAGTTCAGGACGGTTTCTCGGAAAAAACCTGCACAAACATGCCTCGCCGAGCACCCTCTCCCGCGGGGTCCGAACAGGAGTTTGATATAGCAAATACTCTTTTTGGAAATGCCGATACCTCCGATGTCGAGACTGTTCCTACTAAGGGAAAGCCGTCCAATCTGCTCAGCCTTGATGTTATGGCCGACGGGATCAACGATGGAAACAGTGAAGCAGATGAAGACGCCGCGTTTATTGCAGCACATCAAGCTGTCGCTAACCGCAAGGCAACCAATCTCAAGGGCAGAAGTGTAAGAAAGGGGGGGGGGTTTCAAGTTATGGGCCTCAATGCCAATCTTTTGAAAGCTATTACTCGCAAAGGGTTTTCGGTACCTACGCCTATTCAGCGGAAGACTATTCCGCTATTACTTGAAGATCAAGACGTAGTTGCTATGGCACGGACAGGTTCTGGGAAAACAGCGGCTTTTGTAATCCCAATGATCGAAAAATTGAAAAGCCACCACTCGAAAGTTGGATCTCGAGCCTTGATACTGTCGCCTTCAAGGGAGCTGGCGCTACAGACAATGAAAGTGATTAAAGAGCTTGGCCGAGGAACGGATTTGAAATGCGTATTGTTAGTTGGCGGAGATAGTTTGGAAGAGCAATTTGGATACATGGCCAGCAATCCTGACATTATCGTTGCTACTCCCGGCCGGTTTTTACACCTCAAAGTTGAAATGAATTTGGATCTGCAGAGTATCAAATACGTTGTGTTTGATGAAGCTGATAGGCTGTTTGAAATGGGGTTCGCAGCTCAACTTACTGAAATTCTCCACGGACTTCCGCAAGCGCGCCAAACATTACTTTTCTCTGCTACACTCCCAAAATCGCTAGTTGAGTTTGCGCGAGCAGGTTTACAAGAGCCTACACTTGTACGTCTTGATACTGAGAGTAAAATATCACCGGATCTCCAGAACGCTTTTTTTTCGGTGAAATCAGCCGAGAAAGAGGGTGCACTACTCCATATCCTTCATGAAGTGATAAAAGTTCCTACTGGTGAAACAGAAGCGGGAAAACGCGCAAGAGATCAGTCTGATTCAGCAAAGGGCTCAAAGAAGAGGAAGCGACAGGAAGGTATTTCGAACCCACAAGAGTCACCAACCGAGCATTCTACTATCATTTTCGTCGCAACGAAACATCATGTCGATTATATATCCTCCCTTTTACGAGAATCTGGTTTTGCCGTCTCCTACGCTTATGGTTCCTTAGATCAAACCGCTCGCAAGATGCAAGTCAGCAATTTTCGAGCTGGAATTTCCACTATTCTTGTTGTTACCGATGTTGCTGCCCGGGGAATCGATATTCCAGTCCTTGCAAACGTTATCAACTATGATTTCCCTTCCCAAGCAAAGATATTTGTGCATCGGGTGGGACGAACTGCTCGAGCAGGACAGAAGGGATGGAGCTGCAGTTTAATACGAGATTCCGACGCCCCCTATTTACTTGATTTGCAGCTATTCCTTGGTCGGCGGCTCGTTTTAGGGAGGCAAGGTGAAGATAACCTGAATTATACTGAAGATATGGTCGTTGGTAGTATACCTAGGGATGGGCTAGCTCGTAATTGCGAATGGGTCTCTAAACTGTTAGATGAAGATATTGATATCCAAGGCCAGCGTGACGTTGCTATGAAAGGTGAAAAGCTCTATATGAGAACACGAAACTCTGCCTCCTCTGAAAGTGCAAAACGGTCTAAAACCGTTGTTTCATCCGACGAATGGACGATGCTACACCCTCTATTTAACGATGCAGCGAGTCACATGGAAGTACAAAGGGAGAAGATGCTAGCTCGAATAGGGGGGTATAAGCCACAGGAGACGATATTTGAAATCAGCGGCCGACGTGGTGGTAAAGCTGGTGACGATGAAGCCATAGATACTATGAGGAAGATTCGTTCATCAATGGAGACCAAGCGAGCAAAGAAACAAAAAATCAACCAGCCAGATGCAGGCGCAGATACCTCATCTCAATTTCCCCCTTCTCCTACATTTGAAGATGAAGACTGCGATACAGCGGCTGATATGGCCAAGAAAGATGACGCTGAAATGTGCATGGCATCTGATTCAGAGCTCGAGGTGACATTCTCTTACTCGTCCGGAAAATCCAAGCCCAAGAAAGAGGCTGACGGGAAGGGGCCCGGTACCTTCCAAAACCCGGAGTACTTCATGTCCTACAAGCCCACCTCTCATTCTCTTACTGAGGAACGTGCATATGGAGTACATTCTGGTTCCAACAGCAATTTTGTGGAAGCATCAAGGGATGCTACAATGGATCTATCGCGGGATGAGGCTAACCGTGGTTTCGCAGAACCCCGTTCCATCATGAGATGGGATAAACGGCACAAAAAATACGTTTCACGGCGAAACGATGAAGACGGATCTAAGGGATCCCTCCTTGTCAAGGGCGAGAGTGGCGCTAAGATTGCAGCAAGCTTTCGTAGTGGCCGATTTGAGGCTTGGAAGAAATCGAAACGGCTAGGACGGATGCCCCGTGTTGGCGAAACGGAGGATCCAAGTCTCGCCTCCTCGGGACCAGCGGGAGGAAGGAGATTCAGACACAAAAAGGAGCAGAGTGCGAAACCGGCTGACAAATACAGAGGTGACTACGAAAAGAAGAGGAGGAAAGAGCAGGATCTGCAACAGCGTCAAGCCGAAACAGGGATGATGCAGTTTGGTCCCAAAGGAGGCACAAAGAAAGTGAAGAGTGAAATCAGAAGTGTGGATGACGTGAGGAAGGCAAGGCACCAAAAAGAAAAGAGAAGAGAAAAAAACGTGCGGCCCTCGAGAAGGGGGAAAAGCAGGTGATTCTTCTTGTACGGAGTATTCTTGGGTTATCGGGATGTCTCGATTTTATTGACGCGAAGGTTTGGACCAAATCATGGGGGTACTCTGTATGCACAATATAATATTACATACATACATGCAAATGATTGCTGCAGAAAGCAGCTGCCGAGAACTCACAGACCCTATTAGACCAAGATAGCGAAGCTACTGCCAACCCTTTCAAGTCAGCAGACCAATTTCTGAACACCTCAAGAGGTTAGTTATGACATGCCGACGGGGTAATCTTCCGTTTGTCTGTCCGGCGCAGGGGTGGCCCTTATGGATGGGGATGATGCTTGCCAGTCATTTCACGCAGCTGATTTGCAAGGGGCCAGGAGATTTGGTGATCTCATCTTGAGCAGCACACTCCCATGTTCAACTTATTCAATGTTTCACCTTCGAACACACCTCTTTTGGGCGTCAAGGATTAAATTTGTGATTTCTCGAGCGGGTGCAGTCAACACCTCAGCTCTATTATGAGAAGATCTCCGCGCCTAAATGTTGCCAAAGGTAGGTGGCGGCTAGGATCCCGCTCTCCCCAAGCTCTTTTCAAAGCTTACTGCCAGCTTCCGCGACCCTAACGGACAAGGGCAGGGTACTCTCATGGCCATTCAACCTCAAAATAGCTCGGTGATGAGAAAGCTTTGCAGCTTCAATAATAGTGAGCGTGGGCCTCGGTTAGACCGCCGTTGTTTGCCAGCTTTGCGTGATTTTTAATCGTGTGATTTTACCTCTTTCTTTTCCGACTACAGACGACTCTTAATGACCGTAACGGTACATCTTGGGCTGATAGACTATCGCCACTCCTGTCATCATGTCGCTTGTATACTCAGGTTAAGAAGGATCGACAATCTGGCATTATCTTCGCCTTGAGATGCAACACGGAACTCTCTTGGCTATTATTAAGCGAGCACCAAGATATCGCGACTCAGGCGTGCGATCTTGGGCGTTACAGCCCTTTTCCATAACCCCCGTCCGCGGCTCAGCGGGGCGTCTTGAACAGTGAAGCTGAGGCTTGGAAAGAAATTCCATTGTTTGTTGCCAATCGGTCTTGGATCTTATTCAAACCTGTTCGTGACGTACTCTAGACTCTCCGTGTGGGCATGTAGTTACAGTATTTAAGGCGCATAAATGAATAGTGTGTAGATAGGTCTTGGCTTTCTGGTTTACAAAAGCACGACATTGATTGTGGTTATTTCAACATGTCTCGTATAGTCATGGGTTATGTTCCGGAGGTGGCTTTATGCGATACAATTGCTTGGAGCTCTGTTTCTCCAAGGCGTCCTCCCCCGTTGCCACGCAATGTGGCTGGATGGACGTAGTCTGATTCGTAATTTAGCACCGAGACCGGAGTGCTATGTCTGAATTCCTGGGTAAAAGGGATTCGAGAGACCTTGCTCGCGTTGTTGGATCCGTTTCACCGGATCAGAACGTGGCTGTGACGTTCATGGCCCAGCAGTTTCATTTGCGGAAGTATGGATTATTGCCTGGATTGTAAGCTCAATCCAAGGGCAGCGGGCCCAGCCAAAGCACTTGGTTTTGGGCCATTTCTGGTACGGCTCAAACCCTGTGGTTTCCGCCCGGCTCCCCTTGTAGCAGCTACCAAGTCAGAGGTTCGTGTCTTCGAGGGCAGAAAAACAAAGCAGTAGTAAAGCAAAATAAGAAGCCACACCGTGCGCAGAACCATATTGCACGTGGAAATGGGAAAACGAGGTCCCTGCGGGGAGGGTGGCCTTCAGCAAGGGGAGCGTCGCCAATAGTCACATCAATGATTGAATGATCAACACTTCCAACCTCTGTTCAAACCCTTGAAATCTCACGCAAGGATGCAGCTATGAGAAGCGTCGTTGAATAATCTCGGGCGGACTTCCGGATGCGAAATGAAAGCCTGTTCGACCAAGCGGAAAATACAGTGCCGCTTTCGTTGAGATCCAAACCCCTTCGAGTCCTGGCTATCAACTCACCTAGCGAGTGTTGTTAGGCAAGACGCAATCTTTATTCATTAGCTACTTAACGATCGGCTTGAAGAATCTTAGTGGTAGGGGTCTGGGCGCACGGTACAGAGTACGAGTGTTCTGTGCCTTGTGAGAGTATGGGATGAGCGATCGAGAAACTCGCCCAGAAGAGCACATAAAAGGTGCAACTTACGGGGTGCATATGGATTTAAGTTCTCAACTGTCAGGGTCCACGAATTCCCCGAGGACAGGGGTTCATAGATTTCCTTCTGACCACCATTGGCATGGACTCCCTGGTCAGCCAAAATGCTACCGTGCATGTTTGTGTCTGGGGCAGCATTGCGGCGCTCCCGCATGGCCACCGCATTATTGGATATAATAGTATTTAATAATTATTGGATAATGGCAGGCATAAGGCGCCTGAAGTAGCATGTAGGTTAGGTATGAACGGTGTCGACAGTACTTACGAGCTTGAAGGAATTAAATTAGACCCTGGCACTGTGAAAGCGCAGCACGGCTTGCCCGTGTCGGCCGAAGAGACTGCGTTTCTCGTGCCGATATATGCCCGTCAGGTCGACTTGGTTTCCGCAGAAGGTCAGAAGGTGATGTATCCGGTCAACCCAGCAAGATGCGGTCCCACCGATTGTCTGCTCAACTTCTTAACCATTTTCTTGTTTCCTCTGCATTCTGCAAACTAATCCTCCCCGGGAGCCAACCTTATACTGTATTGTTGGCAAACGAGTATTTTCGCCCCAATTCATGTATCACATCTCGCCTAATAAAAATGTCCCCAGCTTTGTCAGATCTTGATTATGATAAGATTTTAGACGATACGGGCCAAAACGCTATTGCAGTGATACGACCGAGATTCCCGCCTGGGCGACATTGCTTAAGCGGATTACCGTCCTCGCTGGATTCCAAGGCAGCATGGCAAAAAGTGTGTTTTGTAAACAAGAGTTTCAAGCACGCATAGCGGGAAGGGATCGTTGTCGTGCATGATTCTCGTTTTCGAGTCTGTTCAATCAACTACGAGACGGCCTGCCTATGCCGCTTGGTATTATTCCGACTTCGCGGGCGTGTACTATCCATGTGGACATGCATACTGCGCGCATTGCCTAGTCGAGCCTCTGCGTGTCAAGCCGCAAGCGGGTCGTCGATGAAACGACTGTTCGGCCGTCAGGCATTCACGGGCTTTGAGCGTAAAGGTGCACCGCATGTAGCAGAATAATGTGTGCGCTGTCAATAGGCCCGGCTCTTTAGACTTTGTATCACGTCGATAATACGGAGAGATATGATGCAGTTGGGTTGGTACGGAGATTAAATACCCTTAACCCAAGCCACAGCAAATTAAACCGGCGGACGGAGAACGGAGAGGACACAGGATGGAGTACATCGACAGGGATGCTACTATATGATCGGAGTCCTGCCCATATGCAAGTCACCCGTGGTCATTAAACCCCAGCAGGGGTGGTAGCAGGGCATGTATGTATGACCGAGCGAATGTATGATTTACCTGGGAGGCAAAGACCTCTGACAGGTCAGCATGCGGGAGCGGGAAGGGGAAATGCCCAGGAATCCAAAATAATGACAAAGGATACGTACTCGGCGTCTGCTTTTGACACGGCACGAGGGCTGCTGAGCCCACGCTGGGTCGTGGAGGCTCGTAGTGAATCGAAAACCATGCTTGGCCTGCAGGAGAGCCGCCACAGCACGATGTCTGGTCGGCATGGAGCGCAAGGGGCCGCCTGGTGTGCTCAGCGGCCCCGCGTTTCGTACTTGGGATTGAACAGACGGAGCTGACGGTCCATCCAGTAGTTAGTTAGTAGTGATGTGGTGGGCGACAGATCTGGAATCGGGTAAGGAATATGGAGTACTTATACAGATGCTTGGTTGGTTATAGCAACCAAGGCACTGTGGCGGAGCGGTCTAACGCGCTAGACTAGAAATCTAGTTCCTTCGGGAGCGCTGGTTCGAATCCAGCCGGTGTCGAGTCTGAGTAACTTTTTACGTTTTTTTTTGTTTTTTGCTCATTTCGAGTGGCGTTTTTCGAGTTGACGGGTTCCCAACCAAGAAAGGATTATGAGGCCAGGAACATCCTCTTCTTCTCGCCGAACAAACCGCCGAATATGCTACATACCTCCCTCCCCGGCACCCCTTTCGGCGGCAGATCCTTCACTCACAGCTGAGACTCTTCATGTCTAGGCGACCTGCCTGTTCCGGCTAGTCGCGAATAGCACAAGCTAATATATGTACCGTAGCAGCCGTGAATCTTAGGGCGGCATTGATCAGGGCCCGGCGGCCGTTGAAAATGTTCCAGGAAAATCACAGGAGAACATACTGGCGATCCCCCGGATTATCTTCACAAAATGGATTGCGTGAAGTGGGGTCCTTCTTAAGAGCTCGGGCCCCTACCTTATCACTCGTCAGGCAGACAATCAGGAAGGGTGTACGAAGTAACTAGAAACAGTTTTAAAACGTGGAGTGGCCCTTTTTCCAGAAGGTTGCTATCGACGAGAAGAATCGCGGAGCCTTGATCCAGCCCCCTCTCTTGACGTTATAAAGTTCCGCACGTATCACGTATGGAACAAGAATATCTTAAGATGACATGCTCGTGGTTTTCCGCGGCAGGACAGGTCGATGCGAAGGTTTCTCAAATGCAGTGTGAAGTCATTATTCTCTTCACTGGCCGCCCCTGGCGCAGTGGTGTTTAAGAATGCTACCTTCAGCGAGCCTCTTCCCGTCGCCGGCCTTAATCCCCATATGACCGGTGTTCGGGCGCTTTTCACCAGGTAGGATCGAAACGAGGTGCTAGTGTCGATCATTATTTGGCTAGCCGGCCATGTTTCCCCAGACCTCTTTTCCCCACTCACTAGGTAGGCCTGGCCCTTCGGGTCTCGTGGCTGCTATCGGGGGAGATGATTCTCAAGGGCGTTGAACTTAAACGGTTTTTCCCCATGGTGAGGGCGCCAAAGGCCCCAGGACGCACTGCTATGTAACCCTTTGCGACACGCGACAGGCGACGATATTTATCCTTGCGGCCTGGGGAAGAATGCCTGCAAGACATGTTTTGGTGTTGGGTTGCGAGTAAACAGGGCCTTGCGCCAGGGTCCCCGAGTGGCGCTTCCGAGTAATAATATCATTACTACTGACACTCCGTATTGTCGGAGAGAAGTGAGAAAACGAGCAGATGACTAGTCTCCCGAGTTTGCTGTTCTAGCAAGTTTCAGGGGGTTTAGCTACTTTCCATGCAGTATACACCGTAAGGATTTATATATGTATATGTATGTAGGTACAGTATGTGTATACATACGGAATAAAAGAATCAGTCGCTATGTAGAAAGGGATGGTGGAATTGAAGAAATCTTGTGCGGCAATGAAAAGATTGCTTCCGACAACATCCGTGAGGAGCACTTCAAGAGAAGTTGGAGAAATCATTGGTCAGCTCCAGAATCCGGGGAGAATGTTCGAAAATAACTGGCTTGTTGGCCGGTTGATAATAGCAATAGTATTATCAGCACATACTATTATTCGAGGATCAGTGTTGGAATATTTTTTTTTAACCCTGACTATTGGCTTGAAATGGTTTGAAAATGCCGGGATGTAATCGGCGCGAAGTTAAACTCGAGCCCATTATTATCTGTTTCGATACAATTGATTCACCGTCCCATAGTTACTCTGTATACAGTAGCCAGTATCGCATTAATACTCCTTGAGCAAGGGAGAATGTTTTGCTCAGGACTTGACAGAAGAGCCGCTCTGTCAAAGGTCGTTATGATAAGAGTGGACAGTTAAGAAGGGGGTCCGCTGTTTCTTGATGGGGCCATAAACGTGAGTGTGCATGGATTAACTGGTTAGTCGTGCAGAGTGGCGGCTTGACTTCTGCCGTTTCGAGATCGGCAGGTAATTTGCCCAGCAAGGAGAAGGGCGCTCGAAATTGTGCTCGATAAGTGGCTTTTTTTTGTCGCGAATAATGTGTGCATCCTGGTGTGCTCCGTACTCCGTACTCCGTAAAAAAAATCGAATATCAGGTTATAAAATTAGATGGAGGTCAAAGATGCCCATGTTTTATCTGGAGTCGTGATGTCTAGTAAACCACAAACGGGTGATCCGCCAACAAACCTTGCTGATCCTGGCGGCAGCCATCTGCTTGGGGACTCGAATGCCTTTCTTCCGTTGGCCATGGCTGCCGAAACCAAGGCCCGAAATCCCAAGTTCAAGGTTACGAGACACAGCTCTGCATGCGCTTCGGCAGCCGCCTTGTTGTTCGGTCTTGAGGCGCTTGTCCATCGAAGCCTTCCTTCTCGCACCTTGTTGCTAGCATCATATCACTAGTTCTGCCACCATTCGAGGGGCGGAGCACAGTATGTTACCCTATTCGGGGGTCCCATAGTATAATTGAGCTGATGACGGGCTGGGCTTCCACCTCAAGAGCCGTAGTGCTGGTCCTCTCAGGAGGGGGTTGTAGCGGTTAGTCAAAGAAGGCATCATTCTGATACAATGTGTGCGTCCACTCGTGGTGGAACCTGAATTTGCGTCGATGCGTAGTTGGTAGCTTCGTCAGTGGAATGGGGAGAAGACCCCTTTGCCGTTTTGGGTAATGGGAACATCACCTCTATCCCCTCTTCTTCCTCGTCCTCGTCCTCCTCCTTCTCCCGCGGCACGCATGTAACTATGTATGCATACACATGTACATCGAACCTCAGCGCAGAACGTATTGCAGTCACACTGCCTCTTCCCTGCGCAGTCAAACACGGCTACTCACTTGGCTCGTGCATAGAGGCATAGTTATGCCCTGCTGCTTCTGTTCCACCCTCCATTATCATTATTTGCCAGATGAGCTAAAGCACTAATTACTTCGGCTATGACTCAAATTTAAGCGGCCAAGCCGACGAGGTGACGGTGAAGAGGTCAGTGCCCTCGGCAAGCAAGACAAAAATAAGAGGGCAAAAAACGCCCGATTGGCTATCCCTGCAAATTCTTCAATATTATTCAATTGCAGCCACTCAAGAAAAAAAACAAAGCGCATCTCGCCAGCATGATTGGCGCTCGGAATGTACCTGAAGTGATCGACGCGAGATGAAGGAGATCAGGGCAACTCAATAATGAATAATACTCATGAGCCCAGAGGCTCGGCAATTATAAGCAGAATTATTAGCGTGAATCAGGGAGCAATTGTTGCCAGTGGTGTCTCGAATCGCCATGGGTTGGTCCTGTGGCCAAACTCTTTCACTTGAGTTTCAACGGCCTCGAATTTAATCAACACGCACCGGCCCTAGCTTTAGATGGGTCCGTTTCTTATCTCTGAATAAGAACGAATCCCTCCCTGGCAATGCACAGGCCATGCTCTCTGCAAGTCGATACGACGTTTTCTGGGGAGCAAGTGGAATAGTTCGCCCTCTTTGCGCTTGATATTACGAAAAATGAATTAACTATTCTCTCGAAAAGAGCGATCGGCCGCCTTATGCCACAGGGCCATACGCATCGGTCCCGAATACCTCTGAATGCTACGATGTCGCCGAAACGAAATATTCAAGCCACGCTGTTTCTCCCTTGACACATAATTTTGCTCCTATGAAACAAGAAAACTGTTTCTAATTCTTTTTTTTGGTACAGTACCGACTTCCAAGGTATTATGGACCAGCAGCATGGGTTGTTCCAGATATTCGAAACAAGTTCTCCTGGCCTCCGGGACATTTGCCCCATCTCCAGTGTTGAGACAGGTGGTCCGGACCCGCCGCCGGGATGGATATATACATTATCATAATCCATTAACGCATCTTCTATGAACGGAAGATGATCATAAGAAAGGTCTGCAACGGATTTGCGCCAGAAGTTTATGTAGCAACGATCAAAAACCTTCAGGCCCTCTCGTAACTCTCGCATCCCTGATCATAATCTACGGTTACCTCTCTACCGAGTACGACTCTACGTCGCGATTTTTTCCTACATATCTTTCCTGATTTCCTTTCTATCGTTTCCTCACGAGGAGTGCTTTCTGGCTTTCTTCTTCTGCAATTTCCCCCCTTTCATCTCGAATCTCCTCTTAGAACCCTCCACTTACATATAGATATCTATACCTCAACATCTTGCTCTTGCATACTTTTTTTGAGAGCCGCCCTCCATCGTGCACTTACGGCCCCCATCTCCTGTCACCCGATTGCGTCGATCACTGAACCCCGAGTTGTTGGGTGATCTTCAACCCTATTCAGTTTCGAGCCCAACTGGATAGCATCGAAGGGAGGCCTAGCTGGCCAGCTTGATAGTCCACCTGTCACATCACACGGCCCGCGTTTGCACAACATCTGTGACCCACCATCGGGTCATTTTTCTTTCAGCCTGTAACTACAGGAACTGCGGGCTGCCTTCATTTTCCAGCTCTGAGAGCACACCTGATCCAAGACGACAAAAGTGCGTGGATAATACACGGCTCCAAACACACCCATACCTTTTTATCTGGCTATACAGTCCATCCGAATAGCCATTGTTTTGGTGCAGTACCTCTGCGTTAAAAAACACTATATCAACGGTCGGCGGGACGGAATTTTCTCGGCGGGCGTGAGCCATTGTCTCTCCACCTGTGAAAATCTCTGTACTTTGAATGCTTGTTCGAGATTGGCTTTGCGATCGACATTTTCCATGACTTGCTTTCCTGATTGCTATTTGATTACTCGGAATTGAAAGGGACGGCTTATCGCTACTCCATATCGATCACTATTGTCATACTTCGAGAACCGCGCTCACTTGACTCTTGGAAATTTTGAACACCTATCTCTCATTCCAGCGTTACAAATGCAGTCCCTACGACCCGTTGAACCGCTCCCCTTCACGGCCTTCCGCCACACCTACGGATCTAGCTCTGACCCGCTCAAATTCTCATTGCATCGGAGCGTGTCGGATAGTTTCTGTGCCTACGTCTCTCAGAACCCTTACCCCTCCCCTCCTATGCCTGGGTCTCCCTCCCTGCGAGGCCACTCAAGTCCATGCCAACAATCAAAGCGCAAGCGTTCAGAGTCCCCTACTACAGCTTCTAAGCTCTCTGTGAAGTATGACAGTTATACTTCTAAACCCCAGGGAATTTCTAGCAGCTCTGTTAGCGAAAGGTCTCTTTACACGGGAACTCCAGCTACTTCATTACTATCTGTAAACTCAGCAACGCCTGGACCACCGCAGCTACTACCTGCTCTTACTGCAGTGGCGCCCATCCCACCAAGACCAGCCGCATTACCACCGAGATCAACTCGCCGGGCAAAGGCCCATGTTGCTTCCGCCTGCGTGAACTGCAAACGTAAGCATTTAGGGTGCGATTCTGCACGACCATGTCGAAGGTGTGTTGTCGCCGGAAAAGAAGTACGTAACCCCCATATTATACCCCCAACGGCCCTTATAAAGGTCATCATGAAACAAAAACGACACTTACTAACGTTTATCTAGTCTTCTTGTGTTGATGTGACACATAAAAGGAGAGGAAGACCCCCTTTGAAAGCTGAGGAGGGCCCTATACGGGGCTATGAACCAGGGTTTAACCAACCATCCAATTTGCCACATTCCCATCAATCTACTGCTCCAGATGGGCATGGACGAGGATCTTTATCCAGAGAGATTCGCCCAAATACCGAATTTCGCAATCCTCCCCCTGCTCATACAAATGGAGATCAGATCATGAGGGCGAGTCCCCCAGCTCACATAGCAACACGCCAATGGGGCACCTCAATGCTTCCTTCACCATCAGCAACTGTACCGCCGTCATCGCCTCTAAGCACTGTACTTATACAGAGTCCGCTATCGAGGGAGAGTGGGCCATTTTCTGTCGATCGACATACCTCTGTTTCTAGCCCCGTGCTTCGGGCCCCTGTTCCTCCACGCTCCTCAGATGATGGTTCGAATCTTTCTCTTTTATCCAGGGACCAATTTCCTCCACCACGCTCACCTCGACAATACAAATCAATTATCTCTACGCCATTATCTTCTGCTCCAGGACAAACTCAATATGGAGCCAACTCCGTGATTAGGCTGCCGCCAATTCCTCCACTTCTCACTAAACTGAAGGTTGACTTCTCATTTGATAGCCAAGTACGGAGCAATACCTCATCGCCATGGTCTGTGAGGGGAGAGCCGCGCAATGAGAAATCGCATGATATCCATCAGTACCCGATTTCGCCCTTAACACGAGAAGAGAACGGATGGATTGAACGGAGATGGAGTCATGAACAGGCACTGGTTTCCCCATCCTACTCTCTTCCGCCTCTCAGGCAGCCGTCAGAGCCGCTTCAGCGGCAGCGATGCTTTTCTACGTCTGCTGTTGCCACCGGCGGCTCCAGAGATATCACTTCGATGTCAGTTAACGAAGGTGTTTTGATGTGCAAGGAAACCCAACCCGTAAAACGGAGAAAGATGGAACTCGGGGAGATGGTCAATGGCTGAAGTCTCCTGTCTTTACTTTTTGGATGCAATGCGACGTGTGTGACGGCCATTCATTTTTAAAGCTTCATTTGGGCTGGAACCTATACGAAGGCTTAGTTAGCATTGTGAATTTGTGGCTCAATTCAATATTGTGAAATACAAGAAATCCTAAGTTTTTACTCTTGTCTATGTACTGTATATAACATCCAAAATTGATAACTTGGTTTTTTTGTTGGGGTTGCTTCTAAATACTATCGACGCTTTCGAGTTTATTCAAGAATTACCTCCATGGACGATCGGGCCCATTACCCTGGGATCTTGAAAATGTATATCACACTTACTATCACTGTGGCCGTGTATATTTTTCTATTTGTATGGTGGGACGTGTCTAAAAAGCCGAAAAACATATATACTGCCTGGACGACATCTGAAACCCGTTACTGTTTCAACAGTGGGACTTTATGCCGAGCGTAATGTGTACTGTTATAGTGCTCCATTCAGTGTCTAGACCCATTAGAGGAACAACCACTGCCCTGCTCTCTTAGCCTTTTCGCTCCAGGGCAACTTCCAGAACGGCTTTTTGCGGCTGGTGCCAGTCCATGTCGTCTCATCTCTCCAATCATCACCTCTGGCGGCAGCAAGAGTAGCCTCGGAGCCACTACCTGGCCCAAAACGACCTCCATCCCACCGATCAGTGACAAGATCCATCTCTTCAATCTTCACCCACTTCGTCTTTTTCAAAACCTTCCACAGAACATACAACCCCGCCATGATGGGTAACTGAACATAGAAACTCACGAAATCCACGCCCTTAAAACGCGGAGAAAAGCTTGACCAGCCTTGAACAAGAATCAGAACACTATTCAAGATGATAGATAGTATAGGCCCGTATGGGTAAGTCCAGTTTTTGAAAGGGAGGAGATGCGTAAGACCTTGGGCATCGATAGCGCGGCGAAAGCGGAGGGAAGCGACGCCAATGAAGACCCAAGATAATTGGTTGGAAACACCAACAATGCTGATTAAAGGGAGATTTGTTAGCTTGGCGTTTCCTTACATAGCAAAATTTGGTGGGCGAAAAGAGAAATGAAAAAACGGGGAATAATAAAACTAACTTTTGCATCCACGTCCATAACTGTCCTGCACCAATGTAACTCGCGCCAAAACATAATCCGCTCAAGGCAGAGGTAGCCAGAACGGCTACCCACGGAACCTTACGTCGGGTTAAAAGCCCGAAAAATGCTGGGGCATGCCTGTCCACAGCAAGGGTATAGAGCAATCTTGCACCCGCAAATAAGGCATGGTTTCCTGCTGAAATGACACTGGTCATAATGACCGCATTGATAAAACTCCCTGCAACTTTACTTCCGACCATCTGGAAGACAATAGTAAAGGGACTAGTGCGAGTGTTTTTTGAAGCCAGATTGGGATAATTGTACGGGACGTTGAGACCGATAACAAGGACCGCGAGGATATAGAATATTAAAATGCGCCAAAAGACATTGCGAATAACACGAGGAAGATTGCGTGTTGGGTTGCGGGTTTCACCGGCAGTGATGGCAATGGATTCGGTACCACCGCTATATAATGTCAGCAACGGCCATAGGAATTTATCCATATTTGAGGACATACTAGGCAAAAGAAGCGGTGACAAAGACGGAAGCGAAACCGCCTATGCCTCCAACAAAGGGGGCCTCTCCCATGTTCCAATACTTCCCTCCAATATATTCTCTATTGGTATTGGCACCACAATTAACCGCAATACCAAGTATGATGAAGACCTATTGAAGGATAAGCAGGGGATAATGTGTTTCAGAAGTGGCAAACATACAATAATAGTAGCGACCTTTAGAATACTCATCCAGTATTCCATCTGTTGCGGGACAGTTAGCATTGGCCACTTACTTGAAGAAGCAGGTGATATCTATACCTCGCCGTATACCCGGACACTAACAATATTCAGGGCAATTAGGATAAAAAGGAATATCAGACTGAAAGCCCATGCGGGCATGCCGGTGCTCCAGTAGGTCAATAATAGTTGCAGTGCAACTAGATCAGCCGCCGTCGCGATAGCATCGTTGAACCAATATATCCAAGTAAGCGCAAAACCGACGGAATCGTCAACGAAGCGCCTAGAGTAACTAAATTAGTTTCTATTACAGCGATGCGGGCAAGTGAATAGCCCTCACCCCGCATATGTGCAAAAGGAACCCGCGATGGGCATGAAGGACGCCATCTCTCCCAGTGACAACATAGTCACGAATACAATAGCTCCCACAATGGAGTATGAAAGAAGCATCGAACCCGGTCCACCCGTGGCCAGCGACTTGCCTGATCCTAAGAAGAGACCAGTGCCAATCGTGCCGGCAATGGCAATCATTTGCACTTGCCGCGCGGACAACTTGCGAGCAAGTTTATCAGCGACAACGACGGGCTGCGCCTCTTCGATCTGGTGTCGCTCTGTCGACGATTTTTCGACATCTTGTGCCTTTTCATCGAGCGCGAATTGGGGCTTAATGTTATCACCAGGAGAAGCCATCTTGGACAAGTATCTTAAGAATGTTTTTGCCAACAGTGAAAAGAGAAGAGACCCGAGAGCCTGCTAGATAGAAGTTGGGGAAATCCTCCGCAGCCAAGTGAATCCTGTGCGGGCGTCAGATCAAAAGTGCAGGCTAAGGGCAGAGAACGCATCGCATACAAGATGGTAAAGTTTCTTCCCCTAATAACCGCGCGATCCGACCATGCCGCGCAGAGAAACGAACTTGCTAGGGTGTTGGGTCGAATTCAGCGGCAAAGCTGCCCAAGCACCATCGTTGTCTTGAAGTCCACGGGCCGTGAGTGAGGTCTGGGTGAAGCAAGTCTGGCGCCTAGGGAACAACAGCGGACAGGGAGCAGAGCAGGGCATATTTATTTCTTATGTGTCACCAGGTTCCCCTCTGGCGACAATCCTGTGGGTAGGGATCAGCTATTATTATTGCCGTTGGATTAGCCACGGTGCTCCATCAGAGACCGCGAGTTCCCGGTAGATACGCGGCAGCGCAAGAGTCTTGAGTCCAGCCAAGCTATCTCTGCAGATGTCACATCGATGCTCCATACCGGCCGGCCAGTCTGAGACGCCCACTTCTCGAAGAAGAATGGAAGGCCCCATTCCAGCTCCATATTTTTGGCCTTGTAAACGCCGTTTGGCCGTCTTCCTGCGTTGTGGGCACATGAGCGATTTGCCACCGGGATGGCGAGCTTGCCGGCCTCTCACCAGATACGGGCTGGCCACCGCCCACTGCAGTCGTCCATATCTCCCAACGACTGTCAGCCATCTCAATGCATGAAACAGGACCGGGTTGTTTGTCTAGGGTCGCAGAGCTAAGGGACTCGCATTCTTGGCACTTCCCCGGATCCAACCGCGGGCCAAAAACAATGCTGGCTTGCAGGGACTCCGTATTAAGCAGCGAGCACACAAAGAGTGCACGCCGGACCAATGCTTTATACTCCGTAGAGGCGGGCAATTGCAGGGCGCCATAATCAGCGAGCCCGATTGCGCGTCCAAAATCGGGTGCAAATATTCTACACAGAGACTACACCCGCAGTGTGTTATCCAAGCAGCCCAGCAGCAAGAGTTTCTAAATCCTCCAAAGTCTCAACCTGCGCCGGGCTCTGCAACCGTACTCTCTTGACTTTGCTACCCTCCTCCATACCGTCCTCAGAGTCGTTCTGGAACCACTTTTTCTGCTTCTTACCCGTGGCACCCGCACGCTGATCATCGGTGAGATACACTTCTTCCTTCGTCCTAGGGACCTCTTCGCCCTCCTGGTACGGAGCAAGAACAGCAACAGAGCCGCTCGCCAGTTCCTTTTCAGCCCGTGCCATTTCTCTTCTCTTCTCTTTCTTTTCCCTCTTCTTCTGCTTCGCTATCTCCTTGTCTCGAATGTCCGCTAGCCTCGTCCGCTCTGCCTCCACCTCCAAGAATTTGGCACGCTGATCTGCCGAAGGGCCTTGGGCCTTGAACTTCTCTTCGTCCTCCAATTCATACAGCTCATGTGCGTTACCCTCCTCGTCATAAACTAGCTTAGTGCCCTTGCCTTTGTACTTCAGAAGCTTCTTTTTCGACTTGAGAAGTTTCTCACGCCGGTTGGAGTCGATGAGCAACGCCTCTTTATTATTGATCTGGACAGCTTTGACCGCCGTATTAACGTCATCAATCTCGGCTGCCGATTTAAAATCGGCACCAAGACTTTCATCTCCCGCGCCAAACCGTCGCTTGACGGAAAGAAAACCATCGTCTTCGTCAGCATCGGCTGTTGGATTATCTTTGTCATCGGCATCTTCATCCCTGATCAGATTCGTATAGTGCTCTGTCAAAACGTCTTGGTTTCTTCTCTCAAACATGCGATCGTACTTCGTACGCACATTATCTTCTTTCTTACTCTTCTTTTCGCCTTCCTCATCGCTGTCAATCAAGGTTGAAAGAAGACGAGGCGCGTTCTTCCGAGATTTAGTATCCTCGCCCTTGATGAACTTAATTCGTGGTGCCCCAGGAAGGCCTAGGCTAGATGCAAACTCTTCCAGCGGCAGATTCTTAACATTAAAAATTTCCTTGTCTTTCTGGATATGTATTGACTTTGCATAGGACGTGAACGCCTTCTGGCCAAGGTACTTGAGTGCGGGGTCTTTGAAGCACATGTTTTGTAGCTGGTCCTTTATACTTTGTTGTTTTTTCTCTCGAATATTAATCCGCTCGATGGGTATCTTCTTCTGTTCGAGGCGTTTCAGCATTCCTTCCTCCTCGCTAGGCTCAAGAAAAAGAACAGCCCGCCCATCCCGCTCGTATCTTGCGGTTCTTCCGACCCGATGAATATAAGTATCTGCGTCTTCAGCACAGTCCAGCTGGATAACCCAGTCGACAGCGGGGAAATCGAGTCCTCTGGCCGCAACATCTGTAGCAAATAAACACGAATGTTTCGATCTTGAGAATTTGGTGGTTATGTCGATTCTTGCACTCTGCTTTTGTCGGCCATGAAGATGAAGCAGCGGAATACCAGGTTGCATGTGTCGAAATGCTTCGTAAACAAATCGCACCTGTTTACTCGACGAAAAGAATACAAGTATCTTAGATTTCAGCGTGCTTCGGATAAAGCTCCACAGGGTATCCAACTTATCTGGCAACGGCGTAACAATATAGTGTTGTTGTAGGCTGGCCGGCGTCGCACTGACCGCCGCTTCATGCACAGAGATATATTGCGGGTCTTTCAAGCTCAGTCTCGCCAAATCGGAAACCCGCTTCGTCTGAGTGGCGCTAAATAGCATTGTCTGCCGTTCCTGAGGCAGGTGACCAATTATCGCGTCCACCGTACTTTGAAACCCCATATCCATGATCCGATCGGCTTCATCGAGAATGAGCATCTGGATCTGATTCGTGTCAAACGCCGCGGTTTGGTCCATGTGCTGCAGCATCCGGCCTGGCGTGCACACAAGAATATTCATTCGGCCCAGCCGCTCCTGCTCTTCCTGTAGACTCTTACCGCCAATCACCAAGCCCGCGGAGAATGTATGGAATCGTCCGATTTTGCGGAGAACCTCAAAAATCTGAATGGCTAATTCACGGGTCGGTGAGAGAATGAGTGCGCCCAGCCCGTCATATTCCGTCCATTGTTTTCTGTATAGGTTTTCGAGCATGGGTACCAGGAAAGCAAGTGTCTTTCCGCTGCCCGTTTTGGCGGCGCCCAGAATATCACTTCCTTTGAGCGCATGAGGGACGGCTCGGGCTTGGATATCGGTCAGGGTTTTGAAATGCGAGGACGAGAGGCCTTTAGAGGTGGGGTCTGAAAGTGGGAGTTCGGAGAAAGATTCGACAAGCGTTTTAGGGTCGAGGGCTTCAACAGTCTGGCTCAAGTTGCTGAGATCGTCTTCGTTCCGCTTCCGCTTAAGGTTTCTGCTATTCTGAGGCAAGGGAGGCCGTGCCCTCCCAGATCGTGGGCGAGTCGAAGCCATGAAAGCACGCCAGGACTGCTCTTGGAATATCGATTGAGCTCCCTTTGTTGCCGTCTTGCGTTTTTTCCCAAAACTTTTTGTTGTAGCCTCTGCTTAGTCATCAATCCCGACTATCGATAAGCTCCTCCGCAGCGGCCAGAGTAACAAGGAGAAAGCAACAGCCACAATGTCACTCAATGAAGACTTGGAGGCACTTAATTCTCTTGAGAAAGAGGCGTCGGAATTTACAAAAGTGTGCTTTCTATCCTGATAGCTTGAGCTACGCTTCTATCTACAAGCTTGCGCTAATAGCTATCATCCTAGGATTCAGAAATTGACCGCATTAGAAACGCTTTCCAACTCGATGCGTAAGCCTGAGCTGAAACATGCAATGCAATCAATGGTCTTCTAACTCGTGGTACTAGATATGCTGTTCTCGACCTCCAGCCTGGCATCACAGAATCTGACATCAAGATTCAGTACCGGAAAAAGTCGCTCCTAATCCACCCCGACAAGACCTCCAATCCCCTTGCGCCTGATGCATTCGACCGCCTCAACAAAGCGCAAACCCTCCTTCTTGACGAAAAAGCTCGCGCCAACCTAGACGAATGCATATCCGACGCCCGGCGGCTTCTCATACGTGAACATAAATACAATCTAGATTCCCCAGAGCTCAAAACGGATGAGTTTAAAAAGGAGTGGCGTAAAAAGACTGTGGAAGTGCTTCTAGAAGAAGAGGCAAGGCGGCGGAGACAGCTGAAAGCAAAGTTACAGGAGGAAGGAAGAGAAAGAAGGAAAGAGGAGGAGGAGTTGGAAGCAAGGAAGCGAAAGAGGGAAGACGAGAAGGCGTGGGAAGAGACCAGAGACAGTAGGATAGGGAGCTGGAGAGACTGGCAGAAAGGGCAGAAGGGCAAGGGTGAAAAGGAGCCAGGGAAGAAGAAAAAGAAAATGAAAGTCCTTGGTTGAGAGACTAGCAATTCCGTCCTGACTTCTTGGAGTTGGCGTTTGTGTCCAAGGGGGTTTTTTAAAGAGGCTTCTAGCAAAGCATTGGACTGTGACTCTATTGGCTAAGTATTCGGCATGATGGTTCAAGCTGCATTTCGATATACGATCGATATATTTAGTAGATTGCGCCAAAGTCATATAGTTAATTCATAATACTGAGCATCATAATTAATTAGACCAAGTAGTAGCTATCGTAGTTCTAGATCTAGGCGCTGGATCCCCTCAAGAAAAATCGTCAAAATACAGTACAAACGTGTAGATACAAGAGGGAAAGCGAAAAAAAAACATAAACTTATATCAGACATCCACTGCCGTTGTAAATCCACCAAAAGAAATATGCACACGTATTCTTGACCGTAGTGACTTACAGTTACGGAAAGAATACTGCCATCGTTTTATTTTTTTTAGGTCATGGCATTTCGCTTCCTCGCGTCATCGACAGACCGTTCCCAATCCACTCTGGTCAGGTAAACGCCTTCGATCAACGACACAAGCAATAAGCCCACTGCAACACCACCCCAAAGGCCCCAAAGTTCCCAGTGGAGTCCGAAGGCCGTTGCAAAACTAATTGGAAGCGCAACACCATAGTAACAGAATAGCTGAACGTAACCACCGATGGATTGTCTGCCAAGGCCACGGAGAATACCATTGCAATTCGTTGCGAGTGCATCGACAAGTTGGAATGATGCGCAAAGCGGGAGGACCTGGGCCACAAGGCCTGCGACTTCGCTATCAGAAGTGAAGAGGAATGGAATATAATTTCGCAGAGAGGAGAGTATGGTAATATTAGCTATACCCAGAATAACGGCGCCAGCCATATTGACAGCGGCTGTAGTACGCGCAGCGTCAGTCAAGGTCGCACCAATCAAATTCGCAATACGGGTACTGCCGGCGATAGATAGCGGGAACGGGACCTGGAAGGCAATACTGGAGATGGTCGCAAGAACAGACTGGGCAGCGAGCGCCGTGGTTCCGAAATAGGAAGACGCGAGAGTAAGTAGCTCAAATGCAAGGACTTCCGCCTCAACCATGAGAAAGCCTGGGAGCGCGAGACGTATCATAGGGCCCCAGTTCGAAAAAGCACTTCTGGTCAAGCCATTCCAACACTCACGGCCCCCAATGAAGCACACATAGAGGAAAAGGAGCAGAGGAAGAAGGTTGTCGGTAATAGCCACGGCCAAAGGGGCGCCAACAAAGCCCATTTGAAAATGCTGCTCGTACGTCAGAATTACACCCAGGAGAGCAAAATATAGGACTTCTTACCCAAACAAAAAGCCAATTCAAGAAAGCATTAAGAGGCGCGCATATGAGTAGCACAAAGAGTGAAGCTGAGAAGAGACCCTGGGCTTGCACAAACCGTTTCCCGGCTTCAAAACAGGCGTAACCCGGAGCACCCAGCAATACTACCTTCAGGTATTGACCGGCGAGGACTGCAACCTCTTTCTCCGGCACAATCATCTTCAGGATACTTTCCGCAAAAAACCAGACAAAGCCAATTGGAATGGTAATGACCCAGAGAAAGACCACCATTCTTTGCATCTGCAAGCCTACCAAATCCTTCCGGCCTGAGCCGTATGCCTGTGAGCAAAGAGTGTCCAAGCTCGTTGCAAGACCTTGGTATATCGCATAGCCGGTGATATTGGCAGTCATGCTAGCTAGGCTAACGGCACCAAGCTCTACTTTCCCCAGGTGGCCGACAGTGAAAATGCTGGCGACAGTAAGAGAGTACTGTAGAAGAAAGGTGACCATCAACGGAGCTGTGTATTTTGCCAGGACCTTTGCTTCTCGCTGCCATGTCGTGTGGATTAGGCCGGCGGCTACGGCATCCTCCCAAGTCTTATCGATTGCATCGATACTGGTGCTGGTCTTGACACCCTGTAATGGAGGACCAAGCAAGGCTGTTGTCTCGCTTGTTCCGGCCGCAACGGGCAGGGCAGTGGGGTGTGGCAGGCTCGCTTCCGGCGGTTCACCATGCGACTGCCGAAGGGTCTGGCTGAATAGACCATTCAGGCTTCGGTGTTTTTTCGGGGTAGCGTCCGTGGAGAGGACGTGATTGTCGATGAGCAAATCACGCTCTTCATCAACCGCCTCTTCCCATTCTTGCTGTGTGAGTCGATCGTGGTCGATTGCGTGCGGGACCACGGTCCCCCTGCCGCCCATGGTGAAGAAGCTCGGTCGTCGGTAGGAACCAGCAAGGGAATGAGAGGTCGCACTGGTGGTTCGCATTATCGGAGAGGTCCCAAGCAGAGCTTCGTTCTCTACATCGGTATCTTCGGCGTCGTAACGGCGAAGAGGCCGGGACTGGTCAAGAGGTGTGTGGAAGGGGCTCATCTTGTCGAAGGAGGTCTACCACTCGCCAGCGTAGATATTAACTATACGTTTTCCCAGGCATAGGGAACAACAGCGGCAGCAGTAACACCCCTCTCAACACGGGGGGCTGTAAGAGAAAGCTGGGAAAACAAGAGGGGAAAAGCTGTACAAAGCCAAGAACCGAAGGGCGCCAGGTGAAAGAGCAGCGAACTCAAAACATCCCGCTCAATGGGGATCTAGTAGTTCCGTCCCTAGATAGCCCGCGTGCTGTTGGCAGCCAGGTCGTTGTTCAGCACTCAGTGCGGCTCGCCTCCGCAGACGAAAAACTCTCACGCCAGCGGCGGTCGCCACAGGCTCAGCGGAGCCGCGCCGTCATTGCCGGCAATCCCGCCGCGTCGACAAAGCAAGGTGTCACGTGAATACTAGCGCAAACTCGAACGGCGCACGGTGTCACCTGACGCGGAGCTCGTGTGGAGCGGGAAATCGTTCCGCCGGCCCGCGTCGGCGGAGGATGCTTGGCGCGTTGCTCATCGTTTCCCGACGCTGAAGCCGCTGTGCGGCTGCCATCTCTACACCAACCACGCCAGCGTCTGGCAGACTGCGACCTGTGGTGTTGTTACTGTGCTATTCATCCAGTGTGAGCCTTCAAGCGGACGCTGCATCAAATGCTTCGCCATGCCGCGAGAACCAAGCCCCGACGTTGAGCATGACGCAACACGCCATGTGTACTACAACCCGCTCACCAACCCGTTCAACGTCGAGCCAGTGCATGTAACCGGGTACCTCCACCAAATCCCCCCATTCCCATCGCCCCCACTTGTCACAGTCACTGAATCCCACATCTTACTAGTAACCTTCTTTCCTCCTCGCGCCCGCTCATCCTCTCCCGCCCGCTCCTCGGCACCCTTGTGCTTGAGAACAAAGCGTCCGACTGTCGTGACCACTGCGCTAACGAGCGCACCTTTCTCTCATGGCTGCGTCTTTCTATGTACTTGTGCATTGTCTCCGGTGCCATCGTTCTCTCCTTCCATCTCCGTGCCGAGCCCACTCCCCTTGAACGCCGCATGGCCCTTCCGCTGGGCATCATCTTCTGGGTACTTTCACTCGTATGTCTGGCGAACGGTTTTGTCATATATGTCAGCACCTTGACGAAGTATACTCGGCACAAGGCTCTAGTACAGAGTGGGTGGCGCTCGCAGGCCGTGTTTGTGATCGTGGCCATTGCCATCGTTGGGACATGTGTGATCCTGCTTAGCACCAACAAGACGGCCTAAGAACTTGAAGGGATCGACAGCTTGGATTATTTATTTGGGTTCTATACTCAACATAGGCGATATGGCGTTTTCTTGAATTGTGGCCCCGTTTTTCCTGCGAAACTTTATGTTGTGCTACGTTTGACAAAGCCTTGCGCTGTTCACATCCTGATCTTGTTATTACCAATTCTAGGCTTTGTTAGTTGGTGTTTTCATGATGCATATTTCTGGAGTTATGAAAATTTCGGTTATCTACTACTTCTCTGCATGGAGCACATTAGAGTCATATGTCAATGATATGCTGAAGCCTTTTTGCCAGTGTTTAACTTTTTGTGTTTATGAATCATAACCCGAAATACATTCTGGATATTTCCAACATGGAGCAAAACAGATATACCATCTAATATATCCAATGTGAGTATATCAATGTCCCACAAACAAAACAGGTATCACACCATCCTGTGCAATTCTGTGTCATTCAGGTGTTTTTTAAATGAATCAGTCCCAAAATTTTCCCACCACTCAAAAAGCATTGAGTTACATATGAGTTTAAACCAAGGTGTGAATTTCAAATCAGGCCGCTTGAGTAACTCTTTCAGCTCAGCCAAGGTGACATACATTGTATCGCGAGCTTCATTGGGGTTGACATCAAGATCAACATCGGCTTGGATGAAAAGAATATAGTCAACTGTGAAATGATCAGCACAAATTGATGAAAGAATAATAGGTGTGATGACTAACTTTCATGCTCGCCCCATTTCCCATCACTGGGAGCTTTGTAACAAATCCTCGTCAAAAAGTCGAATTTATCGAGCGGGACTTGTTCTGCTTTAATTCCTAGCTCATGGTCCAACTTTCTCTGTGCTGCTCTCCGCACCCCTTGAACGGAAGCATCCAGCCCAACGCCAGTCTCACCGGGGATTCCGAGCGGGTGTGAACAGCATGTATTCGTCCAGCAGTCGGGAAACGTAATTTTCTCTGTGGCGCGTTGTTGAATAAGAAGGCGTTTTTGAGAATCAAATAAGAAAACAGAAAACGCGCGGTGGAGCAGTCCACGATCAATATTGGTCATCAAATGGCCTGGAAGGCGAGAAAGATGGATGTTAATAAATTATACACTAAAACAATGGATCTTACTCAAGGAAGTAGATCGTACAGGTCTTTTTGCTTCCACTACCAATAGGTTGGTCGTTATCATCCACCACAATGCATCGTTCGTCCATCAGCTTGACCTGCTCGTCATCGTAGCCATCCAATTCACCACCAGCTCTGGCGGACTGCCTCGACTGCAGTTCGTTCAAGTCGAGGACGAGGCGCGTATCGACATCTGGAAATAATGAAGAGACATTCTCGCCTGTAATGCGCTGAACTTCTGTAACTGTGGCAGTAACGGACATTTTCCCATCGACCGAATGGCCCGTAGCCAATTAAATCTGATTATGATAAAGGGTCGAGAGCCGAATAATGGCAGAGGTAAGAGAAAGCCGCAGCGTAATAGTCTGGAGAATGGCGGTCGGAAACGAGTAATTTAAAGCCTGGCCGTGTAAGGCGGGGTTGCGGGTGGTTTATGTAGTTGGGCTCGTACTCAGTATGCATGGATTTTTCTGTGGCAGGGAAGGAGATTTCTTCAAACTACCTAGTTAGTTACTAACTAGTTAACTACTGGGAAGCTCGGTAACCAATATCGCACTTTGCTGGATACATATGGAGTATGTAACTACTCGCTAGCACCCCACATCCTCCTCCAGTCCTTTTCTGGCTCTCACTTCCGTGCCCGAGGTTCAATCATCGGCCACAAAGCCTGCAACCTTAACAGCACCCGAAATGCAAATACTTGCTGCCCCCGGGCACTATGCGCCGCCTACATCGGCTATTCTACCATCAAGTGAGCCTGAGGCTGTTTATCGCTTCATGGCAGGCTTTTGTGTTCTTTAAGTACTATGATATAATTCTAGCTCTAGGAATTTTCTTCCACGCCGGCGTAACGGCCGTTCTGGCGGTGCGTGGGAAACACAATCGCCAGGAGTATAGACGGCTATCATAACAACAGGAATATCCGTCAAACTACTTCATTACTTGAATGAGTCGTATTTCTCGTGGTCAAGTTTTTGGGTTACATTTCTATTAGGTCCTCCTGAGCAGATATGATGCTCCCAAGCTGAATCGGTCTCCGAATCCTAAGTACACTTAGTATCAAACTCTAGGTTTAACTCTGGAAGCTCCTTTGATAGGTTTGGTGGACTTTACAAAAATCTGGCATATCAGTGGCTGTTTGCCCTACTTCAAGACGCAGATATACCCTCGAGCGATGTACAGTACATAAATGTGCCTTGTACTCATGGAAATACTAGTCCGAAGCCAGATACTTGTACCGTAAAAACAGACTCCTGGGGCCCACGGAACTCTTTCAAAATTCCCGGTAATGGGCCATCACTAGGCTGCAGAATCTGGGGCTGTTGGTCGTCCGAGATGGGGGCCAAAACCAAGCGATGGCTAACCGCCAAACAAGGAAAACCCCAGAAACTTGCATCATGGCGGGAAAGCACACGTTGTCTGAAGAACAGCTGCAAAGGAAGGTTGCATCAAAGCCACATCACGCCCATCGGCATGCAAGGGGCTCAATCCAGCAATATTTGCCAAATGAGGCTATAGCAGTAGTACAATGGCTCGGGTTGTACGGAGTAGACCCACATTCCTTACAAGGTTCCGGTATAAAAAAAATCGGAAATCTTTTTTCAAAGTGGCTACGCTCAATTGACTAGACGATGGCAGTACGGCGCCTAGTGAGACTGCCCAATCAATATCTTGTTTCACTGCTTTTTCTGTACTTCCTCGGTAGTTCTGTCAAATGACCGCTTTCAAGAAAGAAAGCCTCGCAGGTACTAGTTAGTAGATATGGATATCAAGTCACGACGAATTCCTTATCGTGAGTGATTATAAAGCAGGGGGTTGAGTTACTTCAAACGGAAAACGCGTAGAACAATCATCGAAGGTCTGAGCTCGTTCCATGATCAGCTCCCGCTAGTTAAGGGACCCCTGCAGGGGCCGCAGGTGCAGGATCCTGGCCCTCAGATTCGATGCATCCCACCATCCTCAACAGCCTGAGACTAGTCTGAATGTTCAAACAAACAAGCATCGCTAAGTTGCTTTTTGGTCGCCGATTCCAAAAAAACCTTATGCAGCAGTGGGACATTCCCACTTCTAATTGGCGGCTCATAAATCATGGCGTCTGTCAACAGCCCGCATTCTGCACGACTGCGTGCTTATATCACAACTCCTTGCATTATCCGACACCCGAGCTAGCAGGCTATTGACGGAATGATTTGTTGCACTGTGGGAAACTTATTCCGCGGGTAGACCCGTATCGAACTCAGCCATCAATGGTGTTTCAAAAACAAACCGTACTAAGATGGGGTGATACAAACCCCGGCTAATTGAGTTAAGCCACGGTAGTATAAGTGGTGAAAGCGGATGGCTGTAGAAAACTGGTAAGATCCTCTCGAAGTAAAACGGCCGGCTCTTGCCCGTCAACTCGCCAACCGAATTTTCCGCTTTTGGCGATGGACGCTCAGCCCTACGCGGTTGAGTTTCGGCCCCAGCCGGCCGCTAAACCGCAAACGGTCATAAATGGCATAGGGCTGAGCAGTCTCAGCCAATAAGAAACAATGAGGAGAAGCGCTGGGATTTGGAAGGAGAAAATATTCTTGGGGTCCATGTTTGAGGTTCTGTGGATGTGTACAAGGGCCAGGTGTGCAGTGAGAAATTAATATTATCTAGTTAGTGCAACCCACTGTGAAACTTCAAGTGTCTATTCAACCTTATGCTTAGTTTTTGTGCTGTTATTCCTGACAAAAGAAAAAAAGAAAAAGAAAATCCACAGACAAAGAAAAACTGCAAAAATACTGCACCATATGTTAGTCACATCTTCTGTGAATCCGCTTTCCAAAAGCAAAAAAATTAAATAAAATAAAATTAATGGACAACCCATTCTGCCACAACCCGTCAAAGGAACTGCGTGGCTTGGGTGAAAAGGCATAGAAAAAGAAAGAAAAGGAATTAGTTACATTCGAAGTTTCGGAGAACAACTCTCAAGTCCCGAATCTTTTCCGGTTGTGGGACGTCCGTATGCAAGAAGATGCCGACATCAAAGCCCCCCGACCCGATTCAACCCGCAACAAAAGGACACCAAAATTGGATGCATACATGACAATTTTATTTGCTGATGTTTAGGGAAATTATGATAGTAAGCAGGAAACGAGTTCTATGAGCGTAATTACTCCGTATAATATGCCAATTGAAAACCAAAACAAAAGAATTTCAAGCTGTCCTCCGTCTTCTACGCTAGCTTCACAGTTTCGCATAACTCGTCAGGGAAAAAAAAAGAAATCCGGTGTATCCTAGCGAAATGTATCAATCGTATCTAGTTAGTCGCTTTCGAAAATCGGCGCCCCATGGGCTATATCTCTCCGGTTGAGTTTCTGCGACCCTTTGGGAAAGCGGAGCTTATTTCTGCAACACCTGAGGAGTTCTACAGTATGATGAAACTCCCGGTGCATAATCAGATTGACTACGTTGCCTTCGACATCCATCTGCACAGTGGCTATGATGGAGTTAGGATTAATTCCAGACATGAAAGAGAACAACACGAGTACATACCGTTTTAGAGTATCTTGCCGTGCAAAATGATGTCCACATTGAGAGCAACCAAACTTCCGAATCTTCTTATGAACCTTATAAAGCCACTTTATTAGCATACTCTTTAATATAAAAGTAAATGCTGAGGTCTCACGCTATCAATATGTCGGGTAAGGTCAGTTTTTCGACTGAACTGCTTTAAACAGTACGTCACGGTGCATTGGTGAGAATATTTCCGGTTTGGATCATGTATCTTTATATGTGACTTGCAATTGGACTTTCTGGTGAACTGCATCCCACACTGCGGGCACCCATATTTGCTACTAATAGCAGTTATACTTTTGTGAAATCGTTTTGGAACCTCCGAAATACGCATAGCAGTAACATTGGAAGGGTTGCTGGTGATATCTGGCACAGGTTGGGTCGCCACTCCGCCGTCACACCACTCTCTTTTGATGATGTTGTCCAGTTCAAGAAGTGTGTTGGATGGTGTGGGATCGGTTTCTATAGGAGCAAAACGTGGCATTTCATAAGAGGAATTGGCTTGGGGGAATGTTCTCGATATGTTTTTGCTATGGGGCATGGTCTTAATCGTTTTTTCAGAACTTGCTGCTAGAGGAAGATCTGTATTCCGTTGTAACCCGCGCATCAGGCCAGCAGATTCTTCCCGTATCATTGGAGAACTGAGGGAAGCCATTGTGCTCGGGGTGGAGGTTGTGTGAGGACTTAGGAAAGGTGAAGTATGGGAGGGTAGGGCATCAACCCCCTCATATATTCCTAAATGTAGATATTCTCCAAGTTTTGCAACGGGGTTCGAATAGCTCTGGGTCGAATTGGTATTGCTGGGCCAGCTCACTGCAGTGGAGAGTAGACCCTGTGATGGCGTAAAGGCGTGAACTTTTTGATCAGACTGGCAATGTAATAGATCAAGCCCACCCATCTGTGACACGTGAGCACGGGTTTGTGGCGGCGTGAGATATGGAGGTGTAGACATAGCGGAACGCGGTGCCTGCGGAAGACAGCATTGATGAGAACCAGTAGAGTATGGCAACGATCCTATATCCATCACTCCGCGCCGTATATATAGAGTAGATACGGTGTCAAAAAGATATTAAGCTCAGATCAATTTCGGCCTATTTAAGGATGCTTTTGGTATAAATATGAGAAATAGGAAATGGTAAAGAGAAAGAAAGGACTGGCAGATATTGAAGTTTTATGTCACTAAAATTGTATGAGTGGACAGAGGATTTTCACAAAGCAGGGTCCCCAATTGGCGAGGCAAAGTATATAAAGTAGGGCTCATCTGCAGCTAGCAGTAAGTAGCAGGCAGTAGTTCTAGAGGAAACGGGGGTGCATGATCCACAAGGCACACTCCGTTCCGCAGTGAAAGGGAGCGGATCAGGCATCGCTCTAGCGGCCAGACACCCACGACAGGAATCCATACTGCATTTGGGTAGCAGGAGATCTGGCTGAGAGGACAAGGGGGCCAGCTAGTGCGCGTGTAATCAACGGGCTTGATGGAGCATACCGAGTCAAACACCGGACCCGCAATTAGAGAGGCGGAAAGAGTGGGCGATAGACAGCTTCAGCCACGGTCGCTTGGGAAAGCACAGCGTTACAAACTCAGGCCCGGGAACTGAAAAGAAAGGATTTGACGTAAGTACTGCGGAGGAGCGGGCGTACGATCAATACGCGGCGTCATACAGGGTAATACGGGAAAACGGGCCCGACGGTCTGGGTCGACTGTGGCGTTGCGGAGTGTGGTTGGTCCGCACGCTAAAAGGCACCCGTACGGAGTACACAGCCATTCTCCGTATTGTTCGTTTCGGTAACAGGCGGGAACAACGAATACCCCGTATAGGTATGTATGAAGGGACCCGGGCAGGTATAGGTACATACATACATATGGAAGTGCACTGGCTGCTGATATTCCTTGCACGTTTTTGGGAAGCAAACAATGTACGCGAAGCACAAGAAACGGAGCCCATGCCTCTGGACCCCGCTGGCGCAAAGCGCGAAAGAGTGCGAGAATGCAGGTGGGCCCCGGAGCATGTCAGTGGGCATTTCGAGGCGATTCACATCGAGATAGTTCACTGGCTAACTAATCATCGGCGTACTTTAGCTATGTAGGGGCCGCTGCTGTTGATCGGCTTCCAGGTGATCGCTCTAGGTGGCATGGACGCAGCAATTTTCATTATGCGGATAATTTGGGGGCTCAAGGCGTGAGGCGTTTAGCAACCCTGACATTGCACCTATAGTTCTAGGCAAAACCCAGCTGAGGATATGTCTGGTACTGGCCCGACGCATGTCGGCCTCTGATCCTTGATCTGCATGTCACTACGTATACGGCGGTATTTTTAAACAGAGTAGATGGGCTGGGAGCCGCTCTAATCGCAACTGGGAGATCACAGGAGCCTACTTTCCAGTAACTGGTGCGGCTACCTCTGAAAGTGGCTGTAGGTAGACAAAATATAGCTGTGTGTGTGTGTGTGTGTGGTGGCGGTGGTCGTCCGGTTGTAGTTTTGGGGGTCAAATATAGTAAAAAAGTGTATTCCACGTTTGTCCATCTAACAGCTGGTAAATAGGCAACAGCTCATAGTCTTGGACCGCAGGAATGAGACATCACTATCAATAGACTATAGAGTCATACTTTGCTTGTACTACTGCGTAATTGCGCAGAGTGATGCCTGGGGTATGCATGACATTGCTTCCGGTTCCAAGTTCTGCAGCAAAGAAGTGAGGCTTTGTTCAAGGGGCAGTGCTATCGATTCGACAGCAAATTCTGATTTAGCGATGCGTTACCTCGTGAGGTTCGAGACTCAAGGCTTCCGGAACCGCGGTCTTATTTCCAGGCCTTGGGCTTGGGGCAAAAAGCTAACTAGCCACAAGACAGGATCCATATGTATGCACATACTATGCGCAAGTCAGTCGTACTAGTTCAGCCGCCAAATTGACACTGCCCAAAGGGAGATGCCAGGAATGGCAAGGCGCTCCCTTAATATGAGTTGTTTCAGTCAACTGTCGGTTCCCGGTGTCTCTAAGCGGCTTGCCGGCGAGGTTGGGAGGGGACCGGCGGTATGGAGAGCCCAAGAAGACATTTGAGGCTGCCTAGACGGGTTGCAACCATAGCATACTATCCCCATGGGTATCCCATCATCTTTCGCCATCTCACGAGCGATAAACGTCTGAATTTGTCAGGGAATTAGTTAATTAGGTGTATTTTCCTTGAATTTAGCGCGGCGCTGAACCTAAATGCCAGAGCCAATGAATTGCCCGCTGCCCCCTGGTATTGCAAATAAGACCAGAGAGCCCGCATAGTGCGACCGTCTCGTGCAGCAAAAAAAGGAGGAACCGTAGCCTATCATTTCAGCCACCGAGCGTGCTTGCAGGACACACAAAACACCTAAGCCTATCAGAGGGGGCTTAAGGTCGGTCTATTCTGTCTGGCCGGCAGACGAGAGGCAGCCAAATGGCAGTCTCATATAAACAAACCGCAGGGCTGAGAGCTATTTGTGGAAGGCGGACAGCCGACGAACTTGGCGCTTTCCCCGCTTCCCATGATTGGCCCAAATTCCAGTGCTGAGTCATGCTCCTTATTATTAGTCATCCAGATCGCGTGAGCGCCAAAATAGGCTAGAATGTGCTTACTCAGCGTAGCTTCCTCCATGGCCAGCACGATGAATGCAAGCAACTTCCAGCAAGATTGCTTAATCTCAGGAAGGCGATCCAGCTTTGTCTAGCTCGGATGCTTTATTGCATTTTTCATAATGATAGTTAATCGCTCAGAAATCGTTTACCTTAATATTTAGGTTGGGAGCGGGGAATTCCTAGACAATCTTGCAAGGCAAGCAATGGGTGCCGGATGAATAGAATCACTGGAAACCGTGGCTTGGCATTTATACCCCTTGGTCGAAGTTGATGTTCTGGCTCTTCATTTTCTCCTCTACTTGACTGGACTAAGGGAGGATACTCATCATGGGTCAGGGATACTCTATTACCACCCTTTCTGCGGGGTCTGCTGGCATCGACATACCAGAGTTGGCCGACCTTGTATACGAAAAATCCCTGGGAACGGCAAGATTTATGAAAAGCATACGTGCTCGACAACACAATGGGATAGTGTTTGTTAAGGTGATCATGAAGCCGTACCCAAATTTGGAGCTTGACCCGTATATCAAAGCCATAATTCGTCCGTACCTTCTAAGCAAATCTCCCATTGCATACTTTGACGTTTGACCTCACACATTGATAGGTGAGAGAAAAGTTTTGGCTGCCATCCCAAACGCCCTTCCATATCAGCGGGTGATTGAGACTGCAACCAGTGGGTATCTGGTGCGTCAGTACATTCACAGCTCTCTATATGACCGGATCAGGTACGCATATGTTACTCGCCTTTCGCCCAAAATTACCATCACGCCGCTAAAGTTGTTCTAGCACACGACCCTTTTTAGAAGACATGGAAAAGAAGTGGATATCCTTCCAATTGCTCTCTGTCCTTCGTGATTGTCACTCTCAAAACATCTTTCATGGCGACATAAAAAGCGAAAATGTCTTGGTTACATCGTGGAACTGGGTCTACCTATCCGACTTTTCATCTTCTTTCAAACCAACATATCTCCCTGAAGACAACCCAGCCGATTTCTCATTTTATTTCGACACTTCTGGTCGCCGGACTTGCTACCTAGCTCCTGAGAGGTTTTTGAACGTTGGTGAAAGTCCAGACGGTCTTCAAGTCAACTGGGCGATGGATATTTTCAGTGCTGGATGCGTAATCGCAGAATTATTTCTGGAATCTCCGACCTTTACACTAAGCCAGCTCTATAAATATCGCAAAGGTGAATATAACCCAGTGCAAGGCCGTCTGGCAGAAATACAGGATCCAGATGTTAGGGAGCTTATCTTACACATGATAAGCATCGATCCAGAATCACGGTACTCGGCTGAAGAATGCTTAAACTTTTGGAGGAAGAAAACATTTCCCGAATACTTTTACAGCTTTCTTCACCAGTATATGGGAATGATCACCGATCCATCATCAGGCCACCTTTGCACCACAAATATTAATGAAGCCGATAACAGGATTGAGAGAGTTTTTCTCGATTTTGACAAAATATCTTACTTTTTGGGAATTCACCCCCAAACCTTTCCTGAAACATCAAACACCGCTACCCCGCGGTTGACAAGTCAAATGGAATCACTCCAACTAGATTTGCCTATATCCGAGACATTATCTTCGAAGTCCGCTCCTGGCGATGTCGACGGTATACTATTGTTTCTAACACTTGTAGTTTCAAGCTTGCGAAATACGGCCAAAGCGTCTGCTAGGGCAAAAGCATGCGATATCCTTCTCGCATTCGCGCACAAAGTCCCAGACGAAGCAAAGTTGGACAGGATCTTACCCTTCCTTATACTCTTACTAAATGATCGCTCTGATATTGTCAAGATTGCGGCCGTTCAAAGTTTGACACAACTTCTCGATAAAGTTCAGGTTGTATCTCCGGTAAATGCATATATATACCCGGAGTACATATTTCTAAGACTTCGGCCGCTCATTCTGGGCCCTAGTAGTAATCCAGCTCCCATGGTCAGGGCTGCATATGCATCTTGCATTGCTTCTCTTGCTCAATCTTCACTTCGTGTTTTAGATATGGTACAGGCTCTGCGATCAGACGTACGTTTAATGAAATTAGTCCCCGTGGGATCAGAGTTGGGCTGGGCAGATGACGCTTCTTACCATAACCTGTTCGACGTTGCTCGGGCGGATTTGCTGGATTTCTTTGAATTCCATGTTAAGGCTTTGCTAACTGACCCGGACGTTTCTGTTCGTCGAGCGTTTTTAGGCTCCGTTTCTAGCCTTTGCGTTTTCTTTGGTAACCCAAAAGTTAACGAAGTCATTCTAAGCCACTTAAACACATATTTGAATGACGCGGACTGGATGTTGAAATGTGCATTTTTTGAGGCCGTTGTGGGTGTTGCTGCATACGTTGGTAGCACCAGTGTCGAGGAATTTATACTTCCACTTATGATTCAATCAATGGCTGACCCGGAAGAGTTTGTGGTTGAGCGTGTTCTCAGGTCCCTTGCTAGTATGGCTAATCTTGGTCTTTTTCAAAGATCAACTACCTGGGACCTTTTGTACATTACGATACGATTTTTTGTACACCCAAGCCCATGGATACGCGAAGCAGCTGTGCATCTTGTTGTTGCATCCACCTCTTTTCTCTCTATTGCCGATAAATATTGCATTGTGTCACCTCTTGTGCGTCCATTTCTCAAAGCCAACACTACGGATATCTCCGAATCTCAACTTTTGGATGCACTCAAAAAGCCATTGCCAAAAAGTGTGTTTGACATGGCGTTGGTTTGGGCTACCAAGGCCGAAAAGGGTGCCTTTTGGAGCTCGGCTGCGCAAGACAGTACCTTTATTTTAGGGGGCAGTTCGGTCACGAATTTTGGAAAACTTCGCCGGTCAGCTTTGAGCAATATTGCAACAAGCAAAGAGGATCAGCAATGGATCAGCCGCCTGAGGAATTTAGGCATGGGCCCGGAAGACGAGTTCAAGCTTCTTTCGTTAAAGGAGTATATCTGGAGAGTAGCTGTTGGTCGGCGGAAGGAGCCTCAACCTTCTAATACCTCTATCGATATAGTCCCACTACGCCAATATGATGTGACGCTACAGACCGTTATATTTGATAAGAAGCAAGGGCCAAAGCAGCCTGTATATTCGCCAACTATTAGGAAGACACGGTCGACAGATGACGATACTGAGGGGAAAACGCATACAATTGCTGACGCTTTACTTGACGCATCAACCACGATTGGTGGAAATGGTGGGGTCTCCCAGAGAAATCTACCAAATCGCCTCTCCAGGCCTCAGAGTATCGAAGCAGTATCGACTCGTCAGCGCAGTCCAGGGTGTTTGGGACAAGATTCCCTAGAAGACCATTCGCCGACCCTGCCGACCGATTTGCCAGAATCCACTAATTCATCTACTGCAGCTTTAGACTCCGAACTACGAAATACAGGAAACCAGATTGGAGCAGGGACGTCTGTTACCAGGACCAGTTCATCTATGCGAGGATCAGACACTGCTTCTTTACAGGCTGGGAACGAGGATATCCGGAGGAAACACAGTGCAATCAACCTTCTTAATCGTCAGGAGAACTATAAAGCCTATGCTGAAACCGCAACTACTTCTACCAATGTCCTTGGAGAAGTTGATACCCCATTTCGGGGTAGCCCATCGCAAACGCAACCTACTATGCAGGCCGCAGAACAGAGTCGGCAGTATCACGCAAACCACACCTACCGAGGCAATGACCCCACAATTTTGAGACTCTTAGATACTGTATTTACAGAGAATTATCCGACAGATCTGTTTGATTTTGGTCCAATTGTGATGTCAATTTCTAGCAAAGCCCCGATCAAAAAGGCTAGTGGACACTCGTCAAACATGCCTTGGAGACCACAAGGAACTTTAGTTGCAATGTTTGGTGAACACACTGGTCCAGTTAACAGAGTTGCTGTAGCTCCGGACCATGCTTTTTTCGTAACCGCTTCGGATGACGGTACTGTGAAAGTATGGGATACTAATCGCCTAGAGAAGAATCTAACACCGCGGTCTCGCCAAACACATCACCACGATGCAGGAGCAAAAGTCAAATGTGTGACATTCGTCGAAAATACATACACTTTCATCAGCGCAGCAACGGATGGTAGCGTTCATGCTATTCGGATAGATTATCAAAATATCAACGATACACCTCGGTATGGTAAACCCCGGCTTGTCAGAGAGTATAGGATCATGTCCAATGTGGAGGAAAGCGAATACGCCGTTTGGATGGAACATTATCGGACAGATCTACATTCAATGCTCTTAATGGCCACCAGCCGATCTAGAATCATTGCTCTGGACCTAAAATCGATGAAAGAAATTTTTATACTTCAAAATCCGGTGCAATATGGAATTCCAACCACATTTTGCGTGGATAGAAAGCGAAATTGGCTCCTTGTTGGTACGACGCACGGAATAATGAACCTTTGGGATCTCCGATTTTGTATATTAATGAAGTCATGGGGACTTCCTGGTGGTACGCAAATTCACCGCCTTGTTATCCATCCTTTGAAAGGTCGGGGAAGATGGGTCTGCGTTGCCGGTGGGGGAAGCAATAGCTCTGAAATTATGGTCTGGGACATAGACAAGGCCCAATGTCGAGAGGTATATCGTACTGCTATAACGGGCAATAGCCCTAGTACCAATGGCGCCAATAAAGCTACTGCAACACAACGCAACGCCCATTTTACCCCAGACACAACTTGGAAGGCATATGAGCCATGGCGCGTTGACGATGAAAAGCCTGAGTCTCTTCTTTCACGCTTCGCTGCTACTTCGTCACTTGAACCATCCTCCAACAGCAATATCTCCGAGCGAAATGGAATTTGCGCCATTACGGTGGGTCTTGATGTCCCTGATCCCAATGCCGCTGTCGGAGCCCAACTCGAGAATACCTCCTCTTCCAAATGTGGTTTTCTTGTTTCTGGGGGTGCAGACCGCATAGTTCGATTTTGGGACACCTCCCACCCGGATGCATCAACAATAGTTAGCGCCCCTGATTTCATATTCGATTCTCCCGGAACGTCAACAAAACCCCGGTATGAAATCACGCACCCCACGCCTTCGTTAACAATTACAACGGAGTGGTTACCCAGCCCTGGTGCGTCTAATTCTTCTGCTGGACGGCCTGCAACCGACTTGAAGAAAGGTAGCTCAACAGTGCCAGCAACGCGGCCGTCACGTAATACAATGATCAGTGTGCAGCAACAGCAATTGTTGAGGAGTCACTTAGACATGATTCTCGATGTGGCAGTTCTCGAGGTACCGTATGGGATGACAGTTAGCGTGGATCGCGGTGGGATGATTTATGTTTTCCAGTAATATCTATGATAGTACCTTCGATTTAGCAGGCGTCAGACATGTGGAGTAGGGGATTCTTTGGCTAGATAGCACTAATTGCCCCCATAGCTTCATCCACATAGCAAATGGAAATCACGCACGATGGACTTAATGCAGTGTTGCTAACCCATAGCAGCTAGGTTTAGGCGAAAACATGACAGAAGTATGAATAAACAAGGGTCTTATTCATGATTGAGGTGGACTGCGTCCCTAGAGATGGCAATATTTTATCAATGTAGTGTACATATGTGCATCCTATACACCGAATTCAAGTAAGAATTTCCGTCCTTGGACTCCTAAAGACAAAGACGTCTAATAAAATCAAGAAATCAAGGAATGTAAAGGTCCACAATGCTGGTCTAATAGAATGAATTAAATGAAATAATGAGTAGGGAAAAAAATGAGAGAGAGAATCGCTATGCAATCCCAAAACTAAAACCAAAGGAGTGGGTATCTGGTAAAAACAGGATAGTAGACATAGGAAATACAGTGGTGAAAGGTAAAAGAGTTTTAGGTATTTTCGGTATCCGTCTTGCCTTGAGTATCTCCGCTTACGGATGCCCTTCTCATGGCCTTCAAAGCCATCACCCGTCTCGCGAGTACGTCTTCTCTCTTGACCACATTTCGGAGGGCTTCACTAGCCTCAATGAGCCCATCGATGCTGATGGCATGATTTGTCATTTGATGGTTGATATACGTATAGACTGCGGCAGCACTTGAACATGTACTCAGTAATTGTTGTTCGTTCAGTTTGAGAAGTGCCAACGCCACTTGGAACAAAAACGTACTTCCTCCGCCGTCATTTGTCGAAATTTCGTTTTCGGTAGCAATTGTAGACGCAATTTGAGCAGGTGTCTGCAGTATAGAAGTCGTATTTGACTCCTCAGTTGGCGCTTTCTGGGATTGAAGGGCAGTTGGAGGAAGATACATTGCCGGCGCACTAAGGCACAATACCACATCCCAAACCCGGTACAAAGCTTCCGCAGATAAACAGTCTGTAAAGACAGACAGAAACCACTGGAATGTCAATGCTTCTAGTTCTATCCCCAAATCATCGAGGTGGGACGACAGATTGGGCAAAAGCTCGGTAACATATTCTCGAAGAACTTGCTGATCTGCACGAGATGCAACCAGACCATGGTCGTAGTAGTGAGGAGGAAAAATATTTTCAATAATGGAGGCCATGACCCAAAAGGCATCTTCCGCTGCGGGCATTATTAGCAGCAATGAGCCAGCAATTAAATTCATTCCTTGACAATATCCAACTTCAGGATTCCGACGTGAATATGCTAGTAGAACCTCTTTTAGTTTTGCAACGCCGGGTCCCTTGCGAAAAAATATGTTGTCTGTGAGGGTACGATTGATGTCCATGTCAATCTGTGCAATTATACTCGGATCGGAGTCACTGGTTGTATTTCCTCTGACTAGATCATCATAATACCCTGGAACCCGCATTGACGAAGCACCACTACACTCAGCCCAAACTTTGGCGCGATACGCAACAGGAATACCCTCAAGCACAAGAGTTCTGAATTCCCGCCACTTTGCACGGCCAACCTTGCCCTTATTTCCCAAGCTTGCGATACCAACAGTCTCGCCATCCGCGAGAGCAACCTCTGGCATATCAAGAGACATTGCAGAGCGATCTGGAGGTGCAGTAGCCGCAGCGGCTTGTCCCTCTTTTCGCCGTTCAGCACGCACTTTGCGCATGAATTCGTTCCATTTCACGGTGCGTTCTCGCTGAGAAGATTCATGAAGATCGGTTAACCTCTGAAGCAACATCTTCACAGGTTCTTGGTCTGTTGCTGCAGGCAAATCAGTTTGGGACTCGTTTGGCGTCCCTGCAAATTCACCATATGTTTCAACTGCGGTTGGCGTAAGTCCGGATGAGACCTTCGGGGTTGAATGAGCCACTGAAAGTGAGCCATTCTTGCCAATGGTGACCGAGGAAGTCCGAGGTTTTGAAGTCTCCACGGAAACGATGGGGCCGGCGGCTGGCGTATGGGAGAGGAGTTCAGTGGGCTTCGTGGCCACCTTGAGATAGTTCTGCCACTCCGTTGTGTCCGGACTACTCGCTTCGGTATTTTCCGAATCTCTCTGTTTTGCCTTCTGGGAACGAACATTCGATGACCCTGCATCAGCATTCGCTTCCCTTTGTCGCCGGTTCCTTCGCTGATCGTAGATAAATCCAAAGCTATCAGTAAGTAAATCTCCTGGGTTGTAATTATTGTATATATGCGCGAGCGTTGGCGGCCGTGACTCCATGGGAAGGATGGCATCCATTTCAACTGGCCCAACGTGCATTGACTCACTTCTTGAGCTTCGTTGCTCTGTGGGGGTGGACTGAACTGTACTACGGCGAGAGTTCGACGCTGTCGTGCCCCTCGCAGAATTCCGGATACTAGAGGCAGTAGAAGATTTTCCAGACAACGGCTGTACACCAGTACCGCCATTGATACGTTTCAATGCCGCAACAGCAGAACCTGCTGCATTTGGCGGCAGCATCGGCGACGAAGTTCTGTTTTTTGTATTCGGTGTGTCAGATCGTGCTCGACTCTGACCTACCTCCAAACTTCTGCTAGGTAATGAGTTTCCAGTAAATAATCTCACTGCCCATGAAGATACTGATTTGGTCGATTCTCTGGAGTGGACGCTGCTATCATCGCCACCGATTTGCTTAGTTGACGTATCTGCAATCGTATCGGGTGCTGGTTCTGGGGGAGGTGGCATAAATAGCTCAGCATCTAGTGCCTTTCGTCGATTACCAGGCCCACTGGGAATACGAGATTGGGGTAATGTGGAAGACTCGCAGTCTTGTTCAACGACCTCACTAATTACGCTGCTGGCGCCGCTTGTTTTGCGGCTTGAGCTTCCCCAAAAGTATTCTTGCCAACCTCGAGAAGTGGTCGTGTTTTTTTGCCTGACGGACTTCAAGCTCGAGTTACCCGACCTTGAGTCGCAATCGGCTCGGAATGGTCGAATTGTTGCCTGCAAGTCGTCTCTACCGTTATAGTTAATACCATCCAGGTCGAAAGCGCCAACATTCTCGAGCATTGCTTGATTCATCATATGGTCGATAGTGCTAGAGTGATGTTGTTGCTCGGTTGAGGTGTTGATTTGATCGTTGTCGGTGCCGTTTTCCAGCCCCTCTGCCGGATTTTCCAGTAGATAAAGCCGATTTTCGATATCTTTGTTCGGTACTTCCATTTCTCGCAACATTCTTTTCAACTCTCGTTCCCTTTCATCAGCTCGAAGACGAAGTGCTGATATTTCAGCATCACGGAGGGCAAGATCTCGAGCAAATTGTCGCACCAATTTTATTGCACCCGTGCGAGCAACTAAGCGCTGGATGTGATCGTCACTTGCGAGGTGGAGTGACCCTGGGACATCCTGAAGGGAAACCGAGTCACCGAATAAAGCAGAGCGGCTGGAGATTTGGGGTGAGACGGATGTGAGACCAGCGAGAGTGGCCTTCCGTCCACGCTCTGCCTGCCCAGTCTTGTCGCTCTCTTCAAGAAGCAGTGCCTGGCTAAGGGCATGATTGATTGCTGGCTCGCCATAAAAGCCATCTGGAGAATTATCCGGAGACAAGGACGGGAATGACGTCAGGTCAGTAGAGGTATGTGAGGACGAACAAGTGGAAACACGGTTTGGCGGTTTAGCTCTCACGGTTTTCGCTTTCTGGCTTTTTCGCGATGCGATCGAAGTTTGAGAGGTGGAGCGTTTCTGCGTATCGGAATGAGAGTCGATGGGCTCGGCCATGTCGTCTCCAGAGACGAATGGAGAGTTGGGTTTCCACAAATTCAAGAAGAGGGATCTCGAAAGACGATTGAGTCAACCCCCTGCTCGATGAGATTTGCAAGCATCTCCTTTTCTGGGGCGCACGGAAATTTCACACGGGGGTACCAGGGTCTAGAATCTTGAAGCTGTAGTAACATCTGAAGCCCGGATGCAAACAAAAATGAAAGGTCCAAGAATACAACCAAGGTGTTTTCGCACAGTGTCAGGGCAACACGATGTTTGATGATCAGCACAACCAAGTAGAAACCAACACCACCACAAACAAATAAATGATGTTGTGATATTGCAGGAAAATCTCCCGGACGTCGCGTGTGTCATCTCGTCATCGCCCGACCATTTGCTGACTCAGAAGGCGCTTTCCCACTTTGGGATGGTGGCGGTACACATGAACGTCAGCCAAGCCGGAGAGTATATATATTTCTCCGAGCCTCAGTGGCTGCTTATCTAACTAATCGGTAACACGACCGCTGAACCTCGGGAAGTTGGTTGTTGGCCCACAACGACGAGCCGGAGAAGGGCGAGCTGAAACTTAGGATGGCGTACGAGACGTATTTACTATACAAAGGCTCGGTTGGTAGCACAGATATATAAGCAACCGATCTCACCCCGGCCCTACGCAGACACCAAAATCCCTCCTACTCTCCAAAATGACTGCCGTTGCAAAAAGAAGACTCGGAGCCCTGAGCCAACAGCTTGTTGAGGGTATTCCTGATGCCGGGGCTTTCGAAGATATACCTCGCATCCGGGAAGTTGCCCCAGACTCTGTAGGACCGTGCGTACCCTAACCAAATTGACTGTTGCTCCTAAACTCACAGTCCCTCGCAGCCGATGCAAAGACAAAGTCGTGATAATTACTGGTGCCAATTCGCCCATTGGCATTGGTCATGCTTCTGCCCATCAGTTTGCCCGCAATGGCGCCAAAGCTGTCTTTATCTGTGACTTCGCAGATACTTACCTCGATGTACACAAGAGAGAGCTGCAGTCATTGTACCCCAATGTCGACGTTCATGCCCGGCAATTTGATGCTGGAGATGAAGATCAAGTAAAAGCTGTTGTCAATGAGGCGATAGAGAAATATGGCCGGCTAGATGTCATGTTTGCCAATGCCGGAGTGGTTGGGCAACCAAAACTTTTTACAGATGTCTCCGGGGCGGAATTCATGAAAACCATGGACACCAATGCTAAAGGGTTAGCGACTCCCTACTATTCGTATCGCGGCCCCATTTGAAACTAATACCTGTCTAGCCCATTCCTTGCCACTAAATATGCTGCTCTTGCTATGAAAGCCACCTCGCCGTCCAAACCCTACCCATCCGGTAGCATCATTCTCACATCTTCGGTTGCAGGCCTCCGCTCCAACGCTGGTTCCACGGATTACTCCGCCTCCAAAGCTGCCGTGGTATCTATTGCACAAACCTGCTCATTCCAGCTTTCCGGCACAGCCATTCGTGTCAACGCCATTTGCCCTGGTGTTATTGAGACTGGCATGACAAAAGTAATGTATGACATGGCGCGGGAAAGAGGGACCGAGAAAAAGATTGGTCAGCTGAATCCATTGCAGAGAGGGGCTGTCCCAGATGAAGTTGCGAGGGTTGCATTGTTCTTAGGAAGCGATGAGAGCAGCTATGTCAATGGGCAGGCATGGGCAGTTTGTGGAGGCCTGAGCGCCGGTCATCCGTTTGTTCCAGGAAAATTAGCATAAGGCTTTAAAGAGTACTTTGAAAAATATTTCATAGTATTAAGGTATTCATGTCGCTGTACGAGCGTCAGAGATAGATCTAATACATAAATAATTTGAGCTGATCCAACAAAGTTAGAATTTTGTAAGTACAAGCAGTACGAACTAGCTACTCCGTATATAGAGCATAAAGTAGTTTCCCTGTCAACAAACGGCGGAGTAGATACGAGCAATTTGCCAGCTGGAGTGCCAAGATAGGTTACCTGTTCAGGTGTTGTGATAGCTTCAATTAGTTCTAGCTCAAGGGTTGACTATATGTGATTCATGCTCCGTATACGGAGTACGACCAAAGGTACGGAGTAAGCTCAATATTTAGCATTGCGGAATGACGTCACCTGCGCCTATGAAAAGTTCCATCCACAGTACTCCGTATTTGTGGCTTCAGACGTCCAAGTCAAGCTTTGTATTCCCCAGTTTCTCTATAAATGAACGCATCACAGCTCCAATTGCAAATATTTCGACTGACCTCTACGCGAGTTACACTGGGCCCTCGGCCGACTCCTCTCCATAATACGCGTCTCCTTTCAACCATGCCTAGCACGAAGCGGAAAGGCTCTACCGATTCGGCCCAACAGAATGACACGAAGCGCGGTAAACCGGACCTCTCCGAGCCTCATCCAAAGGCTGACGTCGCCGAAAAATTTGGCATCGTTCTACGCGACTACTACCCTTCCGAGATGAGCAATGCGCGCTGCCAGGCGTACATGGATGGCACGCTAGAGCGGCCGATTGAAACAATACAGCGCGCCTATGAAGAGACAACCGGCGAGCGCAAGAACGTCTCCGAGCCCGGGAAAGCTGTGGTACACTGGTTCAAATCAGATTTGCGCCTGCTGGACAATCGCGCGCTACATAATGCGTATCTCACTGCGCAGGAGCACAAGGTGCCCCTTATATGTCTGTACCTTTTCTCACCAGAGGATTTAAACGCGCACCTGGTTAGCCCAGCGCGCGTGGATATGATACTACGTACGCTATCACAGCTCCAAAGAGAGCTTGCGGAACGGGATATCCCTTTGTACGTGGAAACGCAGGAGAGTCGAAAGAACATCCCAAAGCGTATTGTGGAATTGTGTCAGGAATGGGGCTCTCAGCATCTGTTTGCAAATTTGGAGTACGAAGTAGATGAGTTACGCCGGGAAGCCAAGGTCATCCGTCTCTGTGCGGAGAAGGCAATCAAATTTGATGCGTTGCATGATACGTGCGTTGTACGTCCGGGCGTACTCACGACTCAGCAAGGCAAGCAGTACGCCGTGTATACACCCTGGTACCGTACTTGGGTGGCTTATCTCAAAGAAAATCCGGAAAACTTGGAATGTATGGACGCTCCAGGCGCGAATGCAGGCCATGCTCGCACAGACTTCAAAGGTCTGTTCGACAGCGATATCCCATCTGCACCTGAGAACAAGCAATTGTCTGAATCTGAACAGCGTCGTTTTCGAGAGCTGTATCCAGAGGGGGAGCATGAGGCAATGCGGCGGCTTGAAACGTTTTTAAAAGACAGGGGAAAGAAATATGATGAACGGCGTGATTTTCTCGCGGGCGAGACCACGTCTATTCTGAGTCCGTACTTTGCGTCAGGTGTTTTGAGTGCCAGGACAGCAATTAACAAGGCATATGAGTGCAACGGCAACCGTCTCGATCGCGGAAATGCAGGATATACGTCGTGGATCAGCGAGGTGGCGTGGAGAGATTTCTACAAGCATGTGCTTGCACACTGGCCATTTATTTGGTAAGTTATATCATCTCTCCGAGCAAAGTGTTTCACATTTATAGAAATGTAACCCTAACAACGCTTGTGTCCGCCAAAGCATGAATAAATGCTTCAAACCTGAATTTACCAACCTCGAATGGGAATACGACTCCGCCCACTTCGAGGCGTGGTGTGCCGGCCGCACCGGATTCCCGATAGTCGACGCAGCGATGCGGCAGCTCCAGAGTCTCGCGTGGATGCACAACCGGGCGCGGATGATAGTATCGTCGTTCCTCTCCAAGGACCTACTGATTGACTGGCGGCTGGGGGAGCAGCACTTCATGAAGCATCTCATCGACGGCGACTTTGCGTCGAACCACGGCGGGTGGGGGTTTGGGTCCAGCACGGGCGTGGACCCGCAGCCGTATTTCCGCATTTTCAACCCGCTGCGGCAGAGCGAGCGGTTCGACGCCACGGGCGAGTATATTCGGCGGTGGGTGCCGGAGCTGAGGGAGGTGAAGGGCGCCGCGGTGCATGATCCGTATGGCAGGGGCGCGGCGGCGACGGCGCAGAGGCATGGGTACCCGCGACCAGTCGTGGAACATGGCCGCAGCCGCGAGCGCGCGCTGGATCGCTACAAGAAAGCCGCCGCGCGCAAAGAATAAGCCGTGTGGTTTCCTGCTGGAGCGAAGTCCATCGTTGTCCACTCCTACGTGTTGCGCGTCGGCACACTCGTCAGATCCCACGGTGGGGTCCGCCGGTTGCGTTGCCACCAGCACGGCATTTCCGCCGCATGTCGCGTGGAACTCTCAGGTTTCAACCTAGCTCCGTCTTGACTCTCTGGAGCTACATGAGCAGCTAACGTAGCTGCTCGAGCTCGGATCCCAGCACAGTCAAGATCTCGATTCTGCCTACTCTTGGTTATTATTGTGGGTTTCAAAGTATGTACATTAGAATGGGCCTCGGCGTGTCATAGCCGTTTATATTATATTATTATTAGGTTTGTCGGGAGCCCTCCTCCGCCTCCGTATACTCCGTACTATAGAATGGTAATATGGAGAAGGAGAAGGATGCGGGTGCATTTCTATTACATACATGCGCTGTGCTCTATCTTGTCTCAGTAGCCCTGTAGCTTGTCTGTCACTCCAGTGTAAATCCAACACGACAACTCTGGAGCTTGTTTAGGCACTCAGGCTCACTCAACCCCAATAAGAGGCTTCACGGATGGCTGTCAACGGGCATATTTCTGCACTCGCAGAGCACGGAGGATTTGTAACAGGCTTGTTTCCCGGGGGCCGAGAAATTAACTTCCAAATAGATTATTCCTCTATCCGGCGAGCAACAAGACATGCTTAGCACATGTAGAGAAAGCAACCCTCATTAAAAAATTAATAATAGCGATATTATTTTCCGCTTGTTGCAAATTGACCCGGCATGTCGCTGTCGGATCCCGGCCCTTACCAGGCGGAGATACACCCCGTTTCCCCTCAAGCTCTTTTTATGCTTGTTCTGCTGCGTTCCCGCGGGTTCTTTTTCGAGCCTGCGGGAGAACTGGAGACGGACGGGAGATCAGCCCATCGTGTTCGAAACGAGGGCTTCAGCCATGGCTTGTCGGAAGGTTCTGTTGTTTACAGCAGGGCAACGGCGAACGAGCCTCCTGGCAGCGACGGCTAGTTTAATTTTTTCTTCGAATGATCTCCACCGCGTGCACACCTGGGAGCGGCGGGCATGTCGATCGCGGCGATTCAGGGATGTGCTGGGCGCAGGCGGGCAGCGTTTCGCATGGAACGGGCGATCGGCGAGGCAGGCGGCGTGCCATTCGGCGGTGACCAGCACTCTCAGTCCTTCCCTCTCTCCATCTCTTCTCTCTCTCTCTCTCTGTGTGTGTTCGCTCTCGCTCTCGGTGCAGCGTGGCCAGCGCGTTTCAGCTTGTCGCCTGTCACAAAACGCACCGGCGGAGTCTCATTTGCAATGTGACCAATCACCTTCCGCCCCCGCCGCTAGCGCGCCCGCCGCGGCGAACCCTGGGCGGTGGGCCATGCTGTGCCCGCTGATTGGCTGTGCGTGCGCCCCTGACTTGCTCCGGCGGGCCTGAAACCCACCCGCGCTAGTCCCAGCGCAGCCTAGCCCGCCGCGCGCTGCCCCTGTTCTCGCCGCCGCCCCCCCCCCGAACGTCCTCAACGACGGCGAACGCTCTCTTCTTCTCCCTCGCTGCCCGCACTCCTTGCTCTCGCTCGACGTCTGGTCTGCGAGCAGATGCTGCCTGCCATTGTGCTCTGACTGCAGCCTGGAGCGCGTCGCCTCCCGCGAGCACTGGTTCTTCTTGTTGCAATTGTGCCGTCACTCTCGTCCGAATCGTTCTCATACTCCCAGCCCCTGTTGATTCGACCCCAGTGTCGCTCCTTTGTTCCCGCGCACTCTGTATTCTGCGTGGCCGATCGTTGGAATCCAATTGCTGCTTTGGGTGTTGGGAAGCGCCGGCCTTAGTTTTGTGAAGCAGAGTGAGCCCAATGCTCGTCTCTCCTGGTGGTAGGGAATCTGACTGGTATTCAGACAGTGCCGTCGGCGCGCCATTCGGAAACCTGAACGTGTTATTCAACCGCTTTCTATTATCTTTCTTTCAACATGGCACCTTCGCTGAGAGACCACCCGTCGTTTGTTCGCCCGCCGACCCGTGATCGCCCCCTGACTCGCGGCGACCAAGGAGACAACTCGCTCGTCATTCCTAGCAGAACCTCTTCTTTGCACTCGCGCATCACGCAGCCAATTCCTTCGAGTTTGAACATGAAGCCCGCCCAGAGGACTCCCAAAACCCTAACCCATGCCTACATGGTCTGCGGTGTTGGCCGTGAACCCTCCCAGTGGGTCAAAGCTCCCCCTCCTGCCCAAGGAAAGATTGGCCACATGAAGGGGGCTGTCGGCCAGTTTTGGCTGCCTGAAATCTTAGGGAGTAGCCCGAGATTGGAACAGGACAACGAGATTGCGAGAGCGTTACATGCCTCTATGAGAGTGAGTAGCCGGCTAGGCCACACCTGCAGCAACAATTGGGCCCAAGCGCCAAACAATGCCCTTGTATGAATGCAAATCTGACCGAGACTCACAGGCATGCTTTCCCCATGATGTCGAAATCTGCACAGGCAAGAGTCAGCCGCACTGTGTGCATCATTCTTTTGTTCTCCAGCAGGATTCAACCCACACTCTCTACGGCATCGCTTTGCGTGTTTGGTCGCGCGCCGACGAAAAACGTGCCGAAACCATTAGGGAACTGCGCAAGAAGACCGAGACTGATTTTTACGACAACCCAGATGAAACTTATTGGATTCCGTATTGCCTGAGTTTTCTTTCTCGATACCCTCTTTACAACCTTTTGGGAGACTACCTTCGTGGAATGTGGATTCACTGGAACAAGGCTACCAACCTTTTCCATGCCGAAGAAGTATCGCGCATTCTCAGCTTCCCCGCGCCCAGGTTGAATGACCTTGTTCGCATTGACATGAAAGACTACGCCCTATGCTACCAATTTCCATCTTCTCCAACTGGCTTCCAAAACTTTTCCATGTGGCCTTTGTTTAACTGTCTTTCTATTCCCAACATTGTAGGCGTGGTTGAAGCGGCTGTGTCACCAACTCGCCGTATCATATTTGTCAGTCATTACCCGGCCATCCTAACCATTGCCGCTGAAACTATCCGTTTCTGTGTCCGTGTCTACGAATGGAGTGGTCTGTACAACCCTGTTGTGCATGCCCGTCACGTCAAGGAACTAGTTCAGGAGCCTGGCCCATATATTCTGGGTATTACTGCTGAGTGTCGTACTTTGTTCACCGCTCCTTCAGACGCTCTCGTTATCGACCTGGATCGCAATTTCGTGTTAACCTCGAGTCCCCCCAGTATCCTAACACAGGGCCAAAGGACCAAGATGATCAACCGTTTAACCCAGGCACTTAATGGCGACGTTAACCCTAGCGGCGTTCCTCAGCACCTTCGATCAGCTTACGGCGGAGGAAAACTAATCCCCGCTGGTCAGATCATTGTTATGAGAGGTGAAGTTGAGAGTATTCAGGATCCAAGTTGGTGGAACCAGGATGCTGTGATGTCCGTCATGGACCATGTTTGTGAGAAATTGGTAAGTAAATTCGTTCGCCTTTTGTTATATCTCGGTCTTACCATCTATTTCCAGGGCCGCAACACAGGAGTGAAGGCGTTATTTGGTGGATCTGTCAAGAAGCCACTCATGACGAAGATATCTATGAGACATCTCAATGAAATTGTCCGAGAACGAAACCAATACTCGAGAGATGCCCTTGAGGCGTGGCAAGACTTCATCAACCTCAAGGGAAGAATGGACACGGAACTTTCTAAAGTCAACAAACGGAACAACTTCCTTGTGGAGGAGCTCGAAACGTGGAAACAACAGGTATACTTGACTCATCCTAATCTCTCCGTCCTCAGCGTTGCTAACACACTCGCCAGTTCCTCAAATTCCAAGCCTTTGCTGAACAACTCACGAAAGAAACATCTGAGCTTAAGGTTAAGATTGAGGGTCATAAACGTGAAAATCGTCGCCTCACTGCTCTGATTGACCAGCAGAAGGATGATGCTGCCCGTCTTACGCTACGTCTCTCTGGTACCGAAAAACAACGCGACGATGCTCTCGAAGCTCTTGTTCTACAGCAAGAGATTGCAGAGGAACTTGAACGTGAGCGGAAACGAAACCAGAAAGAAATCAGTGCACTCCAGCACACCACCGCCAATCTTACTCGTCAACGAGATGAAGCGCAACGTGTTGTTGTGCACCTTCGCAGCCTTATCCATGGACAGAGCCACCATATGGAGCATATCATCCGATCCATCACTAATGCTCCTGAATTGTCAGAATACGTCGATCAGGGCTTCGAGGATACCTCAGATGCGGACGATCGCTCTGAACGTTCTGTCGATACCCGTCGCTCCCACGCAGTGTCTCGTAGATTTGCTTCCCGTCTCAGCGCATCCAGCCGTGCTGAAAGCGCTCACGGTGAAGATGTCAGCCCAGAAATGGAAAGCCAGCTGCTTGGCCTTGGAAGACACAAACGCCACTCTCAACTTAGCATCACCGATGTTGCAGACCGACACCTCCGAGCGAAGACAGACGCTATCGCAGACATTATCCGCAATATCAGCGAACAATGCGCTGCCGCTGTTGAAGGCCTCTACCTGGCTCAAGATGCGGAACTCGAAGATGAATCCAACAAACATGATAACAATCGACAAAACAACCTCAACGCCAACGAAGATGGCAATGACGAGCGATCTTCCCGTGCAGGAAGTGAGATGGGCGATACTCTTCTCACACCTGACGGACGCGATTCGAGTATTTCCAGCATCCCACCTACTCCGGACCTCGTACACAATCGCTCCAGCACTGCTATGTCGATGGTGAGCAGCACAACCATCCCAGAGCGCTCAAGCCAGCAGTATGGACCCGGCGACCTTCCAACCCGAATCCTGGAAGAAGACGGCGAGCGCATGCACGAGGCAGAAGCCCAGCGAGAGCAAAACCAGGCTCCCGGAGCTCCGCGAAAGAGTGCCAGTCATGATACCATGAGAGCAGGTACTGTCCATGTTGTTGCATAGGTCAATTAGACTATGCGACTTTTAAAATGGACTATATGAAGTGCGTTTTGTTTTGTTCATTTGTCCAATAATTTTCAATCCTTATTTTTTTTTGTTCAATACCTATTGTTCTCCTTGCTCTGTACGGTTGTATTCACTTTACTTTTGTTGGTCTGTAGATTCGCTTCTTCGCCATGGCTTTCCTGTGGTATATATTTCGGAGTGTATCTATACGTGGGATTTGCTTCTATTTTTCTGTATTTTTCCTTTCTTACCTCTCCTTTGTTACCTCTTTCTCTTATTTCTTTTTATATATTCGGACCCTCTATGTACAGAATTTCTTGCCCGATTTCTTTTTCTACTTTTTGTGTGTCGAAAGGAACTGTACAACGGAGATTTGTCTTATATCACCTTCAACTTTGATATCAGGTGACTGGTCATTTGACTAGCTGGCCAGAGTTGCTACATATGTTTGTAGATACTGGCCTTCACATATTGAAAATACCACTTTATCACCTTTAATTCCTTCCGTTTCCAATATCTTTCTAAAATATAGTAGGCCTTTTCACATCTGAGCTCATGGAGCAAGCTTACATCGGCGCTGAATATAGTGCCACAGTAAGGCGATCGTCCAAATCCTGTGTTTGGTCTGGAACTCTTTACTATTGGAGGGTATTTTGATACAGAGTAACTACCTAAAGTGGTGCAATATGCAAACTTTTGGGGATACAGCACTCACCCACTTACCTATGATTGTGATATGGACCATTCGTCGAATTGATTACCAAAATACGGGTGGTAGTGGGCGGAACACTAGTTATACCTCAGTCCGTTCAGCCACTAGGACCACTGAAGGATTGGGCACCACAATGATGATAAGAAATATATGGAAGATACTTACTTGCTTCCCCCACAAGGAAAAGGAAGGCGGACGGGCTTTACGAAGGTTCTACTGCGATGGTGACCGCAATCGCCATATGTAGGAAGTCAAGGTGTATATAACGTATCACTAGCAAGTCTTATTCTCAAGGATATGGTGAGGATGGTTAGATGACGGCTATTTCCAAGTGGGCTCAAGTTAGTCACAGGAGCCATATGCAAATGCAACGAATTTTCAAGTTGAAATGATAGGACCACAACGCCAAAAAATGCAAGTAACAAGATGAAATGGGTATCTCGACAAGGCTAGTAGATGCCAAGTACAGAAAAGGAATCCGATAGATTGGATCTCCGTACTGAGTCCGGCTGGTAGATAAGTTGGGTCGTTCATTCGTCAATCGTTGTGGGATATCATGCAATGCAACCGTTCCAAGATCCTTGAACCAAAAATTGAGAGAGGGATAGAAATGTTGGTGTCTGATAATAAGCCCAACCAACAAAACGCCGCTTCCATGCAGATTTCCAGGTTCAAGAGTGTTAAGAAGCGGAAGTATGCACAGAGAAACACCACTGAACACCGAAGAAGATATTGTAGTAGAGTAAAGTCTTAATGGCAACCGGCTTCGAGTATTTGGTCGTTTGCCCACTGAGGGTCTTCTTGTTCAGAAATAGGTGAAATGACTTCTGTTGGAACAGTCTGCATGTCATCATCACTGGCATTGGACTTTGATTTGACGCTGACACCTGCAGATCCACTTAAGAAGTTATTGTGAAACTCCATCCGACTTGGTTGGATTTGGATATTACCACGTTCTAACGCGCGAAGAAGAAGAGAATTTACCTCGTCGGTGACAAGGTCCTTCAACTTGGTTAGAGTTTCGTCTGACATTTGAGAGGTATTCACATTCCAACCCAATTTATCGAGACCTTCCGAAACAATAGATTTAGCATCAATGGCAGCGCCACGTGCGACAATTCTGGCGAGGGATGGAGGCGAGATGTCGTTTGGTCGGCGAGAAAGTTTTGGCTGTTTCTGTTTTGCGGAATTGTTTGAAGCGACATCTTCACGAAGCCTCTTCTGGGTAGCGGGCATGATATGTTGGGTGGGGCCTTCGCCAACTTCATTTCGGATCTTATAATACACAAGACCTAGGGTGGCCGCCAACGCTTGATGGCATGCTTCTGGGTATAGGCGAGCTGCTTCGGCGAGGGTGAGATCTGAAGGTAAATCACTAGAGTCACTCGAATCACTCATGTAGCCGTCCCCTGGGATCATTGCATCATGCCGATGTGGCATGCGCCCCCAGTACTGAAAGCCTTCGAGCTGGTAGAACTCCGCCAGCTCGACGAGTCGGTGAACTTCAGTTGATTGGGCGTCAGTATTGGCTTGCCTTTGCTGTACGATTGAGACCATGGACTTACTTCGACTTCTGCGCTTTAAACACCAAAATTTCCATACGGAGCGAGGGAAGTAGTCGGGCCACCGAACAGAGCCGTCGGTTTCGACAACAGGAACAGGGGTGATGGGGGCATGGACGGTGTGTGCTAGCGAGTTGAATCGAACCCTTTCGGTGTGGTTCATTCGTGATTCCATTTTGGAGAATCGGGCTGAAATATCACCGAAATGTCGAGACGTCTCCCGTTCCAACGTCATCAAATCAATTCGAATTTGGCTCACTATGGCCTGAATTTGGCTCAGGTCAGTTCTAGTAGCGCAGACATTGGTGTGAAGACGTTGGACGTCAAGTTGTATCTGATTGACATCGTTCTGGAGTTGGCTGACGTCGCTGTGTAGGAAGGCCTCCTTCGATCCGAGTTGGCCGACATGAGTTCGTAACTGTAGAATTTCGGTTCGGAGTTGTAGGAAATCAGTCTTTATCTGACTGACATCTGCCTTCGTCTTCCCAACAACAGTTTCAATGTTGGACGTCAGGCTTCGGTGGCTTTCGAACTCTCGTCGAAGGGATTCGTCTTCTCGATTCCGTCGATCAACGTAAGCATCCTTTGTCAGGACACTGGCACGGAGATCAAGGACACGAGAGTCCAGTTGGCTCAGGCGGTCGTGAATGTGAAGAAGGGCAGGGTCAGAGATAGATTGTGGTGTCAGTTCGCGCTTGAATGAAAGAGGGCTCGTCATGCTTGACGACCTGCTCAGCAGGTTACCTCTTTCGATGGTGGAAATCATGCTGAATCGTCCAGCATAATCAGATGTAAATAGACATCTTGAGAAACAACAGGTATAGTTATAGATAATCACTGAAGGGCGTTGTGGGAGCGAGACATCTAAGGTGTGGTGGGCGAGGAGTTCAGACAAGAGGGAGCGAGTTGGCAGAGGAGGGTTTGGGGGGCGCGAGGTGTGAGGTGGGAAGCAGCCGGCAGAAAGGACCTCAGGGTGTGTGCAGCACGCCTTGCCCGATCGGGCGGCAGTCGTATTTCGCAACTCGCGCTAGGCTGAATGCAGGGCTCGCAGCCCGTGCCAAGCGCTGCGGTGTCATGCACTCAATCTGCTCGCCTTTGCCGCCGCCACAGCCATGTCAGCGTTACATATTCAGGCGTTCAAGCAGCTGTCGAGCCCAGGAAGCCGAACGAGCACTCCGTAGTCCGCTTCTGAAGCCAGTTTTTGTAAGGCCGAACATCCAATATCGAGACCAACGCCGCAAGACAGCAGAGCTACCAGACAGCGCCCGGAGGAACGGAGGGCAGGGCTGATCTTGGGTAACGTGAGCGATGATGCATGCGCCAGAACGAAAACAGCTAGCCTGTGCTGGGATGGGCTGGACTCAAACTCTGTATTCTCGTACTCGGAATGCAGGGCGTTGGCAGCCCCGATTGGACAAGATCAGCCATGCTGCCTTAGGCCCACAGACAATTATTGGCAAATTGACGGTCAGCAAGTTAGCACCGTCAGCCTCGTTGTCAAGCTGCTACATCCTTGCCGCCCAGGCTGAAATGAAATCTGTATGGCGCTAGGAACTTAGCGTTGTCGCTCCGTATGTTTCGCTTGCAATGAAAGCAGAAAAAAAAACACAAAGGTGGTGTCACATGATTGATTGAATTGGCACGCGCGCGAGCCGTACGGAGTACTCCATAGGCGGCATCGATTTCCTTCGAACTTCAGAGCCATTCCGGATTGGCTCGTTCTACTCCGTAAATATTGGCCTGATGGTGAAGACTATTTGGTGAATGGGTACAGTCAGTATGGAGTAAGTTGGGCGTTGAAAATGTATGCTTTCTAACAACTCTCGCTAAATCAATACCTGAATTGGCTCGAATGCGTTTGTTAACAGTTGTTAGATTGTCACTCGTGAAATGAATTGAGAAATCATTCTTACCTGCCTCATGACATCAATATCAGATACAGCAACGTGCAGCGTGCTGCCTGCAGGCAAAGGAGAAACTGGTTTGCATGATTGTATGTAGCTGATTGCTGGAGTACTCCGTACTCCGTCCAAAGTAACATCGCCTTTCATGTAAGAAATGCACCTTTGGATTATATGGCGATGTCGACGCTCTCTGCCTTACTATGCTCGATAGTAGGTATGCTGGTGTGAGTGGATATAGGGACGCGCACAGTTACCTCAGGCAAACGCTCCGCTATTGTTCGTTCTTGTTTTTTATGCTCATATAACCCTTTTCTCCTTTCTCAAAGCGTCATGGATATGAATCTCAATAGTTGTGTTTGTGGTGAATACCCAAGCGAGAAATCCAGTGCTCCCACATCGGCATGCATATCTTTTTAAGGGCAATCAGTCGGGACCACAGGAAAAACGAAGAATGTTTAGCTTCTATCCAGTTTCAGCTGATGCACATGGCCCATATATCTGGCCTCAGAATCCCTTCGTTTATGTCGCGAAGTGTCGCTTTCCCCTTTGGGAAGTGCGGCGATTTCGGAGGACATAATGCTCCGCTCCGCCCTATCACGTGCGTCTATCATTCAGCACACGGATAACGATACTAGTATTGGTATCTGAGCTCAACCGGAGAAGACTTTGCTGGATATACTGCTGTTGATGATCATCCGCACATTATAGAAATGCCAATCGCTTTGATACCCGCTTTCTGGCCCCAGAGCGAAGTTGCCATGCGTCAACTTTGACTTGAAAAACGCTCTTTCTCTAGCATTTCGGCATAGAAAGAGCCATCTATGCCTTTCCCTTTTTTTCCGTTTTGAATAATTGGCATATATTTTGCCGGCTCATGAATATCTTTTGATTGTTTAGGCTTCCTTCGCCATAAAACTACCAAGAATGAGAAGTCTATCTTGCTTTATTCTCCTCGGGCTACTCCTAGAAACCTCCTATGCCGCAACGAAGCCGCGACTAGGAACCCCATACACACTGAAAAAGCCCGAGTGCGATTGCTACGAGGTCTCCGGGCCAGAGCCAGGTAATTTCGAACATTACCGGTTCTATGATTTTCGTTCGATACCCTTAAACGATACCGACAAATCCAATAACCGTGGCCAAATAAAAGATGGAGAGGATGAGATGGAAGGAAGCAAACTTATTGGTCACCATCCAAGCTTACATGGCCATCCGTTTGTAAAGGAATGGAATATTCAAAACTGGAAGCGCCCTAGCTCTGAGAAATATCCAATTGGCACTGTTAACTCCTTTAATAACATTTATGCTACTAAAAATATCGAAGGCGACTCCGAGAATTCAACCCATTTGGTGCTTCGCTTAACTAGATTTGAAGACTACACTTCGACTGCAGAAGTCCAGACATCAGTCGAGAATGTTTTATACTGTTCTTTTCGCGTGCGAATGCGACTTTATTCAATATCAAAAGATGGCTCAAATACGATAGTTCCTCCCCCTCCTGGTGCTGTTGCCGGAATGTTTGTTTACCATTCCGAAGTGAGTGAATCCGACATCGAAATCCTCACCAACGACCCTCCAAATCGTGTTCATTATGCGAACCAACCAGATTGGGATCCAATTACTGACCAAATGATTCCCGGTGCGAGTGACGAGGTTGACCATGATATTCCTTGGACGGAGTGGGCTGATCATCGTCTAGATTGGTTTCCAGACAAGAGTCGGTGGTATTTGAATGATGAGCTCGTTCTTGAAAAGGAGTACGGAGTCCCAGATGCGCCAAGTGTACTGGTGTTAAATTTATGGAGCAATGGTGGTTTTTGGTCAGGCAACGTTTCAGTTGGCCAAACAGTGAAGATGGGAATCGAATGGATACAGCTTGCGTATAATACGTCCAACTCCATTTCTAGTGCAAATCTTCTTCGTCATAATACTACTGGAGACTCTCTGGTAGAGATCGCCGACTCAGGCCCGCAGAAAAGTCGAAGCGGCCTACCCATAAAGATGAAGGTCAAAACACAAGTGCTAAGGTCGGATAGCAAGAAAACTGACGGTTATTACCACAAAAAGAGATGTGCCGTTACTTGTCAAATCGATGATGTTGGAGCCATTGATGTCCCAGAGGTTGTTTGATGAAAAGCCGATGGTATTGAAGCTTCGAGAATTGGACGCGTCCATACGGAGTAGCTATTCCAAAGCTTGCCCTTTAACGTGCGGGTTTTCCTGAACTCACTCACCTACACTCCCATACATGTATGTATTATTTAGGTCTCCACATGCGTAACATCAGCTTTAGAAATTACTAAAACGGTATTCTCTTTCTAGCAATTCTAGGTGTTGAAAAAAGTCTCAGTTTCCACTCAAAGACCTTGTGAATACAAGACCACTTGTAAGTAGCTATACAAATACTTGGCGTGATTAGTTACGTAGCAATCAATATCGGAAGTATTTGAGGGTGGTGCAATCCCAAACAGCCGGGGCAACTATGAACAAACAAAGATCGGTATCATAAATGCAGCCCATACACCTCGTAAATCCACCATCAAACAAGGAGACGTAAATCTGGTCCTTTTTTGACTGCCGTTATAAAACTATGTAACCCTTCTGGGTACAAAAGCAAAGGGGTATTCCGTATCCATAAATGCCATCTCAAAAGACTCCAAGCCATGCACCAAAGAATTAAGCCCGTAGATTCCCATAAACTCCGATATTAAATAGCCGAATTGTTGTAAAAAATGACACTGTCGCCATTTGGCTGGCGAAATGTCGGAGACGCCACGAGACAACCCATTTTTTTCCACATGCCATGGTCAGTTCGAACTGGGAGAAAAGTGCATGTTGAACGGGACGGAGGGGCTACACGATTTAAACAGAAAGCCCAAAACTAGAACAAAGAAAACCTACATCGCAACTGCAATGCGTAAGACGGTTCTCCATCATCAGCAAAACCAGGTTCCCCCAGCCAGCTTGATAGACGAAGCGAGTTACCATAAAATAAAAACGCAAACAGATCCAAAACACCCCTAAGTGGGGCGAGCAAGCTACATAGGACCCCAAAAAAGGCTATCCGGGAAGCAATCGCAGGTTTCTCAACGAAACTCCGAAGGAGCAGAAACAAAGTACAGAACTGGTATCCCTTCGTCCCATGCACTTACCTCAGGGTAATTCCGGACTGAAAGCAACTTGAGAAGAAGCTATATCAACACAAAGCCATTACAGCAACGAGTTAACAGGGAGCTCAGCTTTCGGGTCGAAATCTCCATCAAACCCTCCGTTGAGTAGCTCGGCAACGATCCTCTTGCGGATTGTGGGAATATTCTTTGGTCCATAGGACAAGGGTTGCCCTAAGGATACCAACTTGGCCGTGGTCAAAAGAAATACCCCACAGTCGCTGCCGTTGTTTTGCTGCGGAGAGTTTGACGGGAGAACCTGCCACTCTTCGTCGACGAAGAGATGGCCCAACTCACCTCTGAGCCACTTTTTCAGATTGGCAATGTGAAAGGAGGAGCTACTTCCAAGGGAGTCGAAGTGTTCGATTGTTCGAACTGATGGCTTGACCACCATGAGGGTCCAATGTGAATGGTGATGAATGGGCGCGAAAACCATGTCCACATTCATCAATGCTGGACCCCCAATCTTGGCACGAGAGGCCCATCGCCGTACGGACTCGTAGCCTTTGTCTCGAAGGCTAGAGTAGAAAAACGTGTTGAAGGCATGGTATCTGGGTTGCTCGTGGCGTCCCGAATTGCCATTTGACCGCCGGGCATAGTCGACAATTGCCCCAAGGTACGCATTAATTATTTCATCGTTGAGCCATGCCAATGGGGTTGCGCAGGTTGCAAGGTCACGGCGCGTGAGGCCATCTCCACTAATGGTGGTAGCAAGCTGACGGCTGTCTGGCTGGGAGAGTGCAGTGTAGACTTTTGATTCCCACTTGGTGGTAAGGGGCTGAACAATGAAGGCCTGCGTGACTGGGAGTTCTGTAGAGTGGTTGGAATCTTTTAATTTGTTTGTCACGATTGATGGCTGAATTGGACCGAGGGGGTTGAACAACCTGACTGATGAGACTGGTCGTCCAGCGATAGATTTTATCCAATGAATGAATTTAAATTTTGGCCATGTTTCATGAGGTTTGCAAGAGGTTTCGGAGGCAGCAGACCCGGTCTCAGGCTGTGAGGTCGATTGTTCAGTAGTTCTCTCAAAATCTGGCTCAGCAATTGTTGTGGGTTCAGATGGTGGGGGATCAACTATGGCCGCGGGAGTTATCCATGTCTTATCAGACTTTTGGTGGGGGGCAAACCATGGCATAATGCTAGCCTCAAGTTGCTCGACTACCATTGTCAATGCCGTAGACCGACAGATATTATTGGGGACTTGGTTTTTTGTGTATCTGATGTCAAGGCGAGGGTTGGTAATGCGCTCACCAACGACTTTATTTAAGAACGCCGGGGAGCCAGAGGACAAGGCCATGCTATCATTCCGGATTGGCCTACAAGCTGTATTCGACCTCGAAGTTTGATAAGAGGGGGAGACATGGCGTGATAGCTGAGTAGGAGAGGAGACGGGGGATGGCGGAAAAGACCCAGGCATTTCTGGTGATGCTTAATGTTATAAGTTAGCTCGGTTTTTCCAGAGGCAATGGATGGAGGAAGTAATTTCCAGACATACCAAATGACAGCAAATAGTATTTATATCAGTCTTTGAGCACTGAGAATAGTGCTATCCTTGGAAAGAGCGAAAAAAAAAGGTGAGGCTTAGCTATTGTGCGTTAGAACAACATGATCGGTTGACAAACAGAGCTTCTTTTGGAGGAGAGAGATTGTTTACCTGATGACGCGAGGTGAACAGGCTGCTGCCACTAGTTTCATCACCAAATATGGAAAGAGTTAGGTTAAGAAGTCGTGGGTCTTATATTGATGGGTTCCTCTAGGTTGCCGTATTAGGGGATGTTGATGCACCACAACGGCTGGCGCAGGCGACTATTCCTGAAAAGAATGACAGAAAGCAACTGGGTAGACCCGGCGTATTGTTGAGCGTCAGATATCCGGGCGGCTGCTGCTGTCAAACGCGAAGTCGAAGAAAGAAAGAGAGGGAGGATTGCTGAGAGAGGTGGTGAGGGAAGAACAAGGCGCGGCGAACGTATCGGGCGACATGTAGCCTGGCGAGCCAGAGCGGTCGTCGAGGATACCCGATACAGCAATGCAGTACATCGCTTCCTTGCCCGCTGAAAACGGAAGGCGCCGCTGTCCAGCCAGGCACGGATTGGCCGCGTCGTCACGTGGAAATTAGCTAGTTAGCGCTTGACCAATTTGAGTCTAGCGCAGTCCTTAACTAACAGCTGGAGCCGGGTCCCTAATGCAGGCGGGGCGGGCTAGCTAGGCCCCCGTTGGCCTGTTGACAGATAGGGAGAACCTTGCCGACTACGGAATATTTGACATTCAGATACAATGGGATTATTATTATATAACTAGTTAATAAATGCAGTCAAAGTAGCACCTCTCGAGCATCCTTCGCTTGTTGCAATCGTCGAGGGAATACCAGGAGGCAAAATCAATATGAACGTACTCTACATTTGTATCGTGTACTGTATGTACTCACCAGATCGACTGGGGGATTCTGGTATTGGGATCTATGTATGTAATTCAAGGCGGCAAAAGGAAAAAGAAGCCTAGTCGATGTAATACTAGCACCAGTTTAGTATTTAGGGTTCATTTGATCATTATTGGCCGTCAAGCCCAAGCAAATAAAATAAGATTGGGTTGACTTCTGCAGCTAACAAGCCAATGCCTAAAATACTTATGAGCAAGATGTCCTGATCTCACACTTGAAGTATTATGGTCCTTACCGGAATAAACAATCAGCTTCGTCACAACTTCGACGTCATATCGTACGCGTGGTTTGGTTATCATGGAGAACATCTCCTTTTCTCCTTGTGGCCGAAGAGTATAGTCTGCAGCTTGGGTTGCTATTTCCCCAACAGTATTAGACTCGTTTTGCTCGTACGTCGGGGTTCCTGTTCCCATCATATGTTCATAATCGTCAATTCGTAAAGGGCTCCTGTTCGCTGGCCTTGGGGATTGGTAGCGCGCGGGAGGGCTGGGGTTTGAAATAGAGGCATTACTGTTGCGGCCAGTGGTTGATGATCCAGCGACCTGAGGTTTTGCTTGGGAAGATAAACTTTGTCGTCTGCGGTGTTCACGATATGCGAGGGTTTCATAGGCATCGGCTTCGGATTGGGGCCCAATGGAAACGGCACGACGGCGTGGATGGCGGATTGATGTAAGCATAGAAGGAATCTCCGAGACATTGGGAATTACATCGTTGTCCTTCAAGTGTTCTGGAACGCGTTGATATTCCCTGTAAGTCCAATGAGTTAGTCACCTGCACCTGCCATTACCTTGTGTAGCATTAAATTAGACATACGAAGCTTGAGTAAAGAATCTTCTTGGAAGACTGAAGCCCAGCTTCTCGATAATCCGGAATAGCGGTGGGAGAAAGCGAAGTAGGGATGGTTTCATAACCTCTCGCCAAACAAAGATAGTGCCGATGCCCAGCAAAACCCGCAAGATGGTTTTCAGCCAGCCGATTTTCTGGAAATCAAAGATAACACTGCCCGGAATTGGATGTGCGTTTCCAAACCCGGTCTTGCCGAAGTGCCAACCGCCGGCCTCAATCCCAATTAGCACGCCGGCAAAGGCAACACTGTCATCGAAACACGGGCAAGAGTCCGCCGGTTCTGGATGTATTCGAACCAATACAAGGATGATTAAGAGTACGATGAGTGGGCCTCGAATGGATCCGGAAAGCACGAAGTCATCTATTGAGGTACCGTACGCACATTGTACGAATCCCAAGAGAGCACCCAGAAGACATCCCCAAATCACATCCAAAAAGCCATGCATACCACAATATAGCCGTCCCAGAACGATAGACGTCCCATACACAAATAATAGAAGCTGGAAAAGCCCCTTTGAGAATGGCGAGAGATCTGAGTCCATTGAGCTCAGGTTATGAATGGCATACACAACAACGGAGACGGCATTCGTAGAATGGGTGGAGGGAAATCCGTACTCCAAAGCTGCAGAGCCGGACATTGTGATTCGCTGGAGGGGAGGAGAGAGCGGTCGAGGCAGACATAGTAAATCTTTCAAAAACCCACTAAAAAACACACCGCTCGCAAGGAGGTGAACCATGCTATAAAATGATGTTAGTGAATGGCGGCCCAATATAACCACCTGAAGTGTGGATCTAACCCGCGCCCAAGCCAAGTATGCCCGCACCAGAACAATATCGGCAGCATTACCATGTAAAATGTGTGAGTGCCTAGATTTGCACTAACGGCAAACCAGGTATCAAGGGCGGGAGTGCGCATTCGTTCCTGAAGCCATGCAAGGTATGGAGTCTCCCATCGGACAAGGGGAAGGATCTTCTGGCGGACCCAGTGTCTCCATGGTGGGAGCTTTCTTTGATCTGAGAGTTGAACGGGCAGGTTGATATCAGCAGCAGATCCTGGCCAGAAACTTCGTGTCAATCACGCACGAGTTCGCTGGGCGTACATACAATGATCCAGACTTTTCAAACCAGCATCTGGTTGGGGGTTATTCTTATCCATGGCCTAGACTCGTCCGAGCTTTTGCGACAGTTGCTGAAAGCTGCCAGATGGTCTTCAATAACTAAGCAACCAACCCAGCCATATGGCTATTGAGACCGGGGCGCAAACACGTCAGGAACAAAGCATGACGAGCAAGTAGCAATCTTTGGCAGCAGATGTTGCATTAACAACCGATAAGAAGCCCACAACCTCGGAGGTTGTGCTTATCGCGGGCGAAACACGTGAGATGCCGCGCGCTTGAAGCAAACAGCCAGACTGGGAGGACGTTTGAAGTCTGCCAGGAACTGCCGGGCGACGCCAGGTGCAGCAACAATAGCCGAGCAGCTGGGCATTATTAGACGGCGTGATCTGGCTTCGGGTTGGGTTTGATTGCATCCAGGTTTCAGCTCCCGTCAATGATCCCGGCAGCAAACACGAACGTGCGCAGGTGAAGGCTTTCCAGATAGACAGCAGAAATCAACCTAAATCCTTGCGAAGGATGGGCTTGTTCCTGGTTGCCCTCCTTGCCCGACGGAACGACACTCCATGAAGCATACTTTGAAGTATCTACGCTGTCCGGAGTGTGTACCGTGTACTCCGTATTCATGCATTGGAGTGATTTAAAGGCATCAGGATTGAACAGTCTTTCTGGCAGCTCCAATATACTAGACCCAATGTTACCTAGCAAAATCGGGCATCTCACAATGCCTTCGAACGGGTCTGTTATACTCCGTACACACACAGGTGCTTCTGTACATAAGTAGCTGCATGGGTGACGAAACCAACAACGCTCTCTTCCGCGGTTTCTGACCGAATTCTCCTAATCCTCCGACTTGCAGCTCTGAGACCGCGGGTTTGCTGCATTTCCTCCGGGTTCGCAGGCGGCCACCAATCGTAGGGCGGCACCAACCAGGCGCAGCCCGCCGTTGCCATGGCAGCGCCGCAGTGTAAACACAGGTCTGCCAGGCCCTACAGGGCAGCCAGCCCGGCGACGCCGTCCGGGCTTTTCCCTCCCGCTTAGACACCTCTCTTTCAAATAGTTACATCTTATCCAGAATCTCATCTCGTTGTCGAAATTGTCTCCATCGCATCCCTTTCCCTGCTACCCCCTTTTTTTTGTGGAGGGAGTATCCAAGCCGACGCCGCGTGCTGTCTTTGCATAGAGTGCTGCCGGCACCCGCAAGAGAGGCAGTCTGGAAGCTAACAGTCTTTGTTTCCCTTGATTCTCCCCCCGCGCCTGCTCCAAAGACGCGCCCACGATGTCCGCTCGAGGTTTCGAGGATCACTACGGCCACGGCGGGCACGTTCGGCGCCATTCGTCTGTGCTGCATGAGAAGATCCCCGCGCCCTTGACGCCCCGTCGCAAGCCGGTCCGCAGCCAGAGTACGCGGGCAAGTAATGGCACCGTGAGCACAACTATGAGCGTCTCGACTGGCAGAATGTCCCAGGCAACCAATATCACGCACCCTCCATCGTATTCAAAGAAGTTTGTGGTTGTGGGCGACGGAGGCTGTGGCAAAACTTGTTTACTGATCAGCTACTCCCAAGGCTATTTTCCGGAGGTATGAATGGTTGTCTTGATATCTGCATGAACCCGAAACTAATGTCGTTTAGAAATATGTTCCAACCGTTTTTGAAAATTACATCACCCAGACCACGCATAATCCGTCTGGTAAAACCGTTGAGCTAGCACTCTGGGATACAGCCGGACAAGAGGAATACGATAGACTCCGTCCTCTTTCCTACCCAGAAACAGACCTTCTCTTCGTGTGTTTTGCGATTGACTGCCCGGTATCGCTCGAAAATGTCATGGATAAGGTGTGTTCATACTTATAGCAATTTAGGCTTTAGTTGAGATTAACTAACAGTTAATTGCAGTGGTACCCTGAAGTACTACACTTCTGCCCCACAACCCCCCTAATCCTCGTCGGTCTCAAATCCGATCTCCGATCGAAACGTACCTGCATCGAACTGCTCAAGAGTCAAGGGTTGACGCCAGTAACCCCTGAACAGGGAAGGGCCGTCGCTCAGCGAATGGGAGCGCAATATGTGGAGTGCAGTAGTAAACAAATGCGAGGCGTCGACGAGGTCTTCGAGCTCGCGGTAAACACAGCCGTTGGCATTGAAGACAACCATTGGAGTGCCCGTGACAGTGGCGCCCAGCCGAATGGGAACGGCGCAAAGAAAATCAAGAAACGAAGTTGCAAGATTCTTTGAAGTTGGCAGCATGGCAGATACTTTTTCAACCGAGTGTTGCGGTTTTTTTTGCGGCATCTTGCGAACGTGAACCATGACCCGGACACGAAACTACAAATTGACGACGACATATGGTGAGTATTGGATGCTGGCATATCCGCTGCCGGCATATGCATTCTCCGTTACATTTTTCTTATTCTACTCAGATTACCTTCATTGCTTTCCTCTCCTTTTATTTGAATGCCATACCTTCGGTTCATCTGTACTCGTTTGTTTGTGGTGCACCCTCCACCATGTATCCTAGTGTCACCTACCTTTTAAAAAATTTCCCTTACCCTTTTTATCTCGTTTGCTGTTCCAATATCTTCAACCTTTTTTGTGGGGGCACTTGATGTTTCCGGAGGATCTTTTTGCATGGCTTAGGTGTTTTTGGGACCAGTTCATGTACGTTTTGTATCAATCAGAATAATTTAGCATGTGTATTGATAAAAACGAGTTTAACCGCTTTTTCGGTATAAGATATTTCGGAGCCGAGAGAGAGAGAGAGACAAATGCAATTATCCCATGCAGAAAAAACCCCTGAAAAGTCCGTGAATTCGTAGAATCGTGAAAAACAAAAAAGCATGCTGCTCGTCTATCTGCCTTGCTTTTCATCGTCCCGACCACGACCTTCTTGCTCCTGAGTCTTCTTACCACTTCCTTCCTCACGGTGATGGCTTTCCTGGGTATCCGCAGGCTCCTCGGAGTCCTTTCCCATGACATTTTCGAACTGCGACCATAAGGCCTCTACAGAAGAAAACTCGTTGCCAACCTGTCAAGAAGCGCCATGTGAGCCAGTCCACGGGGTAAAGATCGTGTAGGTGCAAAACATACAGTAATTACACTTTCTAAATTACGATTCAGCCGATTAATATTTTGGAGGACTTGCTCAAAGCTCTGGGATATAGGTGAAGTTGTTAGGACTGGTCGGAGAATAGAGTGTTGGAACGTCGCGGAAACGTCGGGACATCAACGCGCATTTAACTAATTATACAGGAGGAGGGCCAGAAATCCCCCTTAGTACATAATAGGCAGAAATCTCACCAAAGAAATATCTCTCAGCAGCTCTGCACGCTGTTGCTCAAAATAGGAGCTGTGCGTGGGGGGCTGGAGAGTAGACATCGTTGAGTATCAGCGCACTCCGTGCACGACGCGGATTTATGTATTTAAGGACAGTAGATATATCTAAGCAGGAATTTCCAAAGGCCGGCTTTGGTTATGAAGCTTCAATTTGGTATTTTGTAGAGCACGAGTCGGTTTTGTTTTGCGATGATCCGCGTATAACTAGACCGATGACTAAGCAGAGATCGCGTCGACAGCTTCAGACGAGGAATGGGAATGAGGGCAGCAAATTCTCACACAAGAAATCCCTCGACGCGGAGCTCTGTTGCCTGCTCTACTCATACTTTCTTTGCTACTACTATTTTACTCCGGTAGTTGTTGATATTTCCTCCGTTCTGGGCCCGCCTGTCCTAATCCCTACAAGTTCTAGCACGCTTTGCAAAATGAGTGTCAGTTTGGCCCATGAAAGACTTTGCGCCCATTGCCGTCCTACATGAATACAGCCGCTAACTTGCTCTCTAGTTCGTACCTTTGAACCCCAGGCCTATGCTACAATCTCTGTAGGTCGCAACCCACCCTCTTGGCAGGCGCAGTCGGGCAGATGCTAATATGAGTCGGTATCCGCGCGGTCTTAGAATCAACGAGGATGTCGTTGTTCATTTAAAATGGGGGCAGACGGAATACAAGGGGCAATTGATCAGTGTGGATTCATACATGAACCTGCAGCTGTCGAATACAGAGGAGTTCATTGACGGAAAGAATACAGGCACTCTCGGGCAAGTGCTAATACGGTGCGTTCTCCTGGCCCTGAAGCGCCCGTTTTCGTTTGTGTGATTTGAGTTTGCGGGCTGATACGGTGCGCTCAGGTGCAACAACGTTCTGTGGATATCATCCGCCAAAGGGGTGGTCATGAAGGATGTAGAAATGGCCGATTAACATTTTCGCTGGGGCATCTCTCTTTTTTTGTTCAGTAATAACCCCGGGAGGGAGAGAAGCGGGAGGGACGGCGCCAACAGCAAGCATCTGTCCGGATTGGCGGCGATGGGCCTCGGATGGTTACGAAGTGGCCTGCACAAGGCTCGTGGGGGCGGACAGCTGCTCGATGCATACACATACGCCGGGAGGGGCGGCAGATGGATGGGGCTGGTGATGCATTATTGCCTCCACGAGACAGCGGCGGAGGGGAGCATATAATAGGTAATTAATATCGAGGCCCGTTTAGCCGGTGTCGCGGTATGCAAGTGCATTAGAAGGATTGCATACTGGCAGTTGAATATGGATGGATCTTTTACGTGATTCTGCTACGTTGTTGTTGTTGATCATCGGGCAGGATCGCGGGCAGTAGATTTGCCAGAATCCTGGGGGCCAGGGCGGAGTTTCAGGCTCCCACATTTGCCGGGGCGGGCGACTTCGGTCCAGAAGGACGACGGAGGCTCAGGATTCTGGCCGGGCGAGCAGGCGGTGCCTGGCTCGCGAGTAGGCCGTCGAGGTTCGAAACACGGGCTACCAGCGCCGCGCGCACACCAGCCCGGCGACTCGAATCATAACAAACCGCTTCATAGTCAGACAGGCGGCGGGCAGGGCGCTGGCTGGTCGGATCCGCCGCTGGCCAGACCGGCGCGCAGCCGGCCGAGGCGCGGGTGCGTAAGCACCGTAACGCTACGGTCACGCGCGGGGCGGGCGGTCTGGCCCAGCGCAGGCAGCGCTAGCCGGCGTCGCAGCACGAGAATAAGAATAAGAATAAGAATAATAAATAATAATCACAACCAAAGCTGGTGATCCACCGGCGACGGCGAAAATGTGCGGCGTCGCGTTCTTGGGCTGGAGACGTGTGCTCTGCGGCGGCGTGTGACCCGGTCATCATCGCTCGCAGCGCACCCAGCGCCACACAGCGCCGCTCGCTCTCGCTGCTGCTGTGGGCGGCCCGGCTGCACGCCCGCGGCTGCGTGCTGGCTGGGCGGGCTGCCCGCTAACCCTGCCGATCCGAAGTCTCTCCCACTTGACGCCGCGCCAGGGAAAACACGCCGCTGAAGGATTATTACTCCGCGCCCACCTCGCGCCGCTGTTGCTGCCCGCGCGCTGCAGGGCCCGCGGCCAAGATGCTTTGGCCCCGGCTGCCGCATACAAAAGGCCCTGCAGGCCCCTTCCCAAGCCCTCGCTCCCGTGTCTTATCATGCTTGGTTGTGCCCGCTGCCCGCCTGCGTCTCTCTGTATACTTCTCCTTGCCTGACACGTACACGCACATATATACAACTCTCACACACTACGCCTCCGTTGCTCCCCGTTGCCCTGCGAGACCAGCCAGCGTGTCGTTCCTCGGGCTGCCTATCCGTCGTGCTGCCTACTTGACTACCCCGATACCCCATATTCCCAATGAATCTTGCACCACCAGCTCTCCGAGAACGGCACTCCATCGCTCATTGACCACACACACCGGAGCCCTGTCTCCTCGCAGGACTGATCAAGTCCCAGCTACCCCAGAGATCTCCGCCCTCCCATCTCAAAGGAGTCGACGCCGATCCTCGACATCCCTGAACAAACAACAATATATAGACCCCATCTCGCTCCAAACATGCCCGGCGTGCGGTCGCGGTTCATCGAGCACTTCGACCCCGAGATGCCGTGGACTTTCTCGGACGCCGACGTGCGACTGGAGGAGATCCTCGCCGAACAAGACCACCGCATCCGCAGCTCCTGCTCGTCGACCTCGTCCGGCAAAGACAGCCTGGACAAGGAACGCCCCGAGCCCGCCTTCAAGAAGCTGGGCTGGAAGGTAAAGCTCAAGATGGGCCAGCTGGGCCGCTGATCCCGAAGAGCCATCTTCCTCGCTCTCCAAACAAACCAACGACTAGTTATCTCTTATCCTCGATTCTCCATCATTCTCTCGATCCGCGGCTTCTAACGACACCTGACACAACGAACTTTTCAACGCAGCGCTTTTGTTAATACTACTTTCCTTTTCCAATGATTAATGATACCCTCCTTGATTGATACTATGTTTTTTATGTCATGCGGTTATACTGGGTGGGCTACATGGGTGTATGGGAGCTGTTGGGCGTCTGGGTTGGGGCCGAACTTCACATTCGAAGTATGTAACATGTAGTTACGGTTGGCAATTCAAGTTTATCGCTATTATTTCAAATGCAAATAGATTCACCAAGTCCCCCAATCGGACAATCGCATAGCCGATACTAGACCGTAGTTAATTTGTCTGTTGCCTGGCCGCGGCGCCCAACGCGTATGCATATTCATACTTCTCACCGCCACCCGTTGCGGGCAACCAGGCTCTCGGAAGCTTGCTGGCGGGCGCAAGGGTTCGCAGTATCGCCGCTGCCGGCTATGCGTCTTCTCCAACACACTGCGCCGAGGAGGCGAGCCGACGTGTGTAACAGTGGTGGGCGGCCGTGCGAACCTTACCCCGGGCCTGCCACACGCGACACACCCGGCATCAAACCACCGACCAGAAAAACCCCGCCATCGACCCAAGAAAGGATCGCGATTCGCAACGCCCCCGCGCCCGGTTTTTCTTTTTCGCCAAACAACACATTTCCCCGAAAAGAAAACGGTAATTCGCATTGAAAGGGTTTGCATCCGGTTTCTGGCATTGAGTTGTTTGACGCCATGTTTGCTCTCACCGTTTCCGCCATTCTCACTGGGTGCGTGTGTGGTGCCCACCAATCTACATAACGAACTAAACACCAGCGCGGACTCTCCTCCAGCGTCTGCTTTGGCACGCCGGGCTCTGTTAATTAATTAATTAACTAACTACAAACCTGCAGAGTTACAGGCTTAGAGCCCACGGACTCCGAAGACGCTCCGTACCACTACACCTTCAAAGTCCTCTGCACGTCATGCCGCGAAGAGCACCCCAAGATGGTGAGCTTCCATAGATGGGTGAGTAAACTAGTCCTCCCGAGCTTAGTTAACCTCCCATATCCCTGTATTCTTACACTCTTCACTCGAGACCCAGCCTGGCTGACGCGCGTTGCAGGAAAAGCACACTCTGTCCGGAAGCAGAGGCGAGGCGAATTTTGTCTGGAAGTGTGGCTTTTGCAATGTAAGTTGACGGGGGGAGGCTGCGTTGCCCGGTGGAGCTCTCTTGCAAAAAAACTTCATCGCTGCAACGAACTCTGTCACGCAAAACGCGATGACGCATACCCTCCCTTCTTTTGCTATTTTTGGGGTGTGCGATTAGGCTCCTGCTTTTCTGTATCGCGACGCGGCTTCTACCATCGAGCCGGGCCCCGATCCGTGTGGCTATCGGGGAGACATGAGCTAAGTGGCCATATTCTGACCCCAGCGTGAAAACTCCGCTTCGTTCACCACCGCCCCCACAGCGTATACCGAGTCCCAAACTCAGCAGTCGATCGTGCACATTGATTGCCGCGGTCTCGAACTGACCGACTTCCAGCCAGATGTAAGGGGCCATTCCCCCCCCTTTTTTTGATGTTTTCGCCTCTCGAATAAACTCACTGCAAGTTGGGAGCCGAAGGAAAATGCTAAAAAGTATGCCCAGGGCGAATGGCAAGCTAAAGGCGCAGAGTCGAACACTAAGTTTGCCAACATCGACCTGCAGGACGGGGAATGGTATGACTACGACGAGAAAGCCGGCGAGGAAGTGAGTATTACCGGCCTGAATTGGGAAGTCAAGAGAGTCTAGAAGGAAGTATGAGAGAGTGTAGTTCCTACTGTATGTATATTTATGAAGTGAGCAGCATGGATGGTCTCCACTCGGAGTATGGAGGGGAGGCGTGTACAAACGGAGGCGAAGACAGCGAATTTCGGGCAGATATGAGTTGAAGAGAGCACAGTAGGTCTACACGAATATGAATAGTCTATACATGTATGGAGTAACTTTAGCACCTCGTGAATTCTTGCTGTAGCTAGAGCCTCGACTGTCCACCTGCTTCGCCAAGCGCTCTTTCACAAAAGGAGCCAAAGAACTTATTCAGCGCATCAACGGTCCCTGGACCTTCTACCAGCCCTACAGAGCAAGCAATGTGTCCATCAGGCCTAACAACCACGACTCCACCCTTATCGTCCTTGAACCCCATCTTGTCGTGTGCTGGAGCTTTGGCACCAGCAACACATTGATCGGCGAGGTCATCTGCATATATATGATGGGGGTATGCTTGGAAGGTACTGGGCAGGGTAGATATTTTGATCTCGTTCTTGCGGTTAGCAAAAATAAGAAGAAGGCTGAAGAAACGAGAGTGCGGGTTGTGGCGCTCAAAGTACGATACCGGTTGGTCTACGGGCCTCGAGTACGTGGAATAAAAGGAGCGAGGCTTCCGGAGCTGGGCGTTGAAATCTGCGAGCGCGACGTTCGTTTGTTTGAGATCACCAGCGAAGACAAATATCCGGAAAGACCCGTTGGCAGGGACTTCTTGCTCGAGCGCGACTCGGTTTGCATCGAGAACTCGAGTGACGGTGCATGTCGGCAAGGCACGCCCGGGAGAGAGTTTGACGCCACTTGGGTTGAATAGGGGAGATTGGGCAGCGTGTGAGGGCGACCAGGTGAAGATATTGGGGGGGTAGACAACGCCGTAGCCACTTGTAAATTCGCAGCCGGATTTGAAAGCCTTGACGAATTCGTTTGTGTCGTCCATTTCAGTACGACCGAGGGCGGAATCGACTTCGCTCACAGACGGAATGCGAGTGGAGAACAACTTGGCATATTTGGCATCAAAATCAAGAAGGGTCTCAGCAATCAGTTTTCTTTCGGACTCGTATGTTGTTAAGATGTCGCGCTTAGCCATGCCTGCTTCCACTAGATGAATTTTCCAAGCGAGGTTCAAAGCGTCATGAAACGCCGTGTTCATACCCTGGCCTGCCTTTGGCTAGTAAATAATCAGCTATAGGTCCCTTTATAAAGGAAATTGACACCTACGCTATGAGTATGGCAAGCATCGCCGCCAATAAATACTCGATGATCCAAGGTATACTTTTCGGAAATCCCTTGGCCGATAGGATAGACCGAGTACCATTCAACACGATCCCAATAGATATTAAAGGGTTTAAAGACCTTGATTGCAGCTGCTTTTACTTGATCCACAGTTGCGGTCATTCTAGGATCCCAATCCTTATCTGTCGACGAGGCAAGTTGAACATAGAGACGGACCATGTCATCCTCGCGAGGAATCACCATGATGGAGCCATGGTCAGAATGAATAGTGCATTTCGTCTGATGGTCATCAATTAGTCAAAGCATGCATATCAAATACTATAGGATTATTACCTTGATATCAGGGAAGTCTGTCCTCACAACACTATCCATTACACCCCAAACATGTGCAATGGGATCTTTATGGCGGATTTTGATGTTCTGCTGTTCTCGAATAAAACTTCGAGCGCCTTCGCCACCAAAGAGGTATTTGGTCCGTACCTTAGTACAAACATTTGTATCTATATCCTTTAATTCCACTTCAACTGGGTATTCTGGATTTTTTCCGTCATTTTTAAACCCAACGATAGTTGTAGGGCGCTCAACTATCGTCCCGGCCTTTTCAATCTCGTCCAGAAACACCCGTTCTATCTTCCCTTGGTGGAGGAGAGTTGTGAATGGATACCGGGTGTCGATGAAGTCCGGGCAGCTAGGCCAATTTCCAGTACGGCCAATGCCTCTCCCATTGGGCAACGGGTCCCAGAACGCGACGTCGTATACTTTGGCGGGCGCGTAAGCCATGATCTGGCGCTTTAGGCCGAGATTGCGCAGAATCTCCAGGGACCTTGGCTGGATCCCATCTGCACGACCGGTCTTAGTGGGCACGGATCGATTGTCGATGTGCTTCACTTTGTAACCCCATCGCGAGAGGCACAGCGAGAGAAGCAGGCCGACGGGACCGGCTCCAACTATCACGATGTCGAATCTGTCTTGCGACATTGTGGGTATATATTAGGTTAAAACAATAATCGCCAACTATTCTACCAGGCCAATCTCTAGATAAATACTAGAAAGAGGCACCCCAATACAGCGACAGAGAATAATTATAGTAGGGGCCGAGGATAAAGGTTGTTGGGGACAAATTCGCCGGTGTTCAAAACACGGCAACGGCAACGGTCCCGGGAGGCATCCATGATGGTGTGTGAAGCCACAGTCTGTGCTGGCTCCTTGTGCGTTCGGCGCATTGTACGACCAAAGCCGGCACTTGACCGGAGAATCGGGCGGGGATCGTCGCCGGGCTGACTTCTCGGACTGAAACTCGGGAGACGACGCTGACTAAGCCCGTCGGATTAAGCTATTCGCCGATTGCCGGGGTCCCGTGATAAGACTAGCGAAGGTCACGTGGAAATATTTGATATCCATCCATTACGACTGCTTGAAGTCAGCCTTTTGAAAGCATTTATGGAGTACTTGTCTTTCCCCCGCAATGGGAGCCATGATATACCACCCCCAACATCAAATTCTACTTTAAAAGCTGACGTAGTAGTGTAAAACACCATGTTTCACCACATTCCAGGTACATACAAGAGTGGTCGTGTCTTCTTCTACCTCGATTTTTTGGTTAGAAAGACTTAGAAGCATTATATCTATATTATGGGGGAGAATCTACTGGAGTTTTGGTGCAGTAGTGCCTTCTTGTCTCCTATTGAGAAGTACAGGAGCTTAATATATTCTCTTGAATATAGTGAAGACACGGTACTTTTTTTTCGCTATGTTTTCTACCAGTTTCTGGTGATTGTCACTCCTATGGCGCTGCAATTATAGTGGGACATCTCCTAAAGTTGAGGTGAATGGCTCTTCAAGTAATATTCTAGATGCTGCTGTTATACATATTTGCCAGGTCATTTGTGGCTTCTATGTGGATGCTGCTTGTTTTTTCATACTTCCTATAATATCTACCAGTGCTGCATATTGAGTTAACGGGCGCACCTCATTTTTAAACTCTTTTTTTTTCATCAAAGTCCATCTCTAAGCTATTGGTTGTTTATCAATAGTGAATCTTTCTTTATTGAAGAATTGACTGTCAAGGGGCTTTAGTGGCATGGCCTTTATAGGTGTAAACGGTGTCTGTAATGAAAGGCATGAAGGTGCATTTCCCGCCACGGTTCACAATTGTGTGCAGGTATTTACCCTATTGTTTCCCTCAAATACCTGCCCAGCAACGGCAGCTTATGGATTACAACAGAAGAACTGCAGAGAACCTTCAGCATGCATACCACTAGCAGGTCCCTATAACAAATGTTCTCTGCCATGTTCTCCCTCTACTAGCCCCTCAAGGAGTACCTTTTCAAAACTAACGCGTGAAATTTTGAATTTAACCGAGCCCTCTGTTGATTCTGCTGAAACTTCAGACCGAACACTTGAGCCCTCCAAATTTGATCCTTTATCGATGGAAATTCCAATCATGTATAATCTGTATGCTCTCTGACTGTTTACCTGCTTGTTATAAACTCTAACTAATATGTTCAGTGGCCACTCTTCCTTCAGCAGTAATACCGACTCGAGCGGGTCGGCAGGTCGACACACCCTATGGCAGCATGCCCCTGAAATGGTCACGGTTCCCGGTCCGAACGCGTTTCGTTTTCATACCGGGCCCAATCAATCATCAACAAGACTACCTCAGTCTCGCTCCGAAGGCAATGTCAGGTCTTTAGACACCTCTGGACGCGACAGTGAAAGTTTTGCTGGTAACTACTTCCATCAGTGGTACCCGAGCGCCAGCTACTACCCAGAGCATCATGAAGACCAATATGAAAATATGGAGAGCGCGCGAGGTCGTCACAGATCGACTTCTCCGGTAAAGGTCCTCGAAGACGTTGACGAATATGAAGAGCTTGCTTATACATCGACTCCTCCCCCTCGATCTCGCTCCCCGCACAAGAAGCTCTTTGGGGAAAACGGTTGGCTGGGAAAGACACCCACCATTGATAAACAAAAAAAACCTGTGCTCAAAGCGCTCGGCGAGAAAATAAAACAGCGCGTCGAGGATATGGTATGTGCCATGGTTTGTGTGACAATTCATTATGGATTTAGCTAATTTCTCTAATAAAGACTGGGGATGTTATGAAAACTACCAGTACGGCATTTCAGTCCAGGTCTGCGCCAACAATGTCAACCTGCCCAATTTCCCTGGATCCTCCAACACAAGCCAAGCTCTATTCCGAAATGGAGCTCATGATATGTGTCACTGCAAATAAATTTCTCATGGACCAATATCGGGACGGGCGAATGTCCTCTGAATCTGTGACAAAAGTAATTAGCTTCTGGACATCTAAGAATCGACCACAGGTTGTTCAGTTCCAGTTCGACCAGGCAACCCAAAGGGATCTTATCCTTTATAACATCAAGAATTTTGGATTCCACGGGGAGTGTGCGCGCGACTCCGTTGTACTGAATGCCACGCTGTATAACTGGAAAATCATTGCGAAGGAGATGAATGTCCGTACCTTTTGCTATCCAGATAGCGTGATTAGGAAGCATATGCACGATACGCATAAGTTACTTGAAATGCTAGGTGCTCCTTGTGTCACCTTTCTTGCTTTCCAGGAACTTCAAGTGAATGCGCTGTCTCTGATGAAGCAGGAACAGGAAAGGAAGGTAAACACCCACAGGGAGCATGGCATTACAAAGGCGCATCGACCACGTACACTTTCTCGGGAAGAATAGGCCTTGCTCGGAAATTAGCACTGTTTGTTCTTCGTATTAGTTCTGGCTTCAGAGTGCATTATTTCCCACAAACATGCGTCATTACAGAAGGTTGGTGTTTGTATAGTCAAGTGACTGTACCCCGGTCCTCAGAAGTCTTGTACATACTTTTTGCCGAACGATCAGTTTCGCTTTTGCTTTTTCCAGTTGACAGACTCCATCACATCACCGTAACAACCGCCATTTGACCCACTAACTAGTTACGTCATCGCCAAGAATATCTGCTGACCAGCAGGCGCCAAGCCTGAGCTTAACTTCACGTCCAGCACACTATCGAAGCTTTTCGAAGGTTCAACGGTGTCATCAAGGCCGCGGCCCGACCTTGTGGAGCTGCATTGGAGAAATACCCTTGGTTATCCTGGTACTCTCATCTGTCTACCTCACGGCGCTCTAAGAGGCTTTTAAGTGAGAGGTTAATGCTATTTCTGCCCCCTCTTCGATCAACTCGCGGGTTTTGAGATGATTCCTTGTGCTCTTTGTTGAGCCGAACAGGCCACCCTGCATTGTGACTGAGGCTGAACAGCTTTGCGAGAACATCAACCCTTCTACGTCAATATCCTTTTGCACATTATGCTAACCTAAATGCCAGAATGGCCAGTGTAGCGCATACGTACGGCCCAACATGCCTGCTCTACGAACCACCAGAGCATGAGCAAGCTGGCCCAGACCTAAACACAGCAGTTCCGCCTCCGCCAAAAGTCCGGGCACAATACTTTTATATATCATCTTTACCCATTGATGATCCATTAACCGCAATCCCCCCTCCGTCGGGCAGCCTAGATATTTCGAAGTTACCTTCTAGGCCCTTTTCAGCGCGTGATAACATTGCTTTGGAACAGGCATGGCAAGCGCTACGCAACAGTGCTGGCGGGGAACCGGGCTCGGGCGAATATTTAAGAGAAGCCTCGGGTCGATTACCTTTAAGGTATATACTACCTCGCGGAAAAGAAAATGATGTTTCCGGGCGTCAAAGCCTAGGAGCATTCCCCGAGAACCGGTCTGGACCGCATTCGAAACCTTTGACACGACTGCCCCTTGATGGGGAATTTTATAGGAATAATCAGGGTGGCTTTATAACTTCTGCTAACGGGCCAAGCCTCAGCAGTGATAACCTTCTCTCTTGTGAGCGGACTACGCAAGATTTTGCTTCCCTGTCAACACCTCCGCAAATGAATAGAAATTCTTTTCCAGACGGAGAAGAGGATGCCTCTGAGGACAGTGGTCGCTCCACCCCCCTCCTGATGCGGAATTTAGACGACACAAATATTAGCGGCTCTCCCTTCATTCGAGCCCCGATCAGAGATCGTGAAGATCGTCGGCCAAAACCATTAAAGATAAGTAAGGATACAATGGCCATGGACCAATCCGGTGGCTTCTCTACTTCTCCTACCAATATAGAGAATGAATTATCCGAAAATGATACCACTGATGATGGTGATGGTGATGCGCCGGATGCTACAGTGACCGTTGGAGCATCTCGGCTTCACATGGTTGAGTTCCCCAAGCTTCAGGTAATTTTACGACATTACTCTTAGAGATGTGAACTAATCACGGGGGGTAGATGAAACCTATTTATTGGAACCCAGTCCAAGATATTTCACCGGTGATCAGAGGAACTTGGTTTTACAAAAACTCGATGCTTCCTGTCGAGCCAGAAGTAGCAAACCAACTGGAAGCTGGTTATACATATTTAAAACCATGGACCGAGACATGGCAGGACGAGCTAAATAGCTGTGTGGAAAGTGGAGCTGCAGCAGAATTGAAAATTGCCCATAAGCTTTGGCCCGTAGATAATACAAAGGCTGCAAAAAGGTCTGAGACCAGGCCTGACCCTGGAGTGGATGGTCCTGCTTCCGGTTCCATAAACGGAGGCCGTCTGACTTTTGAGGAAAATTTTGCCGCTGGTGCATCATACGGCCGCGAAGCTGCAACAAAGTTATACCAAAGCTCAAGTGTGATTTATGTCGATTCTAGTGAAGCGCAAATACTTCGACCAAGCTTGCTACCATCAGTTGCAAGCAACAGACGACCACTAGGCGCTATCCGGAAGGGTAGGCAGATTGGTATATTAGTTGTACGAGGATTTGACCGTCGCTCTTGGGACGAACTACATCCTCCAAAACCTGTCTCGGCTAATGTAATGAACTTTGTCAAGATGCAGAAAGCAGCGATGAGAGAAGCTAACTCGCGACGCCAAATATGCTATGCATGTCAGATGGAGGAGAGGAAACCGGAAGTTGGTGACTTGGTGCTTGTGATCCATGGTATAGGCCAAAAGCTATCAGAACGTGTTGAAAGCTTTCATTTCACACATTCCATCAATTCGTTCCGAAGGCAGGTTAATCTTGAGCTTGGGAGCAATTCTGTTTGGCCAAACATGCGCCCTGATCTTGAAAACATCATGGTACTTCCTGTGAATTGGCGGTCCACACTCTCTCTGGAAGATACAGATGTCGGGGAAGCCATAGAAGACCAAACAAACTCAAATCATTTTGGTTTAAAAGACATTACGCCAGAAACAATACCCTCAGTTCGCAATCTTATCAGTGACGTCATCCTTGATATTCCGTACTATCTTTCGCATCACAAGCCCAAGATGATACGAGCAGTAATCAGGGAGGCTAACAGGATATACCGACTTTGGTGCCAGAATAACCCGGGATTTCAAAATAATGGAAGGGTGCATCTTATCGCCCACTCTCTTGGAAGTGTCATGGCGACGGATATCCTGAGTCAACAGCCGACAAAACTACCTACAATCGATTTTTCCAAATGTGAAATTAGTGAAGCTATATTTGAATTCGACACCACAAACGCATTCTTCTGTGGGAGCCCTGTCGGGTTGTTCTTACTACTTCACAAATGTTCGTACCCCGCATATCCTGTCCATCCCGCAACAGAACTAACACGAAGCAGCAAGCATCCTACCTCGTAAAGGTAGAAACAAGCCTGATTGCGATGAACATGATGCTTCGGACCCGTGGCTGACTGGCAGAACCGGCACCTATGGCTGTTTAGCTGTCGACAACCTCTATAATATTTTACATGAAACAGACCGTAAGCAAATCACTCCTTGTTACTGATAATATGATTAATGGTGCCTAGCAATTGCCTATCGCCTTAACGCTGCTATTGACAGTGATCTTGCAAATTCTTTAAAACCCGCTTCTGTTCCTACTTCTTCAACCTCATTTTTCCAATCAATTGGCAGTGTTTTTCGCTGGTCCTCAAAGCCTCAGCCAACTAAGATTGACATTCCCTCTCACTCCGCCGCTGGCCCCTCTACTGCTAATCACCAACTCTATCAATCTCAACGGCCCAATACTATTCAAAAATTGCCTTCCACCATTGAAATGGATACCCACGATTTTACCAGGGAAGAAATAGCCGAAAAACGGATGTTCTTGGTGAATGATAACGGCCAGGTTGACTACTATATTTCTGGTGGCGGAGGTCCGTTAAATATCCAATACTTGAATATGTTGAGTGCACATAGCAGCTATTGGATATTGCCAGACTTCGTGAGGTTTATTGTCGTAGAGATTGGAAGGAAGGCGGGCAGGAGTGGAACTTTACTGGCTTTGAGAGCAGAGAAAAAGAAAGGATGGAAAAAGAAGTAAGGTGCTAGTGCTACAGACGCTTTGGTTTATGTTTTCTAGCGAAGATAGACTGTGTGTAATTGGAGGAGTCTTGGGTCTCCTTGATAAATAGGATGGGAATTGGTCGGTATTTAGAAAATTTTGGTTTGCATTAGCTAATGTTAAAAGACTAATAAATCATTATGAGACCCGAGCATACGTCTGCAGTTCCTCCTCTGCGAGTATCATCTAACAACTACATTCCAAGAATCTGACTCATTAGCAAAGCTGGGACTACATCTCCCTGCACAAAGTCCTTTTTTTTTCCAGCACTGAGAACTAACAAGGCATTGGCACCGGCCAAGCTACCAACTCGGGAGCTGCGCTGTCCTGCCCCGGCTGTTCCGGTACTGGTTGCAGACAAACACCCGGTTTTCGAAAAAGACACCGTCGCTCTATGATACTCGTCCCGGGACGGGTCAGCACGGATGGAATGTGTTAGAGTCACATTCACCAGTGGAAGGCCAAGTCCATGGTTATGACGCGGAGCAGCCAAGGCGGCTTTAGTGGTGGACATGCCCATGAATTTATGGAGGCAGGGGAGGACGAAGAGGTTGAGAGTGACGAGGGCAGAAGCCGGATTACCTGGGAGCGAGAACATGATTCGATTAGTCCTCTCGCTTTGTCTCGTATCTTTTGAGCCTGAGGGCTTGAACGGGATACTGGCAAAGGTGGTGGGCTTTCCAGGCTTCATAGCCACGCGCCCAAAATGGATTGTCCCGCCAAGTTTACGTTCGATTGTGGGTTTGAGGAGGTCCAGCTCGCCCATAGATACGCCTCCTGTAGTGATTATCACGTCTATTTCGTCCCGGAGAGCATTACGGAGACGATCTTCGAGCTCGTATGAAGTATCTTTCGCAATACCCAGGTCTTTCGTGGGAAATCCCCATGCAGAGAGGCAGGAAATGAGTGACGGGCGGTTAGAATCACGGATCTGTCCACCAGTCAAAATCTTGGGGTTCGCATGATCTATCAGCTCATCGCCAGTGCTCAGAACTCCCACTCGTGGTTTCCTATAGACTCTAACAGTTGCAGTTCCAGTAGCTGCGAGAAGACCGATCTCGCCCCCAACTGCAGTGATGAGCTGGCCTTTTTGGAGAATTCGAGCAGCTAGAGAAATATCGCTACCCGGCTCGCGAATATTCTCGCCTGCTTTTATGTCTCCCACTAGAATTTCCACAACAGCTTCCTCGCTTCCATCAGGAGTCGAGGAAATTAGAATTGTATCCTCAACCATTATAACGGCGGTGGCATTGGGTGGTAGAGGAGCTCCAGTAGTGATGCGAGCAATTGTCTTCTTTTCCAACGGCGGAGGCATGGATAGAGCCTGCGCGTGGGATACTGAAACAACAGGATACCTGCCTTTGGTGGTGCCCTCTTGGTTTGGTTCAGGGGCAATAACTGCATATCCATCAACAGTACTTGCACGATACGCCGGAACTTCCTCGCACGCATATACATCTTCAGCAAGTACACAACCTACAAGTGAAGCGTCAACAGGTAATTCAATCACCACGGGATTTGGAGTATTTTTGGAAATCAAGGCAAGGGCTTCATCCACGGATGTCATCGGGTATGGAGATGTGCGGTGGCGTTTAGACGCCCCCAAAGTCGGGTCATTTGATGGGTGGGCTTTGGGGCAGTTGTGATTGTGTAAGAAGGAGAAGACATGATGGTGTTCTTCTTGTTGGCCATCGGTTATACCGGCCTCTTGCTCAAGCTGTTGTATTCCACCAGCATGAATGAATCGCGAACTTGCCCCGGAAGATTGAACGCAAGCATGGGGGAGGAGCTTAATGATAGCTTCCAGATTCTCTCTTGCACCCTTAGGAGATCCTGGCAGGGTTATTATCACAGTCCTATGTCGCATTCCGGCAACTGGACGAGACATCATCGCAACTGCAAGATATTGTCAGCATATAGGAGAGGAAAAATGGTACAGAACACCCTACATGGCGTGACGCTCAACGAGGCCGTCAGCATTCCATGCCTACGGAACCATTAGCCTTCCGCGCACTTCAATGAGAACTGCCACGCATACACAAGTCCAGGAGCTTGGCGATGAATTAATGGCAGGATAGCCTATACATGGAATCCATTAATAAATACGTCGAACTCCGGACAGCTGTGGCTCAAAGCTTACCTCCGGCGTCTCATCCCGGAGAGCAAACCCGGTCCCACCAGTCGTAACCACAAGGTTGACGTACTCATCTTCGGAATCCGTCCATTGACAGATCTGCCGCTGGATGTGTACCTTTTCATCAGGAACAATCTTCACAGCTGGACGCTCCCATTTACTACCCTCTCTAGCGAATACTTCGGTAAGGGCGACCCCCGCCTTGTCGGTGCTGGGATCATGAAATGCGGTATCGGACACCACCAAAACAGCAGGTCTTAGCCTAAACTGCGCCATTGTCAACACAGGAGACAATTTTCTTGCAACCTGAAGATCCGTGTCGATGGAGGTCGTTGGGTTTTAGCTTAAGTTGTTGGGAGTGAGGTGATTCTGGAGGGCGCGGATGGTCTGGTTATGTCATCGTTCCACAGCAGGCATGTGAATGTCGCCAGCGCACACTTGGCCAAGAGAGTACACAAACACTTGCTATCAAGACCGGTGGATTGCGTGTTCTTGCACAATGCACTTCTCCATGAGTTCTATTACAGAAACCAATTTAACATGCGGGCATCCGCGCTAATATACACGCACTTCCGCAGCCCAAAGGCCACGCGGATGTCGCTTGAGGGAAACGATCTATTTGACGGCTGAACAAGCTGCGGAAAATAAAGCCAAAACTCCCAGACCGTTTGCAAACTAATAATTTAAAGGTAGCTCCCCTCGTCGAGAAGGAGACGTTAAATGCACCAGTTGTGTACTCTTCACACGACCCATTGCCAACTGTAAGGGATATAACTTTCACGAAAAATCCTTCGCTTTCGAGGCAACTAGGAGGCCAACTATCAGCCCAAAAAGCCCAAGGATGGAGCTAAAGATTTCGATGACAAGGATTTTGACAAATCTGGTACATCGGTGTTAGTGAATGCATCAAAGCAATGTCATGGTTGCTCACATACAAACTCGGGTCAGACGCGTCTGCTAGCGCAGCACTGCTTCCGTTGATTCCAACTGCGATACCGCAGATCATATTACAAGCCCCGACCGTTAATCCGCCCCAAAATAGGGCAAATCCTGTATAGTAGTTGTCTCCGGTGTATAAGCCTTCACCGGATACATAAAATAGCTTCGAAGAGAATATTATCGACATGATAACCCCGTATATAGCAACAACTTCGCAGAAGATAATCGATATCAGGTTCTTCGTTCGAATTCTTGGTGCTTTCACACCGCCGCCGATAATCGATGAGCCAGTAATGAAGATACCCCTGCGGGAACGCGGGAAAATTAGATTCATCCAAGTAACACGAATTTCATGAGTACGAGGCTAACCATGCTGCTCCAACTACAGACAAACCGACGCAAAGTCCGATACCGATATTTGCCCAAGCATACGGGGATATGGCTTCGAGGAATTGCCCGACCTGTTCAGCAAACGGTGAGCAGAAATGGCATTAGGGGGCGAATAGAGCATACATTAAACGCTTCGCCCTCGCCATTAAAAAGCATATCTAGAATCTAATTAGCAGAGCTCGCGACGAATGAGATCCATCATCGGGAGCTTACACGCCCCAACTACTGTTAAGGCAGCCAGAGCGCCTCCAGCAGGGTAGAGGAGGCCCATCGTTGCCTGGGACTCCCACTAAACGTATCAAATAGAGCGATCGAAACGATCCGGAATGAGAAACGAGGTGTGTGAGTGGGCAGACCGTTTGGCTGCGGAAATGAACTACCCGTCTCTCAGAAGTGTCAGGGTGGCTAAAGGCGGCGAAAGTTGCTTGGAGGCAGAAACCGGAACTTGGCGCAGGCTAGGTAGTTAGTTGAGTAGCTACCTAAACCTTCGCCTTTCCGTTACTCCCCATGGAATGGTAATCTTTCAACTCCAGCTTCATAAGTCTCTTCTCAGTTTCTCAACTTCTTTCTTGTTGATTTCTGACTGTATTCTTTTTGATATGAACTCATGACCCTCCTCTAGGTTTTTGAAGTGAGGCTTGTGTGCTGTATCAAGCGCTTCTTTTATCCACCCCCTTTATCCATCATTACTCCGATATGGCCTCCCAAGCTGCAGTAGGGTCGTATTCGAACCCCCTGAAGAAGTTCAAGTTAATTCTCCCTCTGTTCACCGTATTGTCGAAACTTTCTAACGTAAGGCGATAGATTGGTCTTCCTGGGAGAGCAAAGTGGCATGTAATATCATCGCTATTCTAAAACAGACGCAAACTAACATTCCGTCGATTGTATCAGTCGGCAAAACATCGTTGATTACTAGATTTATGTACGACTCGTTTGACAACACATATCAGGCGACTATCGGTATAGATTTCTTGTCGAAGGTGCGCCGCGTGACCCGCCAGTAATTGACAAATACCCCCATGCGACAAGTCCTTTCTTGAATTTAGTTACAGGGACCTGCTGACACTCTCCGGCCTGCAGACAATGTATCTGGAAGACCGCACCGTACGACTACAACTTTGGGATACTGCCGGGCAAGAGCGTTTCAGATCCTTAATACCCTCCTATATTCGTGACTCCAGTGTCGCTGTTGTGGTATATGATATTTCGAATGCAAAATCATTTCAAAATACACGAAAGTGGGTGGACGATGTTCGTGGGGAACGAGGAAATGATGTTATAATCGTGTTGGTTGGAAATAAAACAGATTTGAATGACAAGCGAGAAGTCACCACAGCCCAGGGGGAGGAGGAAGCAAAAAAGAACGGCTTAATGTTCATTGAGACCAGTGCAAAGGTTGGCTATAATGTGAAACAGCTGTTTCGAAGAATAGCACAAGCTCTCCCAGGAATGGAGGGCGAGGCAGGAAGAGGAGATAACCAGAGTATGTTCCATCACATCATCCTGTTGGTCATCAATTTCCAAAAGCTAAGCCAAATTCTCTATAGTGATCGATGTAAACATCAACCCAGCCCAACCTGTCAGTAATGATGGCTGTGCTTGCTAATAGCAAATGCTACTCTTGATTTATGGCTTCAGCTAATTTGGGCTTACTGTCCTCACTCGTCTGATTATATTTGACAGTATCTATTGCAGACGGCCTTTATACATACATCACTATATTTCATTGTTCGGCATTCCGTTTAATTCTTTTTGCATAGCTGCTTTTCGTATTGTCGAATACAACTGTACTAGCCTTTTGCTCGCATTTTTGCGGAGAGCAAGCTCATATGCAACAGTTCCGTTGTATTTAATCTTAATATACCCATTCAGAGGCATGTTATTGATAGAATGCAGAAAAGGGACCTCCCAGGTCGATATTGAGGTGGCAAGGTAAAGAGTAATTTTCCATGGAGTACCATTTTCACCACATTTATGGCATAATCTGTCAGCTTAAAGACATATGTAATCGCTCATGCTAAACAAATATTCAGCATAAGTTCGGCTTTGCTAATCTGAATATTCAAGTCGAAAGAAGTTCTAAGTTGGAAGTCGGATATCGGTGTCGGATCAGTATTCAGCCGAGACGATCCGCCAATCACTTGGCGCTCATCCAATCAGTGCCAGCGCCGTTCAGCCAGCACGATTATTACAACCGACGCCAAATGCCCATTTTTCAACCTCGTTTCCTCGATTTCCAATCGTTTACACATAAAAACCAGCATATTTCTTTTTGCATTTCATATTTCAGGCGACAAAAAACGGCAAATCACTGATATCCACCTCGTGCCACGTCTCATCTGACCCTCTGTTGTATGACAGCAATATGGGGCGTTCAATCCGGTTTCTCCGCACCCCTCGGCCAAAGGTATTATGCTTACCCTCCTTTTTTTTTTGGCATGGTGGGAGAGACCAGTCTCAATGTGGTTTGTGAAGCTGATGGTGAAGCCATGCCACAGACTTTCCTATATCTTATGAGCCTACAAACAGGCGCATCGCTCATTACCCTTTCCCTCCTACTTAACAAAATCAGTGGGATCTATGGCCTGCTTGCAATCTTTACGGGAGTTAGGCTTTCGCCTTTCCAGTTATCGATGTACATCTACTCTGTCTTTGCCCTCATTCTGACCGCTTTCTTAACGCCCCACATTCGGAAACAGACCCCTCTCTATTGCCTTGCATTAGCTTGGTTTTATCTCATTGATAGTATTGTCAACGCAGCCTATACAGCTGCTTTTGCGGTATCATGGTTTCTCGTCATGTCACAGCACCGCCATACGCCCGCCTCTGGATTGGGTAGTTCGACTATTGGCGACGCTGCTGGATTCACTAAACCAAAGTACAATGTCTCATCTGTTCGCGTCTCTCCTGGAGATGGTGTCGCCTCTACTGAACCTGCGACTTCCCTTGCAGGCACCACCAGTGGAAAGCCGAGCCTTGGAAACGGTGTGCTGCAGCCGGAGAGTCTTCAGAGTATCGGAGTTATCTGTACGCTGTGGACCATTCGCGTATACTTTGTACTCATCATGATGGCTTTTGCCAGGCAATGCCTGCGACAGTATGCTTTTAGCCCTAAGGCCCCTTTTTCTCATCACGGATCCGTCGCTCATAGTCGCAATACATCCACTGTGAGTAACGTGGACCTGGAACCAAACCCTTTCTTGCCCAGGCTACCGGACGGACAAGGCTGGAAAGGAAGGCTTGGCCGTGCAATGATTTCAGTTGGCCGAGGTTACTGGCTCGATGGGGATGACGATGATAATTGGATGTTTGGGATGAGCCGGAAGTTTCATCGGAACAACAACAATGGGTTTTTCAACTCTTCGGACGGTGGACTCGGCGAGCGTGAGCGAAGACGAAGGTCAGGAACTGGCCCACCAGCTCCATCACACACTATGCTCCAACAATTCACATCATTACAACAGAGCCCTGCACCTCTAGATGGCAACAAGCTTCCTTCGCCTGCTCCCGGGAGCGTGGCATCACCTAAAACTCACGGTACTCCAGAAGGACACCCTTGGTGATACTCAGTCTCCATGATTTCCCGGTCAACATGAAAACGTTATTCATACTTGGTTCCAAACACTTCGGCATATTACTGTTACTATTATATATATATATCTTTTTCTGCATTAGGAGGCGCAACTTTCCGCGGCTATGGAGCGAATTACTCCATCAATCAATCTGTGCGATTTACTGGACGTGTTATTTTCCTGTTTCAATATTGGAGGCTATGGTTCCCAGGCCCTTCTCTACGTCGCTAGAGCAGAAGATAAATGGGTGGCTTTTGTGTAACAGCAGTAGCGCATCGTCACCCGGGCGTATACTTAACCAAGATTAGATTTCTTGTCTAAACCCGTCACTGTATCAATAACAGGCAATTTGGCGTGGGCATTGGAGCGGGGAGCCTCCGGCATATTCGATTTAACATTGCGTGTGCTACACATGGAGGGTATGGAGTGATCATTATTATTGGATTGGGACGAACCCTGGTGGGCTTCGGTTCTAACGGGGCGGATGAGGCGTTGAGGCTTGAACCTGGCAATACTTTGTCCGTGGCAGCAGGCGGCTTCACGCATGCCTCGATGCGCCATTTTTCTATGAATGGAGATATAACATCAACTGGCTTACTCGTTTTGGAGTGTCGATTCTCTTATGTTTGCTCATGTGCTACCATTTTTTGACATTCCGGCCAAGGGCTCGCGGCATTTTGCAGTCAGATCACGCCATCCGTGTGACTACTGTATGCGGTGCATCTTACTAATTAGGTAGCCCGCATTGATTGCAACAAAGGTGTGCATTCCCAATTTCACCGCCGCTTCGCCCGAGACCTGTACGCCATTCCCCCGGGACGAGCACAATTGTTTTCTTGCTGATACTTGCCGTCTACGCTTTTCCAGATTGAGGGCAATTTCCGCACCGGCGGATCTTAAATCCGACAAGCCGAGAGTTTGCACTGTTTGGAGAGTTTGCATCGGTAGCACCTGAAGTTTGCATCGATGTCGTGATCGTGAGCCAATTGGGGATCCACTGTTGGTCAGTCGCATTCAGCCGGTCAGCGCATTTCTCGATATTAAAAGGGAGCCAATTTATTTCATTTTTCTATCAAAGGTGTATGGCTGTTGAGGCGCGTTTTTTTCTCAGCTTTTCATGACTTCGTGGTGATTTCTGTGGCGACGTCACACATTCACGTCTTTCTATAGATCTAGACTCACCCCACGATTTTCGCTGCGATGGGTGTCAAGACAGCTGGAGAAGCAGGTAACCATCCTCCTAGATTTGAAATAATATAGGATGAGGGACATTTCTAATGAGAGCACGATATTATAGCTGCTCGAATTGCCTATTTATCAAGTGATTTAGTGATATCAGTGCAGCCATCACTCAGAGAGGACTCTATATTCTCTCATCAACTGAGCCAATTATCTGCCGATAAAGTGCGAGGAATAGTTGCTTCTGGACTGCCCGAGGTTAGTGAAAACACCATGGTTCATCCGTGATCTGTGCATGCATTCTTCTCTTTACCTATGGGTGCCTAATTTATTTTATTAGATTCGCGCAATCAGACGCAACGAGGACCCTCTCCTCTCCGCAGTCCCCGCCCTTCAAACCGGAAAATATGTATCCGTTACGACTTCGTCTTCCATTCTTCTCTCATCGATTCCGCATCTCTATAGACTTGTACAATACCCGATAGTGCTCCACGTCGTCTTGGAGCCCGCTCTACTTCCTGATTTCTCAGTCATCAGCTCAATACGTCAGTGTGGCTTTTCGTTCCTCCATTCGGAAACCCTCCAAGAGGCGCAAGATATTGCTTTAACAGCCCATGCCTTGGCGATAAAGTCTGGCAAAGGAGTTATTCACTTTTTCGGCCCCAGTAATTTGGGCGGCGATCATACTATTGCAGAGGAAGACCCGGACCTTGTCAGGGATATACTCGACGTAAACGGTACAAAAGCCATTCATGAGTCGACTACACCGCAAACCCTCTATGTAAAGTCGGGCCGTGTTGCGACCGTTGAGGAACACGGCCTAGGTTCTGTACAAAGCCAAGCCTTGCCATCCGCCCCTGAGCTTCCAGTTGTGTCAAAAGGTGTTCCCAGCACAGAGGTTTCTTCAATTGCGTCGTCACGCAGAGGCAGCGGGTCCGGCGCCTCCGAGCCTAGCTCCGCCGCCACAACGGTTGAAGCCCCGATGCGTAGACCCGTGGACGCTTTTGACATTTTTCAAATCACAACCCACATTTGGGATACTCTGGTGGCACGAACGGGAAGAGCCTATCATGCTATCGAGTACATCGGCTCTGAAACCGCAAAAATCGCTCTTTTTATCTTTGGGTCTACCAGTATTTTTATTGATGCTATAAGGAACGGTAATGGAAACGAGGATTACGAAAATTTTGGAATCATAAAGGCTCGTTTGTATCGCCCTTGGATTGGTAGTCAAATATCACGCGCAATTCCAAGGTCTGTCGAGCGGATCGCTGTGTTAGAACAAGTGCGCAAAACAACGAAATGGGGACCGTCATTTCTGGACCTTTTGTCCAGTTTGCCCGCTCAAGGTGCTTCTGGACAAGGTTCTCTTCTTGTCGGCTATAAGCTGGGGTATGTGGAGCCGTCTACCGTGGGCCAGGCGCTTCGTGGGATTTTCCAAAACTTAACTGCCTCTTCCCCAATCCAAAACCTGGGGATTGGTGTTGACAAAGATCTATCAGAGCTTGGAACAAATCTACACCTGGAGCAACCGGCAAATGAGAATGCATACACTAAAATTTTGAACCAGCTTTTTGATGGTCGCCTCCACGTCGCAAACCAACTTGGCTCGCAAAATGCGGGTGTTTCGGCAGCACTTGCTTCCAATCCAGAATATGGCTTTGGTTCGTTAATTGCTAGGATGGATCGAAGACAAAATTTCATCTCAGAGGTTCAACGAGCCGCCAAGTCGAACGAATTTACCACAGATGTCCCAAAACAGTGGCTGTCCAAATGGGTGCTGAGCGCTGCGGACCATACTAGAACTAATAAGCTTGCCCCTGACGTAATTGCGCAGCTTTTAATAGACGGTTCCAACCTTTCAATGGAACTTCTTGCGTCGAAACATTCCTTTTTCGTGGAATCACAGTGGCTGATTGGCTCTGACGCCTGGGCATATGATCTCGGCAATTCAGGAGTTCATCATGTTCTTGCCTCTGGTGCGAATATAAACATGCTTGTTATTGATTCTCAGCCATATTCCGAGGGTGCTGCGGCCGATGCTCTCCGGAGAAAGAAAGACATTGGGCTGTACGCTATGAATTATGGCAATGCATATGTTGCCTCTGTTGCTGTTTATAGTTCGTATACGCAGGTTTTGCAGGCAATTACTGAGGCAGACCAGTTCGACGGACCTTCGGTTGTTGTTGCTTATCTTCCATATAACAAGGAAGATGATTCTCCCTTAACTATTCTACAGGAAACTAAGAAAGCTGTTGACTTGGGTTATTGGCCATTATATAGGTGGAACCCAAATAATGCCGAGAAGGGTGTGCCTAATTTCTCATTGGATTCTGAACGCATCAAACGAGAGCTGGAAGCATTCTTACGCAGAGATAACCAGCTCACCCAGATAATGAATCGTCACCCTAAATTCTCAGCTGCTCTCTCTGAGTCATATGGCTCTGAGGTTCGCACTCTACAAAAGCGTGCAGCGAAAGATGCTTATGACAAACTTCTAGAAGGATTGTCTGGGGCTCCTCTTACCATTCTCTTTGCTTCAGACAATGGCAACGCTGAAAGCTTGGCTAAGAGGCTGGGCAACCGGGGCAAAGCTCGAGGTTTGAAGACTGCTGTTTTGGCTATGGATGATTATCCGGCCGAAGATTTACCCACGGAAGAAAATATTGTTTTTATTTCGAGTACTGCTGGGCAGGGAGAATTCCCCCAAAACGGCCGCAACTTCTGGGAAACTATCAAGAATTCTGCTGATCTCGATCTGTCTTCAATTCATTATTCAGTCTTCGCTCTCGGTGATAGTCACTACTGGCCACGAAAAGAAGATAAAATTTACTATAATAAACCAGGAAAAGATCTGGATAATCGTATCTCTTTCCTTGGTGGAAAGAAATTGGTAGATATCGGACTAGGTGATGACCAGGATCCTGATAGTTATCAAACAGGATATCAAAAATGGGAGCCCAGTCTCTGGCGGGCGCTCGGGGTTGACAAAGTTGAAGGGCTGCCTGAGGAGCCAGCGCCTATTACGAACGAGGATATCAAGATACAATCAAATTTCTTGCGCGGAACAATTGAAGAGGGTCTCCGAGATACCTCCACGGGTGCGATTTCCGCGTCTGATCAACAGCTGACAAAATTTCATGGTACCTACATGCAAGATGATCGTGACATCCGGGACGAAAGGAAAGCCCAGGGATTGGAACCAGCATACAGTTTCATGATTCGTTGTCGTTTGCCGGGAGGAGTGGCTACGCCTTCACAGTGGTTACAAATGGACGCTATCAGCAGCGCATACGGTAATGAGACGATGAAGCTCACAACTCGACAGACGTTCCAGTTTCACGGCGTTGTTAAAGGAAGGCTTCGACCCGCCATGCAAGCTATCAACAAGGCTTTGATGACTACCATTGCTGCATGTGGTGACGTTAACCGCAATGTTATGTGTAGTAGTCTTCCAGAAATGTCTACATATCATCATGAAGTACATGAAGTCTCAAAAAAGATCAGCGATCACCTTCTTCCGTCTACGACCGCGTACCATGAAATTTGGTTGAAAGATGAGAACGACAAAAAAATCCAAGTTGCTGGTGACGCAATTGTTGATCACGAGCCATTGTATGGCCCAACATACCTCCCTCGTAAATTCAAAATTACAATCGCAATTCCTCCTCACAATGATACAGATGTTTATGCTCACGATATTGGTCTCATTGCTATCAAGGGGGATAGTGGGCATCTTGAAGGATTTAATGTTTTGGCTGGTGGAGGTATGGGAATGACGCACAATAACAAGAAAACATATCCTAGAACTGGAAGTATGCTGGGCTACGTTCCTGCCCGTGAAGCTCACATAATTTGTGAAAAGATCATGTTGGTACAACGGGATCATGGTGATCGAAAGAACCGCAAGCATGCTCGCTTGAAGTATACTATGGATGATATGGGAGTTGATGTTTTCAAGGCCAAGGTTGAGGAGCTTCTTCCCCCTGGTCTTCGCTTCGAGAGACCACGCCCATTCAAATTCGATTCCAATGTCGATACATTTGGTTGGCAAAAAGATGACAGGGATTTCAACCACTTTACGTTTTTTATTGAAAATGGCCGTATTGAAGACACCGCTGATTTTCAGATGAGGACCGGATTGCGCGAACTTGCTGGCCTCGGCAAAGGCGAATTTCGTCTCACTGGAAACCAGCACCTGATCTTATCAAATGTCGAGGACGCGGATCTTCAGGCTGTCAAAAAACTCATGGCTCAGTATAAGCTGGATAACACTGCGTTCTCTGGACTCCGTCTCTCTTCCTCGGCTTGTGTGGCATTCCCAACCTGTGGCCTTGCAATGGCCGAGTCCGAGCGATACCTCCCAATTCTTATCACAAAGCTTGAGTCAAGCTTAGAAGAAAATGGTATTGCGCGAGACAGTATAGTCATGCGTATGACTGGGTGCCCTAATGGTTGTGCGCGCCCTTGGCTTGCCGAAGTTGCTTTCGTTGGCAAAGCGTACGGTGCTTACAACATGTATCTGGGTGGCGGATATCACGGGCAGCGATTGAATAAATTGTATCGCGCCTCTATCAAGGAGGAAGAGATTCTGGTGATAATGAAAAATTTGTTCAAGCGATACGCGCTTGAGAGGTATACGGATGGACTACTTCCTGAGCGATTCGGGGACTGGTGTATTCGGGCAGGAATAATCAACGAAACAACCGAAGGGAAAACATTCCACGAAAACGTGAGTTTCGAGAATACAATGAGCTCGAATTATTTCTAACAACGCTTTACTCTAGGTTGCGGAAGATGAAGCTGAAGAATGATAAATGAACCCAGTTCTGGCGCAAGTATCGCGGGATGTCTATAGGTATACGGAGCACAGCTAGCTGATTTCTTTCCTGTAACTATTATTAGAAGCCCAAGGGCGTTCCTCGTAGCCTGATACATCAGTCCACCCACGTATGCAAGTACTCACATTATAGTTGGGTTGTGGTGTTTAAAGATTGAAAGGCCGAAGGCGGTGTTGGCACTGATTAGATTGTTCTCTGTGTTCCTTTTATAAAACTAGTTAGTCAAGAGTCGTCTTTTGTGCTCAACTTCCTTGTCCGTTCCCCATGTTTCGCTGTTATATATGCTAGTAAAAGACAAGGAGGGCATTCCATATATAACTCTCTCATGGTATGCAACACTATTTATCCTTGCTCGAATCTTCCGTCAATGAAACAATTCTATTCAGTATCAATTTTTCAGCTGTGCTTTTCTTATCTTCGCAGAAGTACGCGACTCGCATGCCCTGGAAGCGGACTGACTCAGGCTCGCAAATTCCCTCGTTCCCATCATCGCTACAGCTGCCTGGGTCTTCAGGCCAGGGGGCGCGGGATTTAACTTCATTAAATCCAATATCAAGCAAGGCATTTGCGAATACTTCCTCAGATTTAGGGTTAATATCAGCCAGGAATCCGCTTGGATGGGATGCCGGATCAGCTGAATTGAATAAAGGCTTAAAAGTGCGTACTTCCGCCTTTAATGGGCTATTGTGGAGTGGCGAAAGGCCAACCCAATGAATATATCTATCGGATTGGTAGAAAGATTAGATCTTACTGTTGGCCGGTCACCTGGGAACGTGTGAGTCCTTACGCTTTGGGTTTCTTGAACAGGACACTATCTTCTTCCGGTTTGGCATAAAGCGCGCGAATCGTGCAGACTAAGCCTGTGATGGGATCCAATTCAAATGATGTCGCAATAATAGGATATTGGACTTTCATTAGACCCACAGATTCACCAGGACTAAGTCGATAGAACGCCTTGGAAGGGGCCTCTCGAAAATCACTTCGGTCAATGAACACTGTTTTCGTGAAAGGCACAAGATGACTCTATTCAATTTTATGAGAATGTGCAACAAGGCCGGGGGTATAAGATACATACACCATGGCTTGCATCTTTAGAAAATGGTATTTCAACCATTTCGATGTAGTCATCAGGAAGGTTGTCAATGATGACGCAAATAGGGTCAAGAACAAGCATCAGCCTCGGGACAAGAGTCTCTAGGTAGGTGCGTACGGCACTCTCAAATCTAGGGATCTCAATTGTTGTCTTTGCCTTCGTCACTCCAAGCTCGCTGACAAACGACAAAATTGCACCAGGTGGTATACCGCGTCTGCGAAGCCCAACAAGTGTAAACAGACGAGGGTCATCCCAGCCTCTCACATATTTCCCAAGGTTGGGCTTTGTCATCTCTTCACCCTCGACTAATTTTATGAGCTTGCGCTTGGATAAAATCGTGCCGCTAACATTCAATCGGCCGTATCTATTCGGTTGCATTAGGTCATTCACGTCTAAAAGGGAAAAGCGTAGGTTCATACTCTCTCTGCATAGGTTTATAAACTCCCAGTTCGTCACAAAGCCATTCATATGACTCCCTTGATTGCTCGAATTCTGTCGTACATAGAGAATGCGTGATTCCTTCAAAGCTGTCGCAAAGACAATGGGTAAAATCATAGGTGGGATAAATTTTCCACTTGTTACCAGTCCGTATGTGCTTGCAAAAATCGTTTTTGTCATCCTCAATTATTCTATAAGCAAATATGTCCCACATTTGTGGGTTATTGCTGTCCAGGTCTTGCTTCATCCGGAGGGCAGCTTCATGAGCGTGGTATTTGCCGTCTCGCATGGCATGGAATTCGGCCATGGACTCGGAAATCGGGCGGTTGCGATGCACACAAGCATATCTAACCTTACCTTTTGCTCCCGTAGTCATATCTAAGCCACGTTGAGCCTGGATTTCACTCTCTATAAATAGGTCAGAAACGATTCTTGAGAATCTAGAGGTCTCGTTCAACTGAAATATCAGGGGCGCCGGAAAGGCCAGCAACAAAAAACAAATCACCTGTGCAGTGGCACACGTATGCTCGATCTTTTCTGATCAAATCCTCTGCGAGTTTGTATAGCTGATCAAAGTAGTCGCTTGAATACGTGGTGCGGAGAGGTTTAAACCCCAGCCACCTGACTATATTCTCGATACTCTCGGTATATATTTCCTCCTCACATTTTGGATGAGTATCATCCATTCGCAAATAGCACTCCCCTCCGTGGTACTTTGCAAAGCCGAAATTTATAGCTATCGCTTTGGAATGGCCGATATGCAGATAACCGTTGGGCTCGGGAGGGAAACGGGTTACAACTTTATCAACACCCTGCCCTGTATGTAAACATCTGCTAAGAATCCGGATTCGAACATCTGATCCGGGTCGTTGGCCTTGACTTGTCGAGTTTGCAGGAGTTCCGCGGTTGGCTTCCGTTTGGGCATTTTAACAGGGGAGGGCATCCTTTTGGTAGAGGGTCAAGATGAAAAGGACTGTGGAAGAGAAGAGCTGTCCTGATATGGTTATATAGGAAGACTGGGTGTTGTGAAGCAAAAGTGCCTGAAGGCTGCCGTTGAGTCATAGTTAGTTCCCTATGTATCTTGATCACAGCTCACCCCTGTAGCACGAACCCCTCTTCCTCTAAAGCCAGCTGATGAGCAGCTGGTACAGAGTAGGTATGTCAGATCTGTGTCTGGCTAGAAAAGGCTTTTTCATTGAATTCAATCTTCCTTTGTGCATATACATATGGTGTACTATGTATGTATGGAAGAAGGTTTGTCGTTGTGCTCTCACAAAGTTTGCCTTTCTCACAATTCCTCCCTCAAAAAACCGATTACATAGTTACATATCACCTACCAAGCTCTCCCGATGATCTAGTACAAAAATACATACACCAGCAACACCTTGCTATACGCTGAGTTGCTCCATATGATAATGCCTGGTCCATACTTCTACCAAATTTTCATTGTTTGTATGCGCATGCAAACTAATTCTGTATCCAAGGTCCTACCTCTGCCGGTGGTGACTCCGACGACCCAGTAATCGCCTCCTATGACATCTTTATCACTGATGCCCAAGTGCGCCGCTTTCTTCTACAATACCCTGACCGTTCTTCGTCACATCCCTATAACGATCTTAGCCTTCAGAAGCCCACCGAGCTTCGCCTGAAACCGAACACTGGGCTCGTTGAAGTCGATATTCCGATCAATACTCGCATTAATTATGACGAACGCAAGGGTCTTCGGTATGGAAATGCGCTCAAAAAGAGCCGCATTATTCAGGAAGGAGGGACACACGGTGTTGCTGGCGGATTTAACACCGGCGGTGCTGGCTCTGGGAGAATGAAAATTGAAGGAGATTCGGTCGGGAAAGGATACTGGGACGACGAGGATGGCGGAGGCTATGAAGACCTGGAAGACGAGGAGCTAAAAGGGGGACATATTATGGCAACCCAGACATTGGGGGGTAGGATACAAGAACCGGCCAACGGCGATCCAATATATATGCTGGGAGCTTTTAAAGAAGGTAGAGATGTCTCGCTTGCACCATATATTATCAACAACAACTTTTTGAGGTTAACGTTATATAGATGAGCTCCATCTTGCTCCTCTCTCGGCTATAGTACAACTGCGACCCCAATTACATCATCTCGATGCGTACGACGAAATCTCAGCTAAAGGGAAATCAACGACGAGAGCAAAAAAAGAGGAGGAGGAGGGCGGTCCTCGAAATGCGCCCGAAGCTCGAGCAATCGACGTTAAAGTAAAGTCAGCGGAAGCAGAACCAACAGGCGGACAACGCAACAATGAACTTCTAAAACGAATGCAAGATGAGAAATGGGAAAAGTATTGGTGGATTGATGAAAATGCAAGTTCGCCTGAGCAAGGCTCATTCTTCATATCTACATTTCCTTTCGTATTGACACGCTTTGTAGGACGAAGAATCATGGGACAAATATGATGAGTACATGTTCAATCGAACAATAGAACCGCCCCTCCCACTTGAATCTGCGATTGAACCTGATGATTACATTGATGGCATGAGTGCGCCGAGGGTGGACCCTACTCAGCCAGATATGAGTGGGTGGGCGCTGAAGATGCGGCAGAAAAAAAGAAGGTCGTCAAGCAATGCCCGGCGCGGATCTGCTAGGTCGCAGATGGGCGACGGCGATATGGTGATGGAGACGGGTTAGATACAAAAGAAGTCTAATGGAATAGCTTCATGAGAAGTATTTATTAGTGTTCGCGCTAGAAACCTTCGCCCGGCCGCCGTAGCACGTGACTCCCGTCTTTTTCCAATCCAATCCGATTCAGCGAAATTTTGTCTCGAGAGATTTCTTCGCCACAGACGCTGAAGGGGAGAAACAGGAACAGATTGCTTCTGGCGCTCGCTCTCTCGCTCTCCTCGAAGTGTCTTGTTTGTCTTATTCTTTACGTCTCTTTCCTTCTATGTTGTTTGCAGTGATTTTTCCCTCCCTTTGTTCATTGAGCGTGTTTTAGACCTTCAGAGATGCTATCTCGCGCTGCTCGCCAAAAATATGCCTTCCACCAGCTGCAGCGATCATATGATCAGTTAGCACTTCCATGGCTCTGTCCAGCTCTTTCACGATGCCAATCCTCCCTCGCCCGAGCACGTTCCTCCCGGTCTGCATCAATACCGTCGCACGTCTCGCTCTTCGCCAGCTTGCAGTCATCCCGCGCTTTTGCAACGGCAACTTCGGACCATTACATACCCTTCGAAGGTGGAGAGTCGTACACAAGTAATATCGGATCAGAGCCAAATTCTTTTCCCTCGTTTGCATCGCCTCTTCCGTTCTCAGATCCGTCTGATCCCGCAGAGCGAGATGCGTCGTCCCTCATTGTCATCAAGGATTACCTAGCCACAAGGCCGAAAACAGTTCGCAGAGAAAAGAGCATCGGCGGTCATTCTGACGAAATGCTAGCAAATCTCGACGTAAGCTTGGCTGTTGGCATGTTCGACCGTGCCGCTCTTCTTGTTCGCCGCCTGTCGACCCTTTATCCCCCTGGGTCTCCCCAGATCCTGGAGTTGCACAACAAATATATCCGAATGATAGTATCCCATATGATTCTAAACCGGCGGCCAGGTATGGTATGGGCGGTACAGAAATGGTTTGAGGTGGACATGAGGCAATTGGGAAATGTCGAGCCAGATGCGACTTCCTACGCCTTGATGCTGCGCATGTCTTTGAGAATGCTCCTTGGCCCAAAGCGTGACCGGACCGTGCGTCGCTATTGGGAAATGGCTAAAGTGGCGAATGTTGAAGAGGACGTGTTAGGCCTACCCATACTTTCAGAAGGCGATCTCGGGATACTCTCTGAGATATGTTCGTCCGACCTTCAGGCCGCTGCACTCGGTGACCTTGGTGATCTTTCAGACATTACTGAACCCGCCAAGGAAGATTTGATTTCTCCATTGGAGGATTTGGCGTTAGTCCCTGAAGTCAAAGGCACCGCCCAAAAAGGGTTGGGACTTAGCTCCTTGAAAGAAACGTTGTCACTCTTTAACAAGTCGAAACTGAGCTCGGGATTTGAGCAGTGCCAGGACTCTGCAACAGAGAGGCAGCGACGGCTAGAGCGAGACTCCTTGACTGCAGCAGTCGAACGTTGGCGAAAGGAAAACGAGGCAATGAGCTCAAAGGGCGTCGGAACAGCCACTTCGGAAGCAAAAATGGGTTCACTTCTTTGGGACTGGCATCAGCATCTCATCGCGAACATTCAAATGGAGATGGGGTCCATTTCCAAAGCCCAAGTCAGTGAAAAAAAGACCTCGGAAGATAACGAGCGATGTGAATATGCGCCGTTTATGCTTGCCATAGGTGGAGAGAAACTGGCGGCAGTCACCATTCTCGCAACAATGAATGCGCTAGGGAGGTCAGGAATGGATAAGGGCATAAGGCTTACTCATCTCATCATGCTTCTGGGTCGCGCAGTGCAGGAGGAATACATTGCTGATCGCATGCGTGAATCGGCCGTTTCGTCTTCGGACGGAAATAATGCCAAGAGGGCAAAGTACATGGAGAAGTTAATCTCATCGAAAAACACCAAACAGGGAAATTCTAAATGGAGACATATGGTGAAAAAGTACAAAGAGAACCACGAACATACAACTTGGACTACGGCAATTGAAGCGAAGGTTGGCGCATTACTGGCATCAATGCTTTTTTCCTCTACAAAAGTCTCCGTTAAACATCGAAACTCCGATACTGGTGAGGTTACTTTTACTACACAGCCTGCTTTTCGCCACGTCTACCAGTTGGAAAGGGGGCACAATATTGGATTTGTGCAGCTCCATAACAGTGTCGTGGAAAAATTTCGTAAAGAACCCGCCGACCACGTCCTAGCAAAGCATTTGCCCATGGTTGCTCCTCCGCGGCCTTGGAACTCGTTTTGTGACGGTGGTTTTCTGGGTCAGCCTACATCTATCATCCGTACCCAATCGGGTAGCCCATTGCAGCTGCAGTATGTCAAAGCAGCGGCGAATCGTGGTGATCTCAATGAAATCTATACTGGGCTGAATGTTCTCGGAAAGACAGGCTGGCGCATTAACAAAGCGGTCTTTGACGTGATGCTTGAAGCCTGGAACTCCGGTGTTAAAGTGGCTGATATTCCTCCTGCTGACCCCAAAATTCCCGATCCGATTAAACCAGAGACTGGCGATTCAAGTGTCCTGAAACAGTACTACCGTTCCAAGATGATTGCTGATAATCAGCGATCGGGGTTTCATTCCCAAAGATGCTTTCAAAACCTCCAGTTAGAAATTGCCCGCTCATACATTGGCGAAACATTCTATCTACCACATAATTTAGATTTCCGTGGTAGAGCTTACCCGCTTCCTCCGTATTTCAACCAGATGGGCTCTGACATGTGTCGTGGGCTTTTACTTTTTGACGAAGGCCGGGAACTTGGTGAACGGGGCTTGCGATGGCTTAAAATCCATCTTGCAAATGTTTTCGGATTCGATAAAGCCAGTTTTGACGAGAGAGCCCAGTTTGCTATGGACCATTTCGATGATGTCACCGATTCTGCAGAAAAGGGCCTTCATGGGCAGAGATGGTGGCTTAAGGCTGCTGATCCATTCCAGTGTTTAGCAGCTTGTATTGAATTGAGAAACGCTCTCGCTTCCCCCGATCCAACAAAGTTCGTGTCTCGGTTGCCCATTCACCAAGATGGTTCGTGCAACGGACTGCAGCATTACGCTGCCCTCGGAGGCGACGTAATCGGTGCCCGCCAGGTGAATCTTGAACCATCAGACCGTCCGTCGGATATCTACTCTGCCGTCGCAGACCATGTTCATGAGTCGATTGTTCAAGATGCCGCTGCTGGTGACGATCTTGCGAAGATGCTTCAGGACAAAATTAATCGAAAAATTGTCAAACAGACAGTAATGACAAATGTCTATGGTGTTACCTTTCTTGGGGCTATACGGCAGGTCCAAAAACAACTCGACGAATTTTACCCAGAACTTATCGGAAAAGATTTGGCAGTGAAGCCTGCAACGTATGTGACGAAAAAGATTTTTGCCGCCTTGAGCTCGATGTTTACTGGAGCACATGATATTCAGTTCTGGCTCGGTGATTGTGCCAATCGCATTACTCAATCCCTATCCCCAGAGCAAGCTGAAGCTATCCGAACAGAAATAGAAAGCCCGAGCCCCGCAGCTTCAAAATCAAAATCAAAATCAAAATCAAAGAAGAAAGTTGCAAAGGATCTTTTGTCCTCTAACTTTAGGTCTACGGTAATCTGGACAACTCCGCTTAAATTGCCCGTGGTTCAACCTTATCGAGAAGCCAAAACTCGACGCATCCCTACTGCAATACAGACGCTGAGCATTAAAGAACCTCACTCTTCCGACGTTGTTAGCCGACGCAAACAACTTCAAGCTTTTCCTCCCAATTTCATTCATTCTCTTGATGCGACTCATATGATGCTCTCTGCAATTAAATGTGACGAGCTTGGCCTTTCTTTTTCGGCTGTCCACGATTCGTTTTGGACGCATGCCGGCGATATTGATACAATGAACGGTGTCTTACGCGATGCATTTGTCCGAATGCATTCTGAAGACATTGTAGGTCGATTAGCCGCAGAGTTCAAAGCTCGATATTCAAACAACTTCTACCTTGCCAAACTAAAGCCAAGTGCTGCAGTGGCTAAGAAAATAAATGCCTGGCGCAAGAAGAACGGAAGAGGCAAAGGCAAAGAACATCAAGCCGACGAATTGATACTTGAGCAGAAGCGTTCTAAGTTACTTCGATCGGAGAACGAAGCGGAGAGGAAAGAAGGAGAAGCAATGACCACCCCCGGAAGCATCTTCGCTGCCTCCAAAAACGGCGATGCTTCTCTAATTTCAGTACAGTCTCTTGGCGTTGCCGCAATGGGACAGATCTCCCCCGAGGAAGCCGCCGAGACTGCCAAATGTTCAGTGGGTGTCGAAGAGCAGACGAGCTCGCTGGCCGAGTTGTTTGATGACGAAGTGGATCTCTTTGAGACAGTGGAGGCCCCGGAAGCTGTCGCCGGCAAACCCAAGAAAAAAGGGAATGCATACACCTGGCTCTGGCTACCGGTAACGTTCCGTCCTGTTCCGTCTAAGGTACAATTTATCTTTTCATCTACAGGAGAGTTTCAACATGCTAACCTAGATTCTAGGGCGAGTTTGACGTCCAACGATTGAAAAACAGTCAATATTTCTTCTCATAGCATCGCATTGCGGGTGCAACACTTATACCATTGCTTCTTAAAATTGCCTTTTTAATCACCTTTTGTTAATGCATTACAGCAGGCGTTCAAAAAGAGGGGAAGGCCGGCGTTCTACTTATTTTTCCCCATTGCGTATCGTGACTATTACAGCACATCTTTTGACCTTGTACATTTCTTTCTTTCGAACTACGACTACGCCCACTTTCGAAAAAGCATAACCTCAGGTGTTTGGATTCTGTTGCATTCCCTCGCACCACCACTCCCCTCCGGTATCTCCGTGTTTTATTCGTTTGTGTCTTGGACTGCGTCTCGGATCGAACTTCTATATTCTTGTGTTAACATATTCCCTGTTACATTTTTGTGAGAGATCTCGGCTTAATACTCTGATGTGTGTATGTAGTCCTTTTTAGGGGTTGATGTTTGGAAATACCGGGCTTAGCCAAGACTACGTGGTTTTTATTCCACATAGTTGATGCTATTCATGTGTGAGGTAGTACGCAATGCTGCAGTTTATATGTACAATACTTTGAGGCTTCTAGATGAGAACCGTGAGTGTTAATTATATAAGCTGCTTGACGGCTGTCGGCCCGTCTTGCTAATTCCGGCCTTCAACACCGTTGACAAGACGGCCGCGATGCTGACCACGCTCACGTCTGTTGCACGAAGAGTATCAACACCTGGCCTAGAGGCTACTCGAGTAGCTTTATCTCAAACTCGCTCTGTTCACCTCGCCCCTCCTTTTCTTCTTGATACCTACATACCCCGTTACCAACTCCTCTCTTCAGCCGACGCATCTACAAAGCGGCTCCTTGCACAGTCTCACCTGGCAAACTGTAACCTATGCCCAAGGCTATGCGGTGTCAATCGTTACGAGAAGACCGGATACTGTTTGATTGGGGCGGAGAAAGTTAAGGTCAATGTCATTGCGCCACATTTTGGTGAAGAACCATGTGTACAGGGCTGGAATGGAAGCGGGTCGGTCTTCTTCTCAGGGTGCAACTTGCGATGCGTATTTTGCCAGAATCATGTGGGTTTTGCTTATGGGATCGTTTTGTGCCGTGTATATATGGCTGATTCAGGCGCCTGGCTATAGGAAATTTCGCACCAACGCAATGGATTTGATTTGACTCCTGAGGAGCTTGCGGAATGGTATATGAAATTACAAGATGTCGGAAATGTCCATAATATTAATCTCATCACACCAGAACATGTTGTTCCGCAGGTGGTCTTATCGATTCTTCATGCCCGGGACCTTGGACTAAAGATCCCCATCATCTATAATACGTCTGCGTTCGATTCTCTTGAATCGCTCGAACTTCTAGACGGCCTCATCGATATATACCTACCGGATTTCAAGGTATGGAACAATAGATCCTCGGTGAGGCTACTTAAAGCGAAAAACTACACCGAAACGGCCATGGAAAGTATCAAGACCATGCATACCCAGGTTGGTGACTTGTGCTTCACTGCCGATGGTGTCGCAAAAAGTGGTGTTTTGGTCAGACACCTTGTTATGCCCGGGCGCGAGGATGAAGGTAAGGAAATCGTAAAATGGCTAGCACAAAACGTCTCAAAAGATATATATGTGCATATCATGGAACAATATCGTCCCGATGCCCACGTTGGCAAAAAGAAGCGCGGTGACGGTGGGAAAGGCAGCAACAAGGAAGAAGTGCGATATGCTGACATCAATCGGCATGTTGATTTGAAAGAAGTTGGCGCTGTCCAAAGTGCAGCAAGGGCAGCAGGCCTATGGAGGCTTTGTGAGCCTACGGAGCATGGCGGATTTCACAACTAGCTGAAATTAGGCTTATGCTTGGTAAATTCAGACGTGTTCAATCAGCTCTCGCCTATTCCCATGGCTATAGACATGGATAGAGATGTCTCAATTGACCTCTTGAAGATGGCAAACCAGAAGTCATAACAACAAGAGGCGAAGAAATACCAATATGGCATAAGAAGCAGAAATTCACCTCCGGAAAGCCGCTCCCTTATGGAAATATCCATTTGAGGGGGGGGGGGGGGGCGAATCCATATAAACACCCATATATAGAATTGCTCTAATGAGATGCAGGATGATATAACTATGTATTTAAGTTTCTTCATTTAGTCAATGCTGTGGCCGAGTGCTCTTCCTAGCGTGCGATCAATTGAAACATGGAGTACATAACAGGTAGTTAGTTAACGACTCGGTAGTTATATAGCTACTCCGTATAGTAGTCAACTACAACTAACTAGCTATTTGCCGTTACTGCACGGTTCCTTCGCAAGACTCGGTTCCTCCCGCAGCACGCTTTTATTTGAGGTCCACGCTGCGTGCACATTTATGGAAAAACAAGCTTTTTACGACCCTGGATGCGGCCATCTTGTCAAAGACGCAAGAATACGGAGTAGTGTTGTTGGAGCGGAATCGACAGGCTTTTGACGATGAAACCAATAATTGCAGTCCCAGCCACAGCCCTGCTGGTCTACCGCGCGTGGTCCAGGAAATCGTTGACCCCCACGGGAATCGTCTTCGCCACAATCACTGCTATTGTCCATGCACTGTATCCCTCCCCAGCGCCGTTTGCATGTCTCGTTGTTTTTTTTCTCGGAGGGACCACCGTGACCAAGGTCAGCAAGTTCTTTTCTTGCACGTAACGACGTTGCCATCGCATGCTAAAGGAAAATCACTGACTCCTCCATATGATATCTATAGGTCAAGCACAGTATCAAAGCTAAATTAACGGTCGCAGCCTCTGGGGCGGCTGGCGGTGATGGCCCAAGAACCCATGTGCAGGTGCTGGCAAACTCCGCTGTCGCGTCGGTTTTGATACTGCTTTATACCCTGCAGCTCTATCGGAAACAGCAGAGTAGCCCTTCATGCTTCGCGTACGGGGAAGATCTTTTGACCGTGGGGATCGTTGCGTAGGTCTCACTGTTACTCCGACTACTTGTTTGGAATTCGGGATCAAACCAGACCTGTGCTAACGATTCTTGTCTTTGTCGAGATAGGAATTATGCCGCCGTAGCCGCTGATACCTACTCTAGTGAACTTGGTATTCTATCCAATTCTTCGCCTCGCCTAATAACATCCCTCCGATTGCGCAAAGTCCCCCGTGGAACGAATGGCGGTGTCACGCTTACTGGCCTTGCTGCAGGAGCACTGGGGGCTTCTACAATTGCAATCACTTCCCTGCTACTACTTTCGTTCTGCCCCTTAGGCCCGCTACCAGGGTTTTCTACCACAGGGCTTGATGGCGGTCGCGCATGGGGTGCAAGAGAGAAATCTCTCTGGGTTCTGGCAGTGACTATATGGGGAACTTTGGGTAGCTTATTGGATAGCATACTAGGTGGCATGTTGCAAGCAACCGTCGTTGATAAACGAACGGGCAAAGTAATAGAGGGTGTAGGAGGCAGGAAAGTATGTATCTGCTCTGGAAGCAGTAAGGCTGCTGTTATTTTTTTATTTTTTTATTTCTTTTTCCCAAGGTTTTTGACTGTTATTGGATCTGACTCTTCATTTACTCTAGGTCCTCGTTTACTCTGGAGTCGTGAAACCTGTAGGTTTCGACAACAAAACTGTGCTACAAGGCAGTAAGCCGCGAGGAGCGGAAAACTTGGGTAGTGCGACCACACTTCGAAAATTCAAGCGTGAAGTGGCGGACGAGCCTATCGGACACTCGGATGTGACGCAGGAGAGCCGAAAGATTGAGACTGGGCACGACATCCTTGATAACAATGCAATCAACGTGTTAATGGCAGCAATTATGAGTTTTGGGGCTATTATCCTTGCTGCGTATATATGGGATATGCCTGTAACGAATATACTACTTTAGTATAGTTTTTAGGAGACTGCTGATAGCATTTTTCAGAAAGATATTTTCAAATTCAGAAGACTTTTTTCATCACAAGGATATCGAATTGGGCTGCTACATCTGATATCAATGTTTGAATTCAACTAAAATATGAAATTGTATATTAATTAGTATGCCAGGCTCTTGCGTTCAGGGAGTTAACGGTAACTCAGCAGCAGGCACGCAGGTGTTTTTGTAATTTCTTCTCCTTGAGCATAGTGGGCTCTCTGCGTCTGATCCGCTTTGATTATCGCAATAGGAGTGACGGTAATCGTCGAGCTTCAGCAACCAGCGTTTAAGATCTTCTCCTTCCTTATATATTCCAATGCAAGGCATTGCATCTCTGAATAACTTGATAGCGTCAGATTGGCAGCCTTTTAAATATAAAATCCTCCCTTTCCAGTACAAGCATTTTGCATAGATAGGAGTATAGTTGAGCTTGCTCGCTTTCTCAAGAGCCTCCTCGATAAGTGTTAAAGCCTTGACGGGGTAATTATTCTCAACAAGGGTTTTCACCCGAAGGAGGAGGATGTTAACATTAAGCTCATAGCCCTGGTAAAGTGGGTTATCGTAAAGAAATCGGATATGTTGATCTTCAGACATGTGCTCATTGCTAGGCGCAGTGGATCTCCCGACAGATGGGGGTGGAGTAAGGGGAGTACACGGAGGCCACGCTGGAATGTGCACGATTTCAGTGGATACGCAAAGCTTTAAGTATTTTTTCACTGAGGCAAGCTTTTGCTTTTCAAACTGCAACGCTTCAATCAGACGCCGATTTATGACATTTTCCTGGCGCCAGCGATCAATGGCCTGATCCCTTTCATTGCGAATGGCAGATAGTTGATTTTTATAACGGCAGTCAAGTTTTAGAACATTCTCCCTTGACATCATCAGGTCAGACATATGGCAACCAACTATGGACGTGACCTAGAATAGAATGCGGACAATAGTTAGAAAAAGTAAAGACTTGTCGGCATCAAAAAATAGTGTATTACCTGCAACCCATTAGGCGTATCAGGAAAAGAATCCACATCGCTGTCGCTATCACTGTGGAAACAGGATTCCCTGGTATCTTCTGCGGCTCTGCACAGAGAAGAAGCCGTTCCAACCAAACTACTACTTGCGCAATCGGAATGCTCCCGATACACACTGAGATCACCGAGCAAAGGATGGCATGGGATCTCCATACTTGTATCGGCCTTATGTTGTTTCATAAGGCTAGAAAAGATGGTGAGTGCGGGGTCATCGAAGTGAGGTCTCTCGAATTCCATTTTGGGTAAGGACCGTGATTGCCGTCCGATTCACTCAACACCGGCCACCTCGGGAGAGCCAACACCGGATTCATATCGGCGGCCTTGTCTCTTTCACAGCTGCATCTTGATGGTGCCTTTGTCGGTTCTTTAAGCCTGTTATGTCGAATGTCCAGTCTCTCATGGCTGAATCCGAGAGGGTATTCTCCATTTTCGGGGTGAAAGGGATAGTCAGGACCAAGGTATGATAGCATTGGCCATCAGAGTGAAAGCCTGCCTTTGGTATATGTACACTTGAGACGGGGCTGATATGTTCTTTCGGATTGCTTTCATGTTGGGAACAACAGGCATTGGCTCCCATCTACACCTATAACTAGTTACAGGAGAAGCAGACCGTTATTCCAAAGCACAAACACAAGAAATTCTCACTAGCAAATATTCACAGAACTCAACATCTCATGCCTCCTTGACATGCTGTTCTGTTTGCTTGTTGGTCAAAATGGCGTATTGGCCATGTTTGCTTTCTGTGCTGTATTGTCAAACAGTGCAAATATGACTAACTACTTAATTCACTAGTTGATCATTGGCCAGTTCTTTACTCCCGTATTGGTTTTGCCTTCTTGCAAACAAGGCAAACACGGCACTCTGTTGCCAACAACCAGCAGGCGATTCCATCATTATTGATCGACCCAACCCAGTATTTCGAAGGCGAGAACAGACCATCGTATTGCGCCCACAAAATACTCCCAACCACTTGGCATGTGTACGTCATGATATCGGGCTGGCTTTGTTGCTCGCCAAGTTCTGTGGAGATCAAGGTTCCCTTTCAAACCGCCAGACGGCCGAAGCCATGACCACCGATACAAATCAGATCTCGCGAACCCAGCACAGGCCAGGCTCCCCAGGACATGCCGTAAATAGGCGTGTGGAGGAGTACGTTCCGTTGTGCCGCCGTCTCTGAAGAGCCTTCTCTACCATCCCAATCATGTAACCCCGGGTGATATCGGTAGGTATTCAGTACGGATTCCCCTAGATTGTGGACAGAATCGGCCCAGTGATGCATGCTACTATTAAACATAGTGCACATTCCCCTGTGATCTGTCGGCTGCCGGCTATTTACCCAGATTTCTACTCCACTACGGAGATTCTCCCCTCAACCATACTTCCAGCAAACCCGAAGGTTAAAAGTGTATCCTGTCATCTTACGATTCCTGAAGTATAACTATACAACTGGCCTCGCGCGCGGAATAAATGCCTTCTTCTCTTCCCAGCGACAGACAAAAAGTCAAATGAAATTGCGTAACATTTGGACTGCATTTTCCCATTCATACTATTCTATCCACTCGATCTCCTTTCTTCACCATGCCTCTGTCAAACGCTACAGTTGCGATAACCGACATCCGCCGCAATGACTTGATCAATTCGCTGGCCGAAGGTATCCTGCAGGGCCTCGAAGCGAAGGATGGCGTTCAGAAATGCCTGCCCACCTTACTTCTGTACAACGCCGAGGGCCTTCGATTATTCGAAGAGATCACCTATCTGGAAGACTATTATCTTACGAATGCCGAAATTGATGTTCTAACTACAAATGCAACCAACATCGTTGAGCGGGCCCCAGAAAACGCACAATTGCTCGAGTTGGGAAGCGGGTTTGTCTTCTCTTACCCAGTATCAACATCATGAAAAAAATCTACGCGTTAACCTCGTGGCTGAACCCTCATTTTGACCTTACTATAGGAATCTTCGAAAAATCGAGATTCTGCTGAATGAGTTTGAGCGGAAGAAAAAATCCGTGGAGTATTTGGCACTTGATGTTTCTCTGGAGGAGCTGCAAAGAACCTTTGCGGAAATTCCATCTAAAAGCTACAAATACGTCAAGTGTGGAGGCTTACTAGGGACGTATGACGATGCACTTACCTGGCTGAGGCAGTCTGAAAACAGGCGTAAGCCCACCTGGATTATGTCTTTAGGTTCTTCTATCGGAAATTTTTCCCGGTCAGAAGCGGCACACTTTTTATCAGGATTTGCCAAAACATTGGGCCCAGAGGACTCTTTACTCATTGGACTGGATTCCTGTAAGAACCCTCAAAAAGTCTTTCGCGCTTACAATGACAGGAAAAATGTGACCCGAGAATTTTATCTCAATGGATTAGCCAATGCAAACTCCATCCTTGGCTCTGAAGCTTTCAAACGAGATGAATGGGATGTCATTGGCGTATATCACGAAGAAGACGGATGCCATAAAGCGTATTACACCCCAACAAAAAATGTTGTTATCAATGGGTTGCCCCTTGAAAAGGGAGAAAGGGTTTTTTTCGAACAGGCCTTCAAGTATGATAGGCAGGAGTATGACTCGCTATGGGAGCAGTCTGGCGTCACGCCAACTGCCAGGTTCAATGGTAGCGCTGGCAACTACAGTAAGCTTACTTGCCTATATTGCTTGATACCACCGGTCTATGGCCTATCTAACCAGACGTATTACCTAGATATCCATCTCCTTTCTTCATCACCGTACATTATACCTACACAGCCAGCAGAGTACGCGCCTACCTTAACACCGTCTTTAAAAAGCTATGAGGCTCTTTGGAAGCTTTGGGACACAGTCACCACCGAGATGGTTCCTCAAAATGAGCTACTCTCTAAGCCAATCAGTCTCCGAAACGCCTTAGTATTCTATCTAGGACATATTCCGGTCTTTCTGGGTATGTTATGCCAAGTATGAGATTGCTCTACATTAACTTTCGTTCCTAGATACGCACATCTGCAACGCCACCGGATGCAAACCTGCTGAACCTAAATCATATGCAACTATGTTTGAGCGTGGAATAGATCCCGACGTGGACAACCCGGCAAAATGCCATGCCCACAGTGAAATTCCTTCACAGTGGCCTCCGATACAAGATATTCTACAGTTTCAAGCCACCGTGCGCAATAAAGTCAGGGCATTATTTGCCAACCTACAAGGAGCGAATGATAGACGGATTCATGAAGCTTTATGGATCGGATTCGAGCATGAGGCGATGCACTTAGAAACATTTCTCTACATGTTACTACAAAGCGACAGAATTCGTCCTCCACCTGGGGTGCCTAGACCAGACTTTGAATATCTAGCGATCCGATCTTCTCAAGAATCCGTTCCCAATGAATGGTTCATCATTCCAGAACAAACTATCACCATCGGATTAGACGATCCCGACCCATCCCAGATTCCACCACAGTCGTTCGCCTGGGACAACGAGCAGCCTTCTCGTGTAGCGAATGTGACTTCATTTATGGCTAAGGGCCGACCGATCACAAATGGTGAATATTCGATATATCTCGAATCGAAAGGAGTACGCACTTCCCCGGCCTCATGGATCAAACAAACTGATACGGCTATGAAATCTGGTAACCAGACTACTGGTTACACCAACGGCACAAATCACAATGAGAGTAGCGCTTCTCTTGATTACATAAAGAAATTTTGTGTGCGGACGGTATTTGGGCCGGTACCTCTCCGATTTGCACTCGATTGGCCTGTCCTGGCTTCCTATGATGAACTCAATGGCTATGCTCAGTGGGTGAATTGTAGAATACCCACCCTTGAGGAAGCGCGAAGTATTTATCAATATTCAACATTCCTTAGATATCAGGGATTGGAAGAAAAAAGGTATGTCCTGAGATGGTGGCAACCCATCGCTTTCACGACACATTTGGATTGATTAGCTGTAGTCAACACTCCAACATGGCCCATACTAATGGAGCCAACGTACACCAAAATGGCAAACCCCGTGCGCCAGACCACCAACCGGTTTTACAGAATTCCGTGAGGCCCCCGCCAGTGTACCTTGATCTCGACGGATACAATGTCGGATTTAAGCACTGGCACCCCACTCCTGTCACCCAGAACGGAAACAAGCTCTCCGGACAAGGCGATATGGGTGGCGTGTGGGAGTGGACAAGTTCGGCCTTAGAAGTTTACGAAGGCTTCAAGGCTATGGATTTGTACCCTGCCTATACTGGTACGGCATGATATGTCACTAAATTTCCATTCACCTCTACCCTAGATTTTAGAATTCTCACTAATACTCCCTTTTCTTCACCTATACAGCTGATTTTTTTGACGGAAAACACAACATCATTCTTGGAGGGTCATGGGCTACCCATCCTCGAATTGCCGGCCGTACAACATTGTATGCATTCTTCCACTAGAGTCCTATTTGTGAAGTTCTGCTAATTAGGTGATATTATAGTGTCAACTGGTATCAGCGAAATTACCCCTATGTATGGGCTGGCGCGCGTCTGGTTCGCGATGCCTAAGCTATTACGGAGTACTCAAAAAGAAGATATTTAATTCTCAGCTGTAACCTATCATTGGGGTCATCAACAAATCTGGATTGACCAGCCGTTATTTTCCTTGCACACAGAGTATCAATGGGAGAGGACCGAATGAATACTTTGGCTTGATGATGGTATAATATGCAGAGCACTTAATGTGTGTATACTTTGATATAATGTCTAATCTGACCTGCCATTTGCAAATTATCATTTTGAAAAGGGTTAATATCGTTAATTATCTCTCAAGGGTTCCTGGCCTAGATACCTTAGAATTCGCCCAGGATCAGTATACTTCCAAGATTTCGAACCCTATAGAAGCAACACCCTATTTTAAGGAACGCAGTGTTCCGTTAATTTTCTTGATTGGGACCGCCGTTTGTATATCAAGAAGACTAGCCTACAATTGGCTTTGAGATGTGGCACAACAGCAAGTCACTAAGCCGATCAATCGGATGCGCAAAAGTCTTGCAGTGGCCTACTACTTCATCGATGCTATTGGCTATCGCTTGGTTTCACTGATGCCCATCTTTACAGGGGCTCGTTTAACTAATTAGCAGTGCTTCCGACCGAACAGAAACAGAGCGGCGTATATTTTGCGTTTGTAACTTCCTGCCGTTGAAGACGGATGACTGAACGGAGTATCTGTTTGTCATTTTGCAATTTTCTTCCTATTCTATATTTTAAAACTATCTTCTCTTTTTGAATACCTCCATTGTGACCTTTTGAACTTTAATGTCAGGATGCAGCCCCAGAGTGTCATCTTAAATCTCGCAGCGTCCCTAGCCTTCACCGTATCGCCAACATTTGCCGCAGAAAAAAATCTCCGTATCGTTACCGTGTATATAACTTCGATCATCGCCCGCGCTCCTGAAGATATCTTTGCTCGACAATATGGCTCGTGTCCGGAAGAAACGCAAACCCCCTGCGACGATGGAAGCGGCTGCTGCCCATCAGGGGTTGCTTGCACGGTCTCCTTTGGTCTTCCGGTTTGTAATATTGCTTGCGTCGGCACAATATGTCCTTTTGGTGGCTGCTGCCCACACGGATATCGCTGCCATACCTCCAAAACAGCCTGCGAGACAATCAGGCCTGAAGTTGGCTTCAACATTCCAACTACGACTCTGAGGCCTATTCCAACGGAGACTGATGACGATGGGGACATTGAGACACTCCCCAGAATTACCCTGTCGACTCGACGACCTACAAAGATAAGTAATAATAATATCGGGGCTACAAAGATACCGCCATCATCATCGTCAAGTGACCTAACGACGCCAACCAAACTCGTGCAAAGTATGACTGCCAGCTCTGCTCTTGTTATGGTATCACTACCGGGTCTGTTTCATCTCCTAATATCTGGGCTGGGGCTTATTTTCTACACCGGGCTTGTAATGGTACCTTGGGGGATTTAGTACTATACAGAATGTACATTTTGCAGCACACGATATTTTTTCTCTTGCCATGGCCACCTGATAGCAATATTTCTATGGCTATAGATCTGTTTCTATAAAATGAGATAAGTAGTATTTAGAGAGAAAGAAGAACATTGAAGTTCAAATGGGAAATGCATGCATCAATCTGCAGTCTTAGAACACCTAAAACAATAAGATGATACTGAAGACAACAATGTTCGCAGTTATACCAAGACTGGGGACTTTCCTACCTTAAAAACCAGAGTAGTTCTCTGGGAAATGAATATACTTACCACGATGAATCGTGGTTTGGGTTTTCTTTCAATATGGCAATAAACGAGCTGAATGAGAATTAGAGGCTAGATCCAGGTCTGAAGTACGTCTATAAGTGGACCCGAGTACATATTGTGCATGGAAAGCTCCGAGTAGTATTTCATCTTGTGTATTTAAGTTCTTAGAGTAGAAAACTTCATAAGGAGACAAAGTATATTTACAATAGATCTCTTGTTGAAGTGTGGAATGTTCACGGGAAGTCGATGAATAAAACATTCCACCAGGATAGTTATACCTCGACTTCGTTTGCCTTTGATAGAGCTGTCCTGCACCTTATAGTATCCAGTTTAATGGAATCTGACGGTATTATTAGCAACCTTCGCAGTAGTACGACGTTTTCGCATCGTGGTTTCAAATATTCCCTTCGACAGCCCGCAATCGGGTCAGGATATATTAGGAACGCTGCACCCGGCGATAGTTAATTTTTTTGTAACTCAACTTCTATATTTCCAATAAACATTTATCGACCTAGTTGAATTAATCTAGGGATATCGCTATATCTTTTTTGTTCAGGTTTCAATTGTAGGAATTTGCTTCGCACGTATCTTTCTTCCTCGAACCCAATAACACGCTGCAGTATAACGGCACCCTCCAAACGGTTAGAACATATGGACGGAAAAATAATCATCAACCTTGGGGGTTATAAGTGGGAAGATTCCCCTGGCCTTTGTAAGTTATTTCATAATCTTACTTTTATAAAAGAAACAGCGCTTTCATAGTATCTTGTTTTTTTCTCCTATCTTGCAGATTTTCCGGGCAGAGCTAATTAAGTTCTTTTTTCTTGCTGCAGATCATGGATGTGCAGTCTGTGGTACATCCTTAAATAACCCTAAAGCAAAAAGAACCTGCTTTGGTATCCACAGCGAGCCATGCATCCGGTATCACCAGACCATGTTTCATAAAGGTAGGCAGGTCAAAGAGAAAGACTAGTTCATACACACCTAGCTAACCAATGTTGGATAGGTGACAGCCATAAATGTGATCCGTAGGTTGAAATGGGATAGTAATAAAAGCATAAAACATGGACTAACAATGCACTTACAGATGTAGGAACTCAAACGAGGTCCATGACAAAAGACACAGAGAAGTTGCCAGACTTATTCAGAAGCTCCGTCAACTGGATGCCGGGGAGCCGGCCTGTAGCCCTCTTTCCGCAGAGCTAAAGACAGACACAACAGACGATGATGAGAAAGAAAACGCCTTCCGCCAAGAAGATTATGCATATATGGTGCCTGGATCACCAAAAACTCCCATCCGGAAGCCAAGTGTACTAAAAGTGCCTGGGGCACCAAGGAAGAGCTTCGGAGGAACGCCTGCGGAGCAGATTAGAAGACATCTATTAGAGCAAAAGACCCAATCGGCTGAAAAAGGATTCAGCGAGGCGAAATCACTTGCTGTTGATAGTCAACAAATACCTGTTGTCTGTGAAGGGCCAAAACAGGAGCGGCTACCAGCGCACATATGGTCAAACAAAGCAGCAGGTTCTAGCCATAGGCTAAGCATGAGTTATAGACCATCAGGCCTAAGCAATGTTTATACTAGCGATCCAGTACCGATATCAAACTCAAACACCAAGGTCATTGATAACAGCAGCGAAACACCACAAAAACTGGCAGCGTGGAAGGACAGTGTAGTGCTTGATGTCGTCGAAAGCAGCGAAGGCGCGCAAGGAATGTCTATTACTGAATCAGTAACTGACACTGAAAGTACTGGAAAGGGACGCCGACCATCGCAGTTAGCTAAAATCAAACGCGAAGAAAAGAAAGCTCTCAAACACGCCAAGTCGGTAAATAAAGCGCTCAGGCGACAGAGTATGAGTTGTTCAACTATTATTATAACAAGCGAAGAGATTGAAAAAGTGAACCACGCAATCCATGGGATCAGTAGGTCACAGGCATGTTTATCCCTAGAACAAACTATTAAGGTGTTTATTGGTCACATTGCCACACAGACTAGACTCGATCGTGAGACATCACACATCAAGATAAGCTATGACGCAGTAGGTGATCAGAAATATGAAGCATTATTAGCAGAAAGATTGAAGCTCCGGTTCGTTAAAGAGACCTTAGCTAGGCTCGACATTCAGCCGGTCATTGCAAAATCGACCAAGGAACGAAGGGTGCTAGTATTCAAAATTATTGAAGCAATCTTCCTAGACATTAAGTATCTTGCGAATGAAGCCCATGAGACACTGAAACGAGCTGGCGGATATTGGCTCTATGCCAACAAGAGAGCGTATCGAAACATGGTTGAAAACAACAAGGAGGTAGACTGGGAGACTGGGCAGAAGATTCAGTTCGAGGATGAGGAGTCGGATTTGGAATAATGAAGAATAGAAAATAAACATAGTTCATAAGTAGTTGACGAGAGAATAGACATGGCTTCATGAGCTGGGTAAAGACCTCTTCCTCAGATGGTCTCGATTATGACTCTTGATGGTCGGGCCGCAATCAACTATAAGACAGAAGCTTTTTGCTGGCGATAATTCCAGAAGGCAACTAGCCATCAGAGCTTGACCATGCTAAAAAGTAGTAGGAAATGTCCGATGTGCTGTTTGATATCGCGTTCATGGCGCCGCGGCAGCTAACTACCTAGTTACCTAGATAAGCGCGCGGCACAGGCAGAACGTTGTTCCGGGCCGCCGAGTCCGCGGGGCTTTCGTGGCTTCGGAGGGGCCAAAGAGATCGCGAAACGGCCGAGTTCAACGACTTAACCGCGCCGCAGCGGGGCCGAGCAGAATCTCTGGGCCCGGTGGCGGCGGCGATAGCTTTTCCACGGAAAGCTCACCAGCAGCGCCGATTTAATCGCGTTTATCGGCGGTGGGCCGGGGTTGCGGGCGCATGGGGTTCGCAGTCACGGGGAGCAGTTCCAAGGAACCGTAACTAGCAAACGTCGAGATCGAGGCTCCATACTAGATAAACCTCTCCGCTGTCGCTCTCTCTTCACCACCTCCATTATCCATAAGTCTACGCTGTTCAAAAGTGCATCCATCGAATCGTCAAGCTGTCATGTCCTCGGAAACTCTGACGACTATCTCCCCCACCACCAATGCGCCCGTGGTCACCCGCGCTGGCATCGCCGAGTCGGATCTCCTTGCGCTCCCCAAGACCGCCCAGGCTGCCTTTCGCACATTCTCACAGTCTACTACTCTCGCTCAGCGTCAAGAAATCGTTGCCAAGGCGCTCGCGCTCCTAGTAAAAAAGAAGGATGTTCTGGCGCGCGAGCTTACGGAGCAGATGGGCCGGCCTATCGCATATACTGGGGCTGAAATCACGACGGCCGTTAAACGAGGGGAATATCTAAACCGTGTGGCAGGGGAAGTACTAGGCGATAAGATTGATGCTGACAGCGAGACTGGCTTTCGAAGATACCTTAAGAGAGAGCCAGTGGGTGTCGTTTTGGTCATTTTTGCTTGGAATGTAAGTGGCATGCTGAAGAGCTCCGTGTAGCTTATACTGGGCGTGAACTGGAACTAAAAATTTGACACCTGTAGTACCCCTATTTAATTCTTGTCAACAGCCTAATTCCAGCTTTGCTCGCTGGCAATGCCGTTATCCTTAAACCGTCTCCCCAAACACCTACCGTCGTCGAGCAGATCTCCTCCATATTCCTTGAGGCTGGCCTTCCAGATAGCGTAATCCAATTTTTCCATTCGGGATCCCTCACCAACATTGAGACACTTATCCGCTCCCCATTGATCAATCATATTTGCTTTACTGGCTCTGTCGCCGGAGGCTTGGCAGTGCAGAAAGCTGCCGCGGATAGAATCGTCAGTGTTGGATTGGAACTAGGTGGCAATGACCCGGCATACATCCGCGGGGACGTTGATGTAGCCTGGGCAGCCGAGGAGATTGTTGATGGCGCCATTTTCAACAGCGGACAGAGCTGTTGTTCACTGGAACGTATCTATGTCCACGAAAGTGTCCACGATGCATTTGTCGAGGAAGTCAAGAAGGCTCTGTCGAAATATCGTGTGGGCGATCCTTTCGACGAGAAGACTCAGATCGGACCTGTTATCTCCAAGAGATCCAAGGAGAGCATCTTATCACACATTCGTGACGCGGTGGATAAGGGAGCCAAAGATGAAACTCCTGCAAATCCGACATTTGAAAACATGCCCTCTGAGGGAAATTTTGTTAAACCAACACTTCTGACTGGAGTAAACCACGACATGGTCGTGATGGTGGAAGAAACCTTCGGACCCGTAATCCCAGTGATGAAAGTGAAAGATGACGAAGAAGCTATTCGTCTGATGAATGACAGCGACTTGGGCCTAACTGCCAGTGTCTGGACAAAGGATGTTGAGACGGCAGAGAAGTTGATCCAAAGAATCGAGGCTGGAACGGTCTTTGTAAACCGTGCAGATTATCCAAGCCCGGTACCTAAACCTCCGTCTAACCTGGATCTAAGATTGATAGGAATACTGACTTTGCTGATAGGATCTTGCCTGGACTGGTTGGAAGAACTCTGGCCGCGGCGTCACACTTAGTAAGTTCGGGTTTGACCAATTTGTCAAATTGAAGAGCTTCCATTTGAAAGACTATCCAAAATGATAATGGAAATTTGGTTATGACATCCCACACCTAGTGGGATTAGACGTCAATGTAACTTTAAACGATTTGCTTATCTTCCTAGGAGAAAATGAAGAATCATTGTAGATCGCCAGGTAGAACCCTATGAGATCTTGAATGCCGCTCTACAAGAAACTTGGGCGCCGTGAAAAGACATCTGTGCTGGTTGTCGCCCGCTATACGGGTTGCTGGCGTAAGACCAACGGTTGTAAGACTACCTTCGTATGCTTTGCGTCATAGAAAGGTTGGCACTTCGCTAAGACGTTGCTTCTTACGCTGTTCGTCTTGGAGTTTACGGTGCTCAACTGGAGCTCTTGGTGCTGGCCGCTTCTTAGGCATGGGCTCGTCAATACCGCCCTCAACTTTGATTTCGGTGTCTAAATCGTCAAGGTCATCAAAGAAGAGGCTAAGTTTGGATCTCTTGGCTGGAATTTGGGACTTTGCACTGCCTTTCGAAGTCGCAGGGGCAGATTTTGGTATTGTGTTGCAAGTGGAGGAACCGGCTTTGGCCCTATGGTAGGCAGAATCTTTTCGTGTTTCCGCCACTTGAGGAAGGGAATTTTCAGTAAGATTTGTTGGGACGGCAGGTAGACGCGAAGAGTTCTTGGTGGGCGGTTTCATGGCTGCTGAAGCCTGTATAGAGACGGAAGGAAGGCGTGTTGCCCCGAAGCCTATAGCAAGCGAGTCCTCACGTTTGATACGACCAGCTGCTTGTTGCTTATTGTTTGAGCTGCATGCAGCCGGTTTCGCCGTCGAGGAGTTATTTTTTCTTCCGAAAGACGTGGAGCGGCCCAACGCGGCTTTTGAAGACGACTTGATGGCGTGTAGTCCCATCAGTGACTTGGGCTGTCTCTGTATGGCCATTAATGGATGGAGCTGTGTCCCAACCCAGGGATCATCATCTCTATCCTCGCCGCTCTCATCAATATCCTCTACCTCCGAATCAACAGGGGGTCGGCCAGCGGCCCGTGACAAATCATCTAAAGCTGCCTTATGCCTTGCTGCAGCATCCTGGACTTGCAGTCTCCTCTTTGTTCCGGTATTTAGCCCTATCTTCGTATTTGTAGGTCGGGTTATGCTTGAAAGCTTCGACTGGTTAGCGAGCTTCGCCTGTTTCTTACGGCGTGCATACTCTGCGAAATGAAGGTGGCGGGTGTAGGTTTGGGCGGTAGCTAGGAATTCATCCTCGACCATCATGTACATATCGTCATTATGTAGACCTTCACGCATATACCTAGTCAGGTGCATTAGTTAGTTATAAGTACGTTCTGCAGTGGGTCTTTTGCATACTCTTCCGGAGGAGGTTCACGAGCCGGGGATGTAGACGGAGTTCGGGCTTCGAAAACACGTCAGCGAGTTCACTTTTACAAATTGAAAGCAAGCTTACAGCGTCGGTACGATATTCTGTCGCGTTTGACAGAATGGTTCGCGAAGTCCGTGGAAGCTCGAGACTGTGCATGGGAGGGAGGCACAGGCGTCGTGCTTTTTCGGGATTTCGTGTTCGTTTGCCATGGTAAGGTCCGCGGCATGGCGAGTAGATGCAGGCATCGGGTCAAAACGCGAGTCCTGCATTGGTTGATTCTGGAATTGTTGCAGGGGCTTGGGAGAAATGTGCATTTGGCGTCTGCAGCTAAACTACAAACATCACCAACTCTCAATACTAGTCGCATTTGATATTTGCATACTCACGGTCTACAGACCCATCCAACACGATTGAAAACTCGGAAAGGCAAATTTCTGAGGCGAATAATCACATACCTAGACCTCGCCACTGCTATGGGCTGGTATCCTGGAGTTTCTACGATGCTCGTATCGCCTAGTTAATACCCGTCTATTTTCAAGCCACGGGTTGACAGCCCCTGGCATCAGCTAGGTCAGAAAACTTCCGATTTTCTTATGTAGGTGTTAGAAGTCAAATTTTCCTAGGGATTGTTTTAAACGTATGTAGGATCTAGACCCTAACCCTTCATATCTTGCATGGGGGGAATCGCTCCGTCCCGCTCCTCTAGTTACCGGCAAGGCCTGTGCGCTTCCGCAGCGAAGGTATCAATCAACCTATGCGCCAATATCCCCCTAAGCCAAAAACAAAAACAAAATAACGCCATGTAGTCATCCCATCGTAGCAAATCAATTGCTTAACCCCAACGACGCTTTCCGTGCCATGAACCCCGTTATAGTACACAAGGTGGATTGGGGGCGTAATGGAATCCGATGCGCTTAGGTCTCGCCAGGCCGCTTGCTATTACAGCTCACGATTTTAATCTTGTCCGCATGGACAGTGGATTGGTTATCCAGCTTGAACGTCACATCCTTGACAAGGAACGTCCAGACTTCATCGCAGAAGCGATACGTATCCAGATGGCCCTGATATCGGTCTCACGCATCAGCACTTGAGCTCAGTTGGGAAGTGGGCTGCACTACCTTGAAGGACAACTTTGCCTTGACCTTCTCGGCTAGAACTTCTGTGATAACCCGGTCGAAGTTTGACAGAATTTTCATGGCAAGCTGCGGTTCTATCCGCCCCTCGTTGATCAAGTCATCCAGGGTGTCCGTCAGCGACAGGCCGATGCTATGAGAACGACACACGTTAGCGCAAAACCATGGGCGCCGGGTAAGACGTAAATCCAGTACCTGCTGCCACGGTAGAGCTCGTAATACGCCTGCGCACTCATGTCAGTAGGATGAACAGGGACGGCGAGACGGTGGCCACAGTGAGAAGAGCAGCGCGGCGGATCTTCTGAAAACTACCCGGGCCAGCCAAGATCCCGGTCACGTGCACGGACCGATCAGCACCCGGCAACTTCTCGCCTTCACCGCAACAGGCTGCATCTGCAGGGCTTCTCGACGAGGAGTGAGGAGGCGTTTTGATCGCGCGGCTATGCGGCAGCTTCCGTATTTACGAGGTGCATAGCTGCGTGCTCGACACTCTGGGATTCACTGGATCGACAGTGTTCTGTATATTTAATCACTGCTATAGAGAAACCCAGCGCAATCCAACCGCAACCCCTGCTCTCCTGGCAGACGGACTAGAATCCTGCGGTGCAAAAGACCAGAAGAATTTTCTTTTGTCCCGGCTATACCAATTCCTTCTATAGGCTCCGAGCGTGCATCCCGTTGGTCAGACCCTTGAAGACCCAGGCTTGAGATTATTATGTATGATGCCTGTCCATCTATTCGGAGATTTATTCGATATCAGTCATCTTTCATATGTTGAATAACACGTTCTCTGGCTCGATCAGCTCTGGCCTAAAAACATATAAAGATGCCCAACGCCCCCTCTCTGGATTCGATAGTTCAGCAGCATCAAAACATCACAGCATCAGACTACCAAGCCACAAAGCTACTAAATCATCAAGACTCCAGGCCATAAAACCAATCAAACCATCCTCCTTCAAGCCATTAAACCATTACATTTCCTACCTCCAAGATGCAGTTTCTCATGAAAACCATCAGCTTCGCCCTTTTCGGGTCCAGGTGAGTCAAATCTCGTCATCATCTACCTGTGGCTTCAGAGCTGAGTGTTCGAAGCCTTCTCCTTGACCTGGTGGAAGCATCGCCTCACCCACTCATTACCCCAATGGCCGGGACGCCAACTTCGCATTCGTGTTATACGGAAACGATTACTCTTCCTTCGCCCCATATTCGTTGCGCCACCTTCCCCACCTCAACTTGCCCTCCAGTGAACTGTTTCCGGGCAGAAACGCACTCAATTCCTTGCCCGGACAAGAGATGCCCTCAGACTCCAACTAAAGTCCAATACACCCCCTGCCAGACTGCATGCATTCCCAGCTGCCCAACAGTGACGGTCAGCTGTTCCTCTACGCTCGCATGAATGGCCCGCCCTATATCAACTGAGGTGAAATTGTGGTGGGGATGAAGGCCAAACTCCATTGGGAGTATTACTGCACGTATATCTGCATGCGCCAAGAATATGTCCAACAAAAAGTTTTGAAAATTGCAGGGCTATCAGAACCACTCCTTTGTTCTTTCTTTTGATGTTTTACTTGCTTTACGAAGTAGATTTTAGCTATTAGACCACACAAAGGATAATGATATACATGTTACGCAACCTCTACATTTTATGAATAAAGAGCATTCAGCTTCATCATAACTTCCTGATAAGCCCTTGCGCCTACGCTGGTTGCCCTTTATCATTTCTTCCAGCAATACTCTGCATGCTTGCATTAATTCATCCTACATTACATGAACTGACTTAGTATAATATGCTCCTATCCGTTCCCAGACATTATCACCAAGACCATACTAAATTCGAGTTATATATATTTGCTCTATATAATCACCTACATACAAATGCTATGTACTGGGATAATTCGACGCAACTTCTTAAGTTACAAGGCCTTCTCATAATAATTCAACAGCGAGGCCACAAACACATGGTCGCGCGACTACGAAGCAGGTTGTACAGTTCTCTGGCGTCATGGATAGAGTCGCAATCCATATTCACCCGCCATGTCTCTTGATGAGCAGACATAAAAAGCCATGTTCTCGCTCTCTGATGTAGAAATAAACCCATCAGCTCAGAACAACAGTCCTTCGTTCGAATAGCTTCTTCTATCTCCAACATCCAACTCCTCAAGCCGCAATGTATTTCTCAGTGGCTGTGATTGCTGCCCTTGCCTCTACGGCAATGTCATTACCCAATATGTATGCACATATCTCACCCACCATATATCTCAGAAGAGCGCAAGATGCGAGTTCAGCAACTAACTGTTGGAAAGAAACTCTGACCCAACCATCAACCCTCCGGCAAAAATCACTACCACCCTTGCCTCCATGGCAATGTCATTCTCCAATATGTATGCACATATCTCACCCACCATATATCTCAAAAGAGCGCAAGATGCGAGCTCAGCAACTAACTGCTGAAAAGAAACTCTGACCCAACCAACAACCCTCCGGCAAAAGTCACCAACCGAGCCATTGGCAAGCCAGCCAAATGCTATAGGCACACCGAGCGCCTGCATCCAACATCTTGCCCAGACCCCGCACAATGTGTCGTGTTGCCGTGCATTGAAGTTAAAACCGAGACTCTGCCATGTGTCACTCATCACTGTGCCGCTACACCGACTGTGACAACAATGTTGCCATGTGCGACAACATGCCGGAAGGGCTGTGAGACAAGCACCATTTACAAGACTGCTGCTTGCACTGCGTAAGAAGCTGGTGGCAAGAATGGTGTTAGTGGAGGAAAGACAGGGTATCAGAGGGGAGGGAGATGACAAAGCGGTGGAAAGTTGATCTATTTGATTTTGGAATAATTTGCCAGTTAGTTATCGGAATTGTTTATCAGGATGGAGAGAGATCAAAGAAGGAATCGAAGTTGTAATGAAAAACTTCTAGAGCAGTATGTCCCCCAAATATAGATCTAGAATCACTGTCCGGTTTTGGTGTAAAAGAGCTCTCCAGCATAGATAGACCCAATCTCGAAAAAATTTTGATTCTACAACCCACACGCCATGTCCATAACATCAAGCGCTCGAAACCATCCCTGCCAAAACTCCTGCGCCGATTATCCCGCCGTCAGACGCTTCCCTCAAGAATACAGACTTGCCATTCTCCTGCGGTCCATCCCAAATCACCAAACGATCGATAAAGCTCTGGCACGTTTCCTTGAAATGAGGGTAATGCTGGATAATCCCACCAGTGTACGCCACTACCAACTCTTCGGGACCAGAGCGCCACCCTTCAGGCTCAGGAGCAGTAGTATTCTTGGCATTTGCATCATTCGCCAAGGTCGATTGTTTATTATTGCGGTATATCTCGGCAAATGCACCGGCAGAAGTGTTAAATTCTGGGACTATAATGTTCGAAGGTCTCCTGGGGTTGGTCGCTCCATCGCGGCGGAGCTGGATTTCCTCTGTGCAGGCCAGGAGCCCGACAACAGCAGCGGCGATCAGTCCCGCGGACCTGGTTTGTACGACTCGAGCAGTCTTTCTGAAGGCTCGCGCAGCACCTGAGTCCCAGTTCCAGCTACTAGATTCTGGGGGAGGCAATGTAGCTTTTAATTTCGCTACTAAGACGGGATCAGACGGTGTCTGTGCAACGATCGACGACAGAAACGTTGTGCTCAGCGCGTACCCCTGAACTAGGTTTGCAGGAAGGGCCTTCGATGATAATCCTACCACCGAGGTTAAATAATCGTAGAAAATTAGCCTGACCAGCTCGCCGATGTAGCGACCACCAGTCATATACTCAAAGGGCTGGAAGCCTGGGCGAGCGCATTGGCTATCTAGCAGCGAATCCCAAGTGGTGGTAATATTCAGTTCTTTTAAGGGTGGAGCAGCACCGTTAATGGTCCATTCGGTATTGACGATAGTTTCCGTCGCGTGAGGGTGTCGCGACGACACATGTTTCGCCTTGGACTCGTGTAGGTCCGACAGCTTCATGGGAATGGTTGCGTTGCAGCCCGTGCCGACGATAATGCCCATGGCAACGCGACTATTAGGAAGAGATTTGACGGAGTACGCCAGGGATGCGATCGTCGCGACAGTGTCATTAGTGATGGCAGCTATTTTTAGCTTAGGCAGAGCAAATAGCTTTCTTCGTTTGGCCGACGGCTCATCTGAACCGTACGGCCGTCTCGTGTGCCTATCGTATCCAGCTAAAAGGATCTTTCCAAGATTGAGGTCTGTTGAATTTACCCACTTGAACCCTTTCCCCATGGGCATCAACGTTGCTTCTGATAGGGAGTCCTGCCTGGGTGGAGGAAACAAAGCAAGTTAGCTCAGGAAACGCGCCAAAACAATGATCTACAGCGGGGGCCAGCTGCTTGGATCATCAGTTCGTGGGGGGGACTGTTTTAAAGCCTACATCATTGGAAAACTGAAGGTGATCCCCATCTCCAACTCGTCAGGGATTTTGACGCCGCTTGTGAAATCGGCCATTAGGCTATCGGCGACCACCTCTGCCATGCAGTCGCCAATCCACAAGAAGAGATCTTCGGCCTTGTCCTTTTTCAGGTGCTCGCCAATGGGCCAGGCTTTCTCGAGCGTGCGTCGAACCCGGTGACGCTGCGCCTTGCGTATGGTCTCCCGCGACCGCTCTTCGTCGGAGCCGGACTCGGGCGAGTCGCCAGCCTCTCCCAGCAGGTCGATGAACGCAACCCTCAGGTTGCTTCCGCCTACGTCAATGGCCAGATAGCGGCCGGTCTCTTGGCCTGTCGGTAGCCGTGTTACAGGGGTGGGCAGGAACTGCTGGTCTGAAGTCATGGCAAGCTCTGCATAGACCTTTGCAAAGCAGCACGCGAGCTGGTACAGCTTCGCATCGTTCACAGCGAGGGGCTCCAGGAAGTGGTTGATGGCGTGGTCCTCGGGCAGCGGCGTGACCGGGCGGTCGGGAAGCGTGGCCTTCTCTTGAGGCACACCGTCATCTTCGTCGTATGACTCCACGGCGACAGAATGGCTTTCGTCATTCATGCTGGTGGTCAACATGTCGCCTGGTTTCTGGTCTCCTTGAGGGAGAAGGGAAGGGGCTGGCGCGGGGAGCTCGCCTGGTTGGACACGCTGGCCAGTAGTTAGATCTTTCCAATGGCGCACCGGTGTCCGGAGAATAGCAGGCTAGTTAGTTATATTATAGTTCGGCTGTTCAGAGTACCGGGTGGTGCTCAGTGCCTATGTTCCTTCAAGTCGGGGATTAGCATCCATCGGCAAGCTTCGAGCGGGCTGAGCGGGCGGCGCAGGGCGAAGTGGCGGGAGCAGGACGCAGGGGAGACACACACACAACACACACAGACGTACACACGACACCGCTGGAGTAGCGACAGGACGGGCACGAAGCACGCGCGAGAGAGGCGGGCGAAGGGCCGCAGACGAGGATGCAGAGGTGCAGCTGGAGCAGGAGGAGTTTGAGCAACAAACGGGCTGGGAATTGGGGAGCGGATTGGCCTGCGTCTTATGATTAGAGTGCACGCCAGCCAGTCAGCAGACCGATACGACCTTACAAAGATGCGAAGCCAGGGGAAGCCAGAGCTCTGGATAACGATGTGACCCTGGCGGCCAGGCGGGCGCCGGCCCCGTCAGATGCCAAATCAGCCGGCCAGCTCGCCGCCGACGGTTGAGCGCGCCGTGGGGCCGCCGTGTCGACGCGGTGCGGCGGCGCAAGTTCGCTGCCGCCCGGCTCTCGCGCCCGCTGCGAGACTGCCCTCCGCCCAGGCTTGTGCTGAGCGCGGCTGAAAGGATTAACTACCTAACTAACTAGCTAGCTAGTCCGTGGAAGAATGGCGACGACGCAGAAAAGGGGCCTGAACCCGGCTCAGGCACAGGGCACTCTGCGCTGCAACTCTCCAGCGGTGCGTGCTGGTGCGGCGGGCGAGAACGGGCCTGCACGGCGAGCTCCATGCCTACACATACATACATAACTACCTGTTAACTAGTCACCGGTTCGCCTGCATCAGGCCGACATCCAGACCTCTGCCCGGCCCCAATCCTGCATCTCGGACAGCCTGTCACCGCCGGAACACCCTCCATGAAACAAGGCCACATAGTTACCTAGTCCCTAGGCGAGCGCAGCCTTGCACCCTGAACGCCCACTCCAAGAACAGGCATTACGGAGCACCCAGCAACAGCTCTCCCGCCGGCACCGTCATACCAAGAAACAAGCTCTGCGGGCTCTCCCTCTCCATACGCGCGCGAAAAGCGCTCTTCCCAGAGCTCTCGTGCAGGCAGATCCACGCGCTGCCGAGCAAATTCCGAGATCCAAGACGCCCGTGAGCGCTTCTGCTGGAACACGCCGGGCTGGGCGAGTTGGCGGCCTCTGGAACGGCCTCCCTGTTTGGAGACGGAAGCACGCCAGCGTCAGTCTGTCCGGCATTGGCGCAGCAAAAAGGGCGCGTAGCTGTCGGTTCACTGGCCCGCGAACCATATGCAGTGGGTCTGCATCTGCCAGCTTTTTGGCTTGTACGGAGAGTACTCCGTAGATCCCAGGCATGCGCAGGAGGACGGCGCACAGTTCAGCCCAGGTCTTGGAGGTGGCGGCTGCACCATCCCACCTGCACCTAGTCGCTGTGTATGGACATATGCACGGAGGACGCAGACACAGGCCATCCAGCCTTGTATCTGGCCCTGTGGGTTGGGTTCACGACCCAGCCGCAGCATACGGATGCAGAGACGGCATGAACTGCTAGACGATCAGGTGCCAAAGCAACCCGGTGGACCAGCACATCTGTAAGTATGTACATAGGCCCAAGCGGTCACGCGAGCGGTGTGACGCCCAAGATCAGCCGCGAGCCAGCCGTGATTGGAGATGCAGATGGTGTCAGACTATATTAGTTGTCCAAGACGGGCGTCCATGAATCATGGCGATCAGAAGCGGAGGAACAGGGCGGCAGGCAGGCAGCTCGCTAGCTGGTTAGTTATATAACTTCAACCCTCGAGCTGCTGTGCGCACAGGCTGCGATCGCCCGCCCAGCCGTCGAGGGCCTGAGCTGTCAGCGAGTTGTTTTTCTTTTTTCTCCGCGCGCGCAAATCGAACTTCGGGCGCGGGTGTTGCCCCCGATCGGGCCTAGTCAACGTAACTAACTAGCTGGCACAGGAACGTCATCGGACTGTCGAGCCCAACGCAGACGGGCGGGAAGTTGAAACGATCATCAACGACCAGAGACAAAATAAATAAATACTTCCCGACGCCCGTGTGTTGCTGATTGCTGTTCCATCACCCCAGTCGACCGACCGTCTGCGGCGACGCTCCCTCCCACCGGCCAACGGCGACCAGGGCCCCGTCCTGACCTCCGACTCTAGCCATGGGCAAACCGCCGCCTCTCGACCCCCGCCCCACAGCGATGCAACCTGAGCAACGTGACGCCTGGACCTGGAGTTTCAACCGTCTCGTTCGGATTGCGATTCTCGCCGCTGCTCTCTGTGTCGGTTTCATCGGTCTCTACCAGACGCTGCATCCTCCGTTCAACCCCCTCTGGTTTTCGTCCGGTGTCCTCACAATGGCTACCTATGATCGTCGCTCGCCGCGCCCATCGGACGATGTTCCCGCCACCACGCCGCAGCCCAACAGGGTGCCGCTCGAGGCGCACATTATGAGTATATGCCCTGACGCCAAATACTGCTTCCAGGACCTCATTGTGCCGGCCATGGAGAAGGTCCACGACAAGGTCGACTTCAAGCTCTCGTTCATTGGAAAGTACGTGTGGTTCCCCATCCCCAAAGCTGGCGAGTTGTTGTCGTTAGCTCAGACATCTTATCTGTCTTTTTTTTTTAGCGTCTCCGACTCCACCTCCGATGTGGCGTGCAAACACGGCCCGAAAGAATGTGTGGGGAACATGTTAATGCTCTGCGCTGCCAACCTGCCCTTCCCTTGCGACCAAAAAACCAAATCCGACTGCAAAACCCCCACCATCCGCTCTCTTGGCTTCGCCAACTGTTTGCTGCGCGACTATAAAAACATTCCCGACCGCGACCTGGTCGAAGGCTGCGCCCTGGAGCATGGCATTGACTTCAAGGAGCTCAACAAGTGTGCAAGCAGCCAGAGCGACCAGAAAGACGGAGAGCTCAGCGGCCTGGCCTTGCTGAGGGAAAGCTGTCGCCGAAGCCAGCAGGTCGGCGCTGTCAAGAGCTGCACTGTGAGAGTTGATGAGAAAAAGTGGTGTGTTCTGGATGGCGGCGACTGGAAGGAGTGCCAGAAGGAGGGTGCTGAGACCGTCGGTGGGCTTGTGAAAGAGATAGAACGTCTGTATAAAGAGAAAAATTAACGTCAGTTTCTGCAAGGACCAGGAAAGTTTTTTTGGGTCATCAGCTTGGGCAATGGGCCCCTGAACCACTCCAATCCGCCCACTTGCTATGGCCCATTCTAGGGTTTGATATTTCCCTTCTTCCATTTTTTTTCTTCGACAAACCCTTCGGCATGCCAATTATGCGTGTGTTCCTGCAGCATTTTCATGTTCGGCTGTTACAATATGCACTATTTAGGAATGTAACGATATTATGGAGTATAAAATCTAGGAATGTATGAGTCAATAATTGGTTCCAAAATATTCATACTTTGAGCTTCATGTCGGTTACAACTCGATTGGCGGTGAGAGTGGAAAACCCGTACTACCGACTTTCTGTGTCTTGCAGGTAATTTGCGGATGCTTTGACATTAGGGATTGGGCACTACCGGATGACTGCAGCTGTCTCAAGCATTCGAGATACTGGGTGTGAGCCCTATTGTTTGTGTACTTCAGCTTGTGTGTAAAATTATTTAATGGCAGTAGAGCTTATGGAAGAAAAGTATGAGGGGTTGTCTGATATCGTATGTAAACAGTATTGTGCAGAATGCCGTCTCATCGTAAGAAACTAGGCGACAGAACAGCATCCAATCTCTCACTGTTGCAATCCCTCTCCACTATTGTTCTTTTTTTGTGTTCCCTTGGAGAATTATCAGAGCTAAATTATCATTATATGGGCAGAAACCAGAATTAACACTCCTTAAGGTACCCTGCAACTCCCAGCCAGCATATTTATATAGGAGCCAGAGCTGACCAGGCGAAGCCAGAGTCGAGATATCTTGTTGAAGATGGATCCACCACAATACTCCCACCTGAACAAAAATCTGGCAAGCATTATACGTGAATACGCAGCCGTTAACGCAATGAGACCCGACGTGGCCGAGCTCGCAAAGCTACCAGAGTATCTGGCCTTGCTCATGGGAGTCTTTGAGAACCATATTGCTTTGGTCACGACGCGTTCTCAAGCTTTTGAAGATGGCCAGATCACCCTGTACGACAGAGCCTTGTTGATTCTTACTAGTAATGGGAAAAATATGCATAACCTTGGAGCCATAGAGCTGTTCCTTGATGAGATTCTGGGAGTGAAAAAGAACTCCAACGCTGAAGATGTAGCGCAGATTATTCAAAAGAATATCGCGCTCAGATCCATTGTGTCGCAGGGTATGTTACTAGAAGAGGGTATATGGATATCCAACTGACCCACTATCCGTAGTCATGCACCCACAGGAAGAGCATGTCTCTGAGCAACATGGCAAAGAGCAAAATGGACAGACGAATATCAACATAAAAAAGGATACGGAACAAAGAGAGCCTCCAACGGCCGTTGAAGACAGTGACCCTCGCATCGCCAGGATGCTCAAGACATTCAGTAAAGCAAAATCCGAGTTTCACTCAATCCGCAACAGCGACAAAGGCAGCAAATACCTCGCGGCAAAATTCCTGCGAGACACGGCAGAGAACACCCTTACGTATTTCCGCGACATGGGCATCCATGACCACGAGATGATCCCGCATATTAAGGCAGCGTACTGGCTTGGCCACAACAAGACGCTTGAAGACACTGGAAGAGCCCGCCCGTTTGAAATGGGGACGGAGGACTATGGTATTCGGGCGCGGCGCCTGCGCGATTCTCGTCTCAATGCTGGGCGCTCTGGCTGCTACCGGCCGGGAACTAGGGGGTATTCTTACTCATCTGGCAAATCAAGATCCCGCTATCCCCGGCACGCGTAACCGCTCGTGTGCGTAAAGCTTTTTCCTGGCTGACAGCCTTGAGGGAGAGAGTTGTTGGGAAACGAAGGGCCCTCGCTTTGTTCGAAGTACCCGCCTCCGCACGGAATAGAAAGCAGAAATCTCAAATCACTAACTAACTACTATGTACTCTGTAACTAAAACACATCCCTTCATTGCAAGCAGTAGTCATTCGAAACGGGCCAAGTCCATGCGTGGGATGCGGTACAAGCAATCGCGACAAGACGCGACTAGCAAACTCACGCCGACTACCCGGGGAAAGCAAGCCCGTTGCCCGCATGATCAGCTACGGCTAACTAAGTAACGTGGTGAGCAGCCGGGGAGATCAGCTGGTCTTCCTCCACTCCAACATCGTCACCGCGTACTTAACTACATATGAACAGGCGGGCGGACGCTCTCTGGCGGTCTGGAGTATGATCCACAGCACGATGCTCTAACCATGACCACTACCAACCCAGGCCCTCATCCAGCCCGTCCATCCGAGGAGAACGGTCCACGACCTCTTGCCAACATCGATTTCACCCCGTCCACGAGCCAGTTCACCCCCGAGTCCAGCGTTCCGGCGTCGAGAGATGGAGACACCGCGAGGAACGCGATCCGTCGTGGGCCGGACCTTCAGAAGCTCCAGACTACTGTGTTGGGGGCGGAGGACGGCGACGTGACCTCATGGCCGACGTCCGCGGAATCCGCCTCGATCGAGGGCGTCGCCAACCGCTTCCGAGACGTCGTTGGCGACGAGCCCGAGCCGGCACACTCGGTGTCCCGGGCGTACACGGCGGAGGAGGAGAAGCGCGTGGTGAGGAAGTTTGACACGCGACTGACGCTGTTGATGGCGTTCCTGTACATGCTCTCCTTTCTAGACCGGTCAAGTAGGTGTTTCTTTTTATTTCGCTACTACTCTCCCCGTATACATGCCCGCATATGTGGAGCAGTGTGCTGAGCAAGCGGTTTGTCGTGGATGATGGGAATAGATATTGGAAATGCCAAAATCGCCGGTTTGATGGACGATCTGAACCTATCCTCTTCGCAGTACGAGTGGGTCCTCACGGCCTTTTACATTACATACATCTTGTTCGAATGGATGACTCTCATGTATAAGATTGTTCCGGCACATATCTACATCCCTCTGTGTGTTCTCGGCTGGGGCTTGGTTGCATCATTTCAAGCGCTTGTGACCTCCTTCTCCGGACTGTTAGCGCTGAGGGCCCTCCTGGGGATTTTTGAAGCTGGGTTTGGACCGGGTCTGCCTTTTTATCTGTCGTTCTTCTATAGACGCGAAGAACTAGCATTTAGAACTGGCATGTTCCTTTGTGCTGCTCCTCTAGCTACCTCGTTTGCTGGCAGCCTAGCCTGGGTAATTGTCTGGTTCAACAAAGACGGGCCGCTGGCACCATGGCGCGCCCTATTTCTCGTCGAGGGATTTCCAAGCGTGGTAGTGGCTTCAATTATCTGGGCATATATCCCAGACTCGCCTGGCAAAGCCAGATACCTTACCCGTCGTGAAAGAAAAGTTGCAAAATGGCGACTTCTTGAAGCTGGCGATAAGCAAAAGAAGCATGAGCCCCAGGATCGCGTGTTCAATTGGCGTGAAGTCGTTCGAACTATTTGCGATCCCAAGGCATACCTTACTGCTGTCAGTTCTACTCCTATTTTTTTTAATGTATATCACTAACTTGGTATGAAGTTCATGGCGTTCAGCTGCAATGTTGCATTCAGTTCCTTACCCGTGTTTCTACCAACTATTTTGAATGAGTGAGTATGCTCTGTGTCTCTCTATGGCACCCCAGCTGATATGGCTTCAATAGTATGGGCTACTCTAGGCTTACAGCTCAAGCACTCTCCGCACCACCGTATTTGTTCGCCTTTCTCATAGTTCTCTTAACGGCTTCTATCTCCGACCGCAATCGCAGCCGTAGCCCGTACATCATTATGCACGCCCTTATCTCAGCAACAGCTTACCTGCTGATTGCCTTGAGTGGTTATTTTCACGCATATCTTCCAGAGCCTGTGCACATTCTCGTCCGCTACATCTGTATATATCCTGCTGCGGCAGGTTTCTTTTCTGCTATCACCCTCATTATTACCTGGACAATGGATAATCAACCTGCAAAAGAAGGTAAAGGAACAGGGATGGCAATCCTAAACGTCATCGGACAATGCGGGCCTCTGGTTGGAACCAGACTCTACCCTGCCGAGGATGCGCCGTTATATGTTCGAGGGATGGCGTTGTGCTCTATGTTCATGGTTTTTGCTGCACTGTTGGCATATTCATTGCGGGTATTGCTGCAGAAAGAGAACATGCGGTCTGGATCACGATCGGTAGGCCGAAATAGAGGAGAAGAAACCCATACCATAGCCGAGGAAGAGGGCTTAATAGCCCCCGACTCATCGTCTGCTGCTTTTGGGGGTGTAGAGAAAACGGGCAACGGCAGGTTTGTTTACATCATTTGATGTTTTCTGCGAGATTCAGCGTTGTCAAGCTTCGTCTTCTTTCGGACATGATACCCCCTTTGCGTGCGGCGATATTTAGGCATTGCGTTTCCCTTCATTGCTATTCATTAGAGCAAATATGCTGCTTATGACACCCGAGAGCTGTCCTGAGCTAATAGTATGTCGTATCCGATCAGCACGTATGTATCAGAGATACACTACATGCACATACCTATATTTTCATTAATCCATTCTAGATTGGTGTTTTCTAACCATAGCCACAGGGTTTCATAATTCGTTTCTTCCATTTAAGACATTACATACATACGCGAGGCCGTAAGTTCTGATGTACACTAATCATTCTAAACGACGAGTTCAATCAATAAACTCTTCCTTAAAATCGAAGCTGCCAGGTGAATTTTTCGATGCTCCGAAATCCAACTTCATTAACAGCCGGTCAACTCCCGCAGGCCTCCACGGAACGTATGGATTCGTGGGGCCAGACAACGAGGGAGGCACATCAGCATGAGCCGAATTTACAGCCGTGGTACTTCCAAAATCAAACATCCGTACGCCTTCCGCAAGTCGTCCGTCATCAATATCTCTTAATCGAGAAATAAGCTCCGTAATAAGAGTTTCAAGTTCGGCTCTTGAGTGGCATAACTCGGACCATATTTTTTGTTCATCACTGTGGTGGTCTGCAAGTGAATCGTACACGCCTTCGTCATTTTCTAGATCAACGTGCTTTTGAACGGACTGAAGTTGAGTAATTAGAAGAATAAACCGATCTACCTCGTTTAGAAGAGTTCGTAAAGAGCGAGTGAAAGCAGCATCTGTAAGAAAAACCGATTGGGCAATACAACTCAAATACATGCGATGGGCAAGATTTATGGTTTCGGGGTCGTGTTGGGGATACGAAGGAGGAAGTTGGTCATCTGCTTGCTTCTTGTTCGCTGTTGCTGGACGGGAATGACCTGGTGTCGTAAGTGGCTTTGTCCCATCCAACCATCGCCTGAAATGAAGCCAGGATCCGCTTATTACTTCTCCCTGCACATAACTTCCTAACTCTGAGAGAACGAAACGAGCAGCGTTGCAAATTGCCCAAATTCCACGCATTGACGTACACCTTTTGCGATCTCTTTCACGTCGCAAACGAAGCTGTTCCTGGCTACCGCGTTTGTTACTCAGAGGAGGGCCCCAGGGTGCCGGATGAATTCTCCGAATGGAGGTGCATTTCCACAGGCTACTTAGACGTATCTGTGCTCGTCGAATCCCGAGCAAATATGCGTATATTTTGGAATATATCAACATGTCTGATGGGGCTAAAAATAAATCTAAAGGGGATTTCACATTGAGAGACAACTTAGTAGGTGTACCGCCGAAAAGGAGGTCGTCAAAGGAGGTATTTGAAATATCGATCACCAAATTGGTAACCGGGGGTTCCTTTTCAGACTGAGCGCCTTCTTCGGCTTTGGTTTCGACAGTCAACCGCAACAGTTCTCTCGCAAGGTCCAGTTCGTCGTCAATAGGGTCTTCTTCATTCTGGAGCAGATAGAGTTCAGCCCATGCCTGAGATAGAACTGCAGAGGCATCTCCGTTTTGAACCCTAAGTAAATCGAAGGGCTGTGATTCTGTGGGTGCTTCTTTAGCAATAGTCCTTCTGTGTTTTGAAAGTAATCGCTCATCAGCGAATACAACCAAAGCCATTGCAAACTCTCCGCGACCAAGGAGAAGAAAGTCGTGAAGCACAGAGAGAACTTCAACAATTTTAGGCAAAGGTAAGAGTTTCGACAAGACAGTCTGCGATAGTGACAGCCGAATTTCCGACACGGCGCTGCTCAGACTCACAGGAGATAAAGGGGATGAAAGGGCTGATAGATAGCGAATGTAGTTTCCATGTAGGAGTATATTGGGTGCTGGAGAATTTGAGTCGTCTAAGAATTCGCCCTTCATACGAATATGGTTTAGGGATTTTCCGATAAACAGGATGGAGCCTGCTGTGGGCGCAGATAAGAACATTGGAAATAGATCTGGGCAGAGGGTATACTCCACACCTCGAGGCCCTGTCTCATGTGAGGCTGCGGCTACGACTTGGATAAAGAAGTCTTCTCGTCCAATAGCTGGAAGTTGGCCATATAAAATCCACATTGAAAGTTGGCGCATCCAGGCGGTTTCTGCAGCCTTGATAAGAACCATGGCCATTTCTTCCAAGTCAACATGTCCCGTTTGAACATCCTTTCTAAGACGATTTATGAGTTTTCCTGCTGTGCAGGGAATATATTCGAGGTTGCCAGGATCTGTCCTGGGGAGCATGAATTGTGCAATGTCCCAGAGCCATTCCATTCTCCGCACCCAGGGTGTGAACTCGCTGACAATCGTTGATAATGGGACTATTCCATAGCCGCCAACGTAGTCAGCATCGATAGCTAGGATGGCCTTTTCTACTTCAAGAATTTTCCGCTGAAACTTGCCAAGATGCTCCGTGGCAATGGCTGTTGAAACTGCGCGACATATAGTCGACGCGTGGGAGGACGATATTTGCGACGTATGGGTCCGAAGCAACTGATGGAGCTCACTCAGTCTAGCCAGAGATGCTAAGAGGGCCTTTTCCGGCGGAGAGAGCAATGGGAAACCCGCTCCGGCACTGTCGCCCTCCTCCGCTGGCTGGCAAAACAGAGGGGACGGTTGGCCGGATAGGGAGAGAAGGATCTCGTGGAGCATCGTGTTGGCGTGACACTGCACAGGCGCGTTGTAAGTAGCAATTCGTCCTGCCCAGCTTGGCTGCCACAGTGCAAGCCGTCACGGTCGTTTTTACTCCGCTTCGATCGCAGATGTCGCCAAAACAACAGACCACAGCCAAGCAACTCGAGTCGGCACATTCAGGAAGCGTAGACAGCCCAGCGGGGTCAGAAGAGAGCTCCAGATTGCATGGTCACTGCCTCCATCACGGTCAAAAGGGGTATCCAGGCTGCGCTGCTTTCTCAAGAGCGTGTCGGGGGGGAATCTGATGCTATCAAGCGGCGGAAGTCGCAGCGGACGTTGATGACGTACCGGCGTTACAGACTTGGCGCTGAAATATAGCATTTCCATTGGCTGAATGGCGTAATAGCTGTAATGTCTGGGTACGCTAGGCATCGCAACTCCTGCTCTTCGCTCACGCTCACTCGCTGCTCTTCCACTTCATCTTCGCCTCTCCCTGGCCGTCTCAGACACTCTCTTCGCACTCCAATCTGCGCTCTGCCCTCCTTACCGGTTCATTTGCTGAACGCCCCTCCGCTGCTAACCCCCTCTTCGAAACCCTGTTCACTCGCCCCTCCCCACCATCCCGCTCGCACCCCATAGCTTCCTACCCTTGCAGAGAGTCTTGCTTCTCGCAGGGCTTTCGGATATATTTACTTCACAATTTCCCCGCACGCCGATATATCAAAACCCAGGAAGCTTAAAAAACGAAAGGCTTCTGCTGGTGAAGCGTGCCGGCCTGAAAAGAGAATTATGGCTGTAGGCTACCACTGCACCCTCTCCTTCACTTCGGGCATGAATTAGTCATTCACGTTTGAAAGCGAAATGATTAATGTTCTTAGTGCTTTATAAATGCCTCTCAATGTACCTTACCTTGGTGTTTTCGAGGCATTGCGGTTGCACCACCATCAACTACGTTTTCGATACTGATTTATTTTACTAGGCCACAAAGATGGATATTGATACTGAATCTACAGTGGAAAAAATCAAGCATGGCGAAATTGATGAGTCCCTGTACAGCCGGCAGCTGTAGGTCTCCATCTAACTGTCTGTTTCCATTCTCCATTGCCTACTCACTTTCTTATTAGCTACGTTCTTGGCCATGAGGCTATGAAGCGTATGGGTTCGTCAAATGTCTTGATCGTGGGTCTCAAGGGGCTTGGTGTTGAAATAGGTATTCGTCGTCTAAATGTGATATTGTTCAATGAAGCTAATCGTCCTGCAATCTAGCTAAGAATATCGCCCTCGCTGGAGTTAAATCACTCACCCTCTACGATCCCACCCCTGTTCAAATTGCCGATTTATCATCACAATTCTTTCTACGCCCAGAGGACGTTGGCAAGCGCCGCGCAGATGTGACCGTTCCTCGTGTAGCGGAGCTCAATTCCTATACGCCAGTCTGCATACATGAAACTGACAGCTTAACCGAAGACTTGCCTCAGTTAAAAAAATACCAAATAGTTGTGCTGACTGCGACCTCACTAAAAGACCAGAGGGTCATTGCTGATTACTGCCATCAAAATGGAATTTACGTGCTTATTACAGACACTTTTGGATTATTCGGCTATGTGTTTACCGACTTCGGCAAGAACTTCACTGTAGGGGATAACACCGGTGAGGAGCCAGTTAGTGGTATTGTTGCTGGTATAAATGAAGAAGGCCTCGTATCTGCTCTCGACGAGACGAGACATGGATTGGAAGATGGAGATTTTGTGACCTTTACGGAAATCAAAGGCATGGAGGGACTCAACAATGCTGATCCGCGCAAAGTGGTAGTCAAAGGTCCCTATACATTCTCCGTCGGTGATGTCAGTGGCTTAGGTGCTTATGAATCTGGTGGTCTTTATACCCAAGTGAAAATGCCAAAATTCATCGATTTCAAGCCATTCAGCGAACAAATCAAACAGCCAGAGTTCGTCTTTTCAGACTTTGCTAAATTCGATCGCCCACCACAACTGCATGTTGGCATCCAAGCTTTGCATAAATTTGCAGAATCTCATAACGGAGAGTTACCCCGTCCTCATCACGAAAGCGATGCAGTCCTCGTCCTTGAACTTGCGCAGGCGCTCGCCAAGGATAGTGAGGAAAGCATTGAGCTGGATGAAAAACTTATTAAAGAGCTAAGCTATCAGGCCCGTGGTGACCTATGCCCTATGGCTGCTTTCTTTGGAGGCTTAGCCGCCCAAGAAGTTCTAAAAGCTGTGTCCGGGAAATTTCACCCCATTGTGCAATGGATGTACTTTGACTCGCTTGAGTCCCTCCCGACCTCAGTCGAGAGATCAGAGGAACTTTGCAAACCGACAGGCACACGATATGATGGCCAAATTGCCGTCTTTGGAAAACAATTTCAGGATAAAATTGCAAATATTAAAGAGTTTCTCGTTGGTGCCGGCGCAATTGGATGTGAAATGTTAAAAAATTGGGCCATGATTGGCTTAGCTACTGGGCCGGATGGTGAAATTATAGTAACCGATATGGACCAAATTGAACGGAGTAACCTCAACCGTCAATTCTTGTTCCGTACTAATGATGTTGGTAAGCTCAAGAGTGATTGTGCGGCGGCTGCTGTCCAAGCCATGAATCCAGAGCTACGAGGAAAGATTACTACACTCCGAGAACGAGTCGGCTCCGACTCAGAGCATGTTTTTGACGAGAAGTTCTGGGAACGTCTTGACGGAGTAACGAATGCCCTGGATAATGTCGATGCCAGAACTTACGTTGATCGTCGGTGTGTATTTTTCCGGAAGCCTCTGCTTGAGAGCGGCACCCTTGGCACAAAAGGAAATACCCAAGTTGTACTCCCACATGTCACGGAATCCTATTCCAGCTCTCATGATCCTCCAGAGCAGTCGTTTCCTATGTGCACTCTGAGAAGCTTCCCCAACCGGATTGAGCACACAATTGCCTGGGCCAGAGATTTGTTTCAGTCATATTTCGTTGGCCCTCCGGAATCAGTTAATCTTTACCTTACTCAGCCTAACTATATTGAAAATACTCTAAAGAAATCTGGGGCGGAGAGACAGACCTTGGAGAATGTACGAGATTACCTCGTCACTGAGAAGCCAATCACTTTCGATGACTGCGTTATATGGGCAAGACATCAATTTGAGAAGCAATACAATAACGCTATCCAACAACTCTTGTACAATTTTCCAAAAGATTCGAAAACATCCTCTGGTACTCCCTTCTGGTCCGGGCCCAAACGTGCTCCTACACCCTTAAAATTTGATGGCTCTAGCACAACGCATCTTGCCTTCATTATTGCTGCCGCAAACCTTCACGCCTTTAATTATAATATCAATAACCCAGGCGTTGATAAGGCCTATTATCTAAATATCGTTGAAAACATGATAATACCGGAATTCGCCCCGAGCGCCGGCGTTAAAATTCAGGCCGACGAAAATGAACCTGACCCGAATGCCCAACCTGCCGGAGGACTGCCCGATGATCAAGAAGAGCTCCAGCGCATTGTTAGCGCCCTTCCAAATCCTAAATCTCTCTCAGGACTCAAACTTGTACCTGTCGAATTTGAAAAAGACGACGATACCAACCATCATATCGATTTTATAGCAGCAGCGAGTAATCTTCGAGCAGAAAATTATGATATTCAACAAGCAGACCGGCACAAGACTAAATTCATTGCTGGAAAAATTATTCCTGCCATTGCCACCACAACGGCACTTGTGACTGGCCTCGTGATACTTGAACTATACAAGATCATCGATGGCAAGAAAGACATTGAGAAGTACAAAAATGGCTTTATTAATTTGGCCCTTCCATTCTTCGGTTTTAGTGAACCAATCGCGAGTCCAAAAGGAACATACAAAGGGAAAACGGGCGACGAGACTATCGACAAGCTTTGGGATCGGTTCGAAGTTGATGATATTCCCCTCGCTGAATTTTTGAAGGTATTTCAAGCGAAAGGATTAGACATCAGCATGGTTAGTTCCAATGTTAGCCTTCTATACGCAAGCTTCTACCCACCAAGTAAGGTGAAGGACCGGTTGCCAATGAAGTAAGTCCCACCTCGCCGGAGCTAGATACGTACCCATTGGCTAATGATATGCTATGTTCAGGATGAGCGACTTACTCGAACATATCAGCAAGACGAAGGTTCCCGAGCATCAAAGGAATATCATTTTTGAGATTACAGCGGATGATCAATCTGGAGAAGATGTCGAGATTCCTTACGTGATGGTGAAGTTAGACAAGTAGATGTTTCGCTCATTGATGTGTAATGAACGAAATAACTACATGGCCAGAATGAGCAGTGTTCCCCTCAGCCTTGATTCTCCAGTGGCCCGTAGATTATTAGTTCATGAGGCTATGCTTAGCAATGTTATTCATAACCAGACATCCAGACCCTCGCAATGCTTATTTGCAGATTTGTCATGCGCCACCATGCAGTAGCTGGATGGGCCGAAATCCGAAGATTATCCGTGAAGCCAACTATAAAGCAGTTGCGGTGGTTGCAGTGCGGTCTTCCATCATTACACTCGCTGTTATCATCGTATTTTCAAGCTTCTCTGATGTTCCAACCCGCTGTTCGGCATTCTCTGCTGCTGAACAGTCTCAAGTCTCCATCCCGTCTCGCAAAGCCCCTTACGTCTGCCAAGAACCCTGTATTTGCACTGAACATGTCGGTGCGTTCCCAACTGGCCCGCAAAGAATACAAGATGGTGGCCTAATTATTTTGCTAGACCGCGAGTAAAATCACTAATTGGGTAGATCCCAATGATAAATCTGGAGAATTCAGACGCAAGCCGTCGGCTTTTCGGAACTGGATATCTAGAGAAGCTGGAGCGGAATTTCCCCCGGAAAAGGATCGCTACCACCTTTATGTCTCCTATGCATGTCCTTGGGGTATGTTTTCGCCCTATGGAGCTTGTGAATGATCAATGGTTGATTCTTAATTCCCAGCGCACCGAACATTGGTCACCAGGAAGCTGAAAGGCTTGGAGGACTTCATACCCATTACATCTGTGCACTGGCACATGGGAGAGCAAGGTAGATACAACACTCGCCATTGGTTTTGTTACTATGGCTCCTAGCTAATACGAATCTCGAAGGCTGGCGTTTCGCAGTTGCGGACGAGAAATTGCCGGGAGAAACCCACCCCGATCCGCTGCACGACTTCACACACCTTCGACAACTCTATTTTGAGTCAGACAAGGATTATACCGGTAGATTTACCGTGCCAACATTGTATGACAAGAAGGCAAAGCGGATCGTGAGCAATGAGGTAGGCATCAGTGATCAGACATTGAATGACTCCTATATAATAACAAGACGCTAGAGTGCTGAAATCATTCGCATGTTCTATTATGAATTCGACGATATTTTGCCTGAGAAGTATCGAAATGTAGATCTTTTCCCAGAAACCCTGAGGAAGAGCATTGAAGAGGCAAACGAGTGGGTTTATAACACTGTTAACAATGGTGTCTATAAAAGCGGGTTCGCAACGTAGGTTTTGGCTTGACGGGGCGAGATACTACAAAATGCTTACTCGATCCCGAATTTTAGGACTCAAGATGCCTATGAAGCTGCCGTCATCCCGCTTTTTTCCTCCCTAGACCGTATTGAATCGCATCTCGCCTCGAAATACAATCCGGCCGATCCGTCTAGTATCTACTTTTTTGGCAACACTGTGACTGAGGCTGATATCCGTCTCTACACTACAATTATTCGATTCGATCCAGTCTACGTACAGCATTTTAAATGCAACATCCGTGACATTCGCTCTGGGTACCCCGCTATTCACCGCTGGATGAGGCACTTATACTGGGATATACCGGCGTTTGGAGAGACAACAGAGTTCGAACATATCAAAAAACACTACACGAAAAGTCACGGGCAAATCAATCAGTTTGCAATTACCCCTTTGGGACCTGTGCCCGATATCTTGAAGAAAGATGAGGAGGTTCGAGCCGTTTTGACGAAATAAGGGCAAATTATTCACGATTGATGTATTTACCAGCATGACTGGTCCAGATAATGCAAACTGTTCCATATATCAACATTTCATAATGTAAATAGCTAGGCCGCATGCTAGGAGCAATGGCTCTAATACCTGTTTTCCGCGGTGCTGTTCCATGGCTTATTCCTAACGAGAGGGTCAACGAATCGATTTGGCGTGCACTGATTGCACTGCAAGTTCTAGAAGAACATCATGAAATTATGTACGATATCAAGTCTCAGCACCAATATGCCAGTGGTGCATATTTTTAAAGTACAGGGGTATAAGAAAAGTATGAAATGTCGCTCAAAATGCTCTATGCAAAACTAGAATGCGAAAAGGAATATCAACTCCAGAACAGAAATGGTGATTTCTTCACACTGGGCATGGGGCACAAGGACGCGGGAGAGTCACTCAATGATTTCGATATTTCATCCGTAGTGGAAAAAGAGGTAATTGTTTTATGCGGTTGAAGAGACGAGTAGCTCCAGGGGTCCACTTAATCAATTCAATCCAAGAATCCTCTTGGAATTCTCATACACGATGTAACTGATAGAGACTGATGGCACAACCTTCAATAGATTCGGTGTCAAACCTCGATAAAGGCCACGCAGGCCCTCACTTTCAAACGTTTTTCGTGCCACGTCCACGACACCAGTGTATGTAGGTTTGTGTAGAATAGTTCCTTGGGCTTGTAAACGGGTACGTAAAACATTCAGCGGGTATACCATCGATGCACTGAGAGCACCACTGAAGGCTCCTATGGCGCCTGTGGTAAAGTTGCTAAGTGGTGCATCCTCTTCATGGCAATGAAGAAGACGGGCCTTGCGGCTAATCAGAGTTGATTTCAGGTATTCAAATGTCATGAGGTCAATGGCTGCATATGGGAACATTCCTATAAGGCCAAGTTGAAGTCCACGATAGTATGCAGAAATGCCATTTGAAGACCACATTTTTTTGGCGGTTGCGAGAATGAGCCGATTTCCTCGAAGGCCACCTTCGACGGTCTCGCATTGCATACGACTATAGGAAATTAGCTTCCAAAAATACAAAACCGATGGTGATAGAGTAAGTACATACAATTTTAGGGTATCTAAAGGATAAACAAAGCACCTAAACGGTTAGAATAATAGAGTATATCGACCATGACTAGTGCTCTTACTGAGAAACCATGCCGCCTATGCCGCCAGCCAAAAATTGGGAAACTGGAAGCAGCTGCTTGGGATCATGATGGCCCTCGATTCCTGCAAACATACGTCTGGACGCCTGAAAACGTGTAAGTTGGTATATGAGTCATCTTAGTCACAAGGCACTCACTTCATATGCCCCAAACTTGATAGCAGATTCAGGCATAACCTTGGCAACGTTTAAACCATTTCCTACTGACTGTTAGTGTTTTGAATACGAAGTGCGATCGAGGGTGAGAGCAAACCAGCAAACAAACTCCTTATGCCGCCAGCACGCCATAGGTCTCTCATTGCCTGGACAATTGGCCATGTCAACCAACTCGCTGCTTCGATAGCAGTACCGGATTTCGCGACATTTGCTATCATGTTATGGGATTTTGTCTGGGCAATCAGGTATACTTTTAGTCGATCAAACGGTGCGGTGGCAGTTCTGGACACGACACCAGCAGCTCCACCGGCAAGAAAGTAGCCTATGTGAGGTGTGCTTTCGGTCAATATGTGTTCAAGATACCGACAATAAAGCCACAGCGATACAGTCCAGGGTAGAGAAAGCCACTGTAGCTCAGAATCTTCGAGCAGAGACACTGAGCCATCAGGATGATATCGACATATGGTATCTGGGTAAAAATCGCGACCTAACATGGTCACTGGTTTGCTCGACGTAATAGAAAGATGAGAAACAGAAATAAACCCACAGGGCGGTTTTTTGCATATATAAAGGAAAGATTTAAGGGAGTTTGTCTGTACCTAAGCCTTGAAATGGTTCATTTATATGCACATCACCCTCAGGATTTAAATTTCCTGTTGCCGAATAGTAGGACAACAGGGCTCTCATATTGGAGCCATGAGCTGGATTCGCGGGAAGGAAAAGAAGGAAGTCCCTGCTCACAGTGAGCGGCCCAGAACGTTTATAAAGTCAAACAGACCACCCCACATACCTCCATTCTTCAAAACTGATGACTCCATCGTTGTTTGTATCCACGTCGGAAAAAAACTGGTCCAACTTAGAGTTACGGACTGTTAAGCCGGCGCGTGCAAACGCAGATTTTAATTCCTCCTTGCTCACATGGCCGTCATGGTTGCGATCAATACTTTCAAAAAGTTGCCCGAGTTCCTTTTCTGCGTGTTCGACAAAGGCTTCGAATTCTAGAATTATATATTAGAGGATGGAATATAAAACACCATTGCATGCAGTTGGTATGCCCACCATTAAACTGGATTCGACCATCCCCACTCGAGTCAACAGCTGTCAGGATATCTTTAACGAAGGAGTCTGCATTTTTAAGAGCTGAATTTATCTGTTAGTACACATCTCAACACAAAGTCCACTGATCAACCTTGGGAGAAATATGAAAGAAAAAAACTCACGGTGATCCATCTTCTTCAAGCCCTTCTGCAGGTCATTCAGGTCAACCTCCCCAGAGTGACGAGAGTCGAGGATCTCCCAGAGGTCATTGATCCTCTGTCCGCGCTCATGCTGTGACTCCCTTCTCATTGTTCGAGAGCAGTGGTAAAAATATATCTTTTAGCACAACAAATTGCTCTTTATAGGACCAAAACAAGTTTGCTGATGCATCCAGTTTGTTTCCCGCACAGAAGCGGGTGTCGTCCTGGGTGTTGCAAACGTTGGTCATACATCAGATATCCAGTACTCAGAACATTTCCTAGATCAGTTCGTGTAGGAAATCCCCAAACCACAGACAGCGCAGATGACTTCAGAGCCTGACGGTCAGCAGGAGTTTTTTGAACCATCAGTAAAGCTGCTGAGTGGGATGGCTTTTTGCGCGTTTTCATTGGCCGGCGGGCACTATTCTTGGCATTAGCAGGCAAACAACTCAAACAGACCTAATGACGTTTTTCGCTGGGCGCGAACAGAGCAGATCGGGCTGCGGAGTATGAGAACTCAGTACGGAGTACTCCGTATTTGACGTCGAATTGGCTGCGTTGCTGCGTGCAAACTGGCATGCGGCGCCCGTTCACGTCAGGTGGCCATGACTTGCGTCGCTATATCGACGATGTAAACGGCTTCTGAATACCTTTTTTTTGGCTCCGGATCGGCCTGCGTACCTCTTTCATCCGATACAGCGCGACGGCTATTTTGGATCGCCGTAATTAGTACAGTGAGAAGTCGCAGTTCAATGGCTGCTGATTACTGGGCTTCGACTCAGTATCACTCCTGGCTCTTTGATCGTGAGGAGCTGGGCGAAGCGAGAAAGGCTCTTGCAGACGCCGAACGAGCATTCATTCAACAATATCCTCTGCCCGATCTTAGACTTTTTAACATATACATACACCAACGTGAGCCATATGCTGTGAATACCCAGAAGATTCATTGTCGCTTGGTACTGACCTAAACCTTTGCGATTAGAGTTGAACAAGCTATCGAAACGACTGACAGTACGGCAACAAGCAGTCGCTACTGCTCAAGTTTATGTAAAAAGGTTCTACACCAAGGTGGAAATACGACGGACAAATCCATATCTTTTACTTACGACGGCATTCTACCTTGCGTGTAAAATTGAGGAATGCCCTCAGCATATAAGGCTGGTTCTGGGAGAGGCAAGGGGGCTCTGGCCAGGTTCGTATCCCCCTTTTATTCTTTATCACTGGAGGCCTAGGACGATATATGGGGAAAACCCGGCTTACGTTGGTTAGAATTCATTGTCCCTGACGGCGCAAAGATCGGCGAATGCGAGTTCTGGCTTATATCCGAATTGAACTCGCAGCTGATATTGCATCATCCGTACCGAACGCTTTCAGAGCTTCAGAGCGCCATTCCAATGACATCGGAGGAGTTAGGATTAGCATGGTCTATCATCAACGACCATTATCTCACCGACCTGCCGCTGCTACATCCTCCACACGTGATAGCGGTGACAGCATTGTGTATCGCCGTGATATTCAAGGTAGGCCAGCAGCCCGTTCTCATTCCCTCGGGGCCTTCTTCGGTTACGGGAGCATTAAGAGAAGGATGCACCAACGTTTTATCAGCGATGACAGACAGGCCGAGCGGTAGTATGCCGGCCCGTATACAAAGTACGGTTGACTGGATCGCGAATAGTGAAGTGGACATCGAAGCAGTTGTTGAATGTACACAAGAAATCGTTTCTCTATATGAGGTGTGGGAACAGTACAGCGATAAGTTGTGTAGGGAGCAGGTGGGAAGATTTGTGAAGAGTCGTGGATTGGATAAATGATGGCCAGATCGCTACCCACATAAAGCGGGAATGCCGGCTAATGAAGATCAGTTACAACCCTCAATTCTTAGCTGGAGCCATTATTAATTATAACTCCGTTCCGAACAATGATAGCTTCTACGGATATTTCTTCCTGGCCCCTATATCAGGGGGCTGGGGTAGGACGAACGGGAACAAATCGACTCCCAGTCATTATTTTCCAGAAACTCGGTATTATTATTCTTGGTTAACAGCACCCTTGAACGGAAACGGGGTTTCTTGTCCAAATGGTTGTCTCGGATGCGCGACAGAAAACACAGCGGCTTGCAGAGAGCCTATCACAGGGCGGCTTCCAAGTGTTGGGCCCAGAAATGACTCGTCACATTCATGCCAGCTAAAGCAGAGCAAGAAGGAAGACTTGCCGCTGATCTGGTCTTGAAACTGAGTATAGAATGGAGTGCATACGTGCATACGTGCATACGTGGGGAGCGAGAGGACCGTTGGCGGGTCTGATGGAGTACTACTTTTCTGAGGTCGAAGCGCACGTTTGTTGGGGGGAATTGAAGGTTTTTTTCGCGAACAAATAATGGTCTTCTATTAATAGCCGAGCCATGCAGAAAACTAGCTGGCGTCCAGGCTGGTATGTTTGAAATTGGGCGCGCCCGAATAATAAGCATGAAACGGGGCTAGGAGGAAGTGCTACCTCCTTCGTCATACGGCACCTGCAGGCGGGTGATTAGAAGGCGATGTTCCATGTATCAGGTACTCCGGACATCCAGCCCCCCACATCAGCAAGCAAACAACGGACCCTGGCTCGTTTTGCGTGCACAGGACGCGGTGCAAATGCCAGTAGTCTTTTTGATACCCGGAGCAGGGCGCGAATTGCGGTGTCGAGGTGATTGGTGGCCTACGGTGCCAGGAAGGATTCTCCGCATTTTCGGGGATCTGAGTTTCGGCAGAACCAGCGTGGCTGGCAGGAAGCCTTCACCAAGACTGGGCAATTTAGCGCATCCTCCATCCTGGTGTGACTAACAAGCACAATCCGGCGTCAGGGCCGGCGGGCAGTGCCTCATGAACCTGCTCACCCTAGAATCTTGTTTCGCGGCGGGTACGACGGTGATAAGATAAGGAGCACGAGCGGGGGAGGCCGGCCAGCACCCCGGGCCTGCGCGACGCACGGCGACGACTCGGGGCTGATCCTGCTGCTGCGGGTGAGAGGCACGCCGTCGCTGCGCGCAAGGCTGCGGCGGCCCCCGTAGCGAGCCAGGGCGTATGATTGGGCGGCGGCCGCAAGTTCGCAACGGCGGGCGGCAGGCAGCGCGAGTCGTCGGTGTGCCTGGCAGGCAACGTGCCGGAGAGGGGGAGCGGCGCTGCTTATGTCACCGACGATCGTCTGCGCTAGGCCCAAATCGCGCTTGCCAAGAGAGGCTTTTCGGACGCCCGCACTATCGACCAGGCCTGAAACCCTGTCGGCGGCCGCCGCTGATTGGCCCGCTGGTGACGCCATAACGGGGCCAGAGCTCCAGCATCGCCACTCGCCGGTCTGGATGCGCCCCACCCCCCACCAGGCCTGCCGGGTCCGGCCTAGTGCGCTGCCCTACCGTGCCGTGATTCGCCAGCTGCCGGCATGGCCTGCCCCTGCCCGCCAATCAGCACGCGGCCGCCCGCCACCAAACACGCCGCAAATTAGCGTTTTCGTGTGTTGTCACTTGACTTGCGCTAGCGCTGCGTATGCTTGGCGCCCCGGCTAAACCTGCCGCGCCGCCCGCTCCCAGCGCTTCGCCCGTCTCGCCGTCCACCACACCGACTCTTTCCCTCCCTCTTCCCGCTCGTTGCCTTCGCCTCCTCAAACAACATCCCACTTTACACCCTCACTTCCGTCCATTTCCATCTCCTTCGTCTCTTCAGTCCTCTTCATCGCTCTCCCGGTCCTCTTTGCCTTCAATTCCTCGTCCTCTTCACCTTATTCCCTTTTAACTTTGGTGTTCTGCCTTGCTTCTAGCCGTCTCGCTGTCCTGATCCGGTTATTCACGACCAAGTGGCCATTATTGATCCCGCCCCCTCACCGGCCCTCCGATTCGCCCGCCGCTGCCGTAATTCCATCGACCACGCAAGCAGGCCGCAACCAGTATATCGTGAATGAGCAACCCACTTCCTGAGTGTCCGTTGAGCCTCGCATTCTAGCCCCCCATGTCTTCCTACTTTTTTTCTGCGCACCATCCGCACCACGGAAGCCAACACCAACACCAGCAACACCAGCATCAGGTCCCACAGCAACATCAGCAGCAGCAACAGCAGCAACAGCAGCAGCAGCAGCAACTTCAGCAACAGCAACATCCGGCTCCTCCAACCCATATTGCCCAGCATGCTGTCCACACCCACCACGGCGGCCGATCTCGCCGCACCCAGAAAGTTGGTGGCCAGAATGCTCAAAGGCAATTTCGTGGGGTGAAGAGCATGCGAGAATTGGCTGAAGCCCCTGCTATCACTGCCTTTCGTGCTCGTTTTGAAGCTGGCCGGTCTTTTGACCTGGATGATGATCTGGAATTTTGTCCCAATCTTTTGACGGAAGACGACGTATGTTTCTTTTGACTACTTGGGGAAAATAGCATTATCCAATTAACCCGCCATCGTGTAGCTCCATTCTATTGCTTCTTCTGCTTCAGATCGCTCGTCCCTTGCCAGCGTTTCTCCGGATTCCTCCCCGCTCCAGCACCAGATTCAGCCGGCCCACCAGATTACTCCCGCTATTTCCTTATCTTCTGCCGCTTTGAGTTCCTTCAACCCAAATAATTTTAATCATATGAAACTCCATCAACCTTCTGCCGTTCGGACACGAAACGCCATTCCTATTGTCAATCCGAGTACTGGAATGCGTGTATCCAGTCCCCCATCCTCCATTTCCCCCGGCATGATGCAGACTGACCAACGTCGATGGTAAACATGACTTGGGGAAATTTGAAAGAAGAACTTCTTTCCAGTCAGGTATACACTTTTTTTCCGCCATGTCGTTCGGTGCCTTTCTGCATCTGCTGGGTCGACCATCCTTTTGTCCCCGTTTCTTCGGTTTATATCCTTTAAAGTTCGAGTACGATTCGTGGATCACCGTTCGTTCGACTTCTTAATACTTTCGACCTGTAAATACAATCTTTCCTCGACCTTCGCTCCGCCCCTGTCCTTCCCGTCGGTGATCCAATGTTTTATACGAAGAGACGTTTTAGTCATTTACTGAAAGCAAACGGTGCATTTCCACCATTGATTTTCGTTTCTGCCGTCATTTGATATGTGGTGGTTCTCTTAAACTTTCTTCTTTTTATTGGAAAACAAAACAAAAGAACTTTTCTCTTGGTCTTACCCAAACGATGAAATATAGAAAGAGCGGCGACTGTGTTTACCTTTTGAAAAAAGGCTGTATAACTCGATTGTGGAGTTTGTTTTTCTTTTCTTCCCCAAGCAAGCGAATTTTCTTGTTGACCACATTTATACATTTTTACATGGTTGGGATAACGGTGGGGTACTTATGTGTGGGCGAAATCTTGCGTGATATCCAGGATCATATTATTTTTGGGCTCTGGCTGAACTGGAGTGAGATAGGACTCTACTTGATCTTTGGTTATAATTTCATTTTTTGATCTTTTTCTGCTATTTGTTTCTTTGTTTGTTGTCTGTTATAGACAGAAATGATGTATGGGTGCATTGCCTTCGCTATTTATTCCGGTCAGCCGACGCAGCTTTTCCCTTGGATATCTTGAAGAAAATATGTCCATTTTTTTATACTCTCGTTTATTTACTACCATTTCACTATTCTGGAGGATTCTGATTCTATTTTTCTACAGTGAAAAGAAACACATTCTGAATGTGGCTTGAGATAAATTAACAATTCTGTTCCTTAACCCCTTTGACTCTTTGCTGATTCTCATAGTGTATTTTTATCATTCTCCACCCTCCATCTAACAAAAGTTTGGTTAGAGTACCGGAACATGGTTACTCCGAGAACCTTGAACTAGCGGGTGGAGACCAAGCTTCTTATCATCTCCCAGCTTTCAATGGCCCCAGCTGAATGGTTTTCCTACAGCAGTACTACCTATGAAGAATATCCACAACTCAGGGAGCTTCCTGCGTCTCTTTCTTGAGATTCAAGTCTATTTTGAGCCGGCAGACAGAGACTTCGCTTATAGGATTCATTCCGCAGAGGGTGGTTTACTAAATGATCCTTTCTTTTCTGCCGCTCGCACTCCTGCCAACATTTATGCTTGAGCTAACGATCTGAAGTGCTCATGTGGATGGATTTACGCAGTGTCGAAGTTGTTCCCCGGACGTACCAAGAAGATGAGTCATACCGCTGCGTTGGAGGGTCCCGGCCTTCTCACTGCTCACTAAACGCCATTGTTCGCTCGGGTCATAACAAATGGCACATCAAAGTCACCTCCAGATGGACGCCCGGCCAGCCAAAGAAGAGGAAATCTGAGAGACGTTTAGAGTTTGAACGTTTCATTTCACACATTGATTACGGCTCACTTCCGCCCCTCCTCGACAACACTGTTACAGAGATAGAGTTGGCAGTTGTGACAAAACCGAGCTTCCCAGGTCCTCATCCAAATATGCTTCCCTTGAAGTCAGATGTAAATACTCTTCCAACTTCAGGAAACAGATTTGCTGAGATCGCCAGCAAATTAAGTTACAAAATTCGAGAGGATCCTTTGAGAGTGACATATCCTCATCTTGAGGAATTATCGGTGTCAACAAGATGGGTATCGGATATCCAGACAAAGAGAGAAATTCAACATGCAGTACCCTGGATCTCTCAAGTTCAGCTTAAAAATGACAAAAACTGGTACATCTACAAGGAGATCGACGGGCCTTTCCACTCCCCAAGAGACAGTGTGGTACTTCGGCAAGAACTACAGAATCTTAAACTCTTTCGCGGTATATCAAGTGTCGTACAACTAGTTGCTGTTGTTATCTCGAAAAACCCGTACTTGACAGCCGATCAGGATTATAGCCCATCTGTCATGCGAGGTATCCTCTTGGATTACCATTCAGGAGGAACATTGGAGCAGGCTCTGATGGAGACGGACGGACGCAATCGCCCGTGGTGCAGATGGGCGCTACAGATTGCTGAAGCCCTTAACCAGCTACATCTCAGCAATATTACGCACATGGATCTGAAACCTTCGAACATTGTGATTGATCACCAAGGGAATGCCGTTCTAATTGATATAAGCGGTATCGGAGGGGTCACTCATGGATGGCTGGCGCCGGAAATGCAGGAAGCATTAGATCCTCTCTCTTTACCATTTGAAATGCGCCGGAAAAATGATGTTTGGGCTTACGGTCAATTAATATCGGCCATGGCAGAGTTTAACGACAACAAACGAGAGGAGAAACTAATGGAGAGCGTTGCAGCCGCTGCAACAGCGAAAAACCCTGGCTTGCGGCTGGATTTATCGTGCATCATTGCGAAACTGAAGCCGCTTTTCGCTAAACCAAAGCTAGTGTGATATCAAAGTCGGATCGTCTCAGCCTCCCACCACACCACTACTTTTCACGAAGGCTAGAGACCGTAGATCAATTGTGGCTGGCACCCTTAACTATGAGCGACGGGTTGACAATACATCAGTCAATAGTCGCTCCAGTCGACATCTGCCTCATCAAACCCGCCATCACTCCAGCCGCATATCAGAAGTCTAATTTAGAAGCAGTCTCGTTAGCTGAGATGGGTTTCACTGACCAGGTCCTTCACGCATAGGGGAAGCCTTGCCATCACACCCCTGAAGACCACACATCCGGCTAAACCAGTTGTGACGGCTTGTGTTGAGGCTCCTACCGTGCATACCTCTTCTACGGAGTATTACATTCGCTTCGGCGCAAGTATTGCTTAGGACCTTATGGTAATGGCTACAACGGTGCACTCTTTCGAGAAATCGGCACATAATAAATATGCTTGGAACGAAGTTTTGGAAAAATCCGTGCATGAGATGCAAAGGAGGTTATCGGAGAGCAGGATAATAAGGCGGACTGCTATTTTCAGAACACGTTCAGTTTGAGAGTATAGATTTTGAGGTATTATAGCCATGGCGCTTGATGTCCTGCCTTTGAACTTTTTATCTCTTTGCACAGACTTTAGTAAAATCTCATTTTGTAGGTTAACAGGGGGTTTCTGCAACTGGTTTTTTGAACGAACAACAATACAATTTTCTGTAGATCCTGCCTACTAGAGGTCTCCATGTACTCCGTACGGAGTTTTGATCCTAGGGGTTATAGGGGTGTAATCTTATCATGTGAATTCATGATTGAGATGTCATGGTAAGACAAAGTGCAAGGGGATTGTTGTTTGTTCAAAAGTCAGTTGCTGAAACCCCCTAAACGGACTTTAACTCAGTGCATATGACATAAAAACCCTGAAAGGATCACTCTATACGGAGTAGTCCAGGTCTCAATATCATGGAATACTACTAAAAAAGACTGAAGAAATAAGTATATCTTAAAAACTATCTAAAAGCTCTGAAGTAATCAAAGAAGTAATGTTTGCAACAATTAAAAAGATATGAAAGACTTTTTCAGTAAGTTATCTTGAGTCTGTGATTGACAGTATCTCACAATGTGTTGAAGCTGTGATCAAAGCTAAAGAGTACCAAATCAAATACTAAATCTTGTTATTTTTTTATATTCTTTTAATATGTATATCTACTTGTAATTCTCTACATTTTCTATTAATTTTAATGTATTCTGACATCTAGTTGTTGAGATAATAAAATTTGAAAATCATCTAACTACATTGGCAGATGTACTTTTTGGTGGGGGTGCCAACACTTTTGACGAGGCACTGTAAGTTCTTCTCTTACTGTAGTATATTAATACTATAAGTGCACAATACTTTCTGTCTTGCACTGTAGGCTTGATACATTGTTCTTTACCGCCTATCTATTAGGCTTGCCACTCTACATCATTCCAGTTGTGCACTGGTAACATCCATATTTAAAACCAGTAATTACCAGTTAAGACACACCACCCATGTGGGCACCTGGGGACCCTAGATCTTCGCCATTGACGCATCATTTGTCGAGAGCATACCGCCAATGACATCATAGCTTCCATACATATTTATGGTTTTCTTGCTTTGAAGAGGTATATAACATAAAGCTAATGCAATAAAAGTAGTTTCTGATAATATTCGGTAAATAAATACAGCTCTAAGTGATTCCCCCATACAAACATATCCTAAGCGCGTACATAGCGCGGCAGTAAGTACTCCGTATAGACTTGCATCTTAATATCGTCTTTTCAAACGCAGACGAATTGACTTTTGTTGGGGTCATAACAGAACCGGAGAACCTGCTTTGTTACATTTCAGGGCTTTTTGCTGGTTCGTAGCTCTTAGGGCCACCTTTCTACGTGCTTATTGTGACCGGAATTCTTACAATACCTGTCTAATAGCACAAGATACTCCATACATCTCGACGGATTAGAATTCCAGATATGCCATTTCTTCCGATATCCAGATATCAACTTTCCCGGACGTCTGTCCAACCATGGAGGCAATTTATCCTTGGAATATCCTCCCAGTCCTTCCACTCTTCGGGGCCACGAAGCGTTCTGAAAGAGTCAGACAGACGTAAGTAGCAGCAATCCCAAAGCAGGGAAGCCAGTGCTGACATGATCCGGATATTCGAAGATCGTGACGAACACCCAAACATGGCCAACGAAATTGAAAAGCATAAACAAGCTCAAATCAGGCGTCAAAGGGAAGGTAAGGGAAACGCTGGGTGGGTAGAAGAGCTGGCAAGTTCTAGTGAGGAGAATGTATGTTTCCCCAACCGCCATACAAGGCCTCGACTGAGCTAAATATGGGGTCTTGTGTCGTAGGTTAAAGCAGATAGGGGAGAAATCCACGATGCTACTTTCGACAAAATTCAAGAAAAGGTTAAGGAGGGGAAAGGGAAGGCGAAGAGATCATGAACGGAAACGAAGCGTTAACCTGAAGGGTACTTGTCGATTTGCGAAGTTTGATATTTTCCATTGCTCCTAGTTTGACTGTAACCCACCGTATTGCAAAATAAATTGATGGCACCTACTGTTGACACCTCGCTTATGTCAGTTATGTGACATACGATTTAACAATTGAAATCAAACAATCCAAAATCTTACTGAAGTAGGCTGTCCCGTGTAGAGAAGGACCTGAAGTCATGCTGGCCAAGTAGCAAAGCCTAGTTGGGGTTGGAAAGAATATGTCCGATAGGAACGTGGCTATGGAATATCATATATATGCTGGGAAGCATTAGTAGAACAAAATAAAATGCAAGAGTATATATCTGGGTCTGATCTGTGCTTCACAGCACCTTTTGCACCTGAAACGCCAAATCAAGAATATCGCCATACCAAACGGAAACCTCCCAAAAGTCCAACCCTATACAGGAAAATACAAGAACGACAAGAAATTCCTTGTCCAGCGGGTAGGTGGACTGACAAGGAGCATAAAAAGCGAGATCCAGTCCTAATAAACGGAGCGTTATATTTCGTTAAAGCTGCCATGATGCTAGGGTGTTGTTGGATCATTTAAAAATCACAATCAAGATTACCAGGAGAATTATCAGTCCGATAATCCACATGATTCCTTGACTGCCCCTCGCGTTGCGTTTGAACCGGCCGAGTCTTCGCCGCGCACCGTCCAGTCTGCCTGTGTGGCGCTCAACATGGCCGTCTACTTCATCGAGAAGTGCGACTTGGTTCTCTAGCTCATCCCCGATTTGTATGCTGAGCTGGTGTTGCCTGCCAATTGATTCTCCTAAGCGGTCGAGCTGATCATCCTGCTCTTGCATGATCTGGGCATGCTGGCTGTGGATTTGCTCATTAGAGAGGTCAGAATGGTCAAGCGAGGGGGATGGAGAGTCCCGATATGGTTGTAGGAGGGCTTCGCGGTTGGGATCTTCCTCTTCGGCCTGTGCAGTCAGAGTATCGGTGAATCTGACAGATTTTGCTATTGGATGTTGTGGGGTGGGATGTTCAAGGGTAGTTGAGGCAGATGCACTGCTGGTATTAACAAAGCCTCCTGTTAATGAGGAGCCTTGTACTTGCTCGTTAGAGGGTGGAGAAGGATTGTCTGCACCGTAGAATTCGAATTCAAGGTCCTGCAACTGTTGCCGGATGCTAATGGCTTCTTCTTTAAAATCACCGAAAGATCTGCGTCTCGGATCAAATATTAGTTCCATGCTCAAGATAAAAACGACAGTATCCGAGTCGATACATTGGTATTCATCAGCTGGGAAGGAGTCTTACGCGTCACCCTCTTCTTCAAGGCTCCTGGCCTTTTTCTCAACGCCTTCGACACCCTCGCGTAGCGAGACTAAGAAACGAGAGATCTCTCCATCTTGGGAGTTAGGTTCAAGGTTCAGAGAGATGGCCCTCTGTCGCTCTAGGAGACATAATTTGATATGGTCTGCCAGGAGGGAAAGCTGAGCCGGGGCACTCATATTTGCAGTTGCAGCAGGTTAGACGAATAAAAGGAGACGTGGGGGGTTAGGCTCGGGAAACACTGCAGCTTCACAGGCCGAGTTCCGTCGAAATGGGGATTTCAGAGTGCTCAGGCCACTGCGTTGGGTGCCAGATGCGTCGGGCGGCGTCTGGGCCGTCGAGATGGCGATGAAACGGTCGCTGCGCGAGAGCCCCGGTAAGTAACGACGCGTATTAATTACGTATTTTCACCGAATTCGCTGCCTAACTGTCGCGTCACACCATTACATACATCGTCCCGTCTTGGGCCGCCTTGACTTCCCCCCTCCCCATCCCGTCTTTCTCCTTCTCGACTCTCTTCCTCTTCATCTGTTGGGAAAGGTTTGTCATGACCGCTGTCCTTTTCTCGCTTTGTTCCTGATAACTCCATCTGGGGTTCAGTCGGCCCTCTCGACAGGTAGGTTCTCTCTTCGTTCTGTACTTGTTCTCTGATGTTGTCCTAACGGTCTCCCACGCAGAGGGGAATCCCGCCCTCCCACGCACTTTTGCCAACAACACACTCGTTGCAACGTCTTACATTCCATCGACGTGGGACTTACAACCACTGGATAAGACAATATGGCCAAAAATCTCGTGGATCTTCGATCCCTCGAGATCGCCTCCAAATATGATGGACACTTAATGTGCCCTATCTGCCACTGTCCCTTCGTTCACCCCATGCAATTGAACTGTGACCACATCTTCTGCCAGCACTGCCTGGATGTTTGCGTCGGACTTGATACTTTGGACGATGTTCTCTGTCCCACTTGTCGATCGCCTATCGATCCCGCCATTAAGAGCGCCCCCAGACTTATTTCAGCAATGTGTGATGACATACTCGTAAAGTGCCCTTACAATGCTTACGGGTGCGACGAAGTCGTGCAACGATGCCATATACAGGCGCATGTCGACAAATACTGTGACTATATGCCTATCCCATGCCTTGATGTGACCTGTAAAAAGATGATCCGTGCCAAAGATGCCCCCTCGGATAATCGCTGTCTACATGAGTTGCACGAGTGCGAGGACTGTGGCGAGATGATAGCTGAGCTTCACCTTAATGTGCTTATGAATCCACTCAAAGATCGTTGTGAAATGCGTGACTAACTTCTTATTTCAGAGACATCTTAAGAAAGAATGCCCGCAAGCAGAAATCAAGTGTTCTGGCTGCGGCGCTACATTTTGTCGGAACAAACTTCAGGAGCATGATGAAGTCTGCCCTACAAGCCCTTGCCGCGCCGCTTCCTATGGGTGCAACGTCAGGCTCTCCAAATCCGAAATCACAGCACATGAAGAATACTGCCCGATTATTGTCCTTGGACCGTATTTTGAAAAGCAGTCAACACGTATTGCATCCATGGAAGCTACAATTAGGCAGCTTCAGCAACGTAACGAAGTTCTCGAAGAAGGTATCGCCGCCATCCGCTCTTCTCTACAAATAAACCCTCCTATATTGCCAACGTCAGAGGGTGCGCCAGACCCACCAGAACCAGTAGTTGAAGACGCACCACCTCCATCCATTTCGGAGTTTCAGACCGAGCCAGACGTGCTGCCAGAGCCAGATGTGCGGCCAGAGCCAGCCGCTCCTGTCGGCAATACAAACCCCACCACCTACCTCCTCTCCATCCACGAGTCCCTCCGCGATGACGTTGCTCAACTCAGCAGCGCTTTATCCGACTTAGATGCTCGTACAAATATGTCTATCATGAATGAAAATATTCGCCTTCGGGAAGACATGGCCCATATAAGCGCAGGGTTGAATACAGTCCGAATGCAGGTACATATGCTCATTAATTCTCGCCTACATCAAGGGCAACAAAGGGCGATGACTCCGCGACCCGCCCCACCTGCTGGTAATGGAGGGACCAATGAAATAGATATCCCCGGGCCGTCGACCGCTACTGGCCAAGATCGAGTCGAGCCAGATTCCCAACCCAGACCCAGGAGACTCAGCGACAGTCGCGAGGGCACGAAATTATGATTTCTTTTCTTTTACTTTTATTTTTCCTTGTGGAGAGTTTGGAATACCCCCTCTTTTTGGTTTCCTTCTCCTTCCTTTCCTTCTACTTCCTCATCTTCTTCCTCTCTTTCCTATTCATTTTACATCTCTCTTCTAAAACATCATTCTCCTACCACAAGCTTCTCTCGGAAGTGCAACAGTCTAAAAAGTGGTAGGAATTGGGATCTTGGACAAATTTTCAAAACATGTACACGCTGGACTCTGGGCTTCTTGATCCCATCAAGTCAATTAACGGCGTACCTACACACACTGCAGCTCTTCTACTAAGGGAGATCTAATAGGTTTATACAGACCGATAGGTCTTGGAATTTTACAGATATAAACCATGTTTCGGTCTATTGTTGAGTTTATATAACTACTTTATCAAGGAAGTTTAAAAGGCGATCATTTTTCATCGAACGTAAAATACCAAAAAGTTTTACATTGCCCATCCGCCCAAGGTCCCTTCACAACGCAGCAACTACTATCATCGCAGCAGCACCACCCATCAGCCATCTTGCTGTTCCTGTCACTTTTGGTGCACCGCCTGTGCTAGCAGCCGCCGCGCCCCCACTACCGTTGGCTGAAGCCGCGTTTGCTCCGGCACCAGTTGGCTCTGCTGCAGCAGCGATGTTTTTGAGCTTATCGGCGCCCGCGGTGATGGCGACAGGTACGAAAACCATGTTCGAAGGGTCACTGAAAACGGCGGACGTCATAGTAGCTTCAGCCGAGCCACTGGCACTGGCAGAAACTGAGGCGACACAGGATGCACTACTGGTACCAAAGAGTTCACAGCGCACTTCATTTTTCCCATTGCTTGGATTCAAGTTAGCGCTAGTTTGACATTTGAGGACTTTTAGCAGACACGGAAAGATTATACGAATGCATACATATTATTGTCAACGATCGTGTTGGTCATTTCATATGTCTTCGGGCCTTGGGCAATCGTTATTCCAGACTGCTGGCATACATTTTGATCGACACTAAGTGGGCAGAGAGCGTAGGATGTGATGTCTGGCCTCTATTCCACGCATAGGACGCTGGGTTAGCTTCATGCATGCCTACTATGGCCGGATATCTCACAGCTGCAATCACAGACGCCCCCAGAGACATCTTTTCTTCGCCATCGCCGAATTGGGGCAGCCATAAGGATACTGTAGGCGTGGGTTCTGTGGGGTTTTGAGGGTTTGCAGCAGTCAAGGCACCAAAAAGGCAGGCCGACAAGAGTGATATCGATTTGGAAACCATCTTTGTGTGTTCCTTTTTTTTAATTCCTCTTTCCCTTGTTTTATTCAGGGCGTTACTCTGCAGGTTCGAATATAGCTGCGGCTCAGCCGTAGCACGTAGTTATACTATTAAGATTAAAGAAGTATTGGGAGAATGTAAATCCAGAGAGTGGCAGTTTTCTAGAGAAGGAGACTATTTCAAAGAAGCAAAACGACCTTCTCTGGCCATCGCGATGATTATTATACGAACCGCAGCCACCCCAGATGACACTCATCATGTGCGAAATTCTCTGGCGATGGTGGCACTCGACTAAGAATGGGCCCCTTTCGATGCGCCCAAACCGCGAACGCATTGACGATCTGTGACGTTTAGCGACAATCTTAAACACGACATAACGGCTGTTACTGGAGCTTCCAGCTGCATTAATTTCGGGTCGCGCAAGGGGCAGGCGAAGCTTAAAAGTATACGAACCGAAGCCGTCGCAGATCGTGGATTCTTATTACCATTAAAGCATCAACTGATATTAAGCAGGGCTGAAGCTGAGTGCTCCGTACTTGATGGCTGATGATAAAGAGGCAACTGACAAGATACTTGCATTGACTATCTAGTTAGTTAACTAACTATAGAACCCAATGGGTTCACTTGCGGGCGTGCTGGTTAAATGCAGAGAAAGATTCCAGGGACAGATAATTATTTTCTACCAACACTACAAATCACGCAATTAACTATCAACGTCCTGAAGAGCATGGATATTGCATACCTAGAGAATACTGTATGCAAACTTGCACTTCCCACTTTCCCAGCCATACCTCCACCAAGCACAGAGGAACCCTTGCTAATGGACCCTGTAACAGCAGGAACCGGAGTCACAGTGATACCTGAGGCGGCTGAGACAGTTGCATGTACGCCCCCATTCATTGTCACCATAAATGTGCAAACCTTGTTCTGGCATTTTTGTTTGCCTAAGAGCAAATACCAGCCAAAAAATATCCTCATATAGCATCATGAAACTAAGAAACTTACGTGCTGGGGAGGCCTTCTTTTGTTAATTCGAAGGTATGGTCACCTTGAGCCAGGAATTATCCGTCTTTTGCAGAACTCTAGGCTTACTCCCGCATGACACATGTTGTAGGGTATGATATGGGTTTCCTGGTCAATATGCCCAAAATCGGAACGTCAAGAGCAAAAATGTTAAGAAGTAGTAGCGATCCCTGGAAGCTATAGCTTCAGCGTTTCTGTGGGTTCTGGTAGCTTTGAGAAAGGGCATATTTCAAAATAGATTGCTGAGTATGACTTTCTAGAAAACACAAAGTCACTGAACAGTTACGTATTTTGGGCTCAGATGGCTATTTGCAATGGGAATTATGGCATGCATTGGGGTATCAACAGCACATAAAATAATCAATGCACTTGAAAAGAAATGATGAACTTCAGCCATGTTTACTTCATATGGCATATTTCGGAGGCCAACAATTAACGTCCATCGTGATTGATTGCAAATGTTTTAAACAAACTTCCCAAAGCGAGCTCGAAAGAGGATCGGCGTCGACCTCAAACCAGCTTACTAGCTTAACTATCCCCTAATCGCTTCAATGAACTCAATGCCAGAACGCCTTGTGAGAAGGAGCAACAGAGAAAAAGCATAGAGAGAAAAAAAAAGTTCATTGATATTTACATCAGGGAATCCCCCGAGAAATCACCAATTGAGCTCTGGTTATAGCCGCTAGAATGATGATAGACACAGCACCGAGCGGATGTACGACATTGAGATACGGTACGAGATCATTCGAAGTATCTTCAAATACATAGTTCTGTACATTGAAATCGTCCTAGGAGAAGAATTTGGAGAATTTTTGAGACATCCCAGAGAGGTTGGAAAGCTTGTCCCATGGCATCGAAGATGACCCAGAGTTGGACTGATTATTTTGCGAACTACCAGTGAGTCCTGCAAGAGCAGAAAAGCCTGGGATATTGGCGAATGGATTGGCCTCATTACCGCCTGCATTACTTGCAGAACTATCATGTGGCTGATTTTGTTGAGGTCCATGTCCGTGGGTATGGGGATTACCCCCGCCACCTGTATGGTTATTTCCCGCCCTTACGCTGTCAGCGCCTAAAATCTCGTCTAGGTTCACTCCTTGATCTTGTTTAGACTGTGCCCATTGTTGGACAACATCGAACATAGCCTGGTGAGCCTCATTATTCGTATCTCGCAACGCAGGGTGATGGAAAACGGTTAAACAATCATGCACAACCTGGTCGACGGAGAAGTCTGAATCTTGCCAAGCATAGAGAACTCGTGGGACGACGTATTTCAGAATAGTTGCAGCCACATTTCCAGCAGGGTCGTTGAGAATGTTCGAAAAATGATCTTTCGAAAGCAGCGAGTGTGTAGGATCTGTGCAAGTAGGGTCAGTCCATGGCTCGAATTGATGCTGTGCAGAGGTGTTGAGGACTTCTGAAGAGCCTTGCTGTAGTTGTTGCGATGCAAAAGTAATCAGTGGCCGGACAAATGGCGCCAGGAGAGAATAGACAAAGATAGTTAACGTTTCTGAGATTTTTTCCATCAACGATTCAAGCCCAGGGATCTTCTCCACTATGGAGTTGATTCTTCGAATGACTTTGTCCCTGAAAGCAAGAATGGGATAGATCTGTTCGATTGTTTTCTGTGGGTCAAAGCCTGCCATTCCGGGAGCATTCGAACTGGTATCACCAGATGCTCTGTATTGCTCATATGGTTCATCGTAATTTTCATGGCCAAACCCCCGAGATGCGCTATGTTGTTGCTGACTAGCCTGGGCTTGAGATTGCTGTTGCAATTGATGTGCTTCAGCGATAAGATCTCCCATCCCAGGGACGTTTCCCAGCATGCCTGATAATCCGTCCAAAGGTCCTGCTGACCCATTAGCTTCAGCATTTCCAAGAGCGTTGTTTGCACCCTCAATCTCCGATTGGGTGAAATGATCTGTGGCTTCGCCAATGACCGAGTGAAAGAAGTCGACCATGCCAAAGGTGCCCGTCACCAATGGAAAAATATGTTGCCCTCGAACATCTATCATCGTTCCTTCGCCTGTATGCGGGAAGACATTCGACATCCCCATTTCACGCAGCACAAGTTCGCAATAATTTGTGTGGGCGCCGAAGTCTTCTAGAGTATGCAATCCCTGACCAAGACAACGTAATGCCTCAAACAAATCTTCTTCGCGGCCTTCCTGATTGTAAACTCTCCCAAAATGGATGCTTCGAGTAAAGCTATACCTCACATAGCCTGCACTCGTCGCCCAATCTCCTTGTTCATTGGCGATGTAATTTTTCATGCCGGTTTCTGGGTCGATTTCCAATTCAATTGCCCTTACAGGGCCACGCAGGCGCTGATCATACTGCCGTGCATCCTTATTATCGGCGTAATCTTTTGGGTTACTTCAGTTATCATTAGCAAAGCTGAGTGGAAGATATCGGCAGCATTGTTTCCATACTCAATGTGTTCCTCGGGTCGATACACTCCCAATCTTTCTGCAGTGACCTCGAATTCGCCCGTGGCGTAGCCGAAACTCATAATCGAGAGAATCCATACCAAAATACGAATAATTTCTGGCTGCAATTTCTGTAATGTGCCGACATCCATTGCTTGGGAGCTAGACACAAAGGCACCGTTAGCTAGTGGGATAGTTATATGACATCAGTAACTATACGTACTAGTCTCTGAGCCAGTTTCCAAAGTATACTCTCTGGACCATGCTTGATGTCCACTTGTGGCCTTTGATAAAGGCAAGTGTCTTGAGCAAATCTTCAATGTCTCCATGTCGCCAATTTTTACCCTCAACCGCAGAAATAGATGCAATGTCTAGCCAATCGTCAGTGGGATCGAGCTCAAAAGGTGATTGTCATATGGTATTCCATAGTGTAGGGATAATTATTGCAACACTCACTTCCTGCACCAAAAGCATTGACTTGCAGCGGAAGCAGCACAAGCACTGCGCAGACAAGAAGCACAAATCTGGTATCCAGAGAACCCATGATGGCGTTCTGGCGTCGCTAGGCGTTTTCCAAACACGATCCACTTGGTCTTGAAATCGTTAGGAAGATGAAGGTGTTGTTTGTAGGATGTTGAGGGTCTGTGGTGGGCTGTTGACGCGGGGTGATTTTATAGCAACACAACAAACTATTACAAAGCGCGTGAGGGATCGGATCTTGTTGCCGGTGACTATTTTGCCGGGAATGCCCCTCTCCTCCTCGCTTCACATCGCCAGGCCTGTCGTACAGCGAATGCCATGACTGACTTGGCTGCGTCTGGATACATCATAGCCAAGCGCTGTGGTGGCTGAAGCCCCGGCCTGAAGAGACGGCAAGCTGGCAACGCTCTCAGCCCTACCGGGATTGTGGTGGCTGGTGGTGACTGGTGACGGCCGTCCTGGATATGAAGGACTGAGAGCAACGGCTGTTTATCAAAAATGGATGTGCTTGGAATTTCTATTGGCTAACTACGATGGGTATTGCCACGTTTTAATCATCATTTTTCATACTCCTACCCATGACCAATATGGTCAAATTTGTTTTTCATCATCAAATCAAATCATTGGCCTAAACTTCGTAACTGGTCCTGCTCCCCTGGCTTCAGTGCCGAAAAGATCTCCTGGAATCCGGGTTTAGCCGCCTGTTCGTGGAAGAAATGGGACAAGTAGGCCTGGGTCTCATCATCACGCTGTCGCACTCCTGTGTCAGGTTCTGCAAACCCCATGAGTTCCTGTTTCGTGATACCGAGCCCCAGGTCAAGGGTTCCAGAGGGCATATCTTCCCAGTCAGCATTCTCGTCATCACTCTCAACATCTTCAAAGTTTTGTGAGCCGGGACCGTGGATACCCCTTACTCCAGCGGCGGACGACAATTCTTCCACCAACACTTTGATGATTTTGAGCGGAGCTGGGATGATGGTGTATTGGTCTGGGTTGAGTCGCGACTGGGAACGCGTCTTGATCCGGCCAGTATCCTGGATGATAAGGTCGCCTTTGACTTGGACTTGAGAAACACGAGGATCTTCGAGCTCGTAGATCTTAGATAGCGCGATCACATTTTGTCGAATTTCGTCGTATCCAGCAAAGTTAACGGCGTTTTCAAGCCACTTGCCAATAACAACATTGATGCCGCAGTGCCCGTTGACGTCCACTTGCGCAAGGAAATCAATAACCTCTCGAGCACTAACCAAGGAGAGACGCGCAAATACTAGAATAAGGCTTTGAATGAATTGAGCTTTCTCCGCCGTGGCGAGGCGCTGTGCCACTGCGCGAAGAAGCTGGGGCAAGAATGGTCCTAACTTATCAGAGCCTGCCTTTTCGACAAGTTCGGCTGCCAACCCTCCAACCTCAGCTGCCGCGCTATCTTCCACGGCTTGGCCAAGAAGGCGGTCAATTATAATCAAGACGCTCTCAACGGCGTCCTTACCTGTTTGCGAGTCATGCCAAGCAAAAAACTGATTGGGATCATGCTCAAGCATGTGTTTGACGGCCAGTGTAGCAGGAGGGAGTAAGTCTGGCTCCGTTGACGTGAGTAGCAAACGGTTCAACTTTGGCATTATTGTGGCGATGAGACCCTGCGGAAGCGGCTCAAGACCATTCTCGGTCAGAGCACGTAAAAGCTCAACTGCTAGGTTGGTTAAAGAGTTTTCCTGTGTTAAATTACCAACGTCAATGGCTCCAGTCAGCGATGGCAGGACCTTTTCACACAGCCGGATATAGGAATCAGAGCCCGATTCAGCAATATGCTGTACCACGTCTTCAAAAGTTTCCGTCACCATCATTCCTAGTTGAAAGTTGTTTGCTCCATTACTGGCAATATTGAAAAGGAGGTCGAGGGCGACCGAAGAAAGCACAACTGCAGGATCGACCATGATGGCATACCGAATTGTGTCAGCCAAAGTAAACATAAGATCATCACCTTCAGTCATGTCTCTGAAATCAAAGGAGGCAATGGAGTCAGATAATGTAGTAATCATCTGGAGTTGGAACGGCCTCGTCAACGCGGTTGGGAGGCTGGGCAAAAAGTCTTGCAGGGCACAAATGCAAGCAACTTGAACAACTTCCGCAGTATCATTCGAAATCGCTTTAATGACAGCGTCTAGGTAAGACACAGCAGTCTGCTGGAAGCCTTCTCCGGCAGTTGTTGCTATTTTTCCAGCCAGAAGATATCCGCGGGCGCGCAGAAAGACATTTCCCTGAGTGATGCAAAATTGGATGAAATCATTGAAGCCATTGGCGATGGTCAAGGGAATACTTGTATCAACTTCGTGGAAGTCTTGAAGAAGTTGGTTAAGCACAAAAAGAGCTGCTTCACGCAGTTTCCAACTGAGGCGCGACAGTTAGCATTCTCACAAGAAGTAACGAGTAGATCTTGTACCTTGAATTTGGGTCTGAAAATATGGCAGTTATGTAGGCATGAAGCGCTTCAACGACTGTATTCTTAAGCCATTCGCCAAGTTTGATGACGACATCGCCGCTGCAAGTCCTGGGGGTGTAATTTGAAGTAACAGCGCTCTCCTCGGAAACGTATAAGTTTACATCAATATCCCACAGCCCCTCCTCCTCAGTAGAAATTTGGGCATACGTGATAGCAAGTTTAAGGACGTCTGGTAGCCAACTCGAGGTTGTTGCTGCACTGCCCGCTGCCTGCAACTGATTCTGAAGTTCCACCCGAACAGGAGGGGCACGAATCAAGGCTTGCATCAAATCTAACTCTTCAAGAACCAAAAAGTCAAGGGTGTATGGGAGCCCGTCTGCATCCTCCAGTCTACTCTGCCGTTCATCTCGAATATATAGATCCTGATAGACATCTTGGAGGGTAGACAATTCGGTCCAAACATTGGTAAACAGGGCTGTGCTGTGGGCAGTAAGGAGGGTGGGGAAAACGGCACGGATTTTTATCAAGGTCTAAAGAGAACATGTGGTTAGGCCTTTGAAGCAAGAAAGCAAAGGGATAGATACCGAGCTTACCTTGACTACCTGCAATTTTAATGCTATCATACCCCGCCATTGCTCGGGCTCAGGGGCGTCTGAGGCTTCTTCCTCTTCACTAGGCGTTGCAGGGACGGGCTCTTTCAAAGTAGCAATGAAAAACGGAGACCATCCATTTAACGCTTCATCCATAAAATGCTTAACTGCCGCCTTGTGCTGCTCCAAGACCATCTCCAACGTGTCAAAACACGCGCGGAAAACGGACACTGCCAACGCACGCAAGATTGGCTTCCGCGAACCGTTGGTTGCAACGTCAAAAACGGTCGAGACCAGCTCTCGGGCCACCTTGAAGAACTGCTCCTCGCTGAAGCCGGTCTCGACGAGGTCTGAGAGCACCTTGAGTGCCCCATGGAGCTGCGCGTCATTGCTGCTGGGAATGACCTGGAGCAAGGTGGGCAGCAGCTCCGGCCACTCGTCGGGGAAATCTGCACTGGCGATTTTGCTCACGACGTAGCTCGCGGAGGACTTCACTTTGCGGTGATCTTCTTCGGGTGAGATGGCCAAGTCCAGTAGAACGCGTCTCAGGTGGGCTTTGTTCGCGTCATTGACCAAGACCTGGCCCTTGAACTCGTCCAGCTGCGACGACCATGCTGACACGATGAAGGTGCGCAGAATCAGCAGGGCGGCCTGACGAAGAGGCACGGGCACGGAGTTGTGCGAGGCGATGGAGGCGAGCGAGAGGGGGAAATGCTCGTTGGTGTAGAGGTTAAGGAGCTGTCCCTCGGCACTCTTGCGCGTTGCGGCGGCGGAGGAGTGCGTGTCGGAGAGGAGCTGGAGGAGCTGCTGCTCCATGGTGGCTCTCGCGAGAAACTTAGTGGGCTCTCGAATTAAGCGGAGGGAGCAAACGAGATGTCTTCAAGGTTTGGGATGGGGTGTTTTGTGTGCCAGACGCGGAGGGGCGGACGGGCTAAGACGGCCTAACGCCAGCGGTTGGGCGGCCCAGCGATCCTGCACAACCACCCAGTGGCTGTTGGCGGGGAGACCCTGTCGCGATGCTGTGCTCTGTTGACTGTTGTGGAGGATCGGATCTGGTGGTGCAGTTGTGACGGCATGTCTCGTCCGCATTGCCCGAGGGATCAAGCCGGGCTGCAAGATGGCTCGACGCCACAGACAGCGCGACAAGACGCCAGGGATGCGTCCAGGGTCTGCTGTGAGGCCTGTCCGCCGTTTGCTGATTACATCTAGCTAACTAACTACATAACTACTCCATATGTGCATGGAGCTCAAATGGATTGTGATCTCCACCCAAAATTAGTTGATGATTCCAGCCTTAGTTAACTATACCCTATGTCAATGCCTTTCTATGTATCTATATTTACCATACGTCTGCACCTCGCAACACTCCCCTTTCTCGGATAGAGACTCAAAAGCTCCAGAGCCCACTTTTCTGGAAAACTCGTAGTTCAATGAATTAAAGCCTGGCCCACTGCTAGGATTTGGGCATCATGGCCAAGAAGCCGTTGAGAGCTGGCCCCAGTTCCCCATCAATGGTGAGCAGTTGGTGGCAATGGAGCCGGTTCGAGAGCCAGTTCTATCACATTCTTGCTGTCGTCCTGTACCTCGTGTATGAAATGTACATGCATACTGTCGCTTGTGAATGGTGGTGTTTTTGTTAACCGCGCGAAGCATTCTCATAAACTAAAACATATGAAGTTGTGAAGTCTCTCTGAATCTGCATTTCTTAGTTAACTAGTTAAGTGAAAAGTGTCAGTCGACGGCATGTAAAACCTTGCAGCAAACCTTTCCAGAAACTACTGTACCTAGGCCCTTGAATTCCTCACCCGACTCTATAGGACGACTTGTGCTTGGAGGTCAGCCTGTTTAGCGCGCGACTTCGGCGCCGAGCAGGGATGCCCAAAGCTTCGATGCACCCGTCAGATGAAACGTGGGAGCGGCCGGAGTTAAAATGCAGATCGGACCAGCTTAAACGACGTCTAGGGTGGCTAGCAGAGCTTATCAAGGCTGAACCCCCAGCCTTGACGGCCGAGCGTGTCTGTATTATTCAACCCTAGGCTGAACATCACCAGAGAGTGCCATCATTCTCTGCCGCTTGATGCTGGTGCGTGGGTGAGAGCACAGCACGTGATGGCGTATCTAAACGCGATATTTGTTTCTTCACTGAACAGACTGACCATCTCTCACTCTCTCCTTCACACCATTTCCCCTTGACCTGCCCTGTGCTGGAGGCCAGCACGCGTTCTTTTCTGAGTGCAGGTCCTTTGCTGGCTCCTTGTCTTTCTCTGTTGGTGTCTCTTGCTTATTCCTACCCTCAATATCGCGTCCTGATCTGATATCAGAAATGTTTTGAGCATCCAGAGCCAGGTGTCTGCAGCCTTGATTAAGAAAAACTAGGCCAATGCTGTTACATGAACTGCCTGCTGTGAGATAATAAATTGTTTCCTGTGCTTCTGCCTAGCCTAGCAGCCCGATTGATTAGCCGTTGTGCTTGGCTCTCTAGGATGGCTGAGCATAGCTCCATGCAAGAAGCTGGTGCCCTTCCAGCATTCAATGAAGACACTTCCTCAAAATCTCTGAATGACGGAGCTGCTGCTCAAGTGTTGCCAGGAATCACTGCCGCCCCACAGATCAACGCCGTTTCAGCCCCAAACCGCGAGCCAGACACATATGCGAGACTGGTATCCGCCTTCTCTTCTTTCCTTGCTGTGTGTATGCACCAGATCCTCTATCTGCGTGCTGTATATCCACAAAATGCCTTTCTTCCTGTCCGCCAGTATAATCATGCGGTCAGGCAGTCACGCCATCCCAGGGTCTGTACTTGGATTAATGATGCTTGTAACTCTGTGGAGGCTGAGCTTTTGAAATGCACTACCGCCACCGTGTCCTTTGTCATTCTCTCCTCTGCAACAAATAGTCCGCTGGAACGCTTCAATTTTGATGTCTCTCAAATGCCACGAGTATCCCCAGCCGATATTCATACTCAATTTGCCAGCTCTGTCCAGATTGCTCCAGACAACAATGAAGCTTTGCACCAGGCAGCAACCACCCTTTCCACATCCACCATTAATATGGAAGCTCAATTCCGGGCCGTCGTCGCAAGACTTTCCTCTGCATGTGCAAGATTGACACCGTTACCAGAAACCGAAGACTTCTACCCTTCCCTCTTCATCACACTTCGCGAAGACGCAGATGCCCCCGTTGGAGTCACAAACGAAGAATTGATGTGGATTCCGGCAGAATCAGACTCCCCCACCAACCCGCCTGTTCACGACGTCGGCAATCAATTTTCTCAAAGAAATTCCGCTGCAGCTGGCGGTGCTCCAGGTGGCAAGAATGAGCCAGCGAAAGCAGCCCCTGGCGTCTCCGATGCCAGCACCCTCGATGCTATCAGAACATCTGCCCAGTTACGGCCGCAGACGGTGCCCATTCGACGAGTCGATGCTGGGGAAATGAAAATGGAGGTTTGGGTCGAAGAGGCGCTTGGAAAATTTGATACCTTGAATGCTCTCTTTTCAAAATAAGAAACTAGCGGCAATGGTCTCTAGTATGTCTCCAAAATTCAGCTTTGTTTTTTCTTATCACTGTATTTTGCCCTTTGTTCTTCCATTAATGATAACGCTACGATCCTCTGCACTTTAATGATGCCCCTTATCAGGCCAGTTTAATGACTATGCCGCTGTGCTAGTTTGTTTCTTTCCTTTTTCCTTCCCTTTCCATCTTTTCTGCTCTAATATTCTGCATTTGGCTTCCTTTTATGTATAGCTATAGGTCATTAGGCAAAAAGAATGATTCCAGCAGAAATACTACCATTGTGTTGAGTAGTTGAGTCAAGAATTTACTTAGCCATAATATCCCCCTTAAAATATAAATAGAACAAAAAGAAGTGGGCTCATAGGCTAGGATTCCTGCAATGTCTCCCACACCTATGTGAGAAGGACAAAAATGTCAAATAGGAACATAAAGAAAATGCTATGATATGAAAAAAAAATCCATCTCTATAAGTGATAGAGCTTTCCAACTTGTAGGTTAAAGTGAATGATGGAACATAAATCAAGAAAATGCGGTAAGAAAATGTGATTAAAAGGAATCAGAACTAATTGTAAGTCAGCAAAGAAGAAAAGAAAAGAGCAAATGTGGAGTTTACGATCTGCCGTTTCGTCACAGGACAACCTTTTGTTAAGGTTCGCCTAATAATCCTGGTTATGAAAATTCATGGCAGGTTCGTATGTCGGCTGCCTATGGTTAGGCGGATGACTTTGAAGTGGATATGCATTGTGATAAAGATGCGGAACACCTTGTTGCAAGAACGCTTGAGGGGGGTGAATTGCGTAATTTGGATTGAAGACTGGAACAGGGCCAGAATTTATTTCAGGAAACGCAGGGGGGGTAGGGTGAAGAGGTGGGATAGGGGCTGCAATCAAGTGGCGATGTAAATTTTGCGCTTCCAGCAGTTGCAGTGGCAGTTGATGCTGTATTCCTCGCGGAGCGGTTAAAATATTATTGTTGGGTTGCACCACGATGTTAGGCTGAAGGGCTGGTAGGCGAGGAATAAGTAAAGCCGGCGGCTCAGGTAAATCTAGCTGAAATCGCGCTTCTGGGCTATCGTAATTGTTGTGGAGTTGTGGGTCATTTGGTATAACAGGCATAGCTTGATACCTGCGAGGGCCTCTAAGATAATGCGAGGTTAGAGGTGCTTTATCGGGCAACTCTACTTTAATATCAGCAGCCCTCAAGTTTGGATTTGACTTCAGTGCCTGCTTCGTTGCAGTCTTTTTGGCGCGGGATGCCTCCTGGTAGTGACGACTATCAATGTCATGATCGTGCAGCGGACACGAATTTTTGGGATTCTGGAAATGGTCGTAACCAATTTTGGTAATATCCTGTTTGCAGATATAACACATGATCGATCCGCATTTAGTGCAGTACATCTTATTGCAACCGTCGTCTTTGATGATAGGCGTATTGCATTTGGGGTTGGGACAATTGCGAATCACCGCCTCGCTCATCGCCTCCTCAATTTGATGGAGTGCAGAGTTGTGGGCTTCTTTTCGCGTTTCCTCACAAGTTTTCGGAATATGGCTTACAGACTTGCAGGAACGGCAACTAACTCTCTCGCAATTCGAATTGAGACATCGAAATTCGCGGTTCTCCTCAATGGGAGGGTATATAGCCTTGAATTCACAAAAGGGGCATTCCTCGAGGCCATCAAGCCCAGCTTTTACAATATCATCCCGCTGGCGTAGTTCATCAAGTTTCTTCAGAAGCGAATCGTCGAGGACTTCAGCGAGAGTGGCGCGACTAAAACCTGCATTGCACTGACTCATATCCATGCAGTCGATTTCATATCGCATGTATCCAATCTGGGTTTTCACGTTTGATTTGATGCAAGAGGCGCAGAAAAAATGGGCCTCAGCACCCGCGCAGCAGACCAAACGGTTCAATGCGGTCTCTGTGAAACAACATCCGCACTCTATGAGGCCGCCGGTGGCGGCGTGAATAGCGGTATTTTCCTCTTCCAGTCTTTCAGCTTCCGCCTCCTGTCGCTTCTTTTCTAGTGGTAGTGTCAGCGATTATATACCAAAACACAGATGCCTCGAAAAAGAGCACACCTTTTTTTTGAGTCCGTGCAGCTCTTGCATCCTGAAACTCGGAGATTAAGTTTTTTCTGTGTGCCCTTGAAATATGAACCGTCTCAAAAGGGGGAATTTCACCGCGTTTCGTTCTTTGACCCGGTATACGTTCATATGGTGGGGGAACGGTTCGATCGTAGTCAGTGTCCATGTCAGCCAGCTCCAAATACGCATCAAACAAAACGCCGTTAGCACAGAGCACATTTCTCAGGAAATCCACAGGTATATGTGGATAGTCAATATGCAGCAAAGCCCGTCTATGAAATGTCAGCTCTCAATCTGTTAACAGTGGGGGGAAAGGTTGCCGGTAGAGGCCAGTACCATGACACAACTGGTACAGGTTAAAGAAACAGAAAATGAGAGCAGGGCTTGATTGTGAACGCCTTTCATGGATACACTCACGCAGAATCAAAATAACGCCTATCTCTTTTAATTCCATCGTTGATGCCCCACATATGGGGCTGTTTCTTGTTTGTGTCATTGTTGATTTTTCTGCGTTTGCGTTCCTGTATAGTTGGATACGCTCCGGCTTCTAAAATAGAATGGATCAAGACATTGCTATCAGGATTGGTTTCCAATCTCTTCTTCTTCTTTTGTTTCTTGTACATCTTCTCGACATAATCTGGGCATATATCCGGGAAGATAGTGAAGACTAACGACCAAAGAGAGCCTTTTCCGTCATCATCAGTAAGGTCAATTATAGGAATGGTGTGAGGCTCTGGTGGCATGCCGAGGCCACTAGAGCTGGATTCTTGAAGTTTTAGGCGTTGGGTGGCTGCGGTAGAAGCGACAGTCACGGCTTCTTTTACAGCATCGTGCCTCCGCTTCATATTGTGCCCTGGGACCTTCATATCCTTGAGTTGAAGAATTAGACGATCCATTATTACCAAGTAAAGAGGTTATGGGGTGATGCAAGCAGCGTATAAATGAATTCCTCGCGGCATCAAGTAAGTAGACAAATAACCCCTTAGCATGAAACTGCCATAGAAGACTAAAACGACAACTAAAAATATGACACAAAAGAAAGAGGAGGGAGAGAATCGGGAGAACGAGGAGCAAATAGGAAGGAAAAGAGTGGGGGTTACCAGTTCTAGGCCCTTGACTTGAATTGTTGGCAGTACAGTAGCATGCACATAGAGACTTAGTCGTTCCAACAAGAAGAAAAGCTACAGATAGCCTTCAAACCTGTCCCAGAACCAATTCGTTCACGGAGCGAGTCCCAATGTTTCCTTGGCCAGGGAAGGTTACCACTCTAGAAAGTCAAAGTGGAAGTTTGCATGCAGAAGCTCAAGAAGACCGAGAAAGCGGGTTTGAACACGTAGGTGATGCTGAGAATTCATACAGCTAGCAGGCAAGATTCAAAAGGGCGAGGTTATATGTTCACTTCGCAAACCGATGAAGCTGGCTAAGAAGGGATTGTGCGAGTAGTGAAAGAGGACCTGAGACTTGTCCATTCACACAGGAAATTCATTGCAGTCTCATGCGACTCGCATCTCCTGAGCGCAGGCAAGACCTGCAGCCTAAAATCACTATCTACCACCGTCTTTGTGCTGTCAGCGATGCTCGACGTTGAACAAAGCGGGGCCCCCACGAATGATGCTAATCCAATTATAGTAAAGCGTGTACCGATGCCAAGTTTCTTGCTTAGTCATATTGCAAGTTAACTACACGTGACCGAATATTGTCCGATAATCATGTGACCTCGTATTAGGTAATACCAACCACATGGAAACCTGGCTGGCGCTAAGCCCAAACAGGTCGCGCCGGCAACCTTGGCTTTCCAGCGCGGCATCAAAGTCGTCATGGCGGGCGCGTTGGTGGCTCGCGGGGTTTCAGGCTTTCAGCGTTGCCTCCGCCGCTCACGGAGCACACCCACTGCATACGGTATGCGCACAATACCAGCAGCAACCGTAGCAGGCGTGGGCGCGGGTTGTAGGAGCATGACTGCAAAAGACTACTATGTATACGGAGTATCACGTAGGATTCCAGCGGGAATAGGCTATTTTTAATGTGCAGCGCTGGGCAGACGGACACCTGCGCATGGAGGGCATTATTGTTCCTCACGGAGTAGTAGTATATATCTAATTCTGCCCGTTGCTCCACGCCTCTGCTCGTACTCCCGCTTCCCCCACGGCCTCTCTGGCACAACCGCCTGGCTTCCGGAAATTGGCTCGAGCGAGATGCGACATGAAGTGACGATCTGGGCTGGCTGGTCACGGTCACGCGAACTCTGTCGCGCCTTTAGTTTGTGCTTCCCCACACTCGCCCGCGGGTTTCCTCGCTTCCCACCGGCCTGCTGGTGCACGCCCGGAGTCGTCGACGAATACAAACATTTCCCGAGGCCCAGACTTGCCGGCAGTCCAGCGCGGCGTGGTTTCGCAGGTACCCAAGCAGGGGTGCTCTCTCGCAGCGTTTCGCCGACGCCCTTCTACAGCCCTCCCATTTTCGACCCTTAGCGGGATATTGATCTGGGTGTCGGAGTTCGGCTTCTATAAATCCTGGTCCTGCGGTCCGAGAGGCTCTGGAATCCAGTGGCGGTAGGGCAGCCAACCACCTACATTTTATCGGACCCCTGATCCTCACCTAGATCTTCAACCACCAGTGCCATTATCTTCCCTTCCAGCAAATTCGAAATCCAGCCACCATGGGTTCCGCCGATTTCGTGCTTCCGCTATCAACCTCCCCAGACCTCACCCTGGTCGTACCCACCCCCAACGAACGACTCGAGTGTCTACGAATCAATGGCCAGTCGTGGCGGGGGCGCATGTCTCCCGAAGAGTATATTGGTCGAGAGAACCATTTGATGAGCCAGGACATGACCAGAGACGGCGCTTTGACTTGCTGGATTCTGACTGATCGTAACTCCCCACCCGACTCCCGTCCTATCCTCAGCAGCTGCGAGACCTTCTTGAAAGACGCCTTTCTCGCCTACAACGGCAGCGTGGAAGACATACTCGCCCATGGGATTGGGAGTGTCTTCTCGCGGCCAGAATATCGTGGAAGAGGCTATGCCAAACGAATGATCCTGGAGCTCGCCCATATTCTCGACACCTGGCAGCTGGAGAGCACAACTAGGAAGAAATCGGTGTTCTCCGTACTCTATTCTGACATAGGCAAGTCATTCTATGCGGCGCTTGGTTGGAAGCCATTCCAGTCGTCCCATTACAGCCTTGCTCCGATTCGTAAACAGACATCTGCAAACTCTGAAAGTCTGGATATGACACTCGTCAAAGATATGACAAGGGATGATGTGGAGAGATACATGTGCGCCGATGCAGTTCTCGAGGGCTGTCGTTCTATCTTAAAAGAGGCCTCTACCAAAGATTCAAAAGCTAAGGTCGCTGTCCGCCCTGATTTCAACCACATGACTTGGCATTGGGCCAGAGAGGAGTTCTATGTCAAAACGCTGCTTCAAGACAAAGGCGAGCCAAAGGTCAAAGGTGCTGGCGTTCCAAGTCGAAATGTGTTTGTCTCGTGGAACCGAAACTTTGGTACTGCGAAGGAACAGACGCTGTTTATCCTGCGAACTTTGTACAAAGAGCCATCATCCCCTTCTGAGCGGCAAACGACAGTGGACGCAATTGCTGCAGTTCTTCGCCGTGCCCAGTACGAGGCTGACGAATGGGGACTCAGCCAGGTAGAAATCTGGAATCCAACGTCCTTGATAGAAGAAGCTGTCAAGCAACTGGATAGCACTGCAGAATTGGTCCACCGAGAATCCAAAGGTATTACAAGCCTGAAGTGGAATGGCAAAGAGTTGGGCCTTGGGGAGGAAGTTGACTGGGTCTGGAACGAAAAGTATGGGTGGTGTTAGACTTGTTATCCGAAAGCCTTACCGGCCGTCATATAGATCGGAGGCATATTTCATAGAGCCGATTGTCGACTCGCCTGCGCTTGCTTTTTTAGCGGCACTTAGCGATTTTGATTCCTTCCGGAGATTTTAATATCTTTCCGCTGTACAGCATTCGGCATAGAGCACACGCTCGACGGGGTTACTTGCTGGGAGGAAATATGCTTTATTCAAATTTGCCGGTTAGGCCGTGTAGAACAAAGGGGGATTGACAAATAACATGACTTGCCTTTATTAAATCAATTGTGATTTCATTTCTCCATCGTTCAGGAACTAAATCCTTCCATATTTCTACGAACTCAGTGTGAGAGATAGCGTACTGGGGACTGGGAGCAAAGGCTTCCAGATACACACTTCCAACCCAAGCTATCGTTGTTTCTTTCTCCAAACTTGCCCCTATATCATAGTTAGAAATTTTAAAATCAGCAAAAGTTAATGGGCTGGGAAAGTATACATTGAAGATCGGAGAAGACTTGGTTCCTAATGCCGGGAGGTGAATCTTCCATCACACGACGAACAATGGCCTCAATAAGACGTTTGGGAAAACCTGCAACGGCCTCTTCGTTGGGATCATCAGAGGCCGATGTCCACACGTCTTTAACCAAAAATTGTTTTTCTAGATCAATGCCTTGTAAGACAGATTCTTCCAGGATTTTCTTCCATGCGGCTAATTTAGCTGCAGCCGATGGTTGGGAGGGTATTGGTACTCCTTCTTTATCTTCATGAATAAATGCACATAAGTCTGTCCATGCCCGGTGGCATTCATTGGCGGATAGCGGAACATCAGCAAATATCGCTGCAAGAGCCTTGTGACGGTCTGTGGCGCTGACACGAGAGGTAGTAGCCATATCATCAATGTCCATAGAATCGTCTTCAATATCGAAAGTATCATATGGCTGCAGAATCTTCGACAAATATGGCAGAGCTGAAAACCCGTCTTCTATCTTTTGCAACTCCAAAGTTGATTTACACAAGGAAATCAGTGTAACTGCACCAGCAGTGTCCGTGTCTGGATTGTCATATTTCTTTTCATTATCTCGTAAAAGCTGGGATGGTTTCATAACAAATATCGAATTCGAAGAGTGGACTTGTCTCAGCGAGTATGTCTTTGTATCAGTGCATAGGTTGACAAACGCGGTCGCCGTTCCTTGGTTCACGGACGGGCCAGACCCCGAGGATATTGCGGGTGATGGCAGGGGTGATTTGAATGAGATCCTATCAGAATTGAGAAATGGTCAATGGAGCTGTTCTCAACTTCTTACGCCGGCTGTGGAATTCCTCAAGCGTGACGCGCGGCAACGATATCACGAAGCGTCCAGTACCACTCCTGAAACAGGTTTGCGGACAGAGGGTTACCTAGGAGCTTACTTTGGAGGATTCTCTGAAGTCAGCAAAGTCAGCAGCTCTTCAGGAAGTTCGAGAAGGCGAAACGGCGGTTGAGGGGTAGCGTGTGTGAGGGTAACGGTGTAGTCTGAACGCGTTTCCATTGTCGCAGCAGAATGATGAGAGTATTGATTTTGTTGTCTGCTGCAGGCAGCAAGGCAAGAAAGACTGAATAAGACGAATTTCGGTTGGAGTATTTTATTTGGGTTGCTATGAAGCACCTTTGTATTCCGTAGACAGGGCCTGGGTAGCTACATAATTGACCTGCCAAGCTTCCAGCAGATTGGTATGTAGCTATGTACATAACTACATAGCTAGCTAACCAGGACAACACCAGCAAATATATCGGAGCATTTATTTGGTGCAAAATCGGAATCGCTTCCATGTTAAGGACTTCAAGTAATGATGCGAACCCTCAAGGTCGGAATTCATGGCCCAAGGTTATTGAAACACCATATTACTGCGAACGACGATGAAGGACACGGTGGGCAGATAAAATTCGCTGGTGAGGTATGCGGTAAGTCACAATCATCACGTAAAGTACGGAGTAGTAGATACATAAAAGCAAAAGCAAATGACATAATTCCTCAAGCCGAGGATCAGCCAGGAGAATATGAGCACAGATTTATATAGGAATACACGGAGAACATGTCCACCAAAAGGATAAGGAAAAAGAGAAACCCTCGGGATAAGTTCGAAGAAGGAAACAGTGTACGCCGTAAATGATTCACTGGAACCAGTACGAGAAAATCTCAATACTTGGACACAAGAAGAAAAAAGTAGCATATCGTAAAAACCATTTTGATTTCCTCCTTTTATTGCAGATTCAAAGCATTGCGTCTAAACGGAATTCCAGATGAAAGCACTGAGCAACGCTTGCGAAGGAGCATAAGCCGAACTTGGAATAGAACTGTATCCCATCCGTTCAACGGGTAAAAAACGGATTTTTGACGTATCGTTGGGGAATTCTGTCGTATGCGGGAAATTGAAATACAAAGGCCCAGGGTCTGCAAGTGACTGGGTTGAGGTCTGTATCATCAGCTCTGAGGATTCTGCTTTGAGTCTGGAGCGGCTCCACCCTGGTCTTTCTTGCCCTGCTCGGGTTGACTCTGCTGCTGATTCTTCTCCTTTTGATCCTTTTGGTCCTTTTTATCTTTTTGAATCATGTTTTGAATAGCAGCGCCGTCTTTCTCCCACTGGGCCTTTGTGTCCTTGAACTCGTCCTTGATCCGCTGCGCACGTTCTGCTTTCTCCTTCTCTTCAGCCTCTCGCTGCAGACGTTCTTTCTCCATTTCTTCCATATGCCGTATGTCGTCAAGACTAGGTTCGTAAAGATGCCAGATGGTGTAGTGGGGTAAGCCAACAACCGAGAACTTCATTCGTTTCGCCATCTGTATTGACATTAGCAAGGCACCTGGTAGCTAGAAAATGGGACCTTCTGACCTTGCCGAAAGCTTCGGTTTCCGCATGTTTCTCGAAACTGAAAGCAGGAAAATGTACACCGGAGCGAAATACTCTTGCCTTTGCTAGAATACTGACGCCTCCCACACCATCAATCTCCATCTCCATATCTGGATCGCCAAAAGGATCACGAAGATATGCAAGATGCGGGCGCCAGGTGGCATACTCCGCGTAACCTTCAACGATAACAGCGTCTTCATCAAGAGTGTCTGCTAACGCAAGTGCTGTCTCGGATTCTTGCCAGGAATTAAGGTCATAAGGCTGTTCTCCACCCAGCCAGTCAGGTAAAGGTCGCCATACGTCTGGTGAATAGTTAGCTCTGCCAAAGACATGGGTGATTTGATGTAGGGTTACTGACTCGGAACAATGACATCCTTATTGTGCCTCATAAGGTCTTCCAAAATGGTAAAGGGAGCGGTCTCAACGTCGGCATCTCTCCAATAAACCCAGCTATGCGTGGGTCTCAAAGTGGCGCTAAGCAACCAGTTTCTTGCCTGCGCCATCAGTTTTCTTCTTGAAGCCTGTGCAGCAAACCCGTGTCTACTCTCCACATCCTGATTTACTTTTTGGCCAAAATCTTTCTCTATCACCGAAACTTCACCATACGGCATGTTAGGATCAGGATCTTCCTGGAGCTCCTTCAGCATTTTGGTGAGGAGAGGAGATGTTTCATCTTTAGAGTCGGATACCAAAAACGCAAGGTCTATCAGATGATGGGGGTAGGTGAAGTTGCGAAGGTGAGAAAAGAACATGGGGAGATGGGTAGCAGCATCACGGAGCGGCGTGCAAAGTAGAATGCGTTCCTCCCGCTCCCAGCCACGGGCTGTGCCTTGTGCATTAGAAAGATCGTAATACCGGACTGTCTCGAGCTGAAAATCATCGCTTGCAGAGAGTAAACCAAATGTCAATGTGCCAATGATCGCAGCTCGCCAGGAGGGATATAGAAATGCTAGGACACATATCGACAGAACGCAAATGAGGAGCAAGCGCTGGAGGAATTGCCGTCTTCGACGGATGGGCTGCGATCGCGGTTGAAATCTATTCAGAAGCACCCAGTCAGCCCTCCACAGGACGGGCAGCAGTCCACAGCGCCAGATACGCACAGCGCACGGGGTGGAGAGCGACAACAAACCTGTGAGGAGATATGGAAAAGGTACCGCTTTCCCCTTGGGGGTAGGCGGTATAGCCATTGGTGAAGGCGTATTGCCTGCTCATGTCTCCAATGCCACCAACATGTGTATCCGCGCCCTATTTTAAATTGACTTGTTCCACTGTCGGAGAGGCAATCTTGAAGGACTCCAACCCCCTGGCGGGTACCCCAGTCAACCAAAAGTTCGGCGAGCGCGATCCCGGCAGACGGGGCAGCGAGAAGGCTTGAGGCCCAGGGAGCCGCGCCGTGAACGCACTAGTGGGGACGAAAGAAACGACAGACAAAACGAAAGGCAGACACAGACGCGAGACCGGGCGAGATGGCTGGACGAGGGCGTGCGAGACGGGGGCAGCTGGCTGGCAGGAAAAAGAGGACAGGCAGGCCGACTTGTGACTTGTTGGAAGGCAGACCCGCATCATCGATCTTCCGGGCCAGGGCAAAAAGTTTCCAGCGACGGCCGCCCGCTATGCCGCTCTGGGCCAAGGGCCCCTTCGTAACCAGCGCCGATCCATTACGCCGCCCGCGGTGAAACGGGAGACGAGATCATGAAACGGCTGGTGACGCGCCAACTGGGAGGATGCGGCGGGGGATGGGCTTGTAAACGCAACGATCACGACTCGGCGCAGCACGGACGATGAACTCCATTCAGCCTCGCATGGTGGAACCTGTTACGGAGTACGGCCCCCAGGCATGAGGGCTTGTGGCTCACTGCTCCGGAGTAGTGGTGATGCAGATTGTCCTACGCAGGCGGCGATAATAATGCTGCCATCATCGACAACATGTGGCAGGATCATCAGCTCCACCCGCGTAAGTTACATCTCGCTGGCCCATGACTTGGGGGGAAAAGGCCTTCCCACCAGTCTAGTGTGCTTGGGTGACAGCCCTTTGTGCATGCGAAGTAGTTACATAACCCCGGCGGCTACGGAAAATAAAATTAACGGGAAGCCTTGTGGATTCCGAGTGTGTTGGTCAAAGCACATCTATGATGATGATTGACATAGCGGAATAACAAATCAGCTCTAGTTCGCGGATAGCTCTTCTATACTCCGTAGCAAGACCCCTTATGACTAGCTAGTGGCGACCCCTTATTTCCCAGTACCCACCCAAACACCGCTTATCGGACCGTGGCGCCCTTCAAGCTCTTTACTGTGCAAACGCCTCCGGATTGGGTCACCAATTTCCCGATCGGGGACGCGGAGGAAGCCTCGCTACCCTCGCCCTCTTTGCTGAGCTGCGGAACCGCACTGCTATCAAAGACGACCTCCAGGGAATCTGATGTCGTGAAGCCGGGCTGGAACGTCTCCCATATCTTTTTCTTTGGGTTCAAGACCTTCTCCGGCTCGCCATCGCCCCAGCCGTCAAAGAAAACACGCTCACCCGCCTCGGCGCCTGCGGGAGGGCTGACCAACTCTACTGGACCTGCGTGTGAATCGTCATCCTTGGGTGATGCGGCCAGAACCATGGCGGCGGATTTGATCCCACGCATTGTGACGGGCTTGAGGTTGCAGACAGTCACGACTTTACGCCCTTGCATTTCCTCCAGCGGCACCAGTCCGTTCAACCCAGAGCAGACAGTCCGTACAGTGAGGCCGGTGGCTTCGTCCTGGCTGGTGTTATCAGAGCCTGGAGCATCGCCGCAAGCGATTGTGGATACATAGAGAGAATCTGCATTTGGATGGTTGATTGCGCGGAGGATGTGTCCGACTCGGAGGTCGATAAGGGAGGGAGATGGAGGTGCAGCAGGTGCAGCAGGTGCCTTTTGTGGTTTTGGCTTCTTCTCCTTTTTCTCTTTCTTGGGTGCAACCGCTGCGGCGGCGCCAGCCACCGTTCCAGTGGCAGAAATATCTTGTGCTGTGTTCTTATCTACCAACGACTGGTCTTCAGGAGGTGTATTTGCATTCTTCCCCCGGCCAACGACCATATTCTTCTCGCCGCCCTGCCCGGTATTTTTCTTTTCCTTTTTCTTCTTGTTTCCCTCATCTTTTGCAGGCGTAATAGCTTTTGGTGGAGCTCTGACGTCGTTAACATCAATTGCAATTTTTTCTTCCTCCGGTATTTGCAGGTTTAAGAGAGCAGCATTTTGAACAAAATCGACGTGTCGTACAATATGATGACGCCCGTTCTCCCCGGTTCGTTGCTCTGGAGACCACTTTTCGACTTCGGGGGCAATGAGGGCATACAGCGCGATATCTACAATAGACGGCTTTGCTCCAAGAATCGTAGTACGAGTAGCAAGGTGTTTATTCACATCATCCATTAACGATGAAGCGCTCTCAGTCTCTCCCTTTTTCAAGGCCTGTGCCAACTCTGATGTTTTAGATAGCCAGGAGTTAATTTCCGCATTTTCAGCATCGGTATATGCCGCCGTTGGAAAGATCTTTGGGGATAAAGTTGTCAATTCGGGCTCTGTCGAATTGAAGGGAACAACACGGGGATAGGATCGGTAGAGTAAAGAAAGCAGCGATGTCGCAGGAGCTGAAGCAGTAGCCATGCTGGCGATTCGGGTGAGTGAAAGGACGTGAGCGTGTGCGAACGGTTTGGAACAAAACGCTGGTTTAAGTGACTGTGATGACAATATTAGACCCCGCGATACGAGTCGGTGCGGGGCTATCATAGGGAACCAAAGCGAAAGAGAGGAAGATTGTGGGTGCAAATAAAGTGTACTGACCCAAATCAAACCCAATCGTACACTTTGATATGAGATTCCCAAAGCCGAAACCAATTGCTCGAGTTTTTACTCGCTTTTGGGTCCTCGAAATCCCAAACACCAAACGAAAGGTGGGTGCCGTGCTTGGCAGACGTGATGAGTCATCCGGGGAAAACCAGCCAAACAATCAACTTCACACGAGTTCCTCAATTGAGACAAATTATCTTCAGTCATATAGATAGGCTGTGATATATGAGCCCAATTATGCATATATATACATTAATATTTTCTAGACCATTGACCATACTGGCTATGGTTCATGCATGACCAGCAACATGTAGGGAAGGCCCTCGAAGGTCAAAAACGACAAACAGGGCCTTGAAGAAAACGTCGCCAAAAATCTGAAGTCCGCTTCCATGGTTCGATTGAAGGCCTCCAAAACACACTAGAAAATAAAGGATTGGTTAACGGATGCAATGAAACGAAGAGGCGTGGGAGGATTCTTACTCACATTTTTCACCACTCGTGGTGTTGGATCCTACTGGAGCGAAATTCAGCAGACTACCAGGTATTTTTGCAAGATGGGTATCTGCCAGAGAAACGAACAAATCCGGAAGAGTCACATCACAAGTGAAAATAAATCCTCCCGCCTCAGTGGACGCTTTAGCTGTCTTGACCTGGCTATAGTACGCCCTGACGATCTCTTCGTTTGCGATCAGCAACGTCGTTCCTGTATCAGCGATAGCAGTTGTCACCCCATTTTTTATATCATGGATCTTGCTGTTATTTCCGATTCTGAATTTTGATGAATCAAATTCCCAAAAACCTCTGGTATTGTTTACCGGAATTTTGGAAAGCTTGCCATTGAACTTGGACTTATCAATGCTGCCGAATTCGTAGGACCCTGGAGCCCCCTTTTTCAGCTGTGCTGTGAAAACAGGCTCTTTCAGCCCTTCGGCAAGATTCATTAAAAATGATTTTTGCTTTTGAGGTTTAGCTGTGTTAAGCCTATCGAATGCCAAGCCTACCAGGCCATCAGATGCCTCATCGCGTATAAAAGACGCTGAGACTTTGGTAGGCAGGCCAATGGCTTGTTTTGCAACCTTAGCACCGCCAATGTCCACACTATCAATACCCACGCCTCCAGATGCAAAAGAGCCGTCACCGTACGTAATGTTAAAGGTAGTACCGTTCAATTTGGAGAAGCTACTTGACTTTGCTGGGTCAAATATTGAATGGTTTCCCTTAGCATTTTGTGGCAATTGAGTATTGAATACCCATCTAAAAATGATCCAATGTTAGTACGGTACTTGAGAAGAAGCTCTGAGACACATACGTATCTGAAGACCCAGTGTCAAGGTTCATGATAAATTGCTGCCCTCCAATTATAACAGGAGATAGATACTGCACATCATTATGGGTTGGCATGTTTGTAACTACACCACTTTCATCTGGCTGCTTGGCTTTTGATACAGCATCTCGATCAACGCTGGATGAAAACGGGCTAAAGTCATCGAACGACTCAAAGTTGATACCTGATGGGATGATCCCAAATTTCGCATACGCTTTCTTAAGAGCACGTGGACCATCTGCCACATAACTTGATTGCCGTATTCGCTCGACTTTGAACGAACCGGTCGTTCTTCTAGGTGTGGGACTAGACTGAATCTGAGAGGAAAAGAGGCCCAGTCCCAAGAGTAGCAGTATATAATGCATTATGTATGTATTTGCACAAACGAAAAGAGAAATGAAGAAAGAAGGTATATATGGCTGGGAAAAGAACGATATGATTGAAAGCAAGTCAATGCATGGCCTAGAATAAGAGCAGAAGAATATAATCCATGACTTAGGAGCTTAAGAGGATGGTTATTCGATGTACAACATGCATCCAAAGGAGCATAAGAAGAAATTATAAGGAGTGCTGCTAGAACGGGCTCAGAGATCTAATAAATAGATCTCAGCAAACCATCAACAAGCTAAAACAAACATGATCCAGCCGCCTGCTGGTATCGTCAATAGAGTGATTCTCCATTGCTAAATATAAACCAGGTTTGGGTATTCGAACTCAACCGGCGCTTCTTGAGACACCAACCCCGGTAACCGGCGAGGGCTAAGGGTATGTAGGGTAATTTGTATTGGGTCTCGCCTCGAAATTTGATAGAAGGGAGTGGGTACTGTTTTCACGTTTGCATATGCAAGTTTGACATTCCATGTCTGTCGAGTCAATGACTGGTGAGAAAACAAAAAAAAAGGAAAAATCCAAACTTGGGAGGCCAGTCTTGGCAGTCGTTTCAGGAGCTATTTTTGCAGCAAATAAGAGACCGAATTAGCAGTTTTCACCTTCGGCGCTTATGCACGTATAAACAGCTGCATGGGTTGTAGTACGGTGTTAGACGCTCAGCGTCTGGTGAATGGCGAATGAATCGGCGGGGCTTCCTTATTTATCACATTAAAATAATTACCGAATATCTGGTTAGCCAACCGTGTAGGAATACACCCCCTAATATGATAATATATGCTGAGGCCTTTAATGGTATAGTCATATGCTTTTCCGCCGTAAATGCAAGAGTAAACACAAACTCCAAAGCATGCCACGGAGCGCCTAGTTCTCGCCCAAAAATGTCGTCCTAAAATCCCCAGAATTTCATAGTATAAATTCGTTCGGCCGTTAAATTGCTTCATGGTTTTCCGTCTTCTGAAAGAACATCATTAGGGTCCTCTCCGATTAGGCGGCTTACGGCCCTCACTACTTCTTTCAATGCAACTGAGGCAGGGCTATCAGGATATTGCTCCATAAAATTTTCTCCATAGTCGCAGGCCATGCCAACTCGAGGGTCTAAGGGTACAGCACCCAAGAATGGTACTCCCACTTCATCTGCCAGGCCTTTGCCCCCACCAGTCGTAGGCTTAAAGATTTGTGATTCATGCGTGCACTTAGGGCAGACAAAGCCAGACATATTTTCAACAAGACCTAGTATCTGGATGCCGGCTTTTCGACAGAAGTCAATTTCCTTGCGGACATCCAATAAAGACACCTCCTGTGGGGTTGTAACCAGAACAGCACCGTCAACACCAGACTCTTTGAGAAACGAGTTGACTGATAGGTGCTCATCCGAAGTCCCAGGGGGTGTATCAACAATTAAATAGTCCAGTTCGCCCCATTCAACGTCTTTCAGAAACTGTTTAATCAGCCCGTTTTTCTTCGGGCCTCGCCAAATAACAGCATCGTCTCGATTTGGCAGCATGAACTGTACGCTCATCACTGCAAGATTATCAGACACCCATACAGGATTCCACCCAGCATTGCTGACATGCACTGTTTCCATTTCAACGTCCATCATCTTTGGTATCGAAGGGCCGCAGATATCAGTGTCCATTATTCCAACCGTGGAGTTGGGATTCGACGCAAACGCATTGGCAAAAAGTGACGTGAAAGTTGATTTTCCAACCCCACCCTTACCTGAGAGCACGAGAATCTTATGCCGTATGGAAGATAAACGAGCGGTAATGACGGGGATATCGGGGTCCGGGCCTTTGGGGGCAGAGGCGCAGATTGCTTGATTAGGGCAGCCCGCACAAGCATCTCCTTTGCCGGCTTGTTCGGATTCGGGGCCAGGGCAATGTTCTTCACCTGTTAGCGACAGTATTTGAGGAGAGAGATAGCACAAACCAGGTTCAGGTGCAACAAGTTTTGGAGCTGATGCTGAGGGCCCAGAAAGAGCGGCAGCTTCTTCTTGGAATGACGGTGCCATTGTCCCTGAGGCGTAACAAGCCTGGCCAGTCGGGCAAGGAGTGATAGACTGGCTTTCAGCCCGTTCTTATCAAACCGTGTTGTGGCGATTGCTTCAAGATGATTTGTAATGGGCTGTTGCGTTCAGGCTGCGCCGACAAGCTTTAAGCTTTTAAGCTCTTAAATCCAACCACATCCGCAGATTAGTAATTACGCAAACAACCACATTGGCATCTCATTAACTAGCAAGAACCTTTTACTTTGGATAGTAGTGTGAGATGTCAGAGTGGCCACTGGCAATATAGTTGATTTAAGCTAGAATGCTAGGTCATTGACTGCTTTACAGGTTGAAAAAGTTATTAGTGAGGTGTAGAGGCATAAATACTTAAACGTAATAACTACGGGAGTCTATGATATACTGGCATGGCACATTGGGTAAGGAGCCATGCAGTTCACTTGGTAGTGTGATAGTTGGATCAGATGAAGTAACTGCAAAAAAAGCATACGAGCAAGTGCAGAATGAAAATCATTCCATTTCAGTAGTGACTAAGGCGCCGAGGGTGTATAAAAAACGCCAGTCCATAATACCCTTTTTAATATACACAAGGAAAAGAAAAGCTTCCGTACTAACATCCTAGGCGGACAGCTAAAGAAGTTAGTAGGGCCCATACATATGAAACTAGCAAGGCTATGAAGACTCACCAACGGCAAATAGACCATAAGTGTCACCATTCAGAAGTGCCTGTGCAGTCGTCAGTTTCGTAAGGTTTTGATACCCGTATGCATGGTCAATGGTGTGGGGTGAAAAGACGCCAACGGCATGGGTAATCTCGTGAATAACGGTAGCAGCTTGATCTTCCACGCGGCATTTGGTTGAAAGTGGTGAGATCTGGTAGAACCCCCGGCAATTGGCGATAGTGTTTCGACGAGGAAGTGTGTAAGCAAGCATATTCGTCGTGCATCGACCAAGGAAATCTTGACAATAATATCTAACAATTCCACTATCTATGGAAGCTGCTTCTTTGGCAACTGCTCGATAGCGACGAGCCACGGTGTTAACGGCACTTGAATTGCTGGTGCGGAAATACTCCTGAAACAGTTTGGGATTTTTTTTAGCAGCCTCAGCGGCTTTCAAAGAAATTTCGGCAGCGTTTTTTAGAGCAGCCCTCACAACCGGTCCGAAAGAGGGGCCGCAGGTAGGGCGATCTAGCCTTGCCCGCGGGACGAGAAAATGTGGAATAGCCTTGACGACTGAGGCAGCAGCAGTGCCATCAATGTCAAGCTTTAATGTATTAGAGTCATAGCTCACAACTCCGGTAAGCTCAGTTGTACTTGGCTCGGCAAATGGAATATGGCCACGAGAGACGATAGAATAACTGCCGCCCGCTGATAAATCAGCGGTCGACGCAATGTCGAAGTTCACTTCGATCTTTTCGTTAGGCCTAATAGAAACAAACACATTCTCCGGAAGACCTCTCGTTTGAAAATGCCGAACCATTCCATCAAATTCTACGGGATTACCTAGATGATATCCGACGTTAGATTAAAGTGATGATAAAGCAAACAATTTTTGGTACCATTCTTGTATAACTCGACCTTTTTCACGGGGCCGTCATCCAAAAGATTGTTATACTTCAGTAAATTAAGTGTGCGGCTGGCCTTGTTAGTAAGAACAGCCTTGACACGGGTATTGCCGGCTGAAGTCAGTTTAATATCAAGTCTCGACAAGGGCTGTGATGAGCGAGGAATGCTTAATGAGAGCACAGACGTGCTCAGAATAAAGGCTGCGATGGAGGCAGAAAAAAGCATGGCTAAGAGTTGAAGAAGCTCTTCCTGGCACAAAAAATAGATGAAGTACGAGAGAGAAGGAAATGCTGTCAGTTCATAGCTCTCAGCGAAAGAATGTGATTGTCTGTTAACCGACAAAATACATCAAAGCATATATAGCTTGATATCAAGTAATTGCATACGTACGGCAACGCAGAGTCTGTTGTATGGAGTAGTTACTCTGCAAGTATCCCGGTTTCAAGGCTCTGGCATCCTGAGGGATCCGGCTAAGAAAAAATTAAACTGGCGCAAACGCATTTTCTGGGATAGTTATGCGCAAAAAAAATTAAATTTGGGCGAAATTATTGTTGGAAAGCGCAACGTCCAGGCATAGCTAGCCCCTTATGGGGCGGATGATGTGGAAAGATCCGAGCCCAAAGGCAAAAGACGCTTGAGGTCTGTTGGGTGAAGCCAGTGATGTGCGTACCCGCACTTCGGATGGAGTAGAAAGACTAAAAACGAGGGCAACACCTCAAGCAATGTAGGCCAATGAATGGAAATTTTTGATCTGCCTAGAGAGGCTGGGCACCTGTACCTAGTTAGTGAGCTTCGTCATTCCAATATGATCCGCAAATAATGGGGTTCCTCCATAGATTGGTCGCGCCAGCAAGCGGGAAATGCACACAGGCTTTGGCTGTTATGTTCGCAATCGTGGGCCGCTTGGCTTTGAAATAAGCCATAGGGCATACTCCGCAGATATGAAACAAAATTAATAATATTCGCAGAGTGCAACGTGGCGGATCCTTTTTGAAATAAATAGCTGCTCGATCCGGGTTGTGGTCTTGGGCTGCAGGCGGTTCAATGTTTATTTTGGGTGGCATCTGAGCTCCTTGAGTTAACTACATAAGCATGTTAGATAATCAAGTCGTGATATTATATAACTAATCGGCCGCGCGGGTGTTCCCGCTATCTAGCGTCGTCACTGAACCGCTTAAGCGCACAAGTGATCAACGGCATATTTCATTACGATGAGAAGCCTGAGGATTACAGTGGAATAGTTTGTAGCAAAACTCACTCGCCTGGTGAAGAGCTGCTCGAGTGCGCACGGAGTATGGAGCCGTACGGAGTACTCCGTGCTCTTGCTGCTAATCCCCACTGTCGAGGGTCCACTGTATGAACTAAAGAAGGACCGAAGGAGCACGGTGTATTTATTCCCTTTGGATCTAGATCGGGGCGCTTTGAAGGAGGGGGATACCAATGAGCAGTACCAGACCTCGTAGAAAATAGGGCAATGGAGAAGAGAAGGCCAACAGCACAAACGGAGCATTGGGGATTGTGAAGAAAAAGCAGTCAGTTGCTCATTACAACTGATCCATCACTCCGCTCAGATGATCGCCTCCAGGTTGTCCACGGCCTTACGTTCGCGGGGTCACAAGTCAGGACAAGGCAAGGATGGGGTGTCAAGATACCAGCCTCAAAACTCAGTCTGATGCGGTGAAGAGCCATTCGACGGAACTCGATCGGAGTACTTGCTTACCCCTACCCGCGTAGCGTCGGGTTCGTACGCTTCAGCGTAGGCAGACAAAGATAGAGCAGAAGCCAAGGTGACGCAGATTCCGTTCCTTTTTCGATTTCGATCACGGCCGAAGGGATCAGCTGCGGTCCGCTGGCCGCCTTGTGCAACTAGGATGGTGACACTGCAGCCAGAATTCAAATTCGGCAGATGGAAATTGACTGGATGACTGAGTAAGGAGTACTCTCAGAGAGCGACTGTGCGGATAAATGCCGTGGTCAGGCCGTCGTGCGATGGGTGATGGGTCTGACTGTGGGCATCGCAGTTGATGACAGCGAGATGTTGACACTTGGTAACCTTCCACATGTTCTTGCCAAGAGCGGTGTTGACTCGCTTCCGGCGGTTTCGACTGCGACACCCACCAATAACTAACGGACGGGCGAGCGCAGACTGCATGCACCGGCCAGGCACAAAACCCCCATGTCCAGTACTTTCGTCGATACTCTTCCTCGTCTTTCCCGTTACCCCCGCCGGCACACCCTCATACACCGGACCAGAGTGACACGGCTCGACGTCCAAGTCAATTCAACTTGACCCTCCCGCCAGCACCGCATTTCTGCGGCTTAACCCGCATTGTTATCGCAAGGAGCAGGAAGTATCATGGCAGAGTCAGTGTCCGGAGCGAGCGATGGACTCCGAGAAAGGAAAACCCTGGCCTCTCGCGCAAAAGCGTCGTCGGCGACGCTAGAGCCGGTTATGAACAAAATGCGGACAGATGAGTCGGCTGAAAAAGAGCCAGAGAACAAGACGTTTGGGAGGACTGCAGATGGTACTGGTAGGTCTTTTCAAAACAACCCCGGCGCTTACTACACTTATATGTCAAAATGCGGGCGGCGCACGAAGCAAATAGCTGACACGACGCTACTAGTGTTCACCGTTCCACATACCCGCGATATGGTGTCGCAGCTACTTTCTCCCTCGGAGCCAAAGAACTTTTCGGATATTCTGGTTCTCTCAATTCTTGCCATTCATATCTCACTGCTGTTATACCTTCCATCATTCCTTCGCGTGCCCATGTTCGCACTCTTATTTCTCTTCTGGCGGGCGGCATACAACGTCGGCATAGGATGGCTGTTACACATGCAATCAAACCATCGGACTCTCATTCTTTGGGCCCGAAAGCTGAAACTATTTGTGGATCCATCTACTGGCGAAAACCCTCATCCGTTTATATATCGTTTTATTAAGCGTGAACTTGAGACGAAAATCCCAGAAGATTACTCATTTGAAAACGCGCCCCTTGAATATAACACTTGGCTTGTTTTCAGGAGGGTTGTCGATTTGATTTTAATGTGCGATTTCACCTCGTATTGCTTATTTGCGGTCGCCTGTGGAAGTCGCCCTGCAGGCGAGGGGTTTTTTGTTATGGTGCTGCGTTGGTTCGCTGGACTGAGTCTTGTTCTATTCAACCTATGGGTTAAACTGGATGCGCACCGTGTGGTGAAAGACTTTGCTTGGTATTGGGGTGATTTCTTTTATCTGATCGACCAAGACTTGACCTTTGATGGGGTCTTTGAAATGGCACCGCACCCGATGTATTCGGTTGGCTATGCTGGATACTATGGGATCTCGCTGATGGCTGCCAGCTACAAGGTGCTATTTATCTCAATTGTAGCACATGCGGCTCAGTTTGCCTTTTTAGTCCTTGTGGAGAACCCGCATATTGAAAAGACATACAACGCTCCTCCCCCCAGGCGCCGCACTGTCGACCCCGACAACTCTGCGCTGGAATATAATGGATCCAGATCAAACTCCTTCAATAGCGACATGACTCCTCCAATTGGATTCCAGTCTGCACCGCAACCGCGCTCAACACATACTCTGATCGGCAGCATGGATCTCCATCGGGTGACTGATCTATCGGTTCTCCTCATCCAATTACTTTTCTTCGCCCTCACGATCTTAACCCCGTCAACCCCCGTCTACCAGTTTCTTTTCGTCCTCAACGCTGCATTGTGGAGAATATGGTATTCCGCTGGTGTTGGCTACATCTTGAACCGTCAATCAGTCCGAAAATCCTGGACCAGGCATTTTGTCAAGTTTGGCGAAGGTCAGGACGAAGCTTGGAGACAATGGAAGGGTGTTTACCACTTGAGCATGACCACTTGCTATGCTAGTTTCATCGCTGCTACTTGGAAGATGTACACTTTACCCCAAGACTGGGGCTACGGGCTGGCGATATTGCGACATGTGCTAGGTGTGGGCTTAGTTGCGTTACAGATATGGACATCTATCAGCATCTATGAATCCCTGGGCGAATTCGGCTGGTTCTTCGGTGATTTCTTCTATGATGAATCTCCCAAGTTAACATACAGCGGTATTTACCGCTTCTTGAATAACCCCGAACGCGTTCTTGGACTTGCAGGAGTATGGGGCGCTGTTTTGTTGACAAACAGCCGGGCAATGATTTTTGTTGCGCTACTTAGCCACACTCTAAGCATTGCGTTTATTCAGCTGGTGGAACGCCCTCATATGCAAAAGCTTTATGGAAGAAGCTTGCGACGTGATGCCGGACTAGTTAAAAGCATCAAAAGGTCTCTTCCAAACTCCTTCAAGCAACTTCAGGGAAGCGTTGATAAAATTCTTGACGAGTCTATTGAATTTGTGGAAGAGGTTATTGATACAGCGGGGCCCAGACTTACCGCTGGCGTCTCCACCCTTGTGAAGGACACTACAGCACTCTTTCACAAATACCCAGCCAGAGTCACTGTTACGCGTTTGGAACCCGATCTTGCCGGTTATGAAATGAAAGACTATTCTCTAACCATCGAAGGTACGCGATTGTCTCAATCCGACAAGCCGACTGGTGCGGGAAAAGAAAAGCCGCGAAGCTCTGCAAACACGGAAGATTTAGTTCTCGAATACGGGGCTCCGATTAGGGTCAAATGGACTGCCGCCATGAACCATAGTAAAAAGGACTGGGTTGGATTGTATATGGTTACCCATAACTCATCTCGAGAGATTACCAAAGTTTCATCACAGGGGCGGTGGATAGCCACTAACGAAGGTGCTTTCGATTCGTCAACCAGTGAAACTGGGCTTGTGAGCAGTGACATTGTTATTAAAACCGTGAAAGACAAGAACGGTAGGGCTCGTGAAGTTGCCTCTGGGGAAATTGTTTTCTCAGGAGACAAGTTATGGTGGAATCAGGGCGTGTTCGAATTTAGGTATCATCACAATGGGAAGCACAACGTAATGGCAATATCCCGGCCGTTTGAAATCCGCATTGCAAAGTTTTCCGAGGACGAAGTTCCGTTAGACAACTACGTCGTTGTTCGACCTGCCATCGAAGGCGCTCTACTACCCATTGTTCAGAATTGTTTGGATAGAGACCCGGAAATTGCCCCACAAACCCCCGAAGAAGCCTTTGGCTCCCAAGTGGATAGAGACAGTAAATACGCGAAGAGGGTTGTGTTTGCGGTGCAACATATGTAAGTTCGTATCCTTTATGGTTGGGTTTCTAGGCTGATATTTTATAGGTTTGGCATCGAGTTCGCTCCTGAGGTAGTACGTGCTGATGGCAACGTTCGTAATTTGGCATGGCGCATCTGCAATGCTAAGAAAGTTCTCGTACGCTGGCCCTTTGTGTGCTTTTGGGACTTCTGAAGAACAAATTGTTAACAGATTTAATAGGCTCCTTATAGCATGTCTGGTTCGGGTGGGACGACCACGCCAACCCGAGAAGACTGATCCCATTGTCATAATCTCAATCACCGCCGTTCCTATTTCTCTGCCTCTCGATCGACCTTACGAAGAGACGTGATATAATTTTTTAAGGAGTTTTGCACCGGATATCGAGTACTCGTTCATACACGAAGGCAGTCCAGAAACTATGATTATACACTGACTGATAGAGACATTGGCCTTGGTGGGCTTCCAGTTACGAAGCACTGTGCCGCCAGTCCTATAGAAGCCTTCAGAAAAAGTTTTGTTTTTTTTCCAACTTTGATTGGTGGTTGTTGGTCGGTTTTGCTACAAGAACTGATGTTGATCAGAGTCAATTTCAATCCACGATTGGACGACTATGTATATATTACTAATTTCTATTACTTCCTACTCTAAGAACAGAGTAATTTTAGACATATATACCCAGGGGGAGGTTGGTAAAGTGAGGGAGGCCAGAGTGAAAGGCGAAAATGCTGCAATTGCGGGTAGGCGGGTTGCCAGTTTGAATAATTATACATGAGTAAACCAACCATTTGTTCCATATCCAACTCGCGTAATCCCAGATAACAACGGTGGCATATGGCGGTGAATACTCCTACAGTTTAGGTCTTTAACTTGTTAGCGAGGGCTTGATCGTATAAAAAAGGAACAGCAGAATTAATATAGCCAGCATATATATAAATATGTGTAATCAGGATCGTTACTTGGTATTTGGTTTTCTTCAATGTAGTTGCAGAAGCAGAACTGAAAAAAATTGTTTCTCATCATAATAGTGACATGGGGAAAATAAGCTAGGGAGAAATAGTTCATACCTTACGAATATCAATACAGGACATAACATGAGCTGCAAAGACTAGCACTATTGATCCCACAATCAGCATTGTCCCGATGTTTTGAGGTTAACGAGTGAAGATTTTGTGGGTAGGAAGGGTCAGATGGTAGTGCATGTTCTGAAGGATCATGGAAGGTCTCCAGGAAAGAACTTTTGGTTTGGTTTCCTCATGAAACAAAGGATACTTTAAAATAGTAGGGAGAAAGGTGTACATACTCATCTTTGGGCCTCGTTGCGTAGAGTCGTGGTGGTGTCAACCTGGTTGAGAGAAATTGAAGAATCGCACCAGCAATTTTTAAGTGTCAGTATCGGAACAACAGTGCCCCGGCACTAACCAATTCCGGCTTGGTATAAAATGACTAATCACTATCCCAAACTATGCAAACATGGCTCACCTTTAGACCTTCGCAAACCACAACGGCGATCCCATACAGCGAGCGCAGAGAATGGCGGATAAAAGACGAATAAACGGGCCCCCCGGAGGCACTCGAGCTCCCGTTTTTACTTCGTCGCTATCGTCGGCCGGGAATGAAAAGTCGAGCGCGTTCGAGCGGCCACGCCGGACGCGAAAAGCAAACGAGCTCAGGAAAATATGTACGCAGCAGCGGCAGAGCCTAGTAGTAATGTTGCTGACTTTTTGCAAATGCAGTTTTAAGAACCGGGGTCATCCCCTCGGCGTCGGGGTCTGCGTACCTCGAATTGCAGCCGGGCGACGTTTCATACAAGTCGAAGACGCTCATCCCCCCCACCTCGTCCCTCAAGCTCATCTGCACCGTCCACGGCCCCAAACCGCTCCCCCGCTCCGCACCCTTTTCCCCAAACCTGCTGCTCTCCGCACACATCAAATTCGCGCCGTTCGCGTCGCGAAAGCGGCGAGGCCACCAGCGCGACATGCCGGAGCGCGATCTGGCCGTGCATCTGGAGAACGCGCTGGGCGGCATGCTCATCGGCGATCGCTGGCCCAAGAGCGGGCTGGACGTGACGATCAACGTGCTCGAGGGCGAAGACGACCGGTGGTGGGGCGGCGACTCGCTGAGCTCCGGCCCGCTGGGCGGCGTCGACGGCTGGGGGCTGATGAGCGTGCTGGCCAACTGCATCACGGCGGCGGCGGCGGCCATTGCCGACGCGCGCATCGACTGCTTGGATCTTCTGACGGGTGGAGTCGCCGCTGCTGTTGTCGTTGAGGAGGATGAGAAAGACGGCTGGACGGGCGCCAATGGGTCACCGCCGCGCCGGCGTGTTGTGCTGGACCCGGACCCGTCGGAGCACCGTGGGATTGCTTCTCTGTGTGTGGTGGGATACATGCCGGCGCGGGAGGAAGTTACAGAGGTGTGGCTGAAGGGGGATGTGGTTGGCGTGGGGTATGATGCGCTGGTGGATGGTGCGGTGGACTCTGCCTGCGCGGCCCATGGGGTGCTGGTGGAAGCCGTGAAGGAGTCTGCGCAGCGGTATGCGGATGGTCATGCTGGTGGCAAGGCAGCAGCAGCACCTGGTGATGATAATGGTGAAGATATGCAGCTATGACATGAATTCATTCTATATTTGTTCTCTTTTGCAAGGTTAAAAGAAGCCTTGTTCTGGGTCTAAGTGATTCTAACACCAGCAGGCATTTTTTTGGAATGCTTGCTTCTTCCCCTCTCTTTACTCTCCATCTATCAGAACACCTGTTTCTGAAGTTCCTTATCGCCTTTTTGCTTGTGGCAGCGAAAATTACCAGTGTGACGCTTGTCTGCAGCGCCGAGTGAGACATTGGGGCATGGAACTGGGGAGTTCCACATCAGGATTCTTTGGGCAGCTGAAGAAGGGTTCTTTTTTGAACCGGTATGTTCTTTGACACGCCGCTTGTCCTGGTTAACCGGCGCTTAACTTTTGATCACCTGGCGGCTGTGATACCTCCAAAAGTTGTTTGTTTCTCGGCGAACCTCACCCACGCAGACAGCATATATTTTTTTTTGAAAAACACAAAAATTTGCTTTTTTTTTTCTCTCTCTCTCGTGGGATTTTGGCAGGAACAGACTTGAGAAGACAAGAACAACATTTTATCTTTTGAGGTATGCCTTCAAAACTGCAGCTGGACGTGAACCTTTGGTTCCTGTACATCTGCCTGCAAAAGTCCGACTACAAGGCTGTGAGTCTCTGCTCCGCTCCATAGCAGTGCCTCCAGCCCTGGCCACGGGAAATATAGTTTTTGATTGTGGTGGTACAAGACTGACCGACATGGCTTCTGGCAGATTGATTTCAATGCGGTCGGGCAAGCGGTGAACATCAACCCGCCGGCGGCGCGGATGCGATTTACGCGGCTGAAGCGGGCGATCGAGAGCGGGGCGTTGAACATTCCCACGGGGGCGATTCTCACGGGTATGATGGAGGGTGGCGGCGGTCTCGCAGCGGCGGGCAGCCACGGCAAGGGCAAGGCGGCGGCAAGCAAGAGCGGCGGGCGGGCGAAGAGCTCGTCGAAAGTTAATAATAGCAAGATGACGACGACGACGACGACGGGTCGGAACCCTGGGGATGCAGCAGCAGCAGCAGCAGCAGCGTGTCGACAGCGCAAGGCATCGGTGAAATTGGAGACGGCCACGGGAAGAGAGGAGTACACGGCGAATAAGGAGAATAGTCTTCAGCGGCAGGCGTGCGACGGTCACGAGAACGATGGTGATTATGAGAATGACGATGACGACGACGACGTCCCGCTTGCGATCAAGCGCAGGATGGCGCTCTCGACCAAACGGCCAGCGGCGGCGGATCTGGCGGCGGAGAGTAAACGGCGCAAACTGGGATTAGGGGATGACGAGTGTTCGCTGAGCAGGGTGGGCGGGATCACCAGCGACCTGGAGATCATTGCGGTTGCACCCGTGACAGCGGCAGCGGCAGGGTCTGGCAGCAGCAGCAGCAACGGCTGGGGAGCGGCAGCATTCACGACGATGGGCGGGCGGGACGAGACGCTTTTCCGCGAGCTGCCCCTGCGGCCGTGGCCAGGCCACCATCAGCAGAACAAGAACAAGAACACGCAGGGCTGGAGATTGGCGCAGGAGCACGCGGTGACGTCGAGCGATCCCCCGGTCCCACGGGCCCCGCTGCTGGCCCGCGCCAGCGATCCCGCGGAGAAGAATAACAAGAATAAGAATACCATCGCCAGCTCGCCCGGCGACACAATCTCGCTGGCGTCGTCAACGTCGTCGTCGTCGTTGTCGTTGATGGACCGGCCATCCTACGACGACGACAGCAACAACAACGCGGGACTGGCGGCGTGGCGGCCGGCGCGGGTGCCGCAGATCGTGATCACGGACATGGAGCCGCACGCGCCGCGCAACTGGCTGAACCCGCGCAGCGCGGCGGCGATTGGCAAGGCCGAGCAGGCGGTCAACCTGGCGCTGTTTGGGCCCGGGTCGCAGGCGTTTCGGCGGGCGCCAGCGGGGGTGCCGGAGCGAGGGAGGGGTGAGCGTGCGGGCGAGGCCGTGCGGCGATACCTGGCGGTGCCGTGGAGTGCGGTGGAGGAGAATCCGCGGCGGGCGCGCGAGTACATCGTGATTGAGTAGTAGTTAGTTATTAGCACGGAGTAACGAACTAACTAGTAGTTGACAATCTTACCTTACTGCCACTAGCCCGGCCGGACAGGGCTCCCATGCTCGCCATCCTAATAATAATAATACAACAGATCGCCGACTCTCGGCCGCAGACAGGCCAGCCACATGGACGGGCGCGCTGATGCCCAGCGCGAAGGAAGGCCGCGGGCGGGCCAGGCGTGGCGGGCGGGCGTGGCGGGCGCAACGGCGGGAACGGAGTGTACGGAGTCGGTACCTAGCGATAGTACGGAGCACTACGGCGGGTTGAGGTACCTAGCCTAGCCATGCCTACTCCTATTGCCACCGCCGGGACGCCTTCCGAGCGCAGGATCGCCGGGCGCGTAAAGCCAACCCAAACCCACTCTTAAGCTCGCGCGCCCGCCGCTCGTTTTTTTTTTTTTTTTATTTATTATTCTCCTCCCGCGCTCTGGCTCTGCCTGCTGCGCTGCGCTGCGCTGCGCTGCTCTGCTAGCTAGTTGTCACTATGGGCGGCCTCAAGAAGCTCCTCGCCGTCGACCACCCCCCGTGCCTGGCTCCCGCCGCCACCGCCGCGCCCGCCGGCCCGCCGGCCCTCGACCCGGCCCTGCTGCTCGACAGGCGCTGCTGCTGCTGCCGCCGCCGTCGTCGCCCGCGCCCCAGCCAGCTCTCCCAGCACCCCCAGCCTCAGTACCAGCACCAGCACCAGCTCCAGCACCAGCTCCAGCACCCGCCGCCCGCACCCTGCCCGCGCCGTGCCAGCCGCCATGTCGACGTGCTCGACGCCCTCCTCGCGCCGCCCGTCACCGCCGCCGCCGCCGCCGCCGTGCTGTACAACGAGCACATCGCCGACCGCAACCTCCAGCGCCAGCGCCAGCGCCAGCCGCGACCCGCCGGTGCTGCTCCCAGGGCGTCCAGGACCAGACAGCCGCCACAGCTCCCGGACGAAGCCGCAGACACACTGAAGCCCGCCGCCGGCCGCGAGACCACCACGCAGTACGACTTCCCGCTGCCTCCGCGCCCGCGCTCCTTTGCCGCGCGCAAGAACCGCCACGACCTCTCCATCGACCTCGACCGCGCCGCCCCGCGCTCCGGCTTCGTCAAGCTGGCCACCCAGCCCGCCGCGGCCCCAGCGCACGATGCCCCCCGCCGCCGCCACGCCGACCGCGACCTCGTCAGCAGCCCCGTGTCGGTCGCCAGCCACGCGCCGTCGCTGAAGATGCCCGCCGCCGAGGTGCAGGAGATCATGAACCTGTTCAAGCAGGCCTACGAGTCCCTGCACTCCCTCGACGCCCACCCCACCTTCGAGACGCTGCAGGACGCCATCATCCGCGAAATCAACTCGCACGACGCCTTCCGCCACATCCAGTCCGACGACGACGACGACGACGACGATGACACCGCCGTGCCCTCGCTCTCGCCCTCGCCCTCGCCCGCGTCGCTGCTGGAGGATCATCGTGCCCGACCGTCTGTCGACCGCGGGATCGCCACCCCACCCAGCCGGAATTTCTCCCGCAAGGAAAAACACCTCTCGTTCAGGGCACGAAAGCTTATGCGCGACTCGCCGACGCCGCGCGAGCTGTCCATCCCTGCTCTCAAAGGATTAGAGTCGGACCCGGCCTACTACTACGACCACGACCGCGCCCGCCCGCGCCCACACCACACCACGTACCCCCTGGCCCGCCCGTCCCTCGACACCACCAACGTCGTGGTCGTCGCCGAGCCGCCGCAGTATTACGACCCTGGCCATCCTCGCCATCGCCCGCCGCCGCCGCCGCCGAGCCGGCGCTCCCTCGACACGCAGAAACGTCTCTCCAAAGCCACCTCCACCACCACGACGACGACGACGACCACGGCCGTCGACACCCCCGATTCGTCGCGCTGGTCCTACCTCCCCAGCAGCGTGTCCAGCCTCGGCCGCAAGCTCTCGCAGTCGCACACCCTGCACACCACCAGCCCCGACCGCCGCGCCAACAATAATAATAATAATAATGCCTGCGTGTCCTCTCCGCCGCGATACAGAATCCCCTGCGTCGCTGTACCTCCTGCCGAGAACGCGCCCCAGCCCGCCGCAGCGCTGTGCCGGGGCGAGGACCCGTCGAGCTGGCAACGGTCGCGGGTCTACTAGCAAGCGCACGTCCATGAGTTCTGCATACTCCATTATTGCTTCCCCACCGCCCCCTTTTTTTTTTTTTTTTGTTTTCGCCTTTTACTGCCACACACTCCCTTTATTATCTGAATTTTTGTCGTATTCCACGCGGCGCATTATTGTACATACATACATATACGGAGCATTTACATCTCATACAGTCCCTCTAGTTTTAGACTAATCTACTTCATTGCCACCGATGCATGCATCTGAGAGGATGGCGTAGCTGACAACGTAACTAACGTATTCGCTAGTGAGCTCGCTGATCAGTGCAGCTTTTCGCCTCCGGTTTCGCGTAAAGTGCGGTGAATCTGCACGCATTATTGCATACACACATGCCCTGCAGCCAACGAGATCTGCCTTTTCTTTTTTTTTTCTTACTTGCTCTTTTTTCTAGCTCCACGATCTGACACATCGCACGATGTGTGGCAAGTCTCGATCGTCGCGATCTCGGGACTCGCTGCGTCGATTTGGCATAGTATCTATCACAAAATATCTCCGCGCCAAAACAACTAACTAGTTAACTACTTACTAACTAGCTAGTTCCTTTCTCCCCGCCTCTGGGCGTTTCTGTCAGATTGTGATCGATCGCCGCTTGGTATCGGGCGTGGCAAAAAAATAAAAAAAACACGTTTTTCTTCTTAATTGTCTTTGACGGATCGACAAATCTATTATGATAGGATGCATGACTTTGTTTTCCCCTTTGGCGGAAAAAAGCTTCTGTCCGGCCAGCTGGGACGCCGCATCCATGTCTAGTGTCAACTGCTTAGTGGGAAACTAGGATATATATATATATATATATCCGCGGGGAATGTGACTGCGCACGTCGTGACTTGATATCAACTCCTCGGCAGTAGCAGTAATAGTAACATCAGCACACCACTGCTGGCTAGCTAGTAGTAGTATATTCGCTATCGCCAACTAATTCTAGTCTGACGTCGCTTCGCCCCCGTGACTCCTTACGTACTACCTAGTTACTCCGTACACACACCACACCTCCAAGGGTATTTACTTCAACGCACCAACCGTGTTTAATAAGAACCTGCAAGATAAAAAAAAAAGCGGGGGTTAGCAACAGGTTCCGGCAATAGACACAGAGAGACCAGTCACACTTACGTCCGAACAAGCACCACTGCTCCGCCAGCCTCGCGCACTTCGGATTCGTGCACTTGGTGACGCCTTTCTCAATCCCCGCCGGCTGGTCAAACGGAATGCACAGGCTCTTCGCGCCCATGCTGGGCATTTTCGCATCCACCGTCTCACCCGTCTCCTCCTCGGCCTTGCGCGCGCTCAGCTCCTTGACCTCGTCCTCGCACTGCTCCGTCAGACAGTGCGGGATCATGCACAAGTTCTTGTCGTTCAGCGCCGGACAGAACTCCTCCCACCGCGTGATCAGCTTGACGTGCGACCGGAACTCCGCGTCCGCCCGCGCGTACAGGTCCGCCTGGATGGTCTCCAGCAGCTTGGGCACCGCCGTCGCCAGCTCCGCCACGCGGATCGTGGACTTGCCGTCTTTCCCGCGCACGTCGCGCCGCGACGTCGTCACGAAGCCCCCCGCCGACTCGCCCGGCCCGAATTCGAGCCGGAGCGGAATGCCCTTGAGCTCCCAGTCGTTGAACTTCCAGCCGGGGGAGTAGCCCTCGCGTTTGTCCACCTCGACGCGCACGCCCGCCGCGGCAAGAACAGAGGCCAGATGGTCGATTTCAGCGTTGATCGACGTGCGCACGTCATCAGGCGTCTTCGCCGTTAATCCAACCGGCACGATGACGGTCTGAACGTCGGCAACCCGCGGAGGAAGCACTAAGCCGTTGTTGTCACTGTGCACCATCACCATAATACCAATGGTCCGCGTGGATAAGCCCCATGAATTCTGCCATACATGAAGCGGTGGCTTCTTCTCATCCTGTGTGGATGTGGGGTCCTCCACTGTGATGCCAAACATTTTGCTAAAGTTCTGCCCTAGGCCGTGAGAAGTACCCCCCTGGATCCCTCGGCCGGTCGCAGGGATGTAGCCTTCGACAGTGGTAGTGTACAGGCCACCCGCGAACTTCTCTTTATCCGTCTTCTGGCCTTGGATGACAGGAATGGCAAGGAGCTGCTCATAGACATGCGCATAATGCTGCAGGATTTGGAGCACCTCCTCTCGCGCCGCGGATTCAGTGAAGTGAGCCGTGTGGCCTTCCTGCCATAGGAATTCACGCGTGCGCAGAAAAGGCTGTGGGTTCTTGAACTCCCATCTCACAACGGAGTTCCATTGGTTCAGCTTCAGCGGGAGATCGCGGTGGCTTCGGATCCATTTCGCATAGTATGGATACATAACGGTCTCTGAAGTTGGGCGAATGGCGATTTTCTTTTCTAATGGGCTGCTTCCACTGCAGGCAATAGAAATGTTAGCTTAGATATCCGTGAGCCAAATCCATCCAAATAGACGTACGCATGTGTAACCCAGGCGACTTCGGCCGCAAATCCTTCAATATGGTCCTTCTCCTTCTTTAAAACATCTTCAGAGACAAACAATGGAAACGAGCAGTTTTTTACTCCCATTTTCTTGATCTTGTCGTTGAACCAGTTTTGTATTTCTTCCCAGATGAAGAACGAATGGGGCTGCGTTTTGGCAAAGACGTTAACAAACTGTCGCTGCCAAAAGGAGAAGACGCGATTCATTCTATACTCACCTTCAAAACAAAACAGCCAGACACATCATAATAATCCAGCATATCGCCTTTCAGTAGTATCTGCTGGTACCAGGCCGCAAAATCATCCTCCTTCGCTACATCTATACCGATTTGCGCAGCGCCTTCGATTTTCTTCTTCGGCGCCTTTACGACCGGTGTTTTCGCCTCGGATTTTCCAATCCCCTTATTGGCGGCCTTGCCCGCCTTTTCGGCGGCCTGCTTCTTCTGTTTTGCGGCCTTTTTGGCTGCATTCTTAGAGAGCTCGCCCGTAGCAGCAGGGGTCTCCCCTTCGGCAGCGGGGTCCATGGTACGGACGGGCAGAGCGGCGGACGCAGCAGAAGCTTCGATATCGTCTTGCGGTTGCTGGCTCGCCATAGAAGCTAGATCAAGGGCGCACGCGGGGACGCAGAAGAGAGAAAACAAGAGAGTCGCACACACTGGAGGGAGGGGGCAGTAGGAGTCAGAGGTCGCATGTCAGGGCTTCCCCCAGGGCGCGCCGCCAGCCAATCCTGAGGGGTAAAGAAAACACTTCACCGCCTTAGCAGAATGTCTTGGCGCTCACCACCCAAAAAAGCTCCCTCGCCCGTCACAACACAGGGAGGGGAGCTTCGTACCATCTACCGTCGCCAGGGCTTACGTTCAATCCGCACAAGATGGCCGCTATTTTCGAGCAGTCTCGGAACTCTGGCACTCTCTGTACGCTACGAGTTCGTCCCTAAGGAATATCCCGCGTGTCGCTAATCTTCATTTGCAGTTCTCGGGGGTCAGAAACTCTCAGGGCAGGATATTCGTGACCAAAATGGTTTGTGACTACTTCAGAATCAAACTTTAGAGCTCTGTTTTCTAATTTTTGTGCAGTACTTGCTACTCAAGCCATTGCAAATGTCGTCAAGAGCTCTTTCGGCCCCTCTGGCCTCGATAAAATGATGGTCGACGACATCGGCGTACGTTGAACCCTGCGAACCAAGACCACAGTTGCTGACAGTACTAGGACGTCACCGTAACTAATGATGGAGCAACCATCCTAAGCCTGCTGGACGTCGAACATCCTGCTGGAAAGATCCTCGTAGACCTGGCACAACAGCAGGACAAGGAGGTGGGGTGATCCTTCCAGACCATTGAATGGACATTTTCTGATAGCAACAGGTGGGAGATGGAACTACTTCTGTCGTCCTTATTGCTGCCGAGCTTCTTCGCCGAGGAAACGAATTAATGAGAAACCGAATACACCCAACGACTATCATTACTGGCTACCGGTTAGCGCTCCGCGAGGCGGTGAAATATATGAATGAGAATATAAGCACCAAAGTCGAGACGCTTGGAAGGGAAAGCTTGATAAACATTGCTAAGACATCCATGTCAAGCAAGATAATTGGCTCAGATGCAGACTTCTTTGCCAATATGGTCGTTGATGCCATATCGTCGGTCAAGACTTTGAGTCCAAGGAGCGAAATCAAGTATCCCGTCAAAGCAGTAAATATCCTCAAAGCACATGGCAAGAGTGCTACCGAATCGATGTTGGTCAGCGGTTATGCCTTGAATTGCACGGTGGCCTCGCAAGCCATGCCCACGCGAATTGTCGATGCGAAAATCGCTTGTCTTGATATGAATTTACAGAAGGAAAGGATGAAACTCGGAGTCCACATTACCGTGGAAGACCCAACGCAGCTTGAAAAGATTCGGGAACGGGAGTCCGGAATAGTTCTGGAACGTGTGGAAATGATCTTAAAAGCCGGTGCGAATGTAATTCTCACGACCAAGGGAATCGACGATTTATGTCTCAAGATGTTTGTTGAAAGGGGTGCTATGGCCGTTAGACGGTGTAAAAAGGAAGACTTGCGGCGAATCGCAAAGGCCACCGGTGCTACCCTGCTCAGTACTCTATCCGATCTCAATGGTGATGAGAAATTTGAACCCTCCAGCATGGGCCGTGCCGACGAAGTGGTTCAAGAACGAATCTCCGATGACGAATGCATTCTCGTTAAAGGCACAAAAGCACACACCTCCGCCTCCATCATCCTACGCGGATCGAATGATTTCCAGCTGGATGAGATGGAACGGTCTGTTCATGACTCACTTTGTGCTGTTAAAAGAACTCTTGAGAGCGGAAGCATTGTTCCCGGTGGCGGTGCAGTGGAAACTGCGCTTCATATATACCTTGAGTACTTTGCTCTCACAGTGGTAAGTGGAGCTGAGGTCTTGTCTCTATCACGCGCTAATCATATTTTCTAGAACTCACGAGAGCAGCAAGCCATTGGAGAATTCGCCCAGTCCCTCCTCATCATTCCCAAAACACTTTGTGTCAATGCAGCAAAGGACTCTACCGAATTGATTTCGCAGCTACGCCGCCGTCACGCCGCATCTCAATCTCGGGCTGGTGAAGAGGAAAAGGCTCTTGCGCAGCGAAAGGCCTACCAAAACTACGGCCTTGATCTAATGAAAGGCAGAGTGGCAGATTCAATCAAGGCAGGTGTTTTGGAGCCGAGCATGAGTAAGATAAAACAGCTTAAAAGTGCGGTTGAAGCGTGCATTGCGATTATGAGAATTGATACTCTTATCAAGTTGGATCCGGAACAAAAGGCGGAAGATGATGGGCATGGTCATTAGATTTTTAGTCCCAGTGTTTGACTGAATAAAAAGGCAATTGCATTTACGGCTTAGTTGAATCAAAGGAAATGGATGGGTAATGAACAAATTCGTTTCTTCTTATTCTCTTACAAATCATTATTCTCATTTGAGGCCATGATTTGAAGCGGCCGTGGGCTCAAAATTCATTGCCGGGAGACCACAACCACGCGGCATATGCAGCAGTTAATGCTTCATGTACTCATCCAAAGTGCAACAACTCCAGTCCAAACGCCGGACTTTTTGCGCCCTAGACTTATCAAAATCGCTAAATGGAAAATCAAGAATTTTCTGCATGGCCTCTCGAAATGAAACTTGAATCGTTCAGCACTCTTCTTCATCGTATTCCGGATCGCTCACTTCTGCCCACCCACAATTCCATCGTTTTCCTTCGCCCTCTCCACCTGTTCTCAAATCCCTTGCTTCGGAACCCTCCCGCCAGCACCTGGCATGTAAATCATCGCTTACAGTAACTAAATCACCGTTATGTGTCCATGTAACCGCCGACACTTCTTTTTGGTGGCCCTCTATCAACGGCGTTCCATGCTGATATATCGGGATGTCATGTTCTAATCGTTCTGATAGGCTTGATCCAGAGTTCGTTCTTCGCAAGCCTACCCTCCGTGCGGCAAATCCCTTTGGAACAGCGGGCTGGGATGCTGGTAACGACTGCGTTTCTGGAGCTGCTGGAAACTTTTCGAAATAACGCTCATCAGTAGGAAAGAGGACCGCGCAGTTATCGCTACTTCCAGCTGCAAGAAGTTCTGTCTTGTCGTCATGGGCTCGACGGAGGGCGATTTTGATGAAAAATGTAGCAACTAAAAGGCGGGGATGGCGGAAGCCATAAAGAGGGCCGAGGCCTGTTTTAGCTTCATCAGCTGGAAAGCGTCGCAATGGTGCCGTCGGTGACGAAAATTCACCGGAGTTGCCTAGGATCAGATGGGGAGTAGAGTGAGCGTATATAGTGCCATCACGGCACAGTGTGAACAATCGATTTCCATCCCCACTAAACACCATCGATGTCAGGCCGAATTGTCGATATCGGGAGTGGCTTTCGGGCTGTCGCGTGATTGAGAGCGGTGTCGACATTTTTCGACGTATAGAGTAACTTGTCCGCATGTCCCAAAGCCGGACACAGGCATTTGATTCGCATCCAGTCACAAATAAATGCTCCCGGCCCGGCTGAAGAAAGGATATAGATGTAACGGATATGTCATCCCGGTGCTGCAATTCGGAAGGGCCCCTTCGAACTAAGTCTGCATGCGCTCCCCTGATGGAATTTGAAACTTGAGCGTATTTCATTTTGGCCGTGGATAATCGACTCGTATCATCATCATCAGACGCAAGCGAGCAACGTAGCCGTAGTGAAGGCTTATCGAACGCCGTGCATCTGAGATCCCAAATATTAACACTGCCATCACGACCACAGGTTGCTACAACATTGTTGTTCGACGCAGGTTGAAATTGCACCCGTTTCACAGAAGATGAATGTTTTGATAAGCAGTATACTGCCGTTTGAGTCGGCATATCAATAATGTGAGAACTCTGATCTCCTGATGCCGTTGCCAAGAGCTTATCGTCAGAGGAAAATTCTAAATCCATGATAGAATTCATATGAGGTTGAAAGGATAAGTATGTCTTGGAAAAACCAAGCTTGTCATCTTTTGCGGAGTCTATAATACGTATGCCCCCTTCTTCATCACCTATTGCAACCAAGGAATTTGCTACACTCATTAGGCGACATTGAATAGGATGGAGTAGAAAGAGCAAGTCTGTTACTTACTGTGACATGCTGCTGTACAGAATGGTAAGGTTGGACGATCCTCCCGCCAGCACTGATGAATGTCTTTTGGGCAACTATAAAAATTTGCCGTTTCGTCTTGCCATGCTGTACAGGGAACGGTTAGCGTCTGGTAGGTGGCGCGCCATCTATTCATAACGAACCTGTACCGTAAGAAGATGCCGTCAAAGTTACTCGCGATGGCCTCGTAGTGCCGAGGCTGCGTAGTAGAAGAGAATCTGAATTATGGAGTGTATGTGAGCGTCGCAGGGGTATGGGAGTTGGAATAAGTTCTTTATCGACTGGCTCTTCGGGTATTATATCGCCTGAGAGAGTAGCTTCCTGTATATCGTCTTTTCTATCAATTGGGTCAATGAAGATTGCAGGAGCAATCCGAACCCGCCTCAATGGGGACGATTGTAAGGGCGGGCTAGAAGCAAGAAAGGAGAGCTTCCTCTTCTTAGGAGTGCGGGGCGAATCACGCGGCTGTCTGAATAAAAATGTACTATCGGCTGGTATTTTAGGAAATGCTGGGCCTTTGCGGTCCAGGGATGACGGAGGAGAGAGTAATATATTCTTCAGAGCATGCCGATTTGTTCGGACACTGGACCTTGAACTACTGCCATTGAGAGATGACCTGGGTGTGAAAAAACGCTTGAAAGACCTAGGTGTCACTGGCGGGCGCTTCTTCGGTTTCAGCGATGGAGGGGATGTGGGTAGGGCATCTTGGGGGGCAAAGAGAGCAGCAGGTGGAGAGGACGGCAGAGCGTCAGGATATTCGTTCAATTTGCTGGGTTGCTTTTCACGTAGAGCATTAGACATATCCATCTCCACAGCTAAGTCTAAAATTAGGACGATACTAGCAACATTTGAATAGACAAAATAAGTACTGCTGTAGGCTAGAAGAATAGCGTGGAGATGCAAAAATCAAGCGAAAAGAGACGTGGAGGTTCACGTCGCGCCCGCGAATGCCTGATTGAGCCACCTTCGCGTGTCGTTCCTGTGGCGGTGCGCGACGCGGGTCGGGCACGTGCCGTAAACCTTAAATCCACTTAAGCTCTTGATGACTAATCATCGATTTTCATAAGCGGTATGTAATGGCAGAAATTCTCTTCGAAACCGTCGATTGAGGTCGTGCGGCAGCAAGAATTAACCCGATTTTGAGCAATTGAAACTCGGCACGATGGATACGGTGCAGTAAGAGCATTCATAATGGGCTCCGTCAAGCGAAAGGGAAATGCTCCGGAAGAGAAGAGTTCTCGCCCCTCAAAAAAAAGAGTCAAGGTCTCGGAACATGAGACGAAGAAGACTGCGAATCGTGGAGGAAAGAAACTAGAAAGCAAAGCAACCGAACAAAACGACGGTAAAAAGAAGTCAAAAGAGCTGTCAAATTTGACTTCAAAACCTACCATTGTTTCTATCCTACGTGATGAAGCTCCGGCGTTCCCTCGCGGCGGTAACAACGCCTTGACACCGTTAGAGCGAAAACAAATCCAAATACAGGCGACTCGAGATGTACTTTTCGAGCAAAATGGCGGCACAGCTGGCGATATATCCGATCTTTACTCGGAGTTCGACAAAGAAACTCGCGAAGCTGACGGCGTTGATAGAATACCTTCACGGAAGAAGCAGAAAGGAAAGAAGAGTAAGAAGTCGACTGAAATTTCTGTAAAACCAGAAGGCCCCAGAATTGAGAGTCTTAGCTTTAAAGTATTTAATCAGCTCTATACGAAAGTGAGGAATCTGTGCTGACACCACTTCTAGCGAATTGAAGCGGGGTCCAAACTTCTGGGTCAAATATCCAGCATAGGTGTTCACGACATATCGCTAGCACTGCCAAACAACCTGACAGGATATGTATCCTGGACCGCTATCTCAGACTTATTAAAGAACAAGGTGGAGAAGTTGTTGGAAGATGTGGAAAATGACGACGAAGAGGATTCCGACGACGACGATGACTTTGATCTCAAAACTTACTTCAAACTTGGCCAATATCTTCGAACATCCGTTATTTCGACTACAAGCGACAACGAATCCGGAAAACTTAAAAAGCGTATTGAACTATCAATAAATCCTCGAGACGCAAATTCGGGCCTTTCAAGATCTGATATGGTAGTTGACTCTATGGTACAAGCTTCAGTGATCAGTGTTGAGGATTATGGCCTTATTATGGACCTTGGTCTCAATGACGGGGACGCAAGAGGTTTCATGTCTTCTAAGGAACTGCCATCAGGAGTAAAGATATCCCAAGTTAGGGAGGGATCGGTATTCTTATGTATCGTCATTGGCCACAATGCTAGCGGTAGCGTTGTAAAGCTCTCAGCCAATGCTCAGACAATAGCACCTTCAAAGAAATTGCGTTATCTCGATTCTGCTCCTACCATCCTCTCTTTTCTCCCAGGCACCGCGGCAGAAATTCTGCTAACAGAGGTCACTCCAACCGGCATGGCAGGCAAAATTATGGGGATGCTCGATGCTGTGGTCGATTCCGTGCATTCTGGTTCAACTGACGAGAAAAAAGATCTTACTCAAAAATATCGGCCTGGCATGAAAGCTCAAGGGAGGATTATATGCACATACCCGTCAGACGGTACTCCTAAACTAGGATTTTCAATACTCAACCATGTGCTCAAACTTACACCAACTTCCACAGACGAACCTCCAACCGATAGGCCGAATATTTCTGCTATAATTTCTGATGTTCGGGTCACAAGAGTTGATCCGTCTTTAGGTCTCTATGTTCAGCTGGGCGCAACCGGATATCAGGGCTTTGTTCATATTTCTAGAGTTAAAGATGGCAAGATTTCCGCCCTATCGTCAACCGAAGGCACTTACCAGATTGGGTCATCCCATGAGGGCCGTGTCATCGGTTTTAACGCTCTGGATAATTTGTATCTATTGTCTTTTGAAAGGAAGGTCATCGAGCAGCCTTTTCTACGACTTGAGGATGTTGATGTTGGTACAGTGGCAAAAGGAACTATACAGAGACTTCTGATTGGGCCTGGCGGTATTGATGGGCTGATAATCACGTTGGCTGATGGCGTCAGTGGTCTAGTTCCAGCGACGCATATGGCAGACACGAAGCTACAACATCCGGAGAAAAAGTTCCGCGAAGGCCAACAGGTAACTGTCAGAGTCCTGTCCGCCAATTTGGAAAAGAGACAGTTACGGTTAACACTGAAAAAATCGCTATTGAATAGCGATGCTGCGATTTGGAAAGACTATAAAGATATTTCCCCTGGAAATCAATCTCCGGGTACCCTCGTGAGTATCCAGCCGAATGGTGCCGTCGTTCAATTCTATGGCGCTGTTCGAGGTTTTCTGCCAGTATCGGAAATGAGTGAAGCATACATCAAAGATCCTTCCCAGCATTTTACGGTTGGCCAAGTTGTAAATGTCACTGTGTTAAGCATCGATGCAGAGCTGAACAGATTAGTGGTATCATGCAAAGACCCGTCGACAGTGACAGAAACTTATAAGGCTGCTTTCGCCGACGTGCACCCAGGCATTCTTGTTTCAGGAACCGTATTTGAGAAGTCCAGCGACGATTTACTTCTTAAACTTGATAACAATGGCTTGATAGCCAGGCTTAGTGTCGACCAATTTTCGGATTTATCGACTTCTAAATCCGCCTCCAATTTTGCCCGTATTCGAGTTGGACAGAAACTCCAAGATTTATTGGTGCTGAATATCCGTAAAGCCCACCGACTCATTCAAGTTACTAACAAACCAAGCCTGAAGACGGCCCTTGAGCAGGGGAAGCTTCCCGTAAAGTTCGAGGACATCCAGCTGAACTCCAGCGTAACAGGGCTCGTGAAGAACATCACATCAGATGGCCTATTCATTGAGTTTCTAGGAGGCCTTACAGGGTTTCTTCCAAAGCGCTTGGTGACCGATGAATTTGTGGACCAGGCTGATTTTGGTTTTGCGCGTACTCAACCGATTACTGCTTCTGTTTCTTTTATCGAGCAAGATGTCCGAAGATTTATCTTAACATTAAAACCATTAGACAACAAGAGTGAGAAATCAGACGTTCGCCAAGAAAAAATGAAAACAGCATCGGTATCTGTCAACAATCCTGTGGACGAGGATATCCAGTCATCCAGCGATTTTGAGCTTGGAAGATGTACCAAGGCGAAAATTACTTCGGTGAAGGATACCCAGCTTAATGTACTCCTTGCAGACAATATCCACGGTCGAATAGATGTGTCCGAGGTATTTGACAAATGGGAAGATATAAAAGACCGAAAGCGGCCTTTACGCCTTTTTAAACCTAAACAGATTGTGCCTGTCAAAATTTTGGGTATTCATGATGCGCGAACTCATAAGTTTCTCCCAATCAGCCATCGGTCAGGAAAAATGCCAGTGTTCGAGCTTTCGGCCAAACCAAGCACTTTGAATTGCCCAACTTTTGAACCTCTAACCTTGGAAAAACTGTGTGTTGGAGATTTATTGTTGGGATATGTCAATAATATAGCCGACGGCTGTTTGTGGCTGAACGTTTCCCCAAATGTACGGGGAAAGCTTAGAATTACGGATATCCCCCACGACTTGGCTCTTGCAGGTGACATCAAAACTTCGTTCCCAATAGGATCTGCTCTAAAGGTCATCGTTACCGCAGTTGATGTGGACAAGAATCGCCTGGACCTCACAGTTAGCGACGGAAAGTCATCGAAGGTGCTGGCAATATCTGATCTTTCGAAAGGCATGATTCTTCTTGGCAGAGTAACAAAGGTGACCGAGCGCCAAGTCATCGTTGAGCTCAATAACTCGCTTGTGGGCGTGATTGGCTTAATGGACATGGCCGATGACTATTCAAAAGTAAATACTGGGAATTTCTACAAGAATGAGGTTATCCGAGTCTGCGTTGTGGCTATTGATGCGCCAAATAAAAAAATAACTCTTTCCGTCCGCCCATCTAAAATCCTTAGTTCATCTCTTCCGGTAGAAGACCCAGAAATTACGTCCATTCAGCAAGTTAATGTCAACACTATTGTTCGTGGTTTCATCAGAAGAGTCGCTGATATTGGTTTATTCGTGGCCCTTGGTCATAACGTAACGGCCTACGTTCGTGTCTCGGATATATCCGATTCCTATATCAAAGAATGGCAAGACGAATTCCAAGTTGATCAAGTCGTTCAAGGAAGAGTAACCCTAGTGGATGTTGATTCCAAAAAGATTCAGATGAGTTTAAAGCGCTCGGTACTTCACCCGGATTATAAAGCTCCAATGAGGCTTAAGGATTTGAAAAAAGGACAAATAGTCACTGGGAAGGTTCGAAAAGTTGAAGAATTTGGCGCTTTCATTACAATTGACGGGTCGGCGAATCTCAGTGGCCTCTGTCATAGAAGTGAAATGGCAGAACATAAAGTTGCAGATGCCCGTAAACTCTATGAAGAAGGCGATTTGGTGAAAGCCAAAGTTCTCAATATCGACCTGGAGAAGGACCGGATGTCTCTCGGGTTAAAAGCGGCATATTTCAAAGATGACGATGATGGTGATTTGGATATGGCCGAGACCGACGAGGAGTCAAGCAGCGATGATGAATTTGGTGGAGTAGCTCTTGATAATGCCAGTGAAGATGGCCTCTCTGATGATGATGCGGACATCATGTTGGACGGCGGACATTTTTCTCATGAAATGGACAATGCAGATGAAGATGAATTAGATGAACATAATGACGTATCCATGTCTGACAGAGATGATGCCATGGAAGAAGGTGGTTTGGATGTTGGTGCCTTCGACTGGACAGGGAATGCCGATCCGGTCCAGAACGACGATGCCTTCCCAGAATTCAACTCGGATGATGAGGGTTCATTCAAGAAGAAAAAGCGCCGAAAACCCGAGATTCAAATCGATAGAACCGGCGATCTTGATACAAATGGACCCCAAACAGTGGCGGACTACGAACGACTACTTCTAGGCGATCCTGATTCAAGTTTGCTTTGGTTAAAATATATGGCTTTCCATCTTGAACTGGGAGAAGTTGACAGAGCTCGGGAAATTTCTGAACGAGCTCTGAGGTCAATCGGCATCGGACAGGATACAGAAAAATTCAACGTCTGGGTTGCGATGCTTAACTTAGAGAATACCTTTGGTACCAATGATAGTCTTGACGAGGTTTTCAAGCGAGCGTGTCAGTATAATGATGCACAGGAGATACATGAAAGAATGGCAAGCATTTTCATCCAGTCTGGCAAACCGGAAGTATGTACAAAACTCCCTGTTGATATTTCTTTTCTAATACTAACCCTTCGCCAGAGAGCCGACGAGATCTTCCAATCAGCTCTCAAAAAGAAATTCTCTCAGTCTCCGAATCTATTTTTGAACTACGCTAACTTCCTCTTCGATACTATGGCTGCGCCAGACAGGGGCAGAGCTCTATTGCCCCGAGCCATTCAATCGCTTCCTGCGCACACACATATTGAATTAACCTCCAAATTTGGACAGTTGGAATTCCGATCACCAAACGGCGATATTGAACGTGGTAGAACTGTTTTCGAAGGACTGATCTCTGCATTCCCCAAGCGGGTTGATATATGGAACATCCTGCTTGACCTCGAAATGAAAGTCGGCGACGCTGAACAAGTCAGAAGAATATTTGAGCGGGCTCTTGGGATTGGTCACGGTATCAATATCGATGGCACCAAGTCTGACAAAAAACGACTAAAGGACAAACAGGCCAAGTTTTTCTTCAAGAAATGGCTTGCCTTTGAAGAGAAGATGTCAGGTGAAAACAGCAAAATGGTTGATGAGGTTAAGGCGAGAGCGGCAGACTATGTCAAGTCGCTTAAGGGAGAAGCCTAGCAACCGACAAGCTGACCATTCTAAAAATAAATTTTTTCTTGGTTTCTCTATTCTAAAGTATATCCACTGTAACCAGCATTGAGCTTTTCACTTCAATAGTGCAGGCAGGTATGTATCTAGTAGATTAGGAGGGCCTATTGACCTCTCTTCGCCGCCATGACTCGTCTATATTCATCAACAATGTCTTGACGATGGGTTGCCAGTTCCTCTCTCCGCCTTAAGCTTCCAGCTGCAGCGGGAACGTTTGCGACATCCACCTTTGCACCAGCCATTCCATGTACTTTGAACACCTCTCGGACACTTGTCAACTTCTCCGGTGGCGCCTGAACGACATCGAACGGATTCATGGGTCGTGTGGTACGTTTCTTCTTATTCAGCTTCGCCCAAGGGTCATCATCCCCATCGCTTTCAGGAACACCAACATCGTCGGCGTCCTCGCCACCTTTCTTTCTCTTCTTTTTACTCCCTTTCTTCTTTTTCCTTTTTCCATTTCCTGCTTCCATTTCCCACTGTTTCCACGTTTCATCTACTTCCTCATTTTGCGCCTCTCGCTCTTCTCTTTCTGCTTCCTCTTTTTCCCGTATCCTTGCATCATCTTTTCGCCATTGGGTTTGTAATCGTAGGAGCCGCTTCTCGTGCTTTGTTTGGCGGTGTTCCCGTATATTACGAATATCAGCATCTACTTTGCTAGAACGATTATTCCCCGCCGCCCGCGAAACTCCCGAAAGAGGGAGGGCTTGATCCACCCGAATGGCGAATTCAGAGAGCTTTTCGCCAGGGAGGAGTTTGGGGATATTTGCGTCATTAGGGATCTTGCCCGCAGAATCGGAGCTGCTCTTTTCCTCTCGTTTTATGGAACCACCCGTTCGTTTCTTGCGCTTCTGCGTGGAGCCTTCGTCGACTACTTTTGTTGAACAGGGTTTTATGAGAGACTCCTGATATTTTCGCATCATTCTGGCAAATTCCCGGGGGGTGTCGTCGCCGAAATTTTCAGAATATGACGCATTTTTTGCCTCTTTCACCTTTTTGCCCTGTTGGTCCTTTTTACCGCTTGCATTTCCGCCGAATCGCGGAGGAAGAGCCTTCGCAATTTTGGAGGGTGGCAGATCAAAATGATCCCTAATGTTGACTATATCAGCACTCTCTCCTATATGAGAAGAATCGCAAAATCGAGGTTCATAAGCCTACCCATCGTCATTCCGCCTTCTCTTATGTTTATGGGGCATTGTGTTAGAGCTGCTTTTCGTGTTTGAAGAACAGCTGCTCGAATTGATCAATTGGCTAACTTAGTCAGAAGTTGTTGCTTGACACGCTAGTACAGTATCGTCCCATATGATACAAGCTTGTCTCCACGCCTAGCCCCGGACACTCGGCCCCTATTTTTACGCGCGGGCGTGCCTAACAGTCGCCCCAAATATCGGCGCCTCAGGGAGCAAGCTTACGCCCGTATTCATATTTCGATACATTCAACCTGCGGCCCCATACCCCTTTGAAGCATGCCACAATATCATCTTGTCATTTTGCTTGACATTGTCACTCCTCAGGAGCCCATGATTATTCCTTTTTAGCGTTGCACCAGCCTTTAGTTTCATTATGAAAACAACACAGGAGTAACACACATTCATACAGTTCCACGGTCAGAGGATGTATATATCTTCAATAGACAATTCAGAATCCGATGTCAATAAAGTATAATACCATATTGACACCATATATATTAGTCCTTAAGTAGCTGTGATTACTGCAATTTAAATACTTTGGTCTTTCCAATATCAAGACACCATTTTTCTACCATCATACCCTTGCTTCTTTCCAGAGCCATAACAAGTTTTCAGATTCCAAAAATGAACACCACTTGCGTCTTTTCTATTGTCACATCTTTCCCAAGAACCCCGAGCACAAATGTGTCCCTCGACGAACAGGAGGCTGTGAGCTGTGTAGATCACGCTTCAGAGCATGTGAAGCCGTAAGTCCTAGCAATGTAAAACCCTGAGATTATTCTAACACTTAGCAGATCCCAGAGACACTCTGGCCGCTAGCATATGAATTATTCAGCCGTCTTGATGAGAAGAACAAGAGCCCCAATGCTTTAATTCAAGGTATGATTGAGGAGGCAATGGCAAAGAAAGCAAAGCAGTTCAAGGATAAACATGCTGCGTATAAAAAGGAGCTGAAAAAAAGAGAGCTTGAGTTTAAACGAGCGGCCAGCGCCGCAAACCACCCGTATGAAACTCGATACAAAAGTATCGTGGCAACTGGTATCAAGACAGAAGCTGCGTGCGACGGGGTGGAGAAGCATACTCAGATCACTAGCAGCTTGGAGGCGATTCTCCAGCGTCTCCATGAATTACAGAAAGCCATCGAGGATGCCCAAAAAAGAATCAATAAGGTATTAATCTTTGAGAGTTCCATGGGATATTATTTTAAAACTAACAAGTTAACTCTGAGTGCGTAGGTCGTCGACACGCTCGAGGTGTCAAACACCTGGAGATCTTCTACTTTGCCTCTCAAGGAGGAGGAAAGTGATGTGGCTTTTGAAGAAAAGCACCTCTGGTACACGAGATGAACCCCGATATTAGAAACCGGTAGGAGATGGAGGAAGAATCCTGTCTTGGCCGAATGGAAAATTTTTGACAAAGACAACTTCCGCGACGGCAATATGCATGTGTAGCTATTCTGTTGCCTTGAGGAAAATTCAACCAGTTCGCCTAGTTAGAAGGTTGTGCCATCGATGCGGCATAACGATGCGCCGATGCATGCAGTTCAATCGCAGCTTGAGGTTGTAAATCATTTGCAGTTCAATGAGCATGTAAGATTGGTTGTGAACTTGCGATGTCACCAAGGGCAGTGGGTCTCCAACAGTTCGTTGCGTCGTTGGGTGCTCCGTGCCTAAGTTACTTAACCAGCCATCGCAACGATAGTTACAAACCCCGTCTGCAGCTTGCTTAACTAGTTAATGGAAATGGGGCTGACTGCAATAACGCGTTTGGAGAGACTGACGAAATAGACAGCTGGAAATAGGGTGTGTTTGTCAACGGAGCTTAGATACTGCCAGCTCCATCCATCGTCTGTCTGATGATGGGCTTATTCGGAATGCTGTTCGTTCCTATTCACCCCTTATAGTTGCGAGCTTGCTGACCTCGTAGTTATAGCGGCGTAGCCCAGCTGGTTCCCCTACTATGTGGAGTGATTGTAGCGTTCTTCCCCATTTATATCGATAAATTCTTAGACTACTGGAGCAAATATGGCGAGCCTAGCGAACATCCCGTACAATGGCCTGCAAACCGAACAGCTGGTATAATACCCTTGCCCTGCCACTCACACAATGACTACTGGAGACGAGTTCCTCTTTTCTCTGCCATCCAAGCAGGCTGTATTGGAGTCGAGGCAGATGTCTGGCTTTTTGATAACGACCTGTACGTTGGACATAGTAAATCGTCACTTGTCAACAACAGAACACTGGCGAACCTCTATATCAAACCACTTCTCGACCTTCTTGAGAAGCAAAACTCCGTTACTCATTTTCGCCATATAAAGCCTACAGTTCCAAAGGGAGTATTTGATACGGCGCCTCAACAGACGATTGTACTCCTTGTGGACTTCAAGACAAAGGGGCATGATATCTGGCCCTACCTTATTTCACAGCTACTCCCGCTCCGTGACCAGGGCTATCTTACCCATTTTAACGGGACGACTGTTTTGACAAGACCTATTACGGTTGTTGCAACTGGAAATGCTCCATTCGAACTTGTTACGGCCAACTCTACTTACCAGGATATTTTTCTCGACGCGCCCCTAAGTCAATTGAGTAGCTCTAAGGTTCCAGGAATTGACACTGAAAACTCGAATAGCAATAGTTCCTACAACTTTAAGAATAGCTACTATGCATCATCCTCTTTTTTCAAGTCCGTTGGCTTTCCTTGGAACTTTCGATTGTCGGAAGCACAACGGGACATTGTAAGACGCCAAATAAAAAGTGCTCACGACCGCGGCCTCAAAGTACGGTATTGGGATACCCCTATCTGGCCACACTTTCTCCGCAATCGAATTTGGATGGAGCTTGTTCGCGAAGGCGCAGACATTTTGAACGTGGATGATTTACAAAGTGCCGCAAATAATGGGTGGCTTAGCTTTGCAAAATATGCTTAATACGGCCCGGCGTTTATAGAAGGGCATCACGGGTCCAATTTTCCTCCGATAAGATCTAAGAAAAAGTACATATCTGCATAGAAATAGAAAGTGTATCATAACATATCATCTAATCATGCAAGGTCGTTCAGCAACCCAACAACTGAAATGAACAGCGCAAGTATTATCCACATGGCGTTAAAGGTAAGACAACGCCTCATCACCAAATTCCTTCATTATACTGCCTTCTTCTCGGAGCATACCACCTAGCCACCGTTTCGCCGATTCAAAATCTGGAGCGCCAAATTTGACCAGCACAAAGCCCGACCGTACCTGTGCTGCTGTCCATGTTATAATAGGAGGCTTCTGGGCGCTTTGTTCATCCGAAGATTTGTTAGAAGACCAGTTACGAGCTCCAATTCGAGGTTCTGAGGAGAAGGCATTCATGAAAAATGCAGAGAGTGAATCAAACAGGGGACCGTATAGAATCAAAGTGCCTAGAACAGTGTGTGGAGCAGTCCGAGCAATAATAGAAGGAGGCATTGCTAATGGGTGTGCTCGATTTTCAGCGCCTGGGTCAGATGGTCCTGCTTCATTGCTCAATGTTAAATTGTCGCGAAAAAGAAGTCTTTTTCGCCCTGTCTTGCAATCTTTGACCCATACTTCATTACGGCTATGCCATAGATCAAATGACCATTTTTCGCCTCTGGCACTACGTCCCTCCGTCACCCAATCGAGGATACACAGGCTTGGTCGGCGCGATTTCCTGTTCGGTAGTTCGTTTTCTATGGGTTCCTGTGAGCCGCAATATTCTCCCTCGAGAAAGGTAAATAGCTGAATCTGCTCATATTTGCTGTTCTTAAATGGTACGGCCGGGTCAGGTAGATAACACAGGCTAGATTCAGGGCATAAATCAACGTTGACTATCTGCTGACTTCTATCGGACTTTAGGTTGTCTGCAACCCCAGGGGGGCTGCCTTTCTGCGATAATCGAGGTTCGGTCTTGAATATTTTCGTACTACCTTGAGGTGTAGTGACAACAAGTTTGCTGTGAGGTTTCAACTCTATGCAAACGTTGATATGGTCCCCTGGTAACAATCCACCGCCATATGAGAGCACGTATAGGTGTAATGGGCTAACAGTGGATGTCTCAGAGTTGCAGGTCGACACACGCGAAATCAACTTTAGGGGGTATTTGTACGAAAGGGTGCTGAGAGATGGAATACCAGGAGGGAGGACTGAGAGCACAACTTTGCCATGGCCTGGAGGGATCGCGGTTGAGAATGGAGAGTTTAAGATATTGGAGGCCATGGCGGATAGAAATGGTGTTGAACCGTGAGATAGAAGCCGCCAGCCATGGACGTTGTTGGAGCTGGCAAAGGCTAGTTTCTGTTCTGTGCTGAGGAGTGTATGTCAGGGCAGCCGTTCCCCTGTTGTCTTCCTTTTGAACAGATCGCGGAGTTGCCAGGAGGAGCCGTAGAATACCAATACGTAGCGTTTCGATCTATATCGGCAGTTTTGCGGCGCAACGGGCGTATGTTTCAGTACATTACGCCGCCAATACGCCGCTCCGCTGTCGTGACACGATTTATTAGCAAGAAAAGGAGACCGACGAAAGCATCGCACCGCCCGGCTCTCTGTCACCCACACATCTCCGCCCTGCCCGCTGCGACCCGGCTAGAAATTGTTTTTGAGACGTTGAAGTGCTGTTCTGTTTGTTTCACTTCCCTAGGCAGCCTCGAAAGGCTGTGCTTCCACCCCACACAGGAAACTAATAACGCGTCTCGAAAACTCCCGATCTCGTCGCGTCCAATTTGCCGACCCATCCAAACAAGGCCGCCGCCTTGGACTCTGCGCGTTGAAATCTAGCCTGGACGGCTATCCTCTCTTGCATAATTTAACGGCCGACATACAGGATACTCCCAATGGAAGGCTCCGCGCGCGACAGCGATCGCGACCCAAGCCCGCTCTCCGACGCTCCCGATGAGCAAGGCGCCGAAGAAATAAATCGGAGACAGTCTCGACGTGTTCGCCGAAAGCCAGAACTATATTCTTCGCAAACTTTTACTCCCAGTTCGACGAAGCGAAAGCGCACTGGCTCACGCGCCGGGGATGATGAGAGTGGCGCATCGGACGCAGGAGCCGCAAACAGTGAGGAATCTGGAGATGAAGACCAAGAAGATGAAGAGAGTAGTGAGGAAGGGCCTGACGAGGAAGAAATGAAACGGAGGAGAAAACTTACAAAAAAGGCCTCGAAGAAAACGGTCAAGAATGGGGTTAAGAATGCACCCTCGAAGGCTAAACGCGCAGCCAAAAAACCAAAGATGGCAAATAGCATTGAAGCGGAACTCGCATTTCGCCCTCTCCTCAATGGTGGGAAAAAGGCTCCCTCAAGGCCGAGGAAACCGCGTGTCCGACCCAGTGGATTTGCAGGCGAAGAGGGTTTATATGGTGAGAGCCCCAAAAATTGCAAACTAGGAACATCGTGCTAAATCATTTGCTGTAGCTGAGGTTTTTGCCAGAGGCCATACTACCGATGCCGTCGCTGCGGAATGGCTTACAAAATACGAACAACACAACATTGATGCGATGTGTGACCTGGTCAACTTTGTTCTACGCTGCTCGGGGACCGTTTTAAAGGTTGATGAACACGACATAGAGGACGTAGACAATGTCGCGGGCCGCTTGAATGATCTTCAGGAAGAATACCAGTCGCAAAGCATCACAGAATATCCCCTTGTATCGAAATCTAAAAAATTTCGAGGGTTCCAGTCCGTGTTAACCGGGTTTTTCGACTCTCTCGTTCGGACAATACATAGCTCATCGGTGCTATATACCGACAATGCTTTGATGGAAAACATTCAGGCCTGGATAACCTCAATGTCCTCCGCCCCTATTCGACCATTTAGGCATACTGCGACGACAATTTCCCTCGCCATTGCTACAAGCATGTGCCATATCGCGAAACAGGTTTCAACCACGCTCTCGAATACCAGGAAACAACTTGAGACAGAAAAAAAGAAAAAGACTACCAACAAGGGTAGAATCGGGGCTTTGCAAACAAAGATAAAGGAAAACGAACAAAAGCTTGAGACAATAGACGGATTTCTTCATGATTCTTTTGATACCGTCTTCGTTCATCGATACCGAGACGTTGATCCAAAAATTCGAGCTGAGTGCATTACCGCTCTTGGTGTTTGGATTGCCACCTACAGGCAGGTATTTTTTGAAGGACAGTACCTTCGATACCTAGGTTGGGTGTTGTCTGATACTGTCCCTCACACACGATCAGTTGTCGTTCATCAGCTTTACCGTTTGTTTCAAAACAAGGATAATATTCCCGGACTCAAAGCTTTCACCGAGCGATTTCGTCCTAGACTTGTGGAAATGGCCGTACGGGATGCTGAAACCAGTGTTAGGGCGGCAGCCGTTGAATTATCGGACCTTATCCGTGATGCCGGATTGCTAGAACCAGACGACATTGACAGTGTTGGGCGACTTGTTCTTGATAGTGAGGCACGCGTACGTAAAGCGGCTGGCAAGTTCTTTGTAGCCAACATTCAAGATGTCTACGATGCACAAACTGAAGGTCTAGAGGAAGAACTTAATGAGTCATTTGCTGATGAAGATGATGACGAGGATTTCAAATCTCCCAAAAAGTCGTGGATAAAATATAAATGCCTGGTCGATATGCTCCAAGCTTACGATGAGCAGCAGTCTGAGCTGGCGGAGGACCAGGATATCTCAACCAGAAAAAATCTTTTTGCCAGCCATCTGGAATCTAGATTTGCGCTCGCCACGGAGAGCATATTCTCTCATTTCCCGGAATTAAGTCAATGGGAGTCTTTGGCAGGATACCTACTTTATGATCACTCGCAAATTGCAGAATCAGAGGGTGAGGATGCCAGCAATACCATCAAACAACTATTCAAGCTAGATGAGGGCCAAGAGGCGATTCTCTTAGAAGTCTTAAGCGCTGCAGTGAAGCTTCACATTCAGGAGGTTTCCAAATCGGACACAGACAAGAAAGGCAGGAGAACGAAGCAATCAGTGGAGATGATGGAAGCTAGGCAAGAAACTATTGCCCACGACCTTGCACAGATTATACCTCAACTTCTGAACAAGTTTGGCGCTGTCCCAGAAGCTGCGTCGGCAGTGTTGAAACTCGAGCATCTCGTCAATCTAGACCTCATCCAAGACTTGCAAAAGGATGCCGCATCATATGCTGAGATCCTGAATAACATTAACAAGCAGTTCTTGACACATTCCGATCGAGTCGTGCTCGCCGAAGCCACTGCGGCGTTCCTTCATGCTCGTACGTCCGATGAGCTTAAGGAAGCGATGGAGAATAAAGTACAGGAACTATGGGACGATACGCTGGATTCACTACGCTCAGTTGTGGCAAACAAACATGTCCAGGATAACGGCACTCTCCCCGTTAGCACTCTTACCTCTCTCTCCCACACGGTTATGAGAATCTCGAATTTAGTCAGTATCTCAGATTGCACATCGATACTGGAATCATCGGCCGAGAACACGAGGAAAAAGACGCTCGAAACACAGCCCCTTGTCGATGTATTATTGTCTCTGACGAAACGAGCACTACGCGAAAATAGTTCCGACGAGGAGGTCATTTCGTTAGAACGTGAACTACTGACTAGTACGTTCAAGACCCTGCTCGTTTATTTCATGTGGAAAGTCCAGTTGCTCCGTGCTGGCGTTTCGAGAAAATCACCTTTAGCAGGAGAATTCTTTGAAGCTCTATCAGAACGCCGAGAATCATTTCTTGCCACACTCACGGCGATCATGCAGCAGGGGAAAGGGATCAGCCATATAAGGATAGCCGCAGCTACAACTTTGTTGGATTTGCAAACCGCATTTGGCACTTTGCGTTATGCAGCTTCAGCCAAAACTACGAACCCTGACGATGAAACGGTCGCGCAAATCGTTGAACTCGTACAGGACATTCCCCCGACCACATCTTCCTTGATATTCCGTATACATGACAGTGTCTTGAAGGTTTATGCGAAAAAGATACATCACTCTGTTGAAGTGCTGTCAGACGATGAAGCGCCTTTAGATTCCCAATCTGACATTGGAGACAGCTCTGATGAGGAGATGGAGGACGACGAGGATGCGGTTCAGTCCAGTGCGCGCCGTATGCGCTCACAACTCCTCTCTGAGCAAGAGCTTTGCCAATACACTGGCAAGATCGTCCTGGCTATCATTGGTCATGTTCTAGATTCGTCGGGCCCGCAGGCTGGGAAGTTCAAAGAGAAATTACTGCGGAATAAATCACGGCTGGGTCACAACTACAAGGCTATTCTAACTTATCTAGACCAGAACAAGACAGCGTCGTCGCAAAATGCATCGAAACCGAATGCTAATGCACCGGCTCAACGCTCTAATGGCAATGTCGGGGGAATGAGAAACGGCAATGTTAAATCTACGGAAATGGTAGTTGAAGACGACGAAGAGGAGGAAGATGACGATGATTTACGGGCTAGAGAAGCCACAGAAAACGATAGTGAGTTGGCAGCCGAGGGTCGCGGCGACTCGCCTCTCACGCCTGTCGGCGATGATATGATTAGTGATTGAATGTGTTGGACGAAACGAAAGCGCTTGCGATATTGCCCACTCTGCAGATTCGATGTATCCTCTCTGGTGTTTTCCGTCTTGATGCTTTCTTGCGCTTCATGTACTACTTTTTGCTATTTCAATGAATCTATAAATAATTGCTTCCAGGCCAGCCGCCGCTTTCCGCTCTAGCTTTGCTATCAGACAACGGAGGAGGCAATTCCCAGCAGGGTGGATGAGCCAGATCCCGCTGGCTTAACGGCAGATTTATACGTTTTTTCGTTTTTGACAAATCTCCCCGCCGGCTCTTCTTATCTCGCGTGGCAAAAGCCATAAACACGCCGTCGCATATGCGGATCCGTTCGAGCCCCACGCGCGTCTGCACAGCCAGTGTTGTTGAGTTCAGTGTGAGGAGCACGTTATGCCGAAACTCAGTTCTTTGTCACGTAGCTTTCTGGAGCCATGGTCTTAGTGCTCAGCCTGCAGCTTCCAAGATCTTCGGAAAATGAAAGAGTTTATGGAGGCGAAGCGGGCAAATAGGGCCGGGGGTATATAGCATTCTGCAGTAACTACGCAATCCTCATTTGCCCGTTGCATGAATATTGTATTATTTCCTATCGTCGCGCGCGCTCTCTTTTTCCGAGTTGCAGCGCCGTATTCGAGAGTGGCTCTCCATGGCTGAAGAAGACGCCTTTGTGTCTTCGGCGGCAGCGCGGGACCGAGACAGCGAAACAGAAGAGGTACGTGGGCCAAGGTAGCCGAGGCCGCTCGCCATTCCGTCCTCGTCATTGCACCATGCTAACCGCCGCGAGTCGCAGTTCGAGGATGAGGCGTTTTCGGATTCCAAGTAGGTTCTCCTGGCGAGTTGGTTAGTTGATATAGCTAGCCATTGTTGACGATGGGTGTGGTGCAGGTCGGCGTCGTTCTCGCTCGAGCCCAGTGTAACGAACTACCCCGAGGAGCATGGCCGGCGCTACCACGCGTATCGACGCGGACGTGAGTCTCCGCCCGCCGCAGCCCAGCCGCTGAGGAGAGAATGGGCTGATGCGCACGTGAAGGCTGACCGGGATCGCAGGCTATCTGCTGCCCAACGACGACAAGGAGATGCAGCGCCTGAACCTTGTCGACGCGCTGGTCAGGCATATCCTGGGCGGGCTGCATCTCGCGCCCATAGGCTCGAACCCGCAGCGAGTGCTGGACATTGGCACCGGCTCTGGCGCTGTAAGCTGCTACATCGAGCGTGCTGGTCGAATTCACTGCTAACTAGTTCACCATTAGTGGGCGATTAATTTCGGTATCGCATCCATCCCGCAGCCAAGCGGCACGAAGACGTCTGTGACGATTGGCTGACTGACTGGCTGGCTAACTTGTGCGAGATAGCCGACAAATACCCGTCTGCAGAGGTAGTTCATCTCAGCTCCTTGATTCAATCAGTGAGCTTCCGACGGCTAAGCTGCCCCCAGGTCATAGGAAACGACCTGAGCCCGACGCAACCTGACGAGTGAGTCAAGAGCGGCCCATCGGCCAGCGCCAGACACCCCGGCTGAAGAACTCACAGTGTGCCCCCGAACGTCCGCTTCATCGTCGACGATGTTGAAGAAGATTGGGAGTATGAAGATCACCCGTTTGACTTCATCCACTCGCGCTATATGATACTCGCTATAAGGGATATGAAGCACTTAATTCAACAAGCTTTTAGGCATGTTCTGCATCCCGCTCGCGCCGCAATAATAATAAAATAATGTTGGCCACTGACCGCTCTTTTGCTTGCTTAGTTGCTTACGGCCCGGAGGCTGGCTGGAGGTCCAGGATTTTGATTCGCGGATCCACTCTGCGGATGGTAGCATCAGAGGCACATGCCTTGAACACTGGGACAACTCGACCATGGAGGCATTTGCGCGCCTGGGCTTTTGGACTCGCGTTGACCCCCAGTTTGGTACTCTGTTGCACGATGTCGGATTCACAAACATCCAAATGAAGCGATTTTCGATTCCATTGGGAAACTGGCATGAGAATAAAAGAAGTGTATGTGCTTCTGTATTGTTGGTTTGTCGATTGTCTGTCAAGAGTGTTTGCTAATTTTCTTCGCTGCCTGACACGAACAGCAACAGCTAGGAGAGCTCAATGCAAAGCAGCTCACGGAAGTGCTGGAAGCCGCTTCGCTAGCTGTGTTGACCCGAAGTGGATGGACTGAACAAGCGGTCTACGCAATGTGCGCTGGAGCGCGGAACGACGCTCAAAACCAAAAGATCCATGCGGAATTGGACTTGTAATGCCTTCCTAGCATCAGTCGACAAAGACCATATTTACTGACCTTTCTTGTTAGTTATGTATTCATTGCACAAAAGCCGGATGAATATACCTGCATTTAATGGCGCTCCGTTTTTTATTTCTGAGGCGTTACAGGTTAAAAGCGCAATTGACAGTAAGTGTATATACCTAACGATTAAGATGGTCTTTTGGACATATAGAACTCGAGGCCCGCTTTTTTCCAGTCATGATTCAAGTGCGAACGAGATTTGACATGATGATACCCCCGGTGTGAATTGAAAGCAGATGGTGTTAACAAGGGGTATGCTGTTTCTGCAGTTGGATGTTCTCAGCGACAGTTTTCTGTATAAGTTGATCAATATATTTCGTGGCATATGTATGTACATATAAGTACAACAGAAGTGTTCAAATACATATCAAACAAAAGGTATGTATATCCAAAGATGACATAACTTAGCAAGGTGAAAACATACACGAACGCACGATGGCGGCAGTGCCTGAACGCCCGCAAAAACGATCATGGACTGTAACTGGATGCAACAGGCCTTCACATATATCTCATCTGCTGTATTGCGACGCAATAAAAACAGTAATTTGTGGTTTTTTCAAAAATTGTTATTTAAGCCGGTGTCAGAGCAACCTTCGTTCCAGTTGCACTGGACAAAGTAAGTGTAATATTTTCAATAAAGTGCAGGACAGGATCCCGGTTTTCGATATCTTTGAAGGTCTGGAGGAGGCGAATAATCACATACGACGCCTCGATCAATGCATATTGCTCTAGATGAACAGTTAGTCAGCACATCCGTCGCAAAACAAGAACAGAAGGAAGATCCTCACGGCCTAAACAGATCCTAGGACCACCATTGAACGGGATATAATTCCATCCCGGTCGCAATCCCTCCCATCGACTTGGTTTGAATTCATTCGTATCTTCCCCGTAAAAGGTACTACGATGGAGGCCCCAGGTACTGTAGATGACATATGTCCCTTTCTTTATCAAAACCTTGCTCTTTCCATCCGGACCACCACCGCGCGGGAGGGTTGTGGTTACGACAGCTTCTCGGCCATTCCATGGGACAACTGGGAATAAACGAAGGGCTGATAGTGAAAATTGTAAGCTTATGCCTAAACACCACTGAAAGGCTCAACTCACTTTCATTGAGTACATATCGTAAGTATGTGAAAGATTTGATATCTTCATAGGTAGGCGGCCTGTTTCCGATGTTTTGAATTATTTCTGCTCTCAATTGATCCCAGACATCTTTGTGTCTTGCGAGCTGATGAAAACAAATAGCCAGCACACTAGCCGTGGTGTCTCTTCCGGCCAGAAGGATATTGAGTAGTTCTGATCTCAGTTTGATGGGGTCCTTGATACTCTTCGAGATCTCCTCGAGAAAGATATAATTGCCGCCGGCGTCGTGTGAGGTGGGCTTTCCAGATGCATGCAGCTGCAAGGCGCTTTGGGTGAACCGGTCGATATAAGCTTGAACAAACTGCGAGATTCTTTTGAATTCACGGCCGTCTTTCTGAAGAAAATACAGGTCGCCCAGAAGAGTACGCAACATGCAGATTTCTGTTGAGTTGGTGTCAGCGAGCGCGGACTCAAAATTCCCCCATGGGAGATAAAACCATACCTGTGCCTCGAGTAAAGTCACGATAGAATTGTGCCTCAGCTGGACCGCTATTTCGAGACAAGCTGTTGACGCTCTCACCAAACAGGAAATCGGTTGCTACAGCCCGTCCGTTAGTTCAAAAAAACAGGTAGACTGGTATCTAGAGATATGAATGACCTGTATCCAAAGTAAACCTGAAAAAGAGCTCCTGCAAGTCGCATGTCTCGTTACTTGGAATCTCGGCGATAAGACGCTGGACAAATTGTTCCAGCTTTTCTAGATCCTGGATCTGCTGCCTTGCGAACTGCGGCCGAAGCGTAGCGCGGGAGTGTCTCCACGGTTCTCCTTTGGGACCACCGCCGTATATATGAGTGAATATTCCCTCTCCAAGCATGGGAAGAAAAGCAGCTGCTCGGGTACCGCCTAGGGAGAACTGCTCGAACTGCGTCGACAGAATGGCCTTGATGTTCTCGGGATCCCGAGTGTCAACGTATGTCCGCATAAATATGTCGGTCGAGTACGTGTCGCCCAACATCTCGTAGCGAAGCACGTTCTCCTCGAGAAAGACATTCTTGTTCTTGGATTGGAGCATTAGCAAAGAAGTCTTCCAGCCAAAAAGGCCCTGCATGGGAGCCTCCGGCACATCTTCGGTGTGCTCGAGCTTGCGGATGCGCGCCTCCTCTAGGTACGAAAGGATATACCTGTACCCGAGATGGAGCACGCCAGCCCCCAGGGCCAAAAGCAGGACATTGGCGTAGCTCAGCATGGCCAGAGATGAATGAAGCTGAGGTGATGCTGAAAGAAAAAGGTCTCACCAGATCATCGTCAAGTCCGGCTTGTACGAAACGACCGAGTTATATAGTTAACTATTTAGTTAGTTAGTTATTTACATGAGGGAGAATATTCATATGCAACCTGACAACCTGGCTGCCTTACAGCCAATGCTGGATCAGTCAAACTAATAATCCCCCCATCTTTCGACAGTTTCTCGCGATCGACAGGCTCTAACCCACCAAGCGCTGCCTGTCAAACCGCCGCCAAACCTATGTAGTTAATCCCAGACAGCCCGGCCGAGGTCCAAACTAAGCCCGGAGCCCGTGGTCACCGCCAGTGTTTACTTGAGAGAAGCTCGTGATACTGACAACACCAAAATGATTAACTAGGTGGCAGTGCTGGCATCTATATGTTTGTTATTAAGCCCGCTTGACAACAAATTGTAGAAACCCAAGAACGAGTCGTTCAACTAGCTCTGCTATGCCAACAAGCCTGAGCTGCCCCTCCATAATCCAGTCAAGATCACTGTGGAGTGCAAACTATGGTATATACCATGAGCGGCCCTCCAATGAGAAGATGCAGGCCCGACAACATAGCCAGCCCTCCGATATCCTCGGTGCATATAACTAACTGCTTTTGCTGACTTGTGTGTAGCTTCCCCCAACTGTTTCATGTTTCGATGGATACCCCTGAGATAGGCATGATGCATGCGCATATAACCCGGAGTGATAAGGCTCCCTTGATGAAGGAATGAGTCCTCGCGAAGCCTAAGATTAATTAAGAGAGGCAAAGGCGAGAAACTGGTCGCCAGCCTACTGCTACGGTAGAGGGTTGGGTCCCGTTGGTGGTCTCTTCGCATGAATGACATATGTGCTGCGTGGAATACCATTCTTCACACAGGTGAGCGCAATGTCATTCCAATTCAACATATTATATTACTGTTATAATCCTGATGTCTAGTACCCACGAAGTGTTGCAAACTGATCACTGTGCCAGTGTGATACCAACTATGGCAGACAGTATAACTGTGCTGTCGCCGGTAATACAAGCTGTGTCGTTGTCGTTTATTAATAGCGACCAGACGGGACTGCTGGAATTGCAAGCAGGCCTGTGATCTTGGGTTTTTTGACCACTCCATAACTGCTGAAAACCGCAAAATGCTATTTTATCACCTTGGTCTCACAAGATAATGGAGATTATGTTAGCCCAATCAAGCACTGCTAAGGCTCCCTATAAAGGCCACACTTCACATATACGGATGGGCGCAGCCTTCTCCCATGCCGGGACTTGGTTTTTTCAATATATCTCGTTGACAAGATAGCAACTGATTATCAAAGCACTCTAGAGACACGGAGTCTAGAGGTGTCACGCGTCAAGGTACCAGGAAAGCACCATGTGTGTACCTATGTCAGTGGGATACATTACATGACCACACGTTTACTAGGATAAAAAATGAAAACTCGGAAATACGCTATTCATTACGTAGAATAATAATCGAGCAAATGGTACTGCTATCAATCTGCAATTAGAAAATCCGTGTATGATGGACAGAATGTTGCCGAATATGCCCTCCGCACATGCCACGAGTTTTACTCATTCCATAGGATTGTGGTTGTGTGGTTTGAGAAACGATATTTGATGACCAGGAGCATTGCCAACTAATAAGACGACAATCCAATCCCGCAGAAACAGAGATTTGAGCAGGTGAAATGGATGTACCTTAGCACAACTAACTGACCAGTAAATATGTGGCAAAGAAACAACATATGTATTCAAGCCGCATCAACCTGGGTGACTAGTCCTCGCTGCCTCCATAGGAATTTGTAGGAGATGAAAAGCGCAAACTTTCCTCCTTCACATTGTGTTCTTGGAACCGGAGAACGTTCGTGATGTTGATCGTGAAGTGACCCACCATTCCTCAGGGAGAACCAAATAGTGGCAAAAATATTGATATTTATGTAGGAAGAGAGGCGACCGAATATTTCGTAGAGCGTCGAAGATATATCGAATTAAATTATTCTATGGCTCTTTTGTGTGTTAATACAGGGAAAATCACCAGCCGCCCCATACAGCTATCTATTACCATTGCCAGGAGACAACCGCCATGCTCTCAGTGGCAGTCTCTGTAATTTGAGTACTGCAGTCCTAATGTACATCCAGAACGTTACCACCCCAATAATCACGCAAATCATGTTTGTGATATAGAATCCGTCGCGCTCCGTGTGGCACGTCCCACCGCCCGCAATACAGCGGTGCTTATCAGCTTCAAGGGAACAAGAAAAGGGAGAGGTAATCGGCGTTTTGATGGTTGGGGGTGGTGTGGTCGGGGGGATACATGTTGCCTTGGCAAACATGTCGACAAGCTTAAGTATAAAGAACTTCGGAAACGTCCCTCCGAGGTTAGACACCCTAGGTATAATTGTCAGTTGCGCATATGAAAGCAATGGAATAGGAAACTCACGTAGCGAGTAATGTCATATACGTGCCGCCGATAGAGGGGTCTGAGATTCGAGCATGAAATGCTGAAACGGCAACAAACATCACCGTGTTCATAGACGTCGAAAACACATGCTCTAGTATAATGAGGAATATGTACCAACCAGGGACAGGGGTTCCTGGGAAAATCATCACGACAAGTTGCGCCAGAACCGCAGCAGCAAGTCTCCCCATGAAGGACCAGCACCACAGTCTCATGGGTGTATACTCCGTGGACCATTTACCAGCAAAATATCCTAGACCAATCTCAAATGGGAAGTCAATGAGCACAACGAGCGCCATGTTATCTTGCCCAAAACCTTTGTCAATTAGCTTCAGGTTAGTTACAGCTTCATTTGCTTGAAAGCCGATCTTGGCGATGAGATGGATTATGATGATAGTCTGAATATTCTTCAACTTCAGGATACCCCACATTGACCTATAGACATCCATGATACCATCACGGTCCTTATTCTTTTCCTCCTTCTTCAACACAGCTAAACACAGGGTGATGACCAGGTATGCCCAGCCCCAAAATTTGAGGTAGCCCCCAAGAGTCAGTAGACCTTCAGCCTTGGGAGTGGCGCGGAACCACCTATTGGCGAAATCGGGAGAATTAAAGGCAAGAAACACTGTATAGGAGAGAAAATGGCCGGCTGTAAGACCGATTGTTTGCGCGGTGGAAGCGTATGCAATATTTTGAGGTGATAATAGCGAAATGGCCCAACCATCAACAGCGATATCTTGGGTTGCACATAGAAACACAAGAAGAAACCACCAGCCCGTGAAGCTCCATACCCCATCGGTGCCCTGTGTTTCTGTGGCAGCCATCATAGATTTGACTCTGGTACCTAGGTACAGCATGGCAAATCCTGAAACAGTCTGAATAGGTGTAATCCAGCTCTTCCTCCTTCCAAATTCACGGCTCCAAACCGCATCCACAATGGGGCTCCATAAGAGCTTTAGCGAATAGGGGTAAGAGGCAAGCGAAAATATTCCAATTTGACCGTAAGAAAGAAAGGGTTTAAGGAGGAACGGTACGGAGCCCATGGCCAGGCCCATTGGGATTCCCTGTAAAAAATATAACAAAACTAGTAGAAGAAAGTTTCTCCGGTCATTTGTCGGTAGATCAGAAAAGCTCGTGCTTGTAAACCCGGGAGTTTGGGGGGTGGGCAAGGGCTCATAGTCCAAAGAGAAGTCAGATCTGCTCATCAATCCGACAGAGTGTGACGATGGTGAGTCTGGAGGTCCATCTTTCCTCCGCAGCCCAATACTGGATTCCATGGTGTTGTTTGCTTGGCCGTTTTCCTGTGCCGCGAGTCTTAGGGGAGGTCGACTGGCAGGACGGCGTTTCATGGAATTGTGCTTTCGAGTCATTTGTCGCCGGCCTCTGGAGGATTCCCCGTGAACGAGTGTATTGTTGAACAGTTCATGCGACGAATCGCAGCCAGAGGAAAAGGAGAGATCGTGGTCGTCGAGGCCACCGAGGGAAGCTTCGTCAAGAGCTCGAGAATGTGAGGCTAGGGGATGTAGTTCTAGATCGCCGGTGTGGTTGCTGAAATTAGGATGCGCGAGAGCATGCGAAGACGAGGGGTTTTGCAGAGGGTCATGGGCGAACAGGGGCTGGTTTTGCGGCATACGACTCGCGCTTCACGTTCAAGATGCAAGCTGGCCTTCCAGCGCGAAAACCGCAGGTTGTCACGCGTGCCACCGTCTTGACGGCCAGTGAGAACGAGCAGGCTGACTAAGGGCTCGGGCGGACGGCGGTGAGGCCAGATGGCATTCTTCGCCTGATCGTTCGTGGCTCCCCTGCAGCGGACGATTTGTCCGGTCCGGGGCGGGTTGTTCTTTGGCAGCGGCCTGCAGGGGTCGACGAGGCGCTTCGATGGTGCGGCAGATTTTCTTCACGATCGTCAGTGCGGCTCAGTGCTCGTCATGTGACCGCTTCGCGACTTCAACACTCTCGCCGCCAGCAGCACGACAACCGGCCATCAGGACTGGGATCACGGTGTGCAGTGTCGACGCGCGCAATGGAGGCTGTTCAGCCGGTGACTGACCCGTCGCTTGTTCTTGACGACGAAATTGCGAAGATTCGCTCTGAAAGTATGCACTAGCAACGCGTCTTGAGACCAGCTCTAATCCTAACCACAATTCCTATGCAGTTCACTCCCTTGCAAAACGGCGCCGTGTGGTATCAGCCAGCTTGCTCTCCAGCAATGCAGTTCAAACTCTTCTTCGTCCCCAGGTGTTGTCGAGTTCCAACCCCCTGGCACCGGTCGTCTTGAGTGCCGAGAAGCACACGCTGTCGAACCACCATCGGGCGGTGTTTTCCGCTACGGCTTTCCCCTTTACGGATCCATCCCCCCACGCAGACGCCCCCAAATTATTGGGCATCCGTATTGACGTCGTCCAGCAAGGAGGACAGTATTGTGAACCATACTACGTCCTTCTAAAGCGTACGAGCTGCGATAAAAATGCCCTGCAAGTTTACAAACACACAATACCCGCCTTTATACCCTTGGAACAGTTGCAGGCAGCCTACCTCCCTATCCCGGATATTTCTTTAGATCAAGAAGACAACCCTAAGGTGGTGCCCAAGAAGCAGAGTCTCACAAAGTTTGTACGCGGCCTGAGACAAGAACTCGTGGCATGGCATCTACGTCGAGACGCCGTTGATTGGCTCCAGGAAAGTCTAGGAGGCATGAGGGACACTGATCACAACCAGACATTGCCGCAATCTCTAGGTGCAAAACTGGGAATTGTGACTCTCCGTTCGGCCTCCCTTGAGACTCGACTTATCCGCCTTGAATGGCGCGATGGACGTGTTGGGCGTGTTTCCTTATCCAACAAAGGCTATGTGGACCGTGCTGTAGTTTTCGACGGCCAGATGCGAGATAAATCAATGGAAAATATACTGACAGCGGGAGACCGTAGGGTCGAGACCATGATCCAGAGGCTAGTTGATGCTACTATTGGCCAGGATGACCCCACTGGAGCACGATGTGGTGAGTGAATGTTATGAAGCCGTTAGGACCGAAATCGGGACCATCGATTAAGCTCTTGTGCGCAGGCATTGACTGCCTTCCCCATCCAAACCATCTCATGGTAAGAAAGCCATTTACCTAGACCTCATGTCTTACTCCTCAAATCCAAGCAACGAATATACGAAGATATGAGCAGGTTGATATCGTATTCTTGAACATTGCTCCTGTCTGAAATTTTGTCAACATCATGTCTGTACCTATGTGTTTACACATGTGTACATGTGTCTTTCTTTGATATCCCATTCCGCCCCCTCTGAGTATTAATAACTACAAAAAAAATTCAAGAAAACATTTGAAACAAGTCGTGATGACACACACATTCATCGGAATTCCTTTCCTTCTCAAGACCCTGAGACTTCCCCCTCCTTGTCTAGTCAAACGGGGAGACCAGGGACGCCGGTTGGAACTCCCGGAATCGTTGGGATGCCCGGGATGCTTGGAATGGATGGAATAGTTGGGATTCCTGGGATCGTTGGAGTTGCTGGAATAGTTGGAACGCTTGGGATAGTTGGGGTACCTGGAATACTCGGGGTGGTAGGAATCGTTGGGACGCCTGGGATGGTTGGAATTCCTGGGATGCCGGGAAGACCTGGAATTCCTGGTACACCTGGTAGGCCGAAAAGAGTGCAGGTATTAATGCAAATCTTTTGACCTGCATCACTACCTATGAATTGAGCGTACAGATTGCAAGCCTTGTGCCAGATTGTCGGGAGTGTATTGCAGATCGCTACCAGCGCCTGGTGCTGCGTTTTGCATGCTGCTTTGCAAAGTTCTTGGATATCTCCCGGGATTTTTGGGATGGCTGTTGATGCCGCATAGCCTGCACCGAGGAAAACACAAAGATATCCAGTGAGCTTCATTTTGAAATTCTGTATTTCTTCAGACCGGTTAATATCAGGCTCTCTATGGTACGTTGGAAGCAGCAAAGCTCACGGAGCGACAATTTCTGTATGAGGAAATATGCTGAGATTTGAAAGGCCAAATGTCTGAGCAGGACCGGTTAGCTGGTTCGTTTTTGGATTGGACCTTCTTAATGGCATACTTAGAAACTGTTCCGGTGCTTCTCAACAAATGCGTCTCTTGGTATGCAAGACCGCTAGAATACCCAGGAGACAATGGCAATATTTATATCAACTACACTTACAGCTGCATCACATTTTCACCCTTCCACATCCCCACAAGACCATGTACAATTTCTAAGAAATGATCATCCAGGGTGGTATTTGCCGCACTCTGTTCGTTGCTAATGTGTCGCATGGGCTGACTTGCCACTAGTTACATGCATTTGAGATCTATTGAAATATCCGGGGAATCGATCCGGAGCATCGGACGTTGAGTTATCGAGACTATAGATAAGTCTGCTCTACTAAATAGAACTTGTCCAGACCTCTGTTCAAATCTTCTGTCGCCGTCATCATTATGATGCTCTCCACTGGTATAATTCTGTTTTCCTACTCTATTGGTCAGTAGTCACTACCGGAAGACATCCAAAAACCACTCAAACACTTACCTCTCTTCTTGAACGAACAGGTTTTCTTCTTACTTTCAAAATTATCAAGTCAATCTCCAACTCTCTTACAAAATTCAACCCTTGGACCACCCAATAGAGCAATCCTCGATAATGCTCGATCTGCAAAAAGATGCCCGTACCACCGCGCTCTACTTCATAAAGCTCCACACGTACGAAGAAACACCGCTCACTCCCCACTTATATAACTATATAACTACGAACGGAGTCTCGGGTAGTCCATTCCGCCAAAGGTAGCATCCGTTATACCTAATAGAAGGGAGACTGTACCTTCTTGGTGTATATGTCGGCGTGGAAGTAGACCTAGATATAGCCCGCTGGTAACTAGTTAACTAGCTAATAACTGACTAGGGGAGCTGAGCCTTAACCTCCGTCAAGTCTCAACTGAAATGCCGTAACTAGATCTGCAACTCCAGGTCTTCTCGGCAAGGCCTTGAGACAGAAGCCTCTCTTGGCCGCCTGGGCTGGCTTGCTGTTGCTCCACGCTGCCTACTGACGTGTGCCCAGGCATAACTAGCCGCCCCGCCCCTATTTCTCGCCTCTCAACAAAGCCTGCATTGAATCATATCTTACTAATAAGTATTCGGCCAGCTCAGCAACCCTTGATCTGGCTCTCGCGAGACAACATTCCCTCTTGCGTCCTGGCATGCAATCTCTTCTTGCTGGGCAGTGCCACCCCAGCTCTGATATTTTGACTGTTTCTAAGTCACGAAGAGCGCACAGAGCACCTCTGTTTGGTGTTACCTTACTCCATACAGAGTCACTCCAAGAGCGCTCCACATGGAAATTACGTGCTCAAAGCGCTCTTTGATCCTGTTTTGTCCCGCTGGGGTTTCGTGTATGAGGTCCACTGGTGACCACTCCACACTCCTTGGCTTACACGGGTTGGCATCAGTCTGCGGGGTAAAGGAGCAACAATGCACGACTACGGAGCAGAGGAGGAGTGGATTTTAGTTAATTTATCTGGTTTTCATCAAGAATTCTTTTCAAGCTTCCGGGTATATGTACCATATGTTGCTGTATGGACGTCCGTGCTCTGCTAGTACAACCAGGCTATGTTTGTTTTATTTTATTTAATAATAAGAACCAAATGGGAGTATTCCAGCAGGTTTGGCCTGAAACTCCCACGGGTTGGATCAACCGGGCTGGCAATCATATCCCATACCCTGTTTGCCAACCATATTCCTTCGATGGGCCCTGCACATTGGCGTGCATATGCATGATGGGAGCTTCAGAGTCTCGCCAGAGCTGCTGTTTGCTTCCCAGAGTAGATGAGACAATCCATTTAACTCACAGACATCGTATAGCTACGAAATACCTCGATGCTCGCGGCCATGGCATTCAGCCGGCTATCCAGGGTAATGGCAGCCACAAAAGCTTGAGTCTACTCCTTAATTCTGGTTGAAACGTGTACTTAAAGGGAAGGCGGCGGAAGCCGAATACTATGCAAGGGGTGTATGTACAGGGTGTATGTATAGCTATATATATGTGTCAAAAAACGCCAGCAAAGCAGGCGCTACTATGGGATTGGCGAGTAAACAAACGCATTGTATTTGGGCACCAAAACAAGGTGTCTATTAATGCAGCAAGTAGAGAAGTTTCCAATGGGTAGTCGAACACAGGGTATCAAATGGATGCTTGTCGAAATGCAAGAGAGCTCCAAGGTTGCGTAACCCAGAAACAGAAAGCTGGCATATATTTGTATACAAGATGGTATTGAAATAGACAAAACATCGGGTTTCTTTAATATCGGCGTCAAATTTGATGGAGTTAGCAATTATTTTTCGTTACTATGCTGCTTCTCCAATATCAGATTATCTTCTTGAATTGCGGCAAACACTAGCTCTGGTAGGGCGGCGTAGGACTCTTGGGTGTTCAGTTCAAGTCTTTTACGGATGATGCTTTCTTCAAGGAGCCACCTTGATTTTAGTCTAGTTCGTTTGGTTTCTAGCCAGGTAATCGCGGCATCTTTCTCTTCAAGGTAGCAGCTCTCCAGCTTGGACAGTTCACTAGCATTCGCCGCTCTTAAAAGGTCAAGAGCATGTTCTGATTTTTTGAGAATTTCTTCGTACTGCTTTGCTTGTTTATCTCGAAGGACTTTGATTTTGGATTCGTGGAGGGAATCTATCGTCGCAAGCTCATGTTGTCTTTGTTTTAAACGATCTCTGTACTCCTTGCCATATTCTCGCGGATATTGCAAGGTATCCGTATCGCAGTCCTCCTCAGGGCGTGGGGTGGTAAAATATGCTTCCATGTGGCGGATGCGGCTTTGTAAAACATGTTTCTCGCGTTTAAACTCATCGATTAGCGCTAACTCCGTTACTAAGTCTCTTTCTTCTAAGCGGGCGGCTTTTTCGTGGTTCTATCTGCTAATTAGTATGGATATCGCGCAGCAAGTATGAGGGGTTGAGCTACCTGTGCAACCAATATTTCTTCTGATTGTTCATGCTTTTGTGCTTGCTCTTGTGAAAGGAGGCGATGGTTTTGCCCAATGAAGTCTAAAAGCTCTTTTCGAAATACTAGGTATCTCTTCATTTGAATTTCGTGTGTGGCGCGCATGTCGCTTAACTCCTGCGAAGCCAAAGTCCTCTTCAGTGATTCGTCGTCGCCTGGGGCCAGGCAAACTTTGCTCGTCGAGAAACAGGTGGTGCTATCCACTTTTCGCGGTTTCTGATGATCTCCAATAATGTGAATCCCGTCTGCCGAGGCTTTTGTGCTAGGGTCAGGTCTAGGAGGGGAGGACTGGGTGTCCGCTTTTCGTCGCCGTAAGTTTGGAATGCGAGCGATGGCATGCTTGAGGCCGATTTTGAAACCCCTATCCAAGCCTTCTAGATTCAAAGAATGTCTGCTTGGTCGGTAATCGGTGATTGATCGCCTATGCTCTGGTTCACTGCAGCTATAGGTGGTGGGACATGTTGACAAGGAGGTGATAGAGTGCCTGCTGCTCGGAAGGCGGGCTTTCAACGGCCAGGTCATCGAGGATAGAGCTAGCACGCGACTTGGGGAGGTCGTGGCTGTAGGCGGAACCGCATACTGGCTTGGGGTAGAGCTCGTGTCGTCGGTCTCGTCGAGCTGTTCGGCGACCTGAGGAATGGGCGAAACCTCCCAGGCAGAAACGCCCAAGACCTTTGCTTCCTCCAAGAGCTGGTTGTCAATGTCATCTTCGGTCCGGTCGTCGGGTAGGAAGAGGACGGTCTGGCGATACTTGTCCTCGTTCGAGGCCTGCCATGAACGAAGCTCGTTTTGGGCAGGGAGGGAGGGTGGTGCGGTGGAGGCCATGGGCCGTTTCGGCGTGATAGGAGCAATGCGACAGCGCCCAGACAAGCGGTTTCGAGCAGGTTAGTTAACTAGTTAGTTAGAAGGTCGGAGAAGCCAGCGTCGATGTCGCGATGTGTGCGCTGTCAGCACGTAGGGTCTCTGAGCGTCCCAGATGCCGCTGGCCCTGCGAAAAGTCGGACTGGCGAGCTGGAAAGACGCGGTGAGTGTCCACGACGAGCTAAAACCATGATAGCTCCGGGAGCGCTGGGCGCTATTAATAGCGGTCAATACGATGCCGCGATGCCTGTCCGAGCACATGTTTTGCGGTGCGCCGGCGCGGTTACAGGTCGCTATCAAGGACCACGACAGGACGCGACAAACCGCCACGCATGACAGCGCCAGCCGCCACCCGCAGCTTGCTCGCATCCCAGCTCGTCGTGCATCGCGTAGTGCTTGGACGCCGTGAAGGTTCTGGGAGCTCCCGCTTGAAACCCGAGGAAACTGGCTGGCGGCCCAGCCCGCACCAGCAAACCGGCGTCCGCCGCCCTGGCGCCGTGCAACAGGGGCTGTCCATGCCCGCCACTCGCTACTACTGCACTCCCACGGCTTCTGCTTGCTCTGCTCCGTTTTCTTTCCCCAAAACGGCTGTTCTTCGCGAGATTTCCGCCGCGAACACCACAATCACGTGACATGCAAATGCCAAGACCGATTCCTTGTCACGGCGGAGCTTGGCGTTTGCTGGCGGTGCAAACATCGTCACCGCCCTCTGCCGCTTTGGATCTCCTGAGCTTCGACTCTCGCAACCCACACTGCTCGCAATGTCAGAGTCTCAGGAATTTACCGTGTTTGTACGGCTTCCATTCGAAAGAGGGGTTTTTGTTGACCCCCCTCCGGTTGGCCCTCCCTTTCCCCTAATGTGACACCCAACTGATCTTACCTCCTGTAGCCGGACTGGACCACCAGCAAAGACCAGGCACTATGGGATGTGCTTTTGCAGCCATCTAAAGGAATAGACTGTAAGTTTTTTCCACCAATAAAATTTCAATCCTAAGGCCGAATCTAAGCTGGACGCTTCTTTAGGGAATGCACTGTACTACCACCTGATGCATCTCAACAATACTCGTTTGCTAACCCAAGCAGTGCCTCTCGTCTTGACGTTACACTACCGTTCCTCCTTCAGCAGGCAGCATGGCTTTATGGCCATAGACTAGCACAAGTTCGAGCGGAGATGCGCAAGGCCGGGAACCAGCAACCACTATCTGCTTCCCAGTCCGGATCCCAGGAGCCCAGCGGCTATCCGATGGTTAGAGGTCGTAGTGGTGGTACGTATGGGTACAGTATATGTTAACGCATGATACTTATATATGTTTCTAGAATCTTCGATACCGTTGAGAGTATCAAATCAGAGCCCGGGCTCACGAGCTGATGCGGGTAATTCACCGGCACCAAGCAGAATTCAAGGTCTCACGACATGAGTCAACTAGTTTAGATTGCCCTTTTTTGACTAACCATAAGCAGATATTCCTTCCGGAGACCCTTCTCAGAACGTTCCTGCTGGTATTTTCGCCACTTCAAGAGCAAACCCTTCGAAGCAGATAGCTTTTCGCAAAGGAGCATCTAATGACGTGGCACAAGCTCACAACAAATATGAATCCTACAAAACCAGCTCACCGCTAGTACTTCCTGCTGGTGAAGAGAGTCCGGAACTTCCTTTATCGTCGTCTGAGTCTGAGTCGGATGGTTTACACGGGCCTAAGCTTCCATTCAAACGGCTGGGAAAGTTTTCATTGCATAAAGCTTCCGTTGCTAAAGTCAATAAGGACAGTTGTGAAAACGAAGATGAGGAGACTTCCCCGGCGTTTCTACCGATTAAGAACCCAAGCTGGCACCAAGCTTACCCATCTGCAGTAGACCCTGGGGCTACCCTTCGTGAAGAGCCCGAAAATGCAGCCCAGCCGCCGCTCCAGCAGGATACAGCGGCATCTACGAGCACAATAAGCTCAGGTATAGGGTCTGCTGCGTCTGGACATGAGACGCGACGAAAGCCTCAGCCTCTCGGCCCTTTAAGTCCACGTCGCACCGCAGAGCTTGCAAAAGCCAGCCCACGCAATCGCACTCGCGGCAGCGACGGAACACCGAGCATGGGCAGTAGCTTCAGCGACCTTGACGGTACGTGGGAGATCGGGGATGTACTCGCCTTCGGAGTCGGTTCTGACATTCTCCCGCCTAGATAACAGTGTGACCCAGTCGGCCTTGGAAGAGGCCCTGCTCAGCAACATGCAGAAGAATGGCGTGGGCAGCAGAATGAGCACGCTTAGCCAGGCACTACGGAGTAAGTATTTATAACCAGTGTAAGGTCGCAGGTTGTCTGTTTTCTCAATCCACGATTCTCATTTACGTTCGATGCTGGTGGCGGTGACGTAACTAGCTCTCTCGTCAGCCCCGGCTCGCCGGTTGGCTCCGAGGTTCAGCCGCCAGTCGAACCACCACCGACCCGTCACATTCACGCCTTTGGCTGTTTGACGGCGGCAGCGCAGCTTCGCATTATTGTCTCGCTGGCCTGTGGTGCCTGCGCCCACTCCGTGCCATTCGCCTCGCCGCTCTCTCAATTTCGGCGCACACCGGCCCATCATCCGATCTCCGAGCTGCCCCGCCAATGATACAATCTACAAAGTAGTATCTGGTCCTGCGTCAATTCATCCCCGCCATAAATATCCCCGCGAGTCTATCGATACTGTATTGGCGACGCGCATCTGGCAGACTCTAATTCGCTAAAACGTAGCGTTTTTAACCCGTATCACTTCATTCTGGTCTTTGACGGCCAAAGGACGGATCGCTTAATCGAACACACAACTCGTCCTCTAATACGCCGTTGTACGCCGTCGAACCAACTAACTGTCGCTCGCTTTCTCGTGGATACTATAAACTTCGTGGTGGACTTCTCAACGCATTACTCTACTTACAATGGCCGCCACGTCCGTACCCACCGCGAACATGAGCGCCGATGAGATGGAATCGCATTACTTCAAAACGAACCCACCTCCCGCTCATCTCCAAACCCATATTTCCATTGCGCGGGCGTTTATAAATAAACATGTGGAGGCAAATCGGCGCGTGGTTTTGGTCACCTCTGGCGGAACCACAGTGCCTCTTGAGACGCAGACGGTTAGGTTTATAGACAACTTTTCCGCCGGAACTCGTGGCGCTACGTCAGCCGAATATTTCCTGCAAGCGGGCTATGCTGTGATATTTCTACATCGACAGTTTAGCTTGCTCCCCTATTCACGACATTATAGCCACTCGACCAACTGTTTCCTGGATTTCATGGATGAAGCTCAAGGGGAACCGGCCCCTTCGAAGATATCACCGACAGCTGGCGAAAAGAATTCTCAGCATGGGCCCATCATTGTCCGCCCGGAATACCAAGATGAGATGCGTCAAGTTCTCCGACAATATCGATTTGCCAAAGATAACAATCTTCTCCTCCTATTGCCCTTCACCACGATCACTGAGTATTTGTATGAACTCCGCTCAATAGCGAATCTTATGAAACCGCTCGGTGCCAATGCCCTTTTCTACCTTGCCGCTGCAGTATCCGACTTTTTTATTCCTCGCGATAGAATGGCGGAGCACAAGATTCAATCTTCGAATGAAATTCCCATTCCTGCTCAACAATGCACCGGACCCGACTCCACCTCCGCTATACCTCCAGACGACATCTACACTGGCTTCAACGACTCCGACGCCGTTCCAAAACAACACAAGAAGCTTATCGTCGATCTCGACCCCGTCCCAAAGTTCCTCCAACGTCTGGTCAGCGGCTGGGCGCCAGAAGGTTCAATGATCGTCAGCTTCAAACTCGAAACCGACCCTACTCTCCTGGTCCTAAAATCTGAACAGGCACTCAAGCGCTACTCTCATCATCTCGTCATTGGTAATCTCTTATCCAATCGAAAATGGGAGGTTGTTTTCGTTAGCCGGAAGCCTGATGGAAGCCTCCAAGAGCGGTGGATCCGAATCCCTAGGCCCAGACGGAGTGTTAGTGGAGCTTTGCCGGGAATGAGTGCGGGGCTAGAAGGTCACTTACTGTCGTCAGCGGCAGCTGCAGCCACGCGGACGGATGAGCATCTCACCAAGGACATCGAAATCGAGAGTATCATCATCCCAGAACTGAAGAAGATGCATTTTGTAATGATCGAAAGAGCAAGGTTACGCAACAGTGAAGTGAAATAGACACAATTTGCGTGCATATATTTAAATATGCATATGTCAAGTATGCTAAATTTGCTTTGTTTTAACAACAACAAATTGAGCCTTACATGTAACTACTCCAGAATGGACTGGTTAATCTCTTTTTCATATTCCTTGATTATTCAAATGGGTTTGTTTGTAAGACATAGTTATGTGTCCATTTTTAATTATAGTAGTGTGCATGTACATATGTACATGTTGGGCTTCCAAACGATCGGTCAGAGCTGGATACTGCCCACCCAGTCAATCTTGACGTTAAAAATATTTTACAGCGGAGGTGCATTTGGATCATTCATGCATTGATCGACTCGCATGATCTGCCTGCCACTTTCCTTTACTAATCGGAAAACGGCTCTGAAATAATCCACTGTTGAACGATGCAAGAAATGCATCACCGCAATGTCACCTCCTTTTTGGAGATCTCGCTTAAAAGCTTCAAGCTGCTTCTCTGGAGTCTTCGAACCTGCCCAAAGCCAATCTTCAATATCGACACTCCAATTAACAATGTATGGATCCTCAATATACGTCGCCAGGCGCTGCCTAGTCCTCGCGCCAACAACGCCAAATGGTGGCCGGAAATATCTGCCTATCCAAATCCTGTCAGACCTGGCTACCCCCTAATAATAAACATAATTTAATGGAATACTTACTTTCAATCCCCAACTGATCTCGCATCACTCTAATGTTGTCAATTATTTCTCGATCAATTTCCTCCGTTGTGGCGAGTCCCTCCATCCTAAATCGGGCGGTTAGGTCAAATACTCATCTGTTGACTCGATACACTCACTTGGGATGAGAGAAGGTATGTAATGCTACCTGATGGCCACGCCAAAGCATCTCATGGTACATCGCCGTGAAGTTGGCGGTCGGATCTAAGAGCCCATTTCCGACTGTAAAGAAAGTGACCTTGATATTTTCTTCTTCTAAAATTTGCATCACCTCTTTTGCGAAGTCAGGACGGCCATCATCGATACCAAAAGCAAAAGAATTTGGCCTTTTGCATTTTAGAGTCATAAGCCCACTGGGAAGTTTCCTCGGGACTTCAAATTTTTCAGGAACGCTTTGAATAATCTCAACCGTGTACAAGGTCACGGATTCTTGTGTATAAAATCCATGGAACGCGATGGAGTTTGCTCGCGTGAGATCAATGTTGAAGTGGTTGATGGGGATATAGATATTCTCTCCTGTCGAGTAACGCGATGCCTCCAAAGAGTCCCATGTCTCAGGATAAGGAGCCTTCAATGGATCACAGTCTTCATTGTTCTGGGTAAGCGAGATAGAGAACTTATCGGTCCCAGAGAAAGAAATATGCAGATACATTTCCGCATGATGGCTTAAGTCTAGGCAGGTAGGCGAAACTTTGGTGTGAAAGTTCATGTCTGCGTCTGTCGGAGAGAGTATCAAATAACCCGGACCATATTCAGCCGGCATGCCTTCATCTGCCCCGGCCCATGCGCCAATATTATTTGACCCAGGAGTTTCAAACGTATCAATAACAAAGGGGCCAGCCATTACCCGTGGAGGTGCGGCTAGCGTACCGGCACTGAAGAGAGAAAGGCATAGGGTACTGGCCCATATAAGGCCTGTAGAGTAAGTAGAAAGCATTTCCGAGGATTTGGATAACTCCAGGAATAGTTGAAGATGCAATTAAGATCGCAATTGGAACAGATAACTAAACGGTTGGTCGATATCTATACTCGCTGATGGAGACCAAACAGGACGGGAGCGAAAATGGAAAAAACATAACAACCCAGGCATCGCCCCTTCCCATTGCAGCGACGATTGGAAATAGAAGCTGTCCAGACTGGCAACGAGCAGCAAGAGAAGGAACGGCTCTAGAGTTGCCTTTCCGTGTCTCTGTACGCGTCAACATCGAGTCTTGGGGAAAAGAGATGGAAAAGTCATCTTTATCATATTCCAGCAATTAAGACAGATCATTCACTCAATCTAGAATACTTCGTACTGTATATAGTATTTGCTCAAAAAATATACTTTCCATCTGCTAACAAGGGGATATAAAGCAGGGATTTAGCAATTGGCTAAGCACCAAAGATACATGATAACTCGTTGACAGAATCGGACAAATTGTCGATTAAAGAAAGTCAGTTGAAACGAAATGCTATCAGGATATTAAACGGCAGTCGAATGCTTATCCTTCGGGTCAAGTTCGGGGGAAGCAGGCTCGGAGGCAGTTTTGCCTTTTTCAGCGGCCGGAGCTCGCGGCCTTTGGGTATGGCCGGCCATGACAGGGTCGTAGTTAGGTGTTCCAGGAACTTCCCCAGCCAGCTCTTCCAATGTTTTCCTTTTGGTTTCTGGGATGAGGAATGAAGTCAAGAGCCCGCACAGCATGAACAACGCAAAGATTTGCATCACGTGCTTGAGAAAGGGTTTTTCTGAAGATCCCGGCTTCGCGCCGCGGGAAACAAGAGGCCCAAACACACACTGCGCGATAATGGCTCCGACTTTGCCGGACGCAGCGCTGAGGCCGTGGGACGTGGATCTGTATCGTGTTGGGAAGCATTCTCCCGGAACAATGAATGTCGTCGCGTTAGGGCCGAAATTGAAGAAGAATTGGGCGAGCACATATAACGCAAGAAGGCCGTTGTGTGAGTGAAGGAGTTTGTCGTACGCGAAACCAATAATGATGAATAGGATCGTGAGCATTGTAAAGCCCATGATTTGAATAGGCTTCCGGCCAAGGGTGTCTACGGTAAAGACGGTCACCCAGTATCCTGGGATTGCGCCCGCGCAAACCAAGATCAAATTTCCCACGGCAGTGTTGAACATGATTTCGTACATGTTGTTGCCTCCAGTATAGCCAATCGCAGAAAGAACAATTGAATTGTTCAGTCCAAGCCCATAGAAAGCTAGCGAGGAAGATATATCAGCTTTCTGCTGAAACAACCAGTGATAAAGGGGCGCCTACCGACGTCAAGGAAGAACCAAGACGCTGCAGTTCCAAGAAGAACCTTTCCATGCTTCCACTGTCTATAATGAGCCCAGCAATCTGACCAGCTTGCTTTTGGCACCTCAAGATCCTTGCGGCTTTGCTCCAATGTAGCAACACGCTGGATCTCATCCGGATTGCCTTCTGCTTTACCTTGCATATAGGCTTTCGTATCTTCAGAGGCCTTAATAACATCTTGCTGAACGTCGAAGGTATATCGCGGAGTTTCTGGAATGGTTAAACGATAGTACAAAGCAATACAGCCTGGAACGGCGCCGAATCCAATTACGACCCGCCACATTTTATCCACGGCAACCTGGCAAGCACCAGAGCACTGACTTTCTTTGGATGCTGTTTTTAAAGACTCCTTGAAGCCAGAGGTAACAATCAACGCAATCATGGCCGCTGCGAACTGGCCAATTCCCTGCATGGCAAAGACGGCACCCATCATCGCGCCTCGCCATTTCGTGGTCGCGAACCTAGACGATACTGGTAAGCAACAAAAGCCGATATTTTATATAACGGAACAGCACTGACTCAGAAGTAATGATTGAAGAAAGGGGATAGTCGCCCCCGATTCCAATTCCCATTATGACTCGCCAGAAGATCAAGAGGCCAACAATGGACATACTAGGGGAATCGGATGACAATGCCTGTGCCAGAGTTGCAAAGATAATAATCATCAACTCAAGGCCGTACATCTTTTTTCGCCCAACAACATCAGCAAGCCAGCCGAAGCCTATCTGGCCGATTACAGTACCACCAGAGGTGGCGACCTTGATGGCAGTGTCTGCACTTGAAGGGATTTTGCCGGGCTTGTCTTTTGCGTCGAGCCAGAAGACAACACCCAACATAGCACTAGCTAAGTTGATGGCAAAGATATCATAGGCATCAGTGAAGAAGCCTATTCCAGCAACAACGACGGCGCGGACATGGTACCAGCCGAAGGGTGCCTTGTCGATCTCAGCCAGTGCGAGGCGGCGGCGCTCGTTGGGGTCCTGGATGTGGGCGAACTGGTTGTGAAAGTTCTTGAAAGCGGCATTGCCGCCAGAGGTCTGTGTTGCCATCCGCAGGCAGTGAACGACCAGTACAACCGGATCGAGGGGTGAAAGGTAGAGAAGAGGTGCTTGACAGTCTCGCCCGGGACGTGGATCAAGTCAGGGAAACCCAGCGAGCGGTGGGGCGACGGGCGGACCTTTTATACGGAGCAGACTCGCCTTCGGGCCCTGGCTCTCGCCCACCGGCCCCTGTTCGCTCGCGTCGTTTCGGCGGCGGTTTTGCGGCGGCGTTTCTCGCGTGCTCTTCCTATCCTGCGCTGGTGGCCAAGCACGTTCCCTGGCTGTTTCCTGTCTTGGAAAAGTCTTGTCTAAAGCTTGGTTCTGATTGGATTGATGCCAAGCCTTGCGCTTCCCACCACTTAGCACGCGCAACACACCCACGTGGCCATTGTGACTGGCTGCACAGGCTTGAACTGGCTGCTTGGCGCACGCACCCCTCCGGCTTGGCAGGAGCTTAATTGCGAATTCTGCGTCCCTTCCCGCTCGAAAAAGGCAGTCGAGCACGCTCGCTGTTACCGCTTCCGGCTCGCCCGGCACGTGTCTTCCGTTGCCCAACACGGCCTGTCAGCCTCAACGCCTGCATCACCGCTGTCAGTCTGCCTTGTTACTGCTGCTGTCGCCATGGATTCCGCCGTGCTCCCACCGCTCGTCACGTATCGCGCTGTCTCGCAGGCCGACAGGGTCGCTGCGCTCCGTCTCATTGCTGACAGTGTGGCCCAGCAGCGCCAAATCGCTGCCAAATCGTTGATTACGCACCCGGTGAGCGTTGCCGCGGTGATACTTTTAATCTCTCTTGTTGGACAGTACACGTACCAAGGGGGCTCACTGGGAGATCTTGCTTTCTTTGGCACCACGGGGGCAGGATGCTTGATGATCTTCCTGGTCTTCGTGCAGTGGATGACGAGTGGCTATTTGGAAGAAGCTGCACGAGTTGGCACCTGGAAATGGCTGGAAACTGAGACTGAAGACTCTTCTCAATCAATCACCCGAGGGCATGAAGATGTCTTCCTCGTCACCAAATATGGCGACGACATAATTGGCACAATCTTACTTCGATTCCCCTTGCCGATACGCCCTTCCTCTGAAGACAAAGCTGTTCTGATCCGCGCTTGGACCGTGGGCCGGCGATATCGCCAAAAGGGCGTTGGGACCAATCTTCTGGAAGAAGCGCTTCTTGCCAAAACCGCTAGAGGTGCTGATATTCTATTCGACAATTTTCATGCAAACTCGCTACGCTTGTTACCGAACCTATTTAACCGGCCCTTTGAGAAAAGGGAAAAGTGGGCCAGGGCAAGGTTGGAGTTTCTCAAGCGCCAGAGGCTGAAGAAACAAGGAACAGTTTCATAGGACATTATATTTTCAAGCATGAAACCACTATGTCAAGCGATTTTTTGTTCTTTTTGACAACATTTCATTTATGACTAGGCTACATAACTACATACCTAGACCTATTTACTAAACCTCAAGAACGTCCAAATCATATTGACAAAGTATCTCAAACTCTCGCGAAATCTTTGCAGTGCCTTAATTCAAGCAATTTGAGGTAGTAGACTGGTTTTCACCCTATCATTACAGAGTGTCTTCAAAGCAATGGCATAACTGAAATACCGAAAAGATTAATTCGCCCACCAAGTTAGGAGTAACGAACCTTGAAGCAGACTAAAAGTACTGCCCGCGATTCAACCACCAGACGGCTCTCCAAACTATTCTTAACTTTTGCCTCTTGAAAAAACTCTGCAGAAGGCCAGACCAGCCATAGAACAAATCGCCACATCACTAGCGGAAAAGGTCGAAGTTGAGAAGGAAGTATTGATTACCAAGAGGCAACGGCCTGGGGATTCCAAGCTGCTGCTGCTGCTGCCGGTGCTGGCTCTGCAGCGGGTGCAGTAGTATCGCCCCATCCATCGACAGCCTGGGCACCCTCCCCCCAAGCTTCACCTGCGGGTTCCGTATCATCCCCCTCTCCGTCAGTATCATCATTCCACTCCAGTTCTCCATTGACCGGCACATAAGATTCGAGGAAATCGGGCACGGTTTGTTTGCATTCAATAAGAATTTTCACTAGGTCAGTAGCAATGGCAGAGTTTCGATCTTCGCTATAGAACGAAGTTGCGAGACCTTCGTTCCCAATTCTTGCGGTCCGTCCTAGGAAACAGACCATCAGGAAAATGTACGTCATGGTTCAATGTACAGTTTGCAGACTCACCAATACGATGAATATACTCATCGATACCACCATGATCAACACTTGGTAAATCGAAGTTGATTACGTGCATAACATTACGGATATCCAGTCCGCGGGCAGAAACTCCGGTTGCGACCATAATTGGACACACCCCGGTTCTGAACGCACGGCTATTGTTACTTTTATTAGCGAATAACTTGGGCTAGCATTTAGAAGATAAGGGCATACATTGCATCCTCACGCTCACGCTGGGTGCGATCAGAGTGAATGGAAGTACTTGGCAACGCCAGATTGAATAAATAGTCGTCCAGTAAATCTGCCTGCTGTTTATTGTTGACAAAAACCAGAGTCCGAGATGGTGGCATAGACAAAATCAAGTCGTACAACGCTTTCTTTTTCTTATCATCCTCGGTGTATATGACCTTTAAGTTTATTAGAATACTAACACAAACAAGAACAGAACAACGTACCTGCTGGGTTACATTTAAGTGAGATGAGCCCGCACGGCCGACACGAATGCGAACGTGGTCAGTAGAAAGATACCGTCGGGCAAGCTGACGGCACGATTTGTTGAATGTTGCAGAAAACATCATGTACCGATGGTCCGCATCCTCGTTAATATCTGGACCTGCATTAACATACAATAGCCTAACTTTACCAAGTAAAAATATAGGTATATGACTCACCGCCTCCAGACATTAATTTAGTAAATTCGGTCTCCCAGTCAGAATGAAGCAGCTCATCCGCTTCGTCAATGATAGTGTATTTCACCCTGTTGAGTGACAGTAGATGTGGTTTGCTCATAAAATCCAAGATTCTTCCTGGAGTTCCAATGAGGATATCGCAGCCTTTATGCAAATCAATCCGCTGCTCACGAGTTGGCGCTCCACCGTAAATAACGCAAGGACGAAGCATAGAACGGTAACAGAGTCGGCGAGCTTCATCAAAAATTTGGGTTGCTAACTCTCGTGTTGGAGCAACGATCAGAACCAAAGGTTCCGCACGAACGGAATCAACACTTTCATTAAATCCATTGCTCAGATCTGGGCGAGCAGCTGCAAGCTTCTTTGCCTTCCCCATTAACTTGGAGAGGACCGGAATCAAAAATGCGGCTGTTTTGCCAGAACCTAAGAAAGCACTGTATTAGAAAACCTTCCTGGCCCCTATGAAAATGTGTACTTATCGCCCTTACCAGTTTGTGCAACAGATATCAGATCATATCCAGTCAGCACTGCCGGAATTGCATAGGCCTGAACTGGCGTGGGGACCTCATAGCCACACATTTTCACATTTTCAAGCAAAACTGGGTGAAGTCCAGCATCATCAAACTAGACACATTAGCCCTCAAATTGCCAATGAATATGTTAATGGGACGCTCACGCTCTTAATAGGATCTGGCTGGTGTGTTGTCTCAGCAGTCACCTTAATATCACGAAGACTAAGAGCTCTAGGTTAGATACTGATACCCAGGAAGATAGAAAAACTACGCATATATACTTTTTGAAAAAGCAACCAGCACGATTAGTATACTCGTCGCGAAACAGTATTTGTTCGAGTTCTTCGTTTCGCGGCCCAACATCGCCATATTCATCCTTCCATTCGTACTTGACAGCATTGGATGCCCATTGAGAATCGTTCACATCAGATGACGGGTCACCAGGTTGAGTGGTGTAGGCGGCATAATCATAACGCTGAGGTTCAGCCCACCCTTTTTCGCGGGCTAGAGCGGCTGCCTCAGCGTCCATGATACCAGTAGCTGCGGGCACTTCGACCTGGTCCTTCATCTCGATATCTGTGTTAGTGGACGCCATCTAGCTTAGCCTGGTAAGCTTGTAGTAATAGTCTAGGAGATCAAAATGTAGAAGTTAGTAAATACTAGCACAGCAAAAGATAGTAGGCAAAATGAACGGAGATATCTTAAGCATTGGCGAACAGGAAGTCGAAGAACAGTCCAATATATCGGAATAGACAGTACATGTATGGAGGAGAGTGAATGGTCAGAAGGCCAAGGTCTAGATAGCTAGAAAAGGCACCAATGCACACATTACATCAAAAATTCAACAAAAAGAATAGCAGAGCCCATATTAAATGCACTTGAATCATATGAATTGTAACATTTTAAAAAGGATATAGCTTACTATGAAACTCAGCAGAAGCCGTTCAGCTAAAGTAATGGAATGCCTTGCAGTAGAGAACTGCAAGTCAGGTCCAGCAGATGGCGGTTGAAGAAGGATACAGTAAAGGAAGAGAAAAAAAAGGGAAGAAAACAAGAGGCAATGTTGACGACGTGTGACTTTGTGTTTACCTAATTGGGAAGCTCCGTAGTCAGCATTCTCAAAGCACATGATAGGCGGAGCCGCAGTATGTTCTGTCCGTATAAAAGAATGAAAAGCACACTGAGACACCCTCAAGACATTCTTTCAGTCTAAGGCATGTCCGCCTTTGGAGTCTCCTGAATGCACGGTAATCGCCCACTACCCATCAGGAGAGATAAGACACGAAGGTATCAAAGAAGCCACTCCAAACATGGAGTTATTTGAAAGGAACATTTGGGTCACGGCAGCAGTATAGACCCCTCCTGAGCCGCATGTCTGCCAAATATGAAGGGTGAGTTTTGTTGTCCTGTTGTCCTTGAATCAACCTTTTCAAAGGTCTTGGCTGCCGTGCAATGAAGACTGATTAACTACCTATTTACTGTGCGGATGGCATCAATATTTAACAGGGTCTCTCATGTCTCAAAATGTGCCGGTCTGGTTAATATTCAAATAGTCCGTACTTGGTAGGAGTACTTTGTAGAAAACAGAAAGCTCGTGATGTCAAAAAAATTCAAAGTTCTCCAAGTGCCAAGAATTCCTACGGGATAAGGAGTAACTAACTACTGTAACTAACTACTCCGTATGTGTGGGAAAAATGCCTTCGCGGGAAGACTAAGCCTATATCCAATAAGGTGGTCACCTTTTTAGTCAAGTGGCTGGGTCGTCCAACAGTATGGACTGGCTACGGAGTAGTTGCAGTAGTTAACCGCGTCGCGCGCTCTCATATGATAGTATTACTCTGTAAACTATATAACTAACGCCCGCAATATGCCATATAAGACAACGTTTTTCTCAGGCACTGGTGGGAATATGTGTGGGGATTCGGCAAATATACTTGGTGCTCCGTGCATAGTTTTGAGCAAATATGTATGGATATTATTAGTGGACTCTAAAATATACATGCAACTTCATGGATTATGTCGGTGTTTTCGCTGTGAAATATTGGACATAGTTATTCATCTCCATTCTGCACCATCACAAATTGTCCTACACTCGGAATGCCGTCAACAACCACATAGATCACATACGGGCCAGGAGGCGCAATTCTGGAGCTGGGGGGCATGGTTACCGTAATTTTTTGTTTTCGTTTGAAAGGCTTCCACCCTTGATGGTCAAGATACAGCATTCTGTGCCCCATGTGAACGCTGTGAGTGACATACCCTCCATGATAAAGAACAATATCAAGTTTCTTGTTTTCGCCGTCGGCCACAAATTTCAATGTAAATGTACTGCTGTCTGCCACAAGATATCGTTTTGAAAGAGATACTTTTTGAGGTCTTCTGTCAGCGTTTCCACCCATTAAATAATGAGGTGTGTAGATTTCGACTCGAAACTCGGTGGGAAAAGCAAGCTCGGGAACATCGGGATTTGTGACCAGGAGGGGTTGCTCGATCGGATTGGAGCCTGCGACTAACACCGTACCATCAAGCAAGAGCAGAGCTACGGAGTGGTACATTCGTGGTATTGTACTGCTTCCTCCGATGGCCCACCGGTTTTTTAAGGGAGCTCGAGGTCGATAAATCCAAGGTGTGAGGATGGGGTCCTTTGCAACGCCATATCCTTGAGCACCAGTGCTACAGCCGTTGATCCAGAGTACTCTCCCATCAGGGAGCAGTATCCCCTCACCCATGATTCGGCCACCAGGCATGGCTTCCATTTTCCACTTAGCATTATCAGACAAAGGCCGGATCCGCCCACAGCTCGGGTCTGTTGGACTATCAAGAGATTGGAAAGCGCCGCCACCACAAATCATGACTTCAGGCTCCCAGCCGTTTGAGCTGCGAAGTGGCAGGAGGACACTGCCCCCCGAGTTAGGATAAGTACGGTAGTCGCCAGGAAGATCCGGTAATGTTTTGACAGTAATTCCAGAATCAACATCAAAAATCTCCGCCGATTTGGAAACAAAAATAAACAGAGTACCATCCCTTAACAAATGTAGAAATGGGTACATATAATAGGGCTGATTTCTCTCGAGAATCGACAGCTCAATACTATCACCATAGGGAGATCCGTCTCTATCAAGGAGCTCGTACGTTGGGTTATTATTTTCCGCGACACTTGGATCATCGCCATTCAAGCTACCAGAGGCGACAAAGATTCGTCCGTCTTCAAGTGTTTGTGTGCTAGGGTACCATCTAGGTGTTGACAGAGTGTAACCTGGCTCATACCAATATGCACCATCGAGTCTGTCATCATCAAATCTGCGGTCCAAATATCGAATTCCACGGAAGCCATCGTCTACTGTTGGGTCCAACCACTTTAAAGGCCCATTACCCCCAACAGAGAGTATACGACCATCAGCTAAAAAAGTGCCACCACTGCAAAATGCATTTGTCTAAACAAAAAATTCAGTAAATTCATCAGCACGTTTCGATAGGGAATCCACCAACCTTGTACCTAAGCGAAACTAATGTATCGGTCATGGGGTCGTACTCCGTAGAATAAGCGTATCTGCCATCTTCAAATGTTATCTCAGTGTAGTTTTCGACTTTATCAGCGAAGATCACTCGACCATTGAGCGCGAGGGCTGCAATCATTGGTGGGACACCGGATCGACCAACAATTCTGAAAGTTCCTGATATTCGCTGGGCAGAAAACCATGAAAGACGAGGCAGTTTAAGAAGAGACTCTTCGAGGCATGGGCCAGACTGGCAACCATAACCGCAATGTGAGGTTGAATTACCGCAAAACTAATAGGTCATTAGATTAAACAGCATGGAGAATGCTGTCGGAACACTCACACCAAACGGCGAACAACATCCTCCTTTTGGCCAATCCCCACAGACTGAATTTCCATGGGTCGAGCCACATAATCCATTCTCTGTGGTCCATGGTATGTTGTCACTACTGTCCGCTGGGGCAGTTGGAAATGCAGGAACCAACATAGGCTCATCAGCACGGCGAGCGCCACTTATTGTCGGGCTATTCTCTATAGGATTGATAGCCAAAACAGCATCTATACAAGTGTCATTTTGTAGAGACGCGATTTTCGGAGACTCTTCCCTACTAACACCAAGTATTCATATCAGTGGTCCCGTTCATAATTGAATTTCGATGAAAAGATTTCAAAATTCACTCAATGAAATCTTGCAAGTTGCCTTATAAGGATAAGTCAAAAATACGAACTTGCTAAGATTAAGAGAATCGCTCCCTCCGGACGAAATGTTATATCTACCATCCAAAGGTGTGTTAAATTCACCAGGAACAGTATCGAGGAGCAATTGCCTTGCACTATTCACATGCACAGAGGATGAATTGTGTTGGATACGAAGTCGACCGGATTCACAGCTGCAATACAGTGATTATCGTTACACAGTGCTGCATAAAAGAAGAGGAAGACGAGACTCACTATCCACAGGGAGAACAGACTTGCCCACGCATACAGCTTGTTGGGAGATGGAGACTACATGCCAAACCGGCATGCTTGAAAACAATATTCGCACAGACAGCATGTAGGAAAAGAAACAAAACTATAGCATGCATTGCAATACACGAGGGACCGGTTTTGGCAACAGATCTCGCAGTGTAGAAGACTCTATAGCTCAGCTGCTTGAGGGCAACAGAACCATTGGCCAGCCGCCTAAGTAATCCTTAATCGACGACATCCATCCAGGCTGGCGGCCGCAGAAGACGGCCGACGTTGTTTGCTGACAACCTGGGCAGGCGCAATAGAGCTGCAAGGAAGCAGCAGGCGCTGTCTTGCGGAAGGATCAACGCAGACGTCAGAGAAGGATCCGGGAATATCAAAGGCAGGTCGAGCGCTGTCGCCAGCCGGCATGGGCGACGCATTCCTCGGTCAAAGCGCGCGTTCTCGCCGTCTCGCTCGCCAGCTGCGGCCTTCTTCCTCGGCCGATGCGGTCGTGAGATGGAGTTGCCGGCCAGAAGGAGATATACGCCGTAAGCGTGGGCACGGCGAGCCCCAGCAGCTAGCCGATGAGCGGGAGAATTTTCCACCCAAGAGCCGTCAACGCCGTCGGACAGCGAAGCCAGCAGAGTCCAGCACAGCACCCGGTACCAATGAAGGGTCTCTCATGGCTTCGTCGACGAGACCAGCTGCGGACATGGATCCCTCCCGCCCAAAGTCTCACCGGCCGTTCCACGAAGATGTCCAGCGGCTGCACGAAGCAATGTTACATCCGGGGTCCGTGAAAATCAATGTAAAAGGTGCGTTCATTGTCGACGAGCAGCCTGCCGCCCAGAATGGCCCGAATGGCGCTCCGTTCGATGGCCCTGACGGCATTCACTACGAGCACAAGGATATCCGGCTGCCCCATCATACCGATGTCGTCAGCCATGTCGCCGTCGATGTGAGTCTCCTTCCGCTCTGTCTCACCCGTAGGGCTTAGGCGCCCGGCGAGACAAGAATGCTGTAAATCTGATGTCCAATTTTACTTGTATTGGCCGCAGGGCGCGGTGCTAATCTCGTTTCTCTCCTTAGATCGGAGGATCCCTTGCGAAGCTCGTGTATTTTTCCCCCGAGCTCGGCTCGTCCGCCGACGGTGGAAGACTCAACTTCCTAAACTTCGAGACGGAGCGCATTGATTTATGCATCGCGTTTTTAAAACAACTGAAAGAAAATCACAAGAAGCTCAATGGCTCCGCGCCTGGCCCTCTTTGTATCATGGCCACCGGAGGCGGCGCATACAAGTACTACGACCACTTGAAAGAGGAACTCGGTGTGGATATTACTAGAGAAGATGAAATGGAATGCCTAATAATTGGTACGGTTGCCGTAACATCAATTTCCGTGTTCCCCTGAAGCTGATGGTCATCCAGGCCTGGACTTTTTTATAACAGAAATCCCGAACGAGGTATTTACTTATAACGACACATCGCCCATGGAATTTGTCGAAGCCAAAGCAGACGTATATCCGTACCTCCTCGTGAATATTGGGTCCGGAGTATCAATGGTTAAAGTCTCCGCGCCCAGGCGGTTTGAGCGAGTTGGAGGAACATCACTTGGTGGTGGTACTTTCTGGGGCCTGATGTCTCTTTTGACGGGCGCCCGGACTTTTGATGAAATGCTAGCTATGGCTGAGAGAGGAGACAATAGCGGCGTAGACATGCTGGTTGGTGATATATACGGAACAGACTATTCTAAAATCGGCTTAAAGGCTTCTACTATTGCTAGTACCTTTGGGAAAGTGTTCAAAATGAAGCGTCTTGCGGAACGAAGTGCCGAAGATGGTGAAGGGCTTTGTCAAAGCGATTCGGAGTCGGAACGAGATATCACACAATTTCGCCGCGAGGATATCAGTCGGAGTCTACTTTTCGCCATTAGTAACAATATTGGACAGATTGCCTATCTGCAATCAGAAAAACACCAGATCAAACACATCTATTTTGGAGGCTCATTCATTCGAGGACATCGCCAGACTATGAATACACTGTCGTATGCTATCCGGTTTTGGTCCAAGGGAGAGAAACAAGCTTATTTCCTTCGACATGAGGGATATCTTGGTGCTGTTGGCGCGTTTCTAAAGCGGCAACCCCAGGATTGGGGCCGACGACGGAGCATAGAGAATGCTGTCGCTGCACGATTCGCATCGTACCGAGATGAGTTGCGAAATACGGCAAAGGAGGCTGAACTACCACCCACCTGACGCACCCTTTTAATTTCACTCTATGTATGATTCCTGACATCCATTTGGCGTGCATATTTTCTTGATTGCTAGGGATTTCTACTAAATTCTTCCAGTTTATGTTCATGTGCCATTCCTCGAAGCATAGATTGTCGTTTCCTCCCATTTCTTCTCCTATTTTCATATCATGTCACTTTCCCAAGTTGGGACTTTGTATTGCTGGCTGGGCTCTACGTTTGGTTTAACAGGATCTACCGCATAGCGTCTGCATATACTCCCTACCATATGATCCGTCGCCGATGGTCTGAAGCCCACGTCACTCATGTAACATAGCGTACATATGTACGGAGTATACGGAGTACGGAGTATACGTACTTCACAATCGACGAAAAAAAGCATCTGTATCAATAATGTATGCACGGAAGACCGAGGTTGCACCGAACCGCGTAATTTATCCTATCGTCGCTGATGAGAGAAACATCATATGCGCCCATCCTAAAATGCCGACGGCTTCGGCAGCTGACAGGTCAGCCAAGGCATGATTCAATCACAGCGCATCATGGCTGGCAAGGGATGCACAGAACATTGCCCTGCTTCATGCAAACACCCGGCACGTTTATCCAAAAAGCAAAACACGCATAGTATGCACATAGTTTTCAGCAAAGCTTGAGTGAGTAAATGATTAATTCCCCTCAGTGACATGCATTATTATTTATATAACTACCTTACCAAGTAAGCTATAGGACCAATCAAAGTCAATCACTGAAAGCTAGGAGAAAGCACTGTTCCCTAAATGGCCCTTGATGATCGACATTCCTTGTTGAATAGGAAATTTGCATGGCTGGTACCCCGTTCATGTTGCCAAAAAACCACACTTCCTACCTTGATGATCATTAAGACTCCTTGCATTCCGAAAGGCGGAGAAACACGGGGATTTCCAAACTTGGCACTGACGTGAAGATCAAGAGCGTCTCCAGGCATAAGGTTCATCCTGGATATTTCGACTCATATTTTTCCATATATGAGGGATCGTAGAGAGGTGCTTATGAGACACTTTAACTGCTCAGGGTAAGTCCACGATACCCCGCATCTTGCCATTTGTTATCTTCCATGACTATGCCCCTGGATACCTCAAGCTCAAAAAACAGCAGAAATAATGATTCCAATGTACGGAGTACGGAGTAGTACATACACTGCATATATAACCTCGCTTAATACTCCTGAAGAAAGTTTACCCAGATGTTCATGACGGCATGGGTACCGGGTATTAAATGCCGTGACCTAGGGCATCCCTCCCTGGTCTTCATTAGTAGTTTCGCATCATACGATAGGTGGTGCATTATTCTTCCGGCATCTTTATATCACTCATGGGGCCCTGTGAAAGTTTGGTAGTACACGATTTGAAAGAACGCCATTCCCTTTACTCTGTAGTATGATCTATATTCCTTTTTAGCTTGAAAATGACTTCTGATGTACAGTGTGTTAAACATACCGTAAGTTTTCACCCTCTCCTCTCTATAAGAATCTTTGATGAAGAAACATTTTGAAACTAGAACTAATAAGCGCATAGTGCAAAGACGGGTGCTCCAAGAATCAGATCATGGCGAGTCGGCTAATTACTTACTACTACTCCACTTTCGCAGGAAACATATGGAAACACGAGGTATAGTTCGTATTAAACATGCAAGATGTTTCAGAACAGCTCACGACGGAAATTGATGGCGCAATCAACTTCATATAAATGGCCAAGAAAATGTTTGCTATTAGCCATTATTATTATAGAGCTGTAAACTTGATAGAAGATTATTCATCAAGCAGGCGGAAACTCTCGATCCAACACCAGGCGATCCATATAAAACCGCGGTATACTTCACGCTGTCGGTAGTTCATGGGATACCCCAGTATCTATAGCCTGGGCCGACCTATTCAAAGAACCCGCTCATCCAGGTTCTCGGAAGTCAGGGTGCTGGGAAACGTAAACTAGCCGGGTGGTCGTTAAGAACAAAGTTGTGTTCAATATAGCGTGGCATCTCACCTCAATAATTGACAGCTTGCCATACGTATGTCCATGGGCGGTACTCAATACAGAAAGCAGTAAAAATGAGCATGGAAGGATATGGAACAGTTCTAGTTCTTTGAACGGGTTCTTGCTTCAGCTAATAATAATTAATACTTTGCCAAATGGGAAGGGGGTCTCGATCCCCGCATGGATACCCTAGCTTATTGAAGACAAGCATTTCTGCAAGGTAGATCAACCAAATATCTTGGCGTCGTGAGAAGAAGGAAAGTCTTCACGAGTTCAGAGTTGCAATTTGAAGGGAGTAGTGTAATAATAAGTGTCTGGAGGCGAAATCAGCATAAAAGAATATAGCACTCAATACGGAGTACTACTTTAAGATATGTGTCTTCGGACTTGGCACAAAAAGCCGAACGCCACCTCCCTGGAGAACCTTCTGTTCCTGACGTGTTCTGGCACTTTTAAAAGGTCTCAGCGTTGGGGAGCTGGGGTTTCGCTGTACACTTCACTTCGTATAGTGGTCAGTCATGTTACATCGTGATACGTTTGGCCCCGAAAAGTAGACCAAAGAGGGGTTGCCCGAAGGAAAACGATGATAATCGTTTTCCGCGGCGGATTGCCTCCGTCGTTGATGAGGTTTGGCAGTCTTGGAAAATGAATATAAAAATGGCCATTGCCTCCTTCGCGCTATAACCCCAAAAAACAGCAAGTTTGCTTATCTTTCCGCACAAGCAGTAAGTGCATAGAAAATCACGGTCAATTGATTTGCGGGGAGTGCTAACCAAGCTACTAGAGTTGAGAACCGGAGGTTCTGGTTTTCAATCATGCGTATCGCCGCCAGCACCCCCGAAGCTCTTCAGCTTCTACACAATATTGCGTCAACTGCTGTTACGTGGTCGTCTGGGCGTCTCGATGTTTTTGGCCTGGGAAGCAACAATGCCTTGTACCATAAATGGTATCAGAGACAGTGGGGGCCGTCCCAGAATGATTGGGAATACCTTGGAGGCACCTTCAGCAGTCAACCAGAGGCCGTCTCCTGGGGACCTAACCGGATCGATATTTTTGGGCTAGGTACCAACAATCAGATGTACCACAAGTACTGGAACGGGTCCGCCTGGGGTCCATCCACAACAGATTATGAGCACTTGGGAGGTGTCTTCAGCTCACGCCCATCTGCTGTCGCCTGGGCCGAGAATCGACTGGATATTTTTGGCCTTGGGTCAAACAACCAGATGTACCACAAGTGGTGGGATGGTTCTCGTTGGGGGCCATCTCAAACAGGATGGGAGCACCTTGGTGGGGTGTTCAGCAGCCCCCCAAGTGCCGTATCTTGGGGACCGAACAGAATCGATATCTTTGGCCTTGGAACTGATAATCAGATGTATCATAAATGGTGGGATGGTTCAAGATGGGGACCTTCAGTAACTAACTGGGAAGCTCTCGGCGGAGTCTTCAACAGCCAGCCAGTCGCCGTGGCCTGGAGTGCCAATCGTCTCGACATCTTTGGTCTCGGAACGGACAACGCCCTCTATCACAAGTGGTGGGATGGTTCCAGATGGGGACCATCTCAAACAGGCTGGGAGAACCTCGGTGGGGTATTGACTAGCCCTCCTGCGGTTGTCTCATGGTACCAAAACCGGTTGGATATCTTTGGCATTGGAACAGACAACCAGATGTATCATAAATGGTGGGATGGCTCACAATGGGGCGGTTGGGAAGCTTTAGGTGGCGTTTTCAACAGTGCTCCAACCGCAGTGTCCTGGGGCAGAGGGCGACTTGACATCTTCGGCCTGGGCACCAATAATGCTATGTACCACAAATGGTACAATGGCCGATGGGGTCCATCCGTCACTGACTGGGAATCGCTTGGAGGAACTTTCACCTCAACTCTTAAGGCAGGCCCGAAATGATGCGGGTTCAAATCTCGAAAAGCTCGAAGCGAGGAGGAAGCAAAGCTCTGGATTCTCAAGCACTCTGTTGTTAGCTAGTTAACTAGTAGGTTGAAGCTCTCAGGCTTACTTAACGATAATGAAATACGTCGAAAAAGCCAATACCAAAGTCAGCGTATCCAAGATCAGTACGGAGTAGAGGACATACACAATCAGGCAGTTGATGCTCATCAATTCTCCTGCTCCTGAAGCTGTATCACTGGAGGTTAATTCCAGCTTAGTCATCAGAGCCTCTACCGTTTCTCCTTACGATCATCATCCAAACAGCTCACAACATCAGATCTCCTCCGCATTCTATGTCTTTCAGCGGATTTCTGCTGTCGACATCCTCGAACTCATCAGAAATGTATAGATAGTGGCCATACCTAGCCTCTCATGGCTAGTTCGCCTCCCAAATCTACTACCCCAACTTCTCGCCCTCCATCCTCTGCCACACCTGTCCCACCTCCGGTCCCAGTTGACACCCATCCAAACCGAGCAGGATTAAGACCACGGCAACCATTACGGCCTGCGCTAGACCCAAGTCGCCTCGCTCCGGAAGATGCATACTTTGCTCATACTCTGCCACGGCTGCGGCCGCTTACTACAGCAGGAAACCATGCAGCCAACCCCGATCTCCTTAATCGGGTCGTGACAACACCCGCGGCAGTAGCAGCACTAAGGCCGCCTCCCGCGGTGCCTAGGATACAATCTAAAAGTGGTGCCGGAGCGCGTAGTGACCGTGGACGCTCTAGAAGAAGGAAACGACAATGGAAAAAACTCCTCTGGGTCAAGCAGTCCTGTAAGCCTGGAAACGTTTTCAGATCGTATATCTTCACGTTATCAAGATACACTAACATCAATCGCCAACGCGGCTGAGGTTTTTCAGATCCAGATAACTATACAGACACGGAAACGTTCCTCGATCACTTACAAAGAAATCCGAGGTTACGACCTTACGATTTCTGGCCGCTCGTTGCTGACTTCACGGTGATTGTGCAACATGTATGCTCTGTCGTTATATATATCTGCTGCTTCACTGTCATTTTCCAAGAGCGCGTTAGCCCAGTCTCGGTTGCCAGTTGGGCTACTCTTTGTACGATATTCTGCTGGGGACTTTGGGATTACTGGGAGGGAAACATCCATCTCGCTGCCGAAGAATGCCCTGATCTCTCCTCCGCTCACGATGGTTCTAATAGTGGATTGCTGATCAAGGAGCCTGCTGATGGCCTTGGATTATCGTTGAATATGTCGAACGTGGGAAGCCCACCAAGTCGACAGAGTACTATATCAAGCGTACACTCTGACGACACCTCCGCAACCTCGATCTATTCAGTGCCCTCTCCTGATGCTGTGATTTCCCCTGTTGACTCAAACCTGCCAGTGTATCCACCAAGCCTTCGTGCCACTTTATCCAATAGTGTGGCAAAACTATATTTGAAACCCTTTCCAGCCCCATATCGTCCATCTCGCGGCAGCCAGCGGCTAATCACAGCAAAATCTGCGCTGCTAATATTTTGCGCCCTTCAAGGCCTTTCGCCCATTCTCAAATCGCTAACGAAGTCCACCACAAGTGACTCAATTTGGGCCATGTCTTGCTGGCTTATGATAATCAATGTGTTCTTTTTCGACTACGGTAGCGGCAGCAGCGTCAGAGAAACTCCCCAGCAAGGTAACAACGCTGGTGCAGGAGCAGTAGCTGCCAGGTTTCCAGCTTCGCTTTCTACTAATGCTGCTTTAATGGCATCTACCGTACTTGCATCAAGGCTTGAGTCTGCAACCCACGTGTTTAGCTTGACTCTGTTTTCAATCGAGGTTTTTGGCCTCTTTCCAATCTTTCGCCGTCACCTTCGTACAATATCCTGGCGTGGACATATCACCCTTACAATTACTCTGGTAATATCCGCGGCAGCTGCAGTGGGCGTTACTTTGAAAGGCGGATATAAGGGCGGAGCTCTAGGGATATTATTCGGCGCCCCCTTGACGGCGTTAGTTATGGGTGGTTGTAGTTGGTGGTTGATTGGCCTACAGAAGTATAAAAACGTTGTTACTGGGCCGTGGGATCAAGCCAAGCCTATCCTACGCAGAAGACACTGGGATTGAATAAGTGTCTGTCTTTTCTGGACATCGTACAGCCTAGTCCTGAATAATGCTCTTTGCTTTTCGTCCATTTCAAAACCTTAGAAGCTGTGTTTCTCGAAATCGGCCATCACCATTATTTCTTGACTTTACTTATGATTTACAACAACGGTGCTGGTGAAAATCGATGAAACAGCTTCAACTGCGTCCTTTTTAAACGCCAGTCTAGTCTTAAGTTCTTTTTTTGAATACCACCTCCGCCCAGCACTTGACTGCTCTTGCCTTAGCTACGAGCAAAAGGAAAACCGAAATAAATAAATAAATAGAACCAAAAAAATGAGTCCGGAAGCTCCAATCGAGTCGATCATAGGCTGCGAGGTGGAAAAATATCTCGATAAAACGGCGGCTATCGATTTATGATGCCCTAAGCTTTTGCAACCGCGCTATAATGGTGTTACCACTAACATGGGGTCGGAAACGAGTATCTATGCTGCCTCCACTAAATTCTGATTATAATAGTTCTTGGGGGACCAGAATCATGAAATGAAATAAAGTTTTTAACGTCTTTCATCTGAAGCTTCCAACACCAGACAGCTCCTTTCTTAAAACCCTGTTCTAACAGCTCAATATGTTAACGATACTGATGCATGCCTGCCCTGATTTCAGGCGTTTAGCGAAAACGGCTTCGCCAGCAACAAAAAAAATTCCAACCTAGGCGTATCAGATTTTGAGACCTATATAATGGCCATCGCTAGATCCTCTGCCGTATCTCTTACCCTCCTCTGTTAATCTGCTACTTTGGGCCACCCAGCTTCCCAAAGCCTGCTTGTATTATTTTATTATTGACTGCTAGTCTGTCTCAGACTAGCTTCAGCAGCCCATATACATATCAATGTACGTCTCTTTTATGTTAACATGATGTTTTTATTTCTGGTCGTTATTTCTTCCGCCTTCCTAACTGCTGCTGGGCCGATAAGCAATGGGACTTCAGTTGGGAGTGAAGGTAAAGTCGGGACTGCAGTTTGAAGCAAAGCTATAACCATAACAGTCACCGTCACCGTCACGCCGCTAGAATATATCATACTAAGGTCGACTCAACATGGAGGAGAAACACGAGTTAAGCCTTCACAGTCTTCTCTCAAAATGACTGGAGTTCCCGCTCATCTGCCTCACCTCCGCCTCGCTCGTCCCCTCCTCCTGCATTCCCACCTCCACCGCCACCAAAGACATCTACTTCATCTTCATCGCATTCATCCCCTACTCCGCCTGCGTCCCCGCCCCCGCCACCACCCGCAAAAATGTCTACTTCATCTCCGCCATTGATTTCCCGTCCAACCCCGCTCATACCAACTGGTGTAACTCGAACTCCAGCCACAACCAGCATCGTTCCAATTATCACTGCCTACAAGGGCCATTTAAGCGCAGAACTTTCCAAGACTTACCATTTCCCCATCTTGAGTAGACCACAGCATTAGAATGGCTATTTGACCTGCGGTGTGGCGACAATGTATTAAGGAGAAGTATTGTGCCCAATCTGAGTGACCAGGTAAACCGGTTCAACATCGAACTGCTGGTCATCATATATCTACAAAGTCTGGCATCAAAGACTGACGTATAGCAATATTTCCGAGTCTATCCTACTTTTTCCCGTGAAAATCCTGCTAATACTGCTCCATCACACTCTTGAAACAATTGTTTCGGGATTCACGCCTTAATTTTGAGGACTCACCTCCCTTAAGAACAACTTGTATATTGGCAAAAGAAACACAATTGATCTTATCATCATGTTACTTTTAAAAATTCCCCTCCACCCTAATTGCACATTAATGAGACGCAACTTAGTCTGCTTCAGTGGCATATTATGTCCATTACCACCTATCATACATACATACAGATTTTACCGGGAGACTAGACGGGGGAAACAGGCCACAAAAACAGGTATAGTATACACATGTTACATCATTGTATAATATTGCTGGCCAAACACGAGTCACACATCACCAGACTTGATCCTCGATATTTTTACACTAGGAAAAGCGCGGCATACCCAATCAGAAGAAGCATAATCATGGCTTTCACCGTTGCACCCGTCGATCTAGTGCTCATCGCGCCGCCTTCAAATAGAGTTGGAGTATGCCCTCCAGTTGGCCTAGCCTTTACGTCTGAGCCTACAGGAGCCGACCCACTGACATGTCCAGGGCTCATGCCATCTGGCTTTTGAGTAACGGCAGGCCTAGAAGGAGAAAGAGTCGTTAATTGTTCCGGTACACTTGGCTTAGAGTCCTTGATAGGAATGACGGTGACAACTGGTCGCTTTTCTGTAGGCGCCGGCAGCGTCGCGGACTTCATAGGCACCGTGAGTGTGACGGTTGTTGGCGTTGCTGCGCACTGTTGGCATTCAGTGATAATTGTTGTCCAGCCGTCAGGTAAAGGGAGTGGAGCCCCTGGTGTTGGCGCTTGCGTGGGCCGAGGCGTTACTGTATCTGGGCAGTATGTTGTTGTGTACGTCGCGGTGACAGTCGTGAAGCCTGTAGGACAGATGGTGACATAGGACTTAGTGATGATTGTTGTGAGTGTTGTGTGATCCTTGGTCACAGGAGAGGAGGGCAAGCGTGTTACAGAAAGGCTTGGAGGCGTAGTCGTATTTGTTGGGTCCGCAGTGTCAGTGCCCGAGGGGACAGGAATACTTTCAGAACGTGTAGGGATGTCTGGTCTGGAAGTTGTAATATGGCTGCTACTACTGCTACCGGATGGGGAAGTAGAACCACGAGTTGGTTGGCGAGTAATGGTCGGAACAGAAGAAGGCATACCAACCGTTGAAGTATTGGTGTCACTCACACTCTGGGTTGATGATGGTTGTCCGGAGGTAGCATCGTTTGTGCTAGAGTGTTCCATTGAAATCGAGCTGACAGAGCGAGTGACAGAGCCAGACGGTTGTCCAGTGATAGCAGTGGTTGAAGCAGACTGAGAGTGTGTGCTTAGTGTAGCCTCGCTGGATGCAGACCTCGTTGAACTTGTTCCTGAACTTGATGACTGTCTCGTGGAAGAGACAGACGAGCTTGTTGGGGTCATCGCCGAAGTTGATGGCCGTTCCGTTATAGCTGAGGACGATGCGGATTGAGACTTAGTACTAAAAGTCATTTCACTAGATGTAGATATCGTTGACGCTGTCATCGACTCAGAAGCACTTGTTGTGAGTGTGGCAGGTATGGACAGAGAATCTGAGGCGGTTGACATTGTTTTGCTGGATGCAGGTTCACTTGAAGATGCCACGGAGCTAGAGGAAGCCTTGGTCACAGTCCATGATGGGCTCGTAGGGCCAGTGCTGGATGGAGTCTTCGTAATCTCGGTAGACGTAGTTTCTGAAGCAGAGCTGGAAGAAACGCTCGGTGACGTAGATGTCTCCGTGGTCACACTTGAAGTAGGCAGTTGGGCAGACGAGCTTTCTAATGTAGACGAAGCTTGGGTGGTAGAGCTCGTTGACATCTTTGTCGTAGAGGTGACAGTCAAGCTCGTGACAGTGCTAGTTGGTCGGATAGGGTCACAGTCAAGCATGATCTTCTTTATCGTCTCAGCATAGGGAACATTTTCAATTTTGTTTTTCTCTGATTCGGTTGCTTCCCACAGCATTATGCCGCCGATTGTTTTAGGATATTTCACCATATAAGTACTCATTACCTTATTGACTTCTTGCGAGGTCAGATAGTCGTCATGCGCACTCGCCTGCTTGGAGGCCGGAAGTCCAATAAAGAGTTTAGCTGACGGGTTACCGCTTTGGAGAATGTTTTGAACCCAGTGGTCAATGGTGTATGTTACTGAGCTAGAACTTGTGACCCATTGTTTTAAAGAGCAGGGGCGGTTATTATAGAATTGGACGAAAATAAAGTCAAATTCTGAATTTGACATGGCGTTTCCAAGGTGTGCATCCGGCATAATACACTGTGGAGCTGCTGAAATATAGTACTTCTTTTGGGAATCCTGTGCAAAATGATATCGGAAGCGCTTGACCATGACGGAATATCCTACGTTCGTCAGCATAGTATTCAAGCAGGGCAGTGGCAGGGCGAGTAAAACTTACCATAACTCGAGCCCTTTTCGATGTCGAAATCAAACCCATCCACTGCAGTGTTCCCAAAAGGCCGAGGGCCTTTCCAGTCTGGTTTCACAGGCCCGAATGCACCCCAGAGAAAATCTGCAAAGTTAACAGCAGATTTCTCGCTCTCAATCTGGTAGAAATCATTAACAGCACCACCACCCAAAGACAAAAGTATAGTCTTTCCAAGTGCCTTGCATTTGGGAAGGTCTTCCATTATTTGATAGCAGCCATTCAGGAGCTTAGTCTTCTTGTTATCTTCCGTATAATAATACGTATCAGCACACTGGTTTCCAAAGTTACTGCCCGGCCAACCTCCTGGCCCTTGGTCAGGAAAAACATTGATAAAGCCGACTACAATTATATCGTAATCGGTTTTTTCACAAAAGTAGCTCAGGCGATTCTGACCGACTCCTTGGCCCTATTTAAAAAGCGTCAGCTCATTAACGATTAGAGAAGGTTTAGACAACCGAATAATACCCAGTAGACGACCAAATTACTCCTAGAGCTGGGATTATAAGCTAAAGATGAAATGAAGAGAGAGAATGCAGCAACGGCTGCTGTAAATATATTAGCTGGGCCCATTTTTGAAAAGACTGAAGATGGAAGTATATGTATTAAGTACACGACGATAATGAAGATTTAGGGCTAAAAAAACGAGGGAAAGGCCTAAATCACGCTCAGAGAAGGGACGCAAACCAAAAGGCTTGCAGCACGATGGCTAGGAGAAACGAAAGAAGGGAGGGGAATTCCTTTGATCAGCCGTGAGGAACGAAAAAAAAAAAGACGAAGAGAGTGGGAGAGACGGGGATAAAAAAGGAAGCACGAAGTCATAATGGCCTTAGAGCCAATCCGCCGTTGCTCAGCACCACAAGAACCACATGGTATCGGATACTACCCGGCCATACCAGCGAGCAATTTTTCAGGGGTACTGATAGAGTGGTCTGGAATCGATGGTTTGTGAGCAGAGAAACTAGCCAGCTAAAAGACGGAATGAAACTCCGGAGCGCAGTTAATTTCACACCCCAGTCAGCCGTGGCCGCTGCCGATATCTAAGGCTCTAATCTCAGGGACGTATGTGCAGGATAAATTCGTATTTTTGGCACTATATTCTTCTCGAAAAGAAAAGAGACAAGCATTGGCGACGGAGCAAGGCCTGGTTGGCTCGGGGGGTCTAGAAGCAAGGCCTACATCTCAGTTAATAGAAGCTGTTTTATTGCCTTTTGCATAGGAATATCGAAGATGCGCAACACAGAATTCATTTTTCTGGAAATCGCCAAAACTTGGGGGTGAAATACGGATAGTAGTAGCTAGATGCGGGATATCAACTTCGTAACCGCGGGGCGCCCTGGCACTGAAGCCAGTCAGAAGAGGCGCCCGAATGTTGGGCGTGGAAAGCAAGCTAGGCCATCCTTGGAGTGCGACCAGCATATGGGCCTCTCAGATGACAGAATTCCGGGAGGGGGGCTTGCGCATTCAGATTCGGCGAGTGCGGCTCCAACACAGTTCAAACAGGGGTGTCATTGCAGGTAAGAGGCAGAATAGCGGCTGGCAGAGTCGAGAACCAACACAAAGACCCGCGGAGATGGCATGATACCAAGGGCAGACACATGAGGCCAAATATCGGCATTCTGGTTGTCTAAGTAGTTCTAGACTGGCTGTTGTTTTGATTAACATGCGGCTTGGCGGCGGTGCGAAAACAACGCGCGCCATGCCCGAGCCCGCCCCTTCTCATTGGACAGTGCGAGAGTTCGTCCCGCCTGAGAGATCCTGCACGCCGGAGCCCGGTAATCCCGAAGAGACAGCTGTCAGCTATCAGAGTGTGTACACTCCACAGAATAATTAATTCTTTTTCTCTGATTCTATCATACAACATTCCTTAATACCAGCCATCCTCTAACATAAAGGGGAATAATTGGCAGATTAGGTACAGATTAAAACCTTTCGTTCATTACTATCCCACTAGCTAGATGACTACAGACTACAGAATATTCTACTACTCCTACAAACTATTAGATAGGTTATCAATTAATTCCCAGGAACAAAATACACCTCTAGGCTCTCCGTACGAGAATACTAAGATATTAAGTGGTATCAAAACTGCAAAAAGCAGTAATTTTACAAGCGGGCATTCGTGACGTTTTGCAAGGCTATTAAACAGCCAACGTGCTACGTATCACTAGGGTAAGCCGAGAATGCTGTATTCCGGTATGGAGGCACGTCCGAGTACGGGGTTAATGATTGTACCACGCTTGCCGAGTTTGCAGGAGGCTCAACCGATTTGTTATCACCAACATAACATGGCCTATCAGTTCAAGGGCCCGATTCCAATTAGGGGTCTCTGAAGCTCCATGAAACCTCCCCAGACGGCGTTCTCAGCGTTCTAAATTTTCCCAACAGGAAGTACCTATACGTGCACATGAAATTGTATTGTTGCCACCTAACCTTGGAAAAAATGGAAATCAACTGCGCACCGAGAGGAATCAACTCTAAATATGGCGTCCTGGGCGGGCGTACGGCCAGTACAGGTGTGAGTTACGCAGCACTGTATTGCCCCATACGCCAGTTGATACACCACTGAATGGCTTCGCGTGAGGTAATGAGCCTGTGCAAGACAGGAAACGCCTGCTGGGAGGATCAGAGCTGCATATTCCGGTCTGCAATCAAATCTCCAGGTGCTTCCTTGAATAAGATAAGATAGTTGGCATATTTGGCAATCAGGCAATGTTCACCGAAGGAATGAAACAAGGAATTATGGGTCTAGGCTCATGATGACAGGTTTGCTAGGGGTCTCTTGTTCTAATCTGCTCAGAGGAAATCAGTCAAGTCATTGCAACTGAGTTCAGCCGTATCCCCGTGGAGATTTATCGTCAAACTCTTCGCTCAGAAGATCAATGTTGTTCCACTCTATGACATGATGAAGCGTGGCATACTCATCCAGGGTGGTTTCCCTCTCGTCGGTATAAGTCGTTGTTTAAACAATTGCGAGCGCGCGAGATGGGCGAGTTTCTCATACGGTCCGCTCCTGCCTGACCGGTTCCCAGACGAGCCGATTAAAGCTCTCCCGAGAAATTATAGTTGTTCTAGCCCTCGTCATTGTCGCTTTTCGACTTTGCGCGAGTATGTCTCAATGCAGCACAATAAGAGCTAGAGTGTTGACCTTTGAAAGCATGAAAAGAATGGAGTATGTATCTTGTACATGCCTCCGTATGAGAAGACGACGTTCATTGTTGTTGAATTCTGCATCCACCACGGCGGTTCGTTGGTAAAAGCGGCATTGCCGAGATTTAGTTATATCGGAGCCGGGAGAAGGTTATTCCATTACAGCCAATCACAGTCACATCTTGATCACATGCTCACCACCGCACTAAGGCACTAAAGGTTTAACTCAGGAAGTCTAGCACTGGCCCACTCAGAACCATGCATCTGTGCACATGCATCGCCGACCAGCGCTCCAGGCACTCTAGCATGAGTGGGATTTGGCGTGCCTTGTTGCAATGACAGCGACATCACGGCTACCGTGGAACTGGATGGCGGAGGGACAGCGTGTGATTGCCTGGAGGGCGACGTTCCTGGGATGGCGGCTCATTTTTCCGAGCATCTTCCTTCTTCCCCTCCTGGATTATCGGCTGTCCTTTGCTCAGTTTTATAACGATAGTTGTGATCTTTGATTGATGCTGTGGATATATCGTCCCTCACTCACTTTAAGTTGCAGTCGGCTATCAATATCACCTGTACTAGGACCAGGAAAATATAGCGCTGCTGCTTTGGCTTGACTAGAATCGAATTGATACGCATAGCCGGCAGTAACTCACCATGCGGATTATTCTGGTGCACTACGTTGTGCTTTCGCTAATACCCTGTGTTCTATCGGCTCCAATATCTTATATAGACACCTTGGTCCTAGCAGGTGAGGGACACCACATCGAAGACCGGCTTTATCCTCGACGTTCTAGACAGCAGCCAGCCGTATTCCGTGATCAGTTACGCCGCATTCTCACTAGTGCCAAAGCCGGTCGGAACCTCGAGGTATTGACTCGAGCTTCAAAATCCATCCCTGGCGACAGGTGGCCGTATGCTCTCTCGTCATTGAAGAGTGAGGTTGTGGCAGAATATACTATTTCTATCGACGACAAACCAGGTGAAACCATTTTTCCAGCTACCAGGTCAATACAAGATCAAAAGGTTTTTGAGCACAGCACGCATCAGAATACCCACCCAAAAACCGTTTTATTTCGCTACTTGACTCTATTCTCAAAGTCAGCATCAGGGCCAGAAGTTATAGAAACCTATCACCTTCACAGACAACCATTTTCAGACAGGTTAGCTTCGAGTTCGATAAACCCTTCTTACCTTCCCTCGGCGAAAGAAGACGTTTTCTCGGCGCTTGCATGGGTTTTCGGACATCCCATTTGGGCATGGACCACAGTATCCCTGCTCATATTCGCCCTATTCATCATTTCAGTCATAACTGTCGAAATATTAACGGTACTTTGCAATCTTGTGAGGTTTTGTTTCCAGAAAGATGGCTCAAGAAGTATTCGACTTGACGGTGCAGAGCAGAAGCTTGCCTCCGTGTAATGAATCAACAATTGGAAATCAAATATTCCCTTAAATGATAAGACTCGTCGGCCTCCCCGTCATTCAACTGACCCCTCTACATTGAAGGCGACTCATGTATTTCTAATGGACCTAAGGACTATCAGACTTTCTTCATTATCGAAAGATTGGATTTCGTAACGGCTCGCAGTAGCTATCATACTGAAAATCGTCATCCGTTACTCCTCCCTGGAAGGAAAGCCGGCCTTGCTGTTTTTCAACATATTTTTACTAATGCATTATACCCCCATGTCTCTGCATCTTTCCTGAGATCTTTCTGTTTTCTTACTTTTTCTTTCTTTATTAATCTTGTTTATAGAACTTTTACGATCATGAAAGCGATATGCTTTGCCAATACTTGGAGATGACAGTTTCTGCTTGATCCCAATGATTTTCAAACTTATCATGCAGGGCTCATCTTGACCATAAATTAAGTAGATAAAGCTAGCCGGGTAATACAAATCAACTTAGCATCCCATAATAAAAAATTCATTGCCATTCTGTCATTAAATACAATTGAATATTCGGCTTAAATGCCGTCTGACTCTGGTGGCCCTTTATAAGCTGCAGAACGTTAGTAATGACGTCACCATCAAGGCCACAGTTCGGGAACTCACATTTTCTCGCGTACACCATGTACCACACAGCCGAAATTGCGAGGAATCCCACAAACACTACACTCGCGTATGTCATGCTTGATGCAGTCACTGGCAATGCTGTCGGCATGCTGAACAACACCAGCTCACATGCAATCCAAACCAGCGCAATCACATTAGCGATGGGCCCGACGATGGGCCCGCAATTCCACTTCGCCCTCATCACCTCGCGGCGCCCGTACCACAGGCTGATGCCGATGGGGATCGCATAGCTCACAGCCAGGCCGATTACGCCCACTGATACAAACGCAGTAAACGCGCTCGTGCTTCCAATGTTGATGAGTCCAAGCAGCATTTCAACCAGCGTGACGAGGCCCAGGGCGTAGACTGGCACATCCAGCTTCTTATTCACGCGCGACCAGATGCCCGAAAGGGGCAGTGCATTGTCTCTTGCAAACGCCCATGTCGTTCTGGATGCAGCGACGGTGATGCTGATGGAGCAGAACAGAGTCACCATCAACACGAGGAACATGAGGCCGAGGGCACCACCTGGTGATTTCATCACGACGCCAAAGATATAAGGCAATGCCTGGCCTCCAGGTGAGTTTTTTATAATGTCCTCCAATGGTGGGAGAGTGAAACAGATGGGCAAGATAAAAAAGAGTCCTGCAAAACCGCCAACGGGAACGCACAAGCTGATCGCTCGTGGAACTATAATTGCTGGGTTGGGAACTTCTTCTGCCATGGAGGATATCATTCCTATTGCTGAGAAGCAGTATGCCGCTGGGAGAAGGCCGATGAAGAATGTAAAGCCGCCCCAGCCTGCGAACGAAGTGTCATAATGGGCCAGCGCATATGAAATGCTGTGCCTGCCTGCTCCCGCTTTCACAGACAATGCAATAAGAATGACGATAATGCTGACTGCTGTCCATGCGGCGCAAATGATATCCACTTGTGGGAGAAAGCGATTTCCCACAGCAACAATTACAAATGCCAAGAGGCAGATGGCATAGAATATGAGAACTATCTGCCAGCTTGCCGCCTCCCATGTTGGGTGGAATAACGATATCGTTGCTGATATGAGGGCTGCAAAGCCGAAGTTGACTGAGAGCGTGATCGTCCAATTTCCAATAAGCCATACCCAACCAGTAATAAACGAAAGGATGATCTTATGCTTCTTTGCGACCTGGAAAGACCAGTAATATGGCCCTGCGGATGTCGGGTATCTTGATGCGAGTTCGCTGAGCGATAACGCAATGCATTCATCTAGTACTAACACTAGCAGCCATCCAATGAATATTGCACGCGGGCCACCGCCATATATGGCACTGATCAGCGGTCCTCCCTCTCCATACGGAATTGCTGCAATGGCGAGCGACTGGAAAAGGAGAGTCGCGAGCGAGCGATTTCGTTTTAGTTCTGGGACGTAGCCCAGTACTTCCAGGGTGTGATCTGTGTCTCTTGCATTTCCGAGCTCGCTACTCTCATTGGTATCAGAACCAAGCATCTCCTTCGGCTTATCTTCGAAAATCGACATGTTTGGGGTTTGAATGTGGAAGAACGGAGAGGTGAACTATTTGACTGATGGGTTTCCTTGATGCTAAGCATCAATTTCAAATCGCCGCGGCTTGCAGAGAATGAATATTGCCTCTGCCACTTTGACAAGTGAAGCAAAGTCGACCAAGAAACTTATGGGAGCCGGATGATACGGCTTCTTGAAAGGGTGGAAGGTTAATAAAAAGAGAATTCCCCGGTAAGGGGTGTAGTTGATAATTACTAACTGAACTGGTGAGCTTACCAGCATGTAGTACACTTATGAAGATCGATACGCATATTCGGGGTATAAATAACTCGGAAGACGGTACGCGAACCCCCTCCCTTGGAGACAAACACAATGACATAGCCGTCTATATATCTATAGACTCTTGTTATACTCAAGTGACGGCCCATTAGTGCCTCAATCTTCCTATCGACGTCAAACCTGATGGCGAGGGACGACACCAGACACGCTAGCGGTTCGAAACATCTGCCACTACTGGAAGCCATTGGGCTAAAGGAACCTAACTTTGACCCTGATACGATGGTAGGGTTAGTTACCAATGATCAGCCGATCAGTAATGCCGCCATGGGACTTTTTATTTTGTAGCCTGTTCAAGATAAGTAGTTACGCGTCACGACGGCATACAGAAGTCCAGGTCACGTCCAAAGTGATATTTTTCTTTCTTTTCGCAAAAATTCGAAATCTCAGATGTTACGAACCCAGATGGTGGGAGACCACGGACCGCCCCTCGGACGCTGTGTGACCCAACAGCCCAAACCTCAGGGCTTGGACAGCTCACGTAGGTACGATAAGACACCGATATCTTAGCATCCCCCTACCTACTCCTGTCGCGATAGCGAGAGGCGCAGAATATCATGCGGAATACACATTCAGACGGAGCCTATCGGGAAACTTTACTAGAATTGGTATCGCTTTAGACGGCAATGCAGGTCCAAGTACCGCATACCATCAGTGTACATACCACATAAGGGGGCAGGTCAAACTTATTACGCGGGAGCCAGGCATTAGCTAGATCCAAGGGAAGTATGTATGTACATCCATATCGACGTTTAAGTATGTCAACATGCTACTATCTTCGCGGCTGTTCCCTATCTATCCCACTATCCGTTAACGAGCCTCCGTCAAGATTGCAATATCGTCTAGGCAGATAATCGAATGGAGGATATTATTGGCCTTCTGTTGAGTAGATCCGTGGCACCAGATGTCTCCTGCATGTACCCAGTACATACATCAATCCTTCCCAAGGCGCGAAATAGCCGCTGCACCAGGAAGTAGTCAACTGCTTTACTCCGTCAAGGGCGTCCTCTACGATCCAACCCCACAAACCCCATATTGGCAACGGCTTTTAAACTCCGCACGTCGCGGGCTAATGGGCCATCCCAAGTCTGCGGTAACTTGCTTAAGGTTAACTTCCCCGGATTTTCGTTTGAACTCCGAGTAGGCAATCTCCCGAATGCTCCCAGGAGCACAGTCTGAACGACCAGCCCCGATTATTTCGACTCTAAAAAGGCGCCTTGCAGGTGGGGAAATGGGCGGACTTTTGTGTGTACTAGTTAACAACGGGGCTCCAAGCTGCCTGACGTTTGAGTACCCATGAAATTGCGAAGTCGACTGGCTGGTCATTGCTGTTCCGTAGCGATACGATTCGTGTTGTTTTTGGTTGGGCCTTGACATACCATTTAAAGCAGATTCCATCTGACAGTGCAGTCAGTCATGGTGTGGCCGGATTAATGTGACAAGCCTTTTCAATATCTACACCCTATATACGGAGGGCATCCATCGGCTGGAACGATATCTACTTTGAGTCAGCGGAGGTCATAAAGGGAAGGTTGATAAGGCCGAAAAGTTTGGATATCTTGCCCCAAATAGGTGATCAAGCTTGAAGACAGGAGGCTTGGCATTTATTTTGCCGTTCAAGAACAAGTTTTGGCATCTGAACCAGTGTGGCTGGAAGACGTGCCGGCTATGATGCTCGACGGCGGCGTGCTCTTAGCGCTTAGTGAACTCGATATGATTTTGGGGCTTAAGGGTTGGCGTTCTTGTCTAGTCCAAAGGGTCTCTTGACCTAGACGGATTAACACAGTCCTCTAGTGAGCAAGCTGGAAGATAACTACAGGATTGGTTTTGTTCGAGCATGATTGGGTGTTTAGTGTTCTTGCGGCCATGATAGTTGGCCTATGCGAGAATGCAGGCCGATTTTCCCGCGATCATAGACCGATAGATTATCCGGGCTTGGAAAAGCCACTAACTACAGAGTAGTCAACTAACTAGGTAGTTTATCGTTAACCGAGAAGCCGAGCGTCGTGTGTGCGGAGAAACAGTCCAGGCACGATGCTCAGCAGCGTCAAGCTTCGGGTCTGAAAGTTATCGCCTGGAATGGACAAGAGCGTTTTCTGCAGCTGGATGCCCGCGAAGTAATAATATCATCCTGTCGGTATCGCCCTTGCTGGTCACCTGTCGTCTTTGGACATTCACGCGCACCGGGTGTCACCATGCGGGATGGTTGGGCGTGCACGGATAGTTATGTAACTCTGCACCCTCCCGCCCCAGATCCGTGTCAATGCTACCAGAGCTCGTGGAGAGTTAGCTATTTAGCGGGAGCGTGAGATTTATGCGCGACCATGACTTGTCCTGTTTTCAGCCCATTCTTCGCCTCTGAAGCCCATGTCCACTGTGCCGTCGAGCCCGTCGAAAATGCGACATCGCTGTTGTGGGATTGAACACATCCCACACATGAACAAAGTCTTTCCAACGATGCCAGTGTCCAATTGCTCGCTATTCACGCCCAAGAAATGACAACAGCTCAACAGGATGACTTGCTCCAGGTTGGCCATTCTGCGAAGCCAGTCGAACTCGTTTGCACTACTCCGTACCGGCAAATCATAGACAACCACAAAATCGCCACGAAAGATTGCTTGCGACGGCTGCTGAGCTTGCCAAAAGCTTAGACGAGGCCAGACCCTGCGAGCAACTCAAGCGCCATCTACTACTCTGTGGAGCAAAGCAACGCGGCGTCGACGGACGCTGCTTTGTGATGCTGCGACGAGCCGACGCCCGTCCCGATCTCGGCTGGTTTGCCGCCGCCCCGCACCCGCTCGGCCTTGCTGTAATAATTAATTCACCGCGGGCAAACACTCCGGCTGGTGTAGTGTAACGAAGGTGCTCTCGACTCGCCAGTTTCTCTATTGTGCACTTCAAATTTGTGCTGCATTGACTTGTGCAGACTCAATTGTTGAGCTATTCGAGATGGCAAACAAGTACGAGCTCCCCTTTCAGGTTTGTACATCCCCGATGCCCGACATTCAAGTATGGGTGTCCAGTCCTACGCACGGCAAGCTGACGACTTGGAAATGTGCAGCTTGATGACCCAAGCCTTCTACAATATGATTCATTTGTAAACAATGAATGGGTCACCTCCTCCGAAGGCAAGCGGTTTGAGGTTGTGGGTATGTTATAGCATATATACTATCCATGGTGTATCAAGTCTAACTGTGACCTCTTCCCTAGACCCTGGCACCGGCAAAGCTTGGGCAAGCTGTCCAGCAAATACTGAAAAAGATGTCCCAAGAGCTGTCGAAGCAGCGCACGCTGCGTTCGAGCAATATAAGAAGATGAACCCACGACAAAGGGCTATGCTGCTTATGAAATGGGATGGGCTTATCCGGGATTCCCGTTCTGATCTTGCAAAGATTCTGACCCACGAAACGGGCAAACCAATTGCTGAGTCGTTGGGGGAAATTGACTACGCCCTGGGCTTTACTTGGTGGTTCGCCGGCGAGGCCGAACGCATTCACGGCGGAGTTTCCACCCCTGCAGCGCCAAATCGGCGTGTTTTCACTGTCAAACAGCCCATTGGCGTTGCAGTTGCCCTTGTCCCATGGAATTTCCCTATTGCAATGATTCTGCGCAAAGCTGGTGCCGCTTTCGCTGCCGGTTGCACGATGATTGTGAAGCCCAGCCCCGAAACACCCATAGCTACACTAGCTATTGCAAACCTTGCTAAAAAGGCTGGCTATCCTCCTGGCGTCTTCAATGTTCTCACCACAGACCTAGATAACACTCCCTCGCTCAGCGAAGCCCTCTGCAAAGATCCTCTTGTCAAGAAAGTCACTTTTACTGGCTCTACTCGTGTAGGAAAGCTCGTTGCGGCCCACTGTGCTCAAGGACTAAAGAAACTTACACTCGAACTTGGAGGCAACTGTCCATTTATCGTTTTTGACGATGCTAATCTGGATCAAGCCATTGCACAGCTCATGGCGCTCAAGTGGCGTCATGCAGGCCAAGCTTGCATTACTGCAAATCGGATATATGTCCAATCTGGAATCTATGATAAGTTTGTTGCGATGTTTAAGGAACGTACAGCAGCTCTTATAGTTGGACATGGTGCCAACGATAGCACTACTATGGGGCCGGTAACTACACCCCGTAGTATTGATAAAGCAGCCAGCCAGGTTGAAGATGCTCGCAGGCTGGGTGCCAATGTTGTCCTCGGCGGCAAACCCAAGTCAGACTGTGGAGGTGGATACTTTTTCGAACCGACAATCATCACTGATATGACACAAGAGATGCTAATATCGCGCGAAGAGACATTCGCACCAGTCGCGGCAGTATACAAGTTCGAAACGGAAGAGGAAGCTGTGGAATGGGCGAATGATACAAGCATGGGACTGGCGAGTTACGCGTTTACGAAGGATGTAGACCGCATGTGGAGAATGCTGGAGAATCTGGAGGCTGGTATGATTGGAATGAACACTGGTATGTCCTAATTTTTGTCTTTTATACCCGATATCCACCGTTATAGGTTCGCATTTCTAACTATTCTATTCAGGTAATGCATCTGCCGCTGAGTCTCCATTTGGTGGCATCAAAGAGTCAGGTTATGGCAAGGAAAGCGGCAAAGACGTTGCCGTCAATGAGTATTTGATAACCAAAACCGGAACCTTCACTCTAGAGGGTCAGTATTAAACTGCTTCCAAAATTTATTGTATGTGTACGAAGACCCAAAATACTATTCACTGTTTCTCTTTTCCGTGAATACACACCCTATTTTGAGCATAAGTTTATCAGCGTGAAGGTGAAATACGCATACATACTCCCGTCTTTCTTACCCTAAGACCCCAATCCTAAATGCTAAATACAGTCTGAAATCAAACCTTTGCACCCCCAATTCTCAAATATTCACAGATCACGGCTTTTACTTCCTCGTCCTTGATCTCATTTACATTGACAGTTTCGCCCCGCTGAAGAGCCCACAAAATACCATCCTCGTACCAGCCATCAAAAGGAACCTTCCCAGTATACAGCTCCCAGATGCTAACACCAAGCCCATAAAGATCATCTTCAATTGTTTGCGGCGGCTCTGATGCACTACCAGGCCAAAGTCGGGTGCGATGTGGTGATATGTAGTTTGCTGTTGTCATTCCATTCCAGTTGCTGAGATCTTCATCAAATCTCAATCCCTCACTAAAGTCGCATAGACGAAGTTGGTCACCGGAGCAATGTAGAAAGTTTGGTGGTTTGATATCTCCATGAATAATCTTCTTAGTATGTAACTGCTGACAAGAGAAATCATTTGGTCCACTAGGGCTCTGTGCTGGGACGGGTGTACATCTTTCGGTTTCAAAAGGGTTGCAAGAGGAAAAATTATCCCATCCATCCATATCTTTTCTTCTTTATCTTTTCAGACAACCCTTGCAAGGGCTTCGATAGCACATTCGCCAGCTTCCAGAAGAAGATCAAGTTCATGCTGACTAGCAGTGAACTTGCATACTTTTTGTTCATGCTTGAACTTATAGACCTGAGAATTCAATGAGAAATGAAGAGGTGCAGGATCCATTGCGTTCAAAACAGCTCTACGACTTATATCCGGGAGGTCACGAGTCCATTGTTCAACCTAGAGTTCAGAATCAAAAAATGAAGCAGCTTGCGGCCGAAGACAATACCTCTTGAACCTGAGACTTATTAGGGTCAACATCTTCGAGACCTTGCATTGCCAAAAAAACGAATTGACATTCTAAGATGACGAAGATCTCGGTGATTTTGTTTTGATATCTGCAGTGTGAGAATGGCGGGGCTGAAAAAAAAGCGCTTGGACAGCGTCTCTTAAAAAAGAAATTATTCCCTTTTGCCCTTGAGCTAGCATCGGGTGTTAGCATTTGAAGCTTCGGAGCGACCAACTTAACAGACGGAGTAGATTGAGATTGAGTAGAGTATGAGACAAACCTGAAGGTAAGTTATCAGGGGAGTTATTACAGTCTAAGAAATCGTCTAATGCCGAAGTTGTGTGTGTTGATAACTACGGCACATACATGAAAGTTGACGGGTCATATTATCATAGTCCGATTCGCGATAAGTGAATGGTATTAAAAAGCACGATGAGTATTCCAAGGCAGAGAAGCGAAATATCCGAAACAAACTGAAAGTTCTGCGCGTACATACGTACAGTTAGTTAACTACTAAAGAAAAGAATTATTCAGCGCAAAAAGAATTTCATTTTCTGCTGTGGCTCATTTAGTCCTGGTCTCTTCTTGACCCAAATCGCCACTTCCATGGCATCAGGATTCGAAGCAATAGTAGAGGATCTTTTAGAAACGGTGCATCATCCCCTCCAAGTTTCGGCATTTTGCGTAGCACTCCAGCCTTAAATAACTCCTCGACAGAGTTATGAATATTTGCCTCACGAGGTATGTCCCTAAGGGCTCCAAGATTCGGAGGCCAGTAGCGAGGGTTCCATTCACCGTTTTCGAGTTCTAGGCGAGTGAAAAATGGTAAAATTTCTAACATTTCGGGTTAATAAAGCTGCCCGGGTCACAATGAGGTCTAATATAGGCATACCTAGGATCCACCAGAAACACGTCTTTCCCCAACTTTCGCCACCGCCAAATGTTAGGGAATCGTGATAATGCGGTATGTTGATCACAGGCGCATCTAATGGCGGGTTCCAGCTTTCATTCTCGCTTTCACGTCTCAAACTAATGGCCCTTTCGACCGCCGGCTTCTGGAATGCAAGCTTTCCGGCATGATGGCAGTCTAATGAGAGAACTTCATCAATCATCCATGCAAGTGGTATATCGGATAGGAGATTCTTTGAGTCGCCCTCGAATCGAAAGCCTCCGCCGATATCACAGTGGCTTCCGGCAAACCAGACTTCTTTGATATCGGCGCCTTGCGATTCCTCTTCGAAAACAAAAAGAGCAGGTTTGAATTTGAGGCGACGCTCGTGAATTGAAACTGCATGGCGAATATGTTTTGCAGGGGCCTACTCACACAATGTCCTATTAGAAGTGTGCCGTCACCTTCGTAACACCTGGCTTACCTGGGCTATGTATTCGTAAGAGTGCCTCCGGAAAGGTATTTCAAACTGGGAAACACTATTCACACAGTCAAAAAGCCCAAGAAAATGCACAGAAACTTCTGGTCGGCAGAAGGTGGTTCTAAATTTAAGAAGATATTCCTCATGCTCCACGTCTTTTTGACTTTTGGTGCGCTTTCCTTTGCTATGCTGCACCTGGCTAAAGGACGCAAAAACAAATCGCACCATTTCTTCATTGCCTTGGGATAGCAAGCCGACTTTGTCAATCATCTCTGCCAAAAATCTTGCTGTATATGCTCCACGAGAGAATCCAAAGATATAGATATCGTCACCTGGTTCGTAAAATTTCATCAGAAATTCATATCCACTGCATACATGATACTCAAACGTGTTGCCGAGAGCCTGATCAAATAACTGGCTTATGGTTGCTTTCATCCGGCCAAACCAGCTCAAACCAGACCCACTAGAACCCGTTGTGAATGTTCCAATGCCAGCTAAGCAACGGTGTAAGCAATCAGCCAAATGTGAAATCGCGTGGACTCCAAAACCTACGCTGATAGTAATGATATTGCTTCCTATCATGACGATCGAGCATTTCATATATCTTAACCACATTGGTATCTGATTCATTTCCCTTGTATCGATTACCAGTGCCGTCGAAACAAAGGACGAGACGGCGTCCTCCTCCTATCTCGGTGCTCATGATAGGTCGCGAGGCAGTATCGTCTATACGAGCTTTTCTCAACAACCGTGTAGAAACAGGACGTTTGGAATTTTTTCTTGTAAAATGGGCCTCCGTTGGACCAAAATATCAGGTGAAACGCGGCGGGGAGCCCGATGTATATATTTCTGGAAGTCCAGCCGCGGTATTGACCTGGGGGCGCAGTGACAAGTTATATACTGTCATGCCTGCTACCAGCCATCCAAATTGGCATTTAAAAGCCAACCAACTATCTCAAGCGGGCCCCAATCATCCTACTGCATGGAACGAAAAAGCTCAGAGGAAGGGTTCCTCATACTATAGTTCTCAGGTAGTCCGAATCTGAATTATGCCGTCGAATAAGACACGCGAAATACGGTCCCATCACAAATTTGGCATTTCGCAGATGCAGCCGTAAAGAGCTTGATTTATGGAAGCATGCACCGGTAAGCCAGCACCACTCGGCTGAACAGCCTATTGTTGTTAACGGAAGTTCCTGATTCTTGATCTCCCGCCAGCCAGCAGCCACAGAGGCTGCTTGGTTCGTATCGGGTTCATGTGGGCTGCAGACGCACGGAGTATTCCGTCCGAGGCTGTGTAACTCGTCAACCGTGTGCTGGCTGTTCCGGTATGGATCACAATACTCTGGAGTTGCATGCCGACTCCCTAAATGTGGAGCAACGGCGATCAACAACAATCGTAAGTTGTCATTCAGCGTAGCCACCGGTTGGAGTCAAAACATCCAGTTTCGGCTATCATTGCTGGCAGCGATGACTTGTGTGCGGGACAAGAGTTGAAATGGCGGTCCAGCAAGGCTGAACGCCATATTCTGCGCTGAGTTTCGCCCTTGGTGCTCTGTGGCTTGGCTTCAGCTCAAGAGGCTGGGCCCTTGAACTCTGTTGCGGAGCAGCCGACAGACTAAAGGGGATTGATTCTTGGCGACATCGGTTTACAAGTACGGAGTAAAAAGTGTCTATTCTTCAAACGGCTGAATCATACAGTACAGAGTAGCTGATTTTTTGTTGAGTTGTTTGCAGCTGAACGGAGAATGGAGACCTATAACTAGTTACAGGGTTTTCTTGTTGGGTTCGCGGTGGTACTCCGTACTTCGATTCTTCTCATGAAATGCTGAAGGGTGCAAGAAGCCCGAGAAGGGCGTACAATCAGTTTGCGGTGAGATCGGTCTGCCTTAGAGACACCAATAGATATACACACCCTACATACATAGGTCGGTGTATGCTTGGGATAGGAGTTGTAGTAATATGCCGACAAGCTCAAATATTGTGTGCTGCGATAAGCCGTTGAATACTCTGTAGGCGCCTTGGTACTAAAGGTGCCGATTGAGGGTTGATAAAACACAGGGTTGTCCTATCTGTCTCTATGCAAAGAAATAGTGGTCAACTCTTTCAGGTATCCCAGGTTCCTCTAATAAATCGAGCCGCGATGGGAACCCAAATCGCAGGCGGTCGTTCCTGTTGGTTTAGTGGCTAGCACATGGTCTAGCATGGAGAGAAGATTTTCTGCTTTGCCCTGTAATTTAAAAATGGTGGTCTTTGCGATGGCTTTTTGCATTGAACCGCTGGTAACCGGAGAACTTCAAACAAAAACTATGTCAAGTCTCTCTGGTACTGGGTACTTTGCTTGCCATTTTCCTCTTTTCAACTTGTTTCAGGCGCCAAACGGTGAATGTCACGTTCTTTAGCTCAAAGGTACTCCTGGAGTATTGCAGCAGTCTGTCATCAGGTGGGAGAGGGGCCCCTTTTCTCTCTCTGAGCAACTGTGCCTGAGGCAATGAGCATACAAGCGTTTCGGTGATGACGATGATTAAATAGCATGGACTTGCTACTGGTAGCTTCCTACCCCGTATAGGACAATAGATCCAAGCTAGCACTCCGACGGGTGGGGGGAACTTATTTAAGATATGGTCTGGCTGCAATAGGTTCTAATTCGCGGTGCTGTGTGCACTTTCCACGCAAAGTGGCTCCGATTTTGTAAATGTTTCATGCCCCAAGGGCATGATTGGCCACGAAACAAAGTATATCTCTTCATATAACACAGGTTCTCTATTTCTGTTTACAGCTTCTAGCTGCATCGATATACGCTCTTCAGCCCTGAAACCAAATTTTTGGTAGAAAGGAGTCGCATTAGGTGTGGCTTCCAAAACAGTAGGGACATTCTCCTCTCTGCTACGATCTAATCCCCATTTCAGTAATAAGGATGCCGCCCCTAATCCTTGATACTTTGGATCCGTTCCAATGAAACTTAAACCTAAGTGAAAATTGATTAGAAAGGGCAAAGAAAAACAAGTAGGCTCACTTAAGTAGCGAAAGAACAGAGGTTAAGGGGAATAGTTTAGAGTGAAAAAGTACGCAAACGTACGATAACAGGGCAAATCACGAAGAATTTTATCATTTGCAGCCCCGATTTTTTTGGTCCATTGATTCAGAATAGCCATATTCGTCTCCTTTGGCCATCGCCAAGGATGCTCTTCGTAACCTTCAGATTTAGATATTGGAAGGCACCATTTAGCAAAACTGATAATTTTGCAGTGGTCGTGATGTAGGATAACGAGTATAGCCCATTTCGGATCTCTCAACTCGGATACAACCTTCTCCACGAGCGAAACCCACAGCCCTTTTCGAGCAGCAGGCGTTGGGAATTGCGCAAGAAGCATCTCATTAGACCCAAATGCGGCCATGTGAATATCCGCAATGCGTGTAGCATCTGATTCCTTTGCTTTTGAGAGTACCAGGGGCATATTGCTGTGATCAATATCTTTTCAAATAGCAATCCCACCGATAAAAGTCGGGTCACCAATTCGAATTTCACTATATCTGGGTCACTTGCGTTTATAAAACCCTTTCAGCACAAGATCACTGATATTGATTCGGTTAGTTAATTTGTCGGTTCACAGGGAGAATGCGGAGTAGCGAGATCGGTTCAGACAAAAAGTTGTGACTGAACTAATTAGTTATGTAAGCACTGACTAACTAGCCGCGCTCTCGTTAGCTACTCGTCACGGGTAACCCGAGAAACTTAAATTTGTGGCAAAAACCTTAAAAATTGATTACAATGTCAACTCAGGCCTCGACGGTACTACAGGCGAGGGTCATCTAATTGCTTGTGGGCTGATGTAGGTTACAACAGCATTATTGCATATGGTCTTAAGTATGACTTTCTCGTCATGACCCTTACCTTTGGGTGTCGTTGAAATGGCGGTCCAAACATTGCACTAGTAGTACGGAGTACGCAGTACAGAGTCATGAAGACGGTCAACATGCAGCTGCCGATCACCAGTTATTTATACATAACTAGTGGACGAGATCCCGTCAACTCAGATGTAGTATCTGGGCGGTTCTCTCTCACTAAGTTCATACGTTTCATCCTAACAATCCACCAGCAGGAATTGAAGTTACTCTCGTTCTTTAAGGACGAATCAAATAGCGATTGAAAATGCCTAACATTGAGAACCTGCAGCATCTTATTTCCAATCACCCGGTTATCGACAGTCACTGCCACAATATACTAAGTCAAATCAGCGTGACCAATTACGACCAGTACCCCCTCGAGTCACTAACCTCTGAAGCAAACGGCGAAGCGTTGTCTAGCCATGCTACAGAAACCATTGCTCACCAGCGAGCTGTTGGTCAGCTGGCAAAATTCTATAATTGCGACCAGAATTGGGAGGCTATCAAGATAGCTAGGCAACGAGAAATTAAAGAAGATTACGAGGGCTTGGTAAAACGCTGTCTGGCCGGAACACATGCGTTATTAATCGACGATGGCCTAACTGATGATCAAGATACGGAATCTGTTTCGTGGCATGATAGTCTTCTACCAGGTATAGCGAATCGACTGTTGCGCATCGAGGCCGTTGCGGCAAAGCAAATGGAGCAGTATGCTGAGAAAATCCGTTCCGCGCTCCACGCAGATACCTTCAGGTCTAGCCCGCCTCTCCCGTTTGATCTGGGATACTTTCAAGAGGAATTTAAACATGCCGTTATTGGAGCTCTGGACGATCCTAGCATAGCCGGTTTTAAATCGGTGATCTGCTATCGAACAGGATTGAAAAATATTGAACCACCTTCACAAGAACAGCTTATTGACAGCTTCGCAGCGCAGCTCAATTCAATTATTCACCATGGAAACAGCCGTATTTGCACCAAGGCTCTCAATGATTACCTTGTTCGTACTACCCTTCAATGTATTCAGGAACGATGCGGAACAGAGACGATCAAACCAATTCAGTTTCATACTGGACTAGGAGACGCCGACATCACACTAGAATTATCGAACCCTGCGCAACTTCAAAGTCTTATCGAAGAATTTCCAAACGTCGACTTTGTGTTACTGCACTCATCGTACCCATATACTCGAGAGGCTGGGTACTTGGCCTCTATGTACAAAAACGTCTACCTCGATCTTAGCCTAGTATTTCCTGTACTTAGCAGAGATGGGCAGCTTTCAATATTGCGCCAATCCTTGGAATTAGCCCCCACATCCAAAATTCTATGGAGTACCGATGGCCATTTTCACCCTGAAACCTACTGGCTCTCCAATAGACAGTTCAGAGAGGCATTGAATGTTGTTCGTATCCGCTGCTATCCCCTTCGCTGCCATTTTCTAACTCGAGCTTTAACAGATTTTAGTAGAATATGTGGAAAGGAATGACTTCACTGTTTCAAAAGCAATGGGTGCCGCCAAAGACATCATGTTTAGGAACTCTAATCAATTATACCAACTAAACCAGACACTTACGTATGAGGAGCAAGGCAGTTTTCAAGCTTTTAAGCTACCCGTAACCCCTAGCAGCAACATCTCCATTTTGGAGCTGTTTTTGAAAATGAATTGTCACGTTGAATTTATTTGGGTTCTGCTTGTGGATTATACTGCCACTGTTCGCGTCCGCATGTTTCCCTGCCGGGAGTTTTCAAGGTTGATACAGAAACAGCGCAGAGCCGGTATCGCTATGGCATTATTAAATATGCTACAAAACGACAGTATTGTACCTCCAAACCCATTATCAGCCGGTGAATTTTATCTGATACCGGACCTAAATACCTTGAATATTAACCTTGGAATAAGGTCTAATAGCGCTACTGTCATGACGTTTTGGGAGACGCAGGATGGCAAACCCCAAGAAGGCTGCCCACGAACAATACTCCAAAATTTAACCCTTAGGTTTGAGAAGGAGTTTGGTCTCAAGTTATTATGTGGTTTTGAGATTGAAGTCGTATTCATGAAGAAATTCATGTCTAATGACGGTCAATGTGTTTACGAACCCTGGCTCTCAAACCATTCGTGGTCAAACATGACATCTGACACTCGCCAAGCTCTCCCCCTAATTGAGGAAATTGTTCATGAACTTGCGAAAATTCATATTTACATTGAGCAATTCCATTCAGAATCCAGCCCGGGCCAGCTCGAATTCATTCTTCCCCCAGCTTCACCGCTGACTGCCGCAGATACACTCATTAAAGCCCGGCAGACTATCGTGCACTTGGCAGAGAAACATGATCTGCGCGCTACCCTCTATCCTCGCCCTTTTTCTTCTGCAGCCGGGACAGCGGCACACGTTCATATCTCAATTAATCCAGCAACGAAGGAAGAGTTTTTCCTCGCCGGTTTATTGAAGCATTTTCCTGCTGTATTGCCTTTCACATTCCCACAGGATGCAAGCTACGAGCGTGTTAAAGAAGGAATATGGGCCGGAGGCGTGTGGGTTGCCTGGGGGCAGCAGAATCGCGAGACTCCAATCAGAAGGATTGATCCGGGCCACTGGGAAATCAAGTCAATGGATGGTTTGGCGAACCCGTACTTGGGTGTTGCCGCCCTCCTAGCCGCTGGTTATTTGGGCCTAAAATCTAGCACAAAGTTAGAAATACGAAACTGCACAGGTGTGTTCTTTGTCCCTTCTATTAAGTACTCTGTACATATAAGTACTGAGTATATCGCTTATTTCTCTTTCTTTTTTCATCATCTGCATAGGAATATGGCTAATTTCGCGGATTTTATAGCTGACCCAGCGACTCTCTCCCCTGCACAAAGAGAAAAGCTGGCAATTCAAACGCCGCTGCCAAGTTCACTTAATTCAGCACTTGATGCTTTGGAGGCCGATTTGGACATCCAGGATGTCTTAGGCACCGGTTGGGTTAAGAGGTATATAGGAGTTCGTCGAGGCGAGCAGAACATGCTGAACATGATGAACGAAAACGAGAGAAGAAAGTGGCTAATTACGCGATATTGACATTTTTGATCGTAAAGATTTGAAGCAGACATAAATTCAATTTCGGGCAGAGTAGCTACTAGGAAAAAGTGTATGCGAAGTAGATAACAAGCAAATCAGATATATATGTAGATGGACTTTGTCCAGGCATATAAACAAAGCAAAAAACAAAACCAAAAAAAAAGAACCATTCAAATTATCGGTCAGCATGTCACACCGCTGAAAACACAAATTTCGCAACAGTTATGCAAAATAAATATAGGGTATAGTGCACTACCACTTCTCCATAAGTCTCTTCCTCACAGTCCACATGCGTGCCCGTTTGCCATATATATACATTGGAATCGAAAACAACATGCAAGCCATGTGGATACCTCCCAGGGTTACGAAAACCGTCTTTGCGCCGTCACTATGCAGCCAGTCTACAATGAATAAAGAGAAAACAAAACCATGTAGGACATCTAATAGAATATTAGCAAGAGTAATACTTAAAATTAAAGAGAACAAGGGTAACATACTCTTGCAGAAATTCAATGTGACCAAAGCTTCACCGGCGTATTGCCGGTAGCTATCCACGCAAAACGTGATGCTGGTAGTGCTGCCTAGAGTGCAGCCAAAAGACAGAATTCCAAAAAATACTGTGGGGACGATCCACTTTTCTTTCTCCTGAGCACTCCAGCCAAATCCCATGAGCCCCATGGAGGTGCAAATAGCGATTGGAGCAGACATTACAAGTCGAAATTCTGGTTCATAGATGCCTCCATTCCGACGGGACATGTATCGGACAATGACATCGGAAACCCTGCCAGCGACAATGGTGCCGAGGATTCCACCAACAAAGGGAGAAATATATACCAAGCCCGTTGAAAGCGCGGAGAAATTATAGACGTCTTTATTGCGATATATTTCAGCCACAGCTTCCGATAGAACAATCAGCCAGCCGACGGAGAGTGCATAAACCATTGATGACCACAGGACAGCAGGGTACGCCAATAGAATAAAAGGGCGAACCATGACGCGAATCCATCTGTCCCGGGCGATACGGCCGTTCCATATTTTCAGTGATTCAACAAAGCTGACAGGTGGTCTAGACCGTAAATTGCTCGTATAGATCTGCTGAAGAGACGGGTTGCTTGGGCCTGCAGCAGCAGCGTCGACAGAAACATCCCTGGAAACAGAGGCTGAGTTTCCAGTTTCAAGATCTGACGCTGCCTTTTCGACAGAATTATCTTGAGTACTAGGGGAATTCCGCAAGGTGGAAACGTCCCCCTTAACGTTCTTTACGTCAGCTTCGCCGTCGGACTTAGCTGTCTCTTTTAATTTTTCATCCAGAGTGAACTGCTCGGGCTCTGTCGGGCTTTCGCTAATACTCACTTTTTCCGATTTGACGTCGTCAGCAAATCCGACGTGAACATCTTTATGTTGCTTTTGGCCAATAGAATTTCCCTCCCCCCTGTAACGAGATTCCGTTGGAGAAATAGGGTGTGAAGATCGGCCGCGGAAGGGGTGGGTTACAATGTCCGACACGCTCCGTCGGGCTTTTGGGCGCCTGGGCCGCGGTCGGGGCGTTCTATCCCAGAAAGTTTCAGGCACAAATAACACTACCAAAGCAAGGCCAAAACCGATTGTGATTGCCACAATCCTGATATTAAGTCAGCTTTCTCTTCTAGAGACAGTATAATGATACTAACCAAAAGATCCAACGCCATCCCAGACCCTGTGTAATCACAGCACTAATAAGTGGAATCAAGTTCTTCCCGCCCAGCAACAAAAGGGTATAAATGCCCACACGGTACGCTCGCTCATGCAAGAAATAAATTTCAGCAATTGTAGCAGAAGGAAGGCACTCAACAGGGCTCACGGCTATGCCCTGGAAAATTCTAGCAACAACCAAGCTAGCATAATTTGGAGATGCGGCACACCAAATGGATGAGAGAATAAACATAGTGGCACCTGCAATATAAACAGGTCTCTTGCCAAAGAGAATGGCAGTTGGTGACATCACGACCGAACCAAGACCCATTCCAAGCATGTACAGGCCTGTTGTCAACGCAACCTTTTGGAAGGAGACGGCATATTCTTCCGAGACATCGTTGAACGCCGCAGCTAGAATCGGAGTCATACCGCCTCCGACCATGCAGTAGAAGCCAAGAGACATCAGAGCAAGGTCCCTGCGCCATTGTGGCCAGTTGAGTGGGTCATTTAGGGAATCATCCGGCTGGGGGTCAAGTACAATCTTTCCGTCTGGAGTCCGTTTCTGTTGAGGAGCAGGGGTGTGGGAGGAAGATCGAGAGGGCGGGTAAGGCGATGGTAAAGATGACGAAGAGGTCCTAGCGGGCTGTTGCGTCAACCCCAGGGGCGCATTGCGGTGTGATGCAAGGAGGAGAATCGTTCCTTGCCAACGATCGACAAGTCAGCAACTTCTGCTACATATCCAACGAAAGGGCTGTCCAGTGCTTTACCTGGGACCTCTTCTGTCTGCTTGTCGTTCAAAATTCCCATCGTCCATTTTTCTCGGTTTCCAGAGGCGTCCTCTTCAGTGTCTGGTGTATCAGAAGATCCCAAAAATCTCTTCCATCTGACCGTGCGTCGATCAGACTCCCCTCGAGGAGCGGGGTCTTCCCCGCCCGGCGTCTTTTCAGACACAGCGGAAGGCGGGATTGTGCCCAAAGCTTCTGCAGGGGAGTTGGGTGCCATCTGCACGGACGCGCTCTCGGTTGTTTAGATGCTGGACTCAGAGGGCGAAGGGGACAGCGGCGGTTGAGCAGGACCGACGACCTGCGCAGGTGTCGTAGATAGACTAGAGCGACGGCTAGGAAGTCGCCAGACACCAGTGTCCAAAGCAGACACTATGCCTAGAAACAGTCAGAAGAATGAAAAATAACAATGCATGGCCTGCGGGGTGCATGAGCAGATGGGAGGTAGCCAGCAACAGCGAAACCGCCCACGCCAACTCTAAAGATCCTCCGTGGCGAGAAGTTGACTCACCTCCACGAGTCTAAACAGTGAAGAGAGCGCGTCTTCAGGCCGGGAGGAGTAGTAGCACAGTCATGCTGGCGAAGCTGCCGTCCCGTTTCTGCTGTGAGTCCAAGAACCCCAAGAGCTGGCGGGCTGGGAAGCTTTTTTGGCGCACACGGTTACGCATGTTTCGGCGGGTTGTGGGCAGCTCACTCGTCAAAAACTTTTGCCGGCGTCTCTCCGCGTGGATCCTCATGTGACGGGCAGATAAGACGTGCGCGATCCACCGCGTGTTGGGATTGACGGTGGCCAGGGGTTGGAGGCAGGATGTTGGAGACGGTCGCGGTTCTGGCAGTGCCCAGCAAGCCGCCCGCCAGAGTATGTTACCAACTAACTAACCAGGTCGCTTGTCAGCGATTCCCACATCCCAGATTTACTTACATGCAGACATGAGTACAGTAGTCGCTTTCGACCAAGCACCACCGCGCTGGACATCGATATCCACCAGCCTTGCCAGCTTTGCCGTTTCGTGGGCTTGTGCCCTTGATTAACTAGGTAGTTAACTATGGAGTACTCCGTACGGAGTATAGTTAACTAGCCGGCAGTTTCAACCGGCAGCTTGGCGGCAGATCGTCGTCTTGGACGCTCGGAGGTTTCCAGCAAAAATGCTAGGATGCACCTCACGCAAACTTGCTCGCTGGCGCGGAGAAATATAAGGCCATTCTCCTAATGAGGCTGGTTTCTTTTCCTCGCAGAATCATAATGCAACTGTGCTGCTGTCGCCTCGTCGCCGATCCCTTGCTGGCTGTTGTATCCAGGTTGCATACTCCGCACGCCTTTTACTACAGCAGATACTAACTAGCTGATCGCCCGTTGCTTTTAACATCGGCTTAATTCTTGCCCGGATGGACTGTTTACCCTTCTGCATCAATGATGATGCGCCATACGTTCTCCCTACATGCACACATATACCCAAGCTTGGCGGCCTGTGACGTTGACGCTGTTATGATGGATATTATAAGTTCATTTTGACGATCTATACCCAGGAAAATACCAATAAACTCTTCCATATCTAATCTTTTTACCCCGTGCAACTTGTGTATTCCCTCATCTTGTACCCATCAAACTGGGGTAGTTCTGTCTCTTACGTATGTCTATACATGCACCGGAGTACATACCTTCAAATCTTGATGCTCAAAGCCTCTGTTACAGCGGTGCCCCTGTCACCCCAAAGCAAGGATAGACGCCGGCCTAGACTCCCAGGATACACTGACGTTCAGTGCATGCTGTTTCTTACTCTACTCCGGATATATGCAAAATATTGTTTCTGCCTTTCATCGACGCGTCATGTCTGAATCCTTGTCGCAAATGTAGCTCCTAACATGTCGAGGCATCCCAGCGCACTGTTGAGCCCTAAGCTGTGTATGTGTTTGCTGTGGCAATGCTGCAACGCTGCCATGGCGGCACAGATCCAGAGAGTTGCACCAGGGCACTATGATGCCCACAAGAGCACTTGAAATCTCCTTATAGTGAGAAATTTCCTCTCCTTTGACGATCCCTGTGTATTCTCGGCCCCAGACAGATAAATCACTCTAATGTGCAAACATCAATACATACCCTAGCATTGATGCAACCAAACTTCAAAAAAAAAAAAAAAAAAAAAAAAAAAAAAAAAAAAAAAATTTCACAACAAACCAAAAAC